AAATCTTTAAGCCAAGTATCTTGTAGATCTCTGACTCGCTTGGTAAATAAGAGCTGGAGGAATTGCTATTCCATTAGCACAAATACATGCAATAAGAGTAATAAATTCTGTGCTCCCGTCTTGAATTGCACCAAGTAATTTCTTTAAACAGAGCTGAGATTTTGAGACAATCCGCTTTTCAGTACGACAGAGGCCTATATTGAATCCTTTCTCATCAAAGTTATAGGTATTTGATGGGCTGATGCGATATTTTTTGACTTTCTCTGTGAGCTTTAGTATATTTGTTAGTTAGATAACATATCAACGAAAATTCAAAGAAGAAATCAGTCAAAAAGTTCATACTGTATTATAAAAATGTTCAAAATGTACTGAGTTATCAGCGACTTTGCGAGAATGATCAATTGCTTTCAGATAAACACTGTCAATTCGATCGTGGTAGCGGTGACAGAATCGACGAATCCAGCACTCCCCAACATCATGTTGTAGAAGCTCTACAACAAGATTTCGGAGAATTTGAGGCGTTGGAGGTAATCCACGCGACGAGAGCTTCGAGATATGATGAAGAAGAACTTCTTCTTGGGCATCTGTAAGGAGTTTGCGGTGAATAGAAGTTGCTTCCTGGTTTGATACGGTCTGGCCTTTATACCGGCGCCTTAGGGTCGAAGGCTCAAGATTATATTTTCTGGCAGTTTTGGCATATTGAGGCGTTTTTTTGCGATTCTAGATCACTAATTGCCTTTAAAATATCTGCTTCGTTGACCATATTATCGAATTTTGAATGTTATTTGTAGGAGCGGGGTAAAACGGGCATCGAGTGATCGGAGGCATCGAGTGATCGGGAACGATAGTTGAGCATGACGTACGTGAGATTCGTACTGGGAAAAGCATCAAAAAGATGTTTTGGGCTGCATTTCAATATAATATCCGTACGAGCTTAGTTCCATTAACCTCGGATGGATCATCTCGTGGAGGAGGTATCACTGCGACAGTTATACGCCAAACTTATATGGACCAGCTTCCAGAGTTACTTGAGAATGGAGATATCTTTATGCAAGATAGTGCGCCTGTTCATACAGCTCATATTATTCGTGACTTACTTCAAGAAATGCAAGTTGAAGTAATGATTTGGCCGCCATATTCACCGGATTTGAATCCTATCGAGAATCTATGGGCAATTATGAAAACAATCATCCGCCAGGATCATCCTGAGCTAGAAAATGCACCGGATAATGATACTACGTTATGCGCATTAATACAAGCAGGCATAGAGGCACGGGAATCAATCGGGGAGCGCGTGCTTCAAAATTTAAGCGACTCTATGCCTCATAGAGTGCAGGCAGTACTAAACGCAGATGGCTGGTATACAAAATATTAGAGCTTTTTGGAGGTTTCCGTTGTTTAGTTTATTACTATATTAGGGAGGCGGTGAAGTTCGGGTAGTGGTTTCGGATATGGGGGGTGCCAACACTACTGGAAAGGCACTGTATGTATAATTGGTTATGTAGATCATAATTATTCACATACTTGCGCGGGGAGATTGGAACGGCATGTATGCATATATGTACGTAACACCACTTACGTAGGCCGTAGTCAGCTTGAGGAATGTAAGATTGATTTCAGAATCGAAAAAATAATGCTGACTTTTGGGCTGAGATGTGTTAGCTCGGGTTTCCTTTTTCGGGAGACTTGAATTATCACATGTCAAAGCATGTGACATTGTATAGCTATAGTACTACTTTACCTACTAGCTTGATGGCCAAGAACATATGAAAAAGTCGTGTCTAATTCACTGTAAGATACTGAATGGTAAAAAATCTTGACAGGGGTAGAAAGAATAAGGATATACATATATGACTAGAAAGAAAAGACAAGGAGAGGTCGACTGTCATGTCAACTCAATCAACAACTTCCGTCACACTCAATCTCGCACCGCAATCAAGCAGTCTTCTTCCAGGCGGACCACACGCCAATCAATGAACTGATAGTTCCAGCAATACCAACCAAACCATCATCAAGCTTGACATAACCCAATGCCGAAAGAGGAACACTCAAATCACAGAGATCAGAGACAAGTTGAATACGTGCGGCGACGCGTTCACTAGAGTGATATCAGTATAAACACTAACAAGTGATAATGGGAAGGGAAGAAAAACATACCGCTCAATCTTTTTAGCCTCCACAACACCCTCTCCCTCCTTCCTATCAATCGTCTTCTCCCTCTCCTGCAATCGATAAAGGGTATAAACGCCCGCAACAACACTACAAACCAAACCGGACAACCAAGCGCGATAGGAATACTCCTGCAACTTCTTCGCAGAATCAAACTTCTTAAATCCCAACGCATCAACGAGCGTGATAGAATCCAGGGTTAAATAACCCGCATAACCCAATTGGCGACCAACAGTCAAATTCTTGAGTACGGGGTCTGTACTGGCGGATTTATTGTCAAAGGCCACGGAGGCGGCTTTGAGATGTTCGACGAATTTGCCCGCGCGCAGGATTTTGCGTGTAAGGCCGAATTGTTTTTTGAGCGCGTCCCAGGGTGCGATTGCGGAGGTTGGGTTGTTGGTGCGGAAGAGGTACCAGGAGTAGAAGCGGGCGAAGTATTGGATTGTTCGGAGGACTTTGTCTCTGCCGACTGATTTTTTGTTAGATTGATGATTTTATTTAAGAGCTTCAACGATGTTTTAATGATATCGGTAGGAAGAAATACTCACGTGTGGTTGCGACGAAGCGCAGATAATGAGCCACCGAGGGGTGGTATACCAGAGCGTCTGCCACCATCTTGTCAAGTATCGTGACTACTGTCTATCGCGTTGACCTGTTTGAAATCGAGAAAAGTGGCAGCTGACGACAGAAATTCACACAACTTAGTTGCGACTGTCAAGCATTCCGAAATGTAGTCGGATGGAGACGTCGGGAACGAGGCCGGATTCTGGGGTGGAAAGTGGATCATGGCTGATTCAGCCGAGGTAAATACATCGTCAGATAATACGTGTATTTACCGTATTGTCTTGTTTGGTATGCTCCACGTGCTCGCATACATGTATTATTGTGTTCAGTGTCTACTCCGTACAGCTACATACAACATTCATCGCACAACTATCATCTCCTGCCTCACTGAGATGGCTTGCTACCCATGGTCGAAGTGTCGTATCCATGCGCCTCAAGGTACTCTCGGAAGCGCTGGTCCTCCTCGGAAATGGTGTCCTATTCAAGTCAGCTTGATTGTAATTGTGCAAGGCTGAGGCAAGCAGGACATACCTGTCCGATATGAGGAACAAACAACCAGCAAATCACCGCACTGAAAATGCAGAGTGAACTAGAGATGATGAAAGGATCCTGGCCGGCGCGAACCTTGTTGGGAGCATGGTTCTGTGCAATGGGCAGCACATAAGTACCGACAAAGGCACCAATCTTGCCCATCGCGGCGGCGACACCGTAATATTGACCTCGAATAGCTGTTGCGCTGCTTTTGGATGCGATAAGACCGATGTTGTCGCCGGGACCGAGTTCACCGAGTGCGGAGAAGATGCTGTGTTCCATCGTTAAACTTATATCTTGAGGGGTTAAGAGAAGGGAAGGCTTACCCAAAAACAACGACAAAAGCAGCAACGTATTCTGGTGTTCCGAGTTGCTTATAAGCAGCGGTCATGATAAATCCAACCACACCTTGCGCAAACACGCCCCAAGCCAGGGTTTGCTTGGGACCAACCCAGTCGGCGAGATAGGCACCAGCGATGGATCCAGGAAGGTAAAAAGTGTTGGTGAGGATGGACCAGGCGAAACTCTGCCAGAGAGGAGCGGAGTCACCGATGATGATGTCGAGCCATTTGGTCGAGTAGATACTGAAGGAGAAACTGGAGAAGTCGTATGTGAACCAAATCAAGCTGACGACAAGCAATCGCTTCCAGTAAAACCTGTGACACATTAGTTCTGATCCATCGCCGGTAATGGTTTGCAAGCATACTTGATAATCAGACCGTATGGGTACTTGTGCATACGCTCCCGGTTGAACTCTTCAGGCTCGTTCAACTTGTACCGCAACCACAGCAGACTAAGAGGCGGTACAATACCCAAACCAAGACAAATACGCCAGGCAACACGGAGATGACTCTCAGTGGTAATCACAACAACCACAGTAGCCACAATAGCCGCAACCACATAACCAGAATCAATCATGAAATCAGTGAAAAACACAAACCAACGGTTTCGATGACCAGACTTCAATTCACCAGTACTCTCAGATGCGGCGACAGAACCAGCAGGGTATTCACCACCGATCCCAATACCGAGGAAGAAACGATAAGCTGTCAAAGCGGCGAAGAGACCTTCTTGACTACCGCCCGCGCCGTAGGCACCGGCGCTGAGGGCACTGAAGACGATGAGAATAATGGTAGCAATGAAGAGAGACCATTTACGCGACCAGTAGTCACTCGTGATACCAAAGGCTAATTGACCGACAACCGTTCCCACGAAGGCAATAGAACTGACGTTGCGACTGGCGGGAGAGTTGTTGTATGTATCGGGATAGATTTTGCCGAGCATGGTATTGACTGAACCAATGATCTGGGATACGTTAATTCTTTTCTTTCCTAACGAGTAGTACGTAAGTAGCTTACCCCGTTCAAATAACCGTCGGAAAAAAGACCAGCACCGCAAGCAATAACAGGCCAGGAACGCTCCCAGCGAGACTTTGGCAATGCGTCAAGGGGAACCTCAGCGTCGTGAGGGTTGACGGGATTCTTTTCGTCCACGGGTTGTTGTGCCATGACGGCTTTTTCGACTGAATCCGACATGGTAGCGAAGCTAGCTTATCGCCTTATTCTTCTTTACAGTGAACGAGTCCAGGTTACAATTGAAGAGAAGAAGAGATGGACAAGGAAGTCGTTATAAGAAAATATTTACTCAGTACGAATGTATCAGCACTTGACAGTACGTACTGAGGTATACGACAACACGAAGAGGGCCGAGCAGAAAAAAGATTCAAAGGATGTGGTGGTGGTGGTGGGGGGGGGGGGAGGAGGAAGAGGTTCGCGTCTTATAGCTGCAAGGCTCTACATTAGCTACATACATGGTAGGATTGTACACTAACTGGACAGTCTAGTTATCTCTGCCACTCTAACCAACTTCCAAGTACCAGGGACGAAACTATACCATTGGCGGCTATAGAATGGGCCCATATAAATTGTTTGCTGATAGATTGACATGGAGTATGAGTGGAGACATTGCAGGTATCGGTCCAATAAATTGTATGCTAGACATGAAGATATACGTACTCTAACAGTTCTCTACACGTAAATACGTACTACACAGTCTACAAACTGTAGAGGAAACAAGATCCAGCAAGCGGCACGAGACCTATCAAAAAGGGTAAAAAAGAAGAAAGAGTTCTGTCGATTGCAACCCCACTAACACGCGATCAGTTAGATTGTTCTTTAGGGCCAAAAGTTGTGGCGCCAAAAGGCGTCAAAGAAGAGTTACTTAGAGTAGTATTTGGCGCACCGGCGGCCGCTCCGAGGATCCTTCTCGAATGGCGGATGGATATGTCCAATGGAAAAATTTTAACGTGCTCCACTGTCGAGTCAGGGATCATGTCCTCGTCTCTACGAAAGAGAATTGATATGATGATATCAACTGTACTCTTTGATAGGCATCAGGCCGGTTAACACTGACGACTATTCTATATCCTTGTCCAAGGTAGCAATTCCGCATTCACAGGAGTCGAGGCGGTTCGGATCACCGACAATGATCTTCATCCAACTGCAGAGTTCTCTCGGCACTGCGTCCACCATCTTGGTAACGCACAGCAGGCGCAACGACATTCAACGTCAAAAGTCTTCGTCATGGATAGATTGCACACCAAAATGATATTGAAACGACGAAATACCGGATCAGGCAACATGTTTATGCTAAGCTTTTTAGGGCCGGCCCGTAACCCCCCAGAAGCCAGCCAAAGTGGTTGAGCCAATGAGTGCTGCTCACCGGCGCACGAGATGTATTCATATGTTGCTGCTAGTAAGATGGCGAGAGTACTATTACTGGGTCTACCGCGTCAGATTGATTCTTTAAGGATCCTTCCGTTATCCCCGTCTCCAGCTGAGCCATCTACGTACTGCCAACTCGAGGTAGTATATCAAGTCATGCAGCATCCCAATCAAAAATCACTTCAAACCACGTGCAGTGCGTTCGGATCCTTCTGTCTGATTGCATATTACGTAGTTTGCCTGGGTGCCGGAGATAGAATGTCGTTGCATGATCTACGAACTGTGTCTAAGCTCTTTTAGGCAATGAAGTAGTAAGGGACCCTTGATGGCGAACGCCATCGTGCAGTTAACGCCTCCCGGGCCCACGGCTAGCTAGCTAGGTAGGTACCGGATATTTTTCTTGCAACAGTACTCCCCACGGATGTGGTTCCTGAGTGAGCCTATCGCCGTCAGTAGCCACTCATGAAGACAGTACGTCCATTCCACCAGTGCACACGTCTAAATATGCCAGGTCATCTGTTGACGGTGTGGTTAAGCCTTGCTGTTGAGGTACAGCCAGAACTCATCTCTGGGTATCCGACATCACGTAACGACATTACAAGAGCAAGAGAGATGAGTATACATACAAGGCGCTGTATAAAATGTCAAAACTATCTCAGCATTCTATTTCGACCTTTCACGTTGTCTCCATGGCCCCAAATTTGACCCGAGACAGCAAATGTATCCATGCTTTTGTCACTATGCCATTAGGTATTGTAAGAAGACTCTAAGACCGTCCAAGGCTGTTACACTATCATGCCTTCATGCCACAGCCCTTGTCGGACGATAGACGTTGCAACGCCATCTAAGAAGCAGACTCGTGAACGTACATTTATGACAATTGACTAGAGAACTGGAAAGAAAAATAAGCCGACGATAAATTTCTAGAAAGAAAGGACAGGCAGGATAGTCTCATACGCTTCCCAATCTGCAATCCAAATCACCATAAAACATAGAAAGAACATTATTAAGTCTTTGTTTCTGTATAAAGAACCATCGGCAACGAAGCAGTGATTAAAAAAAAATTAGAGGACAATAAAATAGAGTGGCTTGTACTACCTATGCTGAATCAACTTGTCATCAAAATATCAAGTCTAAGAAGGACTGAAAGAAAGGCAAAATATATTTCTATGCTCTCAACAAGATTTGATGATCTCCATGACACATGAAGTCTAATATCATATTTAGCAACAGAGATCTTTGGCTTGTTCAGTTGACCACACCAAAGCAAATAGTTCCGCAATTTTCGAGAAGTATATCTGTTAAATGAAGAAAAGTAATGGGATAGGAATCCTGGAAACAAGCCTATACTGAATGTTTCTCAGGATGCAAGATATATGTCTGTTAAATGGGCACCTATGTAACAAATATCTATGCAAAGTTCAGGCGAATCTAGATCACATTGGAGTTTGGGAGAACATTCCATGGACTTGAACATTACTGTTGGTTTAACTACGGTCCGTATCACGAAGCATAGACGGTAGTAAGGCGCGAACACGAAGCGGCCTAATGAGCCTGACAATATGAAGATATCTTGATTCCTAATATTGTGACTTGTCCCCAAGAACGAGGGGGACGGGGATAGCTAGCTAGATATACGCGGCACGCACGTGCCGCGTCAGACTAACTATATCCGGTGCCAAAACGTGTAGGGTTTGATATTCACGTTCCGACAATTACTGTTGGGTTGGGCCTATAAAGATTAACCTGCATCTTCCTGTCTTCACGATAAATTTTGAAAGGAGAAGCATGGCTACAATCGGACGATTTCACCCAGAAGCCAAATTTTCTTCTGGGGTCAAGATCCTCTCATTCTGTTGGCTCTCCTAGCTGAAAATCTATCACTACTCCTAGGATCTTTACACTTTCCTTCGGTTTGACTATTTCGCCTTTGATCATGAACAGTATGCTGCTCGAACAGCTTGCGATCCAGGTGAATTATATTATAGCTGTTTTATCACCTTTAAATGTAGCTCTGCCGCGCCTTTCCCAATCTAAGGCTCTGTCGATCACTGCTTGGATGCTAGCATGATTTGCGTTAGCTAATAGGCCTGTTACCCAGGCAGTATAGTCATCCACAAAGGCTATTGATTCTCCAGCAGCATTGATCTTTTGTTGTACTGGATCTGCGTTGAAGAAGAGAAACAATATTGGGGACAGTGGTGAACCTTGTAGTAACCCTACTTATGGTAGTTCCTGCTGCCCACTTGTGAACCTATTAACTGTGATAGTTGCTATGCGCTTAGAACAAAAGGTGTCGATCCATCGTACCACAATGTCAGGTATCCTTCTTGCCTTCAGCCTCTGTAGCAGTCTCTCTTTAAAGACTCAGTTGTATGCTCCTTCGACATGAAAGCTGACTAAGCTGAGAACCTTCCTAACGTACTACACGGGTCATTCGGTCACCCGCAAGTCCCATACAAAATGACCTTCTTTAACAGCTTGATTTCTCAACAGATTTATATATAAACCGTATCTAAAAGTTGAATATGTCTTATAATATAGGTATCATAATATATATCTGGATTTAAAAACTCTAAAAATATTAAGAACCCTCTGTCATTGAATTTACATTAATAACTTGGCTAGTTTCTAGTATCTCAAGACTTATAGAAGAGGCGCACTTCCAAATTGATATTTCTGATAAGGATTCATATAGCGAATCATGCGTAAAGTCTAAGATATGGTTTATATATGAATCCGTTGAGAAATCAAGATGTTAAAGAAGGTCATTTTGTATGGGACTTGCGGGTGACCGAATGACCCGTGTAGTACGTTATTTCTATTGGATGAAAACAGCACTGTACATAGTATGTAGATTTAAAGTTACGCTCAATCGGATGTATCCGAGTGGATCTGGTGTGGGCCTATCACATTCCTCGCTGGTATGCTTTCCATATCCCCATGTCATTTTCATGAGAGTGACTCATCAGAGTCATCACCATAGAGGACCATATTGACTGAGCAGTCACTCATGTTATTCATTTCGTCTGATAATTTACCTTAGCTCTCACAGCTCTTAAGACACGTATCAGCCAGCCAGGCGCCCCAGGAGCAATGACCGATCTCACCCAAGGCAATGGTACAATAATATCACAAGCCACGGTCGACGACGTCTTCCACATCAAATTCATGGTCGACGCTGCGTTCTCCAAATACATTGATCGTATCGGTAAACCACCGGCTCCCATGACAGCCGATTACAGCCACATTGTCAGCACGCAGAATGCCTTCGTACTGCTAGATTGTAACGTTGTCGATAGATCAAAAAGAATAATTGGGTTCATCGCATTGAGTCAGCAGTCAGAATGCGACCTCAAGGCGAATGCAGATTCGGTCAATATCGATATCCTCGTGGTGGACGCTTCGGCACAAGGACGAGGCTATGGACGGGCATTGCTGAATCATGCAGAGAACGAGGCGCGTCGGAACGGGATCTGGGCTGTGAGGGTCTGTACCAATGTTATGATGTACGAAAATATAAGTCTATATAAAAAGATGGGATTTGTGGAGGTTGGAAGAAGGACTGAAAAGGGGTTCGACCGAGTGTTTTTCCGAAAGGACCTGCCAATAGAAAATAATTGTGCTGCGACCTAAGTATCTTAGTCAGTGAGAGCAATAAAAAATAGCAATTCCAGCATTCAAGAGATGAACATGGTGCAATCAGAATAGGATGACACACGCGTTGTTATAGCTGTCGGAGCGGAAAAACAACCGCCCGAATAGCTCAGCAACTTTGTCATCCAAGCTCAGAAGTACTGACCTCACAACACATCTCCATCCCAACCCTCCCTCCCTCCTCGAAACTCAACTCACCTTATCTTTGGGAGCTCTTATACCTTCTCCTCACTTTAACCAGCTAGGAATCTCAATCTATTCAATATGGCTGATCCACAATTCGCCAAGTATCCCGATCTGTCGCTCGCGCAGGACATCTTCAACATCTCGAATCCATCATGTGCCTCCGCAGTGCGACAGACCTCTTTCAAGAGACTGCAAGATGCCATCACGGAACATAAAATGGCTCCCCTCTACCGACACCTCGCACACCCTACGGAAGGAATCTTGAACACCTCAGGCGAAGGTGTTCCACAGCAACCATCGACAAACGGCGCCGCAGCTGTGAGCCGACCGGTTATCACATCCAACCTGCTTCCAGGACGGAAATTATCACAAAAGATAAGTTTTTCCTGGGATGAGAAGCTATATGATAGTTTAAAGGAAGAGAATAAGAAGGAGCTCGAGTCCTTCCAGAAGGAAGAGGAGGAGGCTGCTGAGGCTGCTGGTGATACAGAGGTGTTAGCAGCTCAAGGCAAACGCGCCGAGTTCTGGGCCCGAGTTGGTGATAAAGTATTATTTTGATGAAAGATTTACGTGGAACATGCTAATCTAGATCGAAACAGGACAAAGCGATCCAAACCTACGAAGAAGTGCTGGAAAAGACCAGCATCCTGGGCACAAAAATCGACTTGGTCCTGGCTATGATTCGCGTCGGTCTGTTCTTCGGCGATAGAGTCTTTGTGAAAAATACGATAGAGCGTGCAAATGCGTTAGTCGAGAGTGGCGGAGATTGGGACCGCAGGAATCGCTTGAAGGCTTACAAGGGTTTGCATCTTCTCACTATCCGGTCATACAGTCTGGCTGCACCTCTCCTCCTTGACAGTCTATCTACTTTTACGAGCTATGAGCTGTGCAGTTACTCTTCTCTTGTTATCTACGCCGTTCTCGCCGGTTCACTGTCTCTGAAGCGGGTTGACTTCAAGGCAAAAGTTGTCGATGCTCCAGAGATCAAGGCTATCCTTGGAGAAGGTGAAGATATGGTATCAGCATTGACAGGTGCTATTTCTTCTGGACCCGGTGCTGGAGATGAGGAGATGAAGGATGTATCGAGCGCTACCCCTGGAACTGCATCGACTGCTATTAATCTGACCACCTTGGGCACTGGCTCTGGCGCTCAAGCAGAAGCCGAAAGACCGATTGACTTCTCCGGTCTGGCCAGCCTTGTTAGCAGCTTGTACAGTGGAAACTACCGATCGTTCTTTATTGCCCTTGCTTCGGTTGAGGACACCTTCCTTAGTCAGGATCGCTATTTGTATGAGCATCGTGCGTGGTTCGTTCGCGAGATGCGGTTACGGGGTTATCAGCAACTCTTACAGAGCTACCGAGTTGTCGGCTTGACCAGCATGGCCAACGATTTCGGTGTGACTGTTGATTTCTTAGACAGGTACGCTCTTTTCCCCTGGTGTATGTAAACTGTTACTGATAATCCACAGGGATCTCGCCAAGTTTATTGCTGCCGAGCGGATATCGTGCACCATGGACCGCGTGAATGGAGTCATTGAGACCAACCGACCAGATGATAAAAACAAGCAGTATGCGGATCTGGTGAAACAGGGCGATGCATTGATCACGAAGCTGCAGAAGTATGGACAGGCTGTGCGACTCAGGGGAAGCGAGCGCAGTTAGATTTAGTCTTGACTGTATGCTAGTAGTAATGACATAATTGCATTGTGGACAATGATTTTGACAGTTGAGAGCAGTGAATACAGATGTAGCGTATGTTCTATTCTCGCGGCTAGTGCGGACTTGGAGAATTGGGGTAAATTTCCCTAGTTTTGGAGGTGGATACCTGCCAGACCAATCAACCAATCGGAGACTTCCGATCTCCGCGGGAAAGATCCCATGGCGGCTAAAAGAATTTCGACAACCTCTTTTCTTCCCTTTCGCGATACTAACCGAAGGGGGGCTGATTGTTTCCAATTGCCTCGGCCTTCTGAAACTGTCATACGAGATAGACGAGGCAATTTTGAAAAAAGGCAAATATGTCTTACAAATCCCTTTCTGTCCTTCGGCGAATCGCCAGTGCGCGACCCCACGTCACTGCTCAATTGCAGACCGTTTCTGCAACAGCATCATGTCTCGGTATGTCGATAGAAAAACAAACTTCTGGCTTAGCTTCCTGCGTTGCGTGATGTTATACGAGCCCATTGCTTCTTCTTCTTCCTCCTCCTCCTCCTCTTCTTCACGGCCTTTGAAAATGAGTCATTACGCGATTTTTCTGTTAATGGTCCGCTCGTGTTCTTCTCCATACCCCACACTAAGCCCCCTGGTCCTGTATGACTGCCAAATGCTCGGCTGGAGATGGATGAAACCATTCGTCCGAGAAATATTCGTCGCATCTTGAGTGGATCGGGCAATTGGCCGTTGCTGCATTGATGTGCTAATTATTTCTCATCTCATCTGCTAATGGATTCATGTTCATTTCTTGTATATATGTACATGTACTTTGACAGGTCTATATTCATTGCCATTCACTGTTCAGAAGACTGATGATTATATGAAATAATATACAGCACAACGACAATCACCATATCTGCGTGTTATCGGTCGCAGCATGGCAACACAACGGCTCAACATCGAGAACATCCGCCCCGAAGTCCGAGATGCGCAATACGCTGTTCGCGGAGAACTAGCCACAAGGGCTGAAGAATACAGAGAACGGCTTGAAAAGGGCGACAAGTCCCTACCCTTTGACAAAGTCATCTTTGCCAACATTGGTAATCCTCAACAACTCGACCAGAAACCCATTACATTCTTCAGACAAGTTCTGAGTCTGCTGGAGTATCCTGCTCTGTTGGAGAAGGAGGATGTGCTCAAGTCGGCTTTCGGATACAAGCAGGATGTCCTTGATCGCGCAAGGACCTTGCTGAAAGGTGTACAGAGTATTGGTGCTTACAGTCACAGCCAAGGAGCACCTTTAATTCGCGATAGTGTGGCCAAGTTCATTGAGGAACGAGATGGATTTCCTACAGACCCCAAGAATTTATACTTGACTGGAGGTGCTTCATCCGGTGTGAGTACATTGTTGGATGTGATTTGCGCAGACGCAACGTCTGGCGTCCTCGTGCCTATCCCGCAATACCCGCTATACACCGCTACATTGTCGTTGCTTAATGCTCACTGTGTTCCTTACTACCTCGAAGAAAGCAAAGCGTGGGGTACTGATGTCCATGCCATTCGCCACTCGGTCCTAGAAGCCAAACGCCATCACATCGATGTTCGCGCTATTGTCGTTATCAACCCCGGTAACCCTACAGGCGCAAGCTTGAGTCCCGACGATATCAAAGACGTGATCAACCTTGCCCTGGAAGAAAATCTAGTCATCATCGCCGACGAAGTCTACCAGACCAACATTTTCATGGGCGAATTCACATCCTTCAAAAAAAGACTGAGCCAATTACAGCAGGAATTCCCCGGTAAATACGATGGAGTCGAGCTGGCCTCGTTACATAGTGTTTCTAAGGGCATGGTTGGCGAATGTGGTCATCGAGGTGGATATTTCGAGTTGGTCAATTTTGATCCCGAAGTTGAGGCACAGATCTACAAGTTGCAAAGCATCCAGCTTTGCCCGTCTGTTATTGGGCAATGCTTGGTAGAATTGATGGTCAACCCACCCAAGGAAGGGGAGCCCAGTTATGAGTTGTATTCGCAAGAGTATAATGGTATCAAGGATGGTTTGAAGCAGCGCGCATTCGCTTTGTACGAGGCATTCCACAAGAGGATGGCTGGTGTTGAATGTCAAAAACCGGAGGTTTGTTCCTACCACTGATCCAAGCCTGAGCCAAACCCTAACCTAGATTTTCACAGGGAGCAATGTATCTCTTCCCTACAATCACCCTCCCACCGAAAGCCATATGGGCCGCGGACCGTGCAGACAAGAGACCAGATGAATTCTACTGTCTTGCCCTCCTAGATGCAACAGGTATCTGCGTCGTTCCAGGATCAGGATTTGGTCAAAAGGAAGGTACCTTACATTTCCGAACCACGTTCCTTGCACCCGGGACAGATTGGGTGGATCGGATTATAAAATTCCATGAAGAGTTCATGGAGAAGTATAAATGATTTGAATTTGATCTGCCATATGAGTTTATATATCTGAGATGATGTTATCTATTTTGATATACCAAAAGTACTCTTGGATAGTGCGAATGCGTGTACATAAGCTGGTCAGATAGGAGTTCAACTGAATACAGAATCTCGTTCAAGGATGTAAATACGAAGTATTTGACAAGTACATACCTACGTGTGTGTTCATAGTGTTACGTATCACTTGACCCAGCTCTTTGCTTCATGCTAATCAGCACATGATCCATGATACCCTAAAACTTGCAATCGATAGACTAATTACTGATCGTTTTATGATGCGCCTATCGGACTAGGCAATATTCACACAGGCTAGGCTTTGACTAAATAATCAAGCTTTTATCATTTGTCCTAGAACCTTGGAACCTTGGATGATCAACGCCCACCTCCGAGGTTTCGGATTGCCACTAGGTATATTTCTCCCGGGATGAATTAGGGCTACTCCCGACATTGACCAGGAGGTCTGCGTCCATAGCCTTGGAAGGTGAATAAAGAATATACCAAATTAAAGTCACAAAAGGCACACATGTATATAGAAATCCTACACCAGACTCGGTAAAATGGATGAAATCCTATCATCTCAACATTTGACCTCGAACATCGCATCGCATAACCTCGGTCTAGTCTCACCGCTATTTTCTCTCGTGCATACAGCTACGCGATGTAAATAGAAAGATCAAACCGATCCGATCGACCGATTACTTCCACACCGACTAGTCGGATTACGTATCACTGGCTTGTAAGTGTAGTCGAGGCATAGCTAAGCTTTACGGCGTGTGCAGGGTACATGCATGGTACTACGTACTGCGTACCTAGGTATGTACTTGCAGGCTTGCAGCTCTGCACGATTCGCAATCTGCATGGAAGTATGTATGTACTTGATCGAGGACGAGGTAAGGGGTAGATTCATACTCGTGAACTCGTGTGACCATGTATGATAGTCAGTGGACCAGATTGATGCAAGGGTGATCGAAATCAAGATTCATTCTATTATACACTATTTACGTCAAGTATACACATCTACACAATTCGAAAAGGAAAAAAAAGGGAAAGAAATCTATTTTTATAGACTCAAATAGCAATCCGCATGTTACTGTAGCAGAGGCGGAGATAATAAAATCAATAAAATCTCTATCCGATCATCCAGTAAGGATAACAACCGGGCTGTAAGTGGTTTGGATAAGATAAACAGATGAGACGTCAGACTCATCTGTTAAGAGAAAGTAATAATAAACAATAGCAATAGACAATAGACTGCGTTTTATGGTATCGTAGAAAACACATATCATCATCTCTCATCAGGGTCGTTACGACGGTGCGGGAGGTGGTGGTAAGTTATTGTGTGCTGGACACAGGACATGGTTATTCTGCCCATGGTGGCTGAGTGAAAGGATCTTCAGCCGCGGCAGATGTAGCAGATGCCATTGAGGTAGGCAGAGAAGTGTCGAAGAGACTCGAAGCCCAGAGCATGTCGGCCATGGTAGATTGACCTCCATCTATCGACACGCCCTGCGTAGACTCCGTAGTCGGATAAGATGGCTGCGAGTGCGAAATTGCATATCCCTGAGGAGAGGCGGGTATCGCCTTCGATTCCATCGCCATGCTTGCCTGGAGTTGTTGCTCGAGCGCAGCTGTGGATGCATTCGCTGACCTGAGATATTCGTCGATATCGATCGACTCCAGGTTATGCGAAGAGAGCAAGCGGGCTTGAGGCAATCCAGCAAAGGACGAGGCGGAACTGATACGATATTGGTCAACGTCTGACCCATCGCTGAGACTGTGCAAGTCGTAGATGTCATGACCCAAACTAGGCTTTGGTCCGAAATCATCCACCTCCGAGGCATCTCCTGATGAGGAGCCAGTCAGACCAGGGTAGCTCGGATTGCTGACGTTGTTCAAATCAAAGCTGGCGTACGACGGCGCCTGGCTAACACTGGTAGACACGCCAGCAGACGGTAGCGGGAAACTCGACCAGTCAACGGGTGGGGCACTGAAAGCCCCAGCAGAAGTGGGCCATTCCGCGTCAGGGGAAGCAAACAATCCGTCTTGGAATTGCTCTGGGAATGGTTCCGGCATCATGAACTGATTCAAAGACTCGGCACGAATGCCCGCATCGATCGAGGAAAGAGACGTCAAGTCAAGGGGAGGGACTTGCGAGTTGCTCTGGTCTGGTACCGGGATAGCGACAACTTCAGGGGAGCCGTGCTCTGACTTGACCCGACGGCGCGAGGGTAGAGATTCGAATTCAGCCCCATAGCTGAAGTACGACGTGTCAACAGCACCATTGTTGAGAGCCAAGGGAAGATGGTCCGCGGAGCGTTGAGCAAGTTCAGATGTTCCGTGGATAGTGTGAGACCGGGGAATGGTGTATGGCATGCCACACTTGTGAGCCATGTCGTTGTGTTTATGCGCTGGCTTGTGGTGACCGTCGCGGAAGATAGTCAATGTGCTCTCGGATTTGGTGGAGGTAAGACGAGGTTTGCGCAAATCGACCGCGGCGGAATGAGGTAATGGAGGCAGTCCGGTCTCAGGAACAGGGTCGAGGTGATCCTTCTTCAAAGCGCAGCTGCAGCGTTGACCATGCATGCAGCGGCACTTTACTTCACCATTCTCTCCACCGGCGAGAATGCCGTCTGTGCCATGGTGATCTTTTTTCTTGTCACCACAGTCACATTTTGCGTGAGTTGTCCTCGACTTGCGTAGGCCGCGACAGTGGGGACACTGGGAGACAGGACGGCCTTTCTTGTTGACATGGATCAGAGTACGGTCTATACACGTCAATAAACGTATCCTAGTATAGTTCATGGGAATGTAGACATACCGCTGTGGTGACAGCTGCTGACTCGGTGACCCCGAACGCAAGCTTCACAAGCCCACTTCTCGCCATCAATCAGCATTGCCACAAGTACTATAGTGCACACATGCGACTCTGCGCCAGAAGGGGTATAATATGTAACAGAAAAGTAAAAGTAGTAGAAAAAGCCCCCAAACAGGAAGGAAACAGGGTGGGAATCAAAATAGATCAACAGTGGTGGTGAGGGTTCTCCCTCACGTGTGGGTACGGAACTGTACCGAGCAGACCAACAGACAACAGGAAAACACACTAAAAAAAGCCGTGAACAAGGATATCTTGAATCATAAAGACGAAAAGGGAAAATAAAAATAAAAATCCAATTGGAAGGAAGGCAATTGGTAGAGCGGTCCGTGAGACTGCTGTCGAGCCGCTACCACGGAGGCAAATCGAAGAAAAAGGGTGTTGATAGAAGAGAAGAATAGAAAAACGCACAGGGCCAAATGCCTACGCACCGTTTGGCGCCGGCCGTTAGACAGGACACCAAATATCGGTAGTGGCGGCCAAAAGATGGAGGGATCTGTGGCACTTTTTGAAGGTGTTCATCCACAGGGTGAGGTTGGGGGAAGTTATGGGAAGAGGAGGGAAGAAGAGAAAATACGGGGGAAAAACGGAGGGGGAAAAAGGATCGATTAAGTAAGAGCAAGACTAAAAAGTGCGGGAGGGTGCCTGAGGCAATCGGGCGCAGTGCGCTGGAAGAGGCTTAGCGGGTCTTGGCAAGGCACCGAGCCGAATTAGCGACTGCGGGTCTGGTCCATGACGTCTGCCGCAGCCTTTTATGTCTTTACTGTATTGGTATGTTATGTTATGTTACGAGGTTAATGTGGCAGTGTCTCTCACTGATTAGTGTCGAGTGGCTTATTACATCGTCGTACAGTACGTACACAGTAGTATGTGTTCGATGCCTGCCCAATCATCCTGGATCTGACACATGCAGGACCTTGGACACGTCGCCAGCTCTTTGTTGCCACGCCAAAGCTTGTCCGTAAGAAGGGCTCTCCAGACTTCCGCCAGGGTTATAGAGGACTATTATGATAAGTCCATTAATTTTGCATGGAGACTCGATCAAGTACTCAGTACGAACATGGATGATCGTGGGAGGAATCGGGGCTAGTCCACGGGCAGTGGCTCAATTGGGAAGACTTCCAGAAGGAAAGTCAGATGCTTCTATGCATGGCTAGTGCATCGACCATCTAGCCAATCACAGCTGCTTGAAGATGTTTCACTCTCGATTTATTACCGTATCAATACACGAGATACGGTATCAATGCAAGTGGAAGCCGTCCGAGAAGCCGAATTACACAGTTACAGACGAAACAATCATTGCTGAATTGTAGCCGTGCATCTCGACTCCTGTATCATCCTATATCAGCACAATTCAGCTCCAAGTCAGTATCCTCTACCTACCTCGGAACAGTATCAAATGGTTTCAGGTTTCAAGGATGAGGCCCATAACGTACGAGTGGACCGCCAGCGGGTGAAAACGGCAACTAAATGGGTACAGTGCGGGATGGCGTCGCAGGGCTAGGATGTACTCAACTACGTATTGCACGCTGTCTGGATACAGGCTAAACAGAGTGCTTACACTTTTCAGACTCACAGTGGTGCTACGTTTCCCCTCCCTGTATGACGACGCTTCATACGGTTGCCCGGAGTACTCCGTAGACCGGAGTGATACAGTCCTGTTGTACTTCCAGAGGCTCGAGCATCAAGAAATGCCTAGTTATGGTCCTGCTGTGATCTACATGCCAGTCACGCTAGGTTCTCGAGGATAGTGTTCGGTTACATCGTGCTGGGTGGGTTGGCCTTGATTGCTGTCGGCCTGTCGCGCATACATAGACTGCACAGTGTGCGTCGGTGAGGATGATTGCCCTCGGTCTAAGTAGAGGCTAACGCTGTTTACTTACTATGGAGAATGAAGTACGTACCGGAATACAACCATCTACGCAGATCTACCTAGGAAAGTGTGTATATCCATACATTGAACTTCCTCGAACCATTGCTGGGCCGGAATGTGTTTGTTTTCGCAGAAACGATCAACATCATCTAGTCCTCAGAAGAGCCACAGCGAGAACTCGGCCACAGCTCAAATTATTGAAAGCAGCCAGACCTTCCCGTGTAGACTGTACGTATTATGGGCTGTTCGGTGTGCTCCATGTGGTATAGACTCGTAGAAATGCGTTATATGCAACAAGTCCAATGCCGATGATTCATTCTCGAAGGTCCAGCGGATTTGAAGCAATGTGAGAACCAGCAACTTTGTCGTGCCCCTCAACGAAGAGCTGTGCGTATTCTCCTGCATCAGGAAGAATTCCATTGCATAATGTATTGTTAAGGTGAGCCGGATAATAGTATTAATCCGCCGTCAATCCGGCACGGAGACGGCTTTTCTTTTCTACGCGATGATCCAGTTGGTCTATCGACGTAACTAGACTAAAGAGCTTGGTAGTTGCTCTGTTGATGCTCAGATACAATACCACTTCAACAGCTTCGTAAATCCGTCGTGCGATCATATTTGTTCTGTCATGAGGCGGCACGTTCTCTGTGCGTGCCAAGGCAAAACCCCCCCGCTCAGTATGAAAAAGCCTAGCTAGTTTTCCTAGGAGTAAACCTCGCTCTTCTTCCCACCTCGCGCCGCGAAAGTTCCATCGCGACCTGTGAGCACCAGCCACATTGTATTGTCGGTTTAGTCCCGTCAACAATTTTTAAAAGATTCGCACCTTCGAGGGAAATTGCTGGATTGTGATGCGAACACGATGAACTCCCGCGAACCGTCAGATTTGCCTCCGACGCCGTCGTACCCTGCGAACTCCGCGCAAGTCAACCAAAATGCCATCTACTACGCTGGTCGTCAGCTTACTGCTGATGAGATCTTAACAGCAGAGTTATCGCGCGATGCTGCTGGGAATAATCTTGGGGATGGCTCGAGTAATGGTACGTTTCCATGCGCTCTGTTATGACCTTCGCGGTTCTAACGTCGCGTCTTACTTCATAGATCAACAACACAACAATGCCTTCGTATTCCCTCCCAATCAACAAGCCGGCGTCGATCCGAACCATGACCTGAGCTATGGCGATCAAAGTGCCCGTCGCAAACGATCCAAAGTCTCTCGGGCTTGCGATGAATGTAGGCGTAAGAAGGTGGGCATTGCCCTGGCTAGTCCACACGAGTCGCGTCGTGGTTTCGCCATTATGTTGGAGTACCCAGTCAACTAACAGGTTATGGAAACAATAGGTCCGCTGCGATGCGACCTCAGAGTCTGGTGTCGAAACATGTTCAAATTGCCGTCGTCTCGGCGTCGCATGCCAGTTCAGTCGCGTCCCTATGAAGAGGGGCCCCAGTAAAGGGTGAGCGGTGTTTCTTGATCGTGCGATGCCTCTGCGAGAGTTGAAAGTAATGGATTGATTAGGTATATCAAAGAATTAGCCGAGCGCTTGAACACTCTCGAATCTCAAATCCAACCGCCAATGGCCCAGCAAGATATACAGTACCAAGGCATGAGTGAAATATCACCACCACGCGGATACCATGACTTTTCTCCTCCGATCGACGGGAACCTGCTGGGCCGTAAGCGGACATTTTCGATCAGCGAAGGGATCCACGGGCTGCCTTTGACTCAACCAACGTTTGCGCCTCGTAGCCAGGCGACAGTCGGTAAGAGATGAAATGTGTGCTCTGCTCTGATATATGATACTTACAATGTTTACAAGGTGAAACCTCCGTCAATCTACCAGAGAGCTATCCTCTATTTGGCATGCACCAGCCACAACCCAAGGTGTCGGCACCATACTGGAGTGATGGACTTGATCGTGACCTGGCACTGCCTGTTGAATCAGTTGTTGGGGTACTATCTCAACCTGCCAACGATGAGACGAAGCCTTATACTGTCGATGAGGGGGCACTGAAAACGTACGTGACTGTCCCCCAATCTTGAAATTAGTCGAGACTGACCATTCTGTAGGTATTACGAAAAGATCCATCCCATACTGCCAATTCTCCCAAGTTCGAAAGAGCGGTTACATGCTATTCTGCACAAGTGCGGTAGGATGCTACAGGAGGTTTTCTCTCATGCATTCTACGCCGTAACTCATACGAATATCGAGCGAGTGCGCGGCACTTTCACCGATGTGGATTCTCTTGAGACCGCTCTCGGTTTGATCTCTACATGTCTTCGTGATCCTTATAATCTGCGGATTTTACCTGTCAATATCGCCTGGATTCAGACCTTGGCCTTCCTCGTTATTGATTGCGACAAACGTGGACCGGATAATCTGCACGGACGAGATGGATGTCCCAAGCAGACTCTAGTCGATCATTTGATGTCCTTGGCATACAGGGTTGCTAAACCGTTTGATCAAAACCGTGATTTGTTTCAGGATTTCCAAGACGTAGACTCTGATGCGAATATCGCCCGTCGTGGCTGGTTCTCTGCCAGTATTCTCTGTCGATGGCATCTTGTTGGAATGGGCGAGCGTGACTTTGTGGATGATGATATACAGGATATCAATTTGCCCACGGACTATTCTTTTATGGGGCCTGCTACTGTGCAACTTGCTTGTAAGTTCTGTCCTTCACATCATTAACTCCTAGCTAACACCGTTATAGCCTATTCAAGTGAATTATCCTCGGCCCTACGCATAATCGAGATAGACCACGACTCCTTATCACTCAATTCAAGATTCAAAAGAGCATCTCGCTCTTTACTATTTCACATGCTCAAAGCCGTGTTGGGCCACGAACAACGCCTCGCCAATACCGACGCCACGATCCTTCCAGTCGGTTATCTCGAAGCTCTCGGACCACAGGTCTACTGGACAGTCAATCTCTACATCACCCGCTTCCTCTACATCTTCGCACCATACGAAGTCATCCATTCAGCCGAAGCACTCGTGAAAGAAATGCACAAGGACACCCTCACGACTCGCATCCCATCACCCATCGACATATACTCCTTATCACTGGCTGTGATCACACTACTAGAAGCGTCGAAATTGCCCCTCTGCGCCGAATTCTGCTGGAAGATCTTGGAAGATATTGAACAAATTCTCGACCGTCGTGCGCAAGTTACTGCTACCGCAGGCGAGTTTGAGGATTTGTTCAGTACTCCTAAATGGGATCAGCAGCTTCGTGCTTGGATTGCGGCGGAGAAACCTGCTCAACAACAGCAAAACAACAACAGTAATAATGTGAACACAGAGGAGTTGCAGCCGGCGGATACTACCGATCAACAGCAAAACCAGTCTTCGATGAACAATATCACTTCTAACACTAATACTAATAATAATGCGGACAATAAGAACAACAACGCATCGTCATCGCAGCCACCTCTCGTCGGACCAAACGAGCAACGATCCCTCCAACATTTAGCAGACCTCGCAGTTGGCGCAGAAGGTTCAGGCGCAGGCGCAAACGATGATGGTAATGCAGCTCCTGCTACTACTACATCGACAGCCCCTGGCGCTACTGCCACTGTTCCAGCGAATGATGTAATGGACGTCTCGAACGAAGGTGAAGGCGGAGCTGGTGCTGGAAACAACACCACCCAACAACAACCCCATCATCATCAACAACAACAACAACAACAACAAGGATCAGCAGCAGGAATAGGAGTTGTCAGTGGTGCAGTAATTGTTGATTTCGCTTCTGCCTTGCGAAGAGGGTTCATGAATATTCTCAGTTTGCTGCCTGCGTCTCGTCATTGAACTGATCCCTTATCCAAATTATTGCTGGTTGCGTGGTGTTGGTGTTTTCTTATGGGTGTATTTTTAGTCTTTATTCTCTCTATATGTGTTATGGTATAGCTTGTTTCACAGATAATAATTGGATTGGTATGATACTCATGTTGTGCATCTCGGTAGTCAATCATATAATCGAGAAGATGAGACCTGTCCAGTGTGAAATGATATACTCTGCTTGAATCTATAGCTATATCATGTAAACGTCAAATGCAGCCAAATGAAACGCAACAAATTGAGCATATAGCATCATCATAACCCGGCTAAATTTTCTCACGCCATTCGATTCCCAAATGCAATTCGCTGCCATACTCGCTCCACGTCCTGACACAATGTCCGAAAGCCATCATCTTCGAGTTGTTGGCATATCCAGTTGTTGACTAGCTGTGAGCGCTCTGATTCTGGGGTTGTAAGATAGGCCGTTAGATCTGCTGATGTCACGACGAAGGGATGAGTAGAGACAGGTGTTGTTGTTGTTGTCGTATCAGCATTGTTGTGATTATTGATTGACTGTTGGTACTGTTGCTGCTCTTGTGGCTGCATCCGAAGAGAGATAGGCGACTTATTCTGCACGACAGGTGAGAGATTGGAGGGATTCGGTGACTGCGTGGTGGCTTTATAATGCGATGCAGTATTCCCAATCTCCGTGCTTGAGGTTCCAAAAGCAGAAGTCTCAAGTAATGGGGACGACGACAGAATCTGGCCCCGAGTTGGATGGTCGTGATCTCGATTCGTATTACCCCGTCGGCTATCTTCAAGCTCTAGACGGAGTTGCCGTGCAGGTGAACTTGTTGGCGGCACAGTGACTCGTGGTAGCGCAGTGGCAGGTCGCGAGGATGCATTTGTCATGACAGAGACAGTGCTTAGGCCATCGGGATGGTTTCTTGGGTCCGGAGCGTGGCGTGAGGAAATACTCGATAGACGTGGTCCAGGTTTTGAAAATGGGAGGTCCCTTTTCGGCGGCAGCACTTGTTCAAGAGCTTGAGTATCAAGAGTAGGGGCGGTGATGGGCCTTTCTTGCTCTTGAGTTCGAGAGTCTGCAAATTGTGAGAACGTATGGGAGCCCAAGGAATCTTTCAGAGACTCGTCGAGAGCCGGAGACTTGATCGCATTTCGGTAGTGTGATTCAGGAATGAAGGACGTTGGAGAGGCTGGAAATCACACATTAGTAACTACTTAGTCGAAAGCTTTTATTGGGTGGAGCAGTACCGTGGGATACCATTCTATCTGTCGGGGTTCCCAATGTTGTGTGACTACGCAGAAACCCCGAATTCCATGGCTGGACGCCAGGGTTTCCCGGTATATTTCCCCATTCAATGCCTCCATTGAACGCTGGACTCGTAGAGTTCGTGATCCGTGATGATGACGATTCTGGCCGCGAGCTTGCCGAGCGCATATTATGATCTGACGATGTCTCGCTGAAAGGGCAGTTGATTTCCCTGAATATATCCAGCCCTTCCCGGTAATCTCTGCTCGAGGCGAATTTCAATTGAAACCGATGCATCTAATCAATTAGTCAGTTCATGCGTATTAGAGAATATCACGTACTAACCTGATCTCTGCCAGACGGAAAACGAAATGCCAGGCATGGATCTTTCACCAATAAGGTAACAGTGGGTTTGGTAATCCTTGTCTGCCTGGCAATAGCTTGCTGAGTAGCTTCCCGAGCGAAGTCGTTCAGATCAATGTCTTCCTATGAGGAGATGAGCCACTGGACGCTTCAAGTTTTCGCATATACCCAAAGAGTTCGTACCAATTGCTCACGCGCTCGAACGACTCGAAGCTTCAGTCTTTGCTGGACTGGCTCCTTTTCAAAAATGGCATTGAGATCATTGGACTGAACGTGAGTCCAATTAATGGGGCCATGTTGATCGGAAGAAGTCTCAGCATAGGAATATTTCACCAGAGGATACTGTGCAAGCAGCATTGGCTGATGAGGGTTACGCTGCAGGACAGACATTGGTATTCGAATGATTGTCCAGTCTTCCAGAGTAAGGGAGCATCTCTAATAACGAAAATCTCGGGAAAGCAAAGAGAAGACGGAGGTTTTGGCGTTGGCAGCCGAGGAAGTCGCGTCCATGGATGGATGTCCTTTTTTGGAAGGAGCCATCGATGCCTCAGGACAGAGCCTCTCCGTCCTCGATTTCTGTGAAGCTCTCCAGTCATTGAGATAAAAAGAGGCAGACATATAGGCTGCTTAGGATAGATGATGCTTTAGCACAAGGAATAGAAGTCTGCAAGCATGAGTGTGAGCCTTATCCCTAAGGACGTTCAGTAACCAAGTTGCACGGCAGCACGAGCCTTACTTAAAGCGACAAATTTATTGTTTTAGGAGCATCGTCTTGATCTTTCTTTATCTTTCTTTCTTGTTTCCTTTTATATCTCTCTGTCTGTGAATTTATTCTTCTAATTCATCACTATCACCATCATCATCAACCTCAGTTCACATTATATCTGCATTCTTATCGAACATCCCTTTCTTATCTCCACGTGATTTTCACACTCACGTGACCTCCCCTTTGTTTCTGCCATGGAGGAGCACGGAGCTTCCCGAGCTCCCCAAAGCTTAGAGAATTTGGTGATTTCTCCTCCTACAACCATCAACGAGACTTCCTCATCTACCCAGACACTTGCAGTGCCCGTCAGTCAAACCCCCTCAGCGGTCACCACCACTGGTCTGGCTACTGGAAGCAATATCACCTATCCTCCTGAAGACTACGTCCAAAGAGTGCTTGATCAAGAAGACACACTTCGCGAACTTGTTGAAGAACATCGCCCCGGGCGTTCCTTGGACGCTTTCCTCGGGTTTTATTATGAAGCTATGGCGTCTGCACGATCCAATACACGTGGTAAATCTTCTTTTCTTTCCTGAAAACTATTTGAGCTTTATTATCAAGATTCTAACCTTGATTTTAGAAGGCCTCCGCACTGCGCCCACCCCTCATGAACGTTTCGTACCTGATACCGCTCCAGTACGTCAGACGCGTTCAGCGACGCAGCAAGAGCCTACATCTTCGAACACTACGTCTTCTCAGTCTGTAGAAGGGCCCAATGCTATCGGTGGAGAGTCTGGTGAAATTGAGAATTTCGAGGGGCAGGATTCTACCCAGGCGCCCATGTCAACCAGAGATGTTCCCACACCTGGCAACAGAACCCTTCACTTTAGACCAGTGCCAAAGCCGGGAAAGCAGAGCAATCCACCCGATTTTTACGACCAGTATTTCCCATTGGAGAACATGGAATATCGTCCAGGTGAGCGTAAACATATTCTCCTTTCATAGTCATGCGTACTCATGTGCTTTCTAGGTTTCGACGTTTGGAGACACGTTCTCTTTGGGATACGCTCTGGTATGCCTGATGAAGTGGATTTTGGGCTATTCCATCTCGTACAAGGGTCCTACCAGAAGGGGGACTCATTGAGATTTGAAGGGTTCCCCTACTTGCTGGAGCATTTGATGGAGAAGTGTATGGAGATCACTTGGCTTTGTACTGGTGTGATGTGGGACTTCGAACGAGACCCCGATGAGTTTGAAAATAGGAAGGACTGCCCGTACGTTCTAAACACGCTTCGAGGAACACAGGATATTCTCCAACGCATTCGTATGCTTCCAGTCACTTTGTCAGACGATTCACTTGAGGACCAGGATTTCAGCCATCGCCTCCGCAACATCAAAGAGGCCATGTTGATCCTGCGCAATATGGTTATTACCCCTGAGAATGCCTTCTACATGGTAGATAAGGCACCAGGGCTTGTTAGAGACTTTCTATGCGTGATGCTCAACGTTCCCAATCAGCCTCGCTTCAACGAACTGAAAGTTCACGCTCTCGACATCGCTGAAGAGGTAACCATGTACATGTACACCGCTTCGTACGATCCAGTATGCATTTCTCTCTATCGGTATGTCATCTCGCACGACCGTGCTCATATCATGAGAGCTGTTTGGGCAATCAATCATTTCTCGCACAGGCTTCCTAAAATTGAAAATGGAGCTTTTGTTGAAAAGGCTATATCCGATAATGGAGCTATGGTGGGCGTGGGTCGAAAATATCTTCAGAATCTCCTTGGACTCACACTGTGCGATCCAGACCCGGAGATGCTCACCGTTACGCTGGACTTTTTTTATCAGTTCACGCTTACTCCCACCAATTGCGAGTATTTGTGTAAATTGGTGTACATGCCAGTCATGTTCATTCCAAGAATGATCAATCTACTCTCATATGGAGGAATTGAAGAGGTCAAAGAGACTGAGGTCCAGGCTGAGCTGATCGATCCGCCTCCTGGTCCCATTCCGAAAGTGCCACCAGAGCTTTCCAGCAGGTTGAATGCTCTCACTGAACCGGAACGTAGCGCCCAATGGCTTCGCTGTTGCTTCGTTGAAGATGCTGGCTGCGAGATCACCCAGATTGCGTTGTGGCAAGCTTACCAGATTCGTTTTGGGGCGCGTAGCGGTGCATTGGCTGCTGCTGATTTCATCAAGAACGTGAGCGCAACATTTACCAACGCTCAAGCTCAGGTTGTCCCAACCGTAGGACCTGACGGACTAGCTACTACGAAATTTATCATCAAGGGTATTCGTCCTTTGGAAACCGCTTTGACTTTTGAAGGCTGGCCTTACCTCTATTGCAAATGGGCTGTTGGCGAAGAGCCCGGTCATTTCTGTGATCGCGCGTTCGCTGAACCGCGAGACCTACGTCGACACGTTTTCGTGGATCACATGGATCTCGAAGCGTTAGAGCAACCGAATCAATACAGCTACGAGAAAGCTAAGCAATTGCCAAAAGCTTGTCGTTGGGACGGTTGCACCAAGTACAAGACTCCGACGACTGAAGTCGAGATGGTTGTCGAACATGTCGGTGGCCATCTTCCTCAGGAGCGTGACCCCGATGCGAAACCGTCCGTTCCCAAGCGTCGCGTTCTCCAGCAGCGCATGATTCGCGTTGAGAAATTCTGCGACACGCCAGTGAACGAGTCAGGCGAGCCAACTGGCCCGGCCTACAAGGCGGCACTGATCCTGCGTAACTTGCTTTGGCACTTACCAGAAGATATCGGCCTGAAAAAGCCCGGTGGTGGCTGGTATTCAAAGCGACTATTCTTCCAAGCCCACTACCCCAAGATTGCTAGCAAGATGATGGAGAATCGCACTTTGCGCAATGAGTTGTCTGATGTTGTCATGCTGATGAACCAATACCAGCCGAAGAAGCGTGTCAAGTAATTCACACAAAAGAAATCCGCGTTGGACAGTTGATGGAGAATGTGATAGATTTCTCGGACGAGTACTAATGGCAGCTCTCTGTTTATCGGGATTGTTTTTGCTCTACGACGATTTTTGGTCGTGCTCCAGTTCAAGTTCATTGGCTTTTCTCTTGGCGGCTTTTTTGTGATGATACGACGATTTTTGTTGTTTTTTTTTGGGGACCGACCTCTTTTCTTCTTCATGCATGTATGATTACGACTTTAATTTCTTTCATGTTTTTTGCGATCTCTCGGAGTCAGGTCGGGGATTATCCAATGGATAGGTGCACAGGCTTTTTCTACATTCAAGGCGGATATTCCCAGGGTCTCTTTTTTTTACGGAGGTCATGTACAATACTTGTTATTTTTTTAACGAGTCGGCCCGTGATGACTGTATTAGTTGCGAAGCAATGTCAATCCCTGACTAGCACTAGTAGCAGATGTTAATGAATAAAAGTAAATGAATGTGACAGGAGAGCATTCCGCAGATTCGTAAAGTGATGAGATCGCCAGAGATGTATGAAGTAATACCATCCAATCTCATACCACGTATGCAAGACAAGAAAAACCGGCAAGATCCTCACATCAAAAGCGCCAAAACACTCCCCATAATGCAGCCCAAAACCGAAACAGGAACTGTAGCAGCAGCACCTGTATGAGTAGCTGAAACACTAGGAGATGTAGAAGTAGAAGTAAGTGAAGCAGTCTTACTTGAGCTCGTACGGATTTCAGAGGAACTAGCGCTTGAGCTAGATGTAGTAGTAGCAGTGGAAGCAGTAGTGCTCGAGGAGGAGGATGACGAGGAGGTAGTAGATGTGCTTGATGCTGTTGAGGTGCTGCTACTGCTGTTGTTGCTGGCGGCGTTGGAGACGTCGAATTGGGCGGATTGGGCGAGGATACCGGTATTGTGGGCTTCGGTCGAGACTAGGTTGATTTGGTAATCGTCACTGTTAAGATAGATGTTAGTGTCCAGTATAGGGAATGTATGGAGATAGGGAATGGGTATCATACCCGATGTCCACAGCCACGTTGCTGAATGAGTAGGAACCGGCACTGGTCTGGACATTGGTGGCAATTGTCTTGACGACAGGGGGATTGACATGCTCATTGACTAGCTGGATGTCGAATGAAGTAGGATCGGACCTGTTCAACAATTTCTCGGGTCAATGAAGATAGAACCTTTGAATCAATCACAGAAACGGAATAAGGACTCACTCGACTGAATCCCATGTTACCTCGTTTGAGTGAGTCAAATCCCACTTGTCGCCTCTGCTAGGAGATGTAACCTGGAGTGCTGTAATAAAATATTGACTAGTGATTAACTGCAAACTCGGAGCCAATTGTACGGAATACAAGGCGATTGTACTCACCTGAGGCAGAAGTTGCCAGCATCAGAGCGGTACCAAGCTTGATCTGCATGTTAATTTTGAAATTTTCGACCGAGAAGGCCTCTTAGTTGTTTTTGTATGGGTGAATGGTTATATGGAATGATGGAAGTTCTTGATGTTGATCATGATGGGCGGAGGGCTCAGGTCATTTATATCCTCTGCGACCATCTGTACGAGGAAGGGTCAGGCAGGGACCCAGGGTTATAGGGGCGACGGCCAAAGGCAGCAGAGAGATGGAGGCTTACAGTGAATGACAACAACCTTGGAACCTGTTTGAGAAAGTTCCTTGACCGGACCATCGTTGCATATGCCTCGATTAAAACAGGCAGGGAAAGACGATAGGGCGATCTTCAATAATGAAATCGATAACGCTCCCTGACACATCTCACCCTTGCAACATCTGATAGGACATATACTTCGGCAGATGTACCTGTCAAATCTGTATGTTGGTTTTCGGCGGTGCTAACGAAGAGTTATCTGTAAGGAGGACACATAGCGGCGGATATAGGAGCGCGCTCCTTCGATAGCACTCGTAAAAGTATTCGGTATCTATTCCCAATAACTAGATAGAGGTCAATAGTCCGAGTTCTCCAAATCGTTTCCAGGCGGATTATAGATAGATCCTCGTATTCGGAATGCATGCAGCATCAACCATTATAAGAGGCGGTTCTGTCTGCAACTGTGCAACAGAAGGCTCCGACCCTTCCTTATCTCGCATGAAACAAAAACCAGTATTCCCGTCATTGGATCCATTTCTGGCCAGCCTTAAAAGCTGAATATCCAGGGCCACAGGGGCTCTATCAAGGGTAGATAGTTCGAGTCTGTCTTGGTTCAGGTCAAGTCCCTAGATAAAACACACATGCACTATGTAGAAGGGGACAAGTATGTTGAGCTGATAGACTCCGACCTAGTAACAGTCGTACTACTTGGATTTGACACAATATCACCCAACTCAGTGACCATAGACGAATAGCATGAGAATGTCGAATTGTTGTTGTCAGATAATGGTATCCTTATCGATAAGAGAGCATACAAGACGCGGCCCCGCCTTTCCGACTTTCTTCAAATTCATCTCTCAAGGTGACACCTGCAAACATTTCTTCCCATCGTTATTCTGACTCTGTATTTTCCTTGTTTGTTTTTGTCCGAGTCCCTGAAGTGATGCATGTGACATTGAATCGAGTACCTGGTTACAATTTTGGCGACTCTGACGATGGTTGACGGAACAACCGACCTGTTACACGTTCGTATAATTCTTCAAAAAATACACGCGCAAAAACACCAAGTTCATTAATTCATCTTGTTCAGGAATTGCAAAATGAATATTGCCCTCCACTTGATACCGCGCTTTTTAGCGCGATCATCTCCGACTTTGACCTCACGGATGCTACGAATCTGGGGCAGTTGAGGGATACACTCGATGCCTTGAAAGTCTCCGCGGAAGAACAACAAGACCTCCCATTTGATCCTTCGGGGACAGGCGGCCTAGCTTCGACGGAAGCTGTCCAGAATGACGGGACTACATCGCGACATGATACGAATGGATCTAGAGAAGATACTGATATCACTTCCTTGCAATCCGATTTATCATCTGTTTGGATCGGAAGCGATGATAGTAGAACAATTCGGACAGGAGGATATATTGTTAGCCCCGAGGGCTCGCTCAGTTTGACCGGCTTGACGGCCGAAGAAAAATTGATTTACCTGTCAGAAATGTTTCCTTCGGTGGCTCAATACACTATTAAACATACTCTGGCCAAATGCGACTACGATGTGGATCGCTCAATGGATGTTTTATTGAACTTATCGTTCTTCGACAGCCAGCCTACGGTTGACGATGAAATAATAATCTCGATACCGAAGGGTATTGAGGGATTCGCATCTCCGAGCACTAATGGGAAGAGAAAAGGGAAGAACAAGAGATCAAAAGCTAGGAATTCGCCTGTTTTCTCCAATAATGAAAACGCAGTACCGTCTGGGGCCGGATCACCAACGAACAAATGGGACGCTGCTAAAGATGATTTGGATTTTATACATTCCAGAACCTCATCGGTGCTCAAGAAAGAAGCCGTCATGTCCGCATATCATAAGAACCATGCGTCTTGCGCGAAAGCGATTGAGCATCTTGCGACGGCCCACGCTCCGATTGAGACTGGCAAAGATACTGTCGTTGTCTCGCAGGTTGCGGAGCTCGCTCAAGACTTTCCCGGCATTCCAGCCACCACTTTAGAAGGCCTGCTCGCCATTACAGGGAATTCAGTATCTGCTGCGAATGAATTAGCTAGGGCCATGATTTTACGGCCATCTCCCCAACTCTCTGATATCATTCGGATCAATGCGCCAGCTCCAGTTTTGGACGAGGACGAAACGCCTAAACGAAGCTCAATCACAATACCTAGAATAGCATCCAGCTACAGTACTGCGCAGAATATAGCGGAGGCCCACTTTGCCGCAGGTTCAACGGCTTTCAGTCAGGCATCCAGTGCGTATCGGAGGAGCAAATCAGATCGGCTGATGGGGGGCGCAGCCGCATACTACGCCTCCGTGGGCCGAGGCCATATCGAGAGAGCCAAAAGGGAGGCATCTGCAGCTGCCGATGCATATGTTAATTTGCAGTCGACATCAGATGTTCTTGATCTGCACGGTGTCAGTGTCAATGATGCAGTGCGCATCGCTAATACTCGTGTATGTCAATGGTGGGATGGCCTGGGAGACGCGAAATACACCGTAGGGGGTCTTGCTGGAAAGTCTTATAAGATAATTACTGGCGCAGGTCGCCATAGTCGTGACGGGACATCACGTCTGGGGCCGGCAGTGGGCAAAATGTTGGCCAGAGAAGGATGGAAGGTGGAAGTTAGTGAGGGTGTACTCACCGTCACTGGCAAACGTCGGGCAAAGTGAAAGCTATAACTATCTAGTCGGCGATGAAAGATGTCTTGATATAGAATTCATACATCTCATACATTTATTCAAAGTTTGTGTGTTGTCACTGTATCGGAATCTCTTATCGAGAGTTGCGATGACGTAGCCTTTAGATAGCCCAAGGATTCCATAGCTCAGCCTTCTATTTCAAGTCTTGCAGAATAGTCTCAGGTTTGTGATTCCATAATCAGCGCAGCCCGAACGTCTATGCTAGGTTCGGGATTCTTGGCGGGGGATTGATTACATCTACAATTGTCCTGAGAAAAAAGAAAGATTCAAACTTACAAATCACACAGCCCGATTCATGGCGCCAGTCGCAAAGCCTCGGATAACATCGTTCGCTTCTACACTTCCACCTCGCAACGTCTTTATTCCTCCTTACCTCTCGACTATTCATTCTGTCAATACCAGCATACAAAAACACCCCTCATTGTCGATCCATCACATCCGTCGATTCCACGCCGGTTCTAGGAGAACTCAGCTTCCCCCGCCGACATCCAAGAAAATTCTCATGTCAGCGTCCATATTCTCATTCATCGGATCGTTATTCAGTTCTAGTGCCAGTGCAGAGAACAAAATGACTTACCCCAATCAACGAACGGATGAGGAGTGGCGAGCAGTGCTCAGTCCAGGTATGAGATCAATCTTGAGATTAAAAACGACATAAGTGTAGTTACTAACTTGTCATCTAGAACAATTCCGAATTATTCGCCAAAAAGGCACCGAACCTCCTGGCTCTGGTACATACGATAAGCACTACCCCTCAACAGGAGTCTACAACTGCGCTGCCTGCGATGCGCCCCTCTACAAGGCAGACACCAAATTCAAGTCCGGCTGTGGCTGGCCGGCATACTTTGATTCCATCCCCGGCGCCGTTACGCGACATGTAGATCGGACATTTGGCATGGAACGAACTGAGATTGTTTGTAGCAATTGTGGAGGGCATCTTGGGCATGTGTTTAAGGGGGAGGGATACCCAACTCCGACGGATGAGAGGCATTGCGTGAATAGTGTCAGTCTGAAGTTTAGTGAGGATGAGTCGGGTGCAAAGGGGGATAAGCAGGAATCTAAGGTCTAAAACAATTGACTGATGCTTGTATATGATTGTCAAGAAGCAGTATAGTAGAAGATGAATCGAACAGCTCGCTCTCTTAACAATAGAATAGAAATGACGAGACGTTGCCACAGCGGAAAAGTGAGAGTGGATCCCGCCTTCCCGTTATCAACTTAACATAATCACCACAACATCTTCATCTCTCCTATTCTCCCCCTCAGCCAGAATAGCTCCGCTTTATTTTTTGCTCACTTAGTCCTTGCTGTCATGTCTAGGCGTCCGGATCCCGCGCGCGCTGCGCAAAACCAGCAAACCATCAAGAATCTGCTGAAATTGGAATCGAACAAGACCTGTGCGGATTGCAAGCGAAACAAGCGTATGAACCACGGCTCCTCCTGTTACCGTCCCTCATGCGATTTGACGGCTGTGTTCGAGTTTGAAACGCGACAGTACTAATTGCAGATTCAATAGATCCACGATGGGCGTCCTGGAACCTCGGTATCTTCATCTGCATTCGTTGCTCAGGCATCCACAGAGGGATGGGCACCCATATCAGCCGAGTCAAATCTGTTGACCTTGATGCTTGGACGGACGAACAATTGCAAAGTGTTTTGAAATGGGGAAACTCGCGCGCTAATAAGTCAGTCAATTATCGCTTATTCACATCCATGTGCGAACATATTGGCTAATGCTTGTCGAATGCTACAGGTACTGGGAAGCGAAACTGGCGCCTGGTCATGTTCCCTCCGAATCGTGAGTTCAATCCTTGGGCGCTCTCCTATTTTCAGTCTTTCGGTTGCTCATGCATGTCCTAGAAAAATTGAGAATTTCATTCGTACCAAATATGAATCGAAGCGATGGGTAATGGACGGACCGATGCCTGACCCCTCTACGCTAGGAAACGATGATGATGTTGTATGTTGCTGGACTATTCATTACAACTTTTACCTCCGACAATTTTCTAACTCTCCAAATCTCCACAGCCACTTGCCGTTGTCCAAGAACGAGCAAAGCTTGAACGGTCCGCATCACAGCGTGCGTCTGTCTCTAGCCAACCACCAGCCCGCCGACAACCGCAGCCATCCATTGATTTCTTCGGGGACGACGACGCTATCAGTCCTCCTGCGCGGCCTAGTACAACTGGTCCGATGGCTGTTGCTCGCCCTCCACCTCCTCCCAACTCCGCACAACCCGCTGCTGCAAAACAGACAAAGCCCGCAGACTCCTTGCTCGGTTTGGATTTCTTCGGCAGTTCCCAGTCTACCCCAGCCAGTCGTCCTGGCAGCACGGCACCTACCTCTGGCTTACAAGCAGGAGTTTCACGACCCGACTTGAAACAATCGATCCTCTCACTATATGCGACGGCTCCTAAGCCGCAACCGGCACCCGCACAGCATGAACGAACGCCTTCTATTGGAGCCGCTACCTCTGGACAATCGAATGTCAACGCTCTGACGGATGCCTTTAGTGGATTAACGTTCCCTTCAACTACTTCTCCACAGCCACAGCACAAGCCGCAATCGTCGTCCAACGATCTCTTTGCGGGCCTTACAGGATTTGGGGGACCAAAATCACCTCCGACAGCTCCCAGAGTTAGTTCTCCTGGGTCTACCGGCGGAGCAGGATTGTTCGATAGCATGGCGTCAAACGCGCAGACCTCAAAGCCTATTAGCACTCGCACCACATCAGTGTCCTCCAACGGACTGGATTTCGGGTTCTCGCGAAACTTTACATCTCCAGTATCACAACCAGCGAAGCCGACCCCACCAGCGCCGAGTGCTTCGAATGATTTATTCGATCTCGCAGCCCCGTCACAATCTGATATATCACCACCCGCTTTCTCTCAGCCGACTTCATCAGTCTTCAATCTCTCATCCAGCACCACGACCACGACCACGACCACTCACCCAGCCCCCAAAGCTGCACCAACCACTTCGACATCAAACGTGACAAGCATGCTCTCCTCATCAAGCATTGATCCATGGGGAAGCAATGCCTGGAGCACCCCTGACCCTGCGCCTGCACCTTCAGCCGCGAAACCAGCTACCACAGCACAACCTTCCATTACCGACTCAATGAGAATGCCAGACACATTGACTCCGCGCGATATCGGAGCAGGCTGGGGTGCACCCGCTGCCACCACTATTACTAGCAGCACAACTACCACAACTACAGCAGCAACAGTTGCTCCTGAAGACGATTTTGGCGGATGGACCAGTGCAGCACCTGTTTCTACTACCACAGCTGGTACTGGCGGCGGTAGCAAGCCGGCTACAGGGGGTTTCGCGGGGAATGATGACTTGTTTTCCAATGTATGGGAGTAGATAGGAAAGTTATTGATTGCATTTGAACGAACTGAAGATTTTTTTTTTACTTAATCTAGAAGACCCCAGGGACCTTGCATCTTTAAAATACTTACGGTTAGAAGAATGCCACTCTCATCTAGTTAACCTTCGTCTGGGTAGGTAACACAAGTATGGAAGTATGATGAACTACCTACCATACCGGGTTTTGCTAATTCGCGGATATTCCTCTAGGCAATGTCTAATTAGCTGGAGCACTCCCAAGTCTGTACAAATAGCCTGCTTCCAAGGAACCTTCTTTCATTTGAGCTGACTGATTGACTTTTTAAGATGACCAAAGCGCTTTTTGTAGATGCTAAAAACTAGAATGAATAATAATATTTTTAGTCTTTGAAAGAAGGGTTGTGAATTTGAAGAAGGGCTGAGTAATCCAAAGGAGATACTCAACCTGGCACCACATCCACAACCCTTGATTCAATGTAAAATGAGCTTGGTTATTGTCGGAACGTGAATATCAACCCTACGCGTTTCGGCACCGGATAAGTGCGTGCCGCGTATATCTGGCTAAGATAGCTTCATATTGTCAGGCTCATTAGGCCGCTTCGTGTTCGCGCCTTGCTACCGTCTATGCTTCGTGATACGGACCGTAGTAAAACCAACAGTTATATCTGTAAGAAGCCAGGACACTTATCATAATACCACCGGACGAGGAGCGCGAGGCACACAGGCGTGAATGGACCAAAAACAGGACCGGGAGTTATCAACAATTCATGGCTGAGATCGAGGGCTGGGAATATAACCCCGAATCCATTGAAGAACTGGCATCAACTGGCGCCTATTTCGTAGATGACAGCAGTAACGACGAATCCTCAACGATCAAAGGATTCAACCAACCAAGGACCAAGGATTCAACCTCCCACAAAGATTCAGCCAATAAGAATGCACCATCCCAGACAACCTCAACATATTTTGCCAGTACGTTCTTCACCACCGATGAAAAGCCAAAGGGAGAATTAGGAAAGTTGACCACCATGGAGTTAGCAAATCGAGCGACCATGCACTGCGTTAAAGCCCTGGCGACAAAGGAAGTACAAGATAGCGATAGTACAGAAACACGACGTTGAGGAAACGATCGATACAAGCACTTACGTTCCGAAAGTTATACTGTGAACAGACTCATCAAATGCTGATTAGAGCTTTTTGGCACGTCGGAGCATCAAAAAGGTTGAGTTCTAGCGAGTTCTGGCATCCTGTATAGGCACGAGCTTTAGCCCTTCAGGCTGTAGGTTACAGAATGCTTCCCGGCGTCGAGGGCTAGCATTTATATAGACAGCAGGGTTCCGAACCTAGTGGCTGTATTAGTAAAATAAAGATAACACAATGAATAATAACATACCTTATTAAGGGCATCAACAATCATCCATCCTTCGCTGATCCGTAGCATGAATATGTCCTATACGGTCTTCTGACCATTGCATCTCCGCCATCTCATTCTTTGGGGTTTACTTCCATTTGACCAAGGGGATCTTTAAGACTCAGCTGAATAACATGGGCAATACATGGAACCCGAATGATGTGCGCGTTATTATTGAGCTCAAGAGATTGGATTGAATCTGAATGCTCGAGATCATTGTATTGTTGTTTGATGCATTACTGGTGGTGACAGCAATCACTCGATTTGTAATTTGCTGATGCGGGTGAAGAATTTTAAGAATCATGTCGCCAAGATTAACACCAGAGTGTGTCCCAGAAAGTGGTTCGAAGCCAAGAAGGATCTCTTGATACTCCCACTCCCGATCAAGGAAGCAGCCTGTCACAGCCATTAAGGGCCTGTCGAAACAGAGACGTCCAACAATCTATCGCCAGAGAAAGCTTTGCATCCTGAAAGAGCTTCCAGAGAAGGCCTTGATGCTGCTCTTTCACAAGATCCCGTAGCCGAGATCGGATTACTGGTTGTATCGGCGCAAGTCGTGCAAGGGAAATGACCTCATGGAACTCGGGGTGCTCGACAAACTAAAAGGGGAGACGTGATAGAGCAAGAAGTCAAAGAAGCTTCCGCTCCCATACTACCTATGTAGAGACTTTAGGTTCGGAAGGTATGGGCGTTATGCGCCTAAGAATATCCACTAATGTCAGATTTAACCCTAATTTCCAAGTAGGAATGAGCCAGTTATCACTTAGTCATCTAATCAGAAGCTCAAAAGTCATTTTTAGTTCTGGGTGATATTACCAGTAGGCAGAAAAGACACAGGCAGTTTGCCAGATTATCAATGATAGCTCGTTTTCTATTATTGGTATGAGATCGCCGACGTCCATGACTCCATGGTGTTACTCTCTAGCTCGCCCAGATAAACACTTGTGTAAGCTGTCTAACTTGTCATGCTAGACTGAAAAAAAGAATAGGGTATAATGAAGGATATATTTCTCTGTCCAAGCGAGTGTTGCTAAATTCTAAATCCTATAAAATATACCTGTCCAGAACTTCCCGTGATGGCCATCATATCATTATGAACCGCAGAAGCATCTTGATACTCAGGAGGTACAGTGACATTCGAAATCGCCTTCCGTGTCACGGACCTGGATCCACCTTAGTTCTAACAGCGGTGCGTCGTGATACGTTAGGATAGCTGAACCTCGCACAGGTTCCGACCAATGATCGATGGAGCGAGACGAGTGGTAAGTAACGAAGTATGGACGATAACTGGGACGGTAACAGAACTAAGATAGAAGAGATCCTGGTGCCCGTACGAGTTAGAATGCCTTGCTGACTCTCACTGTTGTATTCAAGTGACTTATGTCAAAGAGCTATGTAGAACTAAATACATGATGGTAAATGAGCGTCCTTATATATCCAGTCCTCCACGTTCTGTATATCGTATATCGTATACTTTCAGAAGTAGACAATATAAAGTATACGATATTCTTCCAATGATACCTCATTGTTTACAATTACCCGGGATTACATACAGCGTAGGTGCCCACCATAATTCAATGGCAAACAATCTCTATACCTTTTACTACCACTTCCTCCCACATGTGAGCTTGTAGGTAAGCTGGTCGAGTGTTTCAAGTGGCTCCGAATCTGGCAGCATCTCAGCATGAGCTCATTCGTGACATGATCCTAAGCGAGTCAATTGACTACTGTTTGGTTGCGATATCCCATATTTTGACTGCTCCATCCGCTGAGCCGGATGCCAGTAACTGGTCATCTGAAGAAAACGCCACCGACCAAAACTATATCTCCATGACCAGAGAACGTCGTTATTGCCTTTCCAGTTTCAGTATCCCAGAGTTTAACTGTTTTATCCCAGGAAGCTGAGGCCAAAAGTCGACCATCGAATGAAAACTCCATTGACGGAATTAGTCCTCCATGGTTCTCAGCGTTTTGCTGTAGAATTCTTGTATTGGTATCCCAGATTGTAACTATCCCGTCAATGGAGGCCGAGACCAGCGTCCGCTCATCCTTTAAGAAAGCCACTGAGATGACAGATTGGTTATAGATGGCTTGTTCCAGGGCAAGAGTCATTGGCAATGCTAATAACCCATTATCCAGTGAGAAGATAATGGCTAAACATCCCTGTACGGTCCGTTGTAAATATCCGGTACAGATGTCCCATACATTGACAGTTCCATCATTGCAAATTGATGCCAGTAGTCGACCACATGGTGAGATAGTTGCTGGTTTAATACTTCCTTTATGACCTCTGAATTCGTGTTTTAGATCTTTAGTAATAGTGTCCCACAGTCTAATCACTGCATCTTCATGGTGCTGATACTAGCCACCGTCCATCTGGGGAGAAGTCCACCGATTGGACGCGATTGGCACTCTGAAAGTTATGTCACAGACGTCCATCTGCAATCTCCCAGAGCTTAATTGTTTTGTCGTTGGAACTTGATGCCAGTAACAGTGGCGAAAAGGCAACCGAGCAAATGGCATCTGTATGTCCACGAAGAGTCCGTTGCCAGGCTCCGGTAGTAGTATCCCAAACCTGGATCGTCATATCACGAGAACCAGATGCAAGTAATTTTTCATCGGATGAGAATGCCATTGATGTGACGGATTCTTTATGGCCTTCTAGAGTAAACTGTAAAGTTCCAGTTATTATATCCCAAAGTATCAATTTTCCATCCAAGGAACTCAATGCCACTAGTTGTCTGTTTGGCGAGACTGCCAGCGAAATTGTAGGTACACCGTTATCAAGGGTTAGTAATTTCGCACTTCACGTTTCATCAACTCTTGGATATGTGTATATCCAACTAGGGAGCTCTTGCTCTTCAAATCCCCTCCTGATTACTGACGTCTTTGGCGTGAAGATAAGTGCTGAAGAGTATAGCTGAAGAGGAGCGATCTCAGCTAAGTGTCGATTCTTCAAGATAAAGAGTCTAGCATCGTATAGAAATGCTGATATTTCGGGATTTTGATTTTCCTTTTATCATTTAATGCTGGCAATTCCATAAAACCTTGAACAAAACTTACCGCTGTTAACGAGTTCAAAGTATTAACCATTATCACAGCCTCCGACATAAGACCCAGTATACTCATTGCTTCCATCCAGTGAAGTATATGATCCCGTAAAATAGAGAAAGCATCTTCTAGCAAACTAGAAGGGTCGCTGCCTTGCATGAGATGATGTGTCCAATAACGGCAGGAATATTGTACTTCGGCTTTGATGCATCTTGCTATAGAACGTGCATCGATATTTTCGCGTTCAGTATTGTCTTCTGGTAAGAAGCAAATATTCCTTCTGAGGTTGTGAGACATGACAATCAAGCATTGCATGGTAAGCCTATCATGTACTTTCTTCTCGTCAATCCAAAATGGGTTGCTATCCTTGATTTTCGAGTCTAGAAGGAAATCTCGGAACGATGCATGCAGAAGTTTCACTGGCGTGTCCAAATCTTTGGGAACATTTAAAACGGAGTGAAAGAGGTCTAGCCGATTTTGAATATCGTCTGCTTCTATACATAGAAGTTGGGATAGTGCGTGAATTGAAAGTGGATCTGCGACAACGATGATAACACCGACGATATTTTTGAATTCATCAATCGACTGCTGCGACTCCCATTCATCTTGATCAACAAGCAGTTGATTTAGTACTGGCACATATGTGCTCTTAAATTTGGAGGCGTACATAGTCTGATCTGCAAGAATTGCTTTTAGACGTTTTTCTGTAACCCATTTTGTATTACCGATAAATCTGCATAATTTAGCAGCAGAAATGAATAACGGCATGGCTCTAAGAACTAGAGTCTTGATAGTTTGAGATCCTGGCCAGTCTGGTGGGAACGAGTGTTGACGTCTCATTTTTGAGAATTCATACTCAAAATACAATGTCATGTCGCGCTCCAGCATGGACTCGGGGATTTGATGAAGTACTAGATTCTGATGCATGGAGACAATATCCTTGAAACTCTGCTGGATGTGATATTCGTTCCTGCTTGTCAAAAAGAATCGTAAATGTATAAATTTCGATTTCAGCACTTCTGGCAAGAGATGGAGAATGATCCGTATATCCTTATCTTGGTCACATTCATCTAGTGCATCTGCCACTATTATTATAGGCGCAGGTTGAAGATTAGACTGAGTGACTGCTAGCAGAGGTCGAAGAAGTAGCTTGTTAAACTGCTCTGGTAGAGACTTGGAGGCAATATCTGGATCATTTTTGAGAGATTCTCTCACACCGAGTATCAATTGGGGAATGTTGTTGATTAATTGCCTTATAACTGTCGGGAAAAATCTTTTTGTATTCCCCCTATGACCTTCACCCCGTTTAAAGAAAAAGCTTGCCCCTAGTGATCCCTTTCCGGCCAACGTTTTTGCTACCGTGCGAGAGACGGTAGATTTACCTGTACCTGCCATACCGCTCAACCAGAAAATAAACTTGGCCTCAGGATTGTTCACCCAATCTCCAATGTCTTGAAGGAGTTCAGTTCGTGTTCCTTCAAGGCACTCAGGTTCATGCTGGTCATCGTAAGAATCGAAATAGGCACCTTCGGCAATCGGCAGTTTTGACATGTCAATCGTCTGATCCAGATTCCCAACAGTATCTAGATTGATACTTCACATGATCAGATTACTTTGTGTGTATCATTGTTAGGACATATAGGATGACATACCTTTGGCTGTCGACCTTACAAAGGATGGCTTTACAATAAGCTGCAGCGACAGCCGCAGCATAATAATGCCATCCGACCTGTTTGTGAGTGTCTGCATAGTCACATATGCCTCGGATCACTAGGCAGGGAATCTCATCCATGATGCCAGCGGCTCCTATTTCATAGCAGAGAGCGTCTTTGTAACCTCGGCACAACCGTTCCCGATCTGAAGGGTTCTTGATAACACCACTGCCAGACAGGATGAGGCCTCGATGAACCATGGGTCGATTGCGTACTTCACGAGCCAACTTATTTCCACCCATTGTCTCGCACATGTGGCAATCATCCCCTTCATTGACATGAGAAAAGCTTTTGTCAAACAAGATATCTTCGATATCTGGGCGACCAAATCCAGGTTTTCTAGTGATATGCCTCAGGATCTTTTTCAGTGGGCATCTACCCAAGCCCTCGTCGTGTTGCAATGAACCATCGGCACTAATCAGAATAGGTGGAGGCTTGTCAAGAGACCCCTTGAGAACAAACCCATTCTCTTCATACTTTCCAAAGTCATACTGAATGACGCCCGGATGATTGTTTTGAGGAATACTGACAACAATGTCACCTAGACGAATGTCAACTTTCGGAAGGTTTGGTATGCCTGCTCCAATGCCAACCATCAAGGCAAACTTGACATTTGGAAACTGCTGATTGACCGCTGTAGCACAGTGAGCAGCATCTACAGTCCCCGTCTGATGAGGTCGGGCTATGACAATTTTATGAGACCCAATACGACCAAAAGTGTATATGTATTTCTGGGAGCCTAGTGTCGTCGGACGGCATGCAAATTCTTCGTCTAGACAATGTATGACGGCAATGACTTCGTACGGTAGGGCGCAGAATACGGCAATTGTGATAGTCTCCGGGGCAATCTCTTTAAGCTGTTCTGGTTCGGACTCATCATCGGTGCTTTGGTGAACAGGAGCGGGGGGTTGCCTTGGTTGTATCGCGCCCGTTGCCTCCCACGATGATTGTCGCTTCCGCTTCAGCATTATCAGCTCTCACCGTAAAATAATTTGATTACAGGTCTTGCGTAAAGGACAGAAGTTTATATAGACGTTGGTGATATGCGGCTGAGTCGAGAACGAAAATTGGGACAGATTAAAAAGCCTGACTTACCGACACTGCCACAGCCTGATGTTGGGCTTTTGCGATTGCGCGTATGCAACTATACTATAATTAGAGGAGTATGCAGGGATGTTGAAGCAGCGGCGTGGTGATAGCTTGCAAGTGGATTAGGGTTAGGGTTATATTCGTTATATTCGTATGGAGAACTGTTCTTAAACTGTGACAAGCTGATAATCACATGGTACTTTATACCAATAGAGTTGAAACCTGCTAGCCTCAAGATATAGCCCACCGCTTGGTACTTCATGGGCAGCTTCAACCGAGTTCAAGTTACATCCTGATACCCAGTCATAGGTAGCCCTGAGACTCTTGACTCGGTGTGACAAGGCTGCGATTGCTAAGCCCTTGCAAGTCGCCGCCGACATGGCCGCTGCTGCTGCTGAGCGGGAAGCCGCCGCTTTTTAACCCTAACCTTAAGAACCGGCGGCTAAGAGCTGACTAATCCACGTGATCGCAAATTTAGGGAAGTACATTACGCCCCCATTCCAACAGAGGAAGTAAAGCGGCGATGCTTCCGTCAGCCTCTCGTCCCGGACGGTAATGGGTTTTGGTGAGCTGCGTTTTCGGGGACAAGTAGGTACTTGGAAAAGATACGAGGCACCCCCAAGTCCATCTTGCCTTCATATGAGCAGACTGGAATGCATTTCGATTTATCGCCGAGGCATTGTGGCTGCTCTTCAAATCGCGATCGAGTGCCATTGCCTCCTGTGGATAAATACTTCAGCGTGGATATTATGATAAATCAGAGAGGGCTGATGTATTAGAGCTTTGGGTGAATGTGCCTGGATGTTTGAAGGAAGGGTAAACATGGTAAGCTCTGTTGTTAGGGTTAGTTTAACTCTAGCATGTGCAAGCAGATCAAGACAACTCAAAAACCTCAAGGAAAAAGAGCATATATCCATTCCTATCCAACAGAAATAAATTACATTCCACACAATCCCAAAACAGGAGAACAAAGAGAAAATAAAATGTGTACATCGTCAATCATTGCGCAAATATATTTGTTCTCATAATCTCGACAAGAAGATGAGATTCGGATTTATTGGTGTTCTCCTGCTACTCCAGAGCCTGTAGCAGACCTGGTCGATGAGATGTCTGCGCGAGACTCGTTTGTGACGCTTTCGCGTGGTCGTGTCCATGTACGGATGTGGCCTGTTGTATATCATTGTTTAGTATGATATAGAGAGTACGGATGACGGTAAGGGAGAGGAAGAAGGCTAACCTTCCAATGAAGAAGTGAATATAAAATCTTCCTGGAATCCTAGCCAGGATATCGGATCTGACCCGACTTCTTTGGACTGTTGTATCGTTATTAGTTGAATACAATCATGAAAGAGAGTAGTGAAGCATACCATAATAGGAGGCAATAGTGCAGTCATTGTTCGAGATTCGACCGGATGACGAATATTGTCTTCTTCATCGTCGATAGGCTTTTCGGTTCGATCAGAATCCGATCTCTTGCGGTTACTGAGGCTGTCAGTTCGATGGCGGCTTAATTGGTTGTGTACGGTCGTGATGCTGTTGCGATGACGAGCGTTTGCTTGAAGCTATTTGAAGTCAGTATAATAAGAGCAAAATAAAAAGGATCAGAGATAGGCGTACTGCTTTCGGACGATGAAGCATGCCAACATTAAAATCCCACAGCAGTAACCGGCAGTCATCACCGACACTTCCAAGTCGATAGTTTCGCTCGTCACATCTCCAGGGATCGAATGCAACGGCCGACACCCAGGAGTTGTGACCTTGGCATCGCGCAATGATCTTTCGCTCTGCCAACGACCATATTGTCACCAGGTCATCTTGTCCGCCGCTGACCATGTACTTGCCGTCTGGCGACCAGCAGACGCATATCATGCCACCGTAATAGCTTGCAAATATATCCGTAACTCTATACATATGTCAGCAGATCGAATCACTAAGTTTTGATTACCGGAAAGCTATCGGACTTACTCCTCTTTAAGATAATCCAAGACACGCAATGTGCCATCTTCAAGCACCACGGCCAAATGTTGCTTATCAGGAGAGAAAGCAAACGAATTAATGCGTTGATGTGACAGTTTCCAGACAGCAACAGGGTTGGTCTTCTGATTCTTAGAGTTTACCGATTTCAATATCTGCATTGCCCTGCTTGAAGAAGACGCACCGTCTTCAGTTTCCGGGGTGAAAAGCGCGTCGTCTTTCTCCTTGTCATAAACAACCAGCTGACCATTGGCATGTGCTGCGAGGAACAGATTCTCGGACCCCGGCATCCATTTAATATGAGTGACTGCGGAGTTATTGACAGCACCGTTCTTGTTGATTCGAGCATACTTCGCGGATATAGGCTCATACCAGATAATGTCGCCCGCAGATGACCCCATAACAATATCAATATGAGATGGCGACTTGGTCAATTCGTTAGCATCATGACATAGCATATGCGCTTTTGTGAAAAGGATTTTCGCAATAGGCTCCTCTTTATTCGGAGCACTTAGATCAAGCCACTGGAATGCCCTGTTTATGTTTGCGAAAGCATAAAGTCCGTCCGGATTCCTATCGGCCAGACGCTTGGCATGAGTCTCGTGTGTGATGACTCGTGAGACAAACGACGAGCTACTCTTGACTATGTTGTTCTTGGGTTTCCTTCTTTTTAATCCTTCTCTGACAGGCGCAATCATCAAAGCTGGATTGCCCTCTCCGAAAGCCGGTGCTGAAATATAACTCCAACTTCCACTTTCTGAGCGTCGTCCTTCTTTCTCGCTTTCCTTGATACTCCTTAAATCAAAGGCTGATGCTCTAGAACGGTACAGATTTGGTGGGCTTTTATGGTTGCTGGTAATAACGAGAGACAACTTCACGCCGGCGGTAGGAGGTGTTGGACCTGTTGCAAGAGGATTGGGATTTACGACGGGGGCTTCGGACGGGTGTGGCGGAGGAGTCGCTAGGTGTAGGTCATCGACGAGCTCATATGTTCCTAGCTAAGGGTTAACGTTGCGGTCCGAATTGGAGTTTCCCAAGAGGTTTATTATGGTGAGTCTATACCCTCTCCAACCTGCAACGGACAGCCGCCTTCGGGATGCTTGACAACATTATTCGTCTCGATGATGGGCACGGCCATGCCATTGGCAGCACCCGCCGCATAGGCGACGGGTATCGAGTAGCGTGGCGGTGGTGGAGGAAGAACACTGAAGACGAGACGGCGTTAATGAATAAATTTGTTCATGATCCGCCGAGCTGTATATACTTACAACATGGCTGCTGATAATGTTTCTTTCTAGTAAGAAATAATAAATATGCCGTAAGATTGACCCGGTCAAATGCAGATACGCTAATCGATCTACAATTCTTAGAGCCGAATTATAGAGCTGAGGAATCAACACAAGTCCAGAGGATGCGCTCTTAGACGCGAGTAACGAATCGTTCAGAGGCAGCAAAGCTAGTGAATAATTTCCATACACATGCTAGAAATAGCGGTCGACACACGTTCTGAAACGAAGCTTAACAGATGCCTCTCATATCAGTGATATCACCGGCCGGAACTCCGATCGCTGGACGGGATAACGAGGAAGAGATCACCAATTGAAGAATTCCATGCATGTATCAAGGTTGAAAGGATGGACAAACGACGAGTAGCGGAGAGAGCGCGAGAGAAGGAGTTGTGAGAGGCTGAGAGAGTGTGAGGGGATGAGGAACGCAGCGACAGGGCCCATGCTTTCCAACGGAGTCAGGAAAGGCATGCTGTAGGCTGTGGGGTAATGGTCTAGTCCTGATATTGAATAGTACAAATAGAGTGAGCCTATCATAAACTGTGACCCAGTTACACTATACTACTTGTGGAAAAGCGCCGAAGTGTCGCGTGGCAGACTGAGTTGAGCCAATCAGCTACTAGAATTATCAGATTATCAATGCTCGTAAACAAAAAAGATCCATTATTCATTCATACAGGATTGGGTATCTATTGTAAATGGTGCGAGATACATGGAATCATTTCCGATTGCTCATATGCAGTTCCGACAGAGTCAACAGCATATCAGGAGCTGCTGCTGTTTACTCGATGCCATATTGCAACAGCGGCAGCACCAGCACATACTACAGCGCCTAAAGCAATACCCCAAGACATCCACTTGCTTTCCAGATCCTCTTCGGTCCGTGGGAACGTGGTACTCGGATCCATGGCCGCCTCGGCGATATGCACAAAGACCTCCTGGATCGAACTCCAAGTGACACTCACATGCAGAGGTGGCGCAGGCAAACCCAAGCGTGCTGTATATTCATGAGGTTGAAATTCTGCGCGTTGCGTGGTTCGGTCCAAATCGGCTTTCAGAGCAAGGAATATACTGGGTAATTCCTCAAGGTGCGGATATTTGGCACGAAGCTTGGTGATATAAGCAAACGAGTCTGGATCTGAAGAGTCGTACGTATATGCAATCACGTCACATTGATCTAACAACTTGCTCTGGTTCTCCAACAATGCCGGTTCCAGCTCACCGAGCTCGTCTAGAATGAGGTAGCATTGTTTCCCACCGGGAAGCTCCACGGTATTGACCGCAGTGCGAGGCTGAATGGTAGGATGGTACGTATTGCTGAAACCGCGGGAAAGAAAAGCGTCGAGAAGCGATGACTTGCCTGAACCGGCAGCTCCTAGAACATGGCAAAGAACCACATTACGACCGACTCTCCCTGGTCGTCGCCGTCGCTTGCGTGGTTTTGTAACCTTGAGAGCTGCTGTTGTTGACGGGTTGCTGCGATCCGATGACTCAAATCCGAGATAAGCAAGGTACTCGAGAGTGGTTTTTGGAGAAGTAAACGTCGTCATACTCCACTGTGCTAGCCAGCCTTGAAGAGTAACGTGGCCTGCTTCATTCCGTACCGTAGATGACGGAAACGAGTCGTCTGCCCATGAACTGGGCAGTCCAGGTGTTGGTGCAAATAAAGACGCTAATTCCGAGTTATTGAGACCTCCATCATTATCTTTATCTGACAAGAGGAATAAATCGACAAAGAATCGATAACCTTCTGGTGATAGCTCAGCAGACGAAAAGGGTGGAACCTCGAATTTGGGGTGAAGATATGTCTCTTGCAAAGAAAGATTATCGGTATATTGAAACGTCCGTAGAATGATCCACACGGTTTCATGACGACCTTTTTCTGCAAAAAGCTTATTCAAGTGGAGAAAACCCCGTGAAGTGATTCCGGCCGGCGCTACAGCATCCGGGTAGGCTTTTTGAATTGTCTCCTTGATATGGACAAGGTCCTCCTCACTCAGCGGTTTCCCAAAGCACTTCAATTGAAAATCCTCAATTTCCTTATCGGACAGATAACCATCTCGGTCTTTGTCGCATAGATAGAAAATGCGTTGTAGTGCAGCGACTGCAGCAGGTTTAAGCACTGACTCCTTGGAATCGAATAGTGGCGCAATAGGATGTGTCACAGCTTTCTGGCAGAGGAAGAAGGCTTCATTGACATTCCGGTGTTGACGCGCGCTAGAGCGAATGCACGAATCAATTTCCTTGAACTCGGCCATGACAGGTAACATTTCTTCCTCAATCACTTGTGCATCGGTTGTATCCGTCGCAAGATCGGCTTTGTTGGCGCATAACACCACGGGAACGTTTACACCGAGGGAGCGAAAGTGTGGAAGCCAAAACAGAGCCACTCGTTCGTAGCTGTAATGATCGGAGTATACGAGGAGGATAACGTTCGATTTTCGGATTTCGCGAGCCAAGTTGGTACGTTCTTGGGGTAGCGCCGACGTGTCGACGACCGTTGTCGTTGTGACATTTTCAGGTGTGCCGATTGTAGGAGGTATGGTAATCTGGGGCAGGACCGGTTGGATCTTGTTTGTGACAAAGACGCCCTTGACGAGAGAGGTGATTAGACTAGATTTACCGGTTCCCTCGTCACCGCAAACGCAGATTCGCACTGTCCAATGCACCGGTTAGAGACTTGACGGATTTGACTAATGGCAGGAAGATACCTACCTGTAGCCATGTTGTGAAACACTTCCAGCTATGATCAGATTCAGCGAACCATAATTCTAGCAGCCGAGATATGTATAAGCCGAGATATGTATAATTGACAACCGGAGTAGTTGTCACCAAATGGTAACAAGCTGAATGGTAGATGGACGGTGATGTTTAAGTTGCGCGACAGTTGCAACAACAGTTGACGGGACGGAATAATATGCGGATATCTGCCTCCGTTTAGTTCTCCTATACCTAATCACGATGTAGAAAGGTCGGTTTCATGTTCTGGATTGCAGACAAATAATGTTTGAAATGAATTGAAGTCCTTCGCACATTTCAACTGAATATGAAAGAATACGGCAGAAAAAATGAAGTCATCCCATCAAAAGTACGTAGTCAACATCCGGACTTACGCCGAGGCCGGTGTTAGTTTAGGTAGCAGCACAGCCGCCTTTCGTACGTACATCATCCCGCTTCCTCCGCATCAACGACACCACACCTCGTGACGAGCGAGACATAGAGCTCTTCAACAGCGCATCTGCAATATACAGTCTATGGGGCTTTGGCTTATGGTTCTAGCTGCGACTGTTGCCAAGCTATAGTTGCTTGTTCCCGACGTACCCGACTTAGTTCAGCAGGCCGTTATCTTGGTCGACGCACCGCCGTTCACTGTCGCTGCGATCCTGCCGTTCGTATTTGAAGCCGTGCTCAGGCTTCCTGATAGAGGATTTGAAAGTTACAGTCTTGATATACAACCATGCCTTTGGGAATCCACAATCCTCTGCCCTCATCTATGAGGAGTGAGTCTATCTTCAGCTCCATCATGCTTGCGGAGGTTTCCCCGCATCGGAATGTGCGAAGCTAATATGTTATTATTCTAGGCGAGTGTAAGAAAGCTGGAAAGATTCTTGCTTCTTTCGTTGATCCAAGACAAGCCTTTGGTCCGGATAAGATCATTCCGCCAGAGATCCTGGCTGGTGCAAAGGTAAGGCTATTCAAGTGACTCATTGCTGCCTGAAATCTAATCTCATACAATCTTTTCCCTGTAGGGTCTCGCCATTCTTTCGGTTCTCAAGGCTGGTTTCTTGGGCTCTGGTCGTTTTGGTTCCGGGGTCGTGGTTGCGCGACTGGCTGATGGATCTTGGTCTGCACCGTCTGCGATCGCCACTGCAGGTGCCGGATTCGGCGGACAGATCGGATTTGAATTAACGGATTTTGTGTTCATCCTCAACGATGCCGCTGCAGTACGCACGTTCTCACAGGCCGGAAGTATAACGCTAGGTGGAAACGTTTCAATAGCGGCTGGTCCAATCGGCCGAAACGCTGAGGCAGCGGGAGCGGCCAGTACGAGAGGTGTAGCAGCTGTGTTTTCATATTCAAAAACCAAGGGATTATTCGCTGGTGTGAGTTTGGAAGGAAGTGTTTTGGTAGAACGCAAAGATGCCAATGCGAAACTCTACAGCAGCGGTGTTAGTGCTCGTCAGCTTCTTTCGGGAGCTGTCCCTCCTCCCCCAGCAGCAGAGCCTCTTATGCGGGTGCTCAATTCCCGCGTATTTTCTGGAGGCCGAGCATTTGGAGCTGATGCCATGTATAATGACATTCCCATCTACGACGATTCGCATGATGACGTCGTTTGGGAAGGCCGCCGGGGCACTGCCTACGGAGAAGGACAACGGAGGGAACGCGCTGGCTCGCGGGCGACAGATACTTATGATGATTACGAATATCGGGACCGTCCTCGTCGAGCAACAACTTGGCAAGATGACTACTATGATCGACCGCCTTCAGGCAACGTGAACCGTTCGAATACAACAAGAGCTAGAGGATATAGTGGCGCTGGCATTGAATACGACGATGATGAATTTTTCAGCAATCGCAACAGACCCAGCCGCCCAACGGCACCAAAACCTGTCTTTACTCAGAAGACAGGCGCTGCAGCTGGGTTACGGGAAGACCAGGCAGTTGCGCTCTATACATTTGATGCCGATCAGGAGGGGGATCTCGGCTTCAAGAAAGGTGAAATTATCACGATTATCAAGCGTACGGACAAGGCAGAAGACTGGTGGACTGGCAGAATTGGCGACCGGACCGGTATTTTTCCAAGGTATGCATTCCTCTCCGTCTTATGTTCAGAAGTAATTGCACTTACTCACCATCTCTATAGCAACTACGTTGATCCTGCTGTGAAATGATCGATTCATCGGTTTATCTTCTTGCAAATTGAACATACCACGATCTTCAGTACAAATCTTCTCATGGAATTCACATTCTTTCCGCTTATGATATATCAACTTGATGCGGATACGACTTACGTTTAGGGGTGATCTATTCTTTTGATATCGAATTGGCCAGTGAAGAGTTATATGTTTGTCTTTTTTCCAACTACATACGGGCTGCTTATACTGCAGGAATGTGAGATAGAGAAAAGCAAGCGCTTTTGGTATAATCTCTATTATGTAGTTGATCTTTTTAGCTTGGAACCGAGGTCGGTTATTTTCTCCAGCGGTGCCAGCTATAAAATATCGCCAAGGCAAAGGAAACAAGCTTAAATTCAGCGGGGTAAGACTACGCAGCAAGCCTTCTCCAATTTCTAGGCTAATAAAATAACTAGTTGTTTATATGTAAGACATCGTGGATGGGGCTGATGAAGATCATCACCGCCCCAGTTAACTTGGTCTTTCCCGGACCCTGGTCTCTTGCTGGACCCTTAAGAAGATAGGAGATGCAACCAATGGTAGGATTATGAAGACGTGCTAAAGATCGGAGTCATATATATCTTGATTTACATACTACCTAGGAAAAACTCCAATCTGTTTTTTCAGCTTGTTCAGCGAACTGAAACAAGTCATGTGACGGGTTGCCTTTTTCGGAGCCTCGTTAAGGTCGACTTTACTGGTCTGATTTATTCGAATAATCTTGATGGGCCTCTCATGATTGAGACCGGGAGGAGAATATTGCATTAAAACATGAATCGTATACAGGCAAGTCTTCCATGGTCTCGGCGAGACTGCACGTGCTGGTTGGATAACGGCCCGATATGAACCTACCGAATATGGTTCATGACTCTGATCCAGGATGATATGGCATGCTCGGCTGGATAGACACATTTCTGCAGACGTAGATATCTCAAAGAGCATGCGATGAGTTGCAAGTCGACTGTATAAGTGCATAATAGAGAGAGAGAGAGAGTCAAGTGTAGAGTGGCCCGAGCTAATCGTCCTAGCCTTGATGCTAAGGCTAACCCAAACAGTGGTCGCCCACTTCTTGCTCAACCTTAAACTACTTTACTCCTCTGTGCCCAGTTACGATTCGATTCCAGACCGACACACACAACACTTATACAAAAAGAAGCTGCTTTCATGACTGCGACTCTCGTTTGATGTGCAAACATTGCATACCTCTTCCCTGTCACGCCCCCTGGTTTCGATGACTACTGGTAGCCCTTTCCATCTGTCGGCCCAGGCGGTGCAACAGCAACCCCGTGTACGCCGCCCGTCTTTTTGGTTCTCTTCGTCATAAGGAAGTGTTCATATCTATCTTCGTTCTGGACCATCTCCGAGGAGGGTGCGTCGAGTTATTCCGATGCAGGTGCGTTCTTGCAAACAATCTCTCTTTACTCGTCACCTGAAGATGTCGCGCTCGCGCCGCACCTGACTCCCCTCTTTTGGATACAACTTACTCTCGCTTTTATAACCTTACGTCTGTCTTTTTTGGTGAAATCAGCTGACTTCTGAAGTACCTTCATCAGACTACTACCAGTTCCTACGAAGCCGACGGGGGGTATGCCGCGAAACGAGGACATGTGCCAACTTTATCCATAAGTGATGACAGCCACCATGTCACCGAGACTATTGGCCATTTGTACGGGGACAGCTATGATCGAGATACTAGGAGGTTAAGTTTTCTACCGACACCGCAAGGCGAGACCCTTTCAGTATCAACACCCAATCCAGAAAATACAAGTTTAGATGCCGGGAGAAGGATAGGCGAGGGCTCCGCTGCAGACAATAGACTCAAGCCGGACTCAACGCGGCCTACGATCACGAAACAATCGTCCTTTGAGAGAGACCCGTCCTCACCTGTGCACTTGTCGCCCACGGATGCCGCTAATTCCTCCTTTCCATTGACTGATATTGATTACGAGTCCAATCCCGATGCCATTAAACAGGAGTACCACACCCTCGCCGCTATACGAAGAATGTCAATGGACGTTACCGGAGACCCCGATTTACCGTCCTACTCAAACTTTCAGGTGCCCTCAATTGCACCGTCCGCGTCCGCCGACGAGAATGATGCCTCTCGATTGTTCTGGGTTCCGGCCCGTCTCCATCCAGAGCTGGCACCCAAGGAATTCAGGTCATTCCTCGAGAGTAGGAAAGAACAGATACAAAGAAGATCGGGCGACTACTCGTCCAGCTTAGGTGTTGAGCGGGAGGAATCCAAGGGAGGTCTACGTCGGAAACGATCCAAGTTGTCGAGGCAGATTGACGATTCGCAGGAATATGTTGACGGCGCGGACCGTCTGGAAAGAAAACGAGCTGAAGCTCATGATGCGAAAGGAGACACGGCCAGTCCGAACCTACAAGAATTGGAGGAGATTGTAAACGATAAGAAACAAGTGAATACAGAGACCCTAGCTCTACTTGGAGGTATAGAAAAACTCGACCTATCGACAAGTGAAGATAAGCCAATTCTTCCGGCTGCGCCTCCTGGCCATAGTCTCAAACGATCTACGAGAACTCAGTATCGGAAAGGAAGCTTGAAGAAAGGCGAGCGGCTGCCTTATTCGAAGAGACTCGGAAGAACACCAGAGATGCTTGCAAATTCTGTCTCGAGCACGCTGGAAGATCCTCCGGCTATTAAACCTCTGATGCGGTCGTCGACTGATCCTGGGCGGAGTCTTTCAGATCGCAATATGGTACAGGACAGACCCAAACCAGCGGCCCCGGCACCAGCATCACCAGCATCTACTAGCACTGCCTTGGCTCCGGGAAGCACAGTGAATGCAACCTTTGAGCCAATGTTAGAACCGAATGCAGCAAGTTCTTCTCAACGGCAGTGGCAGTCGCGCGTTGGGACGAACGGCCGTTCCACTTTGAACATTCCACCTTCCGCACAAACAATACCTCAGATAATAGAGACTCCTCCTTCGTCGTCCGAACCCGAGCGACAATTACAATCCGGCACCATTCCTGAGCGTACCTCCTCACATGAATCCTCATCATCTCAAGCAAATTCAATTTACAACAAACGACACACGCCGCAAAGACAAGCTCAATCACCACAGACTCTTTCAGATATTGCCTCACATCCGTCACCTATACCGGGGAATAGTTCGCGGACTGACAGTTTGTCAGTGATACCAACTTTTGTCGAAGAAAAACGATCTGATAGTAAAAAACACAAAGACAAAAAGGAGAGCGAAGGAAGCCGAAAATCAAGTTGGCCTTGGTCTCGTGGATCGGATGACAAGGATAAAAAGAAGGAGTCAGAGGGGAAGAAAAGCAAGAAACAACATATCGGCACTGAAAAGGCATACGATAAGCAGGACAACACCCGACTGGATGTGCTTCAGAATTCCATTGATAGTGTACCTCGAGGTCGCGAAAGTCTGATCTTGGAACGTCCTGTCGATCAGCGATTGGAAGAAGAACGAAGAAAAGAGAGTCAACGAAAGTCGTCCGACTCCAAACGGGACAAAGAATCAGGGCTCCTCTCATCGATATTTGGCGGCGGCAAGAAGAGGAGCGGATCCGATCACAAAAAGAGTCTATCTCGAACATTATCCCCGGAACCGACATATGTAAAATTAATACCAGACCAGGATTACCCATGGACGCGATTTCCGATTATGGAAGAGCGAGCTATATACCGTATGGCGCATATCAAACTGGCGAATCCTCGTCGACCGCTTCATTCGCAGGTTCTTCTCAGCAATTTCATGTATTCATATTTATCCAAAGTGCAGAAGATGCATCCGCAACTGTCGATCCCGACTTCACCATCCCAGAGAGTCCAGCAGCAGCAGCAGCAGATGGACCAGCCTGATGAGTATACTCAGTATCAACGTTACCAAGAGGTGAGTCCACTCTCCCATTTAAGCTACTTCTTCTAACAATGGTATCAAACAGCAATACTCAGAGCAGACCTATGAAGAATACAACTATAGCTCCGACGAACATGGTGATCAATACGTCTCTGAGCGACAAGACTATGAAAACGGCAACGTTTACGGAACGAATCATCATCAACAACATTACGATGGATCCTACGGCTCTCTAGGCGACGCAGCACAACTAGAAAATGACGAAGAAATGTGGTGATGGCCGTGACATCACGAACTCAGGTTGCTCTTTGCATGTGGCATATCTATACAAGGATGAAGGGAACGGGACTACGGCGTTGACTGTGTTTTACAGCTTCTGAATATAATGAAGTGAGGTTTTATCGATTGGAATGCTTTGCGGTCCTGTACGGAGTACTGTCCATCGAAAAAGCATTATGGTTACCGACTGACTGACTTTCGCTTATTCTGTCTTTGTTTTTCCTTTTTCCCCCCCCCTTATTTCTATCTATCTTATATTTATCATTGGGAATTGCTTTGCACACTGGCGTCAGAAACTGGGCATAGCGTCTCGATGGAATGGGATCACCGTTTTTCTCTTCTAGTTCGCCCATTTTGTGGGTGTTGATGTTGTCTGTTTTGTCGTTGTCTGCTCTGCTATTGAACAGCCTTATGCTCCGTGTACTGAATACATGACCTGGACTATATATATATATCATAAATATAGTTACAACATACATAATAATATATGTATCCTCTTTTTTACAAAAAAGAAAAGAAAAGGTCTAGCGGCGATCATGCTGTCATATCATATGACTTACTAGCTAAACTACTTTGGGTTTAGGTCCGTGTCTGAATAAAAGGGGAAGTTTAAATCGTCATGTGATTCTTCAACTCAGCCACGCGAAACTTGATCTTTGCGACGTTTGAAGAAGCATATTCAGTGATCGAATACTCTATCAGAATACGTCAGAAAGAATTGAACTGTGAATACGGAAGAGAGGGAATTCTCGATTACATCTTGGGAAATAGTACGGACGAACGACTCGACTCGATTCGTATACAGAACCTCGCCATCGGCTTAAGGCAAACGAGAGAAGGAAGGCTACGGCGCAAACAAAGGCGACACATGCTATAATAACGGCAAGATCAATAACAACCGCCAACATGAGTGACGCATACGAAAGAGAATCGTACGTCTACAAGTCTCCTTCTATCTTCTGCTTATACTAACAGGAATAAACCAGGCAAAACAACGCCCTCCTCAACTCCCTCGCCCAAAAGACCTCTGCCCTCAAATCAGTTACGATTGATATATACGATAACGCACGGAATCATGAGACCCTCGATAATACCGTACGATTCTCCCCACGTTATTCCTCTACCCAATATAAGACTGTATCAGGCTAACTTTGATCGGTACAGAATGAAGTCTTCTCAAACATGTCCACGAGTATCCGCGGTAGCGCATCGAGATTGACCCGTGCCGCGCGGGCGGGTGACAAGGTCGCTGTTATGAAAGTTGCGGGTATTTGTGTTGGGACTGGGGTTGGGCTGTGGGTTGTTTTGGGATGGATATTTTGATTTTATTTGTTTTATTTCATTTTCCCCCTCGTTCGATGGGGGCATATTTGTATGAGTATGTGAGTCTACCGGTGGTCTAAATATCGGTATACCGGGATTCCTAGGTTGGGAGGGGACTGGCTTTCCCACTATATTGTCTTTTTTTGCGGATATTGATTTGATCCCCTAGGGATATCAGTTTCATTGCGTTCTGGCGTTTGTCGATACTGTGACGTCGAGCTTGTTTGTTAATACTCTGGTCTGACCGCAATTCAAGCATGCATTTGCATTGATTAATTTGATGACTGGTATTGTTCCCGATAGCTGCCTAGTAGTTGCTGCGTTGTTCATTTCCTATCTTCCATTCTAAACTAGGGTTTGGCCCTTGCTCGGAGTTCTTTCGCTTGTATCAGGCCTGCAACGTATGGCGGAGTCAAAAGTCGAGTCAGGCGATAACTACATGACACTTACGTTAGGATACGTCGATAATTATTCCGTGGGTGTGCTGATAACGTGTGATGAGCAACTCCTGAAGAATGCTACATGCTCATGAGAGGAGACGCACCAAAAAAGGAAATAATCAAGACTCGAATAAGTTGCCATTTTGGGAGGTAGGGTAGGGTAAGACAGCGCAGGGTAGGGTAAGGGTAGACCAGGGCATCTGCCAGCATCAGCAGTTCTCGTCAGACGACAGACTCATGGTCTGAAGGACTCGTCTAAAAAGGTAAGTCATACCCGACCGACAGGGTTATCACTCCCACGGCGTAGAGTCCTCCGAGAGCAAAAAAAAGGGGGAAGAAAATGTATGTATATGAAACATCCAGATTTCATGAGTGCTGCAGCTCCCTCTCTCGCCCGACTCCTCCTGATGACCATCTAGATCGCATTCAGACAGTGTCGGATAAAAACCCGGCAGATCTTGATCGACGAACAGAGGTTCTAGCCCATTGAATTTTTTTTTCTCTCTCTCTCTCTTCTGCCTATAAAAAAATTTTCTAAATATCGGTCACCGGTGTATCGGTGTACCTGGCGGGTGGATAGCTACTCAGGACGTATGTGGCGTGCTAGAGCTTTCAGGCCTGAGACTGGAAAAGCTATATGTGTATCTACCTATCACAGCCAATGACTTAGACACATACCGCCACGAACAGGAAAAAAAGGGTAAATGGTATCGTCTCAGTGTTGAAGACGAGCCGATAGGAAAAGACACGGCGGGTCTTCCCGAGAGGGCGCCCTGGCCTGTGGCGTGGGTCAAGCTTATCTCTTGTTTTTTCTTCCTTTTTTTTTGTCGTCTCTTTCGAGATTTTCCCCTGCGATCAGTGTATCACTAACCCAGTCTGTGTCGTCCCATTGGCTGCTCGAGTGTTTATCATCCATACAGAAAATTTACCGGCCCGACGAATGTCAGCCTAAGCCGAGACCAACTCGGGCTTGACCGATAGTCGAGTCGGCATCCCGTAGCTTCTTTGGTGGTGTTTTTTTTTTTATCTGATCGCCTACGGAATGAGGACCTTAGGACGTTAGTACTCGTCGGCAGGGTTTTCTTTTTCTGTCAAGCGTCAAACCGGCATTAGTCTCATTACACTGCATACATACTAAATAGTATGCATATGTAGCTAGTGCTAGCTGTGCTAGCTGTGATACTGTATTAGGCAGATTGAAAAAAAGGACTGCCTGTTTGTATTGACCGGAATAACCCCCAAGTTATCAGCGCGGTGTCTGTATCTTTCTCATCTTTCTCACAACCGAGTACGTAACTAGGTCCGCCTAAGCTGCCTGTGTATCAAGTTTCGATATCTGCTATGGTCTGCTATGGGTCGAGTTGAAGAAGAATCTGGTCCAGATCCGAGTAACATCTGGATTTAAGGAGGACGTCCTATTTAATAGGTTATTGACCTTTCGTCATACATAGTGTTATTTATTCTAGAACATGATCTGCGTTTACTAGCTGTATTTTATTGTCGACAAAACAGCTCGGTTCTCACTCTCTCGATGAGATTAGAGAGATTATTCTTTCTGCCTGCAAACGACAGGGAATTAAAGTGATACTGTATTGCTGTCCTGACCAAGAGACTGTTTGCGGTATCTTTCAGCTCGTTCCGATGTGTCCTAGTGCGGTATCGCGTCTTACTTACTCATTTGATTATATAATACAATATTCCGGTCGTGTCGTTAAGTTCAACTAAACTAAGTTAGTCAACTTAACATTAACTTATCTTCAGATCTTGCGCTCGATCGAGTACATTAGTTACCTGTAATAGTATGCAGGTGCATACTATTATTGTCTTCTCTTGTCGTGAAAGTTAACACTTCGTCTTCATACATAGTATATTAAGCTACGGTCTCGTCTGAGTAATCTTGACAGTCAGAATGATCAATAAATAATGTGCCGCGATAACCACAAGGCAAGGCTCAAGATAAGAGACTATCCTTGTATCTAGTCATACGGTATCACTGCCGTACTATTTAGCCGATTCTTCAAAGTTCTTCAGCTTGAAGATATGTCACGTCGGGACCATGAACATACTGAATAGGATTCGTACATGAGCTATATGATCGTCCAGGATTGTATCCTGCTATATACCCTGGGCTATCAGGGATAAACCACACCACCTGACGTACATCGTATGGATATCGTACGGTATATTACCGTACAGCCTATCGGAAGACGGTGGGACGGGAGGGGCAGAGTTACCCGTAGTCATTGCTGCGTCTTGCCTTTTTGACTTTGCATGTCGCCATTTTCATCTGCTACTCTTCACTCCTTTGCACTCCTGAAATCAATAAGAAAAGCGCTCATCACTCGTCTGTCCCAGACAATTCACGAACATACAGAATTGTCATATACTGTACAGACTCTTGAGAATATATATATATATATACACACATATATATACACTGCGCATACGTCACATGTGCTGTTGAGCGTCCAATATGGAAGCACTGAGTTTTCTCAGTGGTGGTGGCATTGCCAGCAGTGCCAAATACTTTGACATCAGGTAGTTACAATTCTCATTGAAGAGGCTTTTCTCTATACTGCGCCTTCAGACTAACTGTCAATCTTCGCAGATTGGATGACCCCTACGTCGTCTTTCGTGGAAGCGAGCATGAAGCTGCCAGTGCCCATTTACGAGGCACATTGGTACTCTGTCTCTCAGAACCACTGACTATCAAACATCTCAAATTGACCTTAATCGGCATGTCTCGGATATGGTACGTTCGATCTATCCTTTCAACTCTGTCGGAAGCTTTTTACCTCGGTTAAAAGTTACTGACTCAATGTCGTGCTAAAGTTGGCATCTTCCTTCTAGTGCCACAACAGGCGGTCGCAAACCGTACAAAGAGAAAGTCTTTTACGAGAAGGAATGGAAGTTCCGCGACGCCGGAAAGGGGAGAACGGAAATATTACCGGCCGATAATTACGAGTTTCCTTTTGATGTCATATTGGAGGGTTCTCTGCCAGAGAGTGTGGAAGGTCTGCACGATACGTGGGTTACATATCGATTCAAGGCAGAGATCGGCAGGAAATATGCTCGCGACATTGTCATCCGGAAACCAGTGCGCATTGTCCGGACGTTGGATCCGAGTGCTCTAGAACTCGCCCATGCAATGGTTAGTATTCTCCTCAGGCAGATTGGAAATAAGTCTAACGTTCCCCAGTCGGTGGAAAATATTTGGCCGAACAAAATCGAATATTCCATCAGTACACCCACAAAAGCCGTCATCTTTGGCACCTCGGTGCGCATCGATTTTCGCCTTATCCCTTTGTTGAAAGGACTGAAAATTGGGACGATTACTTCTCAGCTTATTGAAACCCATGAACTCACGATGAATCCGGATGACCCAACCACTGTGCAAAATACTTTCAAGTCGACGCGGACAATCAAGACGGATGACTACGAATTGAACGAGGAGGAGCAACTTGAAATACTCGACGAGACGGCTGAAGGATTCCAGTTCCATCGGATGTTGGAACTGCCCCATTCATTGTCACGATGTCTGCAGGACACGGATGTGAAAGGCATTAAAATCCGGCATAAACTTAAATTCAGAGTACAATTGCACAACCCTGATGGACACACGAGCGAGGTATGTTGTCGCCCTAATACGTACATTGACTATGCTAATTTCGATAGTTACGTGCCACTCTACCGGTTACCGTTCTGATTTCACCCGATATGAGAATCGACGAGAACAACACGCTTATCGAAGATGGCAGCACTGTCCGTCAGCATGCAGCAGAGGAACTCGCCAACCAAGCACCTCCACTCTACGGCCAGCACCAGTTTGACCGTCTATACAGCGACATTGACATTAGCGGATACCGCACGCCCGGGCCTATGAGTGGCTCTGCTACACCATTTGGAGCGTTGAGCAGGAATATTTCATCTGAAGATCTCCCTTCCCTGGAAGCCATCACCAACGGAGATATATCCGCGTCAGCATTGCACAGTCGACTTAGCCATCTTCATGCCACTCGAGGCACTTATTCCTCGTCTCCTGGCGGCGATAACCACGACAGCCACCCCGCAGATTACTTTAGCCATATGAACGGGCGCCAATCTGGCGGTAACTCTCATTCACACAGTCCGGAAAACAACTCTCGGCGAGCTTCGGATGAGCAGGATCGCGAGCAGCCGGATTCTACCGTGCCGTCGGGCATGGTTACACCGCATCAACCGCAATACATGGAAGTTGAGACGTTAAGCCGGGTGCCGAGCTATACTACTGCGATCAGAACAGCAGCCCGAACGCAGTACGACAGCGAGCTTCCGGCCTACGATGCCGCTATTTCCAGCTCAGCACCACCAGCACGACCGCTTCCTCCGCCGCAACAGGCACATCTCCGTAACTCGAGTACTTCATCACCTACACGGATGTTGACACTTAATGACGCGCTTCATCGGACATTCTATAACAATCAACATACCAGCCCTGGCCATGACGATGCTGAACGACGATTACGTCTTACACAAGCGCGTGTCGATATATAACCTTACAACCTGTCTCTCCCCTCACCTGCTTGACCTTGTTGTCTTGTAACCCTACGCATTTATATCGGCGTCTTTATTTCTATTCATATATTATTCCTAGTCAGGATACCATACTTTGTTTGGATGTCTTTTCTTGCTTTATACTTGTCACTGGATCATGGACGGCGTTATCAAATCTTTTATGTTTTAGTCTATTGGCGTTATCTTTACCTAACTACACCATTCTGCAGGTAAGGTTATTTGACAGGGTGGACATGGGAAACAGCACGTTCTATCAGACGAGATGATGAGATGATGGAGTATACAAATGACGATGGTGGCTGTTCCACAAACCCCGATCGAGCTAATCTTAAGCCTAATTTCCGAAATAGGATTAGCATGAACTGGACAACTGTGGCTGTGCTTATTTGCTGATTCAGTATGCACACACTGCTGAATGAATCGGTTTGTCTGAAGAATGGCAACCATTGCTGGGTGTTTACTCTGACAGAGGCTATATCTATATAATTGATACTGTATATCCACTCATTCTCTTCAGGCAGTCATTCAACTGCACTGAATGTGTTAGAGTAGAACCAATGGGAGGGCAAGAATATTGATGCCTGATTGGCTGCGAAGCTTAAAAAGGGGGTAAGGCAACCAAATCCCGATCGGGGAAAGCGTGTGAGTGAGGTCATACGCAATTGTCGATCAATAGAAAAAGAATCATTGTTACTTCAGCTTAAATAGTTGATCTCTTCATTGCATTTCTCTTATATTTGTTATCTCAATTCCCTTTCTTTTTTGGTCTGGTTGTTGTTATAAGTAAGTTCTGAGTTGGCGGTTAGGCTTCATCCCCGCAACCCCTCACCATGGATTCTAACTTATCTACTGCACAGAAACAGAAAATGTCGGCTCTACCGCACCGGACTGCGACAACGCACAGTATCGCTACCAATTCCACCAGCGACGATGAGGGGGTTGTTGGTGAGGATACCAGCGAGGTTCGACCTACCCTGTAATCGATCATATGTCTCGAATACTAAGATATTTAGACATCGCGGCTTTTGCTCGAGCGTCTGCAGGCATGGAAGCATATGTGTGGATATCTAGAAGAGTATATTGATGCGACGGCCAAGATACACAAGTCGCAGGCCAAGGATTATGAGAAAGTGCTCAAGGTATGTACTTTTAAGCAGTTTACGTGGACAATGTTGACATGTCTAGACTATCAACAATCCTTTACGAGAGGGGCATCATTTCGATCAAGGATTACAAGGGGTTGCGGGATTATTTGAAGTGATGCGCAACAACACACGGGTATGCCATTCCTTATTCGAATATAAGGATATAACTGACCGACTAGGGAACATCCAACATGTACATCGAACTCGAAAAGAATCTGAAGGGTCAAGTCCTCCCAATCCTGGAACGACTCCACAAGGAAATCAAGAGCAAATCCAAAGAACTCAAATCCGGCACCACCAAAGTCTCAAAGGCAGTCGACAAGGCTCGCAGCGTTACGCAGAAACATATTGAGTTACTGGGTCAGTATGCCGCTGCGTATAGCTCGGCGGGCCACACCAAGATTGAGCCGCAACATGACCCTTATGTCTTGCGCCGAGGTATCAATCACCGGTTGAATAAGCAGGTTATCGAAGAGAACAACAGTCGCAATGATACGATTGCAGTACAAAATTCGTTCGCCGCGTTCGAGGCCCATGTTATTGAGACTGTGCAATTGGCCTTGAACACATTCTTCCAGTTCGTGGGCGGTCAGTTGGATCAGCAACGCGCGTTGTACGGAGATATCGTTCAAAACGCGCAGAATATTGCCGCCGATTATGAATGGAATCTTTTCGTCAAGCGGAACGATGGTATCTTGATTGATCCGGAGGCACCTCCCCGATCATTTAGCAACATTTCCTTCCCTAACCAGGATCATGCCTCTACCAGACCCCTGATTGAAGGTACGCTGGAGCGCAAGTCCCGTGCCCTGATCAAGGGTTACAGCACTGGATACTACGTTGTCACACCCGCACGATACCTGCACGAGTTCAAGGACAATGACGACTTTACTAAGGACCCCACCCCGGAGTTATCACTCTACTTACCGGACTGCATCATCGGAGCGATTGACGGCGCAAAATTCCACGTCAAGGGTAAAGACGTCTCCAACGGCAAAGTCGGCAACGCCTTTTCGACCACGAGCGAGTTTCAGTTCAAGGCTCATACTCCCAACGACGCCGAGAAGTGGTGGAGAGTCATTAAGGATGCGACTTCTTCGCCTGCTGCGGTTGAGGCTGTGCCACCACCGATTAATACTAATGTTGGTCACAGTGCTAGCACTACTGCTACACCTGTTTCTGCGACCACGACTCCAGCGGGAAGTCGCAATGTCAGCGCTACTCATCCAGTTGATAAGGAGGTTGCTGTTGGGTCTGGGACTGCCGATGCTGCTCCGGGTGTGAAGCGTAGTCCCAGTCATTATCATACTTCTCCGGGTGGTACTGGAGTATAACTACAACCTTGTCTTTCGGCTATTATTGCTCCCTTTATACCTTTTGGTTAATGCGTTTGATTTCTCACGGATTTGATTTGAGCACTCCATATTTGAATCCATTATGAATGTGATCTTAAATACAATAATCTAATCATAGTCTTAATCTCTCACCCACTTCAAAACAACAATATCCTGCCTCCCACCACCCCCATATTTATACTCTGGCATATCCGCACTCGCCTTTTCCAGTGTACACTCCAACACAAATCCACATTTTTGAACCACACCCACTGAACTCTGATTCCCCAAAAACGCACTACTTTTTATCGTTTGTGCATTCATTCTGGGTATTGCCCATTCTGTGATTAGTGTGCCGAGGACGGCGCTCATTATACCTTTTCGGTGGTGAGAGGGTGATAACCAGACTTTTTTGTCAGTATAAAAATAGAAAAAGAGAGAGAGGAGAAGAGAGCATACATCCAAGTCCCCAGACCAAATTCACATGTCCCACGGGTAAAGAATCATTATACTCCTGCGCCTTTTTGCGCTGTTCGCTGTCCACAGGTAATTCATAAAAGGGGTATCGACTAATAAATATATCGCCTACTTTGGGCGCCTGAGCTGCTACCTCCTCCTCTGTTCCTGCCCCGGCAGCTGGGGAGAGAGAAGTATCCCGAATATCCCGAAAGGGACATCCATCGTATAACCATTCCCCTTCTCCATCTTCAGGTGGTGGTACTGGATGCTGTAATATCCGCTGCGTATCATCGTACATCCTCCGATGAAACGCAAGCGCATGTTCGCGTTTGTATGGATAGGGTGGTGATTCGAGGTATTTGTGCACCCGGTCATCATTAAGCGCTGTTAGGGCGGCCTCAATGTCGGATTCGGGCGGGATTATGTCTTCATTTTCTTGTTGTCCTTTTTGTGGTGTGTGTACAACTCGCGGAGAGGTGATGATTATGTGTGAATGGGGTGCGGGGAGACGGATGTAGGGTTCTTTTACTTTCTCTCTCGTGGAATTGGATTTGTCAAGGTTGATGATGACCATTTTGCTCGGACTCTGTTTCTCAATTCGGCTTTGAAGAGGATTGTAGTTCTAAAATGCGAGCGACAGAGTCTTATAGCTGGTGGAGCACCCCTGTTAGTACCTGTGAGTCACAAACAAAAAAAATTCGTGGATAGCGCCATTGCGCCAAGGTCAGGGTTGGTTATATTTTAGTTAGCTGTTAGGTAACTTAATTAATGATATACCTTGTTCTTAGAAACGTTGGTTCATTCTCATATCCTAGTCTGCTCGCAAAGACAATGCATAAAATACACGAGATGACTCGTCTCATTCTTGGATATGAATCCATATTCTGCACCTGATCAGAAAAGCGAAAAAAAAGGTATCTCGAAAATATTGACAAAAACAATGCCCAAATGCATAATGCAACCTTGCTCAAAATGACAGTCTAAATAATCAGTAAAGAAAATCAAAAATCCTCCGGACTCTCAAGGTCTTGCAGTTTCTGACGCAGAAACCGTCCTAATGCAGCTGATTTCGCTTCCAAAGCCAGAAGTATCTCCGGCGACGTATTCAGATTCAACGCCGCTAGACGAGCGAGATCATTGTCTCGGTCTATTTCGTACTGTGCTGCGAGTAGACCATCTCCATTTCGCTGTGAGCTCCCCGGTTTTAATGATGACGATGCTGATGGTGATTTTGTTGCATTTGACGTTGATTGTAATGATACCGGATTTGCTTCGTCTGCTTCTACTGCTGCATCATTGGAATCACCACTCGCTTCTATGTTGACCGTTGTCTGGGTCTTGTTTTGTAGTTTTTCTGGCCCTACTACAGCAAGAAGGACCTTATCTGCGATTCTCGTCACGACCGCAGCTTGATTCTCATTTTCAAAGACAATCGAACCGACATCTCCTAATGATATAGATGGCGTAGTCACATATGATGAAGGATGGCTTGCGTGCTTCACGCCGGTCAAGTTTCCTGTCGAAGCAGTTCGAGCAAAAGACGTGTAGGCTGCACCGTAAGTTGCGCTGAGGTTGCGTAGTTGACGAGTTGACAAATCCGATGCATATGCAAATATCGCACCATTCGTTGCAAATATTCTGCTTCTTCAGTGACTTTATACACAACCTGATGGTGATGAATAACTCACAGTATGGAAGTGATCTCTGGAGGCGAGGTGTTATCCTCTAGCAAATCGCTAAGGGCTTCATTATCAAGCATTCGAATATCCGGAAGTGCTGGTGGAGTCATATTGTCGTCCGAATCTGTATCGGCATCACTCAGCGTAGACGAAGAAGCCTTGTCACTTGAGTCGGTAGACTCGACGCTATCCGTCTCGTAGCTATATAAGATAGGAGCGCGTGTGCAATCTTCCGGGAAGAAGAAACAGTTCTCCCAGCCGTCGTCGTCGTGATAATCGTATTCGATGGGTTCCGGGGAATATTCTAATAGGTTTCGGGCGTATTGAACTTGGCACCGAGCCCAGTAGGGAACGAAGTTGGAGTCAGTAGACTTGTGTTTTGAAAGGCTGGCCTGTAGTGAAGACTCCATGATTTAGTTTGGTAATTTGCATCATACGAAAGGACAAGGGCACGGTTATAAATAATCGAATCTGACTTTTTGGACAACAGTCAGACGACAGCCAGCTGGGTGTAATTGCCCATGCCATCACTAGTTCGTCTGACTAAAAGATGTGGAGGAGGCGCAAAAGCAATGAGAGAAATGCACGTAAGATTGCAAGTCTCAGGGAAAAAAAGGACTCATGTGGGTACACAGCATCAACACAGGTAGGCATCACTCATCGACTAGTCTGACTGTTCGTGTTTTGCCAGTGCGACATCTTCAGCCGATTGCTCCGTTCGTAGTTAATCGGCGGCTAGGGCGGTAGATGGATAGCATGTTTGCGATGCGCAAAACACTAACAGACATTCCTCGAACTGGAGTCTGCCTGTGACCTGCTTTTTGAGAGGGAAGAAAACCTTGTTGACTTGACATACCTCTTTCGTTTCAAGGCTAGCCGATCACCTGAGGTTGGTGTAGCACCAATGGTGTAGAACTACACAGTTATGTACAGCCTCACAATCGTCGGACAGTATATCGGGCAAGTAGCGGGGGCTTGAGCACAATTAGTTGACTATTGACGCGAAAAATGTGTGGAATAGGATGAGTAGTTCTAGACTTTAGATCTTCAACTCCGAAGTATGAGTGATGTTGCTAAAGAGTGAAGCCGTGAAGCTTTTGGAGTTGGCGGGGATAAGGAGCGCTAACCTAAAAGAGAAAGTCTATTAAATAAAAGTAATTTGCAAGATATAAATCTATAAATCTACACTCTTGTATATATGGGAACATCTCCAGGTGCCAATTGGCCATAGGCAGCTCAATATTAGCAATGATGCTTTCCATATCTGCTTCTCTTAAGCTCCATCGGGTAAAGAACGTTTGAGACTGGTATTATTTCGAGATTAGGTGCCATATTGTTGAGATGGAGCTCGATGGAACATATTTTCAGAATCAGATTGATGTCTCCTTCCTAGCGAAGTTGGAAGCTAGAGAGGCTAATCCTATGAATTTTGAGGGAAGACTACAGATTCTTTCCCCCCATCTTCCTCTTACGAGAGATATTCAGACGTGTTGCGTAAAAGGAAGCCGTTGTGCTGCAACTTCTGGAAGATGCCCTCAGGGTCGTACTTGACTGCAACGTCCTGCATCCTTTTGACGTTTTCCGTGCCGTAGCTGCGCAGAACCTTTTGGGAGGCTGTGGCGAAGGTCATACACAGAAAATCGAGCAACAGGCTCTTTTATTGAGCCAGAGAGCGTATTTCCGCCATACAGTCTACAGCCTTTTGCGCAGCGGCGTCATCGCTGCCATCTTTGGGCCATTCACAGGTAAACACCCACCCTGTGGTTTAGAATCGAGTCAGCCTTTTCAATATATTAACTAGCAGAATGCACTTACAGCACTGCGGAACACTCTCCAGTCCCAGTATGTTCTCTCCGCGATCCTTTCCTGCCTGTACACCAGCTTTGCCCATAGGTTGGATTGTAAAATGCAGAACGCAGCCCACCGGGAGACTTTTAGATGTCTCTATCCAAGACTTGTAGGCCTCTTCGTAGAGTTCCCGCGAAACTTTGGTAGTTACTGTGGAGATGGCTCACCTGTTTTAGAGCGTTAGCAAACCATCAAGGGGGGGGGAAGCCTTTTTCTTTCCCCATTTCTGCTCACTTCTTAGTCCTGCTCATGGCCCATTGCTTGGGCCAGTGACAGTAGCGTACCGTTTGTGGCGGGAACCACTGTTGTTATCAGACTCGTGAGGTTATAGAAAGGTTCAAAGGCCAGAGGACTCTGCGCCGGGGTATCTCCATAGAGCAAGCTTACAGCTACAAAACCATGGTTGAAGTTAGTGAACAGCCCGATCTTAGGGTCGTCCTCTATGGTTTCTTGAACAGCTATTGTTGCCTTGATGATTTCGACATAGTCTTCCGGGTTGTAGAGGTTGATTGTGTATTGGACGTTGATTAGAGGGTGGGTTTCAATACCGAATCTAGTCACGATCCCTATTTGAATTGTCAAGGAGCCCATCACCCAAGCCAGGTAAAATTGATACATAAAAGCATGCTACATACTAAAGTTTGAACCTCCTCCTTTCAGGGCGCGGTAGAGATCGCCATTTTCATTCGCGTTTGCATTAATAAGTCTGCCATCGGCCAACAACACCTGAGGATATCGTCCGTGAGAACTGCGCCAAAAAAAGAAAGCGGGTTCACTTACCTCGAAATTTTTGATGCCATCTGCTCCGAGCCCATACAGATTGGGAAATGCACCCATGCCACCTTTGATTACTCGTTAGCTTCCAAGTCCCAGCAGGCACCACGCCATTCGGAATGAGTAGGCTGAACCTCCAAGGAGGAAACCTCCTAATCCAACTTGCTGGTCTCGACCTCCAATTGCCGACCGCTTGTGCTCCTCTAGCCAGGCATACACCTCACCCCAAGTGCATCCTGATCCAACTTGGGCGACTCCCTCAGAACTCAGCTTTCTAGACTGAAGCTGACGAATGTCGAGGACGATAGCTGTCTGATCATGATGAGCTTCTTTCCAAAAAAGCGTGTGTGGAAGAGATTGGTGTGTGTGGGAGAGCTTCCAAGAGTGTAAAGATACAACTCGTTTCAGCTTTTTGGAAGAATTAGCTATTTAGGTACCCCCATACCTAAATATACGCTTCCAAGAAGCCACCACTGGTTGACAATAATTAAAAGGGTAAAACTCAAGCAGCATACGTAGTCCCAATGGAGCTTGGCTCTCATATTTCATTGCGCGTAGGATATCTTCTGTCATGTGATTTGATCAGACCTAACTGCCATTTCGAGCCTACTTCAACATGATAGATTTTCTCCTAACTTTATATGGTAGTGTTAATATATATAAGACCATCATTAGTTGTCTGGTCCCACGACTAACCCACAAAACGTTCTGCTTAGTAACAATTTAGCGTGTTCAATGTGGACTAGCAATTTATCTCTGTATCCTCAAATAAACATTGAGTTTCCTTTTTGGGAGCCTTACATATAGGACTAGCTATTAATCATTAGGCAAGGATTTAGGCTAGTTATATTTATGAGTGCTTTAAATCATAGCATTGAGCCCGAGAATTCGTTTCCTCTGTGTACCTTTAGAAACATATTTTCTGCACAGAGTAACACCAATCCGAGTCTAACGCTCAAAAGAAACTCGCTATGCCTCACGAAACTATCAATACTGTTTTTGGCCAACTCCATGCAGTTGTGCAAGGGAACCTCGATAGTGATAAGACGCTGCTGTTACTTCACGGAAACTCAAGCACCTGGAAAGCGTTCACGCCAATCCTTGACGATGAAGTGTTGAAAAGCACATATAAATTAATCGCATTTGATTTGCCAGGCCATGGGGACTCAGGGGACGCTCCAAATCCTCAGCTTTCGTACAACATTCCCGCATACGCCAAGGCCGCATTAGAAGTTCTTCGCCATTTTCAAGTCAAGTCCTATGTGGCATACGGATCGAGTATGGGCGGTCAAATCGCGTGGGACATGATCAAAATCGCTGAAGATTTCGACGTCCGTGGTGTTATGACATCAGGTTCATCACCGTTTGGTAGCGTTGAAGAAATCCAGGAAGGCTTCAAATTCAATTCAGATGACAACGTTGCGACCACGGGGTCTTACACCGACGAACAAGTTGAATGGGCTGTCAAGAACGCGTATGGAGGGGTACCTCAACCGTTTATGTACGAATCTATGAAACGGACTGATGGAAGAGCCCGCCCTTTAATGTTTGAGAACATTGTCAAAGGCGAGTCGACAGATCAAAGAAAGATTGTTAAGGAAACCAAAGTCCCTATCGCCATTGTGAATGGAGAAACAGACCCCTTCATCAACTTGGATGTATTCGATCGACTCGAATTCGGTAACCTTTGGAAGGGCAAGCAAATCACTATCCTAGGATCCGGCCATTGCCCCTATTGGGATAATCCAGATGAATTCTTGCCTATATTGGTTGAATTTGCAGCTAATTGCTATGCTGCATAAATTGAGATGGCAAATTCCACAATCTGTAGTTATTCTAAACTGAATTTAAGTGAATTCCCGAGTCATATTGTTGACTGCGGATTGTACAGAGATCAGAATGTTGCAAAAGTGGTTCAGGGAGTGTACCTAGGTAGAGTTGGTATGCGCGAGTCTCTCTTTTGGAGGGAAGGTCTTGTGTGTAAATGATATAAAACAACTTAGGAAATAAATATATCATAACTGATTGGAATGGAATCTCTGGAATGATTGAAAGTTGGCCCAGTTAAAAATACTTCTGCCTGTTCCTCACATGAAAACAAAACCCTCGTTTATCAGAAATGGCTCATTGCTTTCAAGGAAGAAGACTTCAAAAAGCATGATTGGAACACTATACTTTAGTATATATAGTTTGAATTAATAATAACATCCACACTCATACAATTTTACTAGTAAAGCTGTGTCATATTCTAGATTCCGACATAAGTTAGCCTTATAAATTTATGGTACAATACCAAACTGACTGTCGGTTTATCTACGTCTAGGTCGCTAGCACTAGTCACGTAGAACAGCTATTCCGACGAGCTGACGAGCCTGATCAATATGGTATGGAATTCCTGATATTGATGGCTGCCCCCCAAGAGTAAGGGGGACGAGGAGTAGCTAACTACATATATACGCGGCACGCACGTGCCGCGTTAGACTAACTGATATCCAGTGCCGAAACGCGCTAGGTTTGATATTCATGTTCCTTGATCTGCTTCTCGCACCAATCCCACAACTCTTTCCCCTTCCCCTTCTTAATCGCTTCATAGATATCCTCCCCCGGATTTCGTTCTTAAATCCTTCCCAAGGAATGACAAGGGCCCCTGTTTTCTCTTCCGTTATATCTGAACTCAAACCGGCATATTATTCAGTATACGCACCCAACCTAGGCGGATAAAGTAGAAGATTTCGGACGAAGAACATTATCCATCTCGGCGGGGTATCCTAGATATGTGTATCCAAATTCCCAAAATTCTGTACTACGCTGAGAATGCCATACTTTCCATACTGCTTTGCTGCCTCATCCGCTAATATCTAGTTAGCTGCCTTGGAAGTTGCGCAGTTAAAGCATGCTTCGTTGGTGCCCCCCTTGCTCGAGGTCTTCCAGGTTGTATCCTCCTTTAGGAGAACTCCCTTCCATCATCTAGGAGCAGGACCAAACAATGCGAACGGAAATCTTGGGAGAGACAGCCGCCGCCGCTTGCAGTATGGGAAGAAGAAGTTGAGTGAAGAGAAGCGGCCCGATAGCATTGACCCCCCATATGAGCCTCAATTCTCTGCTTGATCTTTAACCCAACCGGCACAGCACCTATGCCGGCATTATTCCACAGGATGTCAGGACGTGACTCCTGCTCCGAGAAGGGTTTGGCAATACTGCGGACGATATTCAAGTCGTCGAGGTACAGCACGCTAATAAATAGTAAGTAACAACAGGCAAAAACTCACGTCTTCTGCAGATGTGCGGCTGTGTGTGCGGTTCCTTGGTCTTTCAGGTAATTCGATACTAATTTCTTAAAACGAGAGCTTTTTTTTGGCTGTATCCGAAAGGTATCCTTGTCGCAACTGACGAACCTCCCACTGTAGACTCCTTTCTATGCCGAAGTGCTTTCTGGTTACGATCACAGATTTGTCTCTCTATAAGTCTCTGCATCCACTTGAGCGTCTTCACGATCTTCTTTATGTCTGCTTGGGATAGACCCTCCGTTTCTGCAATGCACTATGGACTGCAAATCCCCCCATTGCATCCCCGAGTGTGAAAATTTCCGTATTTCGTAACGAACATGTAACATAAGAGACAGCTGTGTTTGCTGCACCCAATGTACTTGAGGACAGAATCTATCAAATGGCCGGACACTGTACTTCAGCGTGGTATTGCAGGGGCTTTCCTTGCTCTTTACCAAACTTGGTTGTGAGTAATAGCTTGCTCTTCTTAAAAAGCTCATTGATATCGCCATCACTAAAGTCCTCTTTCATTAATTTGAAGACTTTATCAAGTGGCCATGGCTTTAAGGCAAAGACTTCTAATGATGTTGGTAGCTGTACCGGACATATCCTCATCCCTTCAAAGCCTAACAGTCTTTCAGCGGCGCGGATTAATACGCTGTAGGCAATCCTCAGTCGACTCATGAAGCCAATGTTTAACCATAGATTCTATTATCTGCTTTTTAGGGGAACAAAGCCTGACTAAATTGCGAAGATCATCGAGGAGTTACTTTAACTCAGTCAATATAGGGAAATCTTCCTGGTTATTTGTAGTGGTTTCTTCGTACTTTTTCAAGTTTCGACGAAGGTCGATCTTCCATTCTTGAAGTCGATGCTCATAATGGACCAACATCTCTTTCCACAGGTCAAGTTTAGGTTCGTTGAATTCGAAGCCTACAAATTGTCGCTTACCAGGTTCTGAAAAGACTGTAATGGGATTTAGAATGGCTAGGCTTTTGCTCAATATAATTCGCCGGAAGGCCATTACATTAATTTCTGGAAATACTCGCAGTGGTCACACTATGTAGGCTGTAGGCTTCGTGGTGGAAGAATGAAGAAATCTTGTACCTTCCTTGAGCCTCCAACAGCCCTGAAATACATGAATCTTTTGGTTAGAGAATACTGAAAAATGGAAAGAGAGCAAGAAGAAATGTTGGAATGTTTGCTTATTAGAACAGAAAGTATTTCTGGAGGATTCCTAAGCTATTTATGCTTGGGATTCTGCTGCCAGTACATGCAAATGTAACAAACTAAGATAAAGATCTTTCATAGAGAGCTTACAAAGATATTTCATACAAATGAAACAAGAGGCTGAGTGTTGTGAAGATTTATATGTCAACTTTGGGGTATTATTTTACTTATCAATTGGCCTGGGACATGATGGCTTCAACCTGATGTTAGGGCTACCTGGGATAGGGTTAGGGCTATTGGAGCCAATCTGGTCATCTCGCCGATTTGTACCTGAGCCTTACCAATAGTCACATACAGGCAAGCCCGCAAGCAGTTCCGATATCGTCTTTCTCAGTTACCAATTGATATCTCTCTGTCTTGATACTTTCAAATTATTAATCAGTGGAGAATAGGAAGATTGTAATCGGCCGAAACAGCGAGAGATCGGAAACGTCATGTTTTGCTGAAGGCCCCGCATTGCTCTGGTTCTTCCTTCTTCCAACCTCTCCTCTTCCTGACAACACCTCTATAAAACGTTCATCACCCCATGCTAACTCAGCGCATTTCATCTCTATTCATTGGATTGCCTAGACTACGTCCACTTGCACCTTCGCTGACTCAAGGTAAGCTCTTGATCCAGCTGACCGCGAACTGATAAGCCGAAAGTCTAATTTTCGCAGGGAACTCGAGAGCATTTAGCACAATGGCCTCTACTACGAACCTCTCAACCTATAAACTCAATCGTAAGGATAGATCATTGCGCAACGTAGAATACCTCGGCTAACAATTGTCAATAGATACCATGATCCGGGTCAAAGACCCTAAGCGATCACGCAAGTCAACCCGTCTCTATTATCTAACTTATCGTGCAACTGCTGACAAATTTCACGCGATAGTGGAATACTACAAATTCCTGGGTATGAACCAAATCCGAAAAATTGACTTTCCCGAAGCCAAGTTCTCTCTTTACTTCCTCGCCTACGACGGCCCCAAGTCGCTCTCTGGCCAAAACCCGTTCTCTGACCGCAATGCCGTGCTCGAACTCACTCACAACTGGGGAACCGAGAACGATCCTGAATACAGTGTCGTGAATGGTAACACTGACCCGTATCGTGGTTATGGACATATCGCTATCTCCGTTGACAACATCGAAGCCGCCTGCAAACGCATCGAGGACGCAGGATATCCATTCCAAAAGAAACTGACAGATGGCCGCATGAAAAATATTGCTTTTGCAAAGGATCCGGATGGCTACTGGGTGGAAATCATCCGACGCCATGATGAAGATGTTGGAACCAGGACGGATGTCTCGAACTATCGCTTCAACCACACTATGCTCCGGGTCAAGTCAGCTGAAGCAAGTCTCAAATTCTACCAGGAAGTGATGGGTATGGAGCTGGTTCGTACTTTGGAGATGCCGGACGCCAAATTCAATCTTTACTTCTTGGGGTATCCCACATCAAACCCACCCAAGGCTGAGAATGCTAGGAACCCAGTTGCCGAATGGGAGGGCCTGCTAGAGCTTACTTGGAACTATGGCACCGAGAAGGAAGAGGGTCCTGTTTACCACAACGGAAACGACCAGCCTCAAGGATTCGGGCATATCTGTAAGCATTTTCAAATGATGTATTTAATGAACCTTTTGCTGATAAGCCCTCTACTAGGCGTTTCTGTGGACAATCTCGATGCTGCTTGCGCCAGATTCGAATCTTTGAATGTCAACTGGAAGAAGCGTCTTACCGATGGAAGAATGAAGAACGTAGCCTTCGTTCTTGATCCCGACAACTACTGGGTTGAGATTATCCAGAATGAGAAGTACGGTGACGCTTATAAAATCTAAGGCTCTTCAGATTCGAGACGAGCAGTGAGTACTGGAAGTGAGTATCACCTCTCGGTCGTTGTAATTGTATCTCTACAAGAGATATTTTGTTATCAAATTGTACCGATTGAATGTATGGAGCAGCCCCACACTAGTAATTTTGATCTGTGTAATCTTATGTAATTTTAGTACGGTAACGGTGTGGGCCAATCATGTGATGCATCTCTCAAACTCTAGCTGATCTCCGACAATCTGATTGGACGAATTGGGGACTGATGTGAGTGGGTCCTTCCCCGCACGTGGAAATCTTCAATTTGATGGACAAAATTCTTTTGCTCCTGAACCTCAATTTCAGCTCGACAAATAATTTCATCATGAAGAATACAATGCAATACTCGATTAAGTACATCTCGCAGGCAAGGGGGCCTTGAAAAATGACATAGCAATATGTGTTAGAGTGTGCTGAGAGAGCCTTCGTTGCACACGACACCATAATGATCTGTTCGACACGATAAATTCTGGATTTCCGCGTGACCCATGTGAATTAATTTACCATGTCAACATCTCAAGTTGAGTCTCGGCAACCTTCAGGAAAAGGGAAGAAGGCGCCACGCAAACATGTCACGACGGCATGTGTGCCTTGCAGGGAGAGCAAAATCAGGGTGTGTTGTGGCCTTCTTCGAGCTAAAGAGGTTGAAAATGGCTGATTGATTTCGGGTCATACAGTGTGACGGCACTCAACCAAATTGCTTGAACTGTCAGAAAAAAGAAAAGGCTTGCAGGTATCAGCATGGAGATGACAAGAGGAAGTGAGTATGAACTTACTTTCGGCTGCCACAAAAAATGATTGCAATACCTACCATGGGCCATCAAACCTTGCTAATAACCTTCTCTAGAATCTCTTTACGCGCAGCCACGGAACTCTTCTCTGCGAGGATCGATCAATTAACTCAATTTATTTATAATAACGGCCTCCAGCCGCCGTCGATGCGGCCAGATGCCGAACAGGAAATGAATAGAGTGCTGGATACCCTTCAAGTCCCGCGAAGCTTAGTCAACGCAAATACTGCCCAGAATAATGCGAATTTACCTCGGACGACTCTCCAAAACAGAGACTTTAGTGGTGAATACAATCGTCAATATGCGCCGCCTAACAATCGGTATCAACCATCTGCGCAATTCACAAACATCACTAATCATGAGTACCTACCGCCTATCTTTGACTTCAGTCTTCCAACAGCCGAGATCTTGGATGACATCTACGCCAATAATTTACAAAGCTCCTCGCTCAACCTTCATTCGGGGCAACCAGATCCTTATACAGGAATTGAACGGACCTCTTTGCGAGCGCAGCAGCACGACGATGACTCTGCCTCGGATTCTGGCGACGAGGCGGAGAGGGAGGTCATAGAACAGCTTTCGTCTCGAATAGGCACATTAAAGCTAGCTGGAGACGGTCATCTACGTTTCTACGGCCCAACCTCAAACCTCACTCTGGTTGACGTTGCATCTACTTCGAAACAGATACCTGGCCCAGATGTGCGCTCCGTTCGGCATGATGGCCAAGAGCTTCTTAATCATTTGCGTATCGGACAGCAGGTTGAACCAAGCTTGGAAGATCATCTCATAGAACTCTACTTTACATGGCAGAACCCGAGTTTGTACATCGTGGATCGAGAGATGTTCACTTTGGCGCGTGCAAAATGGCGAGACGAATTGGATGATACTCCGTTTTACTCTGAAGTCCTTACCAATGCAATGTATGCTCGCTATCTGTGTTTTCCGAGTAAAGGTCCATATACGCTAACGTGATATGTTACAGGTGCGCACTTGGAGCAGCCTTTGAGGCCCGATATCATCCAACATTCATCACTTTTCCAAAATCGCTTTCGGAGTTCTTTGCCGACAGAGCAAAGGCTCTTTTGGAAATTGAGCTCGATTGTCCTTGTGTGGCTACGGTGCAGGCTCTTGCTATACTTAGTAGTCACGAAGCTGCATCCAATCGCGACGCTCGGGGGTGGCTTTATAGTGGTGAGAATCTACTCATCAAAGGAAATTCGGACTACAAGCTGATTACGTTGTTAGGCATGTCAATGCGACTTGCCTATGATCTGGGCTTGCATCTAGACATGGCGTCGTACGTAGAAAGGGGAAGCATGACACCTATGGAGGCGAAGGTGCGTCGAATAACCTTTTGGGGAAGTTATATTGCAGACCAGTAGGTTACTATAAACTAGTATAATCCATCACCGGGATTTTATTGACAATAATCCGTACAGCTTTTGGGGATTTTATCTAGGCCGCCCATTCCGCATGAATGCCGGGGATGTATCTGTCTCGAAGCCAGCATCGGGACCGGATACCAAAGAGGAGACGTGGTATGCGTACGGAATGGGAGAGTCGTTACCGAGTACTTTGGAACATGGCCTTAGAAACCCGGGCGAACTCATTACACAGCAATTCGTTAATCTATGGGAAATGATTGCACCGGTGGGGCACATTCTGTTAGTAGCTGATCATCCTTTATGAGGACTAGTGTGCTGATATTGTACTCCAGATACGGATGTAGTGACATCGAGAGCCATGATCTTCAACGAATGAACTATAAGGTGACTGAAGACCTGTTTGCATGGAAGAGAAGTCTAGCTCCTTCGCTACAGATCGATCTGGAACATGATACTGGTCCTGTGCTACCACACCTGCTGATGCTCCAGTAAGTCTTTCGCGGTTTTCCTTTCAGGCGTACGTCAACTAAGTACGAATATAGTATGCAATACTACCAAATCGTTATATTCTTCCACCGACCCTGGGTGTCTAAAAGCTACATTCAGCCGCAAAATCCTAAACAAGGTCCAGGACACCAACATGCACGCAGAACATGTGCCGAGTCAGCGACGGCAATTGCGCGCTTGCTACGCCTATACGAGAAGTATTACACATTCCGACGAATAAACAACCAAGTTGTCGCCATCATATTCACTGCTGCTCTGATGTTGATATTCGTCACTATTTCTATGTCTACCCAAGACACTGGGCGGCTACGTGCGGACGAAAAGAATCGACAGGTGGACATGGCAACACATCTGAATGTTTGTTTTCGAGCGTTGGACGAGCTCGGCCAATCGTTTGAGAATGCAAAGAGAACTAGAGACTTCCTGGTCAGCTTGCAACGACGATGGCAGAATCACATGCGGAAGACTGGCGGAAATTCGAAACGGTCGATCGAGCCACCTGGCACCCGAAGCTCTCGCAATGGCGAAGACGGTTCTCCTAGCGTTTCCGCCGCCCCTAGTTCCGATCAGTCCTTGTCACGATTAGCGAGTCAGAAAAAGCCGCGATTAGCAGAGCAGTCAATGCTGGAAGACTCGAGGCTTGGGGTCAACTTTGTCAACTCACATGAATTCTTACCCCCGGATGTTGAATTCGGATCCATTAGCAATGGAGGATTGAACTGGACACCTTCTAGTCGGGACCTGAAAATGCTTTCAGAAGAGATTGGCGATGCGCCGTTGTTCTCTACTACATCGTCTCCGTCATCAACATCATCCCAGCGGCAAGTGCCAGGAGGTATGGCGACGTTCACCAGCGGCACGCCTGGGGGTAGTAATGCTATCTCGAGTCTGGGTGAGATGGCGCACGCATGGTGGACCTGGCCTGCTGATGGCGTCAATGGACTTAATAGTAATCATAGAAGCGATAGAAATGTTCGATGATACCAGCATTTAGGGTTAGCGGGCTGCTGAGTTTTGAATATCTCAATCTCGTCTTTTTCTGATATCTTTGCCGCAATAGCGACGTATACTTCTGCTGAATAAATCATCCAATCAAGGATGCGATACTCGAATACATCCAAGTATGGAATCATGCAGTAGACTGTATGCTGTCAAAAATCAGCCTCGTCAGATGCAGCGTCCTAATTAAGCTAGTCCGTTAGGGTTGTCGTGTTCGGCAAGGCAGATCTCCTCGCGGATTCCCTAGACCCGAGAATGATGTACGTATTTCAATTTAATTTAATGGCTTCAAAAGGCTTGCGAGGCTCACTGACATATCTCTAGCAGTGCGAGTCATGTCGTAGAATCTAGAAAACAAACCCCACAGAAACGAACCATAATAATGGCGAGGGAGAAAGTAAAAGCAAGCCTCACTTCTTGGGCTTGCCACCATAAACAATTCCTGTTACTACGCATAGTACAGACCAACTAAGTAGTACCGTTTTCAAAGAGATGCGTGATCGAAACTATCCCGGTCCAGGGTCACAGTTCGGATGTTTAATTGGCATTGCTATCACACAGCTCAGCCCTCATCTTTTCAGGGATCTGCAGGTGCCAGCAAGGAATGAAGGGTCGAGACCACAAGATTCAAGGATTTTCTGCAATCAGACATAGCGCCATCTCTAGTATCTGACCAGGGAGGTCTGTCGTATGGGCAGATGCAAGATGCACTACGACGTCGACAAGACGCACGCAAGAATCTGTTTCGGCGGCAAGGCGGGGATGTGAATGTTTACAGGAACACTCGTATACCCACAGCCTAGTTAGCAATTGGCCTGTCCTTAATCAGACTGTGGAACCGTTGACCGTTGATTTTTCCCAATCCAGTTAATCGACGTAAAAGCTTTAAGCTTAGAGAGAGTACGGAATTCGGATGAACGAGTTATCGCGGGCCTGCCGAGCCGCTTCCTCCAAGTTAGACTCCTCCTCAGATGTAACAACGTGGTACGAAACATATTATTGTGTGCTGATGGGGCCGCGGGGCTTGTTCTTCTCTGAATATTTCCTCTTCTTCTGTCGGAAATGCTTCTTCTTCTTCTTCTTCTTCATTTCGTCGTTCGCTTTCATGCTATCACTGATCCTGGCGCTCTTGGCTAGTCTTTTGCTGTATGATTCGATCGCTCACAGTGGCTGCTTTTTCCCGTCTTCGTTCTCCCTCCTTTGCCGCTGCCATTGGCGTCCGGCCCTGGCTCGGGCTAAGTTTAGCAATAGAAATCGAGCGGGGATTGCTTGTACATCTGTCGGTGTTGGTCTGAGAGCCTTTTTGTCCTATCGCGGTAGAGCCATCATGCATCATGGTTGGTGTTCCTCGTAGCAAGGGCTGCTCTGTCTGTCGAAATAGACGCATCAAGGTGAGTGCACCTTTCGCTTTGGATTTCAACACTATGCGTCGAAGTATCTGACTAGAAAGTAATATGTAGTGCGACGAAGCTCGTCCCGAGTGCGGACAATGTCAGAAATACGGCTGCCCCTGTCCCGGGTACAATCGCGGCCTGAAATTCCAAGACGAAGGACCGAACCTCCAACGCCGTCACCGTCGCTTGTCTGATCGGAAATCATCGAACAATGATGTCGAAAAGAAACCGTCATCTGATTCCAATTCGTCCAATTCCTCGTCAAAAGCCGATCCCCGCGCAATGATGCCCGAAGTCGTAGCGGAAGACGCTCTGCTTTTGATGCAAACACATGTCAGCAGTATTGACGAGAGTCTGTCGCCTTCACTTATGCAGAAGCTGTTTATGACGCAGCAGCCGAGACTCTTTATGGATTTTACATGCGCTGCGTTTCCGACTTTGTACTTTCACAATCGCTTTCGCTCGCAGATCGCATTTCCCGAATACATCATGGAGAATTTCCACTCGAGAGCTTATCAGGATTCGGCCGTGTGTTGTCTTAGTGCTGTATATCTAGCTTCACTGACAAAGGATTCCCGCCTTCTCCGATCAAGTCGGTATATGTACGGGGAAGCATTGCGACGAATCAATCGCATTATAGATACGGACGAGGCTCTTTCGGATAATGTCCTTAGTACCGTTATGATGCTTATGATCTACGAATTATATGCTCGTACTACTCCAGATGCCTGGGTCAAACATGCCCGTGGCGTCAAGGAGATGATGGTGAAGCGCGGTGTCAAGAAACACATGTCCGGTTTTGGTCGGTCCTGTTATTATGCATTTCGGGGCTTCTTGGTTGCTCACGCCCTTCATGAGGGGATACCTTGTTTCTTGGACGACGAAGAATGGCAAAATTTCGCCGCACAAGTTCAACAAGAAGACGCAAAGAAACCTGGAGAATGGTCGGTGTTTGTACACATATCCGAGATGATCTTCATGGAACTGGTCAAATGTCCTCGATACGTCTACGATGTGCGGCAACTATCACCCACAACTCCTCGAAACGTAATCATGAATCTTGTTGCGCGAATTCGCGCAACATGCGCTAATCTTCGAAGTCTTAGCGACGAGCTTCAGGCTTCTATTATGTATCATTTTCAGAAGAAGCAAGGCATAGAAGTCAATGTAAATGGCTTCGTAGGGCCGGCACCATCCTTGTTTCCCGATACCAACCCGACTCTTCTTCTTCAGGGCGCTACTCATTGCATCAATACATTGGAAAAAGTACTGGGTACGATCAAGATTGACAACCTGGCTATCCAATTAGCGGTGGGAGCAACTCCGGAAGTGCAAGCACATACATCCCCACAGTCACAATCACAATCACCGCCACGATTACCGTCCTCTCCACCGTCCGCTACATATTCCCACGAAGTATCAGGAACAGACTATCTATCCCCCACGCCCTCTGCCGACTCAACGTGCGAAACCATCTCCTCCAACAACTCCAGCCCCCGAGGCCCGGCAGACGATATTCCTTCCACCGCCAACCCCATCAAAACGCATACCTTTACTCTACCTTTCCGTCTAGTGTCTGAAATCAGTCGTGGGCCAGTGCACCATGACAAATCCAGCGGAGGTCATCGCTCTGTCGTCTGGTTGGATCACATTGCCTGCTCAATGGGAATGATTCGCACAGATGTCGAAGCGGAGGCAGTCCCCGAGGAGGAAGAATATAATAACAATACGCGTCTAGAGACTATTCCTGAGTCGGTGGAAATAGTGGAAGATGAGTAAATATGCTTTTACCTTTTTGCTATGACTTTTATGCGCATTGCTTTTGCCTGGGGCATGATATACTATACCACGAGTGTACAGCTGATTGATCAGGTTATGAATTGTTTTGTGCCGCTTATGGACCTGACCTTGGATTGCATTTTAGCCATTGTTTGTTTATATGATACCTACGATAATATTTCAACATATCCATTGATGAATACTAACGTCCTACTATGCTTGCTCCATTCATAATATTCGATCATCTCCTTACTTTACACCTAAAAAACTAATACTCCAACGAATTCTCAAACAAAGTCCTCAACTCCTCCTTCTCAGCATTCAATTCCTCACTCAAACTAGGCGCCAACATCAACACTCTCTTCTGCGGAATAGTCCCTTCCACGAGTCCATCAATATCCGCCGAACTAAATCCCAATTCCTTCAGTCCTCGCGGTTGATCACCTAGCGAAACCAAGAATTTCGCAATTGCTTCACCCAATACTTCGCCGGCACTTTCGCGCTTGACGTTTGAGATATCTACGCCAAAGGCCTCCGCGGCTTCGAGATGTCGGTCTGGATTTGACGCGGCTGTGAATCTGAAGACGGCCGGGGCAGTAACGGCGACTGAGACGCCGTGTGGGATGATGGGGTGATCGACGTTGTAACCCGCATGTTTGTAGCCTGGATTTTGTCCAGAGATCGGGTAACTCATACCATGGCAAAGATGGACGCCGGCGTTACCGAATCCGACACCCGCGAGAGTCGCAGCGAGGAGCATTTGTTCCTGCGCTTCGAAGTCCTCGGGATCCCTAACGGCGCGGGGGAGGTATTTGACCGTGCTGCGTAGAGCGTTTAATGAGAATATATCCGATATAGGGTTGGCGCCCTGATAGGCAGGACGGTTAATGGGGTTTGTAGGCCGGGGCTTGCGCTCATAGTATGGGATAGCGGTATATGATTCGAGGGAATGGCAGAGTACATCGAGACCGGAAGAGGCATGAACAGCGCTGGGCATGGTTCGAGTGTTGAGTGGATCGCAGATACCAAGGGTAGGTTTGAGCGCACGATGAGCTACACCTGTTTTCGCCTTTTTGGAGACTAAATCGAAGATGGCGGTGCCTGTGGTTTCGGATCCGGTTCCAGCCGTCGTGGGAACGGCTACTAGGGGCTTCAATGGTTTGGTGACGGGGAGACCTTTGCCGAGAGGAGCGTTGACAAAGTCCAAGAAATCGGCATCATGGAAGACAGTGTACAAATTCATCAGTTTGGCAGTGTCGATGACGGAACCACCACCTATGCGAACATGTCAATAATCTGAGTGTCGGCTTGTTATTGAGATGTACTCACCAACAGCAAGGAATGCATCGGGATTATACGGTTTAGCAAAAGCAATTGCTTCCTTAATTCTGCACACACCACAATCAATCTCTGTGGCCCTCGAATAGAGAAAGGAAAACATACGAACTATCCTTCGGCTCAGTGCGGACTTTATCGAACACCGTGAATTCCACACCCTCCCTTGCTAATCCCTCAGTAGCCTGCTTCATAGCATCCAATTGAGCTACATTCGTGTCCGTCACGATACAGACTCTCTTCGCACCCAAATTCTTAAAGTCCATACCGACTTCCTTGGTGGCACCAGGTCCGAATCGGATACTAGATGCGGCCATTTCAAAGGCATACTCCTTCTGCTGCGAAGGGTCGGTGGGCGTAGCTAGATGACGTCGTACATTGTTGGCTAAGCTTATTTGTTGGCGCTGATTGTGATGGTGATGTCCTGGATTGGTGTGGCATGGGCAATTGGGTGGATGGGTAAATTGGATGGTGCGGAGGAGCGATACTGCTCGATTGGCAGCTGAGGGAGCTACCCTGATGACAGGGACGGTCATGTTGGATTTAATTTATTTAAATCGGATAATATGCTGAGGATCGAAGATTGAAGAAGAAAAGAAACACTGGGGTCTAGGGCATTTAATGATCATGCGGGGAAATTCCGGGGAGGATCTTGAGCCGAGAGTAAAGCGCGGAGAGAGCGGGAAAGGCGGGATGAGCTACAAGCTCGCAACGATGTCCGAACTTGTATCCGTACGTATTTTACGATACGTGACTGTGTACTATATGAATAGACAAGGTTCATCCCGTTACCCCGCAAATTAGTTTGGTTCCTCCAGTCAATGGTCAAGTATCTATTTATCTGATCTATATTCCGTATATACATATATACGTATAAATAAATTCCTCTCTAATTTCATCTTCATCCATTTCGTCATATTCTATGGCTTCCTCTACTGATGCCTCCCAGCCCTTGCTTGGTGACCACAACACGGACCTCGAGAATCAGCCACAAACCGGAAATAAGGATAAGCATCACCACAGAAGCAAGACCTTCCCTCTACCAACTTCTGTTGAATTTTCACGAGATGTATCGGGCAGCCGTTTCATTGGAAACCTAGCATCATGGTCCAAAAAAGGAGTAGAAGGGCTAGGAATAAGCAGAAACAGCAGCTACAACCGACAATACCATGAACATCAGCAATCCAATGAAGAACAACAGTATTACGACGATGACGAGTATCCGTATGATGTGCATCCAAATACATCCTACTACGCTCATCTTAGAGCCAAGACCCGTGCATTCCTATCATCCAAATGGGGTCATTACATCGTCCTATGCATGGTGGCCGTAGATGTAGCGTGCATTTTTGCCGATTTCCTGATTGAATTGTGGGTTTGCGAGTTAAGTGAAAGACACCAAACACCCATTGATCGTCGCTGGAGTCTGGCACAGGAGGCTCTGGGATTGGTGGGCTTGATATTCTCCTGCTTGTTCATGCTGGAATTGATTGCTTCCGTACTGAGCTTTGGGTTGGGTTATTTCCGGTCAAAGTTTCATACCTTTGACGCCCTGGTGATTGTCTTGGCTTTTATTCTGGATATTGCGTTAAGGGGTGTTGTGGAGGAATTGGGTTCACTTATCGTTGTGCTGCGGTTGTGGCGGGTTTTCAAGATTATTGAAGAGATGAGTGAGGTTAGTGCTGAGATGATGGAGAGATATGAAGTTGAGCTGGATAATTTGAGGGTGGAGAATTCAAAATTGAGGAGGAAATTGAAGGGATACGGGTACAACGACGAGGGGGATGATATTGAGGGTAATATTGGAGGCGACGAGGAAGTCAACGAATGACGAGACCAGCCATGATCTTAATAACCCTAATTCTGCTACAGATCGCTTTTTGTTGTTTGTGCGTCTCTTTTCCTGCATCACGATACCATTACCGTTCTTGTATACTGCGAGATTATCTATTCGAGTCTTCCAGCTTGGTCTTACATCTATCGAAATGTTTGAAGCACCATAATATTCAAATGTTTGGATTATACATTACATTAAACTATTTATAAACCCCTTCAATGTGACAAAGTGCTCCCATCAAGTCCATGCAAAGTAATAGGTTATATTTTTTTTTCTGATATCCATTTCGGATACCATCATTTGTAACAGCCATTCCTCCACTAGCACAGTGTCAACTGTACGTCCACTTCAGCACTGCAAGAAGCGGTATGTATCCCCGGTGGTGATATCCCGTCTGCCCAATGGAAACTCTGGCAAGCACCATTCGCCGGCACGAGAGCAACGGTCGAATTGGCAAAGGGATCACCATTAACATCTGAAATATCGTACCAGATTGTCTGGTTGTCCAAGGTATAGCCGTAATCTAGCTCCGGAGCACTGTTGTATATTCCATCTGCAACTGCAGTCACTTTGAGTGTGATACCGCCGGTCTGGTCATCGTGTCGATATTGTTCGGTGTAACTTTCGCCGTTCGCTAATGCTTGGTAGTTGCCGATCGAGGATCCCACTGACCAGACATATATGGTGTTTGTGCAGTTGTTGAAGACTATTGCGTTTCCAACGGCATGAGCAAGAGGGAGGAGTGCACCAACCAGAGTAGCTGATATGAATTTCATGTTGACTTGAATTGACTGGGTATATGGAATCTGAGAAGACTTGATATTGGATGTGGGTAATCTGAGTTTAGGATTCAAGCAAAAGTAATGTTAGGAAAATTACAGATGAGTGTATGGATAACTTAGACGCAGCGAAGGTAGCAGCAATTCTTTTATAGACCAGAAGCAACTTAGCGTTGACACCTGCAACGTGTTTTCCCGCTTAGCATTTAAGACTTATAGAGACTAAGCCAAAAACCAGGACATGATCACATTTCTGTAACCATAGGAGACTGATTCCTGATTATTTGGTGTAACATCCACCTAGAGCGGTGGACGATTAGTCCGGGGAGAGATAAATGTCTTAGACAGTATGCATAAAGCCAAATTATCAATAGTGAGGTGGAGTACCCCTTGACATCAATGGCTATTTCACGCATTCATCCTGATTTTGTATTTTCATCATCTGTGATTGGGTTGGATAGAAATTGTATGTTCAGGAATGTGGTGCCTCGGGAGATCAGCTCAATTCCATGCGGAGTGCAAAGAATTTCCGGAAACTTAGAGTGGCTGGCCAAGCATGCCTCTATGCATAGCTTGGAAGAAATCAAGAATTTTAGACATGAAAGACAGGTGCTCGCTGAGCAACGAAGCCACTGTCCTGCCACAGTTATGTGAAATGTGACTAGTGGTTGCCATACTAAGATTCCGTTTTTGTGGATGATTGCTCGCAGTGAAATTCGACAGTTGGCATGTTTAAATCTAGACATATGGTAAGACAGAACGTTGAAACCAAAATAAACAATGCCACTGAAAGGTTGGGAGGGGCTTCAACCTATGCGATGTGACCGGTTTGGTTTGCTGGCTCCTTGACAAAGCCGACAGTAACCACGAGATATCATAACTGACAGGATATTCATTTCAGGTTAGAAAAACATTATCCAACGGCTGCAATGTAACCAATCCATTGAAACAGCAAAAGAGTCACACAGTGTGATGGATGGACCCTTGACCCTGTCACAAGAGACGATGTCTTAGATCTGCCGATCTCCAAGCGGAGATCATTGCAGATGCATACATCCCCTCAAGTTATATCAGGTTTCGGCACTGTATTTGTGCATAGCGTCTCAGGTTCTCGAATCTTCCAGTATTCACTCACATGTACAGCTGCTCAGAAGTAATATGAGGTTGAAACGAGGAAGGTCAAGATAGGGTTACCGATTACGGTACTAATACACGCACTAATTACCCTAGTGTGGGGGTAGCTCCCACTAGCCCCACGATCTAATGACACCTCATCTTCATCTCACTCTCCTTATGACATTTTCAAGGATCAACCTGCTCTCCAATACGAGATACCTGGCCATCTATGAAGAAACCAGTAAAGAGGGCCTGTGACTCCTGTATCACTCGCAAAATTCGCTGTGATGGAGCTTGGCCTTGCAAGACATGCGCAACGTCAGCACGACGCTTGCGATGTACATATGATAAACCAGCTCAGAAAAGAGGCCCTAAGGTTCGGCGACAGTCTATGAACAGCCATCAAGCCAATGGTGGACATTGTGGCAACACACCGGCTGTGAGCAATGAAATCGCAAAACTGCAACATGAACAGCGTGACTTTAAGCAAAGCATACAGCAAGTTTCTGCGCCGGAACCGGATTCTCTTGGCTCTCAGATTACCCCTTCTCTTCAATTGAAAAATGCTCTTTCTCGTGCCATAAAAGAGTATCAAAGCCAGTCTTACGGTGTCTGGCCGATCATTCGCTCCGATGTATTGCTGCAACAACTATCGATGCCTCTCTTTGAGGAACCTTCGGTATACGCGTTGGCAACAGCGCTATGCGCGGCAACTATGTCCCAATTGGACCTCGATCCACTTCTATGTTGTATAGGGGACGAGTTAGTAGTTGTTGACGGGTCATACTTATCAAAAGAATGCATCCGCATCAGAGAGCAGTATCAGTATCGAGAACATCTGGATATACGCTGGGGCCTGGCTTCGTTCTTTCTTCATGTCTATCATGCAAAGGTAGACAAAAGAAATTCGGCCTTGATGTTCGTACAGGAAGCGCTCACATCAGCCAGGTTATTGGGTCTTGACAAACACGGCCAGTCTTTACAAGAATCCGCTGCGGGGATGGTGGTGGACAATAGCGAAATCGTCTTTCCATTACTGTGGGTCACAGAAAGGTAACAATCTACTCATATTAGCCAACTGCCCTTTGGACTGACAATATTACAGGGGTTATAGTATGCATCTAGGGCTAACGCCCTCATTTTCTTACAACTCGCCTCTTCAACTTATAAGTCCAACTAACGAAAATGCACACGTGAAGGGAATGGTTGCGCTTGCAAGGCTCTTCGTTACATTTGATCAATGTGTCAATGATTATAACTCCCAGAACACACTAGTAGAGTGCGAGCGATTGCTCCGTGAATCTGAAGTTTACTCAGGCGTCAATGCGACCCGGCTAGCAGACCTTTCGATTACAAGAGAATGGATGAGAACTATGATTTGGCAGAATGCGCTTTCGGCTGGATATCTGTCATTCGATTCTGCAGCAACTTCTCTGAGGTTCGATTTTCCGATTCTTACAGGCCGAGATCTGTTGGCTGCTTTGCGCGGTTTCACCTCGGAAGACTTGTTACCATTGGGTCGTGATCAGGTATGTAGGGCCTGGAACATTTATGAAGATACAGGCAGGAACTGATCTTGCTTCAGCTCTTAAAATGCTACGAAGTAGCCAACACTCTGGCAGATACACTACTTTGCAATCCTGCTCTTGTAGAGCAATCTACCTTGCAATTCGGTCCTTACGACTTTTTACATGGCTTATACCAGAAGATACTACCTTTTTTACATTCAGATGATACTCTGAACTCTATTCTTCGAGAGAAGACTGCAGAGACATTGTTACGTGCTCCCTCACGCTTTCGACCCCTCAGTCTACCTCCATCGGAAGATGTTATGAGCACACAAGTGGACCCAAACACTATAAAAGAACCAGGCTATGATGGGCAAGAAGTCATCAAAATGATGAATGGTTGATTAGAATGTCAGAGTGCTTTTCATTCCTATGTTAGAATGCCTTCTACTGATTAAGGATTAAAAGCTTTCTGATGACAGACAGATCCTATTATGGTTGACTTGAAGTGTCTTACAAACACGCACGCTCTTCGTGGCTATCAGGACTCCTGGCATTGACTAAGTGCCAAGTTAATTCTGGAAATCAAGCAGTCTCTGCGACCTGCAAGACAATACGTCCAGGTACATCACCCTTCTCAAGCTGTTCATAAACCTGTGGCAACTGCCAAAATGGCCGTACTTGAACCTTTGGAATGACGACGCCTTTTCGAGTGAGCTCCACGGCCTCCATACATTCTTTCAATGAACCGATCAAATTTCCTGTGATCTTCAGACCCTTGATCACAATGCTAGCAACAGGGGTCTCTATAAAGGGTCTTCCAGGTGGAATACCGATGCAGCTAAGTGTACCACCAATTCGAAGCATTTCTGCTGCGTGGGCAAAAGCTTTGGCATTTCCGGCTGCGATAATGACTGCATGAGCACCTCCATTGGTAATCCTGCGGACTTCTTCGATGGTGTCTGGGACGAGGGTGAAATCGACGAATTCCTTAGCTCCTACTGATTGGAGATATTCGCGCTTGTCGTTACCAGTGTCGACCGCAATGACGGATGCGCCACTTGCGCGTGCATATTGGACTGCAAAGTAATAGATCAGCGTACTGGTATCCTGAAGAGGTAACAGATCGAAGGCAAGCTTCACTTACCAGCAAGGTGTCCTAAGCCACCACCGGCACCCACAACAACAACCCAGTCACCTACTTTGATATTGGCATTGAGGACGGCCTATTATACACTAATCAATAACTATGTTCTGACTGATGGATTGTCAAGACAAACCTTATAAGCCGTGACTCCAGCACACAAAACTGGTCCAATGAGCTTAGGGTCGACATCATCAGGCAGAATGGTCAAATTATCAGCATCCAGGGCAATATACTCCTGAAAGCTACCATCCTCATGATGCAGGTGATTTGTACTCTTAGCGCAATATTGCTCTGCGCCTGCCAGACAAAACTCGCATCGTCGACAGACCCTACTCAAGAAACGGATTCCAACCAAGCCCCCGAGCTTGACGCCTTCACCGCAATTTGGTCCGATTTTCACTATACGGCCGACGCCTTCGTGTCCACCGATGTGTGGGAGTTTGATATTCGTGATGGGAGTGCCTTGTGAACTTGCAGCGGTGCCGGATTTCGTATGCAAGTCTGTTACCGGGAAAGATTGTCATTTAACAGGCTTCACTACCAAGTGACAGGGATTTGGGTCATTAACATACCACTTTGGCAAACGCCCGTGTAGAGTACTTTGGCCAGAACCTCATTGTTTCCTGGGGTTGGGACTGGATAGTCGGTCACAAATTCGACAGCATCACCTAGCTCCCTTACCATTGCCACCGTTTGTGTTGTTGGGATTGATTCTGTCATTGTGATTGTGCTAGAGGTGTATATGATCGAAATGAAAGGAAAAAACTTATAAGGAACCCGGTTCGATAGATATTACAAGAATCGAGGAGAAATGTCCTATTTTCGCTCTCAATCCACTCAAGGCAGGAAAGGTCAGGTATTTATAACCAAGCTCATGCACTGCGTGCTATGACAAAAAAGAAAGTGACCCAGGGAATCACTTACATGCTTAAAACTTCCCCAGAATCATGGTAATCTCACACACGCCGATGTCTAGAACCTACAAATGCTTAGCAATTCCCCAATAGGATCACAAATTCTATCTAAGTCGTCACACGGGCATATGACAGTGGTGACATTGTCCTCTTTTCTCCTCCCATCTCAAAAAGTTGAAGCATGTACGTATTTCTCCGATTCTCCGGGTATAAGCACCAACAAACCAGGTAGACCCTGGAGATCCAATACATAACTGTTTTGCCCATTACAATTGGTTACTCTGTAATTCCCATCTAGGTCTGGACTCAATAGTATTGATAGCTTAGAGCTACGTTTGCTGTCCCATAAAATCCATTCGATGGAGACTTCTAGCTTAATTTTTCAGGGTTTCGATTCGAACCATACCTAGCTTATGATCCCATCGGCTCCGCATATCCCAGACTTGGAGCTACGTAACCACTTCTCTTTCTCGAAAGACCAGATCCAATGCATATATGCGTTGGCTTTTAGGGGAGCTTTGGGTGTGGTTGCTTGAGGAGGTCAACTTCATTGACCAGATTACCTTAATAGGGAAGTATCGTATCTCAATACTCTGGTAGTCAAGAGCCACCGGAGAACTCTGGATACACATCAAGGTTCCACATAGTTCAAATATGTAGTTTATTGTGATAGAGATTTTCGTCATGGCAGATGATCTCTATTTCTGTGGGACAAGTGGTTGAAGGCGGATAATCTCATTCTCGGAGAAATTGGACTCAACCCGGACAAATTCGTCTATTCTTCTCTGCTTTGTGGATCTCTCAGGGAGAAATTATTCCCTCATGACTTCATTGTCGAAGAACACGTGGTAATCGATAGATGGGTTTTTCATTTTGAAATGATCATGAATATGAGGACAGTGAACATCGGAAGGTATGCCGAGCGTAAATATACCTAGGTCGTCCACATACGTAGATAAACTTGCTAATTTCTCGCTATTCGATGTTCAATTTCGTCTTCAGTCTCTTCACTCCGGTACACACGAACTTGAGGTAACTTTTCTGAGGAAACATTTGATGATCCTAAACCCTAACACCCTCCCGTTCGTAGCCTAAGTCCTCAGGCACCAATCCTATACAGGATCTCGGGTTGAGCTGCCCCGAATCTTAGGTTTACGTAGTTTGTTAGGTAATCTCCCCGCAATTTCAAGAACCAGCAGTTTCTACAACAATCGACCTCTTGATTCCGCCTTGTGTATTCTCTAAGTTTATTTATTCATCACGAACATTATTGCTCTCTTACTACCTAGACAGCACTTATAACCTCAATTGAATCGTGGAGCACAATGGCCTCGTCATCAGGACAACCTCTCGGAGAACCCTCCACTGACGTAAGTCACTTCAACTTCCGCCCATGGACCTCAACTAACAGAAAACGGACTAGTTCAATGCCCTAACCACCCTCGAATGTTCATACACATTTCCCACATTCAACGCCTCAGTCGCCTTCGACCTCGGTATCGCCCTACGCAACCGCATCCTCTCCCTACCCAGCACCCAGCGCAAACCAGCCGTAATATCAATCTCAACCTCAAACGGGAACCATATCCTCTTCCAATCCGTGACTGAAAGCGGCACAACACCTGATAATGAGGAATGGGTGCGTAGGAAACGGAATACTGTCTTGAGATTTGGTTCGAGTACCTGGGCGTTTAGACAGAAGTTTTTGGCTTCGAGTACTCCGGGGCAAAACGTTGAGGCACTGTTTGCGCAAGGGAGGGGGTTGAAGAGTTCTGTGCCTGGAGGTGTGCCGGATGATTATGCTATTCACGGTGGTGGTTTTCCGATTCGAGTGGCTAATGTAGATCAGGTTGTTGGTGTTGTGGTTGTCAGCGGACTGAAGCAGGAACATGATCATCAGGTCATTGTTGAGGTTATCAAGCAGTTTCTGGGTAAGAATTAGGTAGTACGTGAACAAAAGCATAGAATGGATATATGATTTCGTATAGAATCTTTCAAGGTATCACTCTGATTGCCGTCTAAAAACAATCAACCGTTAAAATACAAGGGTGAATCATATGCACAACTTGACAAAAACAAAAAACTCAAAACTCCCAATTTGCCGTTATTTTCTTGAAACAAACAAAGCCTATAGCTCGTCGTGGCCTACAGGCTCATCATCCTCGTAGCTAGCACCACCAGCACCAGCGCCATAAAGCTTGCTGGTAATGGGGTAGGCCACACTGGACAATTTCTCGCGTTGCTCCTCAAAATCTTCCATGGTGGCACTGGCACCGTTCTCATCGAGCCAGTCGGTGGCTTCCTTGACGGCCTCAAGAATCTGTTTACACATTAGTATTAATACTACATAGCAAAACTAAATAGTCAGGGAAACTTACGGTATCCTTGTCTTCCTCATCAAGTTTGCCACCAAGGCCTTCTTCATCGTTGACTTGGTTCTTCAAGCTGAATGCGTAGTTCTCAAGAGCGTTACGGGCTTCAATCTTGCCACGTGCTGCCTTGTCTTCCTCAGCGAATTGCTCAGCCTCAGCAACCATACGGTCAATCTCCTCCTGGGTAAGACGACCCTTGTCGTTGGTGATGGTGATCGACTCAGCCTTGCCAGTTCCCTTGTCAGCAGCGCTGACCTTGAGAATACCGTTAGCGTCGAGGTCGAAAGAGACCTCAATTTGAGGAACACCACGAGGAGCGGGAGGAATTCCAGTAAGCTCGAATTTGCCAAGAAGGTTGTTGTCCTTGGTCATAGAACGTTCTCCCTCAAAAACCTGGATCAAGACGGTAGGTTGGTTGTCGGCGGCGGTAGAGAAAATCTGAGACTTGCGGGTGGGGATAACGGTGTTACGTGGGATCAACTTGGTCATAACACCACCAGTGGTTTCAATACCCAAGGTAAGAGGGTTGACATCCATGAGAACAACGTCGCCAGTTCCTTCTTCACCGGAGAGGACGCCACCCTGGACGGCGGCACCGAAAGCGACAGCCTCATCAGGGTTGATACCCTTGCTGGCCTTCTTACCGTTGAAGAACTCCTCGAGGAGGGCCTGGACCTTGGGAATACGGGTAGAACCACCAACCAAGACAATGTCGCTAATGTCGGCCTTCTTGACCTTGGCATCCTTGAGAACCTGCTCAACAGGCTTAAGGGTGCGTTTGAACAAATCCATGTTCAGTTCTTCGAACTTGGCACGGGTGAGAGTCTCAGAGAAGTCCTTGCCCTCGTGGAAGGCTTCAATTTCGATACGGGTGGACATTTGAGAAGACAAAGTACGCTTAGCCTTCTCGACCTCGCGCTTCAATTTACCCATGGTCTTCAAGTCCTTGGTGATATCAACATCGTTCTTTTTGTTGTAAAGCTTGACGAAGTGGTCCATGACACGGTGGTCAAAGTCCTCACCACCCAGGTGAGTATCACCAGCGGTAGCCAAGACCTCGAAGACACCGTTGTCGATAGAGAGGAGTGAAACATCGAAAGTACCACCACCGAGATCGTAGACAATGATCTGACGCTCATCACCAGTCTTGTCCAGACCGTAGGCGATAGCGGCGGCGGTGGGTTCATTAACCACACGCAGGACGTTCAAGCCAGCAATAGTACCGGCGTCCTTGGTGGCCTGACGTTGGGCGTCATTGAAGTAGGCAGGAACAGTAACGACAGCGTGGGTGACAGACTTTCCAAGGTAACCTTCAGCGATCTCACGCATCTTGCTCAAGACCATAGCGGAAACTTCCTCGGGAGTGAAAGTCTTGGAGGTCTTATTGACATCGACCTTAACAACTGGTTTGCCGCCTTGGTTGGCGACCTTGAAAGGGAAATTCTTGATGTCCTTCTGAACGTCCTTGTCATCATACTTGCGACCGATCAAACGCCTAGATAAATAACATTAGTGACTGAACTTTAGCCTTAAAAGCAGAACGCGACGTGTACTCACTTAATGTCGAAGATGGTCCGCTCAGGGTTCGATGCGTATTGATTCTTAGCGGCGTCACCAATCAAACGTTCTTCATCGGTAAATGCCACGTATGAGGGAGTGATACGGTTTCCTTGGTCGTTGACGAGAATCTCGACCTTGCCATTTTGCATGACACCGACACAGGAGTATGTAGTTCCCAAATCGATACCGATGACTGATAGAATTCAATAGTTAGTATAAAGTCCTTTTTAAAAAAAAATAAAATAAAATAAAGAATGTTTTGAAATATAAGTGACTTACCAGTGCCATAGTTTTCTGTGACATTTTGCTCTTCTGACGCATGGGCAGTTCCCAAAAGTGCAAGAGGAGCAATAAAAACTAACAAAAGGTAAAGGATAGTAGTCCAAGCAAAAGGCTTGGACTGACCGTCCAGCCGGGTTCCTCGAGCCATCGTGTGTATTGAGTGACCTGATGTGATGTTGCTCGAGTGATTGTTCAGACTGAGCTCTGATAATTATTAGCTCGCCTCCACACAGGGAAGTGTGACAATTCAATGCTTCTTGTCAAGCACGACAGAAAGTAAGTAAAGTGAAACCCCAGAAAAAAAGAAAAGAGAGTGAGATAGAACGAGGTCAAGAGGGATGTAGGAAGAAAGAGAGAAGAAAGAAAGCGGAGGAAGGGAGCTTCGAGGCCAGGTTTAAAGAAGGAAGTCGATATGGGCCATGCTGGCCTTTTTGCCCTGCCCATTTTAAGGTTACTTCTCGCCGCCTGATTGGTCGCCGCCCCTGGGACCACGAGCTGCTTACTCAGCGCGACAGGCCAATCAGAAACCGCCAAAGAGGCTGTTTTGGATGGCTTCGAAATCGGTGGAATTTCTGCGGAGGCAAAACTCCTCGTTCGACTGGGATGGCTAGGTGTCCTTTCATATGTACAGACATGATGTTGCCAAGTGCATGCATATGTTGACGATGAATTCATTTATCCGGTGGCTACGTGGCAAGGAAATCTCTGATGCACTGTAAACTACTCAAATGTCGGAATCAGGATGGCGATAGATGACTCAAATCGCATCCAACTTAGACTATTCTAGGTCTAGGTCTTCGTAGTGACTCATAAAATTGAACGAGGCCGGGTAATGGTATCTGGTTTTTGGATGGGTGATCATGGTTGCACACTGAGAACCTTGATAATGAAACGATGTAGCTTTCCTACTCTATAAGTCCAGCCGCTATAGTACTACCCCCAGCACGTAGCACAACCCTCGAAGGGGCCTCAAGAGGCACCGGCTGATCCATTTCCACAACTATCCTTGCAACCGAGCCGGGCGGAATGATCTTGGGCCGTTTCTTGATCACTGCGCCAGAGCTCTTATCCAGTGTGCCGGTTAGACGACTGATACGGCCTGATACATGTAGTCGACCTCGATGGATGTCTACTTGCATTGGCATCAAGTGATCGAAAGCTAGGACTTTGGTCGTAAAACTCTGAATATTCTGGATCGGTGAGTTGGTGCTGCAGACTATATCACCAGACCGTAGATGAGCAGCGTCGATATTCGCAAGATGCAAAGTGACATTCTGGCCTGCCACAGCCCAGTCGGCGGGCTCTCCATCCCTCTCTAGTCCCCTAATCAAGGCCGACTCCCCACTAGGCATAACGAGGATACTGTCGCCGACCTGTAAAGAGCCCGCATCGATTCGCCCGGATATTGAGAGTGGGTTCTGAACGCCGCCACGAAATACATCGCCAATAGTCATACGCAATGGTTTGTCCAGAGCATGCGAGAAAGGCTCTGACGTCTCGAGTGCCTCGATAAGGAGAAGACCAGTATACCATGCAGCGTTCGCATCTTTGCTGCGCGTAGTGATATTGTCTCCATGATAGCCCGAGCAAGGAATGAAGGATAAGTTCTTGGCTTGAAACCCGGCTGTTGTCAAGAAGGATGAGATCTGTTGCTCAATCTCCTCAAACCGGTCCTTTGACCATGATACAATATCCATCTTATTGACAGCAACCACAACCTTCTGCACGCCCATGCTTCGCACTAGTAGAGCATGTTCCTTCGTCTGACCTTTCAACCCCGACTCAAAATTCCCTGTCCCGGCGTCAATAACAAGGACCGCAAAGTCTGCTTGACTGGCCCCAGCAATCATATTGGGTATAAAATCTCGGTGTCCCGGCGCATCCACAATTGTAAATCGAGTACTATCAGTTTCGAATTTGTTTGTGGCAATGTCTATAGTCACTCCTCTAGCACGTTCCTCTGAGCCCTGATCCAGAACCCAAGCAAAAGCAAACGAGCCTTTACCGATTTTGTCGGCCTCTCGCTGATATTTTTCCATGGTCCTCTGGTCAATAGCTTTTAAATCAGCCAGCAACCGTCCCATCAGCGTACTCTTTCCAGCATCAACGTGCCCTACCAAAAGTGGGATTAGCAAGAATGAAAACACGATCATACTTGTAGCCAATCATACCAATAACGACAAAATTCGCCGCCTTTTTCTGCTTCGACTTTTGATACTCTGCCAAAACATCAAGATTTTTACTCTTCACTTTAACCGGTTCCACAGTCAACGTTTTCATGCCACTCGACAAATCATCCTGCATCTTATTATCGTGTCCTGAAGCTTTGGCGACAGTCTGTTTTGCCTTGAGGCCTGGTCACCATGTGTCAATGTGTGATTGTTTCATCTCGATCCTCGAATTGGCAAACCTTTAGATGCACTTTGTGCATTGAAAACGATGTCATCGGGGCTAGGTCCTGCAAAATCGAAGGCTTCAGTTACATCTTGTTGATAGATACGCATAATATCAAAGCTGCTGCCGAGTAAATGACCAGGCTCAGGCGTTGTAGAGTGAGTTCCATTTCCAACAATGGTTGCTGCAAATGTTGAAGGGCTTGCGCGTAAGTCAGAGGCTTCCTCAAGCTGCTGCTTTTCCGCTGTTTGGTCGGCTCTCTCCTTGTCGATAGATGATTTAGTCGCAGACTTGTCTTCGGGCTCCGATATGGTTGGTGGATTTTTCAGTGCAGTACGGCGCCCTCTAGAGATTGCAGCTAACCCTCCCGCTTTCACAACTGATTTGGAGCTACCCAGCGCGAGTCGCTCTGATAATGATCGCGGAGCAGCCTTTGCTTCATCAGAGGGAGTAGATGCTTGCCCTTCCGCCGTGACAGGCTTCTCGCTCGTCCTTTTCTTCCGTGCTGCCGCAAGAGCAGCTAGTTTAGACATCTTGCCCTCTTGCGACGCACCACCGAGGAGACCCAACAGTGGATATAATGGTTCCACAAGTATATCTGCTCTTCGATGTTGCGGAACATTCAACCAGGGTGTATCACGGAAAAAGTCCGCCGCTGAAAAGGGAACTGCACATGGATGATGGAAGGGAGACTGCGTGTTGTCCGCAGGATATGATGACACTGGGATGACCTGTTAGAAACTGAGAGGCAAACACTTACCGAGTATTGTCAGTGTACGGAAATTAAAGCAAATGCAAAAAGCACACTCACATTTTTGTGGACTGAAGACGTCTTATTTTCCTCCACAGCTGAGCCTGGCCATCCTCTTCTAAAGGAAATATGCAGGAGAATCAGAGAAAGAGAAACGAACATATCTTACCCGTTGCTTTTGATTTGGTTGTCGTAGGTGCAGCTTCCTTTTTCTTAATCTCTTTTACCTTCTTGCCTATACAGTCACAATCCCAGAATCAGCCAATCCGACAGGAAACCTAGATATACAACAACAGCCCCCAAAATACCTCGAAGATAATTGACCGATTTCACAACATCATTATAATAATGCCATAAAGCTTCCTGGACCTCTTCTCGTGTAGCAGTGATCGGCGGCTGGCCAGTTCGCAGCTCACTCAGAACTTCGTTGGTGTAAGCTTCGAGCTGTTCTTGCTCTGCGGGGTCCACTTCGTCGTATTCTTCATCTTCGTAATCATCTTCGTCGTATTCGAGCGATTTGATGCGGTGGCGGGACATGTTTGCTTGAAGATCTGTCTAAGCGGGGTGTAGGAGGGGAAGAGGATTGAGGGTTTCCAACACGATGTGTGAATTATCTCGACCTAAAGTATATATTCCTTTGCTCCCAAAACAGACACAGTCAGATAGATAATAAACAAACAATCCTCGAAGCTGACTTGTCTTGCGGAAAAGACCTTATTGAAAAAGTATGGAGGGGCTGTGTTTTGGCCAGCACAGTGGAGCTACCCGACCCTTGGACATACGTCACGTTCTCCGAAGACTGCAAGGTGGTAAGAAAAAGGGGTCGATACATATACTACTGGCATGGTTCAAAGCAACTTGTATTTCATATTGTGCTACCTATATATCTAGAATGTTTCAGATATAAGGATGTCAATGTAGTGAAACTAGTTAGAGTTTCATTATTTCCAGATAAAGAAGTGGGCAATCGTCCCCAACCAAGACGGGGTCTGACAATCAAGTCTTGGTTGAACAGAGGACAAACTTCGTTCACTTTGCCTCTGTTTCTAGCTCACCGACAAATCATCGCAGCGGACTTCCACCAAAGAAATCCGGCTGTCCAGGCGCCCCAAAAGTCCCATTACTCGGTGTCAAAGCATTCGCTCGTCTGAATACCTGTCGCGGTGTAGACGGCGTGCTTGTCCCTGCTGTTGCAGAAGCTGCATTACTTGCGACATCAGGCGTGTTCCTACCACTTCCATTTGTGGCATTGCTATTGCTAATTGCTGTTCCCGGTCGTGTCAAAGCAGCCGCAGCAGAAGGTGCCGCCGAGTTCCCATTTCGAGGAGGGGGCTTGAATCCCAGTTTGAAACCTTGTGCGAATATCTCTTCTAGTATTTGGTTGACGATACCCGCATCCTCGTATTCCTGGAACTTCTTCCATAATCGGAGAGCCATGCGGGCGTCTTCTATCGAATCGTGACCTTCAGTAACATCAGAGTTCTCTTCTTGAATGTATTCCTTAAAGACTGCCCATGCAAGGTACCGCAAACTCAGACGGCGGTTTTTAGCAGGATGGAAGAATAGATATTGCGTGTCCACAGTCTGCGCTTTGGGGACTTGGATGTTTATCTTTCTAAAATCCGACGCCAAGCCATGACCAACAAAAACACATCCCAAATTCAGGAGTAGCCATAACTTTTTGTAAGCCACTTTTAGAGGAACCAAATTATGTTGACTTGTTCTCGGATCGAGATCTCCTGGTTTTATACCGGAATATTGTGTCACGTAGTCAACGATTGTCTCTTTGATGGTGATATAGTCGTCGATGAACGGGACACCTTCATGTAAACCAGATCCTCTCAAAACCGAGACTCGAGCGAGGCCGCTTTTACTTGGTCTGATCATTTCTTGTGAACCATCGGCTTTGACGTCAATTTCTGCCTTCTCCAGATCAACGAATTCCGTGTCGAGAGCAACCGGTGTGCCAGGCTGAGGTCTTTCTTCGGGTTTGAGTATTTGACACGACTCAACAGGTGGACCGCCACTAGAGTTATGTCAGCACAAAATTAAAGGATTACAGTAAGGGGGTAACATACTTCATAGACCATTCATGGAACAACAATGTCGTGTCAAGCTTGTCCTTCCATGAATCATCGAGTTTATGTTTTGCACTCTTAACCTGATACGCCACAACACTAGGCACTTTCCAAGGATCCGTAAATTTTAATGCCTCATCCCGGCTCACTTCAGTGACGAGAAAATCATTGAAGAGATGCCATCTACTCTTCTCTTCAGGCTGACGGGCAGATATGCTCACATTGATAAATGAGACGAGATGTGGTTTTTGATGTTCGGTGATATTGATCTCAGCAACAAGTCCAACAAGTTCGTATACAACCAACCCTGGAGTTCTGTTTTGGACTCGGCTTCGAAGCGTATCGCCTTCAAAGCAATGTAGCTGACCGTTGTCAACGATAAGGCCTAGTTCTTCAGGAAGCCAACCTGGGCTGGCCCATAGCTGGCGAAAGTATGGCGTGGTATGGCCTGTATTCAGCATCAAGACTGGTGGCATGCGATGCACTGTTTTGCGAATGGCCACTTGCTGATATCTTCTGCAGTGATTACACCAACCTCTATTTTGAGTTTCTCGCTCAATACTGGACTTTAGAATTGAAGAGAATTTGACGGGTGGAGTTCGTCGCACTTGCTTTGCGTCCGTGACAGGATAGATCAACTCATTGGCAAAGACGTTTCCAGGTCGTACAATCTCGTTCCGGCAGAACATACATCGAACAGATTCAGATGCCACTGTAGTCAAGTTGCGGTCAAGTTCCTCGGATTCAGGAGCAACAGCTCGATATTCATTTGAGAATTGATTCAAGATGAATCGATTGACCGATTGTATAGCGCCAGATAAAGCCTTATTCGTCAGGTTTTCCTCCAACAGTCCTAATTTTGAAGCCTCTCGAGAATTACTGAAAGCTTTGAGGAGATTTGTGGCCTGGCAATTCTGCCCATTCGCTTTGTCCAGCATATCGAAGAGGTATCCCATTTCGCACAGTAGACAATCTTCGAATAAACAACTACTTGCAGCGTGATGTAGTGCTAAGTTTCGCACCAAGGGGATGAATTTATATAGTTGAAGGAGAGAATTGGTAAAGGAGTTCGCAATATGGGTTTCCAGTCCCGAAAATGAGGTTTTATTGTAGAACCTGATCCATGTATTAATTTGGTACAACAAGAAATCACAGCCGGTAAGACATACCTGAAATCAAAATCATCAACACCAAACTTGCTATATTTGATTTCGACATTGCTGTATTTCAGCAAAGGGTCCTCTTCCACATCGGCACCAATCTTCGCGCTAGCCAATGCATTGGAGACGTCACCAACGATCCCATCATTTTTGCTTCGTGGCGATTCACGAGCCTTCTCACTCAAGAACTTAGGTGCTACTAGAGCAGGTTCTGCGGATACCACTTGGCGTGTGTTCTCGATCTGATAGCGTCTTCCTTTCTTCGGGTTCGCAGCGTAGTGCCCGATCTCAGCTGGTCGTAGATAAGGTATGATAGTAGGGTCGACTGGTGCAGGTGGGCTTCCAATGTCGAATACAAGATGACTGGGCCAAGCCGAAAATAGGCGCTCATTATAGTAAGGCATCCCGACTATATTCAATGGTGTCTCTGGGGACCAGTCAACTATGGGCGGCCGTGGTGGCACATCCGCGAACTCTGTTTCTTTACTCATTTCGTTGAAATGAATCTTGCTAGGAGATCCCCACAAATGGATGGAGCATTCTGCATCGTTGATTGCGAGGGCTTCACCCGACTGCGAGATTTCCAAGCCTAACATGAAGTTGACATTGGCTTGGCGAAGGTTGATGGTGTTGGGGTTCATCAAATCAACAACCTGTAGTTGACCAGACTGAGACGCAACAAAACTAGTTGTATGTAATCGAGGGTGCATGCGTACATACGCTGCACCCGCATGGAACGGTATTGGGGGTAATGGAGCCAATGTCTTGAGGTCGTATACATTGGCCAAGGGATCAACAATCGGAGCTCCCAAATGTCGTACTGAGAAGCCGCAGGTCACAAGGAAATCATTCCGAGCATCCATATCATTAATAGCAGCACCGTGTGCTTTCCAAGTCTTTACAACTTTAAAATCCGCCAAACTGAGTGCATTCACTGAGCCCGTGTCTGTTGCGCAACAAAGGTACCGACTTCTTTTCATTATAGTGTAGTTGACATCTGTCGGTATAGTGTCAACAATGACACCTTTATCAATATCTACCGTGAACATCGTTTTTTGACAACCAGCGACAATGATGCGGTTTGTTTGTGCAGTGAGGCTCATGCAGCGAAGGTCAGTCATATCAGGGTGCGTGACATGCCATTGGGTCAGGCCTCGACGTGTGACCATATGAACACTTCTTGATGAGAGAGATATAACACCTTTTTCATGAAAGAGGAATTGTCGCACGGCGCCTTCTGACACTGGATGCGCTCGTACTGAGGTGTATCGCTGAAGCTCAGGGCCATAGAAAGAAGTGATTCGTCCCTTCATGAGCGCTAAATCAGTAATCAAATTCTAATCAGCCATTGAGAAGGCATATAAATTCTTACATATTCATTGCCGACCCATAACAGCTCCTGCAGGTCATCAAAGGCGATAGCTGTCGCGATAGTTGGGAGAACATGCGGGCTCGGAGGCGGCACCGCAATTCGCGATACCTCATCCCAATCGGCCTCCATTATGATCTATCCTGTCCCCCTTGCTGGCCCATATGCTTCTCAAAGCTGGTATGTTTGCTGTTATTACAATTCGAATTGTATCCTGGCTTCAATCGCAGTTGTCTCGAGCCCACATGGCACAATGAAAGCAGCCAGGCGTCATCGTCCAGAACGGACGCGCGGGAAAGAACGCGGGGTCGAATTCAGTAAGATGCTGAACGAGAAGGCATGGCCGTCGGATTTCGCTTTGAATTCGTGTTAAAATCAGATAGAGCTGGTGGATAGCTTTGTCTCCGAGATACTGGCCTGAATGTCAGAAGAGACCGAGAGAAGATGAAACCACGCAGTTCATTTGAACTCGAGGTATCAAGCTTGGCAAGGCAACTGGATAGGTACCTATTTGCTGCCTCAGGCATCATTTTACAGAACAACAAAAGGCGGTGAGGCAGTTCTGCCATTTACACATGGCATTCTACATTTCTTTAACAAGTAATTAGTGATATACAGGTGGTTTGTAAATAGTCGTACAGAACGTATATGGTTCATTCGAGTAACATGAAACTATCAATCATAAATAAATGCTGGTTGCAGCCGTGAGCGAGGAGAAACACGCCTAGTATATCCATAGCAGAAGTATACAAGTCGCAGCAACAAATATACTTGGTGTCACAGAATTAGCGATAGAACGACGCAGGATTCATGGCGGGATCCGCGCCAGGTGGGTATCCCTGTCCCTGTCCCTGTCCCTGTTGCTGATAACTGTTATAAGGCTGTCCGGCATTCAGACTCGGGTATGGGGTTGCTTGTTGCGGCTGGGGACTACCCGTCGGAATCGGGGGTGGTTGTTGAGTTGTGGATGATGTAGGATATGGAGGTTGTGATGGATATTGTTGGTTGGTCATGGGTGGTCGTTGGTCGTCGGGGGAAGTCTGGTAGTCATTACTTTGTGAGGGGGGCTGAGGAGGTGCAGATCCAGGATGATATGGATAGCGTTGTTCTACGGGCGAATCGTAGACTGAAGTTCCTAACTCCTGAGGATGTTCATATGTTGATTGGGGGCGGTGGTGCAGGGACTGATAGGGTTCGGAAGGGGGTTGTTGTGCTGGTTGCTGAAATGGCTGGCCGCCTGTAGGAGTGCGGTTTCGTGGATCTGGCGATTGAGGTGTTTGCGGGTAGGGGCGTGAAGGATCCGCCGCATAAAATCCAGGGCCAGTGGGTTGAGGGGTATGAGAGTCTTTAAAAGTCAGTCATTGGTGACCATAGTTCTGATTTTTAAGCTCACTTACCTTGTGGACGAGTATTATAATATTGTTGATGATCAACCGGAGCAGCCCCTGGATGAACAGGAAGATAACCCTGCGGCGCAGCTCCTGTTGGGGGGTATCCATAAGGCTGCTGAGGTGGTCTACCGTACTGAGGCTGTGCAGGATGAGACATTGAAGCTTCTAAAAGAGCCTCGTAATCCCGCCGAGCTTTGATGAACTTTTCATTGAGCTGAGTGAATTCATCTATTATATAGTTAGTACTAGCTTGAGCAAAGATGGCATGAGGCAGCTGAGGAATACCTTTCTTTTGGGAATATTTGCCAATGAGTTCAATAAGCTTAGGCCGGATAGCAAGAGTAGAGTGATAAAGCGTCGTAATCTCTTCGTTGTCACGAACATTCAGCTCCGAGCTACTCGTGCTAAGAAGAGTCAATAGCTTTTCGACGTTCTTGATCTGGCCAAACACCTCTGCCTCCATTTGTGCTTCGCGCTGCAAGTCATCCGGCGTAGGATCGGGAAGCTTTTCGACATAATTCAACGGGAAAATTCCAGTCTGTCCTCGCAACGAACCCTTCCACCAGTCCTTGTAGACCGATTCCAGTACTGCAATGATATCGCCCTTGCGGAACTGAAGTTCACCTGGCTCTGATGGCTGAAAATCGAACAATGCTCTGACTCGCGAAACCGTGGCCGCTGTGGTTCCGGATGGAATGCCCTGCGACACTGTGCTTGAAGATTCCGGCTGGTTAGAAGCTGCTGCGGCTGCGGGGGCTGCGCTTGACGAGGCTACAGTAACATCTGCTGATCCTTTATCCTTGATGGAGAGTGCCAACGCCATCTGGAGCTCTTCCTCTTCCTTTTGTCGGTCGATATTGGTGATTTGGCGCTTAGTCGGTTTCGATGGTGGTTGGAGATTTGGATCTGGCAACGTTAACCCCGGTCAAAGAAATGGTGGCCCAAATAAACTCACTACTAGTCTTCAGTTTCATATAAGCTTGGTCCATAATGCCAAAGTCTGGGTTGCTCGAGAACATCTCCGTCCATTCCTCCATGCGCTCCAGGATCTTCGACTTGACCTGCTGGTGTGTATTCTAGTCCAGTCAATGGGTAGATCTGTACCATAAGAATAGGAATAAACTTACTCTGTCATTGGCGAGTCGCAACAACGCCTCGGTGAAACTCCGAGATGCCAACTCGCGATGAATCTTCAGACCGCAGTTCTGCGCAAGGGCGTTCGCTAGCTAAACACAAGTTTAGAAACCGGTCACGTTATAACTTAGACGAAAAGGTTAGAGTAGACCAACCTCAAGCGTATAAAGCTGCACATTAGCGTTTCGGTGCGCGAGCCTCTTGATCAGCGCTGCAACGGCATCCTTGGCACTAAACAAGACACAGTCAGTTGAAATCTTCCAACGACACCAGATGGCAACAAAGGGAAATAATTACCCCGACTCTTCATTATTGACCTTATCGCAAACGTCCTATAATCCAGTCAGACCTGAAATTTCTCCTCTACCAAGCTTCGAGACGCACAAGTATGAATTCCCAGTTCTCGGAGGTTAGATTTTCGTCGGTCGCTTTGGCTATAGGGGAAAGAGGTATCAGTGCAAATGCGTGAAAGACGAGTGTTCTAATCTCTTGGACAAAGAAAACATACCGACAGCGTCGTCAAAAGCATTCTGCTGGGCGCGAAACATGATGTCGAATTACCCTCCCAGCTCGCAAACAATCCGACTGACGTAGTTGCGAACGGCCCGCTCAAGACACTCAGCTTGTTGTTTGTTCGTTGGACTGGGTGATTATGCGTATACTAAGCAAATATTCTGTATATTAATTCCTCAGGGAAGATGCCAATAAGAAAGACTCGGAATAGAAGATGTAGAGAAATTGTGCAAGTAAGCAGTTGGAAATACTGCAACCTAATCGTGACCAGAATAATATGGTGCGTGCGGGCGGGCATCGACGGAGGTCAGTTGGCGGCCCATGGCGCTAGGCCCTTCTAGTTCAAGCGCACAGCCACTCAAAGAACGCTCTATTCTGTTGCTATGCAAGTCTATTCTTCTACTTTATAACTTAGTTAGATCTTCTAGGGACATATGTCCATAGGCTCATCAGATTCAACCGTTGCAAATCTATACTCTACACAGTATCGACATAGGAACCAACAACGTTCAGTAGCAGAAATCAGAATTCGAACCCATTCGGCAAACTTTGCAAATATGTGTAAACATTATACATCAACAGTGCATTGAGATTGGGTCTAAAACGACAGAATATGCAGAAGGATCAGTGATCGTAGCAAAGTCATGAGAATTTTTACCGTCGAAGACATCGTGCGATATATGGTGGAGAGGAAAAGCAGAATGACACACTGTCTAAACATTCAGGATAAACATAAAATCCGCAGAGAAAGGAACCAGAGCAGTCGCATCAATGTGCCCTGGAAGCACGGGTATAATGGGGTCATAGAAGCCGAAGGCGTTGAGACGAGGAATAAAACGAAAATTTACAGCAGAAAAAGTACGTTAAGCGCCACCCTTTTGGGCTTTTTCTTGGGCTCGACTGATACGGGCAGATTTGACCAGGGGAGCGAGACTGTTGAGAGGTTCGCAAACGGACATAAAAGGATGCTGACCGATGTCAGTCAGGATCAACTAGCAATAATAAATGAGGGAACTAACCTTGAGTAGATCGTGAGCAGATGCTCTCTTCTCCGGATCGACACGTAGCGCCAAGTGCAGAAAATCTCGGAAGACGGGCGAAAGATTCTGTTCGTCCTTGATCTTCGGGGTGCCATTTGTGGCAATCAGGTACAACGCTCGAAGGGGTGATTCGGTAAGATACGGAGGCTCGCCCTCAATCATCTCAATCGCCATGATACCTAAACTCCAGATATCGACCTTACTGCCGTACTCCTTTCGCGTCACGACCTCTGGTGCCATCCAGTAAGGCGTTCCTACCATAGTGTTGCGCTTGTTTTGAGAGTCGTTGATTTGAGCACAGAAGCCGAAATCGGCTGGATCAATATTAGCAATGTTTGTCTCCTGATACGGTCAACTAATTCAAACTTACTCAGTTTGATCTCCCCATCCATAGAGAGTAGAATGTTGTCGGATTTGATGTCTCGATGGATGACGCCTTTTGAATGAAGATGCTGAAGACCGCTTAATGTCTGACAAGACTGTTAGTGATATGATTCTGAAAAGAGCTCGGTTTCGACTTACCTCACGGCAAACAGCCGCAATTTGGCCCTCAGACATGATATTGAATGTGACAACATCCGTCAAGCTTCCTCCTTCCATGTATTCCATTACAACCCACAAGTCGAGCCCGTGCAGATAGCTGTCCATGAAATTGACAATATTCTTATGGCTGCTGTCCTTCATGACCAGAATTTCGTTGATAATAAGGTCCTTCTTAGGCTGTAAATCCAGGTTCATTTGCTTGATGGCAACACACTTGTTAGTGTTCATCTCGTATGCAGTGAAAACACCTCCAGAAGCGCCTTGTCCGATCTTGTTTAGATTGTAGTACTTTTTGGTAGGGTCTCCGGGCGTGCAAATAGCCTGTAGTTTGGCGCGAACGTCGAAAGCGTTGCTCTGGCGCGCACGAGGTCGAGGCCGAGGAACCGAACCAGCAGCTTGCTGTTGCTGTTGCTGTTGCTGTTGCAGGGCCGGATGCGGAACTGGTGCTTGCGCATTGGAGAACTGATGCTGCGGTGTTGGAGGGGTTGCTACGGGAGTGATCTGTTGTTCTACTTTTGGTGAAGGAGGATGCTGTTGCTGACGTTGGCTGCGACTTCGATCAAGTTGCTTATCAATAATCGCCTGCTGCGCCACGGCCATAGCTCGCTCCTGTTGCTGCTGGTATTGCGCAGGGGAATGGATAGCGACGGGAACAACAGGAGAAGTGGCATTGGTATAGACAGGCTCGTCTTCAGGAATAGACGGTGTTGTGGTTGTTGTAAGTGGCTCGTTTGGTGGTCTTGAAGTGGCCGGAGATTTGTTAACAACGGGAGGTTGAGGCGGTGGTCGAGAGGGAACTAAACCAGTAGCAACAGTAGGCGGTTTGGGAGCGGCACGGTTGGGGACTATAGCAGGCGACAATACGGGCACTGGGGAACTCTGCGAAGGTTTCGGGGGAGCTGGAGCAGCGCGAGGGTTTTCGAAACTCCCTTCATGGTTCTGGGGAAAGCGCGGACTAGTTGCAGAGGGACTCATACCGTCTGGGTAGTCACCGTGTCGAGGAATAGCATGATCGAATTTGTGCCACACTTCTTCATCTCCAGCGCCAGCGGCTGTTCTTTCATAAAATCTCATGATATCGACCATTGTTTGTGGATGTTGTTCCTGTTCTTTTTTCGAAATTCCGTTCGCTTGTAGCATCCTTTGCCAGTCTTTGGGCAAGCCCTAAAACATTCGTAGTTAGTACAGACTTGACGGGCAAGAAAGAACAGACAACAGAATCGTACAGTAAACTGGCCAGTCTGATTATCGTATCCAACATGAGTAACATGGACAGGATTCTCAGGTGCAGAAATCTTGATATTGCGCGGTGAGCCCAGGACACTATTCACGAAGCTTGAGAACGTGTTTTTCCTTCGAGGTTTCGATCCGATCCCCTCGTCTGAATTCCTCTTGGAATTCGACGGCGCATCTTGAATCTGGGGTAGCGCAGTATCCATGCGTGGATTGTTTAGGGCTGTAAAACTGGCAGATTGTCGCAAAACCTGTTTACCACGAGGATCAGGGCTGGTGTGGTAAGATTGCAAAGTCGGTGGGCGGCGGGGTGGTGCGGAGGAAAAGTCGCTTTGTTCTTGCTGCTGCAGTCTCTCCTGTTGATTTGCCGAGTAGTCACCACCTTCTTCAAGGACATTAAACATTCCCCGGACATCGAACGGCGGGCCGGTCAGATCATCTGAATTATTGTCGTTGGTCAATGAATACCAGAGAGAATGAGGCTGCCGACCTTGCGACGAACGATGCGAAGAGTAAAGATACTCACCAACGGGTGAATGACCTGCACTGTTATTATTGTTCTGTTGCTGCTGCTGCTCCAATGACGACGAGGACGATGATCCATAAGCGTTTGAGCGAGTGCGCAGGTGTTCACGGCTCCCGGTGTAATTCCGGGGGTAGACGGGGGCAGATGGATGTCTCTTGAGCGAGGGGTTGCTCTGTTGGGATTTTAATGGACGATTAAATTGTGGGGGTTCTTTATGCAGCTTGCTGCTCGGTCGACGGAATTTGAAGTTAGAGGCTATGCCCGTGGAACGGTCTTGGTCCATGGTCACGAAAGGATAGATGATTCAGTCACTGTGTCGAAAGCGACCGACCGAGCTCCAGCAGCAAGCGTTACAGCGGCGGATTGCCGTCTGACTGGGGGAAGGGGTATGGTAATGTAATAGGTGTCCAAGTTGGGTCACTGTAGACTAAGTAAGGTAAATGAAGACTCAAGAGGGGCTGCGTTTCTTCTTTTTTTTCTTTTCTTTTGCTCTGTTGCAGTCTGGACTGGACGCTTCATGCAGCGGGATTGGGTGCGTAACAGATATGTGAAATGGCGGCGGAGGGGCACACAGGCACCTCAAGCCCGGTGGCTGTTGTCGCTCGTGCGTTCGATTTCCTTGAGTCTTCGATGTCTGCTATGCAACGAAAGTGGATGCACAGCGATAAGATTCAGATAATTGACCGTAGGCCAGGCCTGTACTGGATGACGCAGTCGGCAAGGGATGAAGACAGAAGGAGAGAGATGAAGTGTGTCTGTTGGGCGGTAAGTTAGGTAATACCAAACACCTTCCGTCACAGAAACTTTTTGATGGCACGTGGAACGGGGACTAGCACGATAAACAATTCTGTCGATACCGCTCTAATCGGAGAATAATTAAGACAGATGTTGTATGTGTATCGATGAAACTGAACAGATTCTGCCTGTAAAAGGGATAATTCAGTGATAGAACCCACACCTCAGGGTTTTTTACACTTCTAAGTCGACCGATACAATTCTAATTGAGTTGAGCGCTGTGGATGTTAGCGCTTTCTTAGCAGGAGCGGGAACCATACTAACTAATCTGCCAGATTAATTACACCTATGTATGCGTAATTACGCAATACGCGATTTAGGACGAGCACCATGCAGCTCTGTGCATTGATTATGCAGGGATTTCCGGTGTTAACTTGTTTTATTCGACAATTAAAAATGGAAGCTGAGCGATTTTCCATTTTTCATCAAGAGCACACCAATCAGGCAAGCAGATTGTAAAACCAACTGTTTAAGAATAATTCATACACACTTGGCGTATCACTGCTGTACGACGGGTGTATTGAATTATGGGCCAGCCACGGTGGACGCTGTTAAATTTAGCGCGTTTAGCCTTCTGACCTGACAAGTTGACTATGTTATGACATTGTTCTTAAGTGAGCTATCATGCATGCTACCAGCTCATGAGGATATTCTTGTACAGCCTGCACGCAACCGGGATAATCCCTTTAGGCGATACGAATCTCATAAATACGGAACAACCAACACCAACAAACATGTTTCGGGCTCATAATTACGAGACTCCTGCTGTATGCACGGTGGTACGGAGTGTGCTCCGTACGGCGTAACTCAAATCCAAAATTGTCGAATGAAGTTAGCTATACCCGTATCACCGGGACTATACTTAACTAAGATATATGCCATGACGAAGCTTTGAGAGGTACCGTGTGTCGTGACTCGTTAGCCATAAGCCAACCGTGAGCATGGGCGCCTTGGAGACACTGGTGCCGCACGGCTGCAGTATCAAAATACAAACCCGGATCTATTCCTCTTTGTTTGTTTCTCGATGGAAATAACTTCGGATAATTTATATAAGCTTAAGATAAATTTGTCGTTATCATGTCTCACTTTGTGGTCTGTGAAGCGGCGAAGCCCAAGCGCAATATGGAGAGACACGGGTGGACCTTATGACGCTTAGCGTGACTCCTTGGGCGGAGAAAGGGGGCTATGAGAACTAGAAATAGATAGTCTCGATTTCTCATCGTTCACTATGTTTTGACAATGTTAACATCAGGCAATTGGCCGAGGCCGAATAAACAGAGGTGGCATTTCTATTCCAAAAGATGGCAGCAACATGTGTTGGTATGAAGATATTGCTGACCTTCCGACTCGATGGTCCCAGTCCGAGAACAACCGCCTATCCAGATATAATGTCAGCGATGAATCCTCTAGTCGCGTTGTGAGGTTTGAAGATGCATCTTGGGCTTCACCGTACGTGTCCAATATCCCAAGTGCTCATTCCGTAGCTCTCAGTTTCGGTTTGTTCAATATATTCGATGTGAGCACGCAGTCGCATGACCCAAAAGGACGCGTCAAAGACCAGTCCACTCGAAGACAAGTTTCGTTCAACCATCACATATATCCTTCATCTTGCGCAACCATTCCTCAGCCATATCACGTCCAGTGGCCTTGACAAGGTTTGAACTGCCAGTCTTCTCTCCGTGTAAGGACCAGGCACCTTGGTCATCACTATATGATGACACATCTTTCAGGAATACGACCTGTGCGCCAAAGGAGATCACTCCAAATTTGAACGAAACATCAACTTGACTGCTATCTTCAGCAGATCTGAATTGCAAGCTGGAGCTATCAGCTGTATTCCTCCGACAGTCCACAACAAGTAGATACTCCCGAGACGTGTCATCATCGTCTACGAAAACGTCCCCATCGGGGTACCTATCTCGCTGCACTTGTATCAAAACACGCTTCTCCGTGGACAAAATCCTAGTTCGCCGAAACCCCTGATCATCAGGAAAGAAAATCCCCAGAATATCGAGCCAGATATTAGCTACATCTGCCACGATAGTTGAGCTTTTAGCCAGATTTCGAATGGACGTAGCAATATCCCCTGTGGAAAGGGCAAATTTTGTATCGTCATCGTTTGTCATTGCTGAACGTTGTTGTGGTTCGAACATGATGATAAAATATTTCAAGCTATTGATGGGTTTGATGATGGATGTTAATCTCGTGTATGCATGATCTGTGCATTCATCAACCGGCAGATGGGAGATGTTTGACAGTCCGTATCAGGTGATCACGACGAAAGATTTCATCTGGGAAATCCGACGACTTTCTGAAATGGTTGTTTGTTTACAGAGGAGCACGTCGGCAAGAAAAATAATCCGTGGGTCAGCTCGCCGTAATAGGCAGGAATGCCTCGCACATGATCTGGGGTAACGTGACCTCGTAGCCCTCATAGCCTACTATCCAGGAGTTATCTGACTGGCAGTTCAGATGTATAAGGCACCGCCATTGTTTCCTACAAATCATGGAGGATGATCCTAATGTCTTGGTCTGCATCTACAGGCTCTTACCAACACCCGAGGATTTAGCTGGGATTCTATCTGGGAATGACTAGGAAACATTGCATATCGAATGACCCTTCATATTGGCTCTTGCTCTTAGTACTTGCACGATATCCTCTTGACATTGCAGTATCGCAACATATCACTCTACCGCCTCTTCGTCAATCTCCTTCGACTTAAATACTTTCAGCAACTTCAAGATCTCGTCGTTGCCCAACGACAAAGCGAGATCCATGGGCGACTCCCCATCATCGTCCTTAATATGCATGTCTGCACGATGCTGCAGAAGTAACTTGACAGCGTTAGCTTTTCCTTCCCAGATGGCGAGATGTAGTGGAGTAGAGCCTGATGCAGGCTCGCGGTCGATAAATCTATCATCATATGAAGTCTGAATATCTACGTATTTCTTATCTTCTTCCTCTTCGCTTTCCGACCCAGGACCATCAATCTCGATATCATGTGAATATTCACCATTTTCATCCTTGATCTTCTGCTTTTTCGTCCCAAGATGCTTTCATAGTCCGCTCGTTGACGTTGATACCCTTGTGACTGATAAGGAGTTCCATAACCTCGATAGCTCTAAAAACTGCTGCATACATAATGCAGTGGTGCCCTGCCCGCATTAGTTTAACAACTTGCGTCTGCGCCGTGATCAAGAAGGATCTGAAGGGTCTTACTAGCGTTATCTCTCGATTGCAGCATAGGAAGTACAATGTCCATTGGGGCTTCATCATCAGTTGACTGAAGGTCCACTGATGCCCCATTCTGCATCAAATAACTAACAATATCGGGATTGTCTCCATAGACAGCCATACACAGAGGCGTACCACAGACCGTCCCTACCTGTCTTTCATTCCCATGATCATCGACTTCGGTGAAAAAGGGGGTCTCCCATCCCACAGCATTGACGCCTGCTCCAGCTTCCACGAGTATCATTGTTGCTTCAAATGACCTGAATGTGACGCGCTGCAATGGGGTTGCTTGTTGGCTAACACGTTCATTTGGATCTTCACCCTGATCTAAGAATCGACGTAGAATATTTGTAATCCCGAATTTTGCTTCGGAATTTAGACTCGTCATCTCCTTGGGGAGATGCTTATCGATTGTGTATCGATATATTGCAAACCATCTTTGAAATACCAGCGAGCGTGCTTCGCATAGCGTGGTAATACGTGACTGCCACGATTCTTGAGATTCGAGTCCGGATGATTTGCAGTGATCGGTCCAATACATGGTAGTATATTCCAAAAAAGGGTGACTCTCAAGATAAGAAACAGGAATCTGTATGCTCCGGCCTTGGTCGAAAGAACTGATACCGCTCATTTTATCTTCTTCAACTGGAATCGGGTCCTTCGCAAAGCACTCAAAAGAAAGAAGAGAAATACAGACACCCGCGATAAGCGTCTCCGATTCTTGAGGACAAAATGAATGTTTCCGATCGCCCTTGTCCTCGTTTCCCTTTTCAACCAGATACTCTTTAGCAGTTTGATGAATGAGGTAAACAAAATTCTGATATATGGTCACAAACAGCTTACAGATATTGCTGATCCCTTGTCTAAAGACATCCGGGTCTTCAAATCCATATCTTCGTACGAACTGTAACTAAGGTCTCCCGCAAGTGCTAGGGCAACGCTCATCTCTTTTAGAGTCAAGGGGGTTCTGGCAGCGAAAATGATACGCAATAAGTCGCGTGCAAGCTTCTTGTCTCGAGACTTTTTCAAGATCAAATCATAGGCTTTCATGACACTACGTGGAAGTTCCGAGACAGGCTTTTTCAATCTCCCTTTGGTTCGCTGGCCGTTGGTTGAGTCTGATCTCCTCCAGAATCAAACTCAGCCACATGTACGTCCTATTCTCGAATTGTAGCAACCTTTCCAACAGAAATTTTGTCGTGCTTTCATCGAATTCCTTTTCAGTTGCAAGCTACTGGACCTTAGTTGCTATTACTCGGTCTATCTCACTGCTGATATTTGCAGATTCTTCATCCCCAGATAAATGAATGGTCAGCACCTCTTGGATGAGCAGATGAAATTGAAACTGGATGTCATAGTACGGTCGACTAGTTAAGAAAAACTTCAACTTTGGTTGCTGGTCTGCGGCGTTCTTCGAGTCAAGATGGAAATTGGTTGTCTTCTTGATCAGGAATTCTCGCTTACCCTCCTCGCATTCATCAAGTGCGTCCATGATACACATTACTTTGTGTTACAATTGGACCAGCAGCGGCACTCAACAGTACTTCAAACATAGTGTCCAAGAGATTGGGAAGCTCCTTTCCATTGAGCTCGTATAGAAACAACGCGTGTCGCACAAGGGATGGAATGGCAGAGAACAACTGGTGAAGAATCGCTGCCATCGCGCTGGATGGACTTCTTTGATAGTCGGATATATCCTTAAAGAAGAAATAGCAGACAGCAGTGGCCGGTGGAGGTGTACCTGCCAGTCATTCATCAACTAACGTCTTTGCTACCACTGGCTTTCCCCAACCCGGTTTAGCTCACAGCCAAAGCAAATCAGGGATCTCACTCTGCCCCCATTCCAAGAATTCTTATTCTCAAAAACCCAATTACAGATATTGGAAAACCTCTTGGGTATTCTCTTCTTCTGGCCTTCATAAGGTTTGCCCTTTCTAACGAGTCGTACAACTTCTCGCTCTTCGTCTGTCTGGCGCCAGGCTTACCATTGTCTGCCGCTCAATACGAGCTGCGGCATTTTCAAGCTCTTTTTGGACTTGTTCGAACCCCTGCTAAATATGCAAGTCACTTGACTGCAGGCTTATCTCGATCTTTTCTAGGCTGAGATCTCGTGCAAGCGTTGTGCATTTGCTTTCGAGCGTATTAATTTGACTCTTGAATTCAGCCCACTTATCGGCCCTGAAAATGTGTCTTCCATATCGCCTAGCCCAGGATTCTGAATACTGCCTAGCGACTCAGATCTGAAACTCGAGAATTGTTCGATATAATTTGATCGTAGTCTCCTCAAAATTCTGGATCAACGCGAGACTATCCACGTAGTAATTATCTTGAGTAGAGTTTAGTCGAATGAGTCTTTCCATGGCTCTTAGGCAACGGACAACGAAGGGTACGGTTTCGAGGCAATCATGGACATCTCAACTCTGACGCGCGGAGTTTTCCAGTAGCTGGCAGCAGATGTTAGAAGCAAAGCGAGTGAAGACGAGTCAATGGAGGAGATCCGGATCTCTTGTACAGGAAGAAATGTACAGACTCCAGCTCAGGCCAATGCAGCGTGAGGGTCAGAACTGACAGCCGAAGATATAAAGTCCTTTGATGCTATGACAATCTTGACTGCTTGGTCAAATTGGCCACGAAGGATGAAGGAGTGACTCCCAGCTTTGGTTTGCCATTTAGCGAGGTCTACCTCGTCAACCACTGTGGTCACTACCTGTCGTAACTGTTCTTCACGCCTGGAGGACTTAGGTGGAGCTAGAAGAGTGATTGGGTCAAACATAATTCATCGCAGTATGCATGTTGCTGGAATCTTACCCTATTTCTGTGCCGTGAAAGCAGCACTCTGTTTTCCGTATTGGGGTACAGTTTCCTCATACTTCCGAATCAAATCCTCGTTCTCGGTACGGAGTGCATCATAAGCTTCGTCCCATGAGTCTCTATTGGCATATGAAGAGTTGACAGTAAGGGTTGTATTACTACTACTCTAAGCTGTGGGTTGCGATGACGACGCATGGATCGTTATTGTTGTTGTCGGTGCTGTCGTTGTTGGGGGCGCACTTCCTGTGTTCGGCCTGTTTTGCCCTTCATGTTCTTGTGGCTCTTGAAAAATTCCCTCAAGCCCATTGTACCATAAGCGAGACCAATTCTGGTATATACTATGGAAGCCAAATGTCAACTTCGAAATCAGTGAGTTGATGAAATAAACATAAATGGACTCGAGAATTGAGAACGCTTTAGACAGCGACAATAGACTGGTCCACGTGGTCGCGTGTCTGTGACTCAGCTGCAGCTGTAGCACAAGGCTCTGTTACCTATGTACTGTGAGGCTGTAAACTCCTTCGCGCCATCTTTGAATAGATGATTCTTCAACGACACTGATCAGAACCTGAAGCATTCAGGTCCAACGTCAATGGGCTTGCTGTTACTGGCGTTTGAGGAAAATGAAGAATCGTCGTCTTTAAACTGACCTTGCTTTCATGAAGCCCTAAGCTATGATCCCCAAGGCTGCAGCATACGGGCGAAGCGGGCTTGCCGACAGTCTCGCATTAGAAAATTGCTGGTGGTATATTTGTTGCTTACACCTCGAAACAAGTTATCGGATAAGTTGATATATTGTCCGAAGAAATCAAAATGTTGAGTGTTTTTGTTGTAGAGACAAATAAAATAAGGGCACGAGCTTAGACACCATCAGACCGGAACCGGACTTAAGTGGATCCTCTGCGGCTGGAGATTAGGGTTACTACCCAATCAGGTAAGTAGGAGATCATCGAGATGATGTAAAATGCGTCCGTAGTCCTGTATATGCTACAGATTCAATAGCATCCAGTGGATTGAAACTGGAGGGGCTGAGAATGGTGTTGGGAAGGCCTGAGAGAGACGTATCCATTCCCAACAAATATGATCGAAGCAGATTAATCTAGCAATTGCTCTTCAAGGTAAATAGAAGCTGCTGCATGAGGGTGGCTTCTCAAAGCATAAATAGGCCGTGTAGACCCCCAAATACATTCTTCCTCAGAACACTGAATCAACAACCAGCTAAACACTCATTTGAATTCCAATTCAACCATCTAGTCAGTTCAACATGCCGCCTCAGAACCTTGCTCTTCCTCCCGACTCCTTGATTCTGGTCACCGGAGCCAATAGTTATATTGGTTCACACGTCGTCAACAGTCTCCTTGAATTTGGATATCGTGTTCGAGGAACCACCCGCGAGCCCAAGCCCTGGTTGAGCGAATACTTCAGCAACAAGTACGATGCGGGCAAGTATGAGGGGGTCATTGTTCCTCGACTTGATGCTGCCGATGCTCTCAAGAAATGCATCAAGGGTGTCGATGGAGTCGTCCACGTGGTGGGTTGACGGCTTTATCCATACATGGCCGTCCAAACGTTCTCTGACTCGTTTCCAGGCATCAGATATGTCCTTTAGCCCCGACCCAACCGTCGTCATTCCAAAGATGATTAATACCATGGAGAATATTATGAGCACTGTGGCTCAGGAAGACACCGTCAAACGCTTTGTTCTGACATCGTCGTCTGGTGCTGTACTTACCGCACAACCTGATGTGGAGATTGTAGTATACGAAGGTATCTTGACTTCATTCGCTGGTCAGCTGTTTCTGTTAACTTACTTTCACAGATACGTGGAATGACTTTACTGTCCGAGCTGCATGGGACAAGGATTCCCCTGAAGAGCTCAGAGGTGGCCACGTCTACCGCGCGTCCAAAGTCGAAGTGGAACGCGCGGCATGGAAGTTTGTTGAAGAGAAGAAACCAAAATTCGTCTTCAACGCTGTCCTTCCTAATGTCAATGTATTCATCTCTTCCTTCTCCCTTGTTCAATAAGGTTTATCGTGCTGATCGAATTGCCATGATATCAGTTTGGGCGTATCTTGCACCCGCAGATCCATGGATCGTCTATGGGATACACCAGAAATGTGCTGAAAGGTGACTCATCCATCATGAGCTTGCTACCCGCACGTAAGTCTTCCTTTCTCGTCAGCGTGTCTTCTCATGACTAACAGTTTATCAATCTTGCCAGAATGGTTCATCGACGTCGAAGACACTGCCAAGCTGCACGTCATCGCTCTGCTGGATCCAGAGGTACAATTCGAGCGTATCTTCGGATTCGCTGAGTTATATTATTGGAAAGACGTTCTTGCAGTTATACGTAAATTGCGTCCAGCGGATTGCGGTCAGCTTGTTAGTCCTCCAGAGTATGAGGGTCGGGATCTCAGCAAGGTTATCCCAAGAAAGAGAGCGGAGGAGCTGCTACAAAGGTTTTATGGGAAGGGCTGGACCACGCTTGAGGATAGCATTGCCGCGGGGTTTGAGGGGTTCGAAATCTGAAGTGTTGAGTTGCCTTTATGTCGTGATTGTGCCTTGTAAGGAGCTTTGAAGCTCACTGTTTCCTGTGTGCATCAGAATGGAATGGCGCCAGTTACACCAATTTTTTTCAGCTGCCCCTGGTAGCCCAGGCTGTGTAATTTCCTCGCAGACTCGTTATTCCGCAGTCCGCCAAGTGTGATTGTAATTCCTGGAAAACTCCATAATATGAGGCCAGTGTGTTAGATGTCAAGAAATGAAGGAGAGTTAACTCCGAGAACGCCAAGTCACCGAGGCCTAGGCACCTCGTGATTGGCCAATGGCCCGCTGCCGTTCAACGTTGAGCTCGGGCCAAGTCGTGGCTCCGGAGAAAGCGCAGGGTGGCCTCTTCCAGATTTGTTTGTGTCTCTGACTTCTCTCCTCTGTCTGTTCAACCTCATCTCTGTCAATCCCGTCTCTTCTCCCCATCCACCCCCATCTCGTCACCTCTTCCCTCTTCTTGGGCTCCTATTTAATCTCTCAGCCCATTTTCTCTCCCGAATCCCACATCGTACTGGTTGTGGTGATGCATTAGTCCACGCAGACGACTGTCCCCCCCGATTTCATTGCTCTCCGCATCTTCGATCTCTCATTTTGTGACGAATCCATCCATTTAGATTCATTCTTGTGCTGCATTATTCTTTATTGATATCATTGTGGTTACACGCTAGTTTGGAAGTTGTAAGTATCTCTTTGATTGTGAATGCTAGGTGATTCACACTAATCTGAGATCTGTTTCTAGTGATATTTCCATCCTGTTCGCGCAACCCTACCCCACGCAAGAACTTCAATTCATCTATCGTCATTATATATTCTTAAAGAGCCCCACTACAATAAATACCCTTTCACAATGGCTTCTGAAGGTCCGGGCCTGATTGTTAATGGTGGACAAGCATCCAAGTCTCCAGCTGCCTTGCTCTCTGAGCAACATGAGAAACACAATGTCACTGTGGAGGACACTGTGGATGAGGATGATATCCAGCACCCTCCGCCATCTTCCATAGCCAAGCCATCAGCCTCGGAGTCGTCCGAGACTGCTACCCCCACGGTCTCGAAGGCAACAAAAGCTCCAGCACTCGATGTTCAATCGGAAGAGTTGTTCCCAGCACTAGGAAGCGGTCCCAAGTCCAAGGCTGCAGCGAATGTTCCCACAGCTTGGGGTGCCAAACGGTCCGCTGCAACTGCTGCTCCCCAGAATGGAGCACAAAGCGTTGCTCAGTCATCTGGTATGTTGTTTCAGAATCAATGCTTACAAGAATTTATAATATTAATTGTTGAATGTGACTAGCTTCCGAATTTTCCAGTGCGCCGAAGATCATGACGATGCCGGGAAAGTACGTGGAAAAATTGCGTCTTGCTCCATCCCAGATGCTTCCACGCAATCAGCTCAAGAAACCCGTCAGAGACATCTTACGAGACATTTCAAAACGCTCAAAGGCTACTGTTGATATGCGAGCAGGGCCCAATGGCTCAATTATATTTGAAGGAAAAGGCTCTGTTGACGCCGTTCAACAAGCCCTCAAGGAAGTCGCTCAACAAGTGGGATCTAAGGTATTTAATCTCGAGTCTTGGAAGTCAAAATTTATTGCTAACTATTTCCTAGCAATCTGTCCGTGTGCCGATTCCTGCATCCGCGAGAGCCCACATCATTGGTCGCGGAGGAGCGGTGGTACAAGACATTCAGCAGCGAACTGGCGCTCGCGTCCAGGTGCCCAAGACTGATGAACCTGCTCCCGGCGACGAAGATGATGACAGCGTCACTATCGATGTGCTCATAGAAGGTGATGCTGTAGCAGCTGAGATGGCCCGTCGCGAAATCGAGTCGATCGTGAAAGAGCGCGCTTCAAATATCAACCTTCGGCTGAAATCAATTCCACCAGAATTCTTCCCGTTCATTGCTGGAGCTCACAATGCCCATGTCAATGACATTGAGGAGCGTACCAAGGCCCAGATTCGAGTTCCCCGTTACGACACATGGCTCAACCAGCCACCACCGCAGGAGGCCGGACCAGGTCAGATTCGCTTCGTCGCGGACCCGGACTGTCACATTCATATTTCCGGAGAGCGCAACGCTGCTCAGGAAGCGCGCGCTGAGATTGAGCGCCGTGCTGCTGAATTGCAACGTCAACTCACCTTACGTCAATTGGCGATTAATCGCGGCCAGCATCAATTCATCCTTGGAGACAGCAATACTGCCTTTCACGACTTCCTCGCAGAAACTGGCTGTGCGATCATTTTGCCTCCAGCCTCCGATGACAGTGAGTTCTTGACTATCACTGGACCACCTGAGCAAATTGAGGCCGGTATCAACCGCGCAATGGAATTGGCAACAAGCATGCAGATGGCTAGTATCGATCTGTCCCGACAACACTCCGCCGCACACGCTAGGGCCCTTACCTCCTATCTACAACAGCGCCAGATTATCAAGGATCTCGAGCGTGCGTATGATGCTCGTATCGTGCTCCCACAATCTGTCGAAGGACCTGTCACCTGGGAGGTGTACTCTCGCGATGGAAAGAATACCATCCGTGCTCGTTCCGACATCATGAATCTTGTTCAGGCCCACCCACCAGCTAAGATCCGCTCCATATCAGTTGATCCATATTTTCATACATACCTGACCTCATACGGGAGCCCACAGTTGAAGGAACAATATGGCGTTCATCTTATTGTTCCTGAGAACCCTGAGGGCAACGAGGTTATCCTCGTCTATGAGGGACAGCAGTCGCCAGAAGCTGAGTTTGAGATCCCTAGACAACGACCCTCGAATGAAGATATTGCAGCGTTTGAGCAAGCTCTGCAGTCTGCGCAAGAATACCTGATTAACACACTGGGCGACCAATCCAACATCGTCCAGAAGTCTGTTTCTATACCTGCCAAGTATGTATACAGTCTAATCTTTATATATTCTATTATACTAATGTTGTATTATTAGATATTCCGACAAAGTGCGTAAGTACATTGCCCGGGAAGAGAAGCTCGACGCAGACCACATCCCAGTTCGAGCGCTAGTTCAGAACGCAAGCACAGCTGGCGAAAGTGAAGTTATTCTACGTGGACGTCCTAGTGATGTGAACGACCTTGCTTCCAAGGTCCTTGCATTCGTCGAACAACAGAAGAAGGACGATCTTGAACGGGACTACACTATCAGCTTTGACTTTCCTCAGAAGTATGCCAACTTCCTTATTGGCAAGCGCGGCGAGAATATCAATAAGCTTCGGGAGGAATTCGATGTTGATATCAAAGTGGATAACGGCAAGGTTGAAGTCAAAGGCCCCAAGGCCAAAGCGGATGCCGCCAAGCAGAGAATTGTTGCTCTTGGTAGGAGATTAGAAGATGAAACGACTCATATCCTTAAAATTCCCGCCAAGTATCATCGCGATTTGATCGGTCAAAAGGGTAGCCAGGTCAACAGGCTGCAGGACAGGTATAACGTCCGTGTGCAATTCCCTCGCGCTGCAGCTTCTCCTGCAAATGACGACCAGTCTGTTGCAGACACTGCAAGTGAAGTGGGCGGCGGTCGTTTCGGACGCAACAACCAGGCCCCTGATGAGGTACATGTTAAGGGTCCTAGCAAGGGTGCCGACGCTGCCAGAGACGAGATCTTGAGCTTGCTCCAATGGGTGGTTGATCACTCGCATTCTGCAGTCGTCTCTGTTGCTCAAAGCCAGATTCCTGCGTTGATCGGACAGCGAGGCCGTGAGATGGACAAGTTACGTGCTGATACAGGTGCCCAGATTGATGTTCCAAGTGCTCAAGATGTGCCAGATGCATCTGGCCGTGTTGAGATCAAGATAAAGGGTACTAAGAAGCAAGTAGAGGAAGCCAAGAAGGTTCTTGAGCAAAGGGCCAAAGAATTCGACTCAATTGTCACGAAGACTATTGAAGTTGACAAGAAGCATCACAAGGCCCTCATTGGAGGTGGTGGTGCCAACATTCGTCGCATCATTGTCGAGGCTGGTGGACCTGACGATAGCACTGCCTCTCGTATTGTCAAGTTCCCTCGTGCAGAAAGTGACGATAAGATTATCAAACTCGAAGGCAACGGTGCAGTTGTCGAAAAGATTGCAGCTGCCATAGACGCATTTGTCAAAGAGCGAGAGGACCAAGTCACAGTCACGTTGGATGTACCACAAACACAACATCGTTTGCTCATTGGACGTGGTGGTGACATCAGACGAAATTTGGAAAGCAAGTTTAACATTTCCATAGACATCCCAAGACAGGGATCTGAGCGGACCGATGTCAAGATCAAGGGAGCAAGCACCGCTGTTGAAGAGGCCAAAGCTCACATTGAAGAACTTCTCAAGGGACAGCAGGGCGAGACCGTCCAAGTTCCTCGACATTTACATCATGTTATTTCGGACAATGGCTCTTTCTTCCGTCGTCTGCGAAATGACTACCAGGTGACCGTGGACCATGCTGGCCAGCAGCCACCAGCTAAGCCAGCAGCGGTTGAAACCCGCGAGGGCGCCACAAATGGAACTTCCCTTCCTCTGATTACAGACGAGGCGGTTGCCGCTGCCGACACCCATTCGTGGAAGGTCGTTGAGAATGCGCCATCTGCTGGTGAAAATATCTCGGCCACCATCCCATGGGTTTTGTCCGGCTCGACAGAAAACGTGGCTAAGGCGAAGGCGGCCCTGGAGAGAGCTATGGCATCTGCAACCGAACAAGGCGCAACTGGATACTTGATCCTTCCTGACCCAAAGACATATCGATTTGTTGTCGGTCAAGGCGGTAGCCAGATCAACACTATCCGCAAGAAAACCGGATGCCGCATTCAGGTGCCCAAGGGTCAAGCCAAGGGGGAAGCCATTGAAATCAAGGGCACCAAGGAAGGCTTAGAACAAGCCAAGGAGTTAATCCTGGAAGCTGTCCGCAACGGTCAAAATTCTCGATCATGATAAGTAAAATGAAACTTGGGAGGAATAGCTACTGGCAATTTGAGATGATTTTGAAAGAAAAAAAGTTTTGATTGCCTGTCCATCAACATGCAATTGATGTCATGTGGGAAATTGATTGAGTATTACATATTTCTTTGTAAACTTTTGTTCTTCCATTCTTTTCAGATAGTGAATCAATACATAATCGTTATGAAGTTCTTTCGACCTAGGTAGGATTGGAGATGTAACCTAGATTACCTACACATCTCGCAACGACCATACAGGTTCCCTTGAGCTCCGATAGAAATACAGTAGAACCTGGATATAACGAAAGGAAGGCCTCTCCATATCTATACTGATCTCATCTTGGAATCTTTTGGTACGGAACTGAAGAGCACCGTAATTATCAATACTGAAATAGGGTAATATACTAGTGCCCTTCATCTCCAAATCAATCTCACTTCTAGAATATAGACTCAGACCTTGAGAGACCTTCTGTTCGTTATAGCTAAGTTCTACTGTATTCTTGACGACATTAAGATATTTTGAAATAAGCGAATATCGGCATATGATGCGCCGTTGAATACTGGAGACTCGAGACAACGGAGAAAGACTTGCCGCGGGATTGGTACGGCCTTTGGCCCGAATTCGGCACTATGCTACCAGTCATAGCTAAGAGCTATAACTACAGCAAAGTCCATATTTGATGTGAAGCTTCTGTGGAATTTCGGGCGATCCCATATACACTGCGTTTATTAAATTTGTATTTGAATGAAAGGGCGGGCTGGAGACTTAATTCAAGAAACACAATGGCGGAAGCTCAATTATCTACGATACAGGCCGAGGCGCCGAAGAAGCAAGCCAAGGCTAAGGTATACCTACGTTTTACTCAAACTTTACACGGATTGGTCAATGGCTAATGCATTGCAGGCTTATGTATCGCCAGGTGTATCCCTAATAGCCGGTGGTGTAGCTGGAGGTGTCGAGGCTATGTGCACAGTCAGTCAAGCCTTCAACCACATATGAAGCAATTGACATCTGATATCAAACCCAGTACCCATTCGAATTCGCCAAAACCAGACTCCAACTCCGCGACAGTCCATCAACATCAGCATCATCAACAACACCAAAACAAATGACAAGAAACCCTCTCATCCTCATCCGCGACATAGTCCGAATAGAAGGGATATCAGCACTCTACACGGGCTGTACAACCCTGGTCGTGGGCACAGCGTTCAAGGCATCCGTACGGTTTCTAACATTTGACTCCATCAAGAATGCCCTTGCAGACGAGAAGGGTCATTTATCCAAATCATCGGGTATATTGGCCGGTATGATGGCGGGTTGTGTTGAGAGTGTGGTTGCTGTTACACCTACGGAGAGGATAAAGACTGCTTTGTACTTCCCTCCCTCCCCCTCCCCCTCTCAATGTTTGAAAGAGTTGGTGGTTAATGATATACAGAATCGACGACGCAAAAGGCCCAAAAAGATTCCGTAGCACAACGCACGGAATCCAACTTCTGATCCGCGAACAGGGTCTGAGAAGAGGATTATATCAGGGTCTCATACCAACCACCATGAAACAATCAGCCACCTCAGCAGTACGTATGGGAACGTATAACATGCTCAAAGAAAGCGCAAAACACTACAATATCCCGCTCAACGGCGTAACGACGTTCGGTATTGGTTCTGTCGCTGGGATAATTACTGTTTATGCTACACAGCCGTTTGATACGATCAAGACGAGGGTGCAAGGGACACAAAAGGCGACGATAAACGATGCGGTTGCGGATGTGTTGAGGGAGGCAGGGCCAAAGGGGCTTTGGAAGGGGAGTACGATGAGATTGGGGAGGTTGTTTTTGAGTGGTGGGATTGTGTTTTCGGTCTATGAGCAGGTTGTGAAGGCGTTGTCTCCGGGGAATTGATATTAATGTCTGTCGAGATGTGATATACTTGTATAACATATTGTAGAGGGATTTGAGGCTATCAACCAGTCATAGATATCAATTTGAGAAAAAGGTTCGTCCATTGCCAAGCAAATATCAATCAATAGTCTAACGAGGATAAGAGTCTGCCAGCTCGGGACATAGGCAATCTTAGCATGTGTGATGAACTGTAGATTGCATATCTTGGCATCTCACATCACATCAAATCATCTCCTCTATCCAGCTGGGAAACCCTCAAGCACGCACTGAGGCACTCTACAAGAAGCAGATAAGGGAATCGAAACACATTAGAAAACAAAGTAAGTTCTCAAAACTTCTCCATTATTTATATTTCGTTGTTGTCGCTTTAGATCAAAAAAGAGTTTACTGCTTCTGAGAGTTCAATTGAAGGTATTGGTAAGCACCATAAGCAGCAGCAGCACCGAGCAAGATGAAAGCGTAAAGACCGAGACCGAGACCGCCGGAGCTGGCGTTGGATGAGGAGCCAGAGGAAGAGGCGGTGGTAGTTTTGGGGGCCGGGTCGCCGGGCTGTGAATAGTTAGAGCTGATAAATGAAATTAGGCTTCGCAGAAAATATACCTGGCGCTTGAGAACACCAATCTTCAACCCCTCCAGAATCTCACGAGCCTCGTCGCTGTGGCCGACATCCTCAAATGCCTCGGTGGCATCTTGACCACCGACGTCGAGGAGAACCTCCTCACCACCTCTGATCACATGATATTTCTGTCAGTGTACATATTTCGGTTTACCTGCGATCAATCGATTGATCGCCATTCGGAAAGACGTAGGAAAACTGAGTAAGTACGTACGGGTGCTCATCGACGAAGGAAGAAACATCATAGACCTTGTCATGAATGACCATGTGTAGATCCTTCTTGGTAGTGTGAGCCGAGACTTCGGCATAGGTGAATGACTTTTCGGCCATGGCGACGGTTGTAGAAAAAAAAAAGGAATAGAAAATTCCTAGACGGAAGATATTATTAGTTATATTCCGGTTAGGATTGACAGAAGTGATGTATCGTGGGATTGTCGATGCGCTTGCTGAGAGTATTCTGTTTCTGCTGATTGCATGGTCGAGGATATCTCAGACTCAGCTGCTATCAACAATCCCGACCCAGGGGAAATAAAACAACCAGGCGATTGTTGGCGAAGCATCGGCAAACAAATGCAAACAGTAGGGCAACAAGACTTACAAAACCTGAAGCACCACGCTCAAAGGGTATCCGACAGCAGAAGTGGGAGAGAGAGATAAGTTTGTTGATAGAGATAGAGATGGAGATTAGGTGTTCAGTTTACCTAGGCTAAGAGTCTAAGCGGGTGAGAAAATCGGGGAAAGAAAGCGGTCATCACCAATCACCATCAGCGCATTATCAGCGGACGGAAAACACAAAGTGCGGCCTTTCCGATTCTTTTCTTTTTCTTTTCCTTGTATAGGTATAGGATCCATTGGCAATTATAACTATGTCAGTCAGAATTCGCCTGTCGGATTTCCCGAAAGGGGATGTAGACTTCCCCGCCATTCAACACTGAGACGAGACCCTTAAAAGACAAATGGAACACCTAGAACATGTGATAAGAGCAAATAAAACTGATCTAAATAGATTAACCTGTTCTACTATCAATGGATCTAGGTGTCAACGAAAACTGGTATCTTTATTCAATCATCCAACGCAAGAACATAACAGAACCAAATATGCCATCTTTCATAATATCATAACCAAATCAAGTGCCATGCATTTTTGTACAATCGCCTGCTATAGCGCTTAATCAAGAGCCAAAAAAAATTGGACAACAGTCGCCAAGTGATATTCTCGGCTCATTTCGCCGGAACACGCTCATAAAACAGTATATATGCTTGCTCGTTCTGCAAACGATCCGAAAACCTCAAATCTCGCGGGTTGAAATCCGAGACGCGCTCGTCGTCAAATCGACGCCAGCATTGTCGTTGTGCATCCCGTACAAGCGAGATGTAATGTCCTCCACTGAGCGTCGAACCCAAATGTCGCAACACGGCGTATGCGTCGTATGTGAATGGCGGTGTTGTAGGTGTGAGAGATGGCGGTGCAGCTGACACGCCATTATCATTGGCTTGATCGCCGGACTCAGAATTAGCAGGAGTGTAGGGTATCACAAAATTGTCCATGCGAAGACCGTGAAGAGGGAAATCGACAGGGGTATGTATCTTCCGAGCGGATTGCGTCTTCGACGCCGAAAATCGCTTCAGGTGAATAACCAGAATCTGAGGTGCGCGAGTAATGATGATTTGTTTGGTGGCCACCCGCTCACATTTGCAATATGGACATTTCCACACTTCATCGCCACTCAGCATTTCCTCTTGGCAGTAACTTTGCAGACACTGATAAATGTCCCCCGTACCGGTGTGAGGTATCTCGACGCTGATACTATAAAACGCTTCGTATGTCGTCGACGTGCGCTTGCAAGTTGTACACTTCAAACGGCTCGCATGTTGTCCTGCAAACAGTGACGAGATGAATGACTCTTCACGGTGACAGTACCGATCCCATTCGATTTTCGACACTTTGGGCACAGGCATCCGTTCACGCTGCATTTCCTCTTCGAATGTCAGTGGCCGCAACTGCGTTCTTTGCCAATTAATATTCAGATCTTCGTGTAAACAATCCACCACGAAGTCAAAAAACTCTTTCGCATCCTGTTGACGGTCAATCGCCCACTCCCGGTTTAATCGACCACAAAAGTTTCGGAACGAAGTCGGGATAATAACTTCGACATCATTTTTCCAGAGCGAACGGATCAGGTTAGCATAAAGACCAGGCATCACACCCTGCGAACCTTTCCAGTTCTTTTGGACGTAGTATCTGAAACGATCGTCAATGAAGAACTTGCTCATAATTACCGTCGAACTCAAACATTGAAGCGTTGAGTTCATGTAGCAAGTCACTCCAAAATTGGTCAGTCCGGTGCGCGGTAATTTCAGTCTCGTCATAAACGAATTAGAGGTGTAAAGGGCAGTTTTGGTCGCAGAGTTTTGACGTGCAAGGGTAGGCTGTATTTGTCGACCGTCAGATACACCGCTATAACTTGGTCGAGGAATTGCAGGTGGTGGTCGAGACGGTGCTACTGGAATAGATGAAGCATAGTTCGGCGTCGAAGACACAGGAGCCCTAGGTTCGGGTACGACCATCGATTGCTGAATAGCCTGTGGTTCCGGGAACCGTCGAAGAAAGTCTTCATACGTATGGACAAATGGAGAAGAAGGCTCTGCGACTGCATTTTCATCAATCTCTTCTTCCGGTATACCTGCCTCATCCCCTTGATAAGTACCAGGCTTGATTTCTTCGTTTTTGGCACGTTCCATCCATGCTGTCAATTCTTCATGGTTAAGCGGTGTAAACTCGCGAAGACGTCTCTTGCGGATTTCTAGACTAGAATTCGCACTTGCTGACGGTACTCTTCCAAAAGCACGTCCAGGTCTTTGTTGGGTACGTTTTGTTTGTAACGACCCCATAATCGCCGCTGTAGAAGATGTCGCAAGCGATTGTGATCCAACCAAATCTTCCCAAGCATCCAACCCTCCCACCAATAATGCCGGTGGCCTGCCATCCTTCAAAGGTTTGTAAGCATTGAATTCATATAAAGTGTCGTAAAGAGCCCTAAGGTGGGGCGCTGATGTGCCAACTGGAGACCCAGCTAGATAACTGACGGAGTCGGTGTTTTGGTCATAATATACCACCAAGTCGAATTCGTTTCTTCGTTCAAAGAGAGACTGTTCGTGTTCCGGAGAGACAATCAACCGCTCCTCCAGCTCCTCTGCGGAAACATTTTCTTTCAACACTACTGGCTCGATACATATAATAGATCGAGCATATATATGCCCCGTATCGTAAAGCTCACGGGGACGCACATCTATTACGAGCACATTATATCTTCGCATGTATTCGAGTAACTGTTGTGCCCGGATTGTCGTGTTGTGCGGGAGATCGGCAGATGTGGGTTTACTCTCCTGAGCGAGGTGGACTCCGTTCGGCGTGCGGGATCTATAAGGATTATCGTCGTCGCCAAATCTGCTGGGGCTGTTCATTCTTGATCCAGCTAGCTGCGAGTATCTTGTGTTGGTCGCTTGAATGCTGTCTGTTGACTTTCGAGGCGGATTTGGCTGTGTTGGTTGTGACGGCACCGACCATATAGGGCTGTAAGCGGGACTGGGAGCTTTGGGAAGTGATATGTTCGCTGTGTCTAACGGTTTCCTTTTTGGAGACGCGGGTCCGTAGTGGGATGTCCCCATGGCGCGTGGTCCTAATGGCCGTGGAGAACCAGGACCGGATGATATGCTCATCGTGGAAGGCATTGAATTCGCTGAAGGACGAGGTGGATAATCGGTCACAACCCCGGATGAGGGTCTGCTTGAGACGGATGCACTTTGATCGGTGATTGCGGATCCATTCGTAGGTAACGGGCTCTGGCTAGCCCGGAGCCTGGCAAAACGTTGCGCAAGGATGTCCTCTGGGCTAGACATTGTACCGTTTATTTTTTGTACATTCTCCTGCTGCGATGTATTACCCCGCTGGAAATCGGTTGGGCTAGGCATCCTGATCACACCGTTTGGAGGTTTGTATGCAACATAACCACCTGAGGAAACCGTATTGTTTGAGCTCGCCAAGTTTTTTCGCGGTGGACTGTGCGCCAGATTGTCTTCTATAATTTGCTGTTTTATAGTATCCATCGTTGATTGTTGTTGGCCGATAGACTGAGAAAAGTCGCGTTAGTATCAATCTCCTAGTTGACAACGCTTTATAAGGCGATCATCCATAAAAGCTTACCTGCATGAGTTTCGAAAACTGCGCGTACAAGTTGGGATTCTGCGATGGTAACGTACGGTATTCTGCATGGCGTGGGATCAGGTTCACAACTATTTCCGATGCTCGAAGATACTGAACATATGCCTGTCCAACTTGATCACTATCAAGCAAGGTCTGGCATTTCTGGATACTCTGCGCGGCGGTGCTCAAAAGCACGGATATCTACTTTCATCAGTCAGAAATCCACATCTCCATTTATCAGAGATAGCTCATACCGGACTCCTCTCGTCAACATCCAAATGCGCCGCCTGGTCCTGAAGATCTTTAATATACGGAAGCGGTGCTCGGCCGCTGTGAGAATGATAGGATACAAGCCTGCCATTTCGGGATGAGGTCCCCAAATTCGAGCGTTCGCTAGAACGCTGCATGCCGCCTCCACCCAGAGGTGTTGCAGAGGAGCCAAAAGCGCTCGGCAGCACAGTTGGTCCGGATGACATTATCTAAATGGTATAAATCGTGAATCACGCATGATCTTGAGCCAATTCAGGCGGCGTCAAAACGAGTAGAGATGTTTGCGAACGACGTTGGTCGTCTCAGTACACCCCTCACTTCCTATCCGGGATACGTGGTGGCAGGAATCGTTCGATCGGCGGGAACAAAGGGGGATATTCTCGATGGGCACGAACGAAACGTAGTAATTGTTCGTAGGATGAGGATCCTGCTATTAGTGAGGGAAACGCTCTTCTTCTTTGTTGATATGGTTAGAGATCTCAGTCAATGAACCGTGTTTCGGGAATTGTCTTGATGGACCCAACAGAAACAGGGCAGGACAGGCCACTCACCGCCTTGGGCTATGACGCCACCCATCTGGTTGGAGGCTGTGATTGGTCAATATAATACAAAGTGTAATGCGGAGTAAACATACCGTACTCCGTATGAAGAATTACATATAGAATCACTATCAACAGAGTAGGTAGCTACATTATGAAATTGAGTATGACTGTCAGTAAACACTTTTCTACAGGCCTCATCTACTCAGCCGTAGTTCGGTAGGCTGCCATTTAACCTGTAAGATTAGGCTGCTGTATTGATTCAAATCTTTGAGGTTCGTATTACAAATACGTATCTGTAAGTTACCTGTGTTTGCAGGCTCCACATGCCAAGTACACATGAAGGTTGCCTTCACACCAAACTTCATCGATCCTTCTCTATCGCATCAACCTATATCTATCTTTTTTCTTCATTTCGCTGTTCTGGATACACTCTGCATATTAGATAGATCTATCGGTTTAGGAGACAGGTGTTAAGCGACTCCGATCTCGTCGATATCCAGATCTCGAGCTACATAACGTCATCCCACTTCGAGCTTCAATCAACTCCGCAACAGCTCCCAGCAGACTCGCCAAGATAACACCAGTTGTTCGCAAAGCTTTTAGCTGCCAACACTATGGCGGGTTGGTTCTCCTCCACTTCGCCGCTCGATGAGCAAATCGAGAGAGCTACGTCGTCGTCTTTGTGAGTGTTATCCGCATATCCCGAACTACATCCTGCTGACTTTGCCGGCTGTACCAGGGAGGACATTTCATTGAACTTGGAGATATCCGATCTCATCCGCTCAAAGAGCGTCCAACCGCGCGATGCAATGAGATCTTTGAAGCGACGCCTTGAAAACAAGAATCCTAATATACAACTTGCTACTCTCAAAGTATGTTTTATTCTACCGCGGCGGGGAAGACGCTATGACTAACTTCTTGCTTCAGTTGACAGATACATGTGTCAAGAACGGTGGATCGCATTTCCTCGCTGAAATTGCATCGCGCGAATTCATGGACAACTTGGTCTCTCTACTGAAATCCGATAGCGTGTCGCTCAACTATGAAGTAAAACAGAAAATGTTGGAGCTCATCCAGGCTTGGGCGCTAGCATCCCAAGGAAGGCTGGAACTTATCTACCTCGGAGAAACATATCGGAAGCTACAAAACGAGGGATTCACTTTTCCGCCAAAGAGCGAAATTTCTAGCAGTATGCTTGACAGTAGTGCCGTAAGTCTCCAATATTCACGTGGTTTAGGAGATGTGATAAGTCTAACATCGGCCGTTGCAATTGTACAGCCGCCCGAATGGATCGACTCCGATGTTTGCATGCGGTGTAGGACGCCTTTCAGTTTCACGAATCGAAAGCATCATTGTCGGAATTGTGGTAATGTCTTTGATGCGCAATGTTCTAGCAAGACTCTGCCTTTACCGCACCTCGGTATATTACAGCCAGTGCGAGTAGACGATGGCTGCTACGCTAAACTTACGTCGAAGACTTTCCCATCTGGTAGCATTTCCGAACGCTCGGCATTCAAGAATAATTCCATCTCAAAGAACACCGCATCGATGGAGCCGCGAGCTGCTCGAGCCGATTCGAGCTTCGACGAAGACTTGCGGCGAGCCTTGCAGATGAGTCTAGAAGAAGCTGAAGGACGTGTGGGATCCGGATATGTACCTCAGTCAAAACCAACACAAAGCAAACCCGCGTCGGTTCCGGAGACCAATGAGGAGGAAGATGCTGACTTAAAAGCTGCCATCGAAGCATCTCTGAAAGATATGGAGGTACAGAAACAGAAGCATACTGAAGCATTGAAGAACTCAGATGCTACGAAATTGCCTTCTGGTAGTGCCGTCAATACAAATGCACTGCCCAAGAATCCCTACGAGCTCAGCCCTGTGGAAGCGGAGAATATTAATCTATTCGCGACACTTGTTGATCGTCTTCAGCATCAGCCACCGGGTACTATCTTGCGTGAACCGCAAATTCAAGAACTTTATGAGAGCATAGGGGCTCTGCGACCAAAATTGGCCCGTACTTATGGAGAAACAATGAGTAAACATGGTAAATTCTTATTCTGTTCTCGGCCTGTATGTATTTTCATTTCTAATCTTTTCAGATACGCTGCTTGATCTCCACGCCAAACTTTCGACTGTTGTGCGATATTACGATCGCATGCTCGAAGAACGTCTATCTAGCGCATATTCCCATCATAATCTTGGGCCATACGGTTCGGCGCCTCCAGGTGCACAACCCTACAATAAGTACCCAACACTTGCTCAGCACCAGCCGGAAGGTGCTGGTGGAGTTGAAAACTTTTATCTCTCAAACACAATTCCCGATCAGTATAAACCAAATGTTCAGCCTCAGCGTACATCCAGCTATAGTACTGTCACTCCAGACCAAGGAGTCATCAGTCCTAGTCCGTATCCGCAGTTGAACAGTGAATACGGAGAACCCAGCTCACTCCATTCGCCTCCACCACCGACAGATACCAAGCCTTATACAGGTCAATATAGCACAATCCCGCCGGGGCCTGCTGGTGCACCATATCAACAGCCACAAATCACTAGGCGCGATTCTCAATACTCTCAGCCTGCAACCGCTCCTGCTCCGTACGGACATAATGAGCCTCAATATTCCAACTACCCACATCAAGAGCCTACTCAACAGGCCGGCCACGATTCTCCCGCGTACCAATACCCCCCACCGACGCAATCATATCAGCAACCTTATGCTCAACCACCACCCAATAATGCAGCAGAAGGATCCTACCCGGCCTATCCCGGAGCTCCAGCCGGTGCTGGATATCCTGCGCACTCGCAAGTGCCAGAAACCGCCGGTCCCAAACCGGTAGTGGAGGAGAGTTTAATAGAGCTTTGAGGCAGGCAATGGAAGTCTACGCTGTTCATTTCTCGCTTGCCCAATCCAGCTGTAAACCTTTCATTGCAGCATATGATACCAGTTAGCATTGAGCCCTATAAGATAATTTGTACCTCGTGTAGCTGTTTGTTGTACAGTAGAATGACAAACCACCATTTCGCGCTTCTATCTTGTTATATTGTACCCAAGTAAATAATGTAGCCGCATCCGTCGGGAATTGATACCAGCCAAAAGTATGTAAAGATGATGGAGCAGTCTGGAAGCGGTCGGCAAGAAACTTGGAGTTAGCCTCCCCACATCTTTCCCTTGGTCACTCTCACCCATGTTTCTCTCTTCATCTTCTTACTCTCAATCCATTCGACTATCCTTACCATCTCCAATTCGTTCGCTGGTGATACAAGCTCGTGCAATTGCCGATCAACATGCCTTACAGCAGAAGCAACAACGATTAAACACAGACAGGAAATAGCAATCCAACCAAGTCCGTTCGACGTGCTGCCCACCAATTGCCGTGCTCCATTTCCGCCGTCCTGCATCAATAATATGACCGAATGAGAGAATTCTACGACTTGTGTGCGACTGATTCATAACTGAAATCGAGCGGCTTCAGTTCTAGCTACACGGGAAACATTTGGAAGTTGCCCTAATCTAGGATCCATGGTCTCAAAACTCGCTGTGTGCTAGCCTGCAGGCGATTGTACAGTGTTTAGAAAGAACTTCGAAATCCCTTGCGTCTTGCTCTTCCTATCAATTAGCAAGCATGTCACCGACTACCAATAGCCAGGTCACCTCTCCCGGGAAACGACCTGGGCTAGCCCGCCGCTCTGTTTCATCCCACGCGATCGTGTCGACTCGCACGTCCCCAGCAAGCAATGCGACCGATGCAACCGAACCCCAGAAAACAACAGCAGCTGCTGGTCATAAAACTCGCGCCCATGTTGTGGGTGGTGGCCATCGCGCTCATGGACGTAACCCATCATTCGGCAAAAACCTGAATAAACTACAGAGGCTGCATACGGCCCAGAACATGCATTTATTTACCGAGGGTACCACGACGATCGGCACCGGTGCCCGCCATCATCAGCGTAAGAAGTCCGCCCCCGTTACACCAGTCGAAAGTCCACGAACCTCAGGCTCCCACGTCCGCTGGGAGGGCGGAAACACGTCTCTAGGCGAACACAAATCGCATACTTCGACGATACGAAAAAATTACTCCACACCCGCCCTGCATCGCAATACGTCGACAGTTCTTCCGAAGAAAGCGCTCGTGACAGATCGCCCGCAGTCAGCCAAAGGCCGTCCTAAGAAGTCAGTGGGGTTTGAGTTGGTTGGCGATTCCGATTCTGAAGAAGAGTGGGAAGATAGTACCCAGTCACCGGAAAGCACCCGACGTGGCTCTGCTGTACCATCTAGCAAAAACAGCGCAGAAAGCAGCCAAGTCCTGGTGGACCCGTTAACTTTTGTGAAGCGCTCATACCCGCAAATATCGCAGTCGAGGAGTCTCCCCGAATCTACGATCAGTAGTCTTCCCAAACCCGTCGAGGACTCTGATGATGAAAGTGCAAACCAAGATCAAGCGTCATCAGCTTCTTCAGCTGAGCAGGAACGGGAGTCGCAGCACGAACAGCGAACTCATGAAACAGAGGACATAGCCAATCGTCTATTGAGCCAGTCTTTAATATCGAAAGCACCACCGGCGATGTCGTCAATTTCGGCCATGGGTACTGCGACTGCAATAGATACTGCTCGACGAAACGAGTCTTTGACGTCTCTAACCAACCTTGCTTCTAGCCACGGCGGCCTGCGAGGACACGCACCTTCGGCACAATCGTCTCAAGCGCAGTCTTCACTCCCTCAAGCTACTTCGTCTTCAATAGAAGGTGGCGTGTCACGATTTATCGTCAACCCTCAAGCTGGAGCGCATGCCACTTCACGAACAGACTCCGACCCTAATACGCCGTCTTCCTTCCTCCCACATTACCATCCTCAAGCGCCCCCAACTCCGGAGCGCAGCACGGTGAAGAAAACAAAGGTCATATCTCCGCAACCTCGACCTCTTGGCGATGGACCGCCATCCAGAACCCAACAGAAACTATGGCTTCAACGAACGGCGGCCTTGACTACGTCTCCTCCTGACTCTAATGGATCGCCTGCTCTTCCTCAGTCTACGATCGATCCTGTTTTCATAGCCGCATCGCATTCTCGGAATGGGCAATATGATAACGGCCGAGGCGCTGTAAATGGAAGCGCCCGAATTGGCACAACACACGACGGTGAAGCCAAACATACGCGTAAAGCTTATGAAAAGACATCACTGGAGTTACATGTTGTGCAACGTTTTCAAAGCCCAGCAAAGAATAGTTTCATCCGACTACAGTGGCTAACAAATACAAGCGGCAGACCGAACACAGCGTCAGAATCTAGCTTCCTAGCAAAGAGTTCAAAATCCGCTCCCTCTTTGACGACTGGCCAGTTCTTGAACGCTCTACCCAGCAGGCGAGCAAAAGCAATAGCGGCGTCGTCTGGGGATAACGACAGTAGTACAGAATCAGCCGAGAACGTCAATCGCCATCGGAAATCCAAGTCGGGACGAGTCTATTTCCAAGATCACGACGATGTTGTTAATATCAGCGATCCATCATCAGATCCAGCAGTAGCGGTGGAACCTGGCAACGCTCAAGCAGGCAATTCCGCGTCTACCATAAATACAGATAATAAGACAGTCACCGGTACAGATCGTGAGGGCTACTTTGCTACTGAACAGGAAATGCTTCTCCGTCGAATGTGGGAAAGCAGAGGCGAAGCTGCCAGTCCGGGGTGATTGATAATTCGAATCAACATGGTACATACATTAACCCTCACATACACGCGTGACTCTGTATGGACACTCGGGAGGAATTCTCATATCACGTACACATAATTTTCTGGGGTTCTTCAGTTTCTTAACTGTACTCAATCCGGCATATCCACCTCATTCTTATTTTTAGCCCACCAAGCTTTTTTCTTTTCTTTTTTGATCATCTTGGCAGCGATTGTTTATCCTTCAACATTCTTATACTCCCAGCTTAATACGTACATTCTGTTTCACTCTTCGGCTTTCGCATCTTCATACTGAAAGGAGGATCCGAGAAACAACATATCTTCTTTAGATGACGTCGAATATATACACATTCTTATTTCATTGGTGGCTTCTAGTCCAAGTCCCTGCATGGATCATTCCCTCTACGTAGTCACATGGCTGTAACTCTCGTAGACTCTGGCTCCGCAAAGTCGATTCGGGAGTCTCAACGAAGCCCTAATTCAGCTTACAACACATCACTCCCGGTACGTTTGCACACCATAACCTTCAATGTTAGTCGAAACATGCTAACTAATGATGGCATGTATTAAACAAAGAGAAACTCTGCACATATGAGACATGATAACTCAGCTTCATGCATGGATCATCCTCTTTCACAGCCTTTCGGACTTAATAAATCCTGAGACCACTATCTACGTATGATTCATATGAATACTCTGCATTTAGCCTCGAGGAGAACATGTTGTGTAACTTCTTTACTTCGATTCAATTCCAACCAAATTCAAGGCCAGGGTGCGCGACGTAAGATCTGTCCTGAAAGAGCTTGCACCTACGTGCCTTAGTTCGGCGTTGTCTCGCGAAGCTGCCAGGTGGAAAAGCTGATTCTACTTCTTTTCATGCAGTATCTGGCTCCCTTTTTGAGCTAGTAATTATTCAGCTAAGAGTAAGAAGGTTAATTATTTTCCTTACCTGGAAGTAGACATGACTATGCCTTTCCGATTTTGAGATCATAAATACGGCCAACTGCCCATGTGGTTTTTTTGATTTTATCTAGATTCTTTTTTTAGATCACTGTTTCCAGACTGGGAGGCTTTGATAGTTTGTCATCTTCAGATCTAAGTGAGAAATCATTTTTGTGCTATAGGTGAGTGAAAATTGCGCCAGTGTTCAATGATGACTCCCTATTCTCTCTATTAAACGTTCAGGGGCTGAATTTAGATCTCATCAAGATATCTTTTCAGGCTCTATAACTGAATGAGAAGTTCAAGAAATTCGAATACATAGAAGAGGCCCAATCACACAGTCCCAAACCCTCTCCGAGAGCTTGTGACTTCACTGTGGGCTAGGAGAGCACACTACTCATCGAACATCTCGCAGCTAAGTATGCACTAGACGAAATCTATGGCGAAGAATCCACACCGGCGCATACCAGGAACGATTATACCGTCTACGTCCGAGGTCGTATTGGGAAGCACAATGTTGCGATGGCCTGTCTCAAATTCGAATTGGTAGGGTTGACACCTGCCTGCAGGGTCGTATCGAAAATGCAAAGTACATCCATTCCGTTTGCGTTGATGGTTGGGATTGCTGGAGTTCTTCACGGAGTAAAAGTGACATTCGGCTTGGGGATGTGGTCTTTGGTACACAAGTGGTTTCTTATGCCTTTGACAAGCTAACCTCTGCAGACTCACACAAGAATGATAACTGGCATGTCTATGCAGCACTGGCTGCAGCAGTTTCTGCTGCGAAACTCCTCAAAACAGTCCCCGCCGAAAAGGTCTCTGCAAGTGACCTTGTTCTCCTCGACGGGGCGGCGCAGTAACTCCTTCAAACTGCAATTGACGAAATCAAGGATGCTATTGCTGCTTTGTCCAAACCGGTAGATCAGTCACAGGCAATATTAAAGGTTAGTGATACTGTGGGTACTGTGGGATGAGAGACTCGAGATTATGGATAAGCTCACAGAGTCTGTCCGAAACGACAACAGGGAAAAGCCAGATGGGGTCTCAGAGTCTTGCCAGCGTACACAACAAGTTTGGGGAGGCATTGAAGGACTTGGGTGAGCATATTGAAAAAAAGAGAGATAGGAGCTCCTCTCCGGACGAAAAACGAGCACTGCATGTCCTACACAATGTGGTTACAGACCGATATGAACGCTTTCAAGACGTGTGCCACGTCTTGGGGAAACTCACAAAGCAACCTCTGACTTCTTGAACATTGTTGTAGAGCATATAGGCAACCGCGATGTGTCACTAGCTAGCAATCCCACAAATCAAGCCAGTAATGTTTTTAATAAAGTAAGCATTTCGGAGACAGCAAAGGGGATGATTGATAGAATAAAGATGCCGGATTCGGGAAAATCTGCAAGGCCAACAGCCACATTACAGGAGCTATCAAAAAGGTGACACCTTTCAAGAAAGACAATAAAGCTCAATCCAGCCAAGATGTCGAAGTTCCCGAGTCAATGGCGCGAAGCTCATGTCCCTCAGGCTACCTGTCACCTCATCATACTATAGATCCTGGGACTAATGACACTGAAAGTGGAATCTGGACCAGGGAGTCCAGTGTGTCCGGAACTAGCACAGAGACAGATCACTTGTCGCACAGCACACGGCTGAATTGGCATTTCCCCTGGGACATCCATCCAGACCTTAATGGATTGGAAGATCTGGAAAGCACGGAATTAGGTATATACGAACTCGGACCAGAGTTTCAACACCACCCACCCTAGCAGCAAAGGGGTTGACGCTTAGATCCGCGGGTGCCAGGTCATATTCAGCAATCACAACTCCAGGTCTGCCTCTGCTGTCTTCACGATCAGCATCCAGGTCATGTCTCCCGGGTCATTACCATCGATCAGGTCTCCAGATCGTTCTCCACCATCTTCACGACCAGAACCCAGCTCAATATCGCCAGACCGTCCACCTCCTCCTACACCTCCACCATCAGTACCCAGCTCAACATCTCCCATGCCACCCACACCATCAATCACGCCTTCCAGTCGACCCCCTCCACCTCTACCATTTCCACGACCTACACCCAGTCCAACATCTCAACAATGAGTCTCAATCCTCATTCCGATCCTGTCCCGGGAAGACCCAGACCCAATACCCACACTGAAAATAGAGATGGAAGACCTTACAGGTCTTCCGAACGTGCCGACCTGCAATCACCTACGATTACGCTGTCGTCGTCACAATCGGAAGGTTCCCAAGGTATGACAGAAGACAATCCATCAGACTCAGATGAGCGCGTGAATGTTTCGAGTATGATGGAGAGGTTCGAAGGACCATCTCAGCGACGGTCTACCCATATATGATTAATACCCTCAGGGAATTCGGAGGTTGGCCAGTTTTTGCCCACTTAGACCTGATTATGTACCATATTTTGGTGTATTTCACTTTGCTTGTACTTTCCATGCCGAGTAGATGTCCAAGTTTTGTATCAAGAAGATGAGATTTTTCGTCTATCCAAATCTCTATATATAAATCAAACCACATTCCAAGGAACTTCTAGAACGTCCAATTAAAAGACAAGAAGTTTGTCTATCTATAGGTGACAGAGACGGTATCGTACAAGAACATGAAAAAGAATATACAGTATATATACGTTGAATGAATGTTGTGTTCGATGTTGACAGAACCCATCAATCATGGCTTACTATGGATGCTTTCGGAACGGCTGTTACCAGGGCCAGCTGGTGGCTGTGGGTTCTTGGGAGGTCGATGATGAGTAGGACGTTTCCCCTGAGAACGAGGAGCTTCGTTCGACATGTCTGCTTTCTCTCGTTGTTGAGGTTTATTCCCTCCTTGTCGCTGTTGATGCTGTTGTGACTGTTGCCCTCTATTTTTACGTCGACCATTCCGGTTTCTCGACGTCTGAGAAGCAGCCGCAGCCGCAGCCGCAGCTTCAGCTTCCATAACACGCTTGCTTTCCTTGTCCCACCACTCTTGAAACTCTTGTTCTGCTTGAATGTCCTGTAAATTGTGCTTAGCGGACGCTGCTTCACGAATTTCATCCTTCTCTGCTTGCTGTTGAAGGAGAATCGAAGCCAGAGAAGTTTGACCTGAAGGGCCAGGAAGAGACCGTTCAGGACGAGGAGTGTGACGAATCGACTGTATAATCGGTTGTGGCGTGGAGAGAGGAGACAAGCTAGGTGACGGTCTCGTCTTTAAAGCAACCGGGTTGGTCCTTGCTGGTATGGGCTTTGCATTTGTGGAAGGACCTAGAAGAGGCTGCGAGAGACCCCGTCCTTGACCACTTGGTGACAGTCCAGGGTTTGAAGTCGGACGAATCGATGGACTTCCAGCCACTGTTTGTCGAAGGGTCATGGCAGGCTTCTGAACAGTCTTGAACTGATTCGCGCTATCATCTCCAGTAAGAGAGCTTGGAGTGGGCTTTTTGCTGACAGTCTGCCAAGGTGACTGTCGAGATTCAACTGCGGCCTTTTGTTGCGCAGCCAGAGCTTCCTGGGCTTGTATTTGCTGGAGTCTTTTGCGTTCTTTTTGTGACATCTTCTGAGTGAAAGTACCACCAGACTGAGTGTTTGACCGATCTGTCATACCAAGGGTAAGATTGGAAACGCGTGACGTGGAGGTCTCAGCCATAATGTCTTTGAGGTTTCTCTTATCACCAGATATATCAGCCGATACCCATGGTGCTCCCTTTGAAGTCGCAGCAGGGGGGTTCGGCTGAATTGTCGGTGTAGTGGACACATTTGAAATGCCAGCCGCACCGGTTTCAATAGATCCCACTCTAGCTTCCAAGTAGCTCGCATCGCCTAAAGAATCTCCTTGGCCGTAAGAAAGAGACAGAGCTGGTGGTTGTGAGAGATCGTCCAGATCTTCTGCTATTAGCGGACTAGCCATGGGAGTTTTTCCCCTACGCATTGGAGTCGGTGACACTGCGGATTCGTCATCCATTTGAAACATGAGATCGTTCATAGATTGTCGAGCCTTCAGTGTCGGGCTTCCTGCAGACAGCCTGGGCTCACCACTTTGAGCAGCCTTCATTTTTCGAACGTATGGTGACGGTGTACCTTTGTCACTCACATTTGCTCGGATCCTTTCATCGAATAGTTCGTCTTGATCACGACGCGAGCTTAGCCGCATTGAATCAACTCTCCTCTGCCTATCTATTTCAAGACCGGTGACTAACTCAGGGTACTTTTCAAGTAGCGCTTCCTCTGAGTTACGTCCACGAGAGATAGGATATCGAGCAAGCTGATTCTCCTGGCAGATTAAGTCTAATTCGTCCATTAGATCTTCCTCAAGGTCATCGAGTAGCCTGTAGAGACGTTAGACGGTACACGAAGAATTCAGGTCCTAATGTCTTACCTATTCTCAAGCAAAGTCTCCAAATTCAGGCACATATACTCCAAAGCAGCCTCCTTAAACTCTGTTACAGTACACGGAGCAACCGCATTGAGCAGTTGACAAACATTGCGGGTGTCGACTGGCAAACATCAATCAACAATCCGTCAAACCTCAAAAGCATGTCTTTACTCACCAAACCGGCCTAGCATCTTCTGACAAACCTGAGCCAACCGGTCAATCATGAGCTCATTGGCTGCGAACATTACATCGAGAACCAAGTCAATGAAATCATCAAGGCTACTGTATCGCACATCGTCGAACAGCTCCTCTTCTGTATCTGCATATAAATGACGAAGGACAAAATTGAAGACGTTTGATTCCATATCCTGAAGGTCAATTGTTATAGCTTCGTCCTGACGTCTTGAATCGAGCCATCTCCCGCCGGACCGACCATGGAACAGAGCGTCGAAGAAAGGACATCTTTGGCAGACAACCTGTTTATGAGCACGAACTCTCGCATCCTTTAAGCGTATCGTAACGTCGCCGCTCTCAAAGAATGACGGATCGTTGAGTGCTCTGTCCATATCATCATGCAATGTCCGAGACGGTTCACCCATAACACGTGCAGCTCGCTCCAGAGGCCGAATATCCAGATATGTAGCGATCCGCATGACCTCAGTTCGAACTTGTCTATACCTATAGGCATTGACCGAGTCATGTCTGACATCACGCCACACGTCCAATACATCATCGGTATAGAGGAACACAACTAGAGTCAGAAGTGAAAGAAAATCCATTCCTTGCAAGACAAGCTCATGGTTGCCATCGTCGTTGAATCCTAGTGTTATGAAGTCTGAGATCGAGAAGTGATGGGTTCGCCGAGACTCAGCTAGTGCTGTTCGCATAACAGGACTCCGACCAGCCAGAATGAATTCGTGAACGGGTACTCGTGTATCGGATACCGTGGTTCTCAACCAGATGAGGTGCCCAGACCTTTCCATGTCACTCCTCTCCACGATACGCCGAACCTCGGACTCCACATCGGAGGAAGACGAAACCGCTACCTTCATCTTGGCTACCTGGTGTCTAATAATCAAGTCGCCCTTCACATCAGTTTCGACATTCTCTGCCAGAGACTTGACCGGCAAAAGCTGGAAAAAGTCGTTCCATAAGGAAGACGGAGAGACGGTCACTTGCTCCTTCGTTACATCGCAGTCTTTTTGGATAGCAGCAAATGCACCATACGCATTGCTTCTGACGGCGGTGACCCTGGAGAGACCTGCAATACGCACGAATTTATAGTCTTTGGAGTTTGACGCTTTGATTTTGGCGCGTTTCTCTTTCCTCCATGCAGACCCGGAAGTCGTACAGATAATGATAGAACCATCTTGCCCGACATCGACATCATTTGCAGCCATATGGGACTTTCTCACAGACCAAACACGTTCTGGTGTGGAAAGAGAGTTTCGTATTTTGGCGGGATTTGTTGTCGATGAAGCAATAGAAGTATGATCGGGTTTACCGTTCACATGGACACTGTAGACTTCTCCGAAGCTGGATAGCGCACAGATAGTGTTTCCGCCGGCAGTGATCTTGATGACACGATTTGCTGTGTTGCCGTACCTGGTCGCCAGAAAACTTTCCTTAATAAAGTATGAACTGAAATCGAGTGGGAAAATGACCTTCGAATAGCCATAATGCGTGAAAACCCAGGTCTCGTTAGTCTCGAGAAGAACTGCAGTAGCCCTATCAATGGCGGATACCATGCGGATGGGTGCATTGAAGAGAGACACTCCTACACGGCGAGGGGTAACCTGAACTTCCAGCGAACGAGCATCAGAGTCGACAAGACCAAGTTGTCCCTCATTTTTACCAAACGTATAGAGACCGGAAGAACTAAACACCACGGAATGAATTGCAGAGGCGGCCGCCCCAAGTATGACTTCGCGTTTGAACGGGTTGAAAACCTGTCGTGGGGTGCTCTGCATCGGTGTGTCTCTCTTGTTATTGGCTCGTGGAAGATTATAGCCTAGTTGGCCGTATTTGTTACTTCCCCATGTGAAGACTTCACCTTGTTCGGAAATAGCGATGGAATGATCTTGCCCAAGAGCAAGTGATATGACCTTCTTTCCGGCTAATCCACCTGTTTCAATGCAGACAAAATGGTATCTGGTCGCTTCATCACCAGTGCCCAGTCGGCCACCAGGTCCAAATCCAGACATATACAGATTCGATTCCGGATCGTTAGTCAAGACCGCTGTGTGTAGTTTTGACATGTATACATCTTGAACGGATAACGGCTTTGATGTGATCAAAGTAGGCAGGTTATCTTGATTGTCAGCATGGCCTATAGCTTGACCAAACAGGGTGGAGCGTTGTTCCTGATGCTCGCGGGCCTTTTCTCGTTCCATGAAAAATCGTTGAAGAAGGTGATCGGGTCGATCCAATGAAATCCTTTCCGGAAATTGTCGGTCATCCTCATCTCCCAAACCAAGAGTCATGTTCTTGTTACTGCCAAAAGTAAACACCTCATCACCTTGTAGGTTTGTCCGGGCTTTCAATTGCGCTCTCGCTAGAATTCCATCTTCGGGACTATCCCCTCCGTAAACGGAGGTTTCGGGAGACGAGGCCTCGATATCACTGTCATTTCCTACAAAGTCTCCCAGTGGCTTTCCGTCAGTTCGCTTAATGTCACGGCCACTAATAGTGGCTCCGTAGACGTCAAAGGGACTGTTTCCCTCCCGGTCTTTGATCTTGATCAGACTTGCAGTCAAATGGTGAAGGCTACTAGGAGCACTGAAATCGGTAGCGCTTCGGAGATCTCTTTGCATCAAAGCCTGCGCAACAGCTATGTTCCCAGAGTACAAAGCTCTATGCAGTGCTGTCCATCCACTCTCCGAGTCTTGTGCATAAATGTCAACGAACGGTAACTCCAATAGCGCGTTCGCGAACTCGATGACAGTCGGTTTCGGCGATGAGGCAATCTGATGGAGCAGGGTACGTCCGTTTTGATCGCGTGCGTTCACTTGTGTACGAGACCACGGGGTCGCATGGCTTCGCCCATATCCACTGCGATCGACATGTGGTGTACCTGGCGAGGTTCCGATGACCTTTTTGTGGTTGCGCGACGAGGTACTCGGCGACGAACCGTATGAGGGACTTCCTATCTTTGGCGTGATGCTGCCTGGCGCCGAACGCTGGCCAGTTGGCGCATTACTGACGTTTGCCAGCAGGCGCTTGAAACTGTCCACATCATCCTGAAGAAAGTATTGCAGAAGCGTGCTACTCATGTGCCACGAAGTGGGTGGAAATGCAGAAATCTTAATCGGCCTCGGAGCGGGTTCCTCGCTGTGATCACTCGGGATCACGGCGTATTTAAAGGAGCTCGGTCGGCCGTTTCAAAGATTTCTGGAAAGGTGCGATGCGACACGCGACTCGAGGATTTTGTCTCTTCCCTGGCTTGCAGACTAGCAGGAATATACGGATGTCGCGATGGTTGGAATAGTAATGTGGGGTGGCGAACCGCTATACAGCTATCGGCGAAGGTTTCGAGATGCCGTCTGTACGTAGGGAGATAAGCGGACACTGTTTTTGAGTGAGTGAGTCAAGGCCAAAGATGAGTCAACTGGTCCGGATGAATGCGACCTAGATAAGAATCTGGGATGAGTCAAAATGAGATGTTCTGGCAAAGGATGATTCTTTTCTGTCCTTTCCTTGATCTTAAGCGATCCAGATATCTACCCGGGGAAGTCGCGGTGCGTTCGCGCAGGGAGGGAAGGATCCTCTCGGGATCGCGGACAGCCAATCACGGAAGGCACACCCCTCCAAGCGATTCGATTATTGCTCAACTTTCCTCTCGTCCATCTGGAATATCTTCAATAATGAACTCATGTGATGACCTCGCGGAGGGATGCGACTACACGATTTTGTCATTGGAGGAGTTTCTAAGCATGTTGTGCTTATCACCGAGGTTTGTGATCTGTCAATTGAGACAATGATGTCCTACATGATTTCATGAATAGTACATACAACAAACGACTGTTTTGCAGTGGATGAAAACATCAAGGCATCCACTCGGAAGCTTCAGAGTGAGCCGTTGATCTGCCTCATAGGCTGCCGGGAATATGCATTGCATGTACTATATGTACAGTGCCTAGATACATACTCTGGCTCCTATCTTGTGGTCCCAATGTTCGTGGATGATTCATGATGGCCGTGCACGAGTCATAGGAAAGTTTCCTATCTAGTTAGTCAGATTCGAGAACCCGAGGAAATATGCAAACACTGCAAAATCTGTGACAAGGATCACCTGCTTTCAAGGCTCAGTATGTACCTTGATAGTTAGCTGCTGCAAAAATACCATAATTACGTGTACCCAGTCAGCCTTGCGCAATATTACGAGATCGATAAGATCCGAATCCCCATTTGCCCAGACTTGGTATTCGCATACTACCTCTTCACTGGTTGAAATAATCATTCACAAGTAAATATATACATACCTTTCAGTAGATGTCTGATGATTCCTAGAGGATGAGCAAGTCTTAAGACTTGAGAGAACCGGTGCTTATCGGTATCAGCCTGAGGAAATCAGTGGAGAGGCTTAGCCTACATCAGGAATAGCCGCAGCGGGTGGCCAGCGAATCGCCAGTGGGCAGCCACTTGACCGCCCCGGCAACATCGAGTCACCAGTGTGCGTCACAGGTCGTGCTCCATCTCTACAACACATCTCTCTCCCCTTATCTTTTCTCGTCAACTCCCTCTTCCTCGCTCGGCACATCCCATCTAATTTTCAATCTCGGCTTTCTCCAATTCATCAGTCCCTTTCCAACTACAGACATGGACTGCTGAACTGTGCCCTTTCTCTCACATTGTGAGGAGGCACTGTTCGCTCCCTCCCCGTGATTGGGTCCGCAGCTGCTGCTAATGCGGAGAAGCTCTTGTGAGGCTATCTACTATCGACCTACAACTAAAATCTGTCCGCCACGTCCTACTCATTGTTGCCTGAATATCCAGCCCGTTACCATGTCCTTCCCGTTCTCGATTATATAAAACAGTCGTTAGGTACCTTTATTTTATTTCCTCCTTACGGTCTGGACTTTCCCGTCCACCCGCGCCAGCCAACCAGAACCGATATATCGTTTACCGAGTTGTTTCGAGCATGGCCAATTTCTTCCAGGCATTTCCTTTTTTACACGCTTGAATGCCCCTTTAACACCTATCATTTATCGTCTATTGTTGTGGATAGCTTGTGACTTATCCATCCCTTACACAACCAACCCTGATGGTTATCGAGATACTACTACCACACAATGCATCAACATCCACGATCACCATTCCCGGCGAGGCAGCCAAGCGTATCCTCACCGAGCTCAGCGAGGGGTGACGGCTCGAGAGACCCGGATGATAACCGCGCGTCTTCAATGCAATCGTCGGACACCACGAGGGGCCTAGGAATCGACTCCGGAGCCGATGCCCCAGCTCCTGGGAAAGAGGCTATGGCAAAGCTCAATCAGATCATAGCAGTGAGTATTGCCATTTATACAAAAGGTCCTGCCCTCAATATGCTGTTGTCTGACTTGTGGCGCCTCACAGAACTACCACACTAAAGCTGCGCTGATTATACTCCACGCGAGAGCTGACCTTCCTCAAAGTTTCAGCAAAGGATCTGACTCTCCAAGAGTAAACCGTTGGGTAAGTCCGACTTGTTATGTTCGGAAGGGTTGTGTGCCCAGACGGGACTGACTTCTTTTATCTCAGTTCAATGTTGATTTAGATGAAACCGACGAATATCGGGACAGTATACGGAGATGGAGGACTTGTGATGCCGCCGACAATCGACCACCACCCATGATAATTGAGACGTATCTTGATGCAAAATCATTGACGAATAGTCAAACTCTCGTTTTGATAGACGAAAATGGAAAACGATGGGATGTGGTGGGTGCTTTGGCTGCGTCACAGAATGCTTTGGTGCGAGCCAAACCAAAGGAAGTCGTCTTAGAGAGATGGAGAGTCGAGCTGGGCCCGTCCTCAACTCGGCCGCCTCCTGATTTAGCGTCTATTTTGCCTACAGTCTACAAAAAGAGCATTGTCCTATTTCGATCCTTGCATGCCTATGCGAGATTATTGCCGGCCTGGAAGGTCGTCAAACGGGCAGGTATTATGCGTACCAACCCCGCTTTGAGGGTCAGATATCGAATTCGTGAAGCTCGTGATTCTGATTTGTCCTCAAGCTCCGATAGCTTGACCCTTTCTTTGCAATCGGGAACCGAGAAAGTAGTCGATACCTATTCCTTTGGTACCACCGAATCACCAGCTGGTCCGTTTTCGGTTCAAGTGACCTATCGCCTCAATGTTGATTTCAGAGTTGATGATTCAGAATCACTTTTGAGTTCTCGCTTCATGGGTGCGGATGATAATTATTTCTTGCCGTCGCTACCGTCCGAAGAACCAAGCAAAATGCTCGCTCAAGAAGCAGGCTCTCTCCCCTTGGGGAGAAGAGGGTTGGCAGATCCAGATCGGTCCCAGGCTTATGGTAGCCTCTCAACGTTCCACCAGGTTGGACCGACAACAGGTGCTAGTCCCATATCAACATTACGTGCCGTTCGGGATATGGGTAGTCCTTCACCTTCGTCCGCGTCTCCTCCGCGGAAATTACTCTCTGCTGCTAAAGTAGGACCTGTAGGCCGCGTAGTGGGCGAGAGCAGCGGCGTGGCCAGGCGGCCTTCAATATCAATCCAGCCTTTCAAAGCTCCACCGTTATCTGCATCTCCATCGCTTGTTGATCCGCCGCTCGGTGTCTCTCCTCGAGCTAGCACCGGTCGTGCAATAACACCATCAAGTTTGAGCGATTCCCGTACTATGCCGCCACCATCAGTGCCGGCTTCGGCAGGGCGGAAGATAGGATTTGAACCGGCATTACCATCATCAGCATCGAGCTCTCCCAAACCCGCTCCTATTTCAAGATACAGCAGTTCCTTTAGCCATCGACGAGGGAGATTATCTTCTGGCGGCACTACCCGTATTGAAGAGGACAATATCTCGAGCGGGAAAGCAAGCGCTGCTTCATCCGGTGCACCACCTGGCTCCGGAATACTAGCTGATCCTAACGGTGCCAGTGGTGATTCGCTGCATACAGACGACGAGAATATTTCTGACTTCCTTAAGATGCTCGATCTCAGGAAAGACCTACTAAGCCCGGTGAAAGCAGCTGCAGTTGATGCTGCGACTCGTAGAACATCTGCCGCGCTGACTCGGTTTCAAAGAATGCGTGATACTAACGCTGCACTTTCTGACTCCATGTCCTCTTCATTTCATCTTCATCGCTCGTCGAGCTCATCCAGTCGACAGTTGTCTAGTGTTCCACCAATGGTTGCTGGCACATCAATATCTACAGCTTCATCTCCCGGGAAACCTATTTCTCCCCATACCCCTCATACACCCGCTATCCGCTCTCGATTGAGTTCCAACAACAACATAATCACTAACGACAGAGAACCGGATGCTTCCCCCCGACAATCAGACGTCGAGCCAGAAGTAACTCCAAGTGATGAAACAACATACCAACCCACTCAGCCAGGTGCCAATGTAATAGACATTCCTACGTCTCCAAGCTCCGGTCTGCCGACTTACCGGCGTGCGACATCCGCTCACAGTCGTCGCATTAGTGCTGGAGGAGGGGACGACGAGGAAATATTTCCATTTGGCATGCGAAGTGTCTCTTTGGGCGATGACAGAACTCACTTGAGTCTGAGCGCTCGGATGCGTCAACATGAATACGAGTCTATGGGCACAAATACAGCACAGCCAAGCTCGGGAACGACACAACCAGCTGATGACACCAGTAATCCCGCATTGCAAACCTCGTACCCTTTCCGAGAGTTCAATACACAGCGGGGAGGGTGTGGTTCCAGTGCCGCCGTTGCCACTTCTACATCCTCAAACCATCCGTATCAAACTCGCTTTTCTCATAGTCGAGGACGAGGCTCATCAGGAGGACCGCAATCGCACAGCTCTACCTCTGGCAGCTTGCCACGGGGTAGCGCAATACCAGCACACCTCACTGAGCGTGAACGCGACCGTGACGGTAGCGCAAGCGGAAGCAATAGTGTTGCGTCATCACTCATAGAAAACAGACGCGGGGCTAGTCGTCGCTCTGGGTCGGGACGTTCTCTAGCTCAGCACACGACTAGTTTTGACGAGGAGGAGCCACTGCTATTTGCAATGAGTGATTTTGGCGCCTCACGGCGAAGTCTCGAAGAGGGTCGACGCAGTAGCGTCGGCGGTGAATCCGGCACAGCCTCTGGAGGATCGAGACGTGGTAGCGGACGACGGGGTGCCGGGATGCCGGGATTCCACCCATGGCAATAGGGACTGCTACAATGAATCAACCTTTCATTCATACTGCCTACTGACGCTTCGGTATAGACACCACACACAGTTAGACTCGACCTGAGCCTCTGCAAAACCAACTTCTTCTCGACCTTTGAAATCCCTGCGACCAATGAGATTACTAAACCTTTGGATATCGTTTTGTTTTCTTCCATATTCTTCCTTATTGCCTCTGGTCTCTCCTCTCATCCTACTTACACGACAGGGTTATATATACGTTTCCTTTGATACTCACTTGTTCTTTGCATTCTCCGACGTTATGCTTGGGTATTTACCTGCAAGCGTTTCCTCTTTTTTGGAAAGATTGAGTCTTTTTTCGTTTCTATCTGATCTTGACTTGCATTCTGGGACTCCTGGCGTTATACGTATTCCAATGGCTTGGGTCTGGTCTCGATCTTGAATGATATCTTGGTCGTTCTTGGTTTCGTTGGTCCTTGATTTCATGCACATCTTGTTTTTGTGTCTTTTTCGTCTCGGACCTTGATCTTGTTCCTCTTTCTTGGGCTGGGTATGAATACCCTTTGGATCTTTTGGGTGTGGTTGGGTAGTTTTCGTTTTGAGATTGAGAGTTGATGATAAAGTGATACCTTAGACCTAGGTTAAGAATATTTCTTTTTACCTCGCGGTTGAATATACATTATTTATTCCATATATTGAATGCTTTTGCCTTTTCTTCAACGAACCTTTGGGGTATCTCGGTCTTTCTATCTATCCTTCTTTTTTTTTTCTTTTCAGTTACCTGACTTTTTTTTGGGTTAAGACTCTAGTACCCAGAATGACAAGGTAATGGTACAACAATCATATCTCATGATTCACTTTTTCCTCTTTCCATCTCAAATCCGCCGGAATGTATTCCCCGACGCACTTCGACGTGCTTTATTCCTGTACCCATTATCCGTACCCGAATAATCTGACCTAGACTGCTGCTGTGATCTCGACTTGGACGAAGTAGGCGCAAAAGTGATTTCTTTCTCGCCAACCGCACCTTGCCGTGAAGTCGCTCTATCCTTGTTAACTCTATGGGTATTATTACTGCCCAATTTGTGCGCCAGTGTTTCAAAGGATCGATCTCTGCCTCCTCCTCGGGATTTATTTGCTGAGGAGGAAGATGAAGAGACTTGCATCTTGGTATATGGTTTTCTGCTGCGTTTGTAGGAAATTTCTTCGCCCATTTTGGGTTGGTTGGCTTTTGCCGGTCGGTTTGACGGTTTTTGACCTTGTTCGCTACCGGCGTCGTCGCTGTCGTTGTCGTCATCATCGCTGCTAGAGCCTGGGATTTCGTCGGCTTCTTCTTGTTCGACGGCTGTGAGACCGCGCTCTTTTCTCTCTGGTTTTTCGACAGTGGTGCTTGGATTGAGCATTTGGAATTCTCTAGAAGTCTCATCAACAGCGAATTCTTCGTCTTCGAAGAGTTTCGCGAAACGGCTGTCACCAAGCAAGCCCTTGCTTTCGTCACCGGTTGTAGTTTCAGGACTCTGTTCAGGTGCCTCGGCCATTGTCTCATCACCTCCTTGCTCAAGCACGCGTTTGGCGTTCCGTCTCTCAGCCTTTTCTTGTTTCTCGAGAAGCTTCTCGGCCAATTTCCGATTGACTTTGACGGCAACCTTCTTCTTGCCTCGGATGCGACTTTCTCTTTCTTGATCAATCTTCTCCTTGACTCTCTTGGCTCGTTCTTCCTCCCAAATGTAAGGGTTCGTGATCAAACGGGCTTCTTCGTATAACCGTTGAGCCACAAAGTAGCCATGCATATATGGTCGTAACAAATTGGTTCTGCCGATGAGGTGGTCCAAGTTCAATGTGCGCAGTTGAGGTACCGTCAAGAACTTGTAGTTGTCGTATACAGTAGATGTCTGACCTCCAGTAAAGGCTTGAGGATCGTTAGGATCTTCGGCCATCTCTTCGACAAGGTTGTCCAAGAAGGAGCACCACTTAGGTGCAGGGCCAAGTTGTGGGACGAAGAACGCGTGCTGTTGCCTGCCCTCATTGGCTGTCAAAATCATTCCACTATCTGGATACCATGCGACACTATTTATATCCACAGCTGGCTCGACCGACGTCCACGGCGTACCATTTCGAGGGTCCCAAATCTTGATGATCCTCTTATCCGAAGATAGAATCTTCGGTTCCATTGTCTGCTCCCGTGTTTGGGATGATGACTGCAGGAACTTGAGCGTATGAACCGGATATCCATAACCTTGATCCTTCTTGAGGAAAGGAATCGGCGATCGTAAATCATACAAATGAATTAAACCATTCGACGATCCTGTTCCTAATGTAAGGCCAGATCTGTGAAACTCCAGCGCCGTTATCTCGTGTCGTCCTTCGCCCGGCTGCGACTGTGCTGGTGGTAGCAAAATCCCGGCCCGACCTCGAGCCCTCGAATCCCAGAGTTCTACTGTGCCAATAGAAGTACCGAAAGCAAGGAGATTGTGACTTCCTTCCGCAATCGCACCGGTGTTGATTGACCCGGTATTGATACCACCTTGCAACGCACCACCGCCGGCGGATGTATAATCATCTCCACCGACGTCGACTTCGTAACTGCGCATGTAACGACCGGCCTCCAAGTTCAATCGGAATACTTCACCGAGTCCGTCCTGGTTGACCCCTACTGAAGGAACGAGGGCCTCGGTGGACTGTCTATCATAAATAAGATCTCGTCCATAACGAGGTAGTCTCGTCGTGTAGTGACATCCCGACGGCGTATGGAACTCGAGCGACCTATCTGCCTGCAGATGTAAAGATTTCGAGTAATCGGACGAGAGTAGAAGGAACGTCGTGTTGAGTGAAACGGTATGACGAGCAAAAGATAATGATAGGTGAGGTAAGTAGTGAGTATGTATTTGCGGTTTGTAAGTTCCTAACAAAAAAAACATTTAGCATTTCTAGTTCAGTAAACGGCGGAAGCGGTTTAGGAAAACATACCTGTACTCATAACCCATTGTCCATCCTCACTAATTCGGATACACTGACTCGCTTCCTCGAACTCGAAATCCTGTAATAATTCGACTCGGTTTGCGTACTCCGGATCATTTTTCAAACTGCGCTTTCTCCGCCTAGCAAGCCACTCCGGAAGAGGTCTGGCAGTCGAAGAGCCAGAAATAGTATATACCGGAACGGAAGACTGCGTTGATATCTTCATATTTGCGCCTTTGACCTCCTCCTTCCGAAAATTCTCTCGGCAGTGAAGTCGTTCAAACACTTGCCTCTCTTTTTTTTTTTTTAGCTCGGAGATAACAATTAAGAAGGATAAAAAAAAGATAACGGAAGGTACCAAGTGGGAATGCCAAGATTTCTCCACGTGATCCAAACTCCGCCGAGTCCTCGGGTAAATCTGATTGGGCGCGTTCTTCCCTTCCGATGCTCGTTCAACCAGCGACGACACAGGCACAACCTACACATATCAAGCATCTTCGTCTTCATCCTTTTCGGAAGTGCGTGCATCGTGAGATATTGATTCTATCTGGTTTCCTGGCTGCGTCACCTGTTCCGTGCACTGGATTAGAGCAAACAGTCAATGCGATTCCAAACCTCCTATCACCGATATGGAGACAGTTCCCCAGGGCTACAGTACTAATCATTATTCCGTGTAAGGCTGGAGTCGCCCAACTCACTTGATTTTTCCTCTGCGCCTGTCTCTGTTCCAATGCATCACGTTAGCTACATCGCTGGAGATGCGATCTTTTATACCAGAAAAGTTTCACCTACTATTTTTTCACCCTTGGCGAGTAGATATCATTGGTTGGCTAGGGAGCCATTCTTACGGTGATGATGGACTTTCCCGGAGATGCCACCACCAACTTCATCGCCATTGTGAGTATGACTCTTACCTCGAAAAATACTAGAGCTAATATTACGCGCAGAATGGATTCTCTGTTATACATTGGAGAATATACACCGAGGAGGCTACTACTAACAACCCTTCCTCGGAAATTGCTCCGAGCAGCGGGTACAACATTCTCCGGCACCTAAGCAGACTCAAAGATCTGGAGATCCAACTACGAAACCTTGACTGTTTAGTTTCATGTTATCCTCGAAGGTTAGGTCTGTGGGTCTTTTCGCCAACACCTGGTTTTGAGAGTCTGAGTCCGCTCACCCGAGATGCTGCACCTCCCACATTGAAGGAGTCGAAACTAAGCATCGGAGCATCATCACTCAAAGGTACCTTTAATCTCTGAATCCTTGTAGGTTTGCCGGCTAACTTGATATAGTCTCTGCATTTGGCAGCATCTCAGCTGCGGACCTCATCAAATCTCTATCCGGAGATGGGGTCACAGCCGCTGCAGGGACTCCTGGACAACCAGGGAGAACGCCAGGGTCAGCCGTGAATGTACCCCGATCTGGTGATGCCTATGCAAATTCCATGGCAATCTATGCATCTTTCATTACTGCTATAGCAGGAGCCATTAGCTTGCAGCTTATAAGGCGTCACAATGCTATTCCTCTGGGCTCTCGGACCTTTTACACTGCAGTAGAACGCAGTTTTTACGAAAATCCTACTATAAGTGATGACGATGTGGACTGGATACGCACTCTGACTACACTGAGAATTGAGCTTACACAAGTCGGAAAGATTGTTCTGGCTCTGCATACTATTCACCAAGATGGCATATCACGACTGAGAGAGCCCAACAGGACCGATATCACTCCCTCCAATATTCAGCCTAACATGGATGTTTGGCTTGCACCCAACGGAACGGTAGCTCGACTGATCAACGTGAATACGGCACAGTCGGCAGTTTTTGCCCCCAAGCAAGCAAAGAGCGAAGGTGTGTCTAGGCAGATAACCGAGGCCAAGCAACGAGTATGGAAGGAGACTGTCCTGGAATGGCTGAGTAATCTTGGACTTCCAGTTGACCATCCCAAAGATGAACATTGGGTTGAAGTGGAAGTGTCAGAGCCGTTTTATGCGCGACTTGCAGCTGAGCACTTGCGTCAGATGGATGACAGTCAATCGTCGTCTCCTCTGAAAAGGATACTTTGGCCTTCTAGGTACTGTTTTTGGAGAACAAAGATGGCGTCAAGTGAGAAGGTTTGCGAGCTCAATGACGGCGAAGAACCCCTACACTTTGCGGAAACTTGGTTGGAAACAGCCACGTCACGACATGAGAAGCCGAATGATAATTCCAACGTCGTAGCAATAAGTCAAAATGGAGGCACCTCCACTACAAAATTCGAAGTTCCTGAGAAGGTTGAGAGCCTAGCGAGAGTGATCCACTATCCAGATCTTCAAAACGCGAGCTCTGTCTATCCCACGCCACCAGACGGAGCTCTAGTACCGGGCATGAATCAAATAAGCGCCGATACTCTCGAACCTGACTGCCAGGATATAGGGTTATCTCAGACTCCTGGAGAAACTCCGCTGAAACAGCAGGAAAATGTGCGGAAATCCTCAGGTGACAATGAACACATGCAGGTTGGAACAGGTCTCTACGACACTAATGATGACGAGCTCTTCAGTGGAATGGATGACGAGGATTTTGGGAGTAAAGGAATCACGGATGCTGATTTTAGTTTTTTTGATGATGACGACGATGAAATGAACGATTTTATGGCCGATAAGCAAGAGACCGAGCATCCCAAGCAGGGCACACTACAGCCGAGATCAGAGGAACCGGACGAAGTCCCAGTGTCCCAAGCAGAGGTCCAGAAAGATCATGTCCCAACAGAAGACGAGACTTTCGAACATAACGAAACGCAGAAGGCGAAGGATGCTGAGCCGTCCGCCTTATTGGAGGTTGATATCAAGCAGCCAGATATCACATATCAGAATACCGCTTTGCAGGAAGCACCTTCAATCCCTCTGGAACATACTATAAGCGCCCCTCTCAGTCCAATCGACATCAAGCAAATGCTATTTTCAAATAAGGACACGAAACGCATAGACGGTAGAAGAGACTCTGCATCATCATATCCGGTTTTGGAGCGAAAACAAAGCCGATATAATGCAATACCTTTTAAACGAGGTTTGACCTTAGACCAGAAATATGCTAATGCCGGGCGCTTCTTCTTTACAGCAAACAAAGACAAAAGTGAGGATGTCAATACAACCCCAGGAATTCCGACAATTGGATTCCCTCGTTGGCGCAGATCAGGACCTCGAGACTCTATTGACGAGATCAACATTTCTCGTCAACAAGGCTTAGAGCAACCTATGCAACGCACTGATTCGGCATCTAGCGATGAATCAAGCCTAGATAGTAGCGATAACGAATCTGAAGATGAGGCATCACTATTCAGACTGACAAGTCTGAAGCGAAAACGGCCGCTTTCTGAGGCCGAAAAATCGACGACATCGTCTATGGAAAAACTCTCTATTACTTCCGAGGTGGAGGCCGTCGTCTCCAAAGAAGATTCTTCGATATTCTTGGGAAATTTCTTTTCTGTCCTTACCGACTGGTCTCTGGTCGGATATTTCTCTGCCAAGCAGAGCCCGATTTCTCCCGTTACAAGTCGCAAAGATGATCAGATGCAAGTCGCACAGTTGATGGTCGATCAAATTACTCAGTCATCGCTGTCTCATAATATTGATGGCTGGGAAGCGGTTCCGGATCTCGACTGCCAGACTATTGGCTTACATACTTTTCTCGACGAAGCTACAAGTTTAGGCGAAAACGAAAGGTTGGGTTTGAAGTCCTACGCTACACTTCACGATAGTCTGCAATCTACTGCGGAAACGCCATCGGCGCGGCCGAATCCCCAACGTCGAGAGGTCAAAGGATCAATCACAAAACTAGCGCCATCGCACCTGCGTATCCACCGTGGACGCGATTTCTTAGAAGTCTTATCGACATCAATGCCGTTCTGGGAGACATTTGGATTAGAGCCCGCCAGTGGGCAGAAAGATGTCTCTGCGTATTGTATATGTCCTCAGTTTGTCAAAGAAGAGGCAGACGCGTTCATGACTCGCTTAGGCCAGATATATTCTGGTTGCAATCTGGGCAAACATGTCAGAGGCGATATGTCTCAGACGTTCGAAAATGGTATAGGGGTATGGAATATTGCAAAGGGCGATGGCTCTTATGCGCGAACAATGCAGACATTGCGCGGTCTCTGCGAAGAGTTAGGTATGTATTTGGTTGGACTCATTTGACTCCTTTACTGACATGGCTTAGGGACTGCATTGTCAAAAGCTCCTTCAACAGGAGAAAATTTTGTCATCTATATCATCAACCCGTTCTCTCACGGAGCAGCATTCGTGGATATCTGCTCAACTTTCCTCCGTCTCTTTCAGAGATACATTGGTGACGTTGACAAAGCCCATGACAAGAGTCGGCTGAATGAACTCGTCTTGCAAATCGTGCCCTTGCCATTCATATACTCGCCAACATCGTTGGTTATTCCACCCCAGTCGGAATATTTGAATTTAGCGCTTGAAGTCTATACTCGATGCCCGCCCAAAGATGCCAATTCTGGCATTATAGGCTACGCGCCACCAGTGGTGCTGGCAGATGCGGTTCCCAAAGCGATCAATTTTAGAGTCACATCAGAACCCGTTTCACCTTTTCAAGAAGGCCGATGTCTTCATGTTGCTATTTCACGCAGTGTTGACCAGCGTTGGATCAGTGTTGCATGGTCTGACAATTCGGGGTCGTGCCAGATTACTATGTCGTATTGCATGCGAGCTAGAGGGTCGAATGTCAACCGCAGTATATCAGAAGTGCGGCAAGAGATCTGGGAGGCAACCAAGGATCTAATGGAGCGAACACAAACTAGGTGGAAGGTATTGTTAGTGAGGACTGAGCCTGTGGACCAGGAAGAAATCGATGGTACGTATTATGAAATCACTGTTGAGGGGCTCGTAGCTAATTATGCCAAGCATGGACCGGCTTTGCGGAACGATATAATCAAGCAAAAGCTCTACCAGTTGAGCTAACTCTTATCTATGCCAACATCGCACCTGGTCTCCGTCTAGAACTTCCGACACAATTTCAATTTAACGGCATCAATCCCCTAACATCGACACCGGTAGCAACACCCTACGGCGGAATCTCATCACCAGACCAACTTGGCGCTGCAACTCCAGCCAGCGGCGGTCAGGGACCGACCAACATGAACTATAACACTGCAATGACACCAACAGACACACCACCAGTACTTACCGAAGCCGACTCTGACGCCGTCCTTATCGATGCATGCGAAGAGTCATGGGCAGTCATTCTCTCACATCGATTAAGTAACTCGGCATACTTGACAGATTACAAACCAGCACTAGTCAGCGGTTATCTACTTCGAAGAAAGGGAATCAATGACAGCCAGGGTGTTACAGCCATGGCATTGAATTTGGTGCATACATCACGGCCCCCAGCTCTGCATGAGGCTGTGCTCAGAGAAGTACTAGCTAGTTACCGTGACCTGGCGACGTTGGCTAGGGCCAAGGGCACGTTACATGTACAGCATAATACATTACCATGGCATATTGCCACGGCTGTGAAGGGACAGGAGTTGTTGAGTTTCGTTTTATAGATTGCTGTATGTATTATGGCTTCTCTCTGTCATATTTAGATATCTTCATTAGCATAATAGCATAGCGTCGATTACTACCATCTCTGCCCTGAATCATTGTCACAGCGTATATGGATTATAAGAACGAGACTGATCAATCAACTAACAATGGGGTATCAAAACAACCAAAACCTTTAACAACACTCATTTCATCCAGACTTCTCTCTTTACTCTTGAACGACCACCCCACAACCCTATTCTCAATCATATCCAACCCAGAAGAAGATTCATTCTTCTCCCAAATACAACCCCCAAACACTCCCAATTCAGACACAACTTCATCAACCACAACACCTCTCGAAGAAGACATGAGCATTCCATAGATATTTTGCGGTGAGCGGATCTTTTGCATGAGTATATACGCCCTGGATTTCTCATTCTCTAAGAGCGTTTGTAAGATCGAAGGTATATCAGAGCCGTAGATATTATGTCCTCCGCCTTCAAGGGAAGCAGGTTTGAGAATATAATTCTCTGTTAATTTCTCATCATGAATCTTTTCAGAAAAATCAAACTCGTTAAGAGAGTAAATCTCAACAAAGGTCCCCCGAATCCTATCCGCTTTGTCGCTCGTAAGCCAGCGCCCCAACGTCCCAGGCACGGTTAGGGCTTGCTGCACTTTCTTAATAGTCGTAATATGTCCCAGGATAGACGGACATTTGATTGCGCGCGACAACTCGAGTCTAATGCGAATATCTTTTCCTTTTATTTCGTCTGAGTACTCCTGCGGCTCGTACCCGGCTCGATGATATATAACTGATATCTCGACAGGAGTCCGTCCTCCGCTTTCAGGCGGGAAGAATAGTAGTTCCCCTGTTTCGGTGAGTTGCGTACGATGCAGGACATCTTGCCATTCGATTCTGTACGTCGGAATCGGGTTGTCGTCTGCCCAGTTCCATAATGCGTACTCAATGGGTCGTTCATCTGCGATATTGAAATTATTCGGTTGAACGACCATTAGCACAGCTGTATGTGAAGCTGCCGAATTATACGGCGTTGATCCATATCTCTTGTGCGCTAAAACGAGTAGCGACGCAATGCCGTGTATCGTATTATTCAGGGGCAAGGAAGACGGAAGAATCCTCATATCTTGTTTTTCATCGATGGATGGGCAGTTATAAACACCACGTAGAGCAAGGAATCGATGCATATCAGCGACTTTATCGGCATGACATCCCCCAGCACAGGAGTACGAGTTGAATTCGACCTGTTTCAGGCACAGACTCTGTATCCAGTCCTCATCGTCGTCATTGTCACTATCGGAAAGGACATGAAGCATATAATCCGACCTGAACAACCCCGCATGAACGTTTTGCTCAATATATTGAACTTTTCGTCTTTGTCGTTGAACCTCCTCATAAACACACCATAATGCATCGACCAACGGCTCCGTCTTCCTCAATGGTCCCGTCACAGCATACAACCATTCTTTATCCTCTGCAATCTTGCCATACAATTCATTATATGCCAACTGCAATTCATCAATGGCTTCATGGAATACTCTTCGTGGGAAAACAGTGGGAAACACGCTCACGCTAACGGGTTGGAGGTGTACGCTGTGCGGGATTTCAGAGTCTATGACCTTGAGTAAAGAGCCGTGCGTGGATTGATAGTCTTTTATCTGGGTGAGGAGGGAGTGGATTTGGTCGGGAGGTAGGCTATCGGGTGGGTAGGTTTCGAGGATTGTCTGTACGATCATTTCTGACTTCGTTGGTGTATATGTGTTCTAGATTTTTATTATAAGATCTGTTCCAAGGGATTGATTAAACATGATCCACTTGATGAGTTGTCAGGGACATGCAGATGATGTGCAGCTATTCATGCATAAGTTGAATTGTACAGCCCTTCCCCTCGACGGCTGGAAACCCAGAGGCCATTCCCATCAAGCTTGAATGCTTACCAGTAATAAAATTAAAATCATCTTAGCAACTTGTAATTCTCCGGATGGCTGTGTTGAGGGTCCGGTGGGGGCTATACAATGCGGCTGGCTGCACTGCATTTACCCTAACTAAAGTGGTATGCATATATACTACTACGGGTTCTTGCAGATGGAGTGGATTATGCATTTTACCTTATTTAGTTGGAGGAATCAGGGTATAAGAAGAGTCCGAGTGGGTAGGGTGTGGATATGCTTGTATTGATTGCATAGAAACGCATATCTAGATCAATGGTCTGATATCAAGTAAGCAGCTGTCAATTGATACCCGGGGATAGTCCGAGACTTGTATGATGGATAAGCGTAGGCAGTAAAATAGTTGACTAATGGAAAAGAACAATGGGGCCGGAAGTTGTCACATTCTTCCGTGCAGAAGAGATGCAAGCAAAGGTCTTGGGAAAGAAGTATCAAGAGGACAGATAAGCAGGAGCATGCTTGACTACGAAAAATTCGCCGGGATGCTCGCCGAAGGATAGATGACCAGATGACTCAACTCCTGAAGTCGGCGATCTGTCCTCAAACAGAAGACTCGAGAACAATGACGACGCTCTTGGAATCAATCGTAACAATACAACATTTTCACGTCCTGACAGGTTCTGTACAATACATTTTGTCTGCGTATCCCAAGGCAGCAACATCTTCAGCATAATCGATTCCTGAAAATTGTTCTCGCCACGGGACTGATCACTGATCCAGAATCAAACGATATGCGTCAGACGAAGACGTTGACTTACAAGCCACATGCAGTCAGACGAGTACATGTCGGCACTTTGTAAAGGTTCCCTCGGAAGAAGGCTTGACAGCCGGAGATATCCAATCTGCACACAATTCGATCATTGTGTAAGCAATAGAAAGATTTTGCAGGTCAAACGACCAACCAGACAATCCGCTTGTCGTCAGTGGACACAACTGATCAATCAAGATTTTCACAAGGCAGACTTGAGACAAGACTCTGTGCAGTCATTCAAGAGAGATATCGTAAGCAACTAGTGGGGTCAATGCCGTCAATTATTGACAGTGACAGGCCGGACGAGAGCTGAAAAGTGAAAACTAGTAAAGAACGAGTTAGTCGAACATGGGGTCCAGTCATAGCCTCATACTGTGTCTTTTGTACGGTAGCAGTAAGAGAGATACTCAGTAACTAGACTAAACACGTTAGCTTGGTAGAAGTCTGAGTACTCAAACAGGCAAAGAAAGACGAGATCAGAGTTCACCCGAGTTCCTGATCACGCGGGATCTTCGTATTGGTTTGGAGTGAAAAGCCACCGCCGGTGTAGCCACAGTCAAGCCACTGATTGAATTAGCAAGGGTAGTTAATGAAGAGTCGATATGAAGGTGGTAGACAAGAGATAAAAGAAAGAGATTGAAGTCGGGAGAAAGACGATCTCGGGCTGACATCATATCGTGCCAAATAACTATCATAGTGGATAACTTAACTAACGTAGTTGACTTAACTTAGTTAGTTATAGAGCGCGATTCGATTAGATAACCACCAACAGGTCTCCATAACTTACTGTTCAATTGATACGCACAGACAGTCTCAGAGAACACCCTATTCTTGCAAACGGTAGGCTCTTCTCACTCGAAACGATCAGCGTAAGCGCGAAGGGAATAGTGAAACAAAAGGTACATCTGCATAGAAATTCTATGGATATCCCTGGAATTATATCACCCACCCAAGATACTTATCCATATAATGGCAGTCGCATCGCGGCGGCTATCTGATACACAGGAGATGAAGTATATGACTCGCATCTGCCCTATCAACCCTGAATGCATGCCAGGTCAATGAGTGGTTCGTAACGTCTGCAACGCGTCTATGCGGCACAGTCAATTGAGGAGTAGCGTCTGTCATCCAACCAAGATTCTCTCTCCCGGACTTTTCTTAATAAGGCACAGCCACTGCCTTAGACTGTTTTGGGGATAGTGCAATTATGAGGCTGAAAATCATCCTTCGTCCTCTCAATTCTCTAATCATCATAGACGCTCTGCTCCAGAATAATCTGCTACACTCCTGTGTCTCAGTAGTCGCCAACATGGTTATCACAATCAACCAGCAATTGCAATTGCGCTCAAGAAACATCTATTTCTGTCTGTACGAACATCGTCTGTATTGGCGTTATACCGTTGCAATACTTGAAAACATCTTGAAATCAACGACACCATCGTCAGATACCAGATACCAGGGCCCTGTGGCTGAGCTTCTTCTCGTGTTAAAGATGACAGGTAGATAACGTTCGGGATCTTGAGAAATATCCGAGCATCACACAGACTAGAAAACGTCACTGCCACAGTTTGACGTATCGTATCACCAATTACTCAGCCGCATGCCACTAGACGAAATAAAAGGCTTGTGCGCTTGAGGCTGGTGTTGGCTGACTTCCAAATTTGTAACGGGATACGATAAAAGTGGCTTGACCAGCCTATCACACATCGAACTAAGTATTAGCGAAAGATACGACAAACTCTGTACGAGCAAAATCGCTGCCTGCACTTTCTGGCGCGTGAACAGACGATCCCGGCACACCATCAACTAAAAATCAGCCTCGAGTCTAAATTGGTGTATCGTATTGTTGTGTATCGTACAGTTACAAAATATTGTCTACCTTGACAAACATGGTATTTAATAATTATCGTCAATCTTTCTTTGTTATATATATATAGACATACCTCCGCTCCCCCTCCTTCAGACGAATAATCATTGTCATAGTCATTCATCTGTTACACCTGCCGTCTATAAAGTCAGGACACTTCCCTTGATTCAAAGCTTCCCTCTTACATCCTCCAACTTACTTCAATCTACTCACTTGACTTTGATCACCTGCCTAGTGTTGCGAGGTCTTGTGTGTCTTACATCTTTTCTACATACACCCGACCAACCGTCAAGCTGTCGCTGCCATCTCGTCTAGATCATCTCTCCCTAGACAACTTCCTGCAGGATCGACGACGTCCTCGCAGTGACACTTTCTACGATTACCGGCGCCCATCACCAACACAATCACCCACCATGCCTTTCCTCACCACAACCAGTAGCGATCGCGGCTATAGCCCCGTCGCAAAAGTTCGCGACCTCGAGGCAGATGAATCCTTCGTTCTAACCGAGTACGAAACCCACGCCCGCAAATGCACCCGCTGCATCGACGCCCTCGACGCCTTTCGCGAGGGTCGTCTCCTCTGCGAGCGCGGACTCGGCTACGCCCGCGACGTCGCAAACTATATATTCACCAAATCCGGAAAGGCATATTCGGCCGTCGACAATGAGCATGACGAGGAAGTTCTCGTGCGCATTCCGCGGGAATACAAGGCTTCGCGCCGGTTGTTGTTGGCCATTGAGGAAGGGTTGCGGTTGCGTCGCGATCAACCCATCGTTAGCTACGATGCTACCTACCCTGTTGGCGCACGTCGACCTGCCGAAAATGCGGGTGCTGGCGGTGATGACGACGAAACTGTCACTGAGATTATTGAGCGTGCTCCTCGGACCCGTCGTCGCGTTATTATCTACCGTCGCACTTCGCCCGGTCGAACTTCCTCGAGCAGGGGATCGTTATATGAAGCCGATCGAGTCGATCGTCAAGAGCGCCGACAATACATTCGAGTATCACGGTGAAGCACCGAAACAAACAAACAAAAAGTTTCAAATCTACCAAAACCGGGTGTAATACAATCGGTATTGATCTTGCGCCGACTAAACCGTTAAGTCGCGACAATCGCAAAACGGGAATCCTATCGGAGGATGAGTGAGTCATGAGTGACTCGCATTAGGCACATGCACCTTCCAAATGACTTTAACGCATTATTGGTTGCCGACCTCCTGTTTGGGTCTAGTGTCCCACGGGATCCCGGGAACTAACCTCAACACGGCATAAAACGGGGCACATCCCGCTTTGCAGACTTTGTGGGACACAATCTATCCAATCAGCTTTTAGCTTATATGCTTCTTGATTTCAGTGATCAATGATTGGTTGCTTTTCTTTTGTCTTTGATGATGAACGAATACATGTATATGTTCTTAGCTAGTGAATGACAATTGATACGAGGACATCTAATAGTACTTGACTGTAGAAATAAGAAAGTTCCCACATATTGTCCGTGTCTACTCCATAGTAATGCGATGCAGGCTATGCACCCTGCATCCTTAGATCCACTTTCTTCAACATAGCCACCATGACTGCTGCATACAGTTACATACATTGATCAATGAATTGCTTCTTTAGACTTGATTGTGACTCACTACTCTTATCAAGATTCAGAATTGGCTGATGCATAGTCTAGACTTGTACCCTGTTATCGGCGTACTAAATGGGAAGTAGTTTACTGAATACCGAACACGACGAATACATGGATGATTTTGTTTATCGGGAAGTACTACATAGCATGCATGCTAAAGGCATATGCTAATTCTTCGATGGGTTTATATATATGTATATGTCGAAAGAATATTCAGTATATTTTGAGTTTGTATCAAGCTCAATTTTCCAAGTATTCTCCGCGCACCTCCAGTGGTTAGTGTACAATCCATGTAAAGTCCGGTACGAATAAAGTACACCTCGCAGATAACTAACTACTAACTATACCAGACATCTATTTCTTCATTCACGATTCACGTTAGAACATCTTCTATCTAACCATGTCTATGACTCATAAATAAAACGTCTGATCCAGAGACAAGACAATTCCATCCAATAAGATATAGTACGGACTCTCTGGCTGCCTAGTCGCCAAGGTCTCTCTGCATTGTGGCTAGTGCTTGTACTGCATATCAGGTAATGATACATTACAATATACCTCCGTACTGAACGTGTAAAAATAACGTGGGTGTGTATTGGTCTGCTGACGCCGTACATCGATCTAATTATCGATAGTCACTTGTATTTATGGTATGGTAGTTTACCTGACTCACTCCGCGCCCATCCATCTACATCTACATACGCCTTTTGAATAGTCCTGCAACTAACTTATGTATGTTTAGAGGGTGTGGTAGATCGACCTCATCCAATTTCGTCATTATGCAGTTGGATCTCCGGTATATTCGGATGCTCCTTCCGACAAACGTTCTGATATGTAGGTATGTGGGTGAATGTCTCAGTGATAAGAATAGAACCAACCCGGAAAGTTTTGGGAATTGTGTCATGTGGACTATCGTTCCAAAATTTTGATATTCCCGGTAGTCGTCAGCTGCCATGATCTGGATATCCATCGAGCACATAGTATAATATGGGTATATGTAGTCCACGAGGCCACCTGCATACATCCGCATATCAAAATAATCAGGATATGAACCGACTCTCCACGAATCACGGCTGGATGTATTGGAGTTGGACGGAATGCGGCCCGGGCCTAAAACGTGCGTCTATCCAACAATTTGATATGTATTTGTAATGGAGTATATGTCGATCTTGTGTGTCGAGTCAGGATAGGAAATAAGTTAGGTGTGTTTGGTTTGGGGGGTGGTGTTGCGGTCAGCAGGCGTTACACGGAGATTTGTATTGATCAAGGTTGTGTCAATAGCTAGGAGATGTGCCGGAACCGATATCCATGTTTTTAGATGAAATTTTTAACCGATTATGAATACTTTAAGGAGGATTCAAACTCGAGAGAGCTGTACAGCAAGAGTGGGCCCACTACCTATATACAAATGGACTGGCCAATAACTTATCGACAATCACGTGAATAAATCCCGAACGTCGAGCCGCATCTCCGAAAAACATCAATTTGGAAATAGATTATTTTAGTTCACGATCTTCCTTCACATCACATACATAACGACTGTGCTCCGGTATTGACACGGAGCGGATTATATCGAAGCACCTCTGAAATACTTCCGTGCTTCGACACAGTCCGAACGAGTGACTTGCGAACATAAGCGAAAGATTTCAAGTCTTCGGACCGACAACCACACCAAGTCATTCAATAAACACACAAAATGGCAAAGAAAGGTACACCCCTTGCTACTCCGCATAGATATACGATTCGGCCGAAACTAATTGATATCCAGCAAAATCACGAACAATAACCGTCCGTCTCATCTCAATGGCCATGACCGGCTTCTACAGAACAATGATCCGACCACGAACCCATCGTCCACTGAGTATGCTCAAATACGACCCCGTCGTGAGGAAGAAGGTACTCTTTTTGGAGGCTACAAAAGGTGGGAAGGCGAAGTGATTTATACTTTATAAATCTCATGGGATGTTAATATGTTTGAGTATGTGATTAGAAGGTGGAGGAGAGATGGTGATTTACATTCTGTATGAATATTTATTGGCGTTCTTTGTGTGTTTAATATTTTGTGGTATATTTGCGTTGTTGCATTGGGAGCTGAATGATATAATATCCCGTTTTCTGCTCTTCGATTCGTTCCTGGATTCTTGGTGTGATGTTCTGGCTCAGGGTGGACGTGTGCGTTCCGAGTGGATGCCTCCACTGGACGGTAATGACCCGATAGCATGCCACTTCAAGCCCCTCGAGGTTGACGGACTTCGAACAGCTCAGTGCAGATTCAGTGAAAATCTATTGGAGGACGCATGTGCGATTGATTATCGCAAAGACAGCGCCATCGAAGCACACGGACTTTCCAGTTGGTTAACATTTTTCTTGTGGCAGTTCCAGATTCGTAGCAACCTACTTCTCAACGGACGGGGTCACAAATACCTGAGATAAACCCATGCGAGATACATCGTAGACGGCAACTAATTATTCCTAACCGTAAACGAAACCCCCTTCGCCGTATCTGGTAACTTGCTCACAATATGTCGACGGAACATCATCGTCACTATGGGATCTTTCCTAGTCTGTAAATTATGTGATGTGCAACGATGTACCTAGTCTCGACTGAACTCCGTCAATAGCGACATTTGCATGCGATAATGAGCGCATGCTCTGTGCTTGGTAGTGAATTTGAGGAAGAGGAACATGCTAGTGTGATGGCGTGTATGACGGATCGCTTTCAATACTCCAATGTATAACGGCAGAAGTGTCGAACAGAAAAGTAGTGTGATAGCTGTGAGTTACCTCCGGCGATAATTTATCTTCCAGACACCTGACAGAAACCCCTGTCGCGGTCATAAGGGTTGTAAATACAATTTTCGGATAGAGCAGTTGACTTGTTCAGCAACCTAGCTGAGAAACTCATTGGATCTAATCCACTAAGCACTAGGAATGAACCACTGAGGGTATCCATGGATTTCTTTAAAACGGATAAAAGTCCTCGAATTAGTGTGAAATTTACTTCGCAAGGCGATTATAAACTGTCGATGTTAGGATATGCACAGACTATCCAATGAAATCGCTCGGCGATTGATAGATCTATCTGATCTGGATATGTGTGTGGAGGAGCGATAGATTATTGAATGAGGACGTGATATCAGCCTAATATCTGATTTATTAATCAGTTTGATGTTTAGGTCTTCCTTATATAAATAAACCTCATGGGTCGTCAGCAACACCATCCCAAGAAGATGTCTCCGCGCCGATGTAGGCGCCATGCATATCAGAGCCGACGATAAGGAAATTGGAGATATTTCAACGTCAATGAACCGTCCATACATGGTAACGACGAAGTAAAGCCATATAAAGAGGTTCAATCGGTGCCAATAAATTGAGCCATTTCATTACTTGGAGCAGAGGATCTATGATCATGGTCCTGTACTGTATGTCGTCTACCCTCTGTTGGATAGGTCGTGAATCTAACAACACTACTGGCATGCGGTTCCTCAAACTGGTCAACTGTCACCAACATGAGAGCGTCCATAGTCTTCACACCTCGAACTCTCGGTTGGAGTTGAATGAAGTATCACCCATGGTCCGTTTTTGCATCCTATGAATGATCATCTTGACCGCCTGATGGCCCTGATACACCATATAAGCTCTTTACTGGAGTTGGACGTCCTCGCAACTGCCATAAATCCCCCCCGGTGGGGGGGAAGAGGGAAGAAGGGTGGTTATCGTTCGTTGGCCGGGCTTTTTGGGAAATGTTAGTTGAACTTGGTAGTGCGCGACCTGGGCGATTTATTCCGCGTTGGCGTACCTAGGTATAATCTGATCTGGCTGACTGGGGTTATATTGCTTGAGAGATCTAGCAGTGGAAGTCTGACTTGGATTCCATATGACGGGCTGTAGTGGAGTTTGCTCGTCAGATAAAACTGACAACACCTGGCAGTCTCCGAAGTCATCATCTTCGCCGGTCTTCGGGCTCTACGAGATCTACCTGATTCCAGAGCCCATTCCTCCATTACACATTTTTCGGCCGCAAGATTCGTGGGGGTGTGTTCTCTAGACATGATGTATCAATACCCTACTATTGCTATGCAGGATGTTGCACTTCCTTTTCTGCAGCAGGCGTTGTGCGAGACGGACGTTCCTACAGAGTGTATCGTTGTTGTTCGTGACGAGCAGGTATGGACGATGCGGTTGGTAGCGCCATCTCGGGAAGATCTGGTTTCTCACCACAACTTGAGAGGATAGTACCGGAATCGCTTATAGGAGCTGAGTTATCCGGTACGTAGGCCAACGCCAACGCGCGACGCTATTGTGCAGACGACGGTATTTGTTGCCGATACTGCGTTTATGGCGCGGGCAATTGCTCTGGATGCATAGCATGGAAATCCGAATGTAGGAGACGTGAGACGCACCAAATGTATGCTCCTTAGTCCCTTCGATGACGGCGCTTCTTTATCTTCAGCTTTTAATACTCTTCGAGCTTCTCGATCTCGGAGGTCTACCGAAGCTCGGAAGTTTGTCGTATCCACTTGACTTCTCTAACAGACTAACACGGGAACTTCGGTCCAACTGACGGGAAGGATTCGAGGATGGCTTCTGAAACACGCGTTTTTCACGGACGAAAGGTACGTTTTGGTGCTAGTCGATGATACGAGACTTGATCTGAAATTTGAGATGATGATTTGCGGCATTGCCGAGTATGCGGTTTTATCTAGTGATCGTATCCCAGCCAGGCATGAAACAGGCATCTGGTTACACGTTACACAGTTAAACTAGGTACGCATACCCTGTGGTGATGGCCTGATAGGGCTATTACCTACCAGTGCGATTTGCGTGTCATGCTTACAGTCAGAAACTGTGCATCCTTCGTCCCGCATGTTTGCAGTTTCGGTGATAGCTTTTCAATATGACGACGATATTGTTCACCCGATGGGACAAGTGTCATCTCGTTATAATATTAATACCGATTATTATTATTAATGATAGATATTAGTCCACCGTCTCATATATGAAAGATCGAACAGCCATACTCTATATGGCATATGGCATTATGGCATATGCACCTGTCGGCAGACAAAGAGCTGGACCTGGCACGTGATGCCTGATCAGCCCGCACCTGAGATTGGGGCCGCCCTTTGCTGTCTGAGAGTCTGTACTCCGTATATCCTCCGTAAACTCCTCCCACTTCCTCCCCTTCCTCCCCTTCCTCTTCTTCCTCCTCTTCCCCCTAAACCATTCTCTTTATCCTGCAGTCGTAGGGATTTTACCCTCCGGACTGCTGTAGCGGCTTGGCATCTGAGTCCGGAGGATTTCTCTAGGATAGAACCCTTCCGGAGGCATATACCAGTGTTCGTGTGTTGTAGCGGAAAAGCAAGCTTCACGTGAAGGCCAGAGCCAGTCAGGGCGCCGCTGGTGGAGAAGCTGGATGATCTTTTTGAAAAGGAAAGGGAAAAAACGTTCACCGCGTGGCCGCCGCTCTGCCTCAGGCTTGTGGTTGGTTGGTTGTGTATGCGTGTAGAGTTTGTACTAAGTAACCTAGCAGACAGTGGGTTTAGTGGTGTTAGTAAAGGAGTCGACTCTCCATCATCGCCAGAGAAAAGACCAGGCACATCGATCGCTCCTTCCTCTTTTCGCTCTTGCCTTCTTTCTCTCTGTCCTCCCGACGACAAACCTCACCACCCGTCTCGTCGGCCTCCATCCTCTTTATCCTCGTCTTATCCTCACTCACCTTTTTCTTTCCTCTCCACCTCCCGTCGGCTATTGTCTCCCTTTCTCGCGGGCATTGGCCTTGTCATAATCTAATTAATTCAAGACAAGGCTTTTGTCTGTTCTCCCGCGATTTCGATTTCAGTCGCTCTCATTGGCCTGTACTGTCTTTTTGTACCGACGATATTTTCGACTTGCCGTACGCGGATCTCAGCTTACGATCGCAGCCTGTCCTTGTCGTGCAACCGAGAACAACTACCAAGCGCCAATACCAGCTGAACTATCGAAAAAACGGCCCTTCTCCTTACACGACATTTTACTCCGCAGGGTTCCTTAATTCCGAATCTCTAGCTTGTACATTCGAGTCATCTTGGTATCGTCGTCATCCTCTCTCTTCGTCGTTAATTCTACCATTCGGCTCCCCTCCGAAGAATCGAGACGCAGCTACCAAAGTTACGGTATTTACGATATTTTCAGCGAGATATAAGTAGCGGCGTGGAAGCCACACTCGTCTACGTTGTCGCTTATCCTACCCAATTGCCTGCCACGGCCTACGGAGATACGGGTTGACGAGGGAAGCTATTGCGACGCATCACAATTGAAGTCTCGAAGGTATCGGAAATCGGACCGAGGGAAGCGTCTGATTGATCGGTCACAATTAAGCTGTTTGCAGTTTTGGGCAGTTAAGTCTCTCGATTAAACGAAACGGATTCTTGCCCCGGGGGGAGGTACAAACAGACACCAGTTCTCGTCCTCGGTATATGTCGACTACCACCACGATAGACATACACATCGTACGGTAATGACGGGACTTATTTACGGCCTATTCTCCATCAATTAAGTTTTGTGTTTTTTTTTTTATCTCCCTGGTCAATCATGGGAAATTCTCAGGGAAAACCGGTGGCCTTCACTGACGAGGGTAAGTCCGCACTCAAATATGTCTATATTTCTCTAACGTGAGAGTTCATAGTCAACCTCAACCATTTCCGCCTGCTCCGCGTCGTCGGCAAAGGAGCCTTTGGCAAAGTCAGAATTGTCGAACGAAAAGATTCCGGCTTGACTTTTGCCTTGAAATATATTCGGAAGGAAGAAGGTATGTCACATGCGGTCTCAATGGATAACTGTTGCTGACGGACCGGACCTATGAAGTGGTACGATCAGAAAGCGTCCGAAACATTATCCGCGAAAGACGCATGCTCGAGCATCTCAACCATCCGTTCCTATGTAACTTGCGATATAGTTTTCAAGATATTGAGTACATGTACGTTGACCGCTTCTATTTGCCAAGCTATGCTGACGAATTTCTAGTTACATCGTTGTCGATCTTATGAATGGCGGTGACCTACGTTTTCACATCTCGAGGAAATGCTTCACCGAAGAAGCCGTGCGTTTTTGGATGGCAGAACTTGGCTGTGCATTGAGATATATTCATTCCCAAGGCATCGTCCATCGTGATCTCAAACCGGATAATGTGCTACTTGATTCGCAAGGCCACGTGCATTTGGCAGATTTTGTACGGTTTTTTTTTTTTTTTTCCCCTCCCTTTTCTTCCTCAAAACCCCTTCTGTCAACTACCGACTGACTCTCATAGAACGTCGCATCCGATTACAAACCCGGAAAACCGTTGACGAGCAAATCTGGTACGCTAGCGTATTTGGCACCTGAAGTCTATGAAGGCGGCGGTTATTATTTTGAAGTTGACTGGTGGTCTTTGGGCGTCACCTTTTATGAATGCATCTACAACAAGGTGAGATGACTACTTGAATGTATTGATCTTCACAACTAACAGAAGCTGCAGCGTCCGTTCGAAGGCCGTAGTCAAGAAGCCCTCTCCGAGGCCATTATCAAAGCACAACCGAAATACTATGCCACGAACCCTCCTGTCTCGATCCCCTGCCTACGAGCCATGGCCGCCCTGATGGAAAAAGATCGCAGCAAGCGAATCGGTGCAACTGGTTTCGAGACCTTCACATCACACATCTTCTTTGCCGACATTGACTTCGAGGCCTTGGAGAGGAAGGAAATCGATCCAATTTTCACGCCGTCTAGCGAAAAGACCAATTTTGATGCAACTTATGACTTGGAGGAGCTTCTTCTAGAAGAGGCACCACTAGAAGCTCGCGCACGGAGACAGAAGCCTCGAGCCGAATTACGAGACGATGCGACGGCCAAGGAGATTCGCGAAGATGAGTTACATCGTATCATTGAGACCATGTTCGAGCCTTTTGACTACACGCAGGTCAATTACGATGGGTATGTCTGGGAACAGGATACAAGTCATCAAGAATCTACTAATATGCCATCAATTAGCAATGCCGCCGCTGCATTGGCTGCATCGTGCAATCCTGAGGATCAACTCCCCTCCACAGGAACGAATACTGGGTCTGGATCGGTACATTCTCGACAAATGTCACAGTCAAATTCTCTGAGCGGAACATCCCCTCCTCAACAGGGAGATAAGTCTTTGGTCAATCAGGCGGCAAATTCAGTTGCTCCAACTTCGGTTCCCGAAGAAGAGCGTCTCTCCACATCGTCCTCCCGAACGAATCGTCAGCCAGTTCCGCAGCCGCCTACCTCGTTTAGTCGACCACTGCCACCATTACCACCCAATCTACGACAGAAGGGGGCTACTCGAAAGATGAGCAAGGGTGGCGGCGTTCAAATGGTGTTGGAAGAATCTGGTAGTTGGAGCGAGCTTGCAGACCAGAGTGCTACCCTTCCGGCAGAAGGATACGAAGGACTCCTTAGCAAAGGGCAGAAACCACCGAATAGTGGCATGCTGTCCTTCTTGAGTCGTAAAAAGGGGCGCGAGCGAAGTCCAAAGCCTACTGAGCCAGGTGTTCTCGGTAAAGAGGGTGCTCGTCATATCATTGCCGGTTGAAGTGACTGATCATAATGATAATCGCTTCGCTAAGAGTGCATGAAATACAGAGCGCGGCATCTGCAGTTAACATAGGAGGTCTTTTTTCGGGTTTAGGATGATGCCAGCACGACGTTAGTGCAGCCATTGGAGTTAGGCTTTCGACTCATCCGTGGCCTTTTTCGCTCGACTACAGTCGGGCCTGACATGATGACGGGTGATCCATGTCCATATCACCATCAAGTATCATCTCCACTTGCGTCTTTAGGACCGACCTGAACATACGGTTGTTGGTCAGGAATATTTTCTGTTTTGGTTGCAAGAAACGACGTTTCACGATTTTTCTTACTAATACATACACATACCATTCCATATTCGAGTCATGTCGCTTGCCATTGTGCGTTTCGAACTTTCAGTTTGATACCTGATACCTTGAACCTAATACAAGAGTTATCACAGTTTCCTTTGAATATATGCATGGGGTGGCACAGTTCTGCTAGTTGGCGACTGACTCAACTTATGATGAATCTCTGTTTTACATACCCAGCATTATTTCATCTTTCGTGCGTCACAAGTTTGTCAGATTCTCACTATATTTATTTTCCTGGTTCATGTATTTTTACAGAGCGGTTTAGTCAATAGAATTCGGCCGTTGTCATAATTGATCTCTACTGATGAGATTATCGCAAATATAAAGGAGATGACTGCGCTGCCCAAGCGCTCAGCATCCTGGGCATACCATCATGGAAGTTTATAGCACCGAGAATGCGGGACGGATCGATCATGTGGCAGTGAGATTGGTTGGCCCAGCAACACACAGAGTGGCTGCTGCTCAAGAGGAATATGTGAACTCTCGGGAATTTTCTGGATTTCTCTTGGTATGAAGTTTATAGAGAAGAATAATCGGTATAAGTAATTGCTTCATAAAAGAGTATGTCTCAATTCTTCGCCTGGTAAGTTTCTGCCAAGTAGGCAGATGTCTTGGTCACGGCGGTGCCAACCCCAAGACGCGCGTATATAGATAACTGCATAGTTGTTTGTTTACCCAACTCAATTGCTTCAATTACTTCCTCTATTTTCTTGCTCAACAGTCTACACGCATTTGTATTGGCGTCTGATCTCAATTATTGGGGGAATTGAAATTTGCATTCATTTTTTGTTCAAGTCATTTCAGTGCATTGATTGTGCTACGTACTAGATACACCCCTTCATTCCTTCCCCTCAGTCACGAGATCAAACCTCTAAACCCAACCAGAACATTCTTTGATCTACAACAGCAGCGACACCAACAAGAAAAAAGCATAAATGCCCAGTCACTCCCGGACTCGAGACGGCAATTACCACCGCGATCGTGCTGAGCGGGATTATTACTCTCGTCATCGACGATATAATAAAGACGATCGACTTCGGGGCGAGGAGGTCGAGGTTGAGGTTGATGATCCACGGAATGAATATGATCGCCGTCGATATGAGCGTTCTATTCCGCGACGTGGTCAATCCCGGGGCTACGAGACGGTAGAAGTTGAGGAAGAAGAAGATGAGGAGGAGGAAGAGGAGGAGGAGGAGGAGGAGGAAGAAATAGTTGATAATTCGCGATCGCGGCACAGATCGGTTCCACGACGAGTACCAGAATACGATGACCCGCCTCGTACACCCCGACGATCGAGACCTGAAATGCAAGACAGATACAGAGATGAATATAATAGTAGACAACGGACGAGAGACAAAACACCAAAAGCAAAAGAGTCTCCCGCAACGTCGCCAAAGAAGAAACTAGATCGTGAGGGGTATAGGAGGAATACGGGTCGAGCTCCGCAAGGAAGTCCAGTGAGAGAACGGAGACACCGGCACAGATACGAAGAGGATATCAGAGTGGTTGGTGATCAAGATCGGACTCGGGATAAACATCGAGACAGGGAATTGCGCAGACAGCAGCGTTGCAAGGAACGTCGCGATCGGGAAGATGCTGCCCAGAAACATACGAGTACAGAATCGACGAATAGTGCGTCGCAATTGCTTAGTGCTGATGCGCTGGCTAAATTGAATGACTATTATGAACGGGAACGAATGAGAACGCCGAAGCAACAGAATGATGATGAGAATAATGAGCGAAGGGAACGGCGACGGCAGAGGACGAGGGATGTCGCTGCTGTGGAAGACGAGGATGATCGCATTCGGGTCGAGAAGAGGAGAGAGCGCCGACGGCCGCCGTCACAACAACCGGAACAAAGAGCTGATTATCGTAGAGAAAAGAAGGCATTTTATGATGACGATAATGATACTGAGCTTGTATCACCCCGTCATAACCAGAAACGTCGACTTGTCTCTGGCGCACTGATGGAAGAAGGTCGGAGCAACAAGTTATCGTTCTGGAAACGTTTCGGTCGTCGCAATGATCTAGCGGACGAAAAAGTTGTTGACGACGATGGTGATGACGGCCATGGAGGCGGCGGTGGCTCTTTCTACAGTCGAGATCTTAAGGAACCCCGCGACGATGATTATGATCACGTACCGTTCTGGCGGCGGAAGCGCAACCTGATTATAGCTGGAGTGGTCGTATTACTTCTTGCTATTATCATACCCGTTGCGGTTGTTGAGTCGAGAAAGAAAAGTATCACCTCATCATCTGGTGGTAGTGGTGGAAGCTCATCGTATGGTCCACTAAATGGCAGTTTGTCCTCTATCTCGGAGGATAGCATTCCAGTATTACTCCAGTCCCATCTTTTGAAAGTGCGCCGACTAACGTTTGTAGGCGTCGGCAAAGGGGACAATTCTAGATCCATTTACATGGTATGATACACGAGACTTTAACCTCACTTACACCAACGAAACAGTCGGCGGACTACCACTCATGGGCCTTAATTCAACATGGGACGACTCTGCACAACCAAACAGCAATGTGCCACCCCTGAACAAAGAGTTCTCATACGGAACTATGCCTATCCGAGGAGTCAACATTGGAGGATGGCTATCAATTGAGCCGTTCATCACACCATCATTTTTCTCTAGGTACCCCGTTACAGACGGGGTCATCGACGAATACACATTGACACAGAAACTTGGATCTGCCGCGGCTGCTACCATAGAACAGCACTATGCCACATTCATTCAGGAAGAAGACTTTGCCGAAATCGCGGCTGCAGGACTGGACCATGTTCGAATCCCGTATTCATATTGGGCTGTGACCACGTACGAGGGTGATCCATACGTCAAACAAATCTCATGGCGGTATCTGCTACGGGCTATTGAGTACTGCCGCAAATACGGACTGCGAGTCAATCTCGATCTCCACGGTCTTCCGGGGAGTCAAAATGGATTCAATCACAGTGGACGACAGGGATTGATCAGATGGTTGAACGGAACGGACGGAGCCTTGAACGCTCAACGATCCCTCGATGTCCACAATCAACTCTCTCAATTCTTCGCACAACCTCGTTACAAAAACATCATCACCATCTACGGCCTAGCTAATGAGCCGCCGTTACTATCCATTGACATCTCCACGGTCCTCAACTGGACAGTCCAAGCCACGGAGATTGTGCAAAAGAACGGAATCAAAGCCAAGATATCCATGGGAGACGGATTCTTGAATCTTGATAAATGGCAATTCATGATGAAGGACAATGTGCCACCGAACCTGCTGCTGGATACGCATCAGTATACCATTTTCAACATCAATGAGATTGACCTTAATCATACAGCCAAGATCGATTTGATCTGTAACTCGTGGCTGCCAATGATTCGAAAGGTCAATAGCACGACAAATGGGTACGTTTCTCCCCCCTAATAATTAAGAACAGCACTAATAATGAATAGATTCGGCCAAACAATCTGCGGCGAATTCTCCCAAGCAGATACAGACTGCACCCAATACCTCAACAACGTCAACACCGGCACCCGCTGGGAAGGCACTCTATCCGGTAGCACAACTGCCTACTGTCCCACAGCAAAGGGTACCACCTCCACCAACCGAGGCAGTACCTGCAGCTGCGCCTCCGCCAACGCAGACGTCAGCGGATTTTCCTCAGAGTACAAACTGTGGCTTCAAACATACGCCGAAGCACAATTCTCCGCGTTCGAGTCTGCTATGGGCTGGTTTTATTGGACATGGCAGACTGAATCGGCGCCACAATGGAGTTATAAGCAGGCGAGACAAGCCGGGTTTATGCCTGAGTTGGCTTATAAGCCTAATTTTACGTGTGGGAGTGCAGTGCCGAGTTTTGGGGCGTTGCCGGAGTATTATTAGCCTTGAAGCTTTTTGCAAGACTTTCTTGTTGTCTTTTTCGTTAATATACCTTGTTCCTTTCCCATCGAGCAAAAGCACCATATGCAAGGGCTTTTTGGTGTGGAGTACGTTGATTCAAGCGATTTACATATAATTCATGATACCTGACCACATCGGAAGGCATAACAGAAACTTAACTTATTCTTCCAATGGATGTTTCTTGTCTTGATCATTCGTATTCTTCTATATGTACAATTGGTATAATATATATGTACACACTCTCTCTCATGACTCGTATGCTTTACAGTGTATGCTAAAGCCAAAAAGACGAGGACTGAAAAGGGCCAAAAAAGGGCCAAAAACACAATGCAAATGGAAAGAGTATCCAACAAAGCTAAATGGGAATAAAAAGCAAAATACGACGCGATGACCAAACTCCGGTCCTGCTTTTTGTCGTAAAGGCGTACACATGTGTGTGTATATGATAATGGGAAATGCCATTAGTGTAAAAAAAAAAAAACACGTGGCTAGCTCGTGAGTTGGTTCCAATTAGGGAACAAGGGAAGGAAGCGATGAATTGGAAGGTTGTGGGAGGGAGGACAAAGTTCTCTAATGTCGTAATAAAGCCTGTCAAGAGCTGGAGCGATAGCTGGATCGAGCAGAGATTATGCCAAAAGGTATGGCCGCGCTAGAAGGACTCTAGCCAAAGGATCATAGTCAAGCGGTTGCGGGATCAACTCGCCTCAGTTTTAACCTCTGCGATCTTTGACCGGTCAAACCAGCCACCGTGCTCCCAGTTACCAGGCAAATAAGTAAGTGCTTTCCTTTCACTATAAGCCTGTAGGCCAGAGAGTATAGCATTGACTCGCTTAAAGTCGATCGGCTTCATAATGTATCCATCGAATCCAGTGTCAATGTACTTTTGGACATCTTTCTCGACAAGTGATGCTGAGACTGCGAATATAGGGACTCGGCCAAGGGGTTTGGCTTTGTCGGATACTTGGACATCGTGAGAGGATTGCTCGAATTTGCGTATCATCTCCGTTGAGTCCATACCGTCCATGATAGGCATCTATATATATATATATATGTATTAGCATGTGCTGAACGTTTTTCATATTAGGGGTTAGAGGGTGAAACAAACCTGAATATCCATGAGGATGGCATCAAATGCCTGTGGATTAGCACGGTATGCAATCGCGCACTCTTCACCGTTTCCGGTCAAATGTACTGAATGTCCAGCTCGCTGCAGTCGTTTCTGCACGATCTTGCTGTTGACAGGGTCGTCTTCGGCGACAAGCACATGAAGAGCGTCAAAAGGATTTTCCTCGGAAGCAACTCCTGGTGAGGTAAGTACTGTTGTCGCTATCGATGCTGACCTTCGTCGAGCCAGTTCTAGTGGTGACGGTGGTCGTTTGACCTCTGTTTCGCCAACTCTCAAAGCACTCATCGGCATGCCAGAGTCTGTGATAGGCTCCTGCCCCGGAGCAGGAGGAGAACCCAGCGGCATCATATGACGAAAATCTGGTGGGCCAGGAAGAGCAATAGGGCCGGGCGTGCCGCTCTTTGCAGAAGAAGTCGAAGATATTGATTGCTGCGTCGCAGAACCAAGGGACTTACTGGAAACGTTTGACTTTCGTGATTCATCCGGTGTTGCAGATCGGTTTACGAGGGCCGGTTCTTGGATGGCACTGATAAGACGATCGGCTTCGCTTCGACCACTTCGAGAACTACCAAAACTGCCACCGCTTCGACTACTCTCTGCGCTCAGTCGTCGCTGACTTTTGGGGCGCGCGTTACTATCAACCAAGAGCACCTCACCCTCCGTCAGGGGTGGTGTACTGGGTGAGGCTACTGGTTCAGGGCCAGTAATTTGAGGGACAGTAGTAGCAACCGGTTGTTCCGTAGGCACGGGGAACCTTAGCAGGATCTTGAAACGACTACCCTTGCCTTCTTCCGACTTCACACTCAGCTGCCCGTGCATGTTACGAACAATTCGAGCAACCAGGGCCAGACCAAGGCCCAGTACACGCTTCTCGCCTCCATCCTGGGTTTCTTTTGCTTGTTCCTTATCTTCATCCTGCTCGTAATAGTAGTTTTCTTCTTCAGACGAGACCTGTTCCAAATCGCGGAACAAAGCGTCGACAGTGGCAGGAGACATTCCCGAGCCTGTATCGTTGACAGCAAACTCGACATCCACTGTCCCATGACTTTCTGGCTGAACTGGGGAGCGCCAAATCTCAACATTCACATGACCGGATTCGGTATGCTGGATAGCATTAGCAATGATGTTGACAATGACTTGGCGCACTCGGCGTTGATCACCCAAAACGGATTTAGGGAGGCCAGAGTATAGCGTGAAATTGTAAACGATATTTTTCCGTTTTGCCTCGCCTTGAAACATTTCTGTAGCTTCCTTGAAAGTGGCATATAAGTCGAAAACCTCATCTTTGATCAGATTCTGTCCCTTCTCCGTATTGGTCAAGTCAAGCAGATCGTTGATGACGTAAATTAAAGACTTGGATGCAGAGTGTGACCTGGCAAGATTCTCGCGAGTCTCTGAGTCCAACGATCCTTCCAAGGCAATCTCCAAATAATTGACAATAGCATTTAATGGAGTTCGAACTTCATGAGCGGAATTGGCTAGCAACAGTTTGGTCAATTGAGTGCTTTGCATAGCCGCTTCCTTTTGTCTCCAGACTTCAATGAACTTTCCGTAAACAAGGCAAAGTACTGCTGCTGTCTCAATATCGGTTTCTGACCACTCTCGCGATCGACTCAGGACAGTTTCTCGCCAAGTCTGAAAACTCTTTCGTGGTTCCAGATAGCCAGTTGTTCCGTCTCTTAGCTTTTTCTCGTAAGGATTTCCCGCCCATTTGATTTCAGTCATTTGCCCTCGTCGGAAGAAAACGATAAAATCCTTCCCTCCAGCAGAAAGAGGTACATACAACAAACCGGAAACATGCTTGAACCCTGGAGGGTACCGTAAGTCCGGAAAGTCCTTGCCGACATCATGGGATGCTAGCACCGAATTGAGCTGGCGCATCTTCAAATATTCAAGCAAAGCCAGGACCTCTGGCGTGTGAGTTATACGACCCAAAAGCTTCGTCTCGTCCCGTATCGACAGAGCGCCATAGTCAGCATCAAATAGCTTCAGAAGATCGTCGGATGAGGCAATAATGTAACCTGAAGGATTTGCCTCTGTAGGAACGGTATTAATGAGTTTCCGGGCTTGCAAGCGCGACGTATACGAAAGCCTCTCAATATTTCGAGAAACTGTATCGCCGATCAAACGACACATCTTGCGAATGGGAAATGATACTCGCATGCCCGTTGCTCCGTACGAGTGACAGGAAATCAGGCCCCACAGCTCGTTGAAGGCATTGATACTGATAGACATTGATGCACGTACGTCCATGTGGGCTAAATACCTGAGATGAACTGGAGACATGGCTCGCAAATATGCATGTGTCATATCTAGAGGCATCTCAAGATCCTTTACAGTCCGACACACAAGACGTGATGTGGTCAGATCACGATCGTAAAGAAGTCTGACCTTGTTGATTTTGTATAACTCCCGTGCTTGTTTCGGGATATCGGACGCAGGGAAATGTAACCCCTTGTAGAGATCCTTGGTCGCTCGAGGATCTACAAGTTCCGCGACGACCATACCGTTCCAGCTGCTGTCGAACTGATAAATCATAACACGATGGAATCCAGTAAGCTCCTTCGCAAGGCCCGTGGCGGTGTTCAAAAGGACATCCAGGGTTGGCGCTGCTGCCAATTGTTCCTGAATTTGAGTCAAGATATTAAACACTTTCATAGCTGCAGCTTCACCTTTCCGTCTCCGAGCATTGCGCAAAACACGGAGGGGGCGACTTATATTGACAGTACTTGCAGCAAGTTCTTCAGGCGTTGGGTCAATGCCCAATGTATCCGAAGGTTCGTCTGGTGTTGTTTGCCCTGAAACATTCAATGGATGAGCCTGGTCATCCTCAAACTCAAATTCGCAGATGATGAGCTTATCGTTGGCATCGTTCACATGCATGGCGCACCAGAACTTCTTCGTTTCACCCGCAGGGTTTGCGATGGAGACAATAAATACTTCTGGCCCATGTATTCTCGGATCGCATGACTCGTCCCTTATGAAATCAACATGGTCGAGGAGGTTATCTTCTTGTTCCTCGGTAAGTATATCGGTGAAACTCTCCAGAGCAAAGAGTTGTTTTGGAGTATAACCGAGTAAATCCGCAGAGTTCTCACTAACCACTCGTACAACCAACTTTCCTTCTTTCTCCTCTTCAAGCGCAAGCAAGACGCCAAAACTTTGAATGGCACCTGGAATATGAATCGGCTCATCCTCACAAAATTGAAAGTCTTCGCCCTCACGCCCGGTTATGATAGCATGACCATTCTCGGTAACGATATGCTGGAATCGTGAAGTGACCAGCTCCGGTTCACCATTCTCCAACGGCCTACTCCGCGGAGGGTCGTCTCTGCCCACAGGAACCCCGCCATCAGTGCTTGAAGTTGAGCTTTGTCCATCACTAGAAAATTGAGCAGATATGTTCTCGATCACGGAGTGACGTGCCGCCTTTGCTGTCTCTTTGTTTTCGTCTGCCACGTCTGAACTGCCCTTCTGGTCTGTAGAATCCTCTGCGCGACTAGCTGCGTCTTGTGTATCCCGCTGATTTACTCCAGAGTATGCACGATTACCTTCCCGAATTGGAGACAGAGGCCTGAAAGGCGGCCACTGTGGCGGAGGCGATTGGGACGTTGGAGGATTTGAGGCAGTCGGATCGACAGATATAACGGAGCGAATAGGGAACACTCGGTCTGGAGTGTCGAAACTAAGCCGAGGGAAACGAGCTTTTGAGGAAGCAGGCAAAGATTGACCAGCATCTGATTGCGCGGAATCTTGTGACGCAGTATCGTGGGATGCGGTAGAAGTATGCTCAGGTCGACCGGTGGTAGTCTCCTCGCCAGTTGGGCTGCCTTGCGGTGAAGTAGACGCCATTGCTGCAAGCGGTCGAGTCTGGTTCTACGCGAGAGAAGTCCCCCCAGCAAGAGGTATGGGTGAATAGCGGATACGAACGAAATTGCGATTCAGTCAGACATCTGGTATGGTGGCGGGTGTTGTTCCGATAAGATGTTTGTATTTCTGATCCTGCACGGTGTTATTCTCACGTACACACTAAGAACGAACGTGGAGCCAGTATATGAGTGTGGCCCTTCAGAACATCGGTCCTATTCTCCGAGAGAGAAACAGAGGTCAGACGAGAAAAAAAGTCGCAGTCGATTCACCAGGAAAGCGCACCGGATTAAGTAATGATTATTGCGTTGCTTGGTGGATCGCCCCTCAAAAAAGAATATGCGGGGCCCGGGAAAGGGGCGGGGATGGCGTATTCTGTGCGAAGATGATTTCTTTCGAGGACGACAGGCGGGAGAGAAGGAGAGTGTCGTGTTTTCAGGATGGTGAGACTGGATAACGATAGGAAGGATGGTTGAGAGGAGGATGTTTAGAGGGGAAGTTTGGTTACTCGGAAAGGCAATCAGTCGGGGCAAATCCAGGAGGGAAACAACGGCTGCAATTCCGCTGTGCAGATGGGTAGTTGCCTTGGCAAACCTGTCACATAACATACGTACGGGCATTTGCCAACAAAGCTTCAGTGCGTATGAAGTTTATGAACGCAGTTAGTTAGGTAATGGTACGAGCTCCATCAGGTCGCTAACACATTACTACTGGCTCACATAGACAAACCCAGTCGCAGTCCAGTCTTACAACCGTACGGAGTGCTGTCTACTGCCATATAACAGACCGCTGTGGTCGACAGCAGCGGGAAGATTTTTGGTTGAGATTCGAGGTTCGATCGACGCCCGTCGCGATCTCACTGGGTCACTGTATGGAATTGAGATTACCGCCCTGTAATATATACCAGATTGCACGTGATAAGTCGTATATGCGTCGTATATGCGGCGATACGCCTGAGGAATTGATGGCAGGGGCAATAAGCGGCGGCAAACCCACACTTTGAGATCTTCAAATTCTGTCTACGGAGTACATCTCTGCAACTTCGTCATCGATATCCTGGCAATCTGGGATGTCGAACGAGTTGTTGGCACATTCTTTGTGGGTGTTAGCCAACGGTGGTAAGTACGCGTAACGCTTGGGTATGAAATTTTGAGCTCCCAAAGGCTAATGCACGATAATTTGCGCTCTAGAACAGATTGGGCCTTAGTGAGCGCCACAAAACAAGATTGAGTGCCGACGCTAAGTGGAGATGATAGAAAAATCTAGCCAATGGGAGTGATTTTAGCAGTGGGCAGATCGGTGGCTGCACATACCGCCCTGACCTCGGGTCGCTTATGTTATTTCCAGCCAATCAGAGGAAATGCGCGCTTCTTTCCGCCAACCCCGGCGGCTATTGGACGAAGGAGATTTCGTCAGTCTCAACGCTCGATGATCCCTGTATAAGGTATCCATGTATGTACCTCCGTGGGAGGACAGAGGCAATTGCATACCAGTTTCTATCAGGAACTGTTCGACCGACGATCTTACTGCCCTCAGCCACTGCAAGGCTAATCGTTCCTCTATCGGGATATGCTCTTCTTCATCGAATAGTGAAACCGCCACACCCGCACACTTCCATTTAATTCTCCACAAAAAAGAAATCTCCGAACCCTGAACAATCCACGTCAACTGGCACGGACGAGAGACGGAGAATCGAGGATGTCAAATGAGATATGCACGTACAAGTTCTTTCACATGCCGAATTCTGGACGCCGAACGGGGACGAATGACACATCAAGCAAACCCCGAGGAGTCGGCATAGACCGAGATTTGATTTCTTCTAGGCCCTCCAGGGACCTGGGGTCCAGTTTAAATCAGAGCGAAAGAATACCAAAATCTTTCCATTATCAGAGTTTTAACGTCTTGGCAAGGACGCCGTTTTTATACTTGTTACGTACCGACAACGAATGTAGAGGAGATATGGCAATATGACACAGTATTCAATTTCGTCAGACCAGCTGACTGCTAAGGAATCGATATGCCAGCCCAAATGTCAAAGCACTATTATACATGTATCAACGCCGACCAAACGCAAAAAATGAACCCCAGCTCCTCTTCGACGAATCCGTCGGCTCAGTGTTGTGCTTCGGGGATAGCGATACAGTGACCTTCATATGATCGGTGGCACCTAATTCAATACCCCTCTCAAGATCGAAATGCGGCCTCTTATGTTTCAATTTTTGCGCCGCCTTCTTATCACTGCTGTTGCGACCCGCGGGTTTCAGGCCGAAATCAAAGAAGTATGAATCAGCGTTGAAGTTGTTTTTGGTGGCATTGCTACCATTAGACTCGGAATGCGAATGTCTCCATATCGGCTTTGTCGTCTTTACGTATCTCTCGCTGTCCCGATTACCGATCAGCCCCGAGACATCGTCATCATCACCTTTGAGGACATATGGGAGTTTCGAGGACTCCTCCTCGGAGATCCGGGTCATTCCTCGTGAAGACCGGTCTTGTTTTGCCCGCTCTTGTCGTCGCGTATATAGAGGCGTCCGACCACGGTCGGAGTTCTCACTCGCTGATTTCGGGAATCGTGGCGTTAGAGGCGATTTTATAGCATCTGCCATGCGCCGAGCGGATCGACGGATCGTTTCTCGGACTGCCCATTGTCTCCGTTTTGCGATAACGTACATGATTGAAGATGCAACTGTACGACTTCGTGGTTATTTTCAGAACCTATCAGGTATGTCATACAACTAACCTGAGAGAACGACTACCGTGCCAGCAACCACGGACAGAACGATGATGATAATCTTGGCCTTCTTGCCGATGAAGCTATTACTTTCGCCACCCCAGTCAGAAGAATCTGAGGCGTTATTCGAGCTTTGCTGTGCTTTGTTCTGCGCTTGTACCAGTACCGGCGCTATGAGTAGCAGGAACATCCCGTAGAGAGCATTCATGTTGGCACTGTTTGATGGTAATTCGAGACGGTGTCGGGGACCGAAATCATAATATCAGAACACGCATACAATAAAACGAGAGGTCGCGCATGAAGTCGCAGAATTCGACAACGGTAGGTGGTGTAGATGGTTGCCAACCTGAGGTATTAGTCCTAACTCTTGACTCCCAACCGGCCGAGTGTTCGAAAAGGAAAAAGAACCCAGCTTTTTCACAGATCAAATAATTATTTATATCTTAAAACATCACGATAATAAAAGAGAAACGACTGACAATATTCAGAACGAGCTGAATAGAATAATGATGCAAAAGGAGGCCTCAAAAAGGAGGGTTGTATACATATACATAGAAGTATGACCGAGAATAAGAAAAAAAGCGCTTCACCCCCCTCATTGATATGGTGCATGTAACACATGCAGCTTGTTCGAGAATTATACTCAGGTAGTAAAAATAATCGACCCTATCCAGCGCCAAAACCGAACACAAACGAATGAGATTGAGACGATATACTTCCAACCCCTCAATCTAGTACATTAACTAGTTAGTACGTTAGTACGTACCCCGAGTGCGGTCGTGACCACATGCCCTACTTCCATCCCTCGTGGAACATGGGAACCCCTCTAACAAGAAAAGTAAAATAAGATTTAGCTGAATAGCAACAAGCTAATATAGGAAAATCAGGTAATTCCAGCCACTAATCCGGTTGCATTTCACTACACCAAATGATTTCGAACATGCAAGCCATAGCGGCTCATGATACATGATCAACGGGCCAATTAGGACTTGGAAGTGGTCATTTGCCACTTTTCTCCTTATAGTATCGAGAGTAGAAAAATGAAAACTTGTCCACCTATCAACCGAAACAAGCAATGAAAAGGGGAAACGGCGCAGGTTTGACGTTTTTTCTTTGAATTAGTCTAAGTGTTCTCGGACTAGGAATATGCATGTTTCATATTTCAGCCTTGGGAATGATTGATTAATCGTATCTTGGAATTCTTTGTATGTTATTTTATGTTTTTGATGGTGTAGAATCATCAAACGTAGTTCTCTGCCTCGGATGATATTCTACGATCCTGCAGGGTGAATTGCGATTGTTGCATTATTGCTGAGCAGTTTTTCTTGAGGGTTTCATCGAGGATATGTTACCATTACACACAAGCCCCAAGAATGCCTCGTTCAGTGGAATGAATCGAATGAAAAAAAATTCTACAATTATATCGAAATATGTCACAGTGATAATATCCAGACGTAACCCTAACCGTCGTCCTGACAGTACCACAACCATTTACACCTGAAACCTGCCGAACCGAAAAAAAAAGAAAGTCCCAAGCATGATAACATGCATAGCAAATGACGAAATCACCATCTTCGTCCATATACCGTGTCATCCTGTCGACCCGTCTGCCGGTCTTGTTTGCGTCTCACATCCTTTGAGCTCGACTGACTAGACGGCAATGACCACGAACTACCCGTCCCAGTAGAAATCGAATCATCCTCATTCTTCGAGACAAGCAGCCTCGTCTTTGACGTAAGATCCGGCGCGCCACGCTCATGATCCAACCGGGCTTCTGCTTCTCGTCCAAAGAGAGCCATCATGTCCTGCATGGTGAGTTTTCCGGCGGCAGCCTTGCCTTCAATCGTCGCGTTGGCTAGTTCGCGTTTCCGTTCTTGGAGGTCTAGGATTCGTTCCTCGACGGTGTTTTTGATGGTTATCTTGTAGATTTTGACATCAATGGTCTGGTTTAGTCGGTGGACGCGGTCAATGGCTTGTTCTTCCACGAACTGAAATCAGTTAGCATATGACACCCACAAATTAGGTAGGAGATAGACTTACAGGATTCCAGAATGGCTCTAGAATGACCACACGGCTAGCTGCAGTGAGATTGAGACCCAACGCACCTGCTCGTAGACTACATAATAGAATTCGTGTGTTGGAGTGGTTGCGTAGTTTCTCAAGACTAGCCTCCCGTAGATCATTCCTCATGCTGCCATCATACCGAGCATAACCAAGCTTTGCGCGTTTTAGGAAAGGCTCAATCTTGTCTAGCATCTGCGTGAACACAGAGAAGACAATGAATTTATACTCTGGTGCCTCCTTTCTCAAGATTCGAATCAGCGCTCGGACCTTGGTGGAAGGTACAATGTCAGGTCCATCATATTCATCATCGTCCTCTTCTTCGTATTCTTCTTCCTCGTCAGAGTCGGAGATGCTGATCACTTCATCCTCGTCTTCAGTGTGGGAATCATCAGACCCAATCCACTCTCCTCCACCTTCTGCATCCTCATCATCAGAACCTCCAGCCGTGCCGAGATTTGTCGAGGGTCTTTGTCCCTTGGGGACGATCCACTCGCCATCGTCCTCATCTTCGCTACTGTCTTCGATGTCAGGGAGGTTTCTTCTAGCTCGCACTTTGCGGGTATCGGGTTCCTGTGATGCGGGTTTTGACTCTTTGTGCTTCTTAGACTTTGGCTTCTTAGATTTTTTCTTCTTATCCGATTTCAACTCAATGTCCAAATCTGCACATTCACTGCATCTGCTCGCCCCGGTTTCTGATTCGCCAGCAGTTAGTTCAACTTGACAGATATCACATTTTCTGCTGACGACACTGAGACCGCCAAAAAGGTCGGCGACTTTGTCAAGATCGTCGTCTTTCTTAGCAGACTTGTTCTTATCGACATTGTTCAGTAGGATATCCTTGTCTTCTGCTAAGTCGCTTTTGACAAGATCAGGGTGGTTGCACGCTTGACGGAGTCGAAGCAACATGACTAAAGCACTGGCATAGTCTAGCTTAGATCCTCCCATCATCTGTGAGAGTCGTCGGTCTGTTCGCTGTTCTAGTCGATTATAGAATTCGACTTCTGCCGGTGTGAATTCGGCTTCAACCTCGACAACTTCACGCTTGACAATTTGAAACCCGGTTGATGATTGGTTGCTTCCACCCTCTGCGTTGCCGCCCCCAGGTTTCAAGTTATTATTCAACTTCAGCACATCCTTGGTTCGTCGCTTCATGAAAGCTTTCAAGAAGATCTGCAGTCGTTTGATGGCGAGTCCTCCACGTCCATTGTTGAGGGGTTGAGTGATTTGCTCTCTCCATGTAGCGAGTTCATCAAAAGGCTTGATGCGTAGGAACTTGATCAAACTCTGCAACTCATCTAGGTTATTCTGCAGAGGTGTGCCAGTAAGGCACCAACGGTATTGTGCGTTTAGAGCACAAGCGGCTTGAGTAGCTTTCGCATTTCGGTTCTTGATGGTATGAGCCTCATCAAGGATGACTCGATACCAGTGAATATTAAAACAGCCAACGTTGCCTTTTCCAGAAGCGCCATGCTCTGAACTGAGTGTGCCGTAGGTTGTGATGACCACGTCATAGTCTTTTAGGTCCGCGCTGAACTTGGTACGACCAGCTCCGTGATAGACGCACACTCGCAGTTTATGAGTTTTTTCGATCTTGTCCGCAATCTCCGATTCCCATTGCTTGATCAAAGCTAGGGGGGCGACGATCAATGTACACTTATCAACTCCTTCTGGTAATTGCTTCTTGGTGTCATTTTTCTCGCCGTCTTTAGTTTTCTGTCTAGATGGTCTCGGATTCGTAAGAATCAATGCGATTGATTGGATCGTTTTTCCCAGGCCCATATCGTCTGCAAGGATGCCTCCTTTAGGCAGCACACCACGTGTCTTCTTCTGCCCATTCTCCTTTTCACACATCCATTCGACACCTTCAATCTGATGTGGTAGTAGCTTGACCTTTAAGCCCTCTCGAGTACCATCGTCCACTTCCTCTTCTTCCTCCTCTTCATCGTCTTCCGGCCCAGCCTCCTTTGTCTGCTTCTCGTCAGAACCGACAGAAACCTGCTGGAGCTTAGCAGCCAAGTCATTGATATCAGCCTCTACTTTCTTCTTCCTAGCTCTTGTCCTAGGTTTATCTTCTTCATCTTCAAAAGCACCTTCAAGTAATGCTTTAATGTTCTCCTGTGCTTTAGCCGAGTCAATGTATGAATATGTGTCCGCCGAGCTAAACTCCCGCTGGTAAGATGGTTGTCCAAATCTATTCGCATCACCGGCTTTTGTGAGATCGATAAAATTCTGTAAGGTTTTCGAGGCAGCCGAAGGCTTTGTTGGTCCCGAAGGATTCGATGAGAAAATGGGAGGTGCTGCCGGCTTCGTGTTCCATGTGAACTGCGAGGGGCGTTTGATACCGACAACATCGTCATATGTCCTAGAGACAGGGACTGATCCTTGGCTTGTATATGTTGATGGGACGACGGGCTTGAATGGGTTGAAAGGCTGCTTCGACGTGCTTTGCTGCGTTATACGCGACCCACCGGTCTCAGACGGAATATAATGAACTTGATGTGTAGGAGGACGGTGATGCTCGACTCGTGGGCGGTTGTTCTTGGGTATATTGAAAGGAATTTGTGATGTCGTTTGAGTAGATCGTAGAGGAGTTGGCTTTCCGAATTCTGGAGTTGATACGGCTTCCTGTATCTGTTCGTCCGGTTTTCGAGAGGACAACGGCCCCTTTGCAGGGGTCACTTCGTTTACCATCTTGCTTGACTTTGACTAGGTCGTAGTTTAAGTATAACAATCTGTTTAGTCGTCGAGGTTGTAACGACCGGCTATTGCGTGTCGAATGTCGCGTAGACCGCTTTAATTTCCGGCGTTGCCCTCACCTAGAATAGTTGAGGATCTGTATATATAACGCGGAAATTAGACGAGAGGCATATAAAATCTCATCGACATGACAGAGTGATAGTCGGGACACTAATGAAAGGCTACAATATCCAATGTGTCGGGTTGTCGATTGTTTTAAGACAATATTGTAGCCAAGGATGTTTTCTTGTTGGCGATAGCGGGCGGTGATTGTTTGGCTGCCCCAGCAACGAACGGCTTTAGGCAACCGCGAACAACTCATCAACTACTTGTCAACAAACTATTCACAGATTGAGACCATTCAAAAGAGCATTGAATTCACTAACTGCATTAAGAATAACAGGAATAACAACCCAATCGCAATGCCACATTACTGCCCTGAAACGCTATCAAACCGAAAGTCCTACACAAAAAGAAGATCAAGAAACCGTTTAACGCAAAGCTACTCTTCCCCGATCACACTCTTGAGAATTTCCGGGACGATTTCACTGGCGTCCCCTTCGAAAAACCAATCCCCCGGCTCCAGCCCATTAGCTCCTCCAGGAGCATCGTTTCGATCCATATTGACTACCGCAACTCGCGCGCCCTTTTCCCGTGCATAGTCGACGTATCCCGCAGCTGGCCAGACCTTGGAACTAGTCCCTATGACCAGCATCAAATCTATCTGAGGCGACTCCGCTATCCAATCATCAATTTCACGGAGTGTATGAGAAGGTAATCCTTCACCGAACCAGACAACACCGGGTCGAAGCAGGCCTCCGCACTCGGGACACTTGGGCAGATCTTCGGCTTGAAGGCTCGGTAGTGGGACGAGGGGATCCGATATGTCGAGCTCTGTGGGAGTTGCTTCCTTGTGTGAAGCCTTCATTGCTTCGTATAACACCTTGGTTGCTTCTTCGCCTGTCTTGTCGTCCTTGGACGGGTCGGGATGTACGCCTTGTGTTGGTATCGCGAGTGCCGGAGTAAGTGGATCCGTAAAGTCGTTCTTTGTAGAATAATTACAGTAGAACCCGGTACATCGAAGGTCGAATAATGAGCCGTGGAGTAGATGTAGTTGTTCAGGTGGATGGTCTGCTCGATGCGATAATCCTAACAGCTAGTCAACCTAGAGATATCCAAAACCAAAAAGAGCTGCAAACCTACCATCCACATTCTGACTCAGCGTTATGAAATGTTTATTCTTTTGTGCAAGTTTCGCCAAAGCGTAGTGAGCCCGGTTAGGCTTCGCGTTCAGGGCCATATGTCTTCGATGGCTGTAAAACTGCCACACCAATCCGGGATTATCATTGAATGCTCCAGGCGTCGCCAGTAACATTGCGTCAAATGTTCTCCACATGCCACCTGCGCCTCGGAAAGTAGGTAGTCCAGAGGAGGCAGATAGTCCGGCGCCTAGAAGGGCGAGGATTCTGGTGCTTCTCTGAAGATGCTCAGAGAAGGACTGGAGATCGGCTGCGGGAATTGGAGGCATGGCGGCGTAGTCTGGTGGAGATTCTGACTGTTTTTGCGCTTGAAGGTATTTTTGATAGACGGGATGGTCCAATATATGTCTCTGCATCTTCGTAAGTGAGATGACATGTGCGTTGGACGCTTTGTTTCAGCTATGCGCAGCCTCGTTTCTGTGACGTGAATACCACGTTTGCTGTCCGATCTTATCTATTGGGAGTCGCCTCTGGCGTTCTGCTCGGAGAAGGAAAGGGCCTGTCTAGGAAGAAGCTGAAGAAGATACGTATAGCAGGATCTGTTGAGTGTTTCGCGTGAAGAATGAAGACTTTAGATCGACCCGACTAATGCTTTTTAGGTATTCTTATCCCATCGCGGTCGTCTCCCCGCACCCCGCATGGTCTACCTATCCACAGTTAAAAGCTGACTGGAATCAATTCATTAATCGCGCTTGCAGCACAATATAAAGCCCAAAATACATGGAATAAGTCATGAAATCATCTTCAGTGAATCAATGTTGCTCCTCCTTCGGTAGAGCAACCTTGACTGCGTTCTCAGCATATTCTTTGCTCTTCTTCGTGTACCCATCAACATAGGACTGAATATAGTCCGGAACCTGTGCTACTTTATTGTCTGGATTTGGCACCGGCTGTCCCAGTACTTCATAGACAGGCACGACACCTGTCCAGACTCGACTCGTCAATTCATCATTCTGATAGTCCTTCTTCTCGTCCGACGCACATCCGTCACGAATCTTGCCACTTCCAGCAACAATCTTGACTTTTAGGATCGAAGTGGAAGCTAATTCTCCTTTATCCGGAGGAGTACGACTATTATCCCATCGATTCGGAACAACAGAGTCTGTTATCAACTTCAGAGCCCACATCTTCTCCTCTTCATCAGTGACTAATTTGGCATATCCATGCAAAATAGCGGAGCGATAGTTGTAACTGTGGTTGTACGGAGTGAGTGACAACACCAACCCGTCCACCTTGCTAGCTGAGATGCAAACGGGTAGCCCTTCTTCTGACTTGCGGGCGAGATTAGCCATGCGTGCACTGACGTAGCCATGGACGTAACAATCTAGAGGTTCTCCCAGATCGGCGGAAGGATATTCAAAGGATCCCATCTGTCCAATCATTGGGATGGTTGCTGGGAAGGGGTCTTCGGGTCCTGGGCTGAAGGAGACGTGTAGAACCTGGCTTAAGTTGATGATGGAGTGAATGGCGGCGACATCGTATGTTGCTGATAGGAGTCAGTGGAGAATCTATATCTGATCCATTGGGACACATACCTCGATGGGCGTACCGTTTGACGGTATTGATATCTTTCTTGGGATAGGTAAGTGTTCGACCCATTGTGATTGACAGTCACAGCAGCTTAGAGATCTATGAATGCTATCTTCAGACTCCAAAGTGATATCGCTGACTTGCGTCTTCAGTTGAGTATTGTTCTGACGAAGACTATGGGAGGCTTTTAAATAATACTGTAGACCAACAGCACAACGACTCTGAGTCACGGTAACAGATCAGCCACGCATCACCAACATGATAAGATATCTCGCAACTGGCTAGATATATCGAGTCATCAGAACTTAACCTTTACAGTCATCGCAATGAGTCGAGGGAAACACATTGCGACAATCACTCATTGGACGACGTCGCCGAAGATAGCGGACTCTAATTGGACGAATCTGGAGAGAACAAGCACTGGCCAATCAGCTTTGATGTGATTACTTTTGATAGCGTATTATCTCCTAAAGAGGATTAGCGTGCATCGAGACTATTGCCTTAGGCACCTCCAGCATTGAACAAGCAATCCATGATTCACCAATTAGGGCATTGGTAGTCGACTTGAAGAAAGCTTAGAGCGCATCTCCTTCCTTTTGATGCTTAGAGCATGATAGAAGTTGGAGAATTGCTGACATATTGAAGGCGGTGAGCCAACGTAGCCAATCGGCCAACTTGAACCCCGGAAAAGCTTGGGCCCACCTGCGAAAAGTATCATCGTACGACCGGCAGAAGCTTTTGTTGTCCATAGACATAATCGTCTTTATTTTGCACCATGTCTATCCGCACCCCTATACTACATCAGCTCCGCCGTCGAATTTCGGGTATCAACCGTTGCAGTGCTCCATTCCATCCATTGCTCTCGAATCGCGTCGTCGCCCCTACTCGGAGTTCTCTACCAACAAGAAGTTACGCCTCCGTCTCCGCCGCCGAATTGCAATTCGGCCAGCCGTTGCATGAAACACATCCACACTTACTAGAGCCTGGTGAATGTATGTTTTTTCTTCATTCGTCTTTTGCCGTCCATACTCGATTCGCAAGCTGGCTTTGACAATGTCACCTCATAGACCGCATGGCTGACATCCACAGTAACACCAGGAATTACCGCTCTGGAATACGCTCATCGCCGTTCGAGACTCGCTAATCGACTACCGAGAAATGCCGTTGCGATCGTTGCTGCGGCAGATGTCAAGTACCGCGCCCCCGGCGTCTTTTACGAATTCCGACAAGACTCCGATTTCTTCTACTTGACGGGTTTGTCGCATACCATTCGATTGTGAATGACGGGAGAACTAAGAATGGAGCAGGTTTCAACGAACCCGGCGCGTTGGCTATAATAAGTGAGTTTGGCGATCTCTGAAAAAATTCAGGTATACTCATTCGGATGGTTAGTAAACGACGGCTCTGGCGATAACCATCTCTTTCATTTATATGTTCGGGAGAAGGATCCGAAAATTGAACTGTGGGAAGGTGCACGGTCAGGCACTCAAGCAGCTATAGATGTGTTCAACGCAGATGAAGTAGGTTTATACGCAGCTTCCTCAAAACTGCAACGAGACTGATCAGGCGATAGACCGGCAACATCGAACGAATCAAAGAACTCATTCTTCCAATCCTATCCGGAGCAGCTGAAATATATACAGACATCAAAGCTCTTTCGCCCGCGGGATCCTCGATAACTCGTTACTTATACGGCAACGAGGCAGAGTCCGATCTACAAAAGATCATACAAGCACGTAAAGTCAAACCTCTCCGTCCAGTGCTGAACGAGTTGAGAGTCTTTAAAAGTGAAAGTGAAGTGGTAAATCTGCGACAAGTTGGACAAGCTTCAGGCCGTGCTTTTACGGATTCGATGCGCCAGGAGTTTGATACTGAAAAGGAATTGTCATCCTACTTGCAATATCAGTTTCAGCTGAACGGGTGCAGCGGCAGTGCTTTTGTACCTGTTGTAGCCGGAGGACGGGTATGTAATATGTCCAGTGATAGGGAAATGCGAGCGCTGATTAGCTAGAATGCTCTGAGCATACATTATACTCGGAACGACGATGTCTTGAGGTAGGTGGTTCAATTGCCGATCACTCTTTCACCGATAGGAACTGACTCCAACGAGGGACGGACAACTCGTCCTCGTGGACGGAGGTGGCGTATGTATTATGACCTCCATATTTGGTTAACTTCCTAACCAGTGAACAGGAATATGGTGGTTATATCGCAGACGTCAAGAGAACATGGCCAGTCAACGGTAAATTTACTGGACCACAGCGCGATCTATATACTGCTGTGTTGAACGTACATAGAACTTGTGTGGCGCTCTGTCGTGAGAATGCGAATCTATCCCTCGACCGGCTTCATCTCATCGCAGAAAAAGGCCTTAAGGATCAATTAGGGCAGCTAGGTTTTGATGTCTCTAGTGATGTATGCAGTTACTCGGAGGTCGCTTCGATACTTACTGACAATTGTGAAGGCTATAAGGACCCTGTTCCCACATCATCTAGGCCACTACATTGGTCTCGACGTGCATGACTGTGCCGGATACCCCCGAAGTGTCAATTTGAGGGCCGGGCAGTGTATCGCCATTGAGCCGTATGTCCATCTCTGACGAACCAATACTTTTCGAGAGCTAACATATCTTAGTGGTATATATGTTCCGAATAACGAACGGTGGCCCCAGCATTTCCGCGGTATGGGTATTGGTATTGAAGACAGTGTCTGCGTCGGCGACGAGAACCCTATCGTAATGTCAATGGAGGCCGTTAAAGAGGTATCTATTTCAATTGGATAGTCAATCATTAAGATCGGGCGTGCTAACAAGAATCAGATCGACGATATTGAAGCTCTCCGCTCATAGACGATCCCCGAGCGAGCGAATGATACCCATCTCCCAACTAGCTGTACATTAGATATTTTGTATTTAGCATGTATTCGGCGTCAGTCATATGCATTTACTCATGAAGTCTATCGTCCTTTCAAATCGTAGTGTTACGCGTTCGCGGCGTGAGACGATGTATGTCGATTGACATGGCACGCCTTGAGATATCAGTTGAACGTATTGATCCGACTTTAGCACGCAGTAATAAAGTTAGTGCATACGGAGTAGGAAATACAATAATCGACGCGGCCAAGAATGTACTGCGCGCTGTATGCATTATTGATGTTCATGCCAGGCTGAATGGTCAAGTCGCGCTACGACTGGTTGTCCGGGCTAAGAACGCTTTGGCAAAACAACTCACGGGAAGCGGCTCCACAACCAACAAACAAGCTTGCTCTCTCGTTCTCACCTCTTCCCTCTCCAACCACACAGATCCAGACCTCCGACAAAATCCTGTCACAACCATCTGTACAGTGCTAATAACCCGTGCTTGAAGCTCGTGAAAGTATTTGTTTATACATTCGACGTGCTAATTGTCTATCTACATCATGGTTCACTAGGCTCTTCTATGATCTGTAGAGGGCGTGTGGTACGTCGCGTGCTCTTGTGCCAGTGACCGTACCCCTCCACTCCCTTCGAGTGTCGTTCTTGTTGGATAAACTAAAGCTTTCGGGCTGCTGTACCCAATCACCCTTAATGGCAGCTATATTTGTCCCTCCTTCTCCACAGACATCGTTCGCTATGTCTTCACGACGACCACCCCTCGCCAACGTCCCCAATGCCGCCAACTCTCCCCATCGAAGCAGCAACACGGCTGCTCTCAAACGCGCCCGTACGGGATCCGAGATGGGGTCCCGAATCGACTTGCTTTTCGGTCAACCTCCTGCCAAGAAGCAATTCGTGGAGCGAGAGGATCATGCTACCGGTTCCCCTTCCAAGCCACGCTCAATGGCAGCTCCCCAGATGAGTGCTGAATCTAGGATGTTCACACGAAGGGGCAATGCTTCATTAACCCCGTTTGAGAAAAAGTTGATGGCAGTAAGAGAACAGAAAGATGGAGCGAGTCAAGCAACTAGAAATTCACGATATGAGAGGGCCTCTGCCGAGAAACTGGATAATATCCGACAATGGCAGAGACATTACCGCAAGGCATTTCCTAGCTTCGTGTTTTACTTTGACAGTCTACCAGCAGACGTTCGTAACCGAAGTTTGAGGGAAGTGCTTGCATTGGGTGCGGTGAGTCAAAAATTTTCTTTCTACATTTGACAATCATCTACTGACAAATGCTCTTTCTGAAATAGAAAGAGGAAAGATTCTTTTCCAGGACAGTCACCCATGTCGTCACGTCTCGGCCAATTCCAGATGTCGATATTCCCACCCCGACTGAAACACAGAATGAGCAAACGTCCATCGAAGGTCCCATTCAGACCGTCAACCCTGTTCTTTTGGAACGAAACGACAATCGAAGGGACCATGGAAACAATACCGATGTACTATATCGAGCACGTCAAATGGGCATGAAGATTTGGGCAATTGAGAAACTACAACGAATGTTGGCAGCCATCCACGAACCAGACACTTCAGCTGCATATACCGGTGGCCGTGCAGGTTCTCTATCTGTCAAGGGCCGCGGAGAGACGGAACTGTCCCAGGTACTTCGAAATGAGCGTCTACATGGACCAGCTGATCGTGATCCAACTCAATTGATGAAAGACTTGGTTTACTTCCGTGGCCCTTTTATATATGTCCACGACATGGATGAAAAGACTCGTCCTGTTATGGTGAGAGAGTATCCCAGGGTTGCAGTGAAAGAGCAGGGTCTTTGGCCACAGTTTCGCAGCGCGCAAATAGGGAAGTGTCCATTCATTCAGGAGGAGCCAACGAAGAAAGAACTTGCTCGTATGAAGGAGGAGAAGAGAAGAAAGCAGCAGCAGCGAGAGCAGGAAAGGACTGCTGCCAAAGAGGAAGTCATCAAGCGTGAAGATGTACCTGAGACACAGAATCAGGAGCAGCCTGTCAAGCAAGAGGCAGATGATCTGACTGCTCAGGTAAAACTGGAAGAAGAGGATACCGCACCGCTAGGACCATCAGATGACCTCAGACCATTATCTGTTCGACCAGCACCACCACGAGTCAAGTCGGAGAATCACTCAGTCAAACCCATCGGAAAGATTGCAGCTTGGCCGATGCTGCGCGAGCCGGCCGCTTCTGGCGTCCAGCCGTCAAACATCACCTCAGCAATCCGATCACAGATGGTATCGTCGACTGCAGCTGCACCTGGTGCAAAGGCAGGATTGAGTAAAGAAGTACACGAATTGAAACGAAAAGTTTTGGAAAAGAGCAATGGAAGCATGATAACAAGCGCCAACCCATCGTCCCACAGGCCCATGGATGCACCAACGAATATGAAACTTGCTTCCGGTGCCTCTGCCGGCGCGAAACGCCCACGAGAGAAGATGAGTAACATCCACGAGGAGGATACAACACAGTCAGAGGACAACGGCAACAACAATATATCACAAAACACGGACTGCAAAGGAACTCTACAGAAGAAAGTCGTCAAGGAGAAGCAACGTGATCCCAAACCGGGTTACTGCGAGAACTGCCGAGACAAGTTTGATGATTTCGATGAGGTATGCTCAATCTTTATCAGGGCATATGGACTACAGCTAACATAATGAAGCACACAATGACCAGAAAACACCGCAAGTTCGCAACTACGCTGTCCAACTGGACTGAACTAGATGCCTTACTGTCGAAACTTGAGCGTCCTTTGAAACATGCATACTAAATGATGGCTGTACTGTGTAAGAGTGAGTTGTGCTTGTATTAATAACTGACTCGGGTATACTCGTTTTCTTGTCTATGAAACATGCTTACTGGTTACCTTTACACTTTCGTTTCATTTCCTTTTGCCTAGTCCAAATCTTTCATCTAATTAAGCGGTAAACCATCTCTTTACTCGCATTTCGCTTGATACAGTTGGCATTTTCAAGGCGTTGTTCTATTCTCTTCTTCACACATACAACCCTCTTATTACTATCCCCCCCTTTTATATCCCCCCGTGTTTTCGCATTCCTGGGCTGTGTTTAACACAATCAGATTCAAGTCGACAATATGAAATGGCTTAAATTTGCTTCATTCTGGCCTACTTATGCCTTTTCAGTTGCTTCTGTTGTAACGGATAGAGAGAAATGAATGTGTCTATCATATGGCGAAGTTCAGATCTCATGCTATATAGGTAGATCAATGGAAAGAAAGACATTATTATACACACCGGTCTACCGTACATCTCTAGGGCTAGTGATGTCTTCAACAACCCTAGCCCATCCTATCGTGAGACCCCTTAAACCGCCTTCGATAGGGGGTATCAATGGCTCATATATGGTCCCTTTGCTGGGAGAGTATAGTACATACGACCATAGGGTGTGGAAAACAGGGCTTCCCGTCCGCTCAGCCGTACTTAAGCCACACGCCGGCTGGTTAGTAGTTGGGTGGGTGACCACCAGCGAATCCCCGCTGTTGTATGTTTTTAGTCTTTTATTTTTTATCTTTCTTTCTATTCATTCCAGCCTTGCCAGGAACTTCTTCGCGACCCTGGAATTGCTGACGTGGCACTCGGCTAATCCTTCCCATACTACATTACCCCTCTTTTTCCGAAGTCAGCCCATTTTCTCAAAGCCAATGAGACCAAGTCCGTAATCAAACATGTATTGTATACAGCATATCGACACGTGATATCGTGACATCCTTACTTCGAGTCTTCGATTTCACAACACCGAGTCAATTCCTCGCTAAAAATTAGGGCCTTTTTTACAGCGACATTGAGTCACGCCCCATACACACTACTCACTGGATATGATTGGGATCTTGGTAATTCGCGGTATGGCAGATATCGTCAACAGCCCTACACCAGTGACCCGGGTGTCTGGAATTGTATGGGCACCCGGGTGCCCGTGTATTGGCCGCCCTCCAAACCACACTAAACTTTTTTAGGAACGGTGCGCTGGAAGATGGTGGTGATTTCCGTCAACAGATCTCAATCAAAATGGTGTCTACGGAATATACACTCTCTTACTGTATCTCCTCAAACAGTCAATCGTCTAATTAAGAACTGTAGCAATCGAGATGAAATTGGGACGGTATCTCACTTATCAAATTTGGGGATAGCGCCATGCTACCGCAACTTTGCAGTCGAAACGTTCAACATTGGAGACTACAATATGATTCGATGGACAGTGAAGAGATTATGCCTTTTAGTGGAGGAAGTGGAACTATTGGTCTCGGCATTCATCCGTAACAGGCTCTTGAATTACCCAATTTCATGTATGTGATTAAAGATTAGTTGATAGGTAGGTTTCGGTTCTAAGCCGAAGGTGACTTTGCATTGACGGTACATGTAGAATAGAAATGTTCCTTTGACTTTGTACCGCACTTGTAAGAATGTTACATTGACCTTGGGGCACTCGAAAAAACTTAAGCAATCGTGCTCATCTCGCGTGGACGGACCACGAAAGAGTGAAATGAGAGAAATGAGTTGTCAATGGACCCTGTCAATCCCAAGATCATAAAAGTGGAGCTTCCAGAACCCTTCAGCCACTTGTCTCCACTCGGCCCCAGTAGCCAAAATCGAATACACTTCTCACCTCTGCCTATAATCAGAACTCTACCATAGTATGGGGACTAAGTAGATTTGTTTCTTTCTACTTATTTTGTGATCTGTAGTATAATGTGGAGGCCGGATTGTACAGAAATTGATTCGACAGGGCTACGACTCACAGTCTTACTCGAAACACTAGCGTGCTTCTGCCTAACGCAATGTAGGTTATTCCATGGAATCGATGAAAGGTGTTTACAAATTGTTTGAAGAAGTTGTCCCCTTCCGTGGGGGTCGAACGAGACACCTTGCTTCGTATCAATTCAAGATCTATTTCTTTTTCTTTCAGTTACGAAAAGGAAGCTGAGATATGTAACATACTGGTAGAATAAGGCTGTGCGTGAATAGCCTGATGAGAGCACTGCACTGGCATTCCCTGTTGGACCCATATGTCAAGTACGGATGACCAGTTATGATGCATTGAAGTCCACAGATTGTACCGCTTCGAACTCGTCGAATGAAGTGCAGATATGCCACGGAGTCATCTGCGTCGGACTGGTAAGTTTATTCCAGGCCAATCCTGAAGAGGATTTTACTGGGATGAAAAGAAAAGAAGTGACTAACAAGATCTGTATGTATTCCGTTCTCTGTCTTTCTGTGTATACATGAGTTTCCATGAAGGGTTTATATAGACATTTTGGCGGGGTGATTTGTGAGCTGTCATGAGGGGTAAATATGAGGGTAATTTTGAGCTTTGATAAAGTGGCTTCTGATTGACTGAGATGTACTACATAGATGCCTAAGTATTGCTCTAACGTGGAGTAGATCTTCAACAGAACAAGAAGATCTTTCTGACACTTTCATGAGGGGTAAACCTCGAAGGTTCAAGGCTTCTGCCTCGCCGGATATCCGGGTTATCTAACAATCTGCAAAGGTGAGAGTTCCTGCCAATCGTAGCCGTTCGCTTACCGCCCGGATCTCCAAGTCAGCCTTGTACGCTTTCATCCTTTTAGTATGCGGCTCCGCAACGCAACAACTCCGACTACAGGAATGCACTCATATCATCGATTTTCTGTGCACGCTCTTGACAATCTGATGCATGCTACGGTTCTACTGAATAATGGCAACCTCTCCATCCAAGAAAGAGTTTCAGATCGGCTGGATATGTGCCCTGCCCGTCGAAGCGGCCGCCGCAATCCAGATGCTGGATGAAAACTTTGGTATTCTCCAGGAGCAAGAAAGATCCGACACTAACACATACACCTTGGGTCGGATCGGTCGCCATCATGTCGTAATCGCGTGCCTGCCAGATGGGCAATACGGGACCACGTCGGCCACTGCAGTTTCCAATAATATGATACGGACCTTTGCAGACTCTCTCCGAATTGGTTTGATGGTGGGCATTGGCGGAGGAGCTCCTTCAGCCGACCATGACATTCGCCTGGGAGATGTCGTGGTTAGTCGCCCTGAAGGCTCTTACGGCGGTGTGATTCAGCATGATATGATAAAAATCAAGAAAGATGGCGAAGTTCAACGAGTTGGTTCTCTGAACAGCCCGCCAAAGCCCTTACTGAACGCGTTGGCCCAGATAAGGGCGGCCGAATTATATGATGACCCTCAGTACCCTGTTTACATCCAAGGGGCGATTGAAAAAAATAAACGGACGCGTAAAACCTTCAGCCGCCCTAACATCAAATCCGACCGACTATTCAAAGCAGAGCACGGTCATCGTGGAAGTGCAACTTCCTGTGATCAGTGTCCAGTGGAATGGGAGGAGGATCGTATCCCTCGCGAAGACGGCGATCCACACACTCATTATGGGACGATTGCATCGGGGAATACCCTCGTCAAAGATGGGACGATCAGAGAAGCACTTCGCAAAGAAACCGGTGCGTTATGTTTTGAGATGGAAGGGGCAGGCTTGATGGTCGACTTTCCCTGCCTGGTGATACGTGGCATATGTGATTATGCCGACTCACACAAGAATAAACTATGGCAAGGTTATGCTGCGCTGACAGCAGCGGCTTTTACAAAAGAGTTGCTATCTTATGTTCCTAAGGGTGTATCTTACGAGAGTTTAGTTGCAGATATATGTCGTAAGTGAATATGAGCATATCTGTTATGATCCGTCTTACAGTCTAACATTACTTTATATTCATTAGCTCTGCTTGAAGATATTAAGGAGGAACAGAGAAAGGCTTTTAACCAGCAAGAATACCATCATCAGCAAAAGATGGCGCGGATCTTGACGGAAGACCAACGCCGCTGTCATCAAGCATTCAAGACGTCGACTTATGAAAAGTTCAAGAATATCAATCCAAGCCGAGTGGAAGGAACGTGTGAGTGGGTACTAAACAGCCCCGAGTACCTGCGTTGGTGGAACGCCACAAGCAATGATCTCCTGTGGATCTCAGCTGACCCAGGATGCGGTAAATCCGTACTTGCCAAATCCCTGATTGATGGTGTGTTTCCGGCCTCTGACTCGAATATTTCTATCATGTACTTCTTTTTTAAGGACAATGATGAACAGAACAATCTCGCTACTGCATTGTGTGCTGTGCTTCATCAGCTATTCAGCTTGCAACCCCAACTGTTGTGACATGCATTGCCGCTCTGGGAAAGAAATAAAGATAAAATTCAGTATGAAGTGGACGAAATGTGGCGTATTTTCATGGCAACCATATCCGATGGCACATTTAGGAATACAATCTGTGTATTTGATGCTCTTGATGAGTGCCGTGACCGAGACAAGAAGCTGCTGATTGAGAAACTTCGTGGATTTCATGTCCGACGTCTGGCTACCCAGAGAAATTGGTTGAAGTTCCTTGTTACAAGCCGACCGTATGACGATATCCAAGATCTTTTTCGACCAGTGATTGATCTTTTTCCACAAATCCATCTTCGTGGTGAAGAGGAAAATGACCAAATCCGCAGAGAAATCAATCTTGTGGTAAAGGTCAAAGTGAGTGAGCTTGGATGGAGTCTAGACCTGCATGCTGACGAGCAGAGGCGGCTGGAAAAAGAGCTGACTGAGATGAAGCATCACACTTATCTTTGGTTGTATCTGGCAATTGACGACATTAAAAGAACGCTTAAAGATAGCTTTCGACCACGCCTAGAAAAAATCCCACCGCTCCCGAAAAGCGTTCCCGAAGCATACGAAAGAATATTATGTCGAGTTACTGCTGACCAAAAACCCAAAGTAGAGATGATTCTGCGAATTATTGTTGGCGCGCGGCGTCCACTTACCATTCAGGAAATGGCCATGGCCTTGGGAGTCGCGACATTTCCAAATGCAGAAACAGCAGCAGAGGCAGGCCTTTGTCCTGATGGATTAGACAAAAAGATACGACAACTCTGTGGGCTATTCATTTTCATAAGGGATTCCAAAGTCTATCTCATTCATCAGACTGCAAGAGAATTCCTGATTAGCCAACACGTTAGATCTGCCAGCTTCCATTGGTATCTTGAGCCACACACAACAGAGGTACAGATGACCAACATATGCGTTAGATACCTTCTCATGAATGATCTTGTCAGTAACCGCGAGAAACTTGTGCGGAGTTTGCTAGAGTACTCCGCAGAAAACTGGGCTGACCATTCCCGAAATGTTTTATCACTAGAAAAGGAACTAGTGCAGCAGGTCTGGAAGCTATACAACGTTGCCATAGATCAATTTCATTTGTGGTTTCCTATATTTTGGAAGGAGGCAATGAGATATAGTAAGGACCCGGGAATGAATGCAATGCACTTGGCTGCGTTCAACGGCCATCAGGAAATACTGAGTCTGATTACTGTAAATGAGCAAGGGGCAATTAATCGGGTTGATAGGTCAGGAACAAATGCATTACAATGGGCTTGTTTGAGGGGGCATTTTGATATCGTTCAGCGGCTGCTAGAGAAGGGAGCTAATGTCAATGCTAAGGGTGGAAAATATGGCAATGCTCTCTACGCTGCTGCTGAAGGGGGACATATTCACATCGTTCAGACACTACTCGAGAAGGGAGCCAATGTCAATGCCCAAGATAAAATAAATGGCAGTGCTCTCCAGGCTGCTGCTTATGAAGGACATCTTGAGATTGTTGAGAGGCTACTGGAGAAGGGAGCCGATGTCAGTGCGAAAGGTGGAAGATATGGCAATGCTCTCCAGGCTGCTGCTTATAGAGGACACCTTGAGATTATTGAGCGATTACTCGAGAAGGGAGCTGATGTCAATGCCGAAGGTGGAGAATATGGCAATGCTCTCCAGGCTGCTGCTTATGGAGGACATCTTGAGATATTTCAGAGACTACTCGAGAAGGAAGCAGATGCCAATGCCGAAGGTGGATTCTATGGCACTGCCATCCAGGCTGCTGCTAATGGAGGACATCTCGAGATATTTGAGAGACTACTCGAGAAGGGAGCAGATGCCAATGCCAAGGGTGGAAGATATGGCAATGCTCTCCAGGCTGCTGCTTATGGAGGATATCTTGAGATTGTTGATCGACTACTCGAGAAGGGAGCCGATGTCAATGCCAAAGGTGGAGAATATGGCAATGCTCTCCAGGCTGCTGCTTATGGAGGACACCTTGAGATTGTTGATCGACTACTCGAGAAGAGAGCTGATGTCAATGCCAAGGGTGCAAGATATGGCAATGCTCTCTTTGCTGCTACTTGTGGAAGACATCTTGATATTGTTAAGCGACTACGCGAGAGGAAGCCCAATTTCAATCCTCAACGTGAAGAATTTGGCAATTCTCGGTAAACTACTTCTCCTCCATTGTGACAATACACATCTATTGCAAGTAATGTAGATATAACTGATATGTAATACCGTCAGCATATCATTCTCCGACTAGCTATATCATAAGGACATTTCACATAACTATCATGTATTCAAGGATAGCTGGCTCTGGAGGTTATGCTGAGTCCCTTGTAGAAGTGTTGCTGAAGAATGATTCGAAATATATCTACAAAATCTCATTACTGAACTTCAAGGCACAAGATACGGTATAATTTAGCAAAAAGTCAATTGAGGTGCCCATCTCACCGGTCAAACCAGGAAAATCATATAGTCAATAATAATGCATGATATCTCAAAGGGCTTTCGATTTGTGATTGTTGTAAGACCAAGTATACCAGATCCTCTCACTACTCGAAATCGGATCTTCCATTCTCTTGGCTGGAGATAACTGGCGTTCCATTATTCTTGGCTACAGGACCGCTATTGAAGATATCTGAGTCTATTTTTTTTTTAACTTTTTCAATTTAGTACAATAGCGCATCTGTAATGACGATTTACTCCGGTATGGATATTGTTGCGCAAATTGATATTCAAACATGTCCCAGCTAAGATTCTTGTTTTTCAATTCAACTATTAACGCATCTTCTTCTGGTGAGATTCGCGCTCTAACCGTAAAACGGCCTTTCTGTCGAGATGGTCGAACACCTTCCGTTTTTCCACCCACGGAAAATGACGAAAAATGGGATTGGGATTGGGATGACTCTAGACAATAGGCGACCTCAGATCCAATGTATCGTAGTTTGAGAAGCCCTTGAACGGGGATTGACTCGCTTGATGAGATCGTACCCAGTACATGATTCCTCTTTAACTGTTTCGCTGGACGCAGGTGTTCACTTGATTCGTTCTCGTTGTCAGACAGACACATCAGGAATTTGGGCGACCGCACTCGTGCAGTAAGACTGGCCATGAGACGCTGACCAGTCAGGTGATCCCTGCAACGGGTCTAAGCAATGGGGACGGAGTAGGGGTCAGGTCTGGTTGAGGCGGGGGGTTAGAATTGCACACTGCTTCATTCTGCAACGAATTTGAAAATTCTTCCGATAGATATGAGGTAGCAAGCATGAAATCTTCTAGAATATCCTGTGACTTGATGCTTTCAATTAGCAAACTGCTTCCTCGAGGCTCCAACTGCTGAGGGATACCAGTAGGAAACTTTTGCTAGGTTTGACTCTGACTAACTGTAGTCGATCCCGATGCAGAAGATAGCGTCGCTACATCACTCAGAGTGAAATCCTCGAGGACTGATGCTGATGTTGCTGTTTCAGGTATGCAGTGTGGTAATAGACCTTGGTCTAGTATAGGCGTGACATCACTAGCTTGCTCCTGTAGCTCTGTCTGACTTTGATTGAGTGACTGCGAGAGATCCGCATTTTCTGCCAACTTCAAGGGCGCTTTTGCGGTGAAGGCGGTCGATACACGTTCATCTGTAATACTTCGATCTACGAAGTTGCATGTGCACTGTTGTCATCTTCATCTTTGTCTCCTAGCTTTATATGTAAGCTAAAAAAACGGACAGATCGCATGAATACGGGGTGTGCCTTTCGCAGACAAGCGAACCAAAGACTCTTTTTCCTCCCATTTTTCACCCTACATGACTGAAAAGTCACTGAACGCTCGATCAATATCATTCGAACACGTGGGATTGGTATGGACTGCATCAGATGTGCTTGAGCACGAGAGAAGGTGCTTGGACGTGAGCATCCCGATACACTGACCAGTTCAGACGGGGAGTTGCTCTCAAAGGACATGAAGAAAGACAATGAACTGACTATTAATGCGATCCAAGGGCTATCAAACTCGAAAGTAACTGTCCCATGTCGCAATGCCAATTTAGCTTGGATCCCTCTGATTGGTGATCCTGGTGATGCGAAGCGGGAACCCTTATCTGGCGAATCATCTTGTGCGGCATTAAGTTAAAGTCGTCATTCTATGAATAGTTACATAGTAGCGGAGCTTAGGAATCTGCAGAATCGGACATTCTTTTTTAAATTCCATAGGTTACGGACTGAATTGACTGAATGAGTTCGATAACGATGATGTCTCAAACACCAAGAATATTCACAAAGAGAAAACTAAATTTGGCGATTGGTTGTCGCTTGCCGAACTAATGAATCATCTACTGCCACCAAGCACTGCCCAGTGAACTTCAACTTCATATTACCACTTAAACCAAAACACCACAGCTGTCAGCATAAAATGAGCCAGCTTGCACGACATTCAAACCACTGAAGAGAATCAGTCTCGCTAATTTATGTGATTAACATCACCCAATGCATACAGAGCGATCAATACGTTCTCGCAAACGACCACTTTCACAGCAACTATCCGCCGACGCATCACCCAACCAGACTCGCAAAAAGCGAAAAGTCAAGCATCCCAGCGGGTCCCAGCTCCCTGCAGCGTTTTGGGATAATCTGTCAGAAATTTGGTTGACACATAACGCACTTCAGGAGCTCGATCGAAGGAACAAACAAGCTCCAGCAAACGTTTCCCCAAAACGTCAGTGATGGCGCATTAGGAGCAAGGGGAATGCATTCGCTTCAAGAATATGGCAAAGATGAACCTGAATTTGATAACAATGCTTATACAATCTCTTCATATACCATGATGGCACTTTGAAGATGTTCACCAGTCATCCTTCAAAATCAACTACATCAGATCAGACAGAGTGCTATATGACACAATTACGATCCTTTTCCATGACAGACAATCCTCGCACATTTCAGGAAGGTGCGACCTGGTATCGGAACGGCAGGGACTGGGCAAAGGAGCAAAGAGACGAAGCAATAAGACGAGCAAACGAGAAAGCTACTCAGAATATCATTAGGTCCAGTGCCGTAAATACGAGCTTCAGCACAGTTTGTGAAGTATCGAGTACCGAGTCAATCACTGAGCAATCCTATTTCTCGTTCAGCGGCACAAATACAATTGAGACACATTCATTGCAGTCGACACGTTCACTTTCGCCAAAACCATCTCAGGAGGAATAGATTATGTATAGACTAGAACGATATATCTGAGTCCTCGTGCAATCAGACCTTGTATATGGGCGTTTAATCACACAGGGCATTTCATGCCACTGGGATGGGGTTGCACGATGCCGAGGGTAGTCAACCCCGATTCCATCTGTCTACGATATCTATAGGGAACGTTACATTTTGCATCTAATTTGTTCCTTGAAATCAAAACTCATTTCATGACATATGATGACGCTTCTCAATAATAGTACAGAATATCTTGCAATCCCGAAGCAAAGATCTCCCTTGACAAATGCAAAACTCTTCCAAGAACGCAAATCGCTCTTCAAATTCGCTGAATCTCTATTATCTCTTGATATCTTGCTGTAAAATCTGGCCTGGCGTTTTAAAGCCTCGCTTCTTTGGGTGAAGGCACTGGTCTTATACTCCGAGTCTGGATTCGTCTCCTTTGATATGGACTGAAGAGCATCCTAATTAATAATACAGGGTAGATTCATACATTGGAGTGCTATTCATCTCTAAACCAAAATCACGTCTGGGTATATCAACTTAGGGGTTATAAGAGGCCTTCTGTTCGTTATAGTTAGGTTCTTCAGTAGATATATTAAAATTATTTCTACTATTGCTAGATCGAAGTTTTTAAGGCTGTCCATAGCATATATTTCCTAGGTCTAGTTTGTCGATGTTTGTACAGGCCAGATAACTTGATTTTGTCGACAGTAACCAGCAGAATCATCACATGTCCTTGACAGTTTGGTCGGTCTGCAGAGCTATGCCAAGGCGATGTTTATGCCCCGTGATCTGGTACTTATACTTTTGTGGAGTATCTTAGGAAGGGTTAGAAGTCGCGTTAAACCATAAACTTCTTTATGCATTTTCACCAAATCTCCCCGCCTGAATTTTCCCTTATATTTTTCCGCCTGGTCCAGCTGCGAGTGTGCATAGTCACAGGTGTCTTGAGGGGTTTGTTCTAAGGCGAAATCTGTTTTCCTATCATCACATAGTATAACTTTCTTCTTCCTGAGGTTTTCCTTGATCATATCGATTTCAGCTGCATCACCATAATCAAATAGTCCAATTTCCTTCTCCACCTCTTCCCAAGCGTTATGACATTCACGTATGCATCCACGAAGCTTGTCTGCAAGAACTTTTCGTCTAGCATCATCCATGACCGTATTATGGAGCGCCGCGTCAAGTTTGCCATCCACCAGATCTTCAGGCGGTCCTCCTTGCTCGTTAATACGAGGCCAGCTCATGGTAGGGTCATCTTCCTCAAATGTATGTCCATACCACAGGAGGTTGGTCCATTTTTGTTCGGAGATCACTCGACAACCCGGTTCTGGATGATCCCTAGGCTCGAGGTGTCCTGTCATTTGCGTGGCAACATTGTCCCGTTGAATCGTGATAATAAAATTCCGGGCCTCCAAAGACGCAACAAAGCCTCCTTTCCCGGAATCCTCATAGTCCACATCTGCTCCATTTGCCAATGCCAGGACTATCAAACCCCAGGAGTCCAGATTAGCTGCTGGCAAAGAGGAAATAGAGCCGATAGACGAGAGAGATGACATGGCACTCTCAAGATACGGTATTTCCAATAAACCTGAATAGAGACGGAGTTTATTAAATTTATTATGCTTCAGTCGACTTTCATGTATCGCCCAATAAATATGAAGCCAAGAGCATTCTCCGTTGGTATGAGGAAGCCACCTATGACAGTCATCAAGACACTTCCTTATCACGGGTACCCAGTCCTCTTTCTTGATGACGAAAACACGATTAATCCGACGCCCATTCCAGAAGCGCCATTGATTGCTAGTAAACAAATCATAAACATCACCATACCAAGCCTTTGCTGTTTGCTTGTCCTCCAGCAAGCCGTTCAACTTTTTTATAGCTTCAGCCCCGAGTGATAAAGCAGCAGACACGCCAGACTCCATATTGGAAAGATATGCTACATGAAGAGACACTACAAATGATCTGGCCTACGTTTAAATATATGTATCCTGCTAGTTGTGGCAACGGACTGGTTACACTGATACTCTAAATATGCAAAGCTTGCGTCATACCTTAGTGTTAAGAACGGCACGGTTGATGGCCTACCAAGATTACAAGAATCAAATCAGAATATCTCCTAGTAGTGACCATCAAAGTGGTGGTGACTCAATGAGAAGAGCTCATCGGCTCTAGTAAGCTGAGAGAGACAACATAAGTGATGAGGAATATAGGTCCGAATCATAATATTTGACATCATAGTTGCTGGCTGGGTCATCTTTGGTATGGATTCCAAGGTTATAAGGTCGTTGGTTCCGATCGTATCAAAGATATATCCGAAAGTTCATGGGTTCTCTCATGACTGTTTTATTGAAGGATATCAGTATCACCGCTGCTTTACAGTGAAACAGTGATGGAAGCCAGTCCAAGGGATGGTTCAAAGGTGATTCTGTGCATCGACAGATTTATGAGAGGGCAAGCATAACAGGATATATATCCGCTATTTAGTATTTACATTACCATAAAGTATTGCATCAGCAAAGTTATCTTCACGCGTTCCAGACGTGGTTATCTTAGACGCTCAAATGCGCAGATACATGGTGGTCATGTCACTGGGATGGGGGGGTTAGTTGGACTGGCAAATAATTATGGCATACATTTTTAGTGCCGTCTAGAATGCATTAGCGTATTCCCACCACTTTGATTTCCACCTTCGTACTGTTATATCCAGTATAATGAGTAGCGGAATAAATTCGCTCGTCAGATCAGCATCTCGAAGGATTCGTCCAGTGCAGCGATTAGCACCCGGCAGAGTGAGCAGGTGTATTGATACGATTAGTCGAGATGTTTTGGCGCGCTATCAAGGCGGCGGTGGAGACGTTAGCTGCTGTGCACGCCCATCATATCTCGAGGAATTTCGGAGGAAAGCAGCTAGGGACGGTGCGTTCGTTGCACTTCTCGGCCAATAAGGAGATGAGCGGAATGGGCCTAGACAAGGTTAGGACTCATGCAGCCCACAACACCCATTCTTTTGCATTATGGCAAGGTTCAGCTAATCATGGCGTATCGACTAATGCAATCTCGAATACGGACCTAGCTGGGTTCCGAGAGTATCAAGCCAAATATTCTAATTGTGCCCAATGAGTTTCCCCTAAAATAGGAAAGATTTGGTACAAGAAGACTGCGTCCCGGGGCCGTTACTCCAGCTCATAAAACCCACTAGTTCGCTTGTACTGGCAATGGCTCAGGGGCCGATTGACTTCTACTTATGATATTTTTGCTCTTCTCTCAGCCAAATATACTCCGAGCAAAGCTAAATCATCTCTTATTATGGATATAAAAGAATTGCTCAATGCCGAACCTACCTCGTCCAAATACTATCCTCAGCCAGCTGTCGAGGAGTCCCCTGTGCTAGACTTGCACCTTGCTGCTAGTTCATTCGACAGATTTCATCGGCCAATAACCCCGGAAGCTTCGAAAGGAGAGCAGAGGCCTAAGATTGTTTTTGGGCGACTATGCTATACGGAGGAAGAGTTATGCTTTCTTTGGTACCATGCTACTGATTGCAATGAAAAACGGGATAAATGTGCTGAGACATTCAATACAAAATTTCTACAGCATGAATACCGAACAAAAGCCCAACTCCGAGCAACTCTTTTACCGCTTCGTCCATGTGAAGGTCCCAGAATGGAAGTTCTATCCGAAAAACCTCATTCCATCTGTCTTCACTATCTGTAAGAAACATTATTCCTGGATGCCGGAGATGAAGGGGATGCAGGTCCAAATGAAGATTAAGGAAGACAAGATCAAAGAAGCCAAGGTCGAGGAGCTCCGGCAATCAAATGCATTATATGCAAGAAACGCCTGTGAGAACTGCCGAGAGAGGAGGAGAAGATGTGATAGAAGAGAAATTAGCGGCAATTGTCGCAAGAAAAAAGTCCCTTGTGTGTACATGGGACGGGCCGGGCCCGACGAGGCCGAAAACGCAAGAAATGCTTTCCCGAATAATCCCTAAGGATATAGCGTCTTGGTACTTTATAATATGTCAGTTACTACAATCCTTGCGAAATATAGTCGATTCTTAAAAGTTATAGATAGCAAGGTTCAGCTGAGCTTTACTGTATGGGCCAGATAAAATCTCGAAAAGACTTAGCTGGCTTCCAAGAATAGGCCATACTGAATAAGAATCTGCTCACGTTCTCATACTCATCCTAGTGCCCTCTAGAGTGCATTAGCGTATAAAAGCAATGAGTAAAAGAATTCGTCCAGTGCAGCGATTAGCGTCCGGCAGAGTGAGCAGGTGTCTTGATACGATTAGTCGAGATGTTTTGGCGTTGCGCTATCAAGGCGGCGGTGGAGACCACCTAGGGGACGGCGCGTTCGTTAGATTTCTCAGCCAATAAGGCAATGAGCGGAATCGTCCCTAAGAGGGCCTAGAGTCCTAGACAAGTCATAACTCGCTTATGCAGCCACTGTTGATGGCAAGGTTCCGCTAATCAGTAGTATATCAACTAATGCAATCTCGAATTACAAACTCAGCCTGGTTTTTGAGAATATCCACTTAGAATTGTTAATTATACCTAGTATGGCTGCGGGCGACTTTACTCGTTACGCTGTTCTCTACTGAACATGGCCTTGTATTAGTTTGCCCCTGAGGTCCACTTAAATAAAGCACATTCACTCGCACCGGCAGCTCAAGAGTCAATTGACTTCTTCATCTCTCATTATGGATCTATCCGAGTTGCTCATTCCTTCGCCGACCTCGTCTGTTGCCTACGCACCAGAAGTAGTCAATCATCCACGACCAGTTGTATACGATCCTCCGCCAGTTGTCAAAGGGTCGCTTCCAACTACAGACCTAGGCATTGTATGAGGTCGGTTGGGGGTTGAGCAACTCAGATATATTCATAATGAGAGATGAAGAAGTCGATTGACTTTCGAGCTGCTACAGGAGTGAACTTGCTTTATCTAAGTGAACCTCAGGGGCAAACTAATACAAGGCCATCTAATGTTTAGCGCAACAAGTAAAGTCGCCTGCAGTAGTTTTTCGTACCAGTCATCCGTGCCAGGAATAGATTTCATCATCCTCCATCTTGAATGCAGGCCCATATCCTAACCCTCCGGATGACGAGAAATTCTAGAGCAAGCAGCATTGAGCTAAATCCTTAAAAAATTCAGAGCTTTCTTCGACTTCCGGCTGGAGCGATAGCTCTATGAGGTCTTCTCGTGCCAAAATTGTTCACCTCTTTTTCTGTTCTATGAAAAACGTGCCAGACATAATTAATTCTTCTCGGAAACCGGCTAAGTTTGTAATTCAAGTCGATACGCTAGGGGCGGTTCCGCTCATCTTTCTATTGGCTGAGAAATGGTTGTCGGACTCAAGGGCCAGAAAATGTGAAGTCTCATGTAAAATGTTTTACAGTCCACCAACGCCATATAAATTGCATATAAAAACTAGACAGGTGTTAAATACAAGCATTGTTCACCTATTTCCCTGAGTATCAAAGAAAAATCCGCTGTTTTGAGGCTCTGTTGAAGCCGCTTCTTCCATCGGCTGCGGCACGCCAACGGCATGGCTCTTATAGATTTTCAACAAATCTCCATCATGACGGCGTTTTATGAGGCGATTCGCATCTTTTACATATGGTACACCGCTCGCTTTGACTTGGCGCTTTGTAGTTTTTTGATTCTTGCGCGTTGCTGTATCACGAACCTTGGCAAAGCTCTCACGGTGTAGATCGCCTAATTCGGCCAAGGTAAGACTGCCTTGATTAACCACCTTTATACGGTGTGAAAGGCCTGGGCTTACTTCGTCAAGATATCCTTTATACCGTCAATCGATTTTTCAATCTTATTGACATAGCGACGTAGTTTTACGGCGGTTGATGGTGGAGATATTGATTTTGTAGTTGGTGAGCTGGGAATAGTGTCATCCGCCTCGCCATATATTTTTAGTGCATCCCCTTCAGCAACAAATGCTTCAAATGCTTCCTCTGGCTGAAGCATCGTATCAAGTATAAGCCGAGGATTAAGAGGCCAAATTCCTCGCTCTCTCCAGCCGTGCCGAATCGTTCGTGTGGTAAATGTCCTTATCCGGATATCGCGTAATTCTTCAAAAAAGTCGTTTTTATCAAAATCGAAGCCACCTAAACGTGCAATCTTGTTCACAACCCGTCCATGAACATGTTTATATTGCTGAAATGGCACTCCATCGAGCGGTTGTAAAAAATGTGTAGAATGAGGCGGAAATCGAAATGGACGAATGTGCCAAATTTCACAATATTGCACGAACTGTATAGTAAGATGAGTTGTATGATTATCTATAAGAATTAACCGCCAATCTGGGAAGGCCCCGGGCCTAGAGAAGTGGTCAAAGTGTTGAAGCCATTCGAATGCGATCTCATCTGTGATAAATCCATTCGAAGCAGGTGCAACTAGCCAGTCGTCATCTTTTATATGCCGGTACCATTCCTCCAAATGGACCTTGCCTTTTGGAATCAATAAAGGTGGTATAATCTTTCCTTCGGCATTTATACCCTCAACGACAGTGATTGATTCTCGAGAGGACAGGCTAGATACCCTTTTTGATGTTTTTGGATATGCTGTTACCACCGCTTCATCTTTTCCTTGTCCAACAATGAATCCGGTCTCGTCGAAGTTCCACAAATTTTGAGGGCGAATTTTGTATTGTTGTATAGCGAGCTCGAGATCAATAAACCAGCGCTCAACCTCACCATAATGCTCTGCAACGGTACGTTCCTTTTCTTGAGGTTTTTGAACGATTCGTACATATTGTTTTGGCAGGCGCTTGATAAAATCGTGTACCCAATTTTTTCCGGCACGAGGGGGCTCTCCTGGACCACTGAAATCTTTGCCGAGCAAATAATTCGCACTTTCCTCAATTTGCTGATTCGTAGGAGGCGCACCTATATTATCTAGATAGTCAATCCATAGACTAAGTGCCTTTTTTTGATCTAGAGATAATAGGCGCCTCGTAGGTGGGCGTGTTGAGTGAGAGGGTAAGCCATGCCACCGACGGGACAGTTTTTTGCGAGGCACCCCATATTCACGCGACAATTTGCAAAAATTCGGTTTTTTTCGTATTGGCACGCACTGAGGGCCTTTGCAATCAATTCATCCTCTTCTTTATATAGTTTAGGGGTCATTTTGGCTCTGGTTTTGACGTTTGTAAATGCCAAGTTGAGATTTTGAAGATTTTGGCCCTTGAGTCCGGGCCGACCACCACCCGGTCTAGGGTGGGGGGAGGCGACGCGACAAGTAGTCGCATATTGAAATCTATCCTCTAGAAGTGAGGAGAAGAAGAAAAAAAAACATACAACAGCTGGGATTCACTTGTGGTCACCCACCAAATTACTAACCAGCCGGCGTGTGGCTTAAGTACGGCTGAGCGGACGGGAAGCCCTGTTTTCCACACCCTATGGTCGTATGCGACAGTAGTTGTTGCATATTCAATAGATATACTACCGGTATATAACTTTGAAAGATTGATATCCGTTCGATGGATGCGAAAGCTGATGAGAAGCCCGGCCATATCTCCTCCTAGTAATCTACAGCCGATACCTTGAGACAAATTATACATTGTAATGACCATAATCTTATTCATACAACTTTTGCATTCGGTGCTTACCGTGCTTTACAATTTGGATCAATTTACCACACGAAGTTAATTTTTATTGTTATATACTCGGACTCCAGGATCAACTCCAGCCAATCAATAGCAAAAACATTTCTCAGTCATACACTTCCTTCTATTATTGAGTAAGATATCAAAGATCGAGTCGTTTAGATACGACCGGCCAGTCATCGTGTCTCTAAGCTCCAGCCTATATGGAAAACGGCCTATCCGTAGACACTGAGCAAACAAGATCTTCAAGGGCATCTGGCTAGCCTGAAAGACCCAGTGGCTACACATGTACAGCTGGTAGTCGAAATCTGTCATTTCTAACGAGGTGAGTAGTCCCGGGGTGAAAAAATTAAGTTTTGAAACCAGAAGCTGTAAGAGCCAGGTAAGGTAAGGAGGATAGACGAGGTGGTAAGTGACGAATACATATTACGGGTGTAAAATTGCCCAGTTGGATGTGACCCGAGGACCTCGAATTAGGCTTGTGGACATCCGGGGTAGATCTGAGGACTAGCCCACAACAGGCATAGTCGGAGATCTTCGCAGATCTGGACTGTATCGCTTTCCACGTGGGATAACGGTGAGTCCAATGTGTCCAATTTCATTTCCATTTTACAACGTAGTTGTTAAACATAGACACGGATAGTCGGATAATTTGTATGCTATAGTAGTCATATCTCCTCTCATCCAAGCACATACGACCATAGGGTGTGGAAAACAGGGCTTCCCGTCCGCTCAGCCGTACTTAAGCCACACGCCGGCTGGTTAGTAGTTGGGTGGGTGACCACCAGCGAATCCCAACTGTTGTATGTTTTTGATTTATTTTCGTCTTTTTTTTATTGAGTCAGGACTCATATACACTACTCAGTGGACATGATTGGGATTTTGATAATTCAGAGTCACCCCTCATAGCTCTACGCACTGTGGCTACAACGCTCATAAGCCTCGTTCCTCAAAATCACTGGACTGCTGAGACGCACCGTGCCAACCTTGATTCTATACCAAGCAAAGTCTTCAAGAAAGAGCTTTATCACTATCTTCACTGGATTCTTCTTGGAGGCGCTTCCGGTGCTGGTATTCCAGAAACTCTGATTATACTAGGTAGAAAGGAATCACTACGACAACTCACAAGAGCACAACAGTTGAACGGGAGGACTGGGCTAAGATAGCTACGTCAATTGATACTCCCATTGTCCCTGGCCCAGTCAGTTTTCCGGATAACACAGCTTATTTGCAAAAACAGTGCAGGCTTTTTACTCGCTTCAGTTATTTATTGTGTTCCACCCTAATTTATATAATAGTAACTTCTAAACATAACATGAGCTGTTTAAAATCTATAGACAGCTTCGTCAAGTACGCAGCTTACGAGAATTCACGTCTTATACATCGTCGAGCTGTCGCTGCTTCCAGTGAAATTTCTACGATCGCTCGCTCTGACCATCGTGCGCCAACGATCTTCGAATTTCCAAATCACAGATCCTAGCCTCGAGGGCCGACCGCCAGGAGAAAGCCGACACTGGTTTGCCATCATGCGTCGAGAGCTGGCCAATCCGGCCGTTCTCCCAGAGAATGTGTATAATATGGACAAGATAGGAGTTCTCCTCAGCATCCCCAATTCCCTTAAAGTACTCGTCAGCAATTTGCCACTTCCAGTCTCCGCTGAAGCCAAAACCTTCCCTACTGGTACAGCTCTTCTCGCAGCTCGCACAGAGCCGGCAGTCTTCCTCCGTCATACCAGAACATCGCACAGCAAGTATATCGGACACAGAAATCGACGACAGTCCACAAGAACTATATCGTTTCTCTCAGACAAGGCTCTACCCTAAATCCGTGGAAGCTACGACCCTCCCTGATAGTCCGCATATGACTTCTTCGATTTTTGTCACAAAAGAAGAGCTGAAATGGTTGTTTGCGGAAGTCCTAGGAATTCAAAATGCACAATTACCTTGGACGGCAAAGAGCCTATCAGCAACAAGAAGATCAAGGACAAAATAACGATAGAGCGAGAATTCGTGCCTCGAAGGTGAAGTACAAGACGGTATAGATGAGATTCCGCAAGATATGAATACAAGATCGTCAACTCTACCCTAGTTCCGGACGTCAATGAATTAGGCGAATACATATTTGTGATTCGATTACGCTCCAGGAATAAGAGACATCTTGAGAGAGATTCTGAAAGACATCAGAAAAGCGAACTTCGATGCTGATCGCCCTGCAGTATTTCACCAAGGTTTCAAGCCAGGCACCGTCACTAATTGAGCAAATAGATTGAACGTGATCTTTTATATCGCTTCATGGATGAATTAAGAGAGTATAAAAAGAGGTTTCACTCTCAATAAACGATCTCTGATGACGCTATGCTTCACCTAAGCAAGCTTGTGCAGTACCCTGAAGAAACATATTCACCGGTGATAGGACAATTGAACTTGCTTTTAGAGTCTTGAAAAATCACCTGGGATCTTTTGTGGGCCTTGCTTAAACCAGGGTCACTAGTCTTTACGACTTGCCCTCCACCGGTCTGGCTCGATGCATTCGGTACGATTATAGCGAGAGAAAACAACCAGAGGCTGGGAGATTCTTGAAATCAACGGACGCTGTCTCGATTATGACGGAGATATTTTTGGTCAATCCACCGAGACTCTGCAGATCGAGTACTCCCGAAGAGCGAAACAGATTAAGCTGGTTTGCAATGGCTACCGTTTTGTTTCCTGCCATCATCGATGAAACTTCATGTGGATGCAAGAATTATGGTTGATGCCGCCATCTTTCGCAGGTCGAACCTGAACTATCCGAGGCTAAAGATTAAAAAGCTTGATATGTCTGATTTTCTCTTCCAACAGGTGAAACAGGACGAACCAGAAGGCCGTGTCCGAAGCAAGGATATTGATTTTCGTGAGATAAAAGAAGGCGATCTCGCGATGTGTAGTCCGATAGTGCTCGGATTATCCTTGAATTAAAAAGTCTGAGGTGAGTACGACTGAGTAATGAATAATTATCATCACTGGCATGCTATATAGGAGAGTTCGACGTGGAAAGTATCAAGGAAAAGCCACCTTTGATGACGTTGTAGGGAAAGGGCTTGAGGTGCAACCCACCCGTACCTTTCAGATAGCTAGCGACTGGAAAGCGGTCCTACTCCTTGATGAAGCAGATGTATACAGAGAGTTTCGAATTCGTCTTCACCTTTTTTCACTCTGTCTTCGGTTCACTTGTGTCAGATACGGCGTATTACAATCATTACTAGTGCGTGGTCCTTACATATTCTTTATATACAAATACAGTCCAACATTTATCTATCTAGTACAAATTATTACGGCGCAGTTAAGAACCATACCAGGTAAAAATACCAAGAGCCCGATGGAGCGGTGGACGTAACAATGCGCGTAGAATAAAATATTGCTTCTTCCAATTGTGATTTACTGTCTATGGAAAAGTTTGGCTATTCTATTACTACGCTTCTTATTAATCTTTTTAACGCCTCTGCAACCTTTTTGGTCTGGTAATCGTTTGGATCGCACGCTTTCTCAAAGCCTGCCAATGCTCGTTGATACATCGTCTCTGCCTCCTTTGGTTTTCCCTGATCTCTGTAGAGATTTCCAAGGTTGTTGACAATCACCAGGGTAGAGGAGTGGCCTGGCCCTAGTGCCTTCTCGTAGCCTGTCAATGCTCGTTGATACATCGTCTCTGCCTCCTTTAGTTTTCCCTGATCAGTGTAGAGACCTCCAAGGTTGCTGACAGTCATCAGGGTAGAGGAGTGGCCTGGCCCTAGTCACTTCTCTTTGCCTGCCAATGCTCGTTGATACATCGTCTCTGCATCCTTCAATTTTCCTTGGTCTCGGTAGAGATTTCCAAGGTTGTTGACAATCACCAGGGTAGAGAAGTGGCCTGGCCCTAGTGCCTTCTCGTAGCCTGTCAATGCTCGCTGATACATTGTCTCTGCCTCCTTCAGGTTTCCCTGGTTAGAGTAGAGACTTCCAAGGCTATGGAATGCACGCCAGACACCGACATCGTCTGCTAGATAGTCACTCCCAAGCACCTAACGCACAAAGTCTGCATGAACTAGCAATCGTTGTTGTAGCTGCCAATAATCTTGCTCTTCTATACTAGATATCATAGCATTAATAGCGACAAGTGCTAACTCATACCACAGACTGTTCAGCCCACTAGTCTCAATTTGAGCCATGTCCAGACACCAGTCTTGTATAACTAGGTGTATGCTATAGCTATCAATTTATTTATTGATCTCAATCAGAGAGAACTAAATTAGAGTTCACATGTTATCTTTAAAAGTCAGAGTATCTGATACCACGTCATCAGACCACATCAGCAGCTATAAACTATGTTTGATGCATTTTACTAAATCATACCAAATGTCTTGATTATCAAAGTGAGCAAGCAGAAGCATTAGTTCAGCCATATTAGGGCCTCATTTCCGAATCTCATCATATAAAACTAGCCATGTTTGTAGTAAATTATCTTATTAGTAATGACATTCTGGTTTTGCATGGGATTGTAGGTCGTGCCATAACCTCTAATAATAGTATTGCATATATTTCTTGACACTAGTCCCTGTTTCATGCATGAATGCGCCTGCAATAGTAATCGCTAATAGTAACCCTCCGAGGCGATTAATCAGATCATTGATATCTGTAATGACTAATCAGCATAGTTAGATAGATTCTAAAAGGATAAATCAATACCTTGGTCTACCTCTTCTCTAGTGATTGTATCTTGAATGTATAGATTCCTGCTCTGCCAAAGCAGTAAAAGGACTCCTTAATATCAAAGATAGGGATGGGGAAGGACCGTCCAAGATCAGACAGCGACTGGAGCCAAGACATAATTAAGATAGATCCATGATCCGCCGTTAGAAAGAATTCTTGAATGTTATATCTATCTTCTATCTCTGGGGAATACTGGTTAATATTATCAAAAATCAGGAGCTATTGTGAATTTCCTGGCACTGCGAGCCACTTTAATACTTGACTCGCATTTTGCTCTATCTCTTCATCATTTATTGCGGAGTAGGACCGAGATTGACCCGGTAATCAAGGAAGAATGGAGCTTAATGATTGCAGTAGCGTGCCGCGACTCTTACCACTTAACCATAAAATTGCAGTATAATCATCCTTATGGTCACGTGCGAAGCGGATTGCTAACTGGGTTCTTCTGATGCCGCCCAATCCTTAAAGGATAGCAACTGTTTGAGAGTTTGAATTCTCAGGCTGAAGGTGATGCTATAGTTGCTCTAGCTCTTCCTGTCGTCCTAGAAAGTTTGCAATTGCTGGTAACCCAGTCAAATTGAATGGGATGTTAAATCTGGCTAGTTTTAGAGCATAGTCAAAACCCAGAAATACGTAGAATTCAGTCTTAGTTGGTATTGATGAATATACCAGATATAGTGTCCTCTGCAGACTATGTATAATCTACATTACTGATCAGGATACAGAGAAGGAGCTCTCTGGCATAGGCTACTACCACTGCAGAGGCATACCCCTGCCACTCTTTATTTTTATGGGAATCTGCATAGTCACAAATCTCACAAATGACTAGGCATGGATAATTATTTATGAGTCCCGCCGCCTCTATCTCTACGCAGTAGGCGCCCAGGTCACGGCTTAGCCAATTCTGTAGTTAGCTGTCCCTTATAAGCTAATTTACCAATGCAATCACTCCATAATGGACCAGAGGCCTGTTATAGCTCCGAGCGGTTTGGGAAACAGTTTTAGAAAGATCACACGCAATAAAAGACTTGGATTTTACATCACTATAATAATAATTAGCAAGAAATAGAATATCCTCCATTGCTAGGCGCGCAAAGTTGGACACTTACTGAGGGAACTTTTGTTCAATCATTGTAACAAAATCTGATACTTAGCTGCCATCTGTAAGATAATTCGTCTGGATCTTAGATAATACTGTGAGCAGGATCTGTAGTGAGCAGTTAAGCATGCTAGTCCATTGAAATCTACCACCACTTATTGCCTTGCCATAGTTATATTGCACCACTCCACCATATATGTCTGTTGGTCTGCTAACCACCACATCACTAAGCTAAATATTAGTATTATTGTTTGGTACTCCTCCTCCAATACCCACCATCAGACCAAACTGAATCGAGTGGAAAGTAAACAATAGCTGTATCGCAACTGTGTTCACTAATACTAGCCTATAATTACCGCTTAGCAAGCAGGCAATCACAATATTATGTTCTTTGATCCTTCTAAGTATATACGCATTATAGTTGGTTGTTTGCACTGGTAGATCGTCATAGATTTCATCTAGCATAGCTTTTGCAGCTGCCATCTTGAGTAGCAGCGCGCAGATCCATCCGACTGTATAATCGTCGTGCGATCGACGGGTCCTGGTAGCCATCATATGTTATAGATTTGCTAAAATTCTCACATGTCATGAACAGATTATGAGTTCAGGAAAAATGAGAGTCATTAAATATCAGGACAAGCTGCCTGAGGGGTTACTATTTGGTGAGGCTGACTTCGGTTTTCTTGTCGGCGCTTCAGCGTATATAATGTGGCCAATCATACTGCCTTGTACTAGCTAGGGTGAGGTGTCATGCATGATATCCCTCGTTTAGGGGTAGCTTTGATTATCTAGAACAGACCGGCCTTCAAAACACACTTCCTTTTTTCCACATCATCAATGACAGTGGGCACAGCAATGTTATCACTTGTAGGGTGTGTTCTGAAGGTAATACGTAGTATGATAATACTTCTAGGTAGGGGTCTTCACTATCTGCCTATTTGCCGGTTTTGCCTATACTATAGCGGCGACTATACTATATAGTCGCTCGTAAATCTTCGCCTATACTATATCGGCAAAATATCGGCAAGGTGTCGGCAATTCACTTCTTGTAGGTAGGTATTTTTGATGTAAACTATCATGAGTAGCTTGAAGAATCAGATTGCCAGCTTCCTTATCCTCTAACTCTTTTAGAATGAGATCTCCTTTAACCCTGGGATCTAGAATCAATACGGTGTAGTAGATCTCAGATTCATCCATAAAAGTATAATATTTCATATACTTTTTCAGACCTTCTTTCAATGCAGAAGCAATATCAGGATCTAATTCCTTGAAGGACCCTTGTAATTCTGAACCTTCAGATAGTAGATCGTAAAGTCCATAATAAACTGGGATAGCAAGGCTAATTTGTGGTCTCCGTTTCGACACAAATAATGTAAGTTCATTGAACTTAGTGAGTATGCGATGAATCTGAGATAGACGTTGCCAATCACTATCAGTAAAGGAAGGGATATCGGTCTGTAATGATATAAATTGTTAAGGCCATCATCAAGCATCCGGTATGTTAAATTCCAACGATTTTCCATATCATATTGAATATATTTTCCCGGAAGACTCATATATTCACAGACTTGCTTCCATTTTTGTCTCCTTTGAGGACTGCGGTTGATCCAAAGAGTGAGAATGCGAAGCTTTGATAATGCTTGTATATGTTCTCCATTTTGAATTCTATCACAGATAGTGGATACTTCATTTGAAGTGCTAGATTTCAAAGCTTGAAGGATATCCTTGACAATTAAATTTAGGATATGAGCTAGACAGCGGATATAGCTATTAAGTCCTTTGAACTGAATTTTCTCTTTATCCAAACATGTCTCACTGAGAAGATGGAATAATTCTGAAGCCATAGTCTCATTATTACTGGCGTTATCACCCGTGATAGTAATTAGCTTTTCTCCAAGGTTCAATTCAGAAAGTGTAGTCTGGATAGCAATGGCAATATTCTTACTACTATGAACTCCTTGAAGCTCAGTGAACTCTAAGACTCTTTCTTTATATAAGAAATCCTCTGTGAGCCAATGACCGATGATAGCAAGAATTGGAAGATTATTTTTGCTTGTCCAAATATCAATAGAAAGTGCAATTGATTTACAAGTCAAAGTTAATTCTTGTATTAAATCTTGACGCTGTATATTAAGGCTTTTATTAAGCTGACGCTTCACTGTAAAACTGGATTCGAACAGAAGCATAATTCCTGGGATATCTTTGAAGATCTGTCTAAATGACTGTCTTTCAATTGTTGTAAAGGGCTATTATTTTTCTAACAAAAGCCCGGCTGACTATCTCCAGGTCCTTTTTTCGCAGATATGAGAAGTAGTCAAACAAACATGGGTCCTTTGCTGCCACAAGTCGGAAAGACTAGGGTAAACAGTGGGATTTATAATTTTGACCCTGAGTCCTGGATCAACTCTCATAAATCTGCCGTACGAGTTCTCCACGGCTTGCTGGGGCTCTGTGCGGCGACGATGTTGTCTATTGGCATATTCCGGATTCGCAGCTCATCACCGTCAGCATTCAGTCAGCATCGAGCAATTCAATCTGGAATAGCAGCTTCCTGTATCTTCTGTATAGTGCTTGGATTGCTCCTGTCCATAAACTCCAATACGGTACGCCTAAGCTCTCCTCTAGATTTAAGTGATGTGATGTTCTCCCACTAAAAGCGGACTACACTACGTACCATAATTTCCATACCCCACATCAATGGTTGGGACTACTACTTGGTATCTTGATTCCGGGCCAAATTGCCCTGGGCTACAGGCACCGCATTAATTACTTGCGCACAGGGGAAAAGAGTCAAGCCTCTGTTGCTCATGTCATCCTGGGCCATTACATATGGGCCTTCATGACCATAAACGCATTTCTGTACGTTTTCAACTCACCTGACTTTGTTCTTTCTATATTGACCTCTTATTTAATATGCAGAGGTATTTACTTGGTTTATGCTGAATTTGCAATTGAGGGATATTGTGATGGACGCTCAAGGCCCAGAAACAACTTCATTTCTAAGCGTAGCAGTATCGACGAAGAAAACTAAGTGTGAAGAAGAAGAAGAAAGGGGAAAACTGGCGCTGAGCCTTGAGGCTCTCCAAATACACTCTGTCATGGGATGGAGGCCTTATGGGGAAAGCGGTCTAAAAAGGCAGAATTGTAAGATCCTATCAACCAACTTGTTTGTAACTTAGGCCTTCCCTTCCTCTTCTCCCAAGCTTAGGATTATCATTAGAATAGGCTTATTGAGACGTCACAGATATGGCCTCCGCCAAGGATGTCCCGCACCAGCAGGATGTGGTGGGAGAGTTGTGCTTAGGCTATACCAGGCGGAGAGTGTCGATGCACCCAACAAGAGCCAGGGCTAGAACGACCGTCTTCCATGCGTGGTTAAGGATGAAAGACCAGGTCGAACGCTGTGCGAGAGACGACGGAGGTTGGTTTTCATCAGACTCTGCAGTATCAGCGTCGAACGAATCGTCGGTATTAATTATGTGGGTCAGCCGGTTCGGGCCGGGGCCATGATCACCATGTGGCATGCATTTGAAATTTCCGAGGCGCTAATTATTATCTCAGGTCCGAACGGGGTGAGGCTCTGATAGGAGCGTACAATCTGGGTGAGGAATACTATGTAGTTGATTCTATTGTGCACATTTTCTAAAACACACCTAGCTACACTACGGCAGTCCATACGTACCACCTTGCCAAAATTCGTTTTGTTTTGTAAAGTTTCTTTTTGCCACGGTAAAAGATTTTTAATGCCACACAGTCATGTGATTATATTTTACGGTTGAGCTTTCTGTATTGATCATAATAAAAGCAACAGAAATGATGATTATACTTGCTAGACACATATAAGAAAAATGTGCCATCTAGAAAACGGTTTACATCTGTGACTTTCCTTCTCAATGCGACGCGAGATACCGTGTTTCACCGCCTCGTACACGGAACCACCTCATGCACGGTTTTCGCGATGTAACTTATTCTGAAACTTTACCACACCGTACAATAGTGAAAAGTAATAAAAATTTGGAGTATTACTAAATAAATGACGGCAAATCTAATGAACTAGTTTTTACCTAGCGATAACGGTGGGGAAGTCGAATCCAGCTGCCCCTACTCTGTACTGCTTGTAGCAATAACCTCATCAATAACGCATTTTCGACCTAATTACTGCGTTGAAGCCTCAATATCTTCAAATTGGGTTGATTCGACTCGCAGGGGGCTTTACTATAGCTACAATATCTTTTTGAAGCTGTAAGTCTGCTTTCTTGGCGAGTTTGCGCTCAAGTTTGTGGCGTTGTCTTTCGGCGGCCTGTTTCTCACATTCTTCTCGCTTTTGCTGACGAATTTGAGCTCGTTCTTACTTTCCTTGCTCTCTAGCTCCCTTCGTAAACTGTTGTTGAAGGTTTTATCATCTTTCCTAGCTTTTTCCTGCGCGGCTTGATCCTCTTTTTATTGGTGTAGTTCTCGGGCTTGCTGAATCTTTGAATATATGCTTCATAAGTATTCTTAATTGCAATTTCTTCATTTTTATAGATTCTCGGGCCTTTTTGGGTTGTCCTTTTTCGGCTTCATTTTGACGTGTATAGTAAAAAGCACGTTTTGGCCGAAAATCAATTTTGGCTGGTGAGCACTAACACCCGGGACCCCTTAGATACTATTGGTGAGGTGCACAGCGTAGTAAGGACCAACTGACTAAGTAATTAATGCAACCTCCAGCACTAGTTACAGCAGCTAGTGCTGATGCCGCATAAACAGTGTAGGAGTTAGCTATATACCCGCTCAGAGTAAGCGCGAATTCATTCGTGGCAAGACCGATTAATGCGAGATTGCACATGGAAGCGATCCAGTGAACATGGCACCAGTGGTGGCTCGGTCCAGCCAAAGATCCAGAGTCCAATGGCTAGTACGGGTGCTGCATAGCGAATCCGGCGATTTTACCCTCTGGTTTGCCCTGCCCTTGTTGCTTTCGCTTTTGTTGGGTCATCCGGTGGTGGCCCCAGAATCGAACGAGACCGCTGCACAGAACGCCAGGTAATAACGCTATGAACGGTAGCGAGGTGGCTCTGTCACTCCGGCCGAATGGAGCATCAATCACTGTGAACGATTCGGTAAAGAGATAAAGTAACCGTCGTAACGTGAATATCAAACCCTACGCGTTTCGGCACCGGATTAATTAGTCTGACGTGGCACGTACGTGCCGCGTATATATCTAGCTAGCTATCCCCGTCCCCCTCGTTCTTGGGGATCAGTCACAATATTAGGAATCAAGATATCTTCATATTGTCAGGCTCATTAGGCCGCTTCGTGTTCGCGCCTTACTACCGTCTATGCTTCGTGATACGGACCGTAGTTAAACCAACAATTACTTGTATGAGTTTGTACTTGTCCTCAATTCTGTCCGGACTAGGTACGTCGACGTCTATGTTTCCAATCTCGTGGGGAGTCTCCATGCTCGGTGTCCCATGTCACTGTATTCGAGTCGCTTCTCCACGAGCCTCTTTGGGCTAGTTGGTGATGTTGGCCTTGTTTCTGTGTATCCTCACCCATTTCGTCTAGAAGGTATATTGGCCTGGGCTCGGGTGTATATTGCTTTCCGGCATTTTGAAGCTATGATATCCTCAAACTCTAAATATTTCTCGAGGGCACGCGACAAGCAATGACGTCCAGACGCTTACATCAATACCGAGTCTATAGAACCCAACGAGAAGCATATTGAGTACGTATACGGTCAAATTTACCCAGCCACTTACGATGCAGCAACCATAGTAGGGTCCCAGGGGGTCTTCAGAAGAACCCGAAGAGTCCTGTGAACAAAGTTTACTAGGGCGAAGATCTCGTGGTTCGATGTGCATGTAAATTGGCCTTTATTTGAGGATTTGTAGATACGAGGTCCACTTGAACGAAGGCATCCTAGGAAGCGGGTATGGTTCGTCCCGGAGGTGAGCCACGCTAAAAAGTCCTAAGTGCAGAGACTATAAGTATGCAATTACGACGATAATGACGGAACGTACTGAGATCTGACCTTCCAGTATTTCACGAACAACAAACATTTCCATCACTTCCATCATTTTGTTAGGATCTTAGACCGATTCTTGGTGGTGACGATCCGTGCCAAGCGGGAGTACGATGACTGTATCATCGCTGACCGTATGACTTGTACTCTGACATACATGCAGTATCTATCACCGCTTTTTCGGTCTCTGTTTGTCAGACTGTCTCCAGAAACTTATCAAGATGAAGTTCAGGACTAAGGACTAAGGGAAGACACATGAGACTACTCCTAAAAAGGAAAACACCTCGGCTGTTCCTGAGCGACCATCTGCATCTGGACTAGCTCGATTCGAAATCCCGCCGGATCGGATCAATCACTCCGGCAGATTAAATCCACTAAACCAGATCTAGTCAAGTGCGGGCAAACGGTCAGATGTTAGTCTAGTCTTTAATGAGATGAAGAGGAGAGAAAAAAATGCTCTATCCTACGCCGCATAAACCAGCACAGTGTACGCTGATGAGTCAACCTGGGTAGGATAAATACCTCGTTGTGTGTGTTTCGGCTCATCATGGGGTATTTTCTTCCTCCATCTGATTGTCCTGTCTTCGACCTGAATATACGCCACAGGGAATTGCAGCTTGTCTATTCGTGACATCATCGTATATACCGTACTATACACCACCATCGACATTTGAATTTGAGATATTCCTGAACGACAAATCTCCACGACTATAAACGAGATGACTCCTTCTCCGGTCCTTCGAAGATTCGGTTCTTCGCTACGAACTATACATCATCCATCCAGAAAAGTTCTCTCCGTGACGGTCTATAGACCTGTCATATCCGCATCCGCATCCGCATCCGCATCCGCATCCCCCACCACCACCACCACCACCACCACAACCACACCCCAAACACGATGGAGCTCACACGCTCCCATGGGACCAGCCTCGTCCCAACAGACACGCAAACCAGTCACAATCTCCACTCTACGAAACATGTACAAAAAGAATGAACCCATTGCCATGCTCACCGCCCATGACTTCCCCTCTGCCTTCGTCGCCGATAGCGCCGGGATGGATATGGTTCTTGTCGGAGATAGCTTGGCAATGGTCGCGCTAGGAATGAATGATACGAATGCTGTGACTCTTGATGATATGGTTTTGCATTGTCGGAGTGTCACAAGAGCGGTCAGGTCTGCGTTTGTTGTAAGTTTCTCTTCTTACCGCTACCGTCTTTTCTTCTGTGCACCTCAGACGGATATGCAGTAGCCCGGCCACGTGCATATCAAACGGCCATTTTTTATTGACATTTCTTGTGTCGCCATGCAGGTCGGCGATCTTCCAATGGGATCATACGAAGTATCCCCACAACAGGCAGTCCAATCCTCAATCCGACTGGTCAAGGAAGGCCACGTCCAAGCGGTGAAACTCGAAGGAGGTGTAGACTTTGCATCCACCATCAAAGCGGTAACCACAGCCGGAATCCCCGTTGTCGCACACATCGGCTTGACACCTCAACGGCAAAATGCGCTAGGTGGATTCCGTGCGCAGGGAAAATCTGTCGCGGGAGCACTTAAACTATTAGACGATGCATATGCGGTGCAGGAAGCCGGTGCATTCATGGTTGTTCTGGAGGCTATCCCTGCCGAAATAGCGGCCATTATCACGAAAAAACTTCGCATCCCGACTATTGGTATCGGAGCAGGGGATGGATGTTCCGGACAAGTTCTTGTACAGATCGATATGACGGGTAATTTCGAGCCGGGACGTCATTTACCCAAATTCGTGAAGAAATACGCCAATGTCTGGGAAGAAACAAAAAGGGGGATTGAACAGTACCGAACTGAAGTCAAAAATAGGCAATATCCTGCAAAGGAGCATACGTATGCTATAGACGAGGAGCATGTTGCCGAGTTTCAGAGACTTGTTGATGAACAGAGTCCCAAAAAACGTCAGGAATGATCCTCCATCTTTTGCTCTTTGCGCAAACACTTGATGACTTATGAGGGGGAAATTTGCACATTCCCAAAATTGCATGACACGATTCAACTGGCACATATGCATCGTATACATATTTAGGATATCAAAAATATAGAGATACGACTGATTTCATCCTGATATAATCAAACAGACGAATCACCATCCGCTGTAGCTCCTACAACATCAGTAGCCGTAGTCGTCGTCGCAGCCAGCGCAGCTTTCCTCTCCCTCTCCTTCTGCCGTCTCTTAATTTTCCTCTCTCTATTCTTCTTATTCCGCTTCTCGGCTTCCGTCATATTCGACGTCGCTGCGGCGGCTGTAACAGCCGCGGCACGAGTCCGTAAAATGATACGCCTCTTCTTCCCGGGTTTCGATTTCTTCTTTTCCGTCGTTGTTATCGTCTTCATCTCATTGTCACCACGGAGTAATGATTTAGGAACCCGATGAAAACGTCGATCAAGCCGAACCACGCGCCATGGTAAATGACAGCCCGGCGTCTCCATACTCCGCGCCCATCTTACCACATCATCACCCGTCACAGCCACATCTTCGAATTGTCTCCGTCTCATCGAATCTTCTTCTTCTATTTGAATCTTTTCCTGCTCATCGCGCGCAGATAGATTCATCATTTCAGGCTTTGTGACGTAATAACTCCATCCTCGGAATGGGACTATGAAGCGGCCTTCACCTGGTTGCGCGTCGACTGGTGTCGGTGATCGGAGTCGGATTTTGAGTTTTTGAGTTTTCATTTCTTCCTCCTTCTTTGCACCGGGGATTTTGGTTGCAGTGTTTGGTGCGCTGAAGAGGCGGAAATCGAATTCTTCCTCGTCATCTCCATCTTTTTGGTTGGTATGGTTGTCTTTTAGATTCGACGGTTGCTGGACTTGATTTATGTTTATTGTAGTGAAAATGTCAAAGGCAAGTAATTGTCCCAGTCTGGCATGCGCTTCTTCGTTTTCTGCTGGGATTATGTCTGGTGAACTCCTGGTCGATGAAGATGGAGAGACTATCTCATCGCGACGGATTCTATCATTTCCGTCAGTGATTATATATGATAGTATGTCTTTGGACTAGCATACCTCTTTGCTTCTGGTAATTCGAACATGATTGCCGAGTATTACAGTTCGTGAAATGTTATATATACATCTGAGATACATCGAGATAATTTTGATGTGGATCAAGAACGTCACGCACGGACCAACCCTGCCACTCTCGACTCCCGTGACTTCAAATATTGCCCGACCTTTCTGCAACGTCATTAGACAACAACATTTGCACATTTGTACAATGATAGATTGAGAACAGAAACGAAAGACATATTATCGATAAACTCATACATTCTTTTCCCCTGTCTTTTTTCCAATACTCTGTCTTGTATGCGATGAATTGAGCACTGGTCTGAGCGGCTTGCTGAGGCTTGTGATATTGTTTCCGGCGATTTTTCTTGTCGATTTACTCGTCGCTTTCTCCAAAAGGAACACTTCTCTGAACAGTTCTATCTATAATTTAATCAAATGGGTGCTTGTCAATCTTGCCTCGGCCTCGGACGGCGCGAAGCACACGAGGTACTTCATATACCCTCAAGAACCGTGAATTCAATACTGACAACTGAACAGTCCGAACATGCGCGCCTCATAGACGACGACCTCTATCCCGGCGGCTACGGCTACGGCTCCATAAACAATGCAAATCAACAACAGTCTGATCCGGAGGATATGAAGCGTGAGCGAGAAGCTCTCGAAGCGATCTGTCAACGGGCATCAGAGTACGTCACCCCTCACCACCCCGGTGTCTCGTTGGAGATGAGTAATCTGACGATGCTATACAGCACGGTAATCGATATCTGGGCCCTCCAATCTCAACCCAACTTCCAACCCCGCGCAACATTACCCAGTATCGATTCACAGGGTTCATCACGAGTCGCAAGTAACGAGATACGAACACCTACCCCAGACGGCAGCAACACTGATATCAATAACGACGATGAAGAAATAAGACAAGAAGCTACAACAATAGGCACAATAAGATCCACCACCTCGATAAAACCAGCGACTGCTTCATCGTCGAATATTAATAATAATCAACATCAACAACAACAGCAGAAACATTTATCGACTGCGCCGAATAATTGGGGTGAAGTTGTTATTTCGCCTAGACGGAAGAAGAGGAATAATAAACTTGGGTCTGTTAATGGTGCCGCAGGTGGTGGTGATATCTTTGATGTTTTGCAAGTTTAATCAATTCACCTCAAGGGAGTGGTTATGGCTGGGTTGATCATTATCTTCATGTCTTCCCTTTTATTCCTTATTCTTTCTGGCATGGTTTATGGCCATGTTGTTCTACATTCTCTCTGTGTTTCTTCTCTACTATGTTATACCCCTTCTTCTGTCAGTCTCTAATGTTTCATTCTGTCCAATTCACAAGAATCCAGATACAAATTGTATAGTATGTCGAAACGACCATTTGTTAGTTAATCTCGCACTGTTAAGTCTAATCAATTGCATAGTCAAAGTAAAAGATATATAATATCGCCATTCCCATAAATACATAATTACTCCATTGATCCTAACCCTTGCCATGCCCAGCAAAAGTTCGATCATGCAGGCCTTAAGCACCAGTAGATACATGTTGAACGAGTTGAAATAAAAACTGCCATGTAAAATAGACTTGGTGCAGAGGGAAAAAAAAAAAAAAAAAAAAAACAAACTCCACCATTAATAGCGCCCGCTTAGTCCAAATGAAATCCCTTATCAGAGTGGCGTGGTACTTGAAATCACGAATCAAATGCATGTGGTAGTTAGTCCCCTGTTGAAGTAGAGAGAGAGATCAAACATCGTCCATCGTACCGGCTGGTTCTTCACCACCGGATTCGTAGCTGCCGACGGAGCTCAGTTCGTCTTCGGACTCGGTGTCTTCGCCACCTTCTTCGGCTGCGTCCTTGTTGGCATATTTGGCGACGTAATCTATGGACTATCAATATGATATGATATTATGAACAGGAGAGTGAGTACAAACCTCGGACTTTGTTCTCGTAATTCTTCGGATCACGCATGAGCATTGCTGCCGCCTCACCATTCAACGGGTCTGAAGGGTTGGGATAACGAAGCAGTTGTGGGAGGAACACTTCAAAAATGTTGATCATATCGTACATAGGCGACCAGGTTTGATTGATGACATCGAGACATACGGATCCAGATCTAGAAAGAATATATGAGTTTACATATTCTCTTTCAGGTTGGATAAGACGATTGGCTTACAGTTCATCGATGTTCGGGTGGAAAATGCGGTTGACGAAGCCGATACTAGGGCTCTTGTATGGGTATTGATCAGGTAATTCGACGTGGATTTTCCAGTGTCCGCCTTGGAATGGTGCTACACAAGCTTAGTATTTGCTGGTTGTCTGTTGTGCGGAGTACATACTCTCTTCGGGCCCTTTGAAATGGACGTAAAATTCTTGCCTAATAGTCGTAACCGATGTTAGTATCCAGGGTGGGTCATCGAAATGGAAGATATTCAGCGGCAAACGTACACTATGAGACATAAGATTAGTATACATATTATTCAAGATAGGATCAGAAGCACCCACTATTGTCGTTAACCAAGGTCACCTCATAATCACTCATTAGCATCCTAAATTGCGTAAGCCCTAGGTCTCCCTAGTCCCCTTGTAATGTATACGTACTTCATAACCTATAGATCGAAAGAGTCTCAGCACATGGTCTCCAATCTATTGAAATGTATATGGATAGGGTGATCATGACTCACATCCGCCTCAATTCTCCTCTTAGGACTACTCATTTTGACTGGCAATAAAGTATTGAGCAAGCGATAGTTGGATCAAACTGTTTGGATGTACCAAGAAAACTCTCGTATCGATGTGAGACGCCAAAATCGATCGTTCAAGTAGTCGTGGCAAGCGGGGTTGGGTTGGAACCGTAATGCTGGGATACCTAGATCAATGACGTACAAGATCCGACGATGATCCCCGGTATTGGGCCGGATAGAAGGAGTATGTGTTGGCAGAGAGACGTTGTATAAATAGCCAGTTCTTCGTATAACCACGATCAATAACTGTTGAAGAAAGAGTGTTGTAAAGAGAAATAACGATTGTAGGTTGAGTACCCGCGGAGGAGACAGATGGATGGATCGTCATGGGGGGTTATATATGGCGATAAGCTATCGGGGCTGGTCATGTGCCGCTTTTGTTGCCTGTTATATCAGGCACCACTAGAAAGCTGTCAAGTGATCGGTGAGCTAATTCGTTGATAGTTTAGCTGTACCTGAACATCATGTCATCGTCTTCTGACAACTGAAAGTTTGCACATGACAGTTCATATCTAGAGATCAATGGCCTTCATATCTTATAACTCTAAATCTTGACAAACTCACCATGGACTCTCCATCGCCCTCCGACAGCTCACGACGCGATTCCCCACAACCAGCGCTATCATCACCAGCCCTAGCACAACGACCCAAACCGACGGGAAGAAGCGACTCCAGTGCAGCTGGGAATACCGCCATTCCGGATGAAGATCATGGAGTTGATATTCCGCTGACTATGTCGGCTTCGGTCGTCTTGACTGGATTGCCGCACGATACACATCGGGCATTGGCTGATGCAGAGGCTATAGATGTAGGCAAAGGTTTGTCACTTTTTCTTATTCTATTTATTCTAACTTGATTAAGCTATGCACCACACCTAAAAATACGCTGTCTAAACCAATGCTGATATGCTACAGTCACCGTCCGATTCCAACCTCTCCCCTCAGCGCCCATCTTGAGAAAGACAGTCTTCAAGATCTCTGCATCCCAAAAGTTTGAAACTGTGGTCAACTTTCTAAGGAAGAAGCTGGATTGTAAAGACACTGATACCGTCTTTTGTTACATCAACAGCGTCTTTGCGCCATCGCTTGACGAAGGCATTGGAGGTTTGCACAGGGTATGTTGTTCCCTATATGATTAAGAAAAAGTAGACTGATTGTTTGGTAGTGCTTCAAGAACGAAACGGATGACCAGTTATGGGTCCAATACTCCATGACCCCGTTCTTTGGTTGAGTGATCCGAATTGATTTTCAACGATTCTTCTGATTTCCTACTTCATGAAGATAGTGGGTAAAATATATACATAGTCCATCAAAGTGATGGACAAACTAAGCTGCGTGCATCGCACAGACATGAAACGCACGGAAAGTCCTCTGCGTACGGATCTCCTGCTGACAAAGAAACGACGTATCAAGCGAATGGAATAGTCGGTCGTTGACTTTCGAATAAAGGACTTCTGAGCCGCCTTTTCAACCGTGGACCAAGACGCCGTAGCCGAGATTGCGACTGAGGGGACGCTATTGCAAGTATGAAACGATCAAAGGACCAGCCGTCGATGATTCATCTTAAAAAAGCCGGCTGAGAAAAGGGACGCGGTAATAAAATGTCCGGAAAATATGCATCACGAAAACGCCAACGCCGGAAAAATGCACGGAATAATTTCACAGCCACAAACCCATCTCATCGGAAGGGGTCTATCTCAGTTCTATCGAAGAAACAAAGACCGGATGTCAGTGATCCGCGTTGAGGATGCCCTCGGGCCGACTAACGGAACAACCGCAGGAAAGGAGAAAAAAAAAAGGAAGAAACTCACTTTGCGATATTGTTCGAATGCCCTCTGCATATCGTCCAAACTGGTCTTGTCGCCATAAGCGTCCATCAATTGCGCATTTCGTCGTAGACGTTCTTCTTCGAGCATGGATTCTCGTTGAATGTGTTGTTGCGCATTCCGCAATGCGGTAATACCATAGCCGATTCCCAATACAGCGATAATCGGAAGACCTCTTTGGTTTGAATTAGATGGACGTACATGGCAGAACATTGTGATCATATACTTGTAAGAGAGGAAACGTACATTTTTGTCATGCGGCCAAGTCTGATAATATGTCTGGGTGATGGGCTACCGCCGTTCCCTAGGGGTGCTTGTCCGTTCGGGGAGGCAAATTGGTCCATGTATGTATAATGCTGTAGTAGTTTGTTGAGAAGTATATTGGCAAGTAGTGGTGAGCGGTTCTTGCACAAGGAAAAAGTATGAAAGAGAGAAAAGAGAGTTGGGTTGGTAGAAATAGAAATAGGAATAAAAAAGCATCCCACGTAGACGTGTCGCATGCTCTCCCCCAGATTACTCCGAGGCCTAACAAAGATGTTACCTGATCGTATGACAGTACATTATTTTGCGTATTATATACATGGATTACAATGTGGGGTTTGTATACCATTTTTCAATTGGCTGAAACTGATAGGTAGTGTAGTGATTGGTCCGAAACCTTGATAGTAGCTGTGGAATACCGTATGATAGTTGCATCAGTTGTGTAATGTACAGTATTTCCGATATTAACGTGGGGAAGACGGGGACCTCGGACTTTTCCGAGGTTTGGCATTCTGGCGAGGATCGGATCTGACGGCAGATATACAAGATGAGAGTAATGAGGTTACGTACTATGCCTGCCATGCTGAAGTGAATGAATTATTGATGCTCCAATGTTTACACATACACATACAGGTCTTAACGGGTTCAGATCCCCGCGACAGAGTGCTAATGCAGAAATTCCAATGGGACAGCCCCATTGGGGTTACCTGATTCATGCATTTAGCTGACATCTCATTGACCATTGATCATGCTGTGTTGCATCAGAAAGATCAACTATCATGGCTACTCACGGTGTTGTCCTTCCCGAGCCAGGGAGGGAAAAGCATACTCATCACCAGCGCCCATGCCCTATGTCAACAATGTGCCTCATTTGGGTAATATCATAGGATTGGTGCTGTCGGCAGACGGTTTTGCGCGATATTGCAGATCCCGTGCTGTCAATGCTATTTTGGTCTGTGGGTGCATAACTGTATTCTACCTTCAACAAAATCTGGGAAGCCCTGTTCATGAAGTGGCCTGGTCTATCTAGGAACTGACGACTATGGCACAACTACTGAGGCGAAAGCTCTTATGGAAATATGTACACCTCGCGAACTGTGCGACAAATATCATGCCCTCCATGCCGAGGTATTCAAGTGGTTCAATCTCAGTTTCGACATATTTGGTCTCACCACAACCCAGCTCCAAACCGAGATCACACAAGAAACTTTCTTGGGATTATAACAGCAACAATCTGTTGGAAGAAGAGACAAGGGCACAACTTTATTGAGAAGAGCACCAGTCCTTCCTGGCAAATCGCTTTGTTGAAGGGGAATGTCCTCTACGTGGTTATCCCGACGCTCGTGGTGATCAATGTGATGGTTGTGGCGCGCTTCTCGGAACCCTACAACTGAAAAGTCCGCGGTGTAAAATCGACAATTCGACCCCGGTAACAAAGTAGTACACGGGATATGAAATGGGGAGGAATGGCGACGAATGTTCGGCGGCGATAGGATGAAGGAGGAGAAAGCTGCATTGAAACGCAAAGCAGCGAAAGGAAATGTTAATAATCCATCAAATTGATGGATATCCTGCATTAGTATTATAAATTCATAGAATAGAGGGTTGTACTAATTGACATAAAATGTTACAGTACGTCTTAACCATCGTTTGGATTTCCCGCGATCAGAGTGCCAATTGTAGGTATCTCATTAATTACCAGATTCATGCATTCATAGTTAACCTAGATCAAACTGATCTTAATAAACATTTGAATATCGAAATTTCCCCGCACCAAAGTGGAGAACTGAGGCGCTACCTATCGCTTCATGGCGGCCGACCACAACGATTCTCGCACAGCACAATTGCACGACTTTCTCCCTGCAAAGGCCAACAGACAATAACCATGTCTGCCGACGAGGACTCAGAGTTCACAGGCCAAACAAGAGACGGTCTCACACGCCTTCCTCCCGTGGCAACCGAAGAGACACCCCTGCTCCAAAATGAGTATCCCGCCGATCAACAATTGCAGCGAGAAGACACAGACGGAACACCCATCGCCAAAGAACCCACAACTTTAGAGCTGATCTTGGTTCTGGGAAGTATCTGGGTAGGGGTTTTCCTCGCTGCGCTCGATGCGACCGTTGTCGCGACTCTGTCCGGTCCCATCTCCTCGTCGTTCAATTCCTTGTCACTTTTGTCGTGGATTGCGATCTCGTATTTGATATCGAATGCCGCCTTTCAGCCGCTGAGTGGTCGGTTGACGGATATCTTCTCGAGGAGGGCGGGCTTGGTGTTTTCCAATATCTTTTTTGGGATTGGGAATCTTATATGTGGTCTGGCGACGGAGCAATGGATGATTGTGACCGGTCGGGTGGTTGCTGGTATCGGCGGTGGTGGTCTAACGGCAATCTCCACCTTTGTTACATCAGATCTCGTCCCATTGCGTCGACGGGGTGTATGGCAGGGAATCGGGAATATCTGCTATGGTACCGGTATGGGATTAGGGGGCATTTTCGGCGGAGTGGTCAATGACTCTCTCGGTTGGCGGTGGGCATTTCTGATCCAGGTACCGTTCGTCGTGCTCTCGACCGTACTTATCTGCTTCACGGTAAAAGTGCCCGTCAAGGAAACCGATCGATCGCGCATCAAACGAGTCGACTTTTTGGGCGCGTTCACCTTGATTGTTTTCCTGGTTTTGCTTCTGCTAGGTCTCAATGCTGGCGGAAATCAAGTTCCATGGAATCATCCACTGGTTCTTACCAGTCTACCATTATCGGTGGTCTTTCTTGCGATTTTCATCTACATTGAAGACAAGATCGCATCGGAGCCCGTCATTCCAGTCCGCCTGTTGCTCAATCGCACAGTGGGGTTTGCCTGCTTGACGAATTGGTTCTCTACAATGGCGGTTTTCGGTCTCCTCTACTACGTACCGATTTATTTCCAGGTACAAGGGTACTCCGTCACAGCGGCAGGTGTTCGTCTCGTCCCCGAAGCGGTTGGTACCGCTTTAGGCTCGTTGGGATCAGGAATGATTATGCGTGTTACGGGTCGATACATGCTTCTAAACTATGTGGTCATGGCACTGTTGGTTATTTGCGCTGGCCTATTCTGTACCTTTGAACTGAATTCCCCTTCGTGGCTGCCGATCCTCGGTCTGTTTGGTCTCGGACTTGGCTACGGCGCCATGCTTACCATCACCTTGGTCGCGCTCATTTCGGCGGTCGACCACCACTACCACTCGGTCGTCACTTCGGCATCGTACGCATTCCGTAGCACCGGAAGTACCATTGGTATCACCATTGCTTCCGCCGCGTTCCAGAATGTGCTCAAAAAGGGGCTGTGGGCTCGATTCGGTGATCGGGAAGACGCTGGGGAGTTGATACCCCGGCTTCGAGACAGTCTGGATGAGATTTGGAAAGTCCCCGCGGATTGGCGCCAGGGTGTGTTGGATGCTTATATGGAGTCTCTGCGTGCGATCTTCATTACTCTTCTTGGGGTTACGGTGTTGGCTGCTCTTTCGAGTGTGCTTATGAGACAACATACGTTATATAGCAACTTGGCTCGTCGATGAGCGTCTGAAGATGAAGGATACAATGTCTTTGACCGTACATATAGAGATAAGACTTGATAGATAGAGCATAGAACTCAACGTTTGAATTACTCCCTATTGGTTAAGGCTATGATTTGTATAATGGCGGAATCAGTCGAATGCAGCTTATTTGACAAGATTTATCTTTACATCGACAGCATGAGTAACCTTGATAAACACTAAACACATGTCTTAGAACAGACGGTGAAGCCCTGCCCAATCGTGAGGCTTATCGGAAGTCTGATAGTTGCACCAATCAGAGTACGCAGATTAGCTCGTTCTCCTTTTCTCTTTCCTCTCGATCTTACCACTAACACTCTTCATTCAACTCAAATATACTCCATGGCTTTAGCAGGTGACGTGTCTTCAACAACCTGGACCATGTCGAACATCATAAGTTGCGTCTGTTACGTACTCGCTCCTATTTCGTTCTCCTGACGTCCTAGGTCCCGCTGAAAAAGTTGTCACGTTCCAATCACAGCCGACGCATTGGTGGCAATCCCCAAACTTCACCTTTTGCCAGTGAATCGTGTTCCCCGACTTTTATTCCACCAGGCTGATTGAAGTGTACGAAGAAAGAGAAAAGAATACTTGATCTCGATTTTGACTGGGTTACTCTTGTCCGTTGAGTGGCTGCTACGAGTTACAACCCTTGTCTACTTTCCGACAAGCTTCGCGTTGTCCAATAATTCGCGGCGCATTTAAACGATTCGTCCTCAAAAGTCCATTATTCGCATTCGATATATCTACTGACTTTCACGGTCGTGTTACGGCGCCTGAACTCCGCATCACTGTTCGACAATCGTTCGACATAGAATAATTCTGGATATTCTGGCATGGCAATCAGTCTAAAAGCCGAAGATGTGGCCGGCCCAAAGGAGTCAAAGGGCCTCGAGACATCCCATTTGCAAATACATGAAATTACCGGAGATATAAATCGCAAAGATGGCTCAAGCACAATAGAAACGTCAACAAGGAGACCTCTAGAAAGGACGCAACGTCGAAAAAGAGTACTGCTGTCGACTGAAAGCGCTTTTGCCTCCAATTTCCTTTCCCCCTTAATACGCAGTCCCGATATCGAGCTTCGATTAATCACCGACGAGGAATCTTCCGCAATATCGACAGGAGCTACGAAGGTTCCTCATTACATGGACTCGGTCGATAGCCATACATTTGACAATAGGACGGGGTCACGGAGATGGCTGAGAGCAAAAGCGGCGGAGTTGTGTGAATGGGCTGATCTTCTCGTCGTCGCTCCGATTGATGCTGGCACATTGGGTTCGATGCTGTATGGTCTTACACATACACTAACCCTTTCGCTGCTTCGCGGGTGGGATATGAATAAACCCGTGTTTTTAGTTCCCGGTATGACCATTTCTGAATGGACGAATCCCTTGACTGAGAGGCAATTGCAAGAGCTTCATTACAACTGGCCGTGGATTGTGCGAATACCTCCTTTATTATGGAGTCATAGTGGACCGGAAGAACTGTCACAGCTACCGTGGGACGGCAGCCGTGTTTTCGAGGACTCACTGATAAAGACGCTTGATCTGAGTAATGTTTTGGCTGGTCGTGATGCAAGTCAGTTAGAACGAGAGCCCCTGGAGGAAAACCTCGAGACCACGAAACAGAGTTCGATGGCTATTGCCAAACTTGCTCAACAAGCCGCCAAGCACCGCGAAGAATCTCAAAGTGGCCGGCCCAAGTCGTTACCTCTGGAGTTATGGCTGAACGTCTTCGTGGACCATCTTGGCGACTGGGAGATTGCAAAGGCAGTTGGTATTCCAACAAATCTACCAGTTCCGAGAGAATGGCAGCCTCATATATTGAAAATGTCGACGCCTCCATCGTTAGAGTACACCATTCTTCGGGGTTCATTCACAGCCATCACATCGAAAATCAAAGAACTCACTCCCTATACACCACTGTCGAATTTAGCATGCCATTTGATATTCAAATTCTCGAGAACCGATATCTTGACGTATCTACTGGAGCAGCATCCCAGTTTATATAATACAACCACGCGGTTTAACAACTTACCATACCTTGCATCTGCTATATACGGCAACCCAACTATTCTGACATGGTGGCGTGACTCCCCCGTTTCATCAACACAGGAACACGGCCCAGATGCCATGGATGGTGCTTCCCGATCAGGACATATAAACGTACTAGACTGGTGGCTTTCCTCCGGTCTCCCACTACGCTATTCCGAACGTGCTCTAGAATCAGCCAGTGCCGAGGGTCGCATCAATGTCCTCGAATGGTGGAAAAATGCATCTCTCACAGCACCGTCATCACGACCCGTGCCCCTGAAAGTCGGTAAATCAGTTCTCCTAGCTGCTCAGTCCGGCAAAACACAATCCCTCGCCTGGTGGGACGCATCGGGTATTCCGTACACTCACTCCGAATCCGTAGCACGCATCGCCAGTACACACGGCCACATCCACGTCCTCGAACTCTGGTATCGACTCAAAGGCGCAAAAATGATCTTTGATAATCAGGTTCTTGTCGGAGCTACCCGTAGCGGGCACGACAATGTCCTCGAATGGTGGCGAAAGAGTGGATTGCGGGTCGAATTCAAAACTTGTGATATCGAAGAGGCGCTGGAAGATGCTGATCCAACCACTGAGGCGGCGCAGCGGGTGCGACAGTGGTGGGCACGGAACGGGTTGAATCTTGGTGTTGGCACGAGCGAGTGGATGAAGGTTAAAGTGTTGACATAATTGTCTATTGTTTTGCTGCGTATACCCAATGTTTCCCCTGTTGTTTGATTGGAGTAAATCGCATTTTGTCCGGGTTTATTCCTTATAGATGTTTAGTACATAGGCATAGCATAGCGTTTCGGTATCTATGAGATATTTACAAATCGAACATAGCGAGTAACTAGATAATGAATCAAATACCATCGGCAGAGATACCAGACCTCTTCACTTCTTATATGTCATACCTAGCAATTGACAATGCTCCCTATCAGGTAAATCAGAATACCACACCCTAGGCCACTGCAAATTCACCAACCCCCGACCCTTTTTGGCATCATATTCCTCAAACCCGAACCCCTCGAACATTTCCAACGACGACTCATACCCCCTTATTATCAAATACTCCTTATCCGGATTCGGATTTCCGGTTTTTGCAAATGAGGTCCATATATCCTGTATCGCGTTTGTGTAATATATATCCTCTTCAACCCTCACGGGTTGATCGAAGATGTAATATGTTCCGAATACCTCGTATAAATCACCTGAATGACAGCGATAGTATGGAGTATCAGGTTCGTTGACGGGGAATGTGCAGAGGTCATAAAAACTGTAGAAACTGAGTGCGTAGGCTCGTTGATGGGTGTATACCCAGAGACTGGTGAAGGCGTTGGAACTCTTGGGGGCGGATGTTGTAGCAGCATCGATGAATTCGAGGACGTGGCAGATAATCATTCCATCTGTACCGATGTTGACGGTGGCGTTATAAGGATCCGTATAATCTTGGGGAATGTCCCAAAGTCCAGAGGAAGAGATGTCAGATATCTGGGATGAGTTGATTATGCCTTGGTTGATGAGTACTTTCAGACCGGTGGTGAGATTGGTCATGTTAAGAGAGATGTTAGTCGATAGTAAGGACTGCGCTTCATCGGGCATAAAGCCTATAAGTAGATTTACGTGATTGACTTGAGCGTTGGCAACGAGTGAAACTGGTTGATCGACCATATACACGCCATCGATAACAGTGCTCCACGACCAAGACTCGGTGCTGATACTGAGTAAGGTCTCTGCAGAAAGCTGTCGTAGACATTCGAGTCTTGCCTCTGCTCCCAACGAACTCGGACACTCCGGCTGGATGTAAGGAATCATCTTAGACGCAATCGTAGCTTGATCCACAACAATCCCTCCCAAAGACTGCGGAATAGCATTTTTAAACAATCCCTTCGCTTTGGGGGATGTTATCAAATCCATAACCGAAGCACCACCAGCAGATTGACCGAATATAGTGACGTTGTCAGGATCCCCTCCAAACGCAGCGATATACTTCTTGACCCATTGCAGAGCCGCAATCTTATCGGACAATGCGTAATTCCCATTCACAACGCCATCGTCAAGAGTCAACAGACCAAAGATATTAAGCCGATAGTTGATGCTTACAAGCACAGCATCGCCGCGACTTACGAGACTGGCCCCGTCGAATGTGGAATCACTCCCGGCGCCGTTTATCATTGCACCGCCGTGGATCCAGAGCATGACCGGCTTCAACCCCTTGGACGGCGGGGAGTCACCGCTTGGAAGGACAGGAGTAAAGACTTCAAGATACAAGCAATCTTCACTGTTACCCCAGGGATTCAGACCTTGAGCATTCCCCTCAAAACTGCCTACCTGCATGCATGCAGGCTTGTATGCTGTTGCATCGATTATACCAGTCCCGTTGTTAGAGTATTCCGGTGGTTGAGCATATTGAAATCGTAGATCATCGACAGGTGGTTTGGCATAGGGGATACCCAGAAATCGATATGCCATGTGGTCTCGCAATCCTTCAAATACGACTCCCTCAATGATTGGTGTTTTCACAGTTGGGAATGTAGAGTAATCGGTATCAACTTGACTCACAAAAGGGGCCGTATTGGTACACAGGAATGGGAATTCTAATGCATTGCCAGCCGTAGAAAGCACACCGTGAAAATCCGATGGTTGCGTCAAACTACATGACGTCCAGAGTAGATCGAATGCATCAATATTTCCCAGCCAGACCTGATAAGCGATATCATTTGCGAAAACGCTCAATTTGTCACAATCAAGTAGACTTTCATTATATGAAGCGCAAATCTCAGATGCATGGTCGTAGGTCGCTGGCTCATTGACGAGGATTGCGCTAGGTGTTTGTTCGTGAGTTCTCCAGTCTCCATCATTGTGGAATAGGATTGTTGCGCTGTTGAATTGGTTTTTTAGATAATGAGATGAGGCGGGTGACGCTTCTGATAGGAGTAATGTGTTGAGAAGCCAGAAGACGAACGCCGATCCGATGAGGTTATCCATGTTGATCCCCAAGCTTGACGATGAAACGAACCCATGCTCTCGACTTTCAGAATTCTATGGCTTAGCTTAGGTATAAATACCGAGCTATATTCCAATACATTCTCCACATCGGTTTTATTCAACCGTATATTAGCCTGAATTCTTGATCTGCAAGTCGGGGGATCGGCCGTCTACGGTTACATTATACAAGGCGTAAATTCAGTTGGTATACAAGAGAGCGAGAAACAAGGTCAAAGTGCGTTACGCTAGCCATGCATCGTGACCAGAGTGCCTAGATTGTATGTAGTCAAGACTATTCCCCGCAGAAAGTGTTTTGTGGGGAGATCCCACATCTGTATTCTCAAAAAGTGACCCGCTGGTACGTGAACGTATAAATTTAGGAGGCTAGCTCTCTAATGAATATGTAATCATATCTGTTGAATTGTTCAAAGTTTAGACCTGCTTGAAGAACTACCTAAATACCCGGGAAGCCCTAAGATTGCCTGGTGCAAACAGAATTTACCGAATTAGGAAAGAATTACCCAAAAGGGATCAGTGTTCGTGGTCAACCTTAACCTTAGCCATGATGAATCAGAAGAAGTGGATTCTAGAAATGCAGAATAGATAGATACATGAGATAGTAATATGCAAGAAATAAAATTTCCGAGTGGATGCGCCGCAACCGCAATGCTTCATCCTATATGACAATAAGGCTGGCAGTCGGCTAGTAGATGATACCCATAAAGGGACATCAAATACGATTCATGAATGTCGACAAATGAAAATGGGTAATATATGAAATAGCTCTAGAAACCAAGGCAAACCCCGCAAAAACAGATATTATACCTGCCATCTTGGGATTCTGAACCGCAAACAGAGTAAGAAGTAATGAAAGAGCCGTCCAAAGTGAGATGTTCAGGCCGAATAGGCCGTCCATTTCTTGGAAATCCTTGAACTTGGACGCTGTTTCCTCAAGTATAGACTCCAGGTTGGCGGCGCGAACTGTGAGCTTCTCAAGCAGGGCGAACACAATCTTCGTATTGGCGCCTAAAGCCTCCTGGGCCTGAGCTTGTGTCTCAATAGCTTTAGCATGATGAGCTTGTGTTTCGAGAAGCCTTGATGCGCGTGCCTCGGATTCTTCTAAGTGCGTTTCGAAAGATTGCAGTCTCTGGGATATCTTGTCAGAGACATCGATAAGTATAGATAGAAGCAACAAACCTCTAATATAAGACTCTCTTGTTTGTGAACTGCGGCAAAACGTTCCACCAACCATTCCTATGGCATATTAGCAACATAGCTACCAAGCATGCTTGCACTTCTTACCAGCGCCCCATCCACACCAGCAACTCTTTCCTGCAGATTGTTCAATGAGGACTGCATGAAGAGTGTGAGCTCATGGTTAGATTCCATATCTTTTATATCCTGCCCTTGCAAATCCTTCAATTCTGAGTTTCGCCGTTCTAGTTCGTTATATATCTCATTTATTCGACTTCGCAAATGCTCAATGTCAGTAATAGAAATATGCATGCCCTATATCTATTAGTCAATTTTCCCGATCTTTGTTATACACTCCATACCTGGCTCAGAGCAGAGGAATCTTCTTCCACATCTTTCAGAAGCAAAAGAACTTTTGAAATGCTGGAGCTCACAACACCCTCAAAGTTTCGGAGAAGACTGGCGAAGAGACTGCTTGCCTGGATGCTATCTTTTTGAAGCTCTGTTATAAGCCGATCCCTCAGTTTGTACACTGTTTCCATGAATATCCTTTGCTGAGCATTCTCGGCAGCAGCATCCCGTAATGCTGTCTGTAAAGCAGAGTTGAGGTTTTCTGCATTCTTAGCTAATGACTGGTGTAAATTCAGCATTTCCTCCTTTTCAATTTCAATGCGCGCAGCCTGACAGATAACGATTGCATTTTGTCTGCTATTACTGTAACTCGTCCACCACTGAGGTCTCGACTCCAACCCCCGAAGACAACCTTCAACCACAGATGCTGAAAAATCATCGGCAATATCCACCAAGTCTATTCCGGATTCATCGTAAGCCGCGTCAGAAGCAATTCGGATCGATGAGCATGACAGCGGGATTGAGGCGCCAGCCCCTGAGAGTTCACATAACGCAAGTCTGGCGGCATATATAGACTTCACTCGGTCGAGGGTATCTGCGATCTCGGCCCCGCCTGAAGGTTCAGAGCTGCTAAGGCTCTGGCAAGATGTGAGAAGCTTCATTGCAGCTATTCTACTGCACGACGGCGACGATTTCATCGATTCGAGGAGTTGTATCGCATTTGAGAAGACGCTGTCATGTTGGGCTGTTCTCGAGTGGATCAACTTGACTAGGTCGGGACTCTCTATAGATTTTTTTGCATTTGCTACTCTGGTTAGCGCCGTCATAACCCTGGACGAGTTGATGGTTATAGTTACTCTTTCGTATAGATCCTGCATATAGATCCATGAACGATGCCCCTGTGGACGCTATCAAGGACAGCAATAGAATCTTGAGCAGCGCCAGCGACATTTCTGAGGTTGGCGTTTTTAAATGCTAGAAATGAAGATGGTGGTCTCTTTCGACAGGGCCAAGTCGGCGTGGTGATGATGGGTTGTAGGAGAAGAGGAAGATTGAGGATTTTCCAGTTGAAGCGATGTGAAGGATACGTGAGAAGGAATATTCCTTGCACATTTTGGTTTAAGTCTTTTGGGAAGGTGACAATTGCCGTAAGAGGAATAAGAGGAAAGTGAGGTTCGCGAGGAAGGAGCAGCAGGGGAGGGAGGCCTTCCTCCCCGACATTGAATCACTCTGATGAGATATCTTTTAGAGCATTTAACACCCTTACTCTCTGTTTGACCCCCATCAATATACAGAAATATGTAACAGAATATTAAAAACTGATTCATGTATTATACACTGCTATTGCAAGGTAAAGTAGTAGTCAATATCAAGATTAGCCTCCTCCGCTATATATTTTTTTGGGAAACCCCAGTGCTTTCACACATTTTACGTCCATTTTCAAGACAAACTCATTGTTCAATGCAGTTTAATAGCTGTGGAGTGATGTGTTCAATTCTTGATGCCTGAGACACCAAGGCAAGATGGCCGAGCGGTCTAAGGTATATTCTTCTTCTTCGCTAGCCCAGCCAATAGCATCTTCTAATACAGTATACAGGCGCTAGCTTAAGGTCTAATCTGATTCTGATCAGTTGATCACGCTAGTCCGAAAGGGCGGTTAGTAGCATCTCCTCTGATAATAGTTTTCATCCAGCATACTAACTAATCCCTCAGTGGGTTCGAATCCCACTCTTGTCAGGTCCTCATTCTTTTTTTTTCTGTCTTTTCGCAAGAAATAAGTTTATTTTGAATCCCACGAATCGTCAAAGATTCCTCATGGTGCCCAGTACGGAGTCGGCACTGGGGAAATGGGCATTTTTTCCAGATGGCATTTGATTTTCATATCAACATGCGCTGCCCCTGGTGGACCATGCGTAGCGAAGGTCCACGGCACATTTTGCGTGCCCTATTGCGGGCCTTGCGAGATTGAGTGCCTGCAGGATTCCTGGTCGAATTCGACATCCAAACTCGCGTTGGTAAATTCGAATCTACTTGTAGTTGAGCGGTCCTTGACAAAGTCGATCAGCGGCTGAACGGTTCAATCAAAACGCTCGAGAGTACTGCAACGGGTTTCCAAGGATAATTCGTCAAGGCGTAATAGTTGGAATGGATTGACAGTTTTAAGAGAAAGAGATTGATAGTTTGCATGGATTGGATACTCATAAACCTTCGAGCCTGCCAGTGCATTGGTCTGCTTTTCTTTGGAAAAATTGATCATCTCTGTATCTTGAATATGTAGGACCACAGATGACGAAACACATGGAATATCTCCTTGAGAGATTCATAGAGCAACCTTTTCCCAGATTGGTCCTTTTTTTCCTTTCCCTTTAGCAGTTCCATGATCTATAGTCCAACATTGGAGGTAGAAAAGCGTTTGGTGCGTTTACTTCTCTTGTGTTGGGATCACGCAACGACAATGCAGTAGGAAGCAGAACTCTGGTCTCTTCGGAAAGTTTAGCAGAATAATCCACTGTGCTGAAGAAGTTGGATATGGGCAATCATAATCTAGTTCAATTCTCACGGGAACAGCGGAGAGGATCTGCATCCAGTTTAGCACGGACTAAAGCGAGGAACAGGAGTCCGTTGGCGTACATTTGGATTAGAGAGCAGGAAATGAGCAATTTGTACTTCATATGTGAAATGCAATTTCTTTGAAGTCGCAGGTCCGTTGAGCTGGAGCCGAACCCTGCATGGGGGTCACAAGAAATACAAGTCATCTTCGAAAGGCAAGATGGCCGTGCGGTTAAGGCGATGTGTTCGGACCTCTATACATCATATTTGGTGCGTATTGTAAGTAGTTTCTCATTCCGAAAGGGTGCGAGCGAATGTCAATTTTTGCTACCCTATAGCAATAGGGCCAGTCACTTCCCCTTTTTACCACATATAGGCTGTAAGGGAACTGATCAATCAGGCCACAAATTAGCAGCAACTCCTCTATGCCAAAACCCGAAGGGGTTGTTATCACTCGGTTGCACACTTATATACGCAGTAATAGCACAAGTCTAGCTAGGATTGAAGAGATTTCATCTGCTAAAAGGAGGGTGTCGTAAACCTTGGTTGACAGGTAAGTCAGATCAGAGTAAACTCCTCGCTGAACTAAGGTTCGGTGGTATGCTGCTAACGAGAGTGTCACAGAGACAAGTATCGAGTTATATCAAAGAGACAATAAGAGAAGTAACTGTGTTAACTAGCCTAGAGTGATCTGTGTACAGTATGTACTCTTATACCCTAGGTTATTGTATAGTCAGTAAAAGACAGCAGAGTAGAACTATATACATGATAAATGAGCGTCCTTATATATATATATCCCTTGCTCAACGAATGCCTGATTCATTCGTGGTGAATCACTGATTAGTCCCTAAACCTACCTTGTCCTGGTTCGGTTCCTAGCTCCTGTGACGAGAAGCCAATCCAAATAGATAGTATTTCTATTCCCAGGGTGCTGTGTCGACGAAGAAACTGAGTATGGAGAGGGAAACTATCTATTCAGGGGAAACAGCCCATATTTATTAGCCTCTATCCTCACTCCTTGACGGTGCTGCCCGTCTCATACAAATCTCCGTCGCCTAGCCGCTGTCCCAATATGGAATTGATACATATCAAAAGCAAAGGACGATGCCGATTGATATATCTCACTTATTGACGGAGATCCCCATCCAAGGATTCCCAATCAGTAAAGGACACACTGCGCCAAGCCCGCGGAAGCTAGGGTTAAGCCGTCACAGCTTCACGTTATTAGTCATTGGCTGTGAAGTGCTAATTCTCTGACAAGAGGGTTTACAGACAATAGTCTTATTGACCAACCCAAGTTGAAGGTGAAAACCAAGCATGGTACTCTCTCTGTTCAAAAGTATGTTTGATATAGGAAAAAAAAAAGCAAAAAAAGATTTTGACAAGAGTGGGATTCGAACCCACGCCCTTTCGGACTAGCGGTCAACCAATCAAAGACTGATTAGTCACCTTAAGCTAGCGCCTTAGACCGCTCGGCCATCTTGCCTTGATAGATCTAAAGAAATTCTCCATAAATAACAAGACATAATTTAGGCAGCTGTCCGTGTATGTCGTTAAATTGATATGCACGTGATGCGCTTTCCCGAATACGGGCCAAATAATTTCAACAGAGCTAGAACGACCTCCTCGATAACAACAACAACCATGTCTTGCGCCGCCTCACAACGCTGCCTGGTGCAGCTTCTACGTGAGCCGATACGGTCGAAATCAGTCCCTGCATTTCTCGTTCCAGCGCTTTCCCAGCCATTGAGGGCGCAATGCTTCTCGACAACGTCTGCGGCCCGATCTCGTATTGGCGGTGCCCCCGTGTCTATACCACCAGAGGTCAATTTGAGTCTTATTGATCTTCCGCAGATCAAGGCTCGTGGCAAGGCAAAGGATGCTCCGAAGATGGCCGTCGAAGTGAACGGTCCATTAGGTTTGTCACCTTGATGTTGGTCGGTGAATATCATACTGATGCCCTTGATTTAAGGACAAATGACATTGAACATTCCTCCATTCGTCAACATTAACCATGATCAGACCGCACGAAAAGCCACGATATCTGTCCAAGACGCAGAAGTTCCTCATCAACGTGCCATGTGGGGTATGTGCTTTTCCCAAACCACGATCAAGGGACCGTAATTTAACGTGAATACTGTCATACAGGAACAACACGCGCTCATCTCCAAAACTACGTCCTCGGTGTGTCTGAGGGTCACATTTGCATCCTTAGTCTAGTCGGTGTCGGTTACAGGGCCACTATCGAATCAACTGCGACTACAGTGACTGCTGAATATCCCGGTCAACAATTCGTGTCGTTGAAGGTCGGATACTCACATCCAATTGAATTACCCATTCCAAAGGGCGTTAAAGCTTCGACTCCTCAGCCTACTCGTATCTTGCTGGAAAGTATCGATAAGGAGGTTGTGACTCAATTTGCCGCTGAAATCAGAGCATGGAGAAAGCCGGAACCGTACAAGGGCAAGGGTATTTTTGTAAACGGGGAGACCATTCGGCTCAAAAACAAGAAGATCAAATGATTGCCATCTGCATTTGCTCTGCTTTGCTATACATATTTGCTTGGATGTATATTTAGGTCATGGTATCTTTTGTATTGTATAGTGGTGTAGTCTAGGATTTCTTCATATCATGATCATCAAACTTTTGGTCTCTCCACGTGCAGGTAACTCTATTTCAAGTTCAACACAGCCTGGACTGCATCGATGACTTGATCTTGAAGTTTAGCAGGAGCAGCGACAACGCCTTTGTTATTCTTAAGGGTTCTTCCCTGGGTGAAGTCAAGACGCTTGCCATAGATATCAGTCACCTGGCCACCTGCTTCCCGGACGAGAAGATCGCCAGCAGCATGGTCCCAAATCTTTTCCTGGTATTCTTTCTTCATAGGCAAACGAAGGTAGATGTCTCCGGCACCGCGAGCAATCGAGCAATACTTAGCCTGAGAGTCCAAGCGCACACTTGGAGCAGTGATTCCCAAACGTTTGGCGACTGCAGCATTGTCATCCTGGTTAGAGTGAGCGGCTTCAACGCCCTCACAGAATACAGCCTGAGAGACATCTGGGACTGGTCGCATGGATATAGATTTGCTTGGTGCAAGACCGGCACTTGTCAATGGCCGACTGACGGCTCCTTCTCCCTGGACAGTGGAGAAAAGAACACCCTTACCCTCTTCATCAGACTGCTGACTGCCAATACCTGCAGTGAGAGATTCGGAGTCATCAATTGGAAGATTAGGACATCCAATGACTCCTACCTTCACGTCACCATCCACTATTAAGGCTAGACAGACTGCGTACTGACCACCTCGCAGGAAGCCCTTGGTACCATCGATAGGGTCCAGTGCCCAAATACGACCTTTTGCTCCGCCGAGCGAATTCCCTTGATCTATCACAGCCAACATGGCCTCTTCATTCCCTAACGATCCTCCAAGGATCTCATCACTGGCCGCATCGTTCAATTTGATATCCTTCACCAAGTCCCAAATCTCCGATCGCAAGGCAGCATCTTGTCTTAGCTCGCTTGACTCTTCCTCTGCTACAATCTCGTCGTTGGGGAAATTCTTGGTAATGGCTTGGATAATTAAAGCTTGAGCGCCGAAGTCGCCCTTTGTCACCGGGGATTTATCGTCTTTGGCCAATTCCCCTTTGGCTTTTTCGTGAAAGACTTTCTTTGTGAGCAAACAAGCCCGTTGTACTGCAAGTTCGGCAATTCGCCGTTCATAATCGTAGGTCATGATGGCGGTGGTAGAGAAAAAGTGAGATCGATATCGGAGCTGACTGAGGATTGCGGAGAGACGAGGCTGACAAGTTGTGATAACGCTTGGGGCCAGGATGAATTTATGAGGACAGGTTTTCAGTAATGCAGTGTCAGATAATATTGTACAAAAATAGGAACAGTAATGTCTCAAATCAGACAATTGACAATGAATGTTTCGAGTCTTGATACATGAACGATGAACTCTGGGAAACCTCAAAGCATCAGCAAAGTGGATACCATTACTAAACAGGACTAGTAAGCACCCTGCCACCAATAGGAAGCCCCCATCCTGCAGACTGTCCCTCACTAGTCTAAATAGGGTAAGCCACCACAGATGGAGGGGTCAATGACGGCAGTGGAGTGCTGACAACGTCTCGCAGCTTTGTTTATATTCAGTTAATGTCTTCAGCCTACAAGAGCACTGTGTTGCTCCTAACTTTGCATCTCTTTTAAGGACTGCAGCTTCCACACTCATTGTATCGCTACGACATTATTAGCTTATGACTCTTTGCGACGATCACCTGTGTGCTATGACTAAAAGGCTGAGTCCGTGGTGCGCTTGCGACGTGGCCTGATAACCTTGGTGCATACTTCTACGACAGTAAATCTGTCTAGAGTTGGTAGGGATTATTGGCACTTGAACACGCTTGACTTTACTATCACTAAAGATATTCCTTCTCATCTATCGTTATCACAACGAATACTGATAAGCATCGAGTTCCATCATGTTCAAATCAGATGTTAGTGATGAAACGACATTTAGTTAGTGGAACAATGGTGGTCAATTTATGCTGACTTGGCTTAGAAACCGTACACAGCCGTTTCTGTGCATATCGAGAGTCTGACGAGCGAGCAATATGAAATCGAAGATTCAAGTGGAATTGTCGACTTGATAGAAGTCATCCGGATCCAGTCGACTGGTCCCACTGAAGCTAGTCGCGCGCTACGGAAGAAATTGTGAGTATCAAATATACGCTAATCAATGAAACTCGTTCTAATAAAAATGTAGGAAATATGGCAACCTTCACCGTCAGCTACGGGCCCTCACGATCTTAGACTTCCTGATTCAGAATACAGGAGATCGATTCCTGCGTGAATTCGCCGATGAACCGCTACTAGAGCGTCTTCGTATTGCTGCTACCGATCCCGTGTCTGATCCAGAAGTGAGGAAGAAATGTCAGCAGCTCTTTGGACAATGGGCAGTAACCTACAAGGACACTCCGGGCATGGGTGGAATCACGGCTCTTTACAGGCAGCTGCCAAAGCGAAAGCAGCCTGCGCAGCAAGCTCAGGCCAAAGTTCTAAGGGAAACAGCACCCTCGGCCCCGGAGGCTCCTATGGGTCACTCGGTCTCGATATCAGTTGGAGAAGGCCCTTCAACTATATTGACTTCCCCCAAGACTAAAAAGTCCAAACGATCCTCGACTTTTGGCTCCTCTAGTTCTAAGAGTAACAAAAAGTCAGGCGTCAAACCCTTCAACATGGAGAAGGAGAAGCCCGAGATTTTGCAAACAATCGCATCGGCGTCTGTTGCAAGTACAAACCTACAAAATGCGTTGAAACTGGTCAACCGAGAGACGCGCCGAGTCAGCGAAGATGAAGAAGTCATAACCCAATTCGAGAGATGCAAGAGTCTTCGACGACAGATTCTGCGCTATATTCAACACATTGAAAGCGGTGATCTCCTTGGAAGTTTGATTCATGCTAACGAGGAGCTTGTCACTGGACTGATGGCGTTTGAAGTGCTTGACAAGAGTCTGGATTATGACAGTGACAGTGAAGATGATCAGATATATCAACGGGGTATCGATGAGAGTTTCTCGGGGATAACTATTGGACCTCCTAAGCCGCCTCGACCAGCACGACCGATGAGTATACCAGGTTTTCCTACTGATAACAAGACTTCGCCGTTCAATTTCGATGATTTGGAGAGTGCTAGTGAATCTGAAGAGGAGGAGGATGAGAACAACCCTTTTGGAGATAGAAATGAAGTAAAAACTCCTCATGTTGAGAAACACCAACCAACCTGGTATGTATACATATCCGGCAGGGGCTTCAAGAAAGTGCTAATGGCCTTTTAGGAGGGAAGTCTAGTTTGCTATGTCTGTTCTCCGGGATACAAGGGGTATTCCCTTTTTCTTCTCATAATGGGTACTTTATAGTACTATCAGAAGATGTTTTGGCTACATTCACGCGCGATGTGCTATTATTTGATTACTTATACCCTGATTTTGATAAGTCAACGAGAAATGGCACTGTTTTCTTTTTGTATGTTATAGCTCTATTACTGACTAGCAATGCTTCATTTCGACTTGTACATATCTGATTTTAAGTGGCGTGACTTTGGAATTTCATTGGTCTCCTATTTTCAATATTATCCACAGCTCGGTGCTATTATCATTCAGACAGATTATATCAATTCAAGTATGAGCCTAACGAGCTAGATGTTTCTTTGTCCTCATGTCAAAGTCTCGATGAAACCTCCTGCTCGTTGGCATCAAACACCGGAAAGCTTTTCCCTTCGAGCGCAGCCTTGATCTGCATAGCAATGAACCGCGAGAAGAATCTCGCATGACTGATCGCACCGCCTATGTACCAAAGGCCCGGTTCTATGCTACCAGTCAGCATACAAAAAAAAAGTAGGAGGCGAGGAGAGGGTCAGTACATACGTCCAGTAGGTTTAAAAACCCCTTTTATCTCACCTTCATCATCAACACCCCAACAATCCCCGGCTCTGTCCGCAACTTCATCTACGAATATGCGACGTACTATATCACGCATATTCCCTAGAAATCCGGTAGCGAAGACGAGGACGTCTGCTTTGAGATGAGTGCCATCTGCGAATAGGAGGCCGGTAGGGGTATATGAGACCGGCGGAGAACCTGCTTTTATTTTAATCTAGTAATCCTCATTCTTGTTAGTGAGCATTTCTTCGCCATCTATTTCTACGAGCCCAGCAAGGGAAAAAAGGACGAACCAATCCGTCAGCAATCTTCTTCGATGCCCCTATATCCATATAATGACCCCCAAGACGTTCACAAAGATGCCGCGTAAGATCATCATCTTGCTCAAGAAGGAAGCCCGCTCTTTTCAATTCGAAATATAGATTCGGTCGAGTTGCATATAGTGATCGATTTCTGAGTAAGCCTAGTTTTCGGCTCAGAACATTGGGGTATGCGAAGCATTTGATATCAGAGGATTTCATGTCTGTTTCGAGGTTGTATTGTGCTAGATGTGTTCATTAGAATGGTGGTCTGCTTTGCAGATGTGCGGGTATGACATACTTTTTGCCCATTTCTGGTATTCTGTTTGAGGTATCACGTCTAGAACAGGATTAGGAAATTCTTGAATATCATACTAGTATATTGCAAAACATACAGGTCTTGCTACGCTGTACGATGGTGACTGAAGCCAGTCCAGCCTTGACCATGTCTTCGGCAATATCATGTCCTAGGAGAGTTGAACAAGTCAATGCAGACTGCACTATAATCAGAGTTATACTTCCTACCTGTATTCGCAGTACCCACCACAACTCCATGTTTGCCTTTCCAGTTGAGTGAGTTTTTATAATCTCTAGAATGCATCACCGTACCCTGAAATTCAGACTGATGATTTCCTTGGTATCCGAATTGCAATCCTGAAAGAAGTTCTTCAATAGACGTACCTTGTTTGCATAGTCTGGAAACTTGGGTACTTGCGAGTTTATGCCAATAGCCATGACCACATGTGAGCTTGTGACCGTGACCAGATCAGACTGCCCTGATCCCGGTTGTCGTTTTCGTAATTTCAGGGTATATCTTTTCGTTGATTCGTCCCATGATCCGGACTCGAGAGTGGTGGAAAGCCAGATGTGAGATGTCTGAAATACTCCGTTATTGTTTAGAATAAAAGATCAGATTTCCAAGCCGCTTTTGTTTTTCTACACGTACAATTCCGTATCTATCACCCCATATTTTGAAAGCGTCTGCCAAATCATCTTTCGTCAACCATTCCGGATAATCGGATGTAAATGTTGTTTCAAATGGCAAATGGGAAGATTCTCGAGTAGTGTGAACTGCTCGATAATCAAAGAACATGCATCGTCAGCCAAAACTCTTGCAGAAAGTACAGTGAAAACATACTCTTCGATGAATCATATCGTAGTCTCCAGCTATCACCAACTTCATTATTACTATCAATGCAGATATACGAAACTCCCAACGCTTGTAGCCGACCAGCAGTACAGAGCCCGGATTGACCAGCACCGACAATGATGCAATCAAAATGTTGTTGCAAGGTCTGTTGGTGAGTTGGTCGTGACTTGCCTATTACTTTGACGGGGTTATTTCTTGCGGTATCGTTAATGTGCAAATCGCTTCCGGATGATTCGACAGGATCAAGTTGATCAATATCCCCGTACTCAGCAGGCAATTGGTCTAGTATAGTACCCATGACCCATATCTTCCATTCCCCCTCCCTATTTGGGACAAGGCACAAATACCCCGAACACGAAGCCGCCAGGGGTAGTCCTATAGTGAAGTTAAACGATACCTCTATCCAAGCAACGTCCGCTCCTTTCCTGTTCACAAATGCCGTTTCAAGTCTAAGCTTGAAAGCTGTCGTCTTTCGCCGTTGGCATAGTAGACGCCATGTCGGCAGTATGACCTTTGCAGAATAGAAGCTTCGCAGAGTACCACTCAATGAGAACATGTCCCTCCATATAGCATCTTGTGTGAACTCATTGTCGCTCAGGTGGGCTAACCTGGTGCTGAATACCTGACTTATGGAACATGGATCGATATCTTCGGGAATGTCTCTCGTCGGTAAGGAGCATGGAAGATTGTCTAGAACTGTTTTCTGATAATTCCGTGAGGAGTCCATTGCGACTCGACAATAGCACAGCTAAACAAAGTTAGCTGAGATGAGTATTAGGCCAGTGTAGATTCAAAGCGAAATTGAACATGAGAATTTGATGTAGATCATAGGAAGCATGTCGGGGAACTTTCTTATGTGATTTGCGAAATAATAGAATGCCGGGCTTCTTCTATCAAATAGAGTGAGCAGTGGATTTGATATCCCCGTCAACATGTCAATAGAAAGTCCGACTGCTCCGATGCCCAGCTGGTAAAGGAGTATATCGTAGGACGATCCTTTTAATATGTGGATTTCCCATGGGTGTCTCAAAGTCTCGGTAAGAGAACTATCTGGTGTATTGGCATTTTCGACCTCCCCCTCATAGGGGTTGAAGCGTGCATGGTGATGAATTTCGAGCATTGCAGCCCAATTGGTTAAATTTTCAATAAGGTCATGATTTGGACGGTTTTCTTGCTTGAGTGATGCGCAAAATACATATGTATACCGGGAACATTGAAACATCACATCGCATTTCATCAATAAATATTGATATATTTTCAAGTTTTCAGGGTTGTGGTGGCGAAGGCAGCAGGTAGGGTAAGCACATGTTCTTGCGGTTTAGTCAATGAAGACTTAGATCCTTTCCAAAGTATCATAAAAGGTATGACTCAGATGTGTGATGGGCATGATATACTGAAGTTATGGCGATTGTGCAGACTCAATGTCCGATATGATAGGGCTGGCTGCCGCAAATCCCGCAGCCTGAGGCAGAAACCCATCGATGACCAATGCAGGCCAAAAATAACAAACCATACAAGAAACTCTTCGTTTTCAGGCTCGAGTTCCCTTCTCTGCTGAATTGTTCAGTGACTACCTTCGGACACTTGTATAAGCTCTCACCGCACTTTCCTTCCAATCTCTTTTGCGTCGGAACTGGCTATGCGATCGCGTTGTTAGAGTTGTGATTCTTATTTGGTCCCCGCATACGTTACCGCTCTATGACGGTAATTAACAGATATCCCTCTCTTCGCTTCAACCTACTCACTAATAGTCTTTCCCAGTATACATATCTGTATACAATCTATTACACAAGAATCCCTTCCAACTTGCACGCGATCTACATCTTCCCGACGGAACTGCTTTTTTGATAGACGAAACACTTTTTGGCGCACTTGGCGGACTGAATCCAGTCTAACTCAACGAGCTGATTCGCTGAAAGATGGCTGATCAAGACGAATTTGCGCAAACTCGCGGAGCGGACGACCTATTCGATGATGAAATCATTCCAATTTCAGGCGACCAAGAAATCCAACAGGTTACCGAGACGGCTACCGAACAAGAGCATCAGCAACAGCTTACAGATGTCGCGACGCAACAAGCCGCTCCTACGCCGAGAAGAAACCGGGGACATGGTCGTGGGGCAGCGCATGCCGATGGTGGTCGGGGTAGGGGTCGAGGAAGAGGGCGTGGTGGTAGAGGTAGCTCTGATACGGGGCCTAGAAAGGACGCTGCTGTTAAGGAGGCTACAACGGAGACAGTAGAGACAACAAAGGATACGGAATCCACTGAAAAGAGAGATGATACAGCAGAGGCGAAGAAGGAAGAAGAGGCCGAGAGTAAGACGGCGACAAAAACGGAGAATGCGCGAGTGCAGGCGGTCCGAGGTGACCGCAGTGGTACTGGTGGGATCAAGAAGGTATTTCAAATCGCTTCTTAAACAAGAAAGGCCATCAGCTAACTCAAATAGCCCAAACTCACCGAGGAGGAATTAGCAGAACGCATGGCAGCTGCTAAACTCAAGGCCGCCAAAAAGGCAGCGGCGTATGCTCGCGCAGAGGCCGACGAAGCCTCATTTCAGCAAAGAGAGAAAGTCGCCGCTGAAAAGCGCCGTCAGGAATTGGCGAATCGAAAAGTGATGGATAGCGAACGTGAGCGCAATAGGATGCGCAAGCTTGGCGCGCAAACAGGTCGGGAATGGGACGCTGAAAAGAAGGAAGAAGATTACAATGGGCGTCGAGGCGGAGGGAGTCAGTATCGCCGTGGGATGCATGGCGCAGTCTCTGGGTTTGCGCGACGGACAGATCAGCTGTCTAACGGTCTAGAGATGTTTGATGATTTCCCCGAATTTCGCGGAAGAGGTGGTCGGGGTAGGGGGGGCCGTGGTCGAGGACGCGGCGGCGCTGGACGAGGTGGTCGAGGAGATTCTCAGAATGCCCATGACCGTCCAGCACCGCGAACTGCACCAGGAATCAACAACGAGACCGAATTCCCGTCTCTTCCTGGTAAACAACCGTCCAAAGAGCAGCCTGCACAGACAGAAAATACCTCCACGACCGACAAGCTCTCAATACCAGCAGTGGAAAAGGTTGCTTCGCCTGGTTCGCCTTTGTCACCAGCAGAAGGTACCTGGGCAGAGCAAGTTGAGTCCAGTGAAGCACTATAAATCGATACCCTTTGCTTGTGTTTTTGCAAAAAGTTTTGTATTAATACATATAATAACATGTATGTCAGTAATAACTGTCTAGATGCGCTATGAATAAATTTGATCAATGATGAGCCCTAACCCTAATACTTCTGTCATGACAGCAACAATTCATAGAACAATAGAGTAAGACTCTATTGACAGATCTGATAATAAATAAATAAGGGTTGACCAGTGGCTGAAATCATACAGCGTGATTTGCTGTCTCTGTACAATTGAGGGGTCTGTGGTCACAGTGATATCATATCCAAGATCTTAGGGAACGACTTCAACTTTTCTATATAAGACTCACTTCTGCTCTATTCTCATATTTGGATTCCTTATCATATTCAGAGAATACCTTTATACTCATATTTGACTAATTCCCATCTCACCATATCACATTTTATAACATAAACAATCATCATGGGCGCCCACGAAGACAGAAACAGCAAAACAAGCGTCCAAGGCGGTGCCAGCGCAGTCCCAACCCCCGCAAACAACGTCAACACCGGCTCCTCAGGAACAGGCCTCTCCGATGCCAGCCAATCCGGCGGCAAGGGCGCTGCAGAAGGTGGCAGCAGCTACCAGGGACCAGGGCACACCTCGATCCCCAATCCGGCGGCCTCCATCGGCGGATTTTTGGGTCTGGTAGATCAAAAGGGGGCAGCGGAAGCGCATATGAAACAACGAGTTGCTGAATCGGGGGGATTTATTGATAAGGATCTGAAGAATAGTGGGATTAAGGAGACTTGTCAGACGGAGGATCATAGTTTTATGGAAACTAAGCCGGGACGTCCTGATGCGTTACCGGGGAGTTCGTTGCTCAAGGGGGCTGTTGGTCGGTAGGTTGTCTTGATGGTCTACTTCATTATCAAATAGCTGATTGATAACATTGATAGGTTGACCAAATAGATCCGATTCATGGCATGTATGTATCAGTTATGGTTATGTTCATGTACATTTAGCTCTTCTTTTTCTTCCATTTGATATCCAATCAATCCTCTCGGATTATGCAATCACTTTTCCTTCACTTTCGACAGTTTACCACTTAATCGATCGCGTATCGTGACCAGTCTGCTCGCCAACCGCGCCTTTAAGCTCAATGCCCGCAAAGCCGGCTCATCTGCAGGCACAAATCGTCGCACCAAAAGATTGAAAATACTTCCAAATCCCAAAGCCATGACAGTGCTAGTCAGAATGATGACGTTATACGGCATACTGAAATCTGGTGTTGGAAGTGACAAGAGCAGCCCTGTTGTTCGTAGGTAGACTGGAGAGCGGCTTTTTTGGTCAAGGATTCTGATTACTGCGGGCGCTACGTTGAACCCCCTATTGGCGTCGGGAGGATATTCGGTGTATCGTAGAATAGCCTTTTCAATATCGTATATAAGAGTGACGGTTGAATCTGCTGGCACTGATAGCACTAGTTCGAGCTGGGTACCTTTCTCTCGATCGATAGCAGGACGATAGTAGATCCCTTTGATGATATCTGAAAAAGGTAGTTGTCGTGAAATACCATCATTTCCAACTACTGTAGCCTGAAGAGTATGGAGATATGGACGCATGAACCAAGGGAGAGATTCAAAGTAGATGAAATCGACACTTTTGACCGTTGAAGGGTTTCTGAAAATCACGCGCAGACCACCCCGTTCTTGTCCGTGTCCAATGATAGTCCGTTCAGCATGTAGCACCCCTTGTTGTAGAGGGACTTTGGCCTTGGCTTCCTCCTCGGGCAGCACGAGGTCAAAGTCAGTAGTCGACGACAAGACAAAGCATCGAGATATGCCACTGCCATCTTTTATCTCCGTCGCACCTGGTGTGGTCAAGACAGTCCGACTGTCTGGTACCTTCAGACACACCGTTTGCGCACCGGGCCCAGCTTCATCAGTTAGAGGACAATGCCCCTTGATGGTACGACCGAAGATCTCGGAAAGAGTCCATCCGACTTCCGACTTTTTCTCCAATGGAAAGCAAGTATCATCAGAGTTGTAAGGTTTTGTTGGGTCACAAACCAGTTCTTCAGTCGGAACAGGGCGTGGGATAGGATTATCTTTTAGGCAGTTAGCATATAATAAACCACTTCTATTTTCAAGAACACGTACCACGAGGGCGCTTGGATCGGTCAATATCCAAAACCATATCAACACCCTGTTCTATTTCAATCAAACATTCCCCACCTTCCGCTGGACATATTGGTCTAATGTCAATAGACATGCTCTGCCAGGAAGCATCAAATAATTTATGTCCATCAAAAAGACTAGAAATTCCCGCCTTTCCTTTGCATGGAAGCATTTTTAGAAAAGGGGTAAGATTCTCCGTACAAACTACCTCGCCAGGTAGTGTTCCATGGAGTAAATATAGCTGATCGGACGTCGGATGGTCTCCCAGAGGCTCAAATGAGACGACAGGGCTTGTAGTGCGTGTGGAGTCGATAAAATTCATAGAAGCGCAGAACAAACCGGAGAGAGATTGAGTTAAGGATATCCAATGCGCAAAGGCTCTACACGTTCACAAGTTAGTCCCAGCTTCGCCCCAGTCTGGACTCGTGACGCACTCTTCTTGAGACTCAGAGTCAATCCATGCCCATAATTCAACACCTGTCGCGCCCTCCTTATAACCGTCCGACGGTCTAGCTCCCCAGCTCTCATCGTCCCACCGGCCGGTCGTAAAACGGACATGCAGCTCCTTCGTCCTTGTATGTTGCAATATCTGCCCCAGAGAACGCGGGAAATATCGAAAATGCTGATTTTCAAAACCTGATATTGACGAATTACTGCGAAAGTTGAACGAGGCAAGTAGCGATGAGGTTGGGAGTGGTTGTAGAGTGAGTCGTTCGTGGTAGTCTGTGCCTGCCAGACAAGTGACGAGGAACGCCGTGAGGGCGGCGAGAGAAAGGAAAGGACTCTTCATTCCGACATGACAGACTAGCGACTGAGTCAATATTGTTTCAGGTAGAGTTGCCTATATCTGTAGCAGGGTCAATTGTCCATCGAGTTGTTGAGCGACCTGGGCGATGTTGTCTGTGTTTATTTTAAGGGTGAAGCTGTTGACCTACCCTTGGAACATCCGCTTCCAAGAATCTGGGGCAGTAGGGCTGGCATCTCCCTCCACGATCTACACTTTACGATGCAGAATCTATCACTGCATATCACATGGATTTATATGACTTGAACTAAAACCAACATTTCAAATAATAGAAATACTACAGTTGCACTTAGTACACAGCAAATACTGAATATCAAAGAGAGCTAGCTTCATGGAACTTCCTGATTGGCCAGTGCAGGCTGGCCGCCACTAGCGTCAAAAATGTTGTTGGTATATCTACGTCTAGGTCGCTAGCACTTGATTCGTAGAACAGCTAATCCAACAAGCTGATGAGCTTACTCTGTATATTATTCTAGTTTCTAATAACATGACTACTCTCCAAGAACTAGGGGGTTGGGGTGGTGAGGTGTAGTTATCCTTCTTACGTGGTTAGCGCACGGATAATAGTTATCCCATGCCGGAGCCAGAGCGGTTCCTAGTTAGGATGATTGAGATACCAACAGGTGTATATATCGACCGACGTGCCCTTTCACGCTTTCAGTACTGGCTTAATCATCCTGTCACTCATTCGCAGCCGGGAAGGAGTTTATCGCCAGAGTGGGCGCTATTTTGTGGAATACAGAAGCACCAAGTCAGCTTACACAATATACTAAGCCTGCTTCAAAATGGCAGCAGAGCAGAGGAAGTTGCTGGAACAGCTCATGGGAGGTAGGTTAAACGCCAGGCTTATCCTTTCTCTTCGAAAAGGTCTAGAAATTGTACTAATATTGTATTCCAACAGCAGACCAGCTCTCTAGCAGCTTACAAGTCACCATCACAGACCCCAAGGTCTGTCGTTCATACCTCGTCGGTACATGCCCCCACGACCAATTTACCAACACCAAACAAGACCTGGGACCCTGTCCCAAAATCCACAGTGAAGGACTAAAAGCAGAATATGAAGCTGCGCCGGCAAGCGAGAAAGCGAAATGGGGTTTCGAATACGATTATATGCGCGACATGCAGAAATATATCGATGAATGCGATAGGCGTATTGATGCTGCGCAACGACGGCTTGAGAAGACGCCAGATGAGATTAGGCAGACGAATAATATGGTATGGTTTACTCCATTTTTTAAAACGTCTTTCGCGTTCGTCAACTAAATTTGACTGCGTCTAGTTGAAACAAATCTCCGAACTGACAAAAACAATCAACTCCGGCCTACTCGAAGTCTCCGTTCTAGGCGAAACGGGCTCTGTCTCCCTCGCAATGAACGAACTTTTCAAAGTTCGCACTGCAAAACACCAAAAGGAAACGTGCGAGCGTGATCTGAGGGATTTATCAGATACATCCGGTCCGTCGGGACATCAGAAGCTGCAAGTTTGCGACGTCTGTGGCGCATATCTCAGTCGTCTTGATAATGATCGTCGATTGGCGGATCACTTTTATGGGAAAATGCATATGGGGTATTCGGATATGAGGAGGACGTATAAGAAACTTAGCGAGGAGTTGAAGGGGAGACCGCCACCGGCGAGACATGATGATGGTTATGGTGATGAAGGGGGTTGGAGTGGTCGTGGCGGCGGTGGTGGTAGAGGGTATGGACGGTCTGGTGGTGGAGGAGGTGGTTATAGGAAGAAAGGTGGCGGCGGTTATGGAGGTAGATGGTAATGTCAAGTCTTTTTTTCGGATTTTATAAGTTCCTTTTTCTATTGAGATGGCTTTTACAGTCGCATAGCGCAGGCGTTGGCAAATTCGATGTTAATTATACCTATCACTTCTTGTGTCTTCCGAGCTTTTCCTTGAACAGTATCTTATAGACCACTTCCTTTTAGGTAGTTAGGTACAACTGTAGTCAAGTACAAATGATTCAATGTGCTATACACATTATTCATAACCTGCGCAGCCCAGCAACATCGCATAATGTGTAAGGAAAGCAGACTAAAGAAACGACCTCATTGACAAGGAAGACCAAGAGTCAAAACATAAGGAAAAGAAGATTGAAGACATGAGAATTTGAATAGGGATATCATACTCAGACTTTCATCGCTAGCAAACAAAGCAAAAAGCGTTAAGCATCAGATAATAGCATTCCCGCCTGTTAAAAAAAAGAACCTCTCTAGTCATCGCCCGGATACTCCTGCTTATTGCCACACTCATACTCCAGATGGCTGACCGTTCCGAGTTGTTGAGGTATACTGCTGGATAGCATTCATCAAAACAGGATAGTCATTTGCAGCCGCCGGATTTCGAGTGATTATTTCTCGGACAATGTTCAATTGCGCAACGTCTGCCGAGGGTGCTTTTTGTAAAAGCTCTTGGATTGCAGGCGCATTCGCTTGAGGACCAAGCACATGAGCCGCAGCGGCAGGTCCAACTAGTAAAGGTTGCTGGGAAGGAAACGCCGTTGGTATTTGTTTCTGCTGTGGCGGCTGAATTTGAGAACTTGGAACATTTGGGATTTGCTGTGGAGGTAATTGAGGAACAGGGTGGCCATTCCCATTCAAAGGCGGTGATCCGGCAAAATTACCGGATGGAGTCGTCTGTGAGCCCTGTCGTGATCCTGGTGTAGGAGAAGCGAATTGCTGCTGCTGCTGATGACCTTGAGTAAAAGGTGTAGTACCCAGAGGGCTAGCAATGGCCATCTGTGCTGCCTGACCAGAATGGTAAGGTGTTGCTTGTTCTGAAGGTGTAGACTCCTTGGTTTTCACTACAAAAGCCATGAGCAATACTCGATCGGGGGTCGGGTCTTCGAGCGTATTATTCTCCAACAACTGAATGAACTCAGGCTTTCCGCTTGATCCGGCCTCGACTGGAATCACGTAAATGTCTTTGACCGCTGCTAACGGATGCTTACCCACCACGCCGTACCTTTTCCGTTCTGTGAAATAGTTGAATAACTTATCAAATCCTGCACGGTCATTCGGTTGATGAGGAGCGGATATCGCCATTACGGTCACATCAGTTGAATTGCTGAATCGCAAACCACAGAGATAGTCGCTAGCGAGCTCGATATCAATTCGGCCATCCACCACAAGAGACGTAGGTGCTAACCGACTCCAAGGTATCTTGCCGCTGAGATCCGCACCAGCAATATGCCTACCGACCGATCTAAACTCCGCAATGGCGCTCATGCTTAGCTTGCCAAACCAGATATCACTTCCAGCATGGAGATCTTTTGGTGAGTAGGGAGGGGATTCTACATCCTCGTCTTTTAATAGCTTGTCAATTTCTTCGTCGGCTTGAACTTTTGCACCTACAGGTAGAGGCTGGTGTAAATGAGCAGGTACCTCGGGAAACAGGCCATCCTGAGTTGGAAATCCGGGAGAGTGGGAACGGTTGGCATCGCCGTTCGATACAACGTGCGTTTCAACTGAAGGCTTTCCTGTGGGTTCGGCTGATGGCTGTGACACCTTCGAGCCAGTCGGGCTCTCAGGGATAGCATTCTCGGCATCAAGAGTAGGACGACGTACAGCAGTAGATGAAAATATTGACTCGGATGTCCCTGTTTCGCCATCACCTTCGATAACCTCCTCGCCCTTGTGCGTACGTCTGATCCGTGGCCCTTGTTCCTGCATGATAATGTGCTGCTTTTCTGCCGCCCTCTTTATTTCTGCATCTTTCTGCTGTTGCTCCTCGCTGGCCATATCTTGAGAGGACATCGTGGCAAGTGTAGAAGGAGCAAGACTTCCACTGAGTAGCCGGTCCCGTAGCGAAGAATTGGCCTTTACATTAAACATGATCGAACGCAGCTGGTTTTTGTAGGCGTCGTTCGGCTCCCCAGATCCACCACATAGATTCACATACATCGCGTGTTCAACAGAGAGACCCAGAGGACGGGCAACATCTTCCTCCGTCTTTTCGGGTGGAACACTGTAAGCAGCTTGCTTCTGGGCTGAGGTCACCTGCTCTTTGAATATACCAACCAAGGCATCTGCGGCTCTTCTGCGAGCTGCACTACTGATATCTTCAGGCTTCTCAGCCACCCCAGTCCGTAACTCGATTATGCTAGGCTTTTGCGACTCGGAAGGGGAGGCCTTGGCCGTTTTATCAACGGACTTCCTCGGTTCTGATAGTCGTTGCTGTTTTTGTTTAGGGCCCTGTGCACGTAAATTAGTTGCTGAAGTATGTAATGTGCTTCCACTACCGGGACTACTCACAGCTTCTGGCGTAAATGGCTCTTGGTGTTCGTCGAACTTTCGCTTTTGAGTACTGACACCCTTTGCGTTGGTGGTTGTCTCACTAGGAGCAGGAGCAGGAGCAGGAGTCTTGTCATCGACCGAAGGCCTGGATACGGATGGCGCAGCAGGTGTTTCTGACGCAGCAGGTGTTGACGGCGCACTAGTCTCGGGTTTAATATCGCTGGGTCTCGCACCACCCTTCTTGCCTTTCTTGCCCTTTTTCCGTTTCGCAGCCTTTTTTTCTTCTATCTCCTGCTGTCGTCGTCGGGCAGCTTCTTCCCATGGTTTCTCACCCCGCGCCATCTTCTCCAAGAGTTCCCGGTGATTTTCGGGTTTGCACTGTTCGCAATAGTATTCTTCAGGCTCCTCACCCTTAGCAAAGGTCAAACCCATGCAGTCATTGTGCTGCCATGCCGAGCACTGATCGCAGCAGATCATATCTCTCTCAATATCCTCTTCCTCCTCATATTCGCCACATATACATCGAATGATTTCCTCTTCGTTTCCTTCGCTTGGAGTCGGGGTGGGCTCGACAGAGGGCTTTGCGGACTTCTCCTTGGACTGACCCTTTTTGCCTTTCTTTGCGGGAATGTCTTGAACGAGCTCAAGATTCTTGTGCTGGCCTTTGGTGGCTCGCCCCGATCTTCGTGGTTCGTCTGTTTGAATGGTTGTTAGCATGAGTTTGGGAATGCGCCAGGTAGATGATATTTCAATTGCTTGAACGTTTAGTTTGCTGGCACGAAGCCATCGCATGGGCATGCTTACCGGCCATGATTAATATATCCTTGGAAGAAGAATAAGTGGTAATTCTACATATAAAAAGACGTTCTTGGTAGCCCTAGTAACTCAAATACCATAGCTGACCCGTGCGTCTACGACATCAAGTGGCTAAATAATACAAGCCGCAATCTTAATTGTGTAAAAGCACCTCCAGCTCTCGGGCAACTACTGAAACCACACCTGTTCGTTGTGCGATGACCACGCGTGGTATAATGCAATCTGTCCTTCGGGTCGCTGTACTGTCGCGCAATGAAGGCTTGGCACCTTCTGACCGGTATTATCGCTATGTATGCTCGGCGCCCGAATGCACAACTAGACTCGGCTCTTATTCAGCGCAAATTGACAGATAATCGTACGTAGTGTTAAATTCGAATGTCTGGATAAAGTTGAATGTGGCGTGGTAGATGAGGGTTGTGAGTTGTGATAGAAGAGAGTTGAAGACGTTGGGATCCGATTTGCAAGCGCGAAGTTATGAAGACAGACTAGCGCTAGGATCACGTGATAGAACCCGGAACTAGAGGTCTTGGCATGCACTGCCACAGGTTCTCCTTACACGCGCCACATCTCGTCATCGCGGTCTTCTCTTTTAGTTAACAGACTCTCAGCTCTTATTGCAATTCCCACAGTCGGACCATCGAATCTCTACTATTATGAACAAGGATTCAAATTGCGAGTACCAAGCATGACTGATATTAGATCTATGCTTCGAAGCGAGCTCGCGTTGCGAGGATCAGCTGCGCAGACTGGAAGCACTGGGAGGGTTACAAAGAAGCGCAAGATAGAAGGACCTGATACTATTCGCCCTGCGCACAAGAAGTTGCGGCCTACGACACCTGCCTATAACGATGTTTCGGAAATGGACGATAATCAGCAAATTGAATCAGCGAACACAAATCAAGGGATACCAGAGGAAGACGAAGAAGACATCGCGCAAAGTGAGGAAGCAGGGCCTCATCTTCCCGAAGACGAGCTTTCACAACAGCGCGCAGTCAGCCCTAATCAACAAAACAATACGATAAAAAGCAGCATGGCAGAAGTATCTGCATCCAATCAAAGTATTGACGAAAACGAATGGGCAGCTTTCGAGCGAGAGGTTGTCGCACCCACGCGCACTATCCCTGCAGCCGCAGTATCATCAGTGGCCACGATCTCAGCTGCCCCAGTAACCGCCGAAGAGCTTGCTGCTCAACAACAGAAACAAAAGGAAGAACAAGCCAAAGCACATGAAGAAGACATTGAAGGAGAAAAGGAAGACGCCGCCAGACATCTAGAAGAAGAGTTTGAGGAGATGGAACAACTAGAGGAGCGGGTTAAGAGGTTAAAGGCGAAAAGAGAAGAATTAAGAGCCCGAAACATGGTGGACAGTAATGATACGACAATTGATGATCACGAAAATACGCTGCAGGACGGCGAAGGGAGTGAAGACGACGATGAGGGTGATGATGATTGGGACGACTGGAGATTTCGGTAGTAATGTTGCATGTCTACGAAATTCAAGTGCAAAGTTCAGATGATACCTCCGCAATTGCCAGCATTTGGTCTACTACACTTCTATAGGTAATGACTTAATTGAAGCTCACTGTATGATAACCAGGAAGTTAGTTGTAGTACCCAGGTATGAAATATTCTTCTAATGCGATGGGTAGATATTCTAAATCACTGGTCCGTATTAGTCATGGCTTCATCTTCGCCAGTCTTGAAGTAACTCCTCAGACCGTCCTTGCCCCTGATTTGCATAGCTTCCTGAATCTCGGCAGCTTCCTGTTCTAAAAGCTTCTTGCCGTGAATTAGCCCTCCCTTTAGACGTCGTTTCTCTTCCTCGACACGACGCTCTCTCTCAGCCAGGGCATTTTCCCTTCGATCTCGCTCCAGCCGTTTCTGCTCCCGCTCTCGCTGTTCCTGGGCTGATAGAGCAGAGGTTTCTTCTTCAGGAGCAGGTGGGAGGGTAGAGATGTATGCTTCTATTAATGGGTCGCGGATCTTGGGCGGTAAGGAAATATAGCGTAGGTCGGTCAAAACCGCCGGAGGAAGAGCCTCTATATTCGTGGAGTTGTTCAGATCCCGAGGAGGAATCGACTTGAGTAAGGCCGACAAGTCTGATTTCCTAGTGCTTTCGCTGAGTTTCAGACGTGCAATATGATCGCGATAAAGCTTCTCACGATCCTTGTCTGACATCTTCGTGTTCTTCATCTCATCCTCCTTTCGATATTTGCGCTTAAATTCTGGCCAATATAGTTTTGGCGTGGCATATTCTTGAAGGAAAGCGATATATTTGATCCGCGGGTCTTTCTTCTCCTCCTTTTCCTTGCGTGCCTTAATTTCCTGTATGCGCTGACGGCTCCAGGATGCGAACGCTTCCCGCCGTGCTTTCATGTTCGATAATACAGTGTACCTGGTGTCGTTAATAATGCGACCTTCCTCCAGAACTTTTTCCCAGGTAGTAAACGGATTAATATGGTAGTCATCGAGTAGATCGCTGAACAGGGCAGTCGCTTCTTCATCGGTCAAAGAAAGCCCTTCCACGCCTTCTTCCCAACCTTCCTCACCAGGTTCTCCGTATTCGCCGGGATCTAAGCCATAATCCTCGCCCATCGCTGCAAGCTGATAATCAATGTCTTCTTCATTGAACTCCAATGGTCGATCGGCGTCGGCTTGCTCATCTTTCACCCGTGGTCGCTTGTTAGCTTGTTCCTCACCCTCTTCATCATCGGTCACCTCTACTTCTTCGTATTCGTCGCTATCCGCTTCATCTGGCGCTGCTTCCACAGAAGCTTCCTGTGATTGAATTTTCTTCTCTCCTTCATCTTGCTTGCCTGTCTCGGGTGACTCTTGACTTTTGTCATCGTGAATTTGTACTTCTTGTTTCTTCTCCCTTTCTAAACGGTCAAATTCCACCACACCCTTCAATACATGTTCCGGAAACCTCCAATAACTTTCCTTCGTTTCTGGATTATGTACAAAGCGCCGTCCATATCTGGTCTTCACAAGCAGCCACGGGGCACATCCAGGAATACTGTGTTTAGATTTTGGGCGATCACTGGGTTCCCGATGCCTCCGATTTCCATGGCCCCTGCTGCTATCGTGCCCTGTGCGATACTGCTGGTATGTGTTGTTCGGAGTGAACCTGTCCGACTGCGCTGTCCCAGCAGTAGGTCCATAAGGAGTTGAAGAAAAAGGAGGAAGGTTCTCTGGAGTATAGCTCGTTTGCGCCAAAGTAGGATCTATTGGTTGGGCGGTGGAAACGGGGGCTGCTGTAGGGCGTTTGTAGGTAGATTGCTTGGTTGCTGCATTATAATAGTACAGATGGCCTGCGCAGAAAATTAGATCGACCTTGTGGAATGGTAATCCGAGTTTATAGGTAATCAAGCTTACCTGATGGAGCTTTATGCTCTGTCCACCCCGGTGGAAGCGGAGGTGGAGGTCTATAAGTAGACTTTAACATGGTTGTTTGGATAGCGGTGAAGAGACGAGAACAGCTTTTAGCGGCACTTATAAAGAGCAATGACCAACTTGTCAAAGGATAGTTCCTACGTCGACAATGTGCTCGTATCGAGTCGTTATTCGAGAGAAGTTCTTTTGCATCATTCGATTTTGATGCGGGAAAGCTGATCTGCGGAGTGGCCCGAGCTTGGCGAACGCGAGTTGCCTAGTCCTCCGGGAGCTTAACAGCTACCACCGCTTTCTACATTTTAAACACCCTTCATCCATCAAAACAGCACAGCGCTGGGTATAATCCAGAAGTTATTCATCAAAGATAATACTTTTGCATTGAGCGGCCTCTACAATCTTTTCGAGATATCCCTGCTACCTTCAACAGAATGTCAAGACGTTACGATTCCCGGGTGAGCATCATTAGCTGTAATGCCTTGATCGTTGCTGACAATGACATGCTCCATAGACTACGATCTTCTCACCTGAGGGACGACTTTATCAGGTTGAATATGCCCTTGAAGCTATCTCTCACGCCGGCACAGCCATCGGAATTCTAGCCCAAGATGGAATCGTTCTCGCTGCTGAGAGGAAGGTGACGAGCAAGCTTCTGGAGCAGGACACGTCCGCGGAGAAGCTCTATATCCTTAACGAGTGAGCGATAACAACCAAATCAAGGATTTGTAGGAATATAGTTAACAAACCTCATCGTATAGTAACATGATTTGCGCTGTCGCCGGGATGACTGCCGATGCTAACATTCTCATCAACTATGCCCGCCAGGCTGCTCAACAATACCTTTTAACATACAACGAAGAGATACCATGTGAACAACTTGTTCGTCGTCTATGTGATTTGAAGCAGGGATACACGCAGCACGGTGGTCTAAGACCGTTTGGTGTCTCCTTCATCTACGCTGGCTACGACCAACTCCGGCAATTCCAACTTTACCAGAGCAACCCTAGTGGTAACTACGGTGGCTGGAAAGCAACAAGTGTTGGTGCCAACAATGCGGCTGCTCAGAGTCTCTTGAAGCAGGACTATAAGGAGGAGTGTGATCTCAAGGAGGCTTGTGCTCTAGCTGTGAAAGTCTTGAGCAAGACGATGGACTCTACGAAGTTGAGCAGCGAGAAAAGTAAGCCCTTTTTCAAATACTTACAGGTCGACGCTGTACTAACAATGAATTACCAGTCGAATTCGCAACCGTTGGAAAGACCAAGGACGGAAAGATCTACCATCATCTCTGGGGCGCTGACGAGATTAATGCATTGTTGAGACAGCATGGACTGGCCAAGGAAGAAGAGACCGAATCCTAGTTGTTAATAGAGATGTTTTCATAATTTCTACAGAAATAAAGACATCGAATGACGTATTGACTGATGGCGTATGAAAATCACTCACAATTGCGGCTTGTTGGTAGGGTTGATACCCATTGCAAGCCCATTTTATCTGACGTTTCTACAAGAAAACAGCATCACTTCTCTCTGAATTGTGACGTGGCAGACAGCAAGTGCCGTGAAAAGCGCCGTGTATTACCGATAGGTCTCTGTACCTTGTAAATATGTGGCCCTACCTGAAATCCACGCTGTCCAGTACTCATTCACCCCAGCCAGGAAGTTCCACGTCAACTGATAGCGTGTCTTTCCACATGGGTCACTCGATCAACATACTAAGTCCATCGCTCTGTCATTTCAAACACATGTACGAAGGCCCTTTCATAAATAACTATCATTGCTCCCGGACTGACACTTCGGAGAACTCAGCCTGCTGTTTGCGATATCTTTCAGCGTGAGACAAGCGTTCCGAGGGACTGTATTCATTTCAACAGTTCGATGAACAGAAGCAGTGCCTGGGCTAAGGAATGAAATAATTCAGCAGAACGAATTTGGAAAGTATTTTTGTTGTTTTGAACTCAAGCACGTGATATGGAGTGATAATCCTCACGTGTCTAAGGACGAAGCTGTTATGATCCCCACCACCAAACAAGCGGCCCGCCTTTCGACCTCTCCTTCTTTCCCCGCGTTGATGTTGCACACTCACTCCGTCGTCTCAATTCCCTCCCTTGCCGGCCATCTTCGAGACGGATAGATGACCAGAAGCTTTTAGGCCTGATAAACCAGATCCTATGGATTTAGCCGCCGACTTTTCTTAATGTCGGACATTTGTGGTGCCGTCGATACTGATCGCCCCGCTTGTGGTTGGGAGGGCGCTTACAAGCAACGAGTCTGAGAACGAGGAGCCGCCGAATATACTCAAACATGTCACAAAAAAGTATTCATTGGAAAGGACTGACTGTGTGATTATGATGTTACAAGAAAAAAATCTTCAGATACAGGAAAATCCATCCCCCGTCACCGAAGCTTTAACCCGGGTCTCGCTGGTGACCTCGCCAGCTGTGGTTAATGATCCAACGTTTCGGCGACGGCGGAGCAAAAGTACAATGGCAAAAGACTCCGATAGCATAGATACGAAACCAAACACAGGTATTAATTCAGAAAAGCGCCCAATCATCACTCGCATACGCCAGTGTGTCCACAAGGTCAATTACCCCTGGGAATGAACCATCCAGTGCCAACCGCTCTATTGTTCATGACAGAGCCTTTCTCTTACAGTCCCGCTCTGTCTGAAGTTGGTAGATCTCCTTCTCAAGGTCACTGACCAGTTGTTGTGAGCGGCTCATTGTAGCTACCAGGCTACCTCCCTCACGTCTCCAACGGTCCAATCGTTCCAGCTCTTGGCTGCGGCGACGAAACTTGGTTTCGATCTTCTCACAAAGCCGACACTGCTTTGATTCATATTCGGTGAAGTTCACCAGTCTCATGCCACATGTCTCGCCGGTTCGGTACTCATAATTGCACTGGTGGGCAAAGCTTGTCCAGTTCCAGTCTCCACAAGCGAACTTTTTCTGGTTGTAAAAGCACATTTCTTGATTACTTTGTCAACATTGGGACCGGTTTCATATATACATCTCACTTACTCGGCACTTGGAGAGGGAATGTAAGGTTTCTTCAGACTTTTTGAGGTTCGATTCGCCAATGAACGTCTCGGTCCCTCCCACGTATTGAAACAAGAAGGGGTTATTTAAAAACAATTAAGACAAATATTATGTGTTTGTCGTCTCAGACTCTTGGTTCCTTGGGAAGGGGTTGATATTTGATTTGTGATTGAATCCTCGACTGATGATTTTCTGAGACTGATTCTTGATGATGACCTCGTCAGCACAGAAACTGGGGAGCGGTTTGCCATATTTATGTTTCAGGAGAATGGCTCAGAATATGTGAAGTGGGATTCTACTTGTTTTTCCCTTTCTCGACGGACGCGTTTCCGCCGTATACGTGCTGCATTCGATGACTGTCACTTCGTCGTGCAATGACTGCTACTCATGTCTTGGTCTAGTGCACTGATAGTGGACGCGTCACAACGCTTCGACCCCGAATGGTATCTAGAATGCTATCGTCGTCTCACCGATGGCCTAGTCTATGCATGCTCGGAAACCTTGGATGCTATCTCGTCCACTCTTTTGTTGTCTCTGCATCCGAATACCCCTCAGTTCATGGCAACTATTTGGTCCTCGGAGGTGATGAGACCGTTGTATCGTCAAGTCAATTGGCGTGACATTTTTCTGATCCTTTGATTCAATAATTGCCATCGACGGATCCTTGTCATGGTGGCATGACAATGCACACGCTAAGGCCTTAGGAGACACAACCCAACCTACTTCTCCTCTTCGTGAACTCTGTTCCCCGATAAACAATAACCAATTGGCAACTTTGGGCCTCGATGCTACTGGCTATTCTTCTCGTCCTTCGAGATTTTTTGTTTTTGAAGTTACGCAAATATGCAAACAGAGCAATACTCCACCGCTCCTCTTTAGAGTTTCTTACCTGATTTGCCTCTTGCTCAAAGAGGCAAGTATACTGCACAATGCTGCAAGTTGCGAGCTAGGGCTTAGATCCCGTTGACAATCAGAAGCTCATTTCCAATCGATCCTGACGACTTCTGCTAAAACGCGTACCAACCTTCCTCGACCGGTGATATCAACACCGGCCTTTTTTGGCCCATGCATACGATCCGCGTTCTGGATAAAGTGATAGCAATTGCATCTACCTCCAATCAAAGAATGTGACGAACAGCGTGCCCGCCCTATGCGGTCATCATTAGCAGCTTCATTTGCCATCGCATCCGAGGTCATACCCATGCCCGTTGCTTTAGTCTCCTTGGTTCCGGTCAAACTATTGACTTGGTGACTCAACATCACTCCTCACTGCGTACCACCATTGATCAATGGCCAATGATGGAACCTTGAGACATCCCTACCCAGACGTGGCAGGCAAATTCTTTCAGCTGATCAGCGACAGATGCACTTGGATTGTCTCGCATTGACTTTTACTCAGGTGCACGGCCTTGCTTTTGCTTAGGAAACCGGATGACTCGGGTTTATGCGGTCATCCAGCCTTTCTGTCTTGATAAATGGCGTTCATTTACATGCAACTGCACTACAGCTTCCATGTTCTCTGACGTGGCAGGTTGCGTCTGGTCCAGGACGCATGGTTGCAAACCTCTCAAATGTGTCTCCATCGAATGCGGCGAGAGTTGGGTCGCCATACTATTATCGAGTAGGTAGAGGAGTAACCTGCCACATCATACTGTGCTTCGGAGCAAAAATTCTGTCCCCGCTTGCTGTGAATATGCCAATCCCTTCACTAAAGTATGATTGTTATTGTTTCTCATCGCCTAACCTGAAACTCTTTCAAGCCCGAGATTACCATGAGGTTTTTTTCATTGGCCACAGTCTTGTTTATCTATGCAAGGCGAGGTCGTCAATGTCGCAAAAAAGACGAATTTTGACGGGCATGTACGCGAAGATGGACACTCCACTCGCAGTCCGACATATGCATGAATTTGCCACAACAGTTGGGGTTATGACCTTCTGGTTATTCTCAAAATTGCGTCTGTTATGCTGCTAGTCTGACCTTCTTTACGCTTTGTTCTGGGCTTCCTCGATGGCATTTAGACAGCAGTTGATAACAATTCCCACTATGGAACTCATTATGTCGAACTCGCGCAATATGAAGAACGTTGGATTTGAATTTCGACTCCACATGCACCTCTCCCAAGTCTCTGGATATTTTTGATTCTCGTGATCGAAGCATAACGGGACTTCCCGCTCTTCCGCATACTAGACAATTACAAGGGACAAATAAGGTCGCATAAGAGAGCTTCCTTTTCATTAAGGTGCTAGTGCATCCGCATTATCAGCGTTGTATGAGCAGGGATTGGTTTCCAGCTCATGCTGCATGCATGCTTTCGCCCCATCCAATGGATTAGCTCTATGATTGACGCGCTAATTTAGGGTATACAGCCTTCCAATCTACCCGGGTTCATGGAAATTGTTGATATGCACTGAATCAATCGTTCAATGATCTGAAGCCTAGGTGGTCAGACTACTTCACCGCTCCTTATAATCAGATTCTACTAATTGACTCATCGATTGTTTACACACCAAGATCTTGTTTATTTCAAGGAGGCTGAGTTATGAACAAGAGACTTGGGTTACGTGTCATGGGTCTCGGGCTATGGGCACGACCTTCGATACGACCTGCAACAAACAGCCTCGACCATGCAGACCTTACCCGGTACGCATCGGCTATGTAACGTGAAGATCTCTCCATGGCCATGTATCCGCCAACAGGACAATAGGCATGCTTGTGCAGCTTCTGGCAAGCACATGATGTCCGTCTACTGCATTGTTGAGAGATCGGAGTCTGAGTTGTCATTGCCTGCCAAACCATGGAGCTGCAAGGTGAATAGTATCAGTCAACAGCATAATGCATATGGCTATCACGTATTCAGATAATACTTCTACATGTTTCTCTTTTTTGCGCATGGACCTCTGCTCTACGCCATACTAATCACCGAAGCAAATCGCGCCTTTCATCTATGAGAGCGTATCTCAGGTGATGTTGAGCCTCATTTTGTTCACGAAGATACGTTTGCGTCTTCAATAGAGTGACGTGGCAAGAAGCTGACTCATTCTGGGCTATTTCATTGTTTCGCAAATGTGTTCATCTGCAGATATCTCACAGAAAGGATGAAGATGCATAGCCATCTTTGAATGCACTCTGCCCTAAGTGCAGCCAAGCTCTTTGTCAGACTAATGTTGCTCGATAGTGTGATAGCAAGTACACACTGCAATATGCTAACGAATTGTGAAGCATGAATTACGCTGCTCGTCTTCTGGCTATGTACTGCGTAGTTACTCGAAGGGTGAGCCTCTAGGGTTAATTCCCAACCGGTGCTAGTCCATCTCAGGTACGACATACTCTGCCAAGCCTTTATTGAAGCCTGAAATTTCAGGTGACGGCCGCTTTTGTTTAGAGCAGCTATGACGTCAATATGACAATGTCCGCTGATAGTAATCCATGATGATCATTTTCTTCCTTAAAAAAAGCATATAATTACAGGTTCATAACTTCCTTATCACTCCTACCAAGGCAAATTAAATCCAAATCGACTCAATTGAGCCCATCATGCATTCTGCACTTCGCCAAAAAGCCCTACTTAACAACGCCGAACTCGTACTCAAACGAGCTCTGCCAAACCAAAATGTGACGATCACATATGCGACAACAGCTGCGTCGCAACTTGCACCACCATCACGTCGAAACATTCAGACAACCTCAATGCTTTGGACAGCCCAACACGAGCAGAATGCAGATCGTCTAATCAGCCGGGAATCTCTCAACCCTTCAAGGGCAGAAAGTACAGGCACTGGCACGGATGACGAGGTAGCCAGCCACGATGCATCCTTTGATCCGCACAATACGGCGCCCGAGTCTGAGATTGAGGCTACTGGTAGAGAGTCTGAGGCACGGAAGGATACGAGCAATCCACTTGATGTCAGTCCCGGTAATATAGAAGTTAACAAGACTCGCGATCCTTCAAAGGATCCTCCGGAGAGCGGTGCGGATAGGCCTGCAAGTTCTAGAGGGTGGACTCGGAAGAGCAAGCCAGTGAATCAAGATAAATGATTGGATAGGAAGTGGAAGACTCGCAAATTGCATGAAATCGGCGTTCAATCTGCCTTCTACGTTGGTAATCGGTCAAGATTTCGTTGTCTCGAAATTTGATTGCGAATTCATATCATTATACTGTACTGTTAGTTGACTACATTTCAATATACATGGAGCTCAAGTATGTATTGAGACAATCAAATGTCATATTTGATATCACAAAAACGAAAACGGTTGTATCCACGATCACTCCTCCCGTGCTAAACGGATAATTTCAGCCTGGTCGACAATCCAAACCTTCTCACTTTCGGCAGGAGCCTCCCCAGCAAGAGACTTCAGTCCAGCAGCTAAACTAGCCTTTGAAATAGCATCCGCATCCTGCGCCCACCCATCCTTAAGCGACGAATGTATCTTGCCGACTGAAGTAGCAAGAAACCGCATAACTGCCTCCGCCGGGCGGCTCTCCCCCCGCTCACCAACAATAATACCCGGTCGTACAAATACCGTATGCTCAAATCCTAACTGCTTCGCAGCTTCTTCAATCTGACCTTTTAACTTCAGATACGGCACCATAGACGCCGAATTCGCGCCGTTGCTTGAAATGAGAACGTACACTTTTGCGCCTGCGTCACGAGCTGCTTTGGCACATTCGATGTTGGTATCGAGTTCGAGCTTGGATTGATTTTCGAGCCCACCGGCTTGGCTCCGGGTTGTGCCTAATGCTGAGAAGAAGATCGTGGGCGGAGGAGATAGTTGAGATATTTTACTCGGCCAGCTAGAAGTGTCGGTTTCGATGACTGTGGTCAGTTTGACATTGGGACTTGATTCAGCAGCTGAAGGTGTTCTGCGTGATATTGTGTCAACTCGGGCCACAGATGAATGAGTCAGTAGGTTAGTCAATATATGTGAGCCCTAAGAGGTACAAAGAAATGAGGTCAGATTTATGTTCAGGCTGGAGTTTTGTATGGACAGATCTTACCACTAATCCGGTTGACCCCAGCAGGGCAACTCCAATTGCGTTGTTAGCCATTTATATGAATAAAATTGCAGCAGGTATTGTGACTGTTAGAAATGTCAATGTTTTGAGGGCTGTTGTGCTGCTTTATATTGTCGTCGTCTCATGAGGTCAGTTTCAAGATTCCAAATGGGTATAGCGGGTTATGCAGAATAACCCGGCCCCCACTTGTTGATGACTGAGACGAAATGGGTGGCGGCCTGGGGCATCCGGAATTCGGCCGATAAGGACGCTATGCTTATCGATAAGAAATTGCGTGATTGGCGCTAGACCAAACACAGAAGGCATCCCCTGGTGCCCCATTTGGGGAAGTTTTTCTGTTTTTTGTTTCTGGAGAGAGAATCTGATTCTTGTTTCTCTCACTGCTGGCATAGTCAGAATATCTATCTCTGTACTTTTCTGTCTGTCTGCCTTTGCTGCATCGAGATGGGTGGTGTTCCGGAACTGAAGGCCATCTCAGGGCCGACCTACCTCGCTGCTCAGGATCTTATCCAGCAGGTTGCGTACTCTTTCTCGGACAAGATATTCTCATATTCTCCAGAGTCATTCGACCTCGATTCGGCCGTGAAATACTGGGTCTCCAAGAATGAGAAGAACGTGAATGAAGAAGTTACTGGTGTCCAGTCTCTTCAGACTCGTCAGGGCGCTGGTTCAATTGCCCTTGGTTATCTGTTCTCGCGGGACTTTGACTTGAAGAAACGCCATATCCCTCAGGGTATTCTCGCCTCTTCTGCAACTCTAACCTACCTGCGGTCAGCCTTGGAGCAGCTCTCTTTACTCTATGCTGTCGCCAACCCCGTGGTCGCTCATGTCGCGGCTGTCGACTACGCCAATGAACGTTTGGTTTCAGACTATGCTACAGCGTTGAATTTGTCTGAGGACTTGGGCCTCGGTCTAATCGCAAGCTCGTCGGTTCATGAGTCGCAACACATGGCTCTCTTCTCCACATTGGTGGCCAGTTTCATGCCAACCATTCATCTTTATGACGGAGTCCGAGTTGGCCGTGATCACACTCGAGTTATTGATGTCATGGATCAGGCCGGTCTACAGCGCGTTTACCAGGCTGTTCAACAGCAGACTGTTAACGATATCAAGGCAAAGCATTTGGACGACCAGGGCAAAGTGCTGAATGTGTTGCATTCCTTGAACGGAGAATTGGGCACTGACTATGGTTTGTTTGAGTACCACGGTCATAGCGAGCCAACCTCCGTCTTGGTAGTATTCGGCACTGTTGAGGCCTCTTTAACTTCACAGATTGCCGGCTCTTTGAGCAAGCGTGATTCTCGCGTTGGTGTTGTCAATGTGCGTGTCTACAGACCTTTCGTAGAGGAGGAGTTCCTTCGTGTTCTGCCAAAGACTGTCAAGACTGTGGGTGTCCTGGGCCAAGTCCGTGACGAGCAGTCTGTCCAGGATGAAGGTGTTCATTCAGCCCTGTACGATGACGTCCTCGCAGCTTTGACCTTTGCAACCGATCGCAATGAAAGGCCTGTTTGTCTTGACATCAAATATGACTGCACACATCAATGGACACTCATCAATGCAGCTGCTGCATTCCAACGTGTCTCTGACAAGCCTATCCTCCAAAATGCGAACCAAGCATCACCCTTGCAGCTATTCGAGCAGACTAGTACTCAGGAGTTCACTCTATGGGATTTGGATGATGGCCAGTCCCTCGATGCCGTTGCTTCCTTGACACAGGCTCTTGCCAAAGATCCCGCTGCCAACGTCACAACTAGCACAGTATATGATAATTTGGTGCAGGGTGGCGTAGTTCGTACTGACATTCGGAGAAGTACGAAGATTGTTGATGCACCATATCCGGTTATCACGGCGGATATCGCTTATGTTGGCGATATCAAGATCCTTAACGATGTGGATGTTCTTGCATCTGTCAAGGACCACGGTAAGGTCATCCTGAAGGCGCCTGGTGTTACCAATGAAGATCTCGAGAAGAGGTTGCCTGTTACTTTCCAACAGCAAATCGCCAAGCGTGGTATCGTTCTTTCGCTCCTTGACTCCCCGGAGTCCTCATCTGTTCAGGCTGCTGTTCTGCGTGTCGCTCAAAGTTCTTTCGATGCTCTGAAGATCCAGATTCCCGAGTCTCTTGCTCAAGCAGAGAAAGACCTTGAAACCACTCTACGACCTGCTACAGTTCCAGAATCGTGGCACACAGCAGAAGTTCCTTCTGATGCTCAGGAGCTTCCCAAGGATATTACGTCGACCAGCTTTGTGCCTTTCGACAAGACTGAAGTTGAACCAGCTTCTCTTCTCAAGGACTGGAAGACTGCTGCTCAAGGTCTTGCATTCAAGGAGGCCTTTGGCACCCAAAACTCATTGCGCCCAGACGTCAACACAAAGTCGTTCACGGTTCACGTCAAGGAGAACCGTCGCTTGACACCCGTCACTTACAACCGAAACATTTTCCACATAGAGTTCGACCTCGGCGATTCTGGTCTCAAGTACGACATTGGTGAAGCTCTCGGGGTTCACGCTGAAAATGATCCTGAAGATGTTATGGAGTTCATTAAGTTTTACGGCTTGAACCCAGATGAGGTTGTCGAAGTACCAAACAGAGAAGACGAAAACATCTTGGAGAACCGCACAGTCTACCAAGCGTTGGTTCAAAACGTCGATCTGTTCGGTCGTCCCCCCAAACGATTCTACGAGGCTCTTGCAGAATTTGCCACAGAGGATAAAGAGAAGAAGGAGCTTCTCGCACTCGGTGGACCAGAGGGTGCAGTCGAGTTCAAGAGACGTGCAGAGGTTGACACTGCCACCTATGCTGATATCTTGCTAGAGTTCCGTTCCGCCCACCCTAGCTTCCATGACATTGTGCGCATCGTTAGCCCCATGAAACGCCGTGAGTACTCGATTGCATCTTGCCAAAAAGTAACACCTACCACCGTGGCTTTGATGATCGTTGTCGTCAACTGGGTCGACCCTCGGGGACGCGACCGCTTCGGACAAGCTACTCGTTACCTCAGTCGTCTCCAGCCCGGCGCTCCAGTTACTGTGAGCGTCAAACCAAGTGTGATGAAGTTACCCCCACGCTCCACACAGCCAATCATCATGGCTGGTCTGGGTACAGGTCTCGCGCCTTTCCGCGCGTTCGTCCAACATCGTGCAATGGAAAAGGCGCAGGGCAAGGAAATTGGTTCCGTTCTCCTGTACATGGGATCCCGTCACCAGCGCGAAGAATATTGCTATGGTGAAGAATGGGAGGCTTATCAGGCCGCTGGTGTCATTACACTCTTAGGACGCGCATTCTCTCGTGACCAGCCGCAAAAGATCTATATTCAGGATCGTATGCGCCAAACTCTTCCTGAGATCGTGCAAGCCTATATTCGTGAAGAAGGTGCTTTCTACCTTTGCGGTCCTACCTGGCCAGTTCCTGATGTTACTGAGGTCTTGGAAGAGGCCATTGCCATCGAAGCAAAGGCATCGGGCAAGAAGGTGGAAACTCGTAAGGAGATTGAGAAGTTGAAGGATGAAGAACGATATGTTCTTGAAGTGTACTAGACGATTACGCACTCTGATTCGATTTGTCTTAGGATGGTAACGAAAATTGATAGCGATTGCATGACTAGCATTAGACTTGAATGTTCACTTTAATGTAACTAGAAGATTGGTTCTTTTGGTATATACATGATCTTGATTTCACCCACCTGGACATCAAACCCACTTTTTCAATCGTTCTAAGTATATGTACAAGAAACGAACTCAGAGCATACTCTTTATATAGGATAGACGAAGTATCAATCAAGCACGTCCAGTAGCGCCCAGCTTGGTCTTACCATAGGTTCCACCAAGCTCCTTTCTCATCTCCAATGCGCGCTTATAAGGAGGCGCCGTTGGAGGCTGAACAGGGTCTAAACTAACATATCCTTCCGGTAAAGCATACGACGCATCAGCGTCCCAAGCAGAAAGATCTCCACAAGCGATAAAAGGGGGAATCCAGCGAGATTCGTGCGGTGGGGGATGCGATAGTTGTTCAGCCAATGTGAGTTGATCAAGAGCTAGATGTTGAGTCATATCATCACCATCACCATTAGCCGTAGCAGGGACATACTGCGCAATTCGAGATTGTTGGGGTTTCTCATCGTCATCTGGTATATCGTAACCCACCGTCCCATCTTCATTAGTCTCCTTCGAAACAGCCGCGCCACCAAACATGGGATTCTGAAGCGCATGCGTCGAATCAAAGTCCTCAGGTGGCATAAACCCTTCACAGACAACAAAGGCCTCCAAACTACTTGCCCGACTACTACGCGGCTTAGCGACAGAGACTTTCTCGAATACCGTCCGTAATTGTGCATAGAGTAGATCCACATCTCGGCCGCGGAAGATTTTGGCGACGAATTTGCCGCCTGGGCGGAGGACGCCAATGGTTAGGTTTAAGGCTGCGTAGAGAAGTTGGGATTGTATGTAGATATCTAGGTCGTGGAGGCCAGTGACGTCCGGCGCGCCATCTGAGATGACTAAATCCACTGGGTGAGGGTGCCGAGATGGAAGTTTTGTTGATGTGGTTGTATTGGATTGAGGTGTATCTCGTTTCTCGGATCCTTCTTCATAATATTCAGGATCAAGTGCGCGAAGAAGAAGCGGTATCGTTGATGGATGAGTTATATCTGCCTTCATCATCGTAATTCCTTCCAGCGGCGCCATTGGTTGCAGATCAATTGCGACGATTTTGACATTCTTTCGTGGTTTGAGGATTATAGATTCGTCTTCTGTATCGTCGTCATCCTGTTCTCCTTCCTGTGTATTCTCGCTTTCCTTTCCAACCTTCTCTAACGCCTTCTTGTCTCGACGACGTTTTTCCAGCCATGCTCTTCGTCCGAAACTTTCGCCCTTGATGAGCACACGACTTAAGACTTGACTCCAACTTCCAGGAGCAGCGCAAAGATCAACTACGCGAGTGACGCTGTCAGGGTCTGCGTGCGCGAAAAGGTCGAATTGTTCATCAATCTGGATCAATTTGAATGCTGAGCGAGCTCGCCAGTTCTGCTCTTTGGCTAGCCGGTAATAGGCATCGCGTTTGTCTTTTGATGCTTTTCCCATGTTTTGACTCCCAATGCCGAGTCGCCCGAGAGAATTCTTTTTTCTGATCCTCTATAATTGTTCCTTGCCAGAATTCTTCCTCATTCAAATAAAATAATTGGTGGGGTTGGAAAGATTTGCTGATAAGATTACAGAAGGCGGAGATCGGAGAACCTAAAGAGCGGAGCTAAACTTTTTTTTCTGCCCGTCTTCAAAAACTTGCGCAAGAGACCAACGACGAACAAAATAAATCAATTTCGCCATGGGGATGAAACGTGGAAGAGAGAGCCGTAATTTGGCTAAGAAGGCTTCCAAGAAGCAACGAGTCGAGGATACGGTGGACAATGCTGAAGGAATCGTTGGGATTGATGATCTAAACTGGCAAACCGTTCAGTTGCCAGATCGGCTTGGTGATATTGGTGGATTTTTCGGATTGGAAGAGATTGACGGCGTGGATATAATCAAACCAGAGTCCAGTGGTCAGATTAAATTCAAGGTACTAAAAATCTGACTGAGGAATGAAGAGTGAAAACTTGTTACTAACAGACTTGTTATCCATAGGTCGCAGCAGACAAACCCACCAAATCCATACTCAAGAAGACCGAACACGCGGACGAGACACCGAACGATAATATCGAAGAATGGTCCGGTTTCAGTGATGGAGAAGAACAGGAAGTAGAAGCGCAGAAAAAGCAGAAAACGAAAAAGAAATCAGAATATGCGAAGCAAAAAAATCCGGCAGACGAAAAGAAGCCAGCAGCTAAGAAAGAGCAGCGACAGCCAAATGCTAAAGGAGGAAAGCCCGATGAGAAAATACAATCATTACCGTTCACAGCGCTAGATGAAGAAGTGGAAGATGAGGTGGATGTTTCAGCATGGGATTCATTAGGATTGTCCCCGGCCTTGCAGACCAGCCTATCCAAACTCAAGTTCTCGACTCCGAGTACGATTCAACAAGCGGTGATACCTGAGGTACTTGCCGGCCATGATGTGGTTGGTAAAGCCTCAACGGGGTCTGGAAAGACTTTGGCGTTCGGCATACCTATTCTCGAATACTACCTGGGCACTAGAGGACAACATGGTACGCCAAAGGAGAAGAAGAAAAAAGAGTCTCAACCTATAGCATTGATCCTGTCACCGACGAGAGAACTGGCTCATCAACTGGCGAAACATATCGGAACTCTCAATTCACATACTCCAGCAGCGAACGCTAGGATTGCGCTTCTCACAGGTGGCTTGGCAATTCAGAAACAGCAGCGGTTGTTAGCTGATGCTGATATTGTGATTGGTACACCCGGCCGAGTTTGGGAGATTCTCAGTTCAGGAACTGGACTTATCCAAAGGATGTCAAGGGTTAAATACCTAGTCCTCGATGAAGCGGATCGATTGCTCAGTGACGGACACTACAAGGAATTAGAGGAGATATTAGATGCCCTCGATCGAAAAGAGGATAATGAGGAAGCCGAAGACAGCCCCTCAGAATCAGAGGAAGATGAAGAGAAAGAAGATGCCACAGTGGCGAGACAAACACTCGTCTTTTCAGCGACTTTCCACAAGGGTCTGCAACAAAAACTGAGCGGAAAGGGGAAATTCATGAGTAGCGACTTGATGAACAAGAGTGAATCTATGGAGTATTTACTGCGGAAACTCAAGTTCCGTGAAGAGAAGCCGAAGTTTATTGATGTCAATCCAATTTCTCAGATGGCGCAGGGCTTGAAAGAGGGTATTCTTGAATGTGGTGCCATACAGAAGGTAAGTCTTTGCAGTATCACCGATTTCCTGTGAATATGCTGACGGGTCGATAGGATCTCTACCTTTACACTCTACTACTCTACCATCCTAATCACCGTTGCCTGGTATTCGCTAACTCCATATCGTCTGTTCGTCGATTATCGCAATTGCTACAAAACCTAGGCATTCCTGCGTTAGCTCTACATTCGAGTATGGAACAGAAAGCACGATTACGCTCTGTAGAGAGATTTTCGTCTCCCGATGCTGATCCAAGCTCGGTTCTGGTGGCTACAGATGTCGCAGCGCGTGGTCTCGATATCAAGGGTATTGACATGGTAATCCATTACCATGTTCCTCGGACCGCGGATATGTACGTGCATCGTTCTGGTCGTACCGCCCGTGCAGGAGCATCTGGTAAGAGTGTCCTGATCTGTGCTCCCGATGAGGTGGTTGGCGTTGCGCGTCTCGTCGGCAAAGTTCACGCACAAGCAGAAGCCGGTGCACCTACAAAACGCAATCCACTGGAGTCCCTCGAACTCGATCGTCGGGTTGTCTCACGCGTCAAACCCCGTATGACCCTCGCCAAAAAGATCACCGAATCAACCCTGGCCAAAGAAAAGATCTCATCAGAAGACAACTGGTTGCGCAATGCAGCGGAGGAACTGGGAGTGGATTACGACAGTGAAGAATTCGAGAAACAGGGCGGAAAAGCTAAGGGACGCGGTCGCGGTGGTGGTCGTTTGCAGAAGGAGAAGGAAGCCGGTAGTATCACCAAGGCTGAGATGGCAGGTTTGCGGGCGGAGCTCAAGCAGCTTCTGTCGAAGCGAATCAATATTGGTATAAGTGAGCGGTATATCACGGCGGGACGCGTCAATGTCGAGTCGCTGCTGCGTGGCGAAGGAAATAATAAGGCGTTTATTGGGTTAGTAGACAAGTTGGAATTTTAGCGATAGATTCGACCAATCTATATTCTCTTGACTTGCGTACAGTCAGTGCATATGCAAATGTAGCGCATTCTGCATATTCGTACTTCAGGTAGCTGAAAGCGTCTCTCCAGAGAATACGGACTCAACATCGATGATGAGGCTGTTGACTTTAAGAGTCTAGACTTGCTTCAGCCTCGCTCTTTGCTGCTGATATGAATGCCAAGAAATCTCCGATTCCACACCGCGATATAGCGACATATCAGCGGTGAAAAAAAGAAATATCTGAACTCAGTCACATACCATAAAAAGCCAATCCTCGCAAAGGGACGGAGTGTATAGTCAGATCTCGATGCTGTACGTGGTCAGTATTGGAGCGGGCCGTGCGAGTCGTTACGTATTTAGCTGTCAAGTTAGCTTGCGACAATGAAATTGAATTGCAGCGGCCTCGCTTCCTAGCAAGCTGCGTTCGCAATGCAGAACCAGACGGGTGTAGGTGAGAGAATTGCCATCCCTGATTATGCAGTCACATACGAAATGCGTACCGAGAGGAACGTAATTTGAATGTACACCCTACAAAAAGCAAAGGTTCTTGTGACAAGGGTCCTTCTCAGACCTTTAGTGCATGGGCGTGTTACGGAATGGCTCCGCATTGGTGTCTAATTCTTCATCCGTTCGATCCAGACGACAAGAAATGAAAGGCAGTGCCGTCGGATACCCTGGTAATGGGTTGCCAATGATGAAGAGTATATGTAGCAGGCTAGCAGCAATCGCACTAACTTTTAAGGGGGAACTATTACACAACGTCAGCCGAAGCAGTCAAGAAAGGATCAATACATGTGGCAGAGGATGTATTTTCCTTCCGGAACCTAAGCGTGCTCCATAAATGAGTTCTCCAAGTAGACCAGTCTAGCACGTACGTGTCTCATTTGCAGCGACGCTCCCTGCTTAGTGCGCTTACTGCTCTTCCGGCCTGATTAGCGATGACCTGATCCCCGTCCAAAATATGCAGCCACTGAGGTCTAGCTACCTCGTCCCGAGATGACTCCTGCTGAATTGAATCTTCCTGAGCTCGAACCGAACACATTTATTAAACAAATATCTGCAGCTAAGGACCAATAGGAGCCAGGCGTATAGTCAAAGAGTGGGATGGCGTCGCAACAAGAACGCTAGTCTTGTACCGTAATCCATACTGCTAGTAGTACGTATGTAGCAACGAGTTTCCTGCTGTAGCACCGGCTCTTGGGACGAGTTCTTTTGCTTTTCTCTCCAGACTACACCCTTGTGGTAGATCGGCCCCATGATGTCTCTCTTTTGGTACACCAGTGACAAAATTTAGGATTCATCGCATATCGATTGAGAATCTGCTGTGTCGATATATGTAAGGCAAAGACTGATAATTTTAAGGAGCAAAATATTTCGAAAGCTGATGTCCGAAATCGTAGACTCCAGTCGTCATTCTTAGGTCTCTGCAGCTGCGTAACTGACGGCTCTCTTCGTAAAGTGACAATATCTTGCACGGGAGCCGGGCAATGTGTCCGAACTAGTGCCGTATCATGAATATCACGACTGTGTACTAGTACAGAGCAAGTTTGGTAGATTCCCACAGTTGGCAAAAGGTAGGGTTTTCCGAAGGGCTGCGTCCTGGCCTAATGGCTGAGTCACGTCTCGCCAATTGATGTGAATGGAAAATGTGATTCCTTCCACACGCGCGCTGCCTATACGCCAGCCAAACAGCAAGTAGTATCGATCATACTACGTCTAGACCGCGGTATTCATACGAAGTAGCCAAGGATGTCAAGCGGGTCATCCTTATATACACTACCAACATGTATATAGTACACTATATACGTATTGTGCAGTCTATAGGTCTTTCGTGTATGCTATCCATTTATGACCGGGGATCCCGAAGGATTTCGCGAGTTGATATCGATTCTTTGCAAGAGATACCACGTTCCGAGGAAGCAGATGGCCATGAAATATAAATATGAGGAATAGGAATAAGTTAGCTAGCGCAAGGGCTAGTCTGACGTTGTAATTCGGTAGGTTTGCCTGTACTGCAATTAACAATCATCGACATACTGACGGCTGGTACAGTAAGGTCATAACAACGTCGCAACATCACGTAACGTGCATGGCTATAAGTTGAAGATCCGACATTGATATTCCTCATATGTCTCACTCTTTAAGGGTTCGTCCCAAGGGTCGTGTTATATTTGTCAGCGGTTCGTGGCAGGCATAAGGACATATCGAAGGATCCGTTTTTCGATTCAATTGATCGTCGAAATGCATGGGACCAGTCACCAAGCTTTCAGCTGGAATGATCCTTGTTGCCAGTGGCACAACAAGGAGATGCGTCGATTTGAATGCATGTTCGAGAGCTTAGCTTTGGCGGCTACCTTGGCCGTCACGCGTCGAATTGACGCATCCAAACAAAACGAGAGCGACGCATCACATAAGTTTAAAAGAGTCACAGACCACAATCTTGGAAAGAAGATCTATCGCAGCCGATCTAAGATCTCGAATGCGCGCCAACTTCCAGGTATATATCACGATCCAATGATCAAGCTAGAGAATCTCCGCTCTGCCGTTGCATTAGAAGCAAGAACGGTCTTGATTTACCCTGAGAGGACACGAGCCCCCAAACCACTACGCTGCTCGAAATAGAGACGACTACGATTAGTGGAGCAGTTTGATAGGCGGCAACTCCGACGAGGCGTATGTGTTTCTCAGACCCCGACTACTAGGACATACGTAGAAGCATAGAGCTACTAGCATGATATGATTGATTTCTCTATTTCCCAGCTGATATAAATATACCAAGGTGACCCCTCGATCATTCATTCTATGCGATTGGTCCTCCCAACTTTTATAATGCCACGAATGTTTCGACGCCGGCCACCAGTTTCGCGCGTCAATCCAGGTACGGCGGACTAAATCTAGAAAAAGTGACAAAATTCAAAAATACCAATTTTTACGATCTGTTACATCGGGCCAAATACTAATTTCTTACTTCCACGAACCCCTAAAAATTTATTAGGGTTTTCGTCAACTATATTGAGGCGATTCATTGAAGCGACCATTATATTTCGTCCTGGAATGAGGATCTATTCATGATCTTCCTCAATCGCTCCACCAGCCTCATATCTCTAGGCTGGATAGTTACTCGGTGAGCATGAATAGCTACCAAATTTGTCACTAATACATAATTAGTATGTCGATATTGATGTTAAGCTCCAAGTAGTTCGACTTACTCTCAAATTCCTTCACGAGAAAAGCCTCGCAGGCCTCTTGTAATGCTTGAATCGCCAATGCTTGGAATCTTATTTGATTGGTCGTTATGTTTTGGGTGATCTCTCTAACCAAGCGTTGGAAGGGGAGCTTGGGTATCACTAATTCGATTGACTTTTGATAACGACGAATTTCTTGCAGAGCGTTTGCTAATATAATTCTTAGTTAAATGAAGCAATCATATGAAATGTTCATTGACATACTTGCCCACTTGAGATGATATTTCTTAGGAGCTGGGGGATGCTGTGTAACTGTTTTTCCTTTCGGGAGGGATTTTCTTGCTGGGAGAACAGTTTTAGCTTTCCCCCCTTTACTAATCTTGCGAGCGATAATTTTTGTCCGTGCTATTGTAAAATGAGGTGATTTTTTGTAGTGATTGAAACTCGATATGGCAAGCCTGGCGAGATGAGGTGAGAAGGGAGTATAACAAGAAAGATTTCTTATGGGGAGGAAATGAGATTAGCTAGAAAAATACCTTCAAGATGAGGTCAAACGAATCAAACGAATCAAACTAGGAAATATAAACAAATACTAATATAGTCTTCTCATATAAATTCTCGTATCAAACTTACCTCACTTATTCAATCTTTATTCAAACCTACTCCCAGATTTAAGTCACCTCCACCTCCATCTCCTAGTTTATCTCTCACTTCCTCATCCATCTCTCCTATCTCCAAGGCAGCTCACCTCCTCATACAATACCTATTCCCCCTTGAATCAAATCCTTCTTCCAGACAAGCTTTCACCAACAATGAATCCTGCCTTAAATTATAAGTGCTTAGAATCACTCCTTAATCTTTATATAGAATTACCGATACTAATGAGGCAATACTTTGAAGCAACTCCCTGCAAACGTGGCCCAGTGCCAGGATCAACCATCGGTCGAAAGAGAAAGGCATCTGAGGAACTATCCAACAATCCACATACTGTGAAAGGGAGACAGCGCAAAGAATCCCTTGAACAGAAAGGACAGGTTTGGATTAAGTTTGAGCATATCAAACGCAATGAAAACTAAGTATGGAATAGAGTGAAGAGGAAAGACCTTCTCACGAAGGAAGAATATCAAGAGGCCAGCACTCTTGATAAAACAAGACTTGAGAAAGCGTTCAAAAATGAATTCCTGCATAATCGGTATGACCTTCCTATATCATTTAATGAGGCAATATATTGAAACAATATCACTAATTTTGCACTTAGATATCTGAATAGGGCAGGAACTCGATGGTTTATGGAGCACCACGCATTGGAGTTAGATCCTCAGAATGACTAGGAAATCGTCCATGAGGAAAACAATGACCAAATGGATATGGACAATAATCTTCAAAATAAATTTAAGATGATCCAGGAAGCTGAGGCTCTTATTCGAATTGCTCAAGCAAATTCCATTAATCCTAACCATTTGCTCTCAACAATTTTGGTCTTGCGATCTGTTTTTACAAAGGTACTTAAAACATACCTACCAACCTCCATCCATCAAAAGACATTCCACGGTCTCAATGTGGCCAATTTCTAGTGATTCAATCAGCACACTAGCGTATCGCACTTGGTTCATGCATTGGTTAAAGATTGCAAAAATAGCTTTTAGAAAAGTGGCTTTAATCAGAACTCAATCTCCCGCCTCTCTCCCACATGGATACTTCACAGCTTCTAAGAGATCGATAATCATTGCACTTATCTCATCAGATTCAAAATGGTATGACTTACCTGGGCCAGCGGATTGGTGGCCAGAGTCATATAACTTTGAGAAATATGGTTGGGATGTGAATATTGGAAAGCGAGCTAGCTACAAACAAGCAGTCAAATTCTTCACAGAATACTACCCAACAATCAAAGTTCCTAGGAAATTTCATTTCATGAACTGGAGTGCTATGGAATTTTGTGTATCAGATGATTAGGAAGAATCAAATAGATTACTTCAAATGATCGCTTCATTAAGATTACTCTTTTTGTACAGTCTAATTACCTAAGCAGCGCTAACTTAACTAACGTAATCCACAAGCGAGCTGGCCACCCGTGTATTCCATACATTTGAAATGATCATTGTTTATCACCTCTACATCTCAGCAAAGTTATATATATAGTATGTATCAAATTGACTCATACAAATGAGAATGTCAAGTATATTGAGTATTCTAAGTTTGAACTCATTCTGATAGATATTTGTAAAAATTACCAAATTTCGATTGTTACTTATTGTAATATATACTTTTTCTGGAATTACTCGGTATATATTGACTTACATACTTTTTCAAATTTACTGATTAATTGCTTAACACAAGCATTCAATTCTGTGAATGCTTAAAGTAGTGTACGTATATGACTTTGTCGAGATACAGAGATGATAAACAATGATCATTTGTATGGAATACACGGGTGGCCAGCTCGCTTGTGGATTACGTTAGTTAACTAACGTAATCGGTAAGCGAAGCGACAATGTAACCGAGCCGACAGTTTCTTTCCGAACGCGTACTCAATATTGATTCCATACTATTCAACGCGTCAACATGCCACCAATTCGCAATAAAAACGAAAAGAATTTAGCAGAGCAAGAGGGGCGGATCTTGTTAGCTATTTCCGACTTAAAAAATGGAAAAATCTCAAGTGTGTATCAAGCTGCAATCATTTACAATATTCCTCGGACGACGCTATATGACAGGTTAAACGGAATTCAACAAAGATCTATAATACGTGCCAATGGACATAAATTGTCTCAATTTGAAGAGGAATCACTTGTCAAATGGGTACTCGATCTAGATAAACGTGGATTACCCCCTCGGCACTCTCTTGTACGAGAGATGGCTAATTACCTTCTTTCACAACGTGGAAATCAACAGGTTGGAGAGAAATGGGTCTATAATCTCATTCAACGTCGCCCAGAGATTGAATCAAAATTTTCACGGAAATATAATTACGAGCGTGCTAAATGCGAAGATCCGAAGTTAATCCAAGAATATTTTGATCGCGTACGAGAGGTTATATCAAAGTACGGAATCTTACTAGAAGATATCTACAATTTTGATGAGACTGGCTTTGCTATGGGACTCTGTGCAACCGCAAAGGTTATTACTGGAAGCGATCGATATGCTCGGCCAAAGCTATTACAGCCTGGAAATCGAGAATGGGTGACTGCAATTGAGGTAATTAATTCAACTGGATGGGCCCTGCCTTCATATATCATTTTCAAGGCAAAGAAATATACTTGGTTAGGCTGGTTTGAGGATCTTCCTGATGACTGGAGAATCAATATCAGTGATAATGGTGGACTACAGATAAGATTGGGTTAGAATGGCTTAAAACCCATTTTATTCCTCTTACTAATGGCCGTGCAATGGGAAATTATCGCATGTTAATTCTTGATGGCCATGGAAGTCATTTGACTGCTGAATTTGACCGTACATGCACTGAGAATAATATTATTCCAGTCTGTATGCCTCCTCATTCTTCACATCTTTTACAGCCTCTTGATGTTGGCTGTTTTGCTGTTTTAAAGCGACATTATGGACAGCTTGTTGAGCAGCAAATGAGGCTTGGATTTAATCATATTGATAAACTTGACTTTCTTACTGCATTCCCAAAGGCTCGTACGATGGCATATAAAGCCCAAACTGTTCGGAATAGCTTTACAGTAACTGGATTAGTACCATTCAATCCAGATTGAGTTTATCAACAGCTTACTGTTCGATTGAAGACTCCAACACCCCCTCCAAGTCGATCAAGTGATACACAATCATCCTGCTTGCAAATCTCTCAAAACCCACGTTAATTTAAGCGCCAAATGACTACAATGAAAAAGAGAATAAGCCGGCATACAAGAAGTTCATCTGAAGCTATTGGTGAAGTGTTTACACGGGCATCAAAGGCTTATGAGATGAGTATTAATGAGCTTACAATTACCCAGAAGGAACTCCATGATCTACGGGCTGCATATGAGAAGGAGAAGCAAAAACGTCAAAAATCTAAAAAACAAATATCCCATGATCAAGGAATTACCAGAGAGGAAGCTCAGGCACTTTTACAAGGTCAGGTTGAGGCATCTCAAGCTGTTACCACTGCTCCGGCCGAGCCTGAGCTCCCAGTCTCTCATCCACCAGTACGTCGCCAATTTCGGTGTAGTGAGTGTAATATTCTCGGGCATAGAAGACCTCAATGCCCTAATCTTACTAGTAATTAATTTTTTGTGTATAATTATAATTTTGGTTTAGAAATTGAGATTTGAATTCAATATTGCGTACGCGTTCGGAGAGAAACTGTCGGCTCGCTTACATTGTCGCTTCGCTTACCGATTATGTTAGTTAGTTAACCACTAGATAGTTAACTCACTAACTGATCATTAATTTTTATCCACCAGAAAATCCAAGCAATTCCTTTAAATAATTTTACATCAGCTTACACCATGCCAGCAGGACAACCATTAAGTGATATTGACCAATACCAACAAGAAATATCTACTGTTCATCCTAACACAATTCGACGGCGTCTCAAACAATGGGGTATTCTTTAGAAACCCACGCATGCTGATTCTGAAGAGCTAGAGAGAAAGGTCAAGGAATTATATTTTAAATATGGTTTACATGATAAGGATATTATACGTTCACTAGAAAAGGATAGTTATATCTCCTTCCAGTCTGACCGCACTTCGATGCCGGCTTGGCCTTCAACGTCGAGTAATCAACCCAGAGGATATTCGGAATACAGACAATAGTGTCAGGGAGGCAGTTCAAAAGGAACTTGATAGTGGGCGTATTGAGGGTTATGGACGAGGTTATCTCTACCGATATTTTCGAGCTCAGGGCTGTAATATAGCACGGTAAGTTTCTATTTATAGTATATGGGCTATTGTTAATCGTTTAACAGCGACCGACTATTTAATATTATTCATAAACTTGATCCAGATGGTATTCAGCGTCGAAAAAATGATGTTTACCGGTGTCGAGGGGAATATATAGTCCCAGGCCCAAATTACATATGGTCTATAGATGACCATGATAAGTTATCTTTTTGGGGCTTTCAAATTTATGCTGGAATTGATGCCTTCTCTCAATATATTACCACGTTCTATGTTGGGATCAGCAATCGCACCCAGATTAGTATTTTACGACAATTTCTTGAAGTGCTTCAGGATACAGGAATTCAGCCTCGCTATATACAGTCTAATAAGGATAGTAAAACAGTGTCAGCTGCAGCATAATTTTGGTAAGTAATTGTCAGCTTATGGGAATGTTGATTGTTGATGGTCAGCTGCGGTCAATAAACAGTGATTAGATATCATCTACCCTTCCATTCATTTATTATATGCTTTATCATCTCATTTGAGCTAATATATTCTAGATCTTGATCAGTATTTACCTCCAGATACATTAAGCTGGTGTCAACAAAAACTACAATCGCAGGGGTTTCAAAAGATAAAACTTGAGGACTTCAGCAATAATAGGGAACATATCCATTTTAATACATACTTATATCTCCAGGATCAGATTGATCTACATATAACTGCTCAAGTCGAACCCAAGCTTTCTGAATGTAAGAAGCCAACTCAGGAGGACCTACACCTACAACAGGATCTAGAAGAGGTTGCTTCAGATTTAGTGAGCCAGCCTTGGTTTTCAAGGTAATTTTATATGTCAAAATGAAGCAATTAAATGAGGTGATCTTTTAAGAAGATTCATCTAAATCATTCTAGACCAATATGATATCATGAAACAAAAGACAAAGTAATATTGTTTAAATGAATGACCTCAACATATACAAAAAGTTCATAAATCATAGAAAATGCTTTTTAGGGAAATATTTACCATGCCGTCTACAGGTGTTAGACGCTGGTCCGTTATCTGCTGGATTTGATTCCTTCGGTGGTGATTCCCTCGGTGGTGATTCCTCTGCTGGATTTGATTCTTCCACTGGTCCAGCCTCAATTTTCACATGGCTCTCTGCCGGTGATGGTTTTGATTTCTCTATCTTTTGCTTCATCATTTTCTTCAATTGCTCAAACATGGCCGTAATTTCTATATTCTCATCATCAACATCACTAGGGTCACTAGAGATGCTGATTATCTCGTTGTCTCGTTCAGTATGCATACTTTCTAGTATTTGTTAGCGATTGGGCGAGAGCTTTTCTCTCTTGATGATAGGAGATGCTTTCTCTTTCTTGACGATAGGAATATCACTAGTTTCTTGTTGCATTTGGATCTTTTGGGAGTAGATGCTGGCAATAAGGAAATTGTTGGAGCACGTCTTCATTTCATCATATTTGCTGGCGGTTGTCCAACTGGCGGTTCAAAAAGATTATCATCTAGCTATGTATTGAGATCCTGATTGTCGTCGGTAATATTATCCAAAACTTCATCGGTGATGTCGTCTGTACTTGTATCGTTGGCATGTAATTGAGGATATTTTCTAAAACAAATGAACAACTTATAATAGCATTCATTGCTACCTCGTTTCTTTAACCCATCTACCTCCAAATCTCGAATCATACCTTCGATCCCGTCTTCAAGTATGGTATCTGATAAGAATGATGCCTTCTCTTTAGTTACTGACGATGCTAGTCGGGGAGTTAATAGTCGTTTTCATTCCTTTAGCTCTATCGAACTGCATGCAAGATCATTGATAAGTTGATCAGTTTTGTTAATCATGAACACTTCATTTTCGAAGAGAGAGACGCGGAATGAAACTTAGAAGTAGTTTTAGTTAGCAAAGTAATATACTGTATAATTGTCATTAACATACTAATACATTCCCATTTGCCATTAAAATAGGGCGCATCCAGATCCTTTGGCTGCTAAAGTTCGATAGCAAGTCTGTAATATTGTGTTGTAGTATTTGTCGAGTCCTTTCCTTTTAATTTGGGCATTGATCCTATTACCCTGCTCTGACAAGGACTTTTTTGCGGCAAGTATAGATCTTTGTCGATGTTCCCTGCTTTCAGAAGCATAGGCATTAAATATAGTAGTAGTATTAGATGATTGTGGTGGATTTGGGTTCGCTTGACCACACCATGGACAGGCCTGCATTTTTATATATTCTGTTGCATGGTCGAAGCCACCTTTTCGGGGCATTTGGGTGTCCTCCACGGCCTGTTCATTTTGGGATACCCAGAGGGTTTAGAAGAAGAATGAATACACGGAGTAAAATAATCTTGTGTGCGATATATAATTTAGTGCTACCTGTGAACCTTAAGCCCGCTAAGTTACAAAATTATCGCCTCATTGGATTGCTTCATTTCTCTGCCCATTTAACTCTCAAATGCTAAGAAAAGCATAGAAATGTTATTGACTTTTTGACAGTAAGGTCTATAATTTGGCTCGATTATTATTTTGTCCCTCCTCTAGCGACGTCAACATCATTACTCTGGCGATGGGATGGTATGGTTAGAGCTTTTTAGATTGCACCGTGTATATGTTGTTTATATGGTTTGCCTAGCTTATTACTATAATAAATCAATATCTTATATCTCTCTTTCTTCCTCATTTCTTCCACAAAATGTCCTTTCATCTTAAAGAACTCTAACGACAAGACTAAATCTTCTGCATATATCCTTAGTCGTCTCCAAGCGGCGAGCTAGGAGAAGCTACAGTACAGTAATACTTAAGAAATTTATCGAGGTTAAGCGTAAGAAGGGCACTTATCAGACACTTAAGAGAGAATTATCGTCGCCAATCAGCTAGACTGAGCAAGGTCTGTGGACTAAAGGCCAATGTATAAAGGGACTCCTTTTACTCTTTCTCTCAAAAATTTTCTCTTCCATAGAAAATCTTTCCATCTTAAAGGATTCTACCACTACTGCTACTGCTGCCACTGCTGCCACTGCTTTGCAGCTTCTGCTATTACTAATATCTATCGCCACTGCCGCTGTCATCGTTAAGATGCCTTTTGGAAAGATTTTTGGTGGTCCAACTAGCTTCTTCCACGCGATACTGCTATTTTTAACACTCTATCCAACAACAGAGCTCAATAGGACGATTAACTGTTCATAGAATTCTCGAACCTCTGCTTGGTGCCAAGAGCCCTCTTACTTTCCGGTGTATTTTTGCTCGCTTCAAGTATAGCTTCCAGAAACCAGTCACAATATCTATATACCAGCTCCGGTATACAATATAGATTTTGATTTACGGTTGCTTGAAGGGGGTTGGGAAATTCATTACTTTACTATAAATCAAATCTCTACTCTTTTCTTTCTTTCTGTTCCACATTTCCACTGTTATGGGCTGAGCTTAGTATCAAAGTTCGAGACAAAGCCCTCACTGCCCCTAGGTGCAGAAGGATGTGGTATCCCTGATTAATCAATATCCTCATCGCCTACAACCTAGCAGAAAATGAAGCGATATTATATGATGAAAGTGACCAATCACATACCTATATGTAGTACAAAGTCACATAGTCTAGGCGGTGAAAAAAGCGGTGAGTGATAAAACCAATCAAAATGCATGCGTGGGTGTTGTGAAAATTACAGAAAATACCAAAAATCAATTTTGTCACTTTTTCCAGATTTAGTCCGCTGTACCAGGTCAGACCAAGGCGGGAAAAGCTAGCAAGTGGCGGCATATGGATGATATCAATCTGACCCGTTGTTAAGAAAATAAAGCTTGTCTTTTTTGGACCGTCTGTGTGGCTCCAAACCTGCTCCAAGACAGCAACTCCTTTTTAAGTCCACTACGATGTATTGGGGCACGGGGAATTTGGAGGTTACCGGATATCTTTGGAGGCACCCTGTCAGCAAATAATACTCGACATCTGATAGGGTTCAGAGAGATCCACGACTCCGTCACCCGAACGGCACTCGCCGCCTTTACCAAGGGATCAACGCCGTTCATCCCTCTTGACCGTAAAGCGTTTTGTGACTAAGGGCCTACAGATATGAGATGTGCGCAAGGAAAATTCATCACCATCCATCATCATTGTTCACTGCAGCTGAGGTTGGCTTCGAAGGAACGAAATATGGGCCGGTTAGGGAGCCTATCACAGTTTGTGCCTTGACGGATAATACATCCGGCTCGTTAAAGGTCTTAACACTCGCCCATAATCTCGATGAGTCTGACTAGTTTTCCTTTCCAGGTAAGTCAGGTCGCGCCAAGAGTTTTTAGCAGGACCCTTTCTGGGGGCCTTTCAATGAATCGGACTTCGCTAACTCCTGGTTCTTGCTTCAAAGGATTTCGTCGCATCTGGTTTGTCGGGACTCGGATCCGGCCTCATCTTCGTCCCAACAGGGAAGACTCGCTGAAGCCACTTCCAGCCAGTCAGTCTGGTCGAGCTACACACGAACCGTGACATCCTTTGTTTGCGCTCCTGTTCCCCACAGCACGCTGCAGCCATCACTGGCTCTAGATTTTAACCGTCCTGATGTTTCTTTTTATGTTGTGACAAAATACATGCAAGCAGTGTATCTACCATACACTTTTCTCTTGAGGTTGTCCTATACTGTATGGACCAGGCAAACGTTAAAAGGCCCTCAGTCGGAGGCCTATGTGCTGTACCCTGCTCTTCAGATCTCGTCCGACTTCCCTGAGGTGGGATACGTGGAAATCACCTACCGTCGAATCGGGTATCTGCTCTATTTCTATAGAATCAAGCCTGACCTGCCTTGAATATTCCCCATTCGCCTTCGTGAAGGTTGGTGTCCGTGACGGCGATAAACAACACGTCGCCGGCCAAAACTACAATACCCGCCAAACTTTCAGACTCCAGTTCCAGTCAAAGACAGCCATGGATAACCATCCGGATCGAATGAGGGGATACCGCCTGATTGCCCCCCGCCATGTCGATGTACAAAAGCCACCAACACCACAATCGCCAAATGCTGACGAAGGAAAGACGAAGCGCGCATCAATGGCTTGCCTAGAGTGCAAAAAGAGGCGAACAAAGGTACGCGCTATCCAACCCTTGTTCTTTTCTCGAAAATCTGGATCCAGACAACAACAATAGTGCGTGTGACCTGTAGCTAACCGTATGAGTAATTACTCTTGCAGTGCAGCACCGGCAACCCTTGCACCGAATGCCATAATCATCAGCGGGAATGTGTATACGACATCAATGCCGACAAACGCCGCAAAGAACACGTTATAAGTACCAAGCAGCAGCTGGAAAATACAGAAGAGGCCCTGCGTTACTATCGTACATTTCTGGAGGACATCCTGGCTTCTATGCGCTTGGGTAGCAGAAGTCATGTGGAACAATTAGTTCAGGTGGTTCAGAATACAGTCCGAAATCCCGACCCCGACGACAGGAGTGGTTATACCACAATAAGGGAGACCATATTTTCAATCCTCAGCGAGTTTGAAGATGCCGAAGGGAGTGAGGAAGCTTCGGATGTTGATCAAAGTAAGATTCCTCGTGAATAAGGATACGTTGCGCGTGTGCTTCAAGCCACCAGACTAAGAATGCTATAGACATGACTGATTAGTCACAAAATCCGGTTTTCATGACGCGGCGATACATGTGCTAGCCCTAGTGGCTGGTATGGGTCTTTCCTCTATACATGACCGATACACATTTCGATTGTGGTGAGTCGATCTTTACCGTCGTCGGTTTGAAGTGTATCCGAATTATCAGGCAGACGAGTCAGGGACCGGACTTGCCGACGAATCCGCGCCGTCAGGAGAGAAAGCGATAGTGCTGAGCGTGGATCTAAGATTGATTTACATGCTGCACAAAGCGCTCGCACTGATCGGGGAGGTCAATGTTGGGAACCAGGCCCAGCTCTCAAAGGGGGATGATTGTTTGGTCTCATATGTTTTTGGATTTTTCTGGGTTTCTCTTATATATAGATATATATTCATCAACAGCATGGCATCATCTTCAGCGATATATCCGATTTGTTCCATATTGCTTCCTGTCTTCTTCTCTTTCTTTTCCTTGGGCCATGTCATATTGCAAGCAGAATGTACTATTGTGGTGAATAGAATAGTGGGAGTACGGCCTCCTTATAACAACGCAAGCTTCGCCATCTTTTGGCTGTTCTTCTACAAACTTATGTGCTTCCAGCGCTACCTACTACCGGTCTTTTGCCTACCTAGGTAACCTATTAACTAGGTATCTGTTCGTCAACTAAAGTTATACGCTCGGAGTTCTGTCCGAGATTATATCTTTCGGGTGTTGAGACGAAAAAGACAAAAAGGAAGTAGCGATTCTTTTCTGCAGGGTAGTCTGGGGACACATAGATTTGTTTCAATATCAAAGAATGGAAGCCATCGACTGAATCCAGGATCTTCGGGTACGGTACTAGTAACTACTTCCTCTTTGAGACCGCGGGGAGTTCCCCGCTTCACGCCTCCCCAGAAAAGCTTCCCAAAAGTTAACAGCGAACTCAAAAATAACTGAGTCACATACTGTATCCACGTTCGTCCAAGCCTCACCATCCCCTCAAAGCACAGTTCATACACACTAAGACGGTTCGTCTCACGTCTTCGGATGCGATGCAAGACAATAATAAACTCGCCGGCCAGAAACGCAAGGCTTCTGAGACCTTGACTGCTGAACGCCGGAAAATAACCCGAGCTTGTGACTCCTGCAAACTGTGTGTACCAACCCCGCACGAATTTCTCTGTCGCGAGCCTTTTAATAGCAATTTAAAATTCTGACATTGATTCTAGGAAGAAGACAAGATGCTCCGGCACGCTACCGTGTCATCGTTGCACCAAGCTGTCAAGAACATGCCAATATAACGCAACATACACCAGAGGAACTCCGCCGTCTCCACTGCCCGCTCCGGGGTCTACACATCGCCAGGATGCTGTACGACGCTCGACACCTTCAGTGCGGTCGTCGATCCATACAGGTCCGGTGTCTCCCAAATCATCGCTCGCAACGTCAAGTCCGACGGGATCCCATTTCCGTCGAAGTTCACATTCACTCGCTGTCTTGTCGCCAAGGAGCAGCTCTCCTGAACCAGAGGCCACAGACCTGGAAGGCAATTATCTGGGGCCATCTTCCGGTATCTCTTTTCTTTCAAGGAGCTGGAGGCGATTGAAACAAGATAATATATCCACAACACCACGACTTCCTGAGAATGAGCGCTCGAAGAATACCCCTGTTCTGTTATTTGGTGATCGACCCTTTTCCGATAAAGCGGACTGGTCTAGTCTAGAATTGCCACCGAAGGATCGCGCTATTAGATTGCTGGATACGTATTTTGACTTTTCGATTGTGACATACCGTTTCCTTCATCGGGGAAATGTAATGGCTTTATTGGACACGATATACGAGAAGAACATTCTGCCCTCGAATCCTCCGCCTAGTCACTCAGCGGCAAAAGTGGGCGTGATCTACATGATTTTTGCAGTGGGGATGCTTGGTGAGGAGCGGAGGATTGGGAACGATGAGATACATCCGGAAAGTGAGAGGTGCGTATAGACTCCTGTATCTATGTCAAATCACCGTAATCGACACTAAATGCGAGATCTTTAGCGAGCGATGGTATGCTGCAGCGCGACATATGATGTCAATTGAAACCGGGCCTCCAGCTTTGGAAACCATCCAGGTGCGTTTGGGAATTTGTCTGTTCCTGTTATCGTCTTCAAGGGCAAATCAGTGTTGGTACATGTTTGGGACCACCATGCAACTGGTCACGGCCCTCGGATTGCATAGGAGACGGCTGTCCAAGACAACTCGCGGAGGGCCTGCATATGTTGAGCAGGAGCTGCGCAAACGTATCTTTTGGAGTGCCTACACATTGGACAAGTACCTGAGCGTCATGTTTGGGCGACCACGACTATTGGATGACGAAGACATCGACCAGGATTTTCCGGACGAGGTGAACGATGAAGATATGTTTTTGGAAAAGCCACCGCGGATACAAGATGCCATGGATGGCATGATGATTGCTTCAATTTTACATTTTAGGTTAGAAGACTTGCTTCGTATGCCTTTACCTTCGCTTATTGCTGACGATTATAACTTAGGCTTGGACTTCTCATGGGAGAGATATCTCGGAGAGTATATCCAACAAAGGCAGTATCTACAGTGGCACCTTACGAAGCGGCCATTGAACTGGTCGCGGAATTACAAGAATGGAAGCAAAGTGTACATCCTTTGTTCGGAAGCGTCCGAGCCTCCAGTCTGATTCCACCTCTTTGCCGACAAAGTCACGTTCTGCAGTTTGCATATGACCACGCCATGATACATGCGACTCGGCTATTTATTCTCAATGATTTCACCGACTTGACGCGACGCCCATTAGTCCCTCTTGACTTGGTTACAACCCATGTGCAGAACTGCATCAATGCAGTCAGAGATGTGCTGCAGCGTGTAGATGCCTTGGCTGATCAGGGGTCTATGTTGGAGTCGTGGTGGTTTACACATTATATCTGCTTCTGTGCTATTCTCGTGGCTTACATATATACCATCCAGCAACACCAGTCATCGACCTCCGATCCGATAACACCAAGTACTTCCAGCATGACGGACGACGTGCAGGATTTGTTCAGTCTTGCAGAAAGATGTCAAATTCACTTAGCAAAGGCTACCCGTAAAAATTGTCCGAGTCGCAGATACGGTATCATTTTGGAGGAACTAAGGCTCGAAGTACACAGGCAGCTTTCAATAGCAACAATAAACAATATAAATCCGTCACAACCACAAATGACCGAAGTCAACACAATCCAACAAGGTCTACAGCTAGACAAGCCATATCAGACCGACACAAATTTTGAACAGCCGACTGTAAATACGAACCCAGACTTGGACGGATATCCCTATTTAGGCAACTCAGCTATTCCGGGCATGGAAGGCCCCGACCTCCTTGGAGGCGATGACTTTGGACTTTTGAACAGTCTAGATGGATCTGTTTGGTGGACACAGTTGGACTCATGGGTATGTCACTGCCCTTGTTCTCTTTTGCGCGTCCTTGGCTGTACTCTTAACAATTTTCACAGGCCTACTCTAGTCTCAATAATGACTCTTCGGAATTCAACTTCTGAACTCTCAATATATGATTTCCCAACGACTTACGCTATGCCGAGATACGAAACGTGAGTTCTGCACAACCGTATTTACATTTTCCAGTTAGTAAGATACCCAAGATCAACGAATAGTTACTGATATACTATTCCTGTAATTTCCTCCAAATACATTTTTATCAATTTCAAAGCTGAATATGAAATCGTAACGCACTGATGAGCGTCAGGACCCAGGACATACCTATCGATAGGATATGGATAGCGATGATGATTCTCAACCGATAATCCAGTCTCTTGTACCAAACACGCCTTATATTCATAGATAATTAAAGAAGGATGCATAATGATAGGGGACATATCAATAACGGGCCTTGGGGGAAACTACCAGGAAAAATATCCGCCTCCGTTTCGTTAGGGTTTCCGCTCGGATTTGCACAAACTTAACTATCACCGCAAAGCGCACTTTAATCCTCTTTAGACTGGAGACCAACTAGGTGTGGAAATACATACACTTATGCTAGGTATACTTTTCCATCTATCATGATGCTTTTCCGAGCTGTGGAAGACCGGGTGATGCATCTATATAATGGATGTCATCCTGGGTACTCACCTGCCAATTTTCTTACATACATGAACGGAAATTGACTATCCATGACCATTTCACACATCATGACAGCTATCGTACAAACTACACCTTCGGACATGTTTCAATGGAAACAGTCCAGTACCACCCAGCATATCGAAACAGTGGCAATTGAATCCCCCAAATCGCAAACCATAGATGGCCTCATTCGACATCGCGCAAAACTGCTTGGGGATACCCCCTTGGTATTCTACCCCCATACTGGTATTGAATATGTCGGCTATAGCATGAGGCAACTTGATATCTTCGCCTTCAGGGTAGCACAGAAACTTGCCTTGAGACTTCCTCCTCGAACCTCATCCTCAGAAAAGCCCATCGTGGTATCACTATTAGGACCCTCTAACCTCAACTACCTCGTCACGTTCTGGGCGCTATCAAAGCTGGGCCATTCAGTTCTTTTTCTGTCGACACGAATCTCTCTAGATGCCTATGCATCGCTCCTTGAAAGGACAGAGTCAGAACATATTGTCATTGCTCAGGAATTCCAGGATACGGCCAAGGAGTTGACGAAACGACTACCGGGTCTACAAATCAACTACATTGCTACGGATGATTGGTACAACTTTCCAATCGAGGACGTCAACATTGATACGAATTTGACATCTAACTTGGATCCAGCCCAAGAAACGGCATACGTCTCCTGGATTATTCATTCAAGCGGATCAACAGGGTTACCCAAGCCGATTTTCCAGACTCATAAAGCTGCTCTTGGGAACTATGCCCAGAATATGAATATGAGAGGTTTCATTACGCTTCCTTTGTATCATAACTATGGGATAAGCTGTTTGCATCGATCAGTCTATTCTTGCAAAAGCATTCACTTGTACAGCTCATCTTTACCACTTGCTCGACAATATTTGCTCAGAACAATGCAGGCGAATGACTTTGAGATCTTTTACAGCGTCCCTTACACTCTGAAACTGCTGTCCGAGGTAGATGAAGGTATTCAGAGTCTCCGAAAGTGCAAAGTCGTTTTGTTCAGCGGCTCTCCATGCCCAGACTCTCTTGGTGATCGACTAGTTACCAACGGTGTACATCTCGTCAGTCAGCATGGTTCAACGGAAACGGGTCAGTTGATGACTTCGGATCGACCACGAGAGGATAAGTTGTGGAATTATCTCCGTCCGGGAGAGGCAGTCAAACCATTCCTACGGTTTGAGGAAAGGAGTCCTGGCCTGTATGAGGCTGTTGTTTTGGACGGTTGGCCTTCCAAAGTGCTATCCAATAGGCCTGACGGTTCTTATGCGACCAAAGATCTGTTCATGAAACACCCCGAAATGGAGGCGTATAAGTATTTTGCTCGTCTTGATGATACCATCGTTCTGATGAATGGTGAAAAAGTGATCCCACTAGCCCTTGAAGGATCAGTGAGACAGGATCCGTTAGTTGCGGAAGTTCTTGTTTTCGGCGCACAAAAGGCTAGAATCGGTATGATTGTTATACTTACAGAAGCTGGTGCAGCCCTCTCAAGAGATCAAGTTATCGAACAAATTTGGTCTAGGATTGGACAAGCACAGAGTGAGATGCCAGCCTTTGGACAGCTGTCACGCAATATGGTTGTGCTTCTTCCTCCAAATACTCAATATCCACGGACGGACAAAGGCACGGTTATAAGGCAAGCAGCTTATCGACAATTTGCCGACCTGATTGAGAATGCATACGATGACAAACAGTCCACGGTGGAGCTCGAGACATTACCAGAGCCAGAGTTGAGGCGGTTTCTGGAAGAGCAACTCCGAGATATTTTACCAGCAAAGTCACAGCAGCTTTTGAGTGAGGATGCTGATTTCTTCAACATTGGCATGGATTCACTGCAGGCTACGCAACTACGCTCAATTATCAGTCGCTGCATTGATACCGGTGGGAAAGAACTTGGTCTGAACGTAGCCTTCGACCACCCTACCATCAAATTGCTAGCCCAGCACCTGATATCATTGAGATCCGGCTTCTCGGACAAGCATGGTTCTGTTGAGGATGCTATGCGGACCTTGATTGAGAAATACTCTGTTTTCCAACCGCACATACCGTTACCCAATGGTCTCGAGGGACGTTACATTGTCATAACTGGTACATCTGGATCACTTGGTTCCCATACAGCTGCAAACCTGGCACTCCAATCAGATGTTCGCATTATCTACTGCTTGATCAGAGCTGGATCTACCATGGAGGCTTATGAACGCCTGGCCAAATCGTTGCGCGAGAGACGTCTCTATGACAGTCTTTCAGACACGGCACGTAGCAAATTGGTGGCTCTCCCAGTGAACCTATCTGATCCAAGATTGGGATTCGATGAGCATACATACAATTTGATTACGTCTCAGATAACAGACTTGATTCATTGCGCCTGGTCTGTCAACTTCAATTGGCAACTGGCCAGTTTTGAGAAAGACAATATTGCCGGCGTTAAGAACCTCATTGATCTCTGTCTGAAGTCACAACGACCTACGCCAGCCTCGTTCAATTTCTGCTCTTCTATTAGTGCCATTGTTAACACAGCCGAAAACGAGATTCCAGAAGCTCTACCCAATAGCTTGAGCTATGCTCAAGAAATGGGTTATGCACAGTCAAAGCTTGTCGCAGAACACATCTGTCAGAAGGCAGCTGAGCAGACGGGCCTCCGAGCACGTGTGCTTCGAATCGGTCAGGTCATCGGCGACACACAGCATGGTATTTGGAATACGACCGAAGCAATTCCGCTAATGATACAATCAGCAACTACTATCGGGGCGCTGCCACGCCTCAACGAAATACACCGCTGGCTGCCTGCCGACACCGTTGCGCAAACTATAATAGATCATTCTTTCTCGACCTACAATTCTGGCATTCTCAACATTGTCAATCATAACAGCTTTCATTGGACGCACGATCTTATTCATTTCCTACACCAGGCAGGTCTACAATTTACAGAGTTGGAAACAAGCAAGTGGCTTGAGAAATTGCGTGCATCAAATCCTGACCCAGCTATCAACCCACCTATCAAATTGATTGAGTTTTGGACGACCAAGTATGGTTCTGGCGAAGGATCGAGAAAATCATTTGTGTGGCGTACTGAGTTGGCTAGACGCTATTCGAAGACGTTGAACGAGACGAAGGGCTTGGGCCAGAATGATGTGACTAAGATGGTGCAGTTTTTCAAGACTGTCTGGTGATTGAATGATTCGTATAGATGCTTCTCGATTCTTTCCCGAGGAGAAGAGAGATAATAGGATCGGTTCGACTTTGCTAAAAGTAAAGGGTATGTAGGACGTATCGCTGTTCTAATGAAAAGCAGCATTTTCCCATGTATATTTTATTAGGGTACGGACGGTCACCTGGTTGGCCTTAAAGGCCATTTTGGGGAGGGGTATGCCTAAATTTAGGCTCTAAGTTAGGCTATTTGATTAGTGGCTTGAAAAGGCCCGTGAGCCCTATAAATTAGGTAGGCTATAGGGTTATGCTAGCGTCAGGCATCAAGGCATCAATAGGCGGCAGCTTATCAATTAAACTTGCACGTGACCTCGTGTTGCGCGTCATATCGCCACACGTCATACTTGCCGATAAGTGAGAATAAAACCTATCATCCTCATCCCATCTGCATCTTTGAATACGACCGATCATCTCCTCTTATTTATCGGCCGAGGACAAGTATGTATTTGCGCAAATATGGGTTCTAGGCTTCAGGCCAATTCTGAGCTAGTTCGCAAAAGAATCCAGAGTCGTAAGTGTACTCGCCGAATGTGATTTGAGTTTTTATTTCTGGACGTTCGTAGCAAGCTAACGATTAGTTGCTACTACGGATAGATACGTTTGATGACGATAATGGAGACGAATATGAAGCATCAGTGTTCGGAGGCTTTGATGATTACTTTCGGCGCAAGAAGTTGAAGCTACAGAATCGCGATGCGCACATTCGCGCAAACTCCGCAAATAATCCCCCAATCTTTCGTGGTGTCGTAGCTCATGTAAATGGCTATACACAACCTTCTCTAAACGATTTACATCAACTGATTGTCAGCCATGGCGGGGGTTTCCTACAGTATCTCGACGGCAAGACGAGCGCCACCCACATTATCGCGAGTTCCTTGACGCCAAAGAAACGCGAGGAGTTTCGCAAATACCGTATTGTGAAACCGGCTTGGGTCGTAGATAGTGTTAAGGCGGGTCGGCTACTTCCATGGGATAACTACCGTGTGGTCGACGAAGGCGCTTCGCAAAAGGTACTGAGGTTTGAAACCGGCACCTTGCAGACTCAGACCAACGATCTCGAGCGAACTTACAAAGATCAGACAGGAAACAGTTGGTATAATTCGCAGTTCAGAGATGCAACCCAAGATCTGCAAAAGGAGACCTCTAAGGGGTCGCCGTCAAAGGAGAAAACTGATATTATGTCGAGTATCCCCAACTCCAATGCAGACACCGACTATGGGGACTTTCCATCCCTAGTATCTCCGGAAACAACCAAGGAATCACCTGCGGGAAGAGATTCTATGGCCACCAGGAATGATTCAAGTATTGCTTTTGAGGAACATGAAAAGAGTAATCAAGAAACTACAGAGGATGGTGTCCAGAATTTGACCAAGGTTCAACTTGCGCGAGAGACTATTCCTGTGAAACCTGGTATGAGTTCGGAAGAGTACAATGCGTTGCTCTTGTCTGATCCACGTATGAAAAAGTCGAGTGTGGTCAACCCTGACTTCTTGCACCAATATTATCGAGAATCACGACTTCACCATTTGTCGACATGGAAGGCTGAGCTCAAAGCGAAACTTCAGGCAATTACGCAGGAAAAAAGTGATTCGAATAAGAATATCAAACGGCGTGTACCAGGAACACGAAGATATATTCTTCATGTTGACTTTGATAGCTTCTTTGCCGCCGTGTCAATTAAAAAGCACCACCCGGAATTAGTCGACAAACCTGTTGCAATCGCTCATGGCACTGGCAGTGGCTCTGAAATTGCTAGTTGTAACTATCCAGCTCGTGCATTCGGAATCAAGAATGGAATGTGGATGAAAGGAGCGCTAGACCAATGTCCCGACCTCGAGGTTCTGCCTTATGATTTCCCTGCCTATGAAGAAGCTAGCCGTCAATTCTACGAGTGTATACTCGCCGTGGACGGGATCGTACAGAGCGTCAGTATCGACGAAGCACTCGTCGATATCACTACGCAATGCCTGCAAGCTGGTGGATCTGACGGTCGTGGCATCTCCGAAGGCTCGATATACCGGGAACAAGCTAAAGCAGATGAAATTGCGAAGTCCTTAAGAGGCGCAATCAAATATAAGACTGGATGTGCAGTTTCTGTGGGGATCGGGGGTAACATCTTACAGGCAAAGGTTGCATTGCGCAAAGCCAAACCTGCCGGACAATTTCAGCTCAAGCCTGATGAAGTCTTGGATTTCATAGGAAATTTGACTGTGCAAGACCTTCCAGGTGTGGCTTACAGCTTGGGCGGCAAATTAGAAGAAATCGGAGTCAAGTTTGTCAAGGATATGCGTGACCTATCTCGCGAGAAGCTGGTCTCTCACCTCGGCCCCAAAACTGGCGCCAAACTTTGGGACTATGCACGAGGCATTGACAAGACCGAGGTAGGAGTGCAGACCATGCGGAAGTCTGTATCTGCCGAGATAAACTGGGGCATTCGATTTGTCAATCAGAATCAGGCTGAAGAATTCGTACAAAGTCTCTCCGAAGAGCTTCATCGTCGTTTAGTTGAGAACCTGGTGAAAGGAAAACAACTCACGATACGCGTCATGAGACGTTCAGCTGATGCACCATTGGAACCTGTCAAACATCTTGGGCATGGAAAATGCGACGTATTCAATAAGAGTGTATTACTCGGTGTCGCAGCTAATGCAAGCGATATCATTGGGAAAGAAGCAATTGCAATGCTACGGAGCTTTGGATTCAACCCCGGCGACCTGCGAGGTTTAGGAGTTCAAATGACAAAACTGGAACCCGCGAAATCGACAAGCGGCGGTGGTCTTGAAAGTAGCCAGCGCCAATTGAACTTCAAAGCCTCACCGGTCGCTAAGAGAGCAATCAATATGGCCGATCCCGATTTGATCGAAAGCCCTCATAAAGGCGATGGAGCCAGTATCGACGCAGTCAATACGCTTGATAATCGGCCTACATTTGACAGCTCACTGAAACCTCTGAACGTTCTAGGGACACAATTCATCATGCCAACTCAACCGGATCCGAAAGTGGTAGCAGAACTACCGGCAGACATTCGATCTATGCTGGTGCGCAAACCCAAAGAGCCTCGAGAGACCTCCCCTTGTCCGGCTCCAAGACAACGAGTTTCTACCGGTGAAAATCTTCCCTTGCCATCACAAATCGATCCGGATATTCTGAAGGCATTGCCAGAGGACATTCAATCAGAAATTCTAGGCTACTATGGCCAACCATCAAGTGGTATAAAGCCTGCGTCTCCCCAATTTCAACCCCAATCCCCACCTCCACCGTCGCGTCCTGTACGTGCAGCACCTTTCCTCAAAAGACCGACGACTCCAATTAAGAAGCGCCGCGGCCGACCACCTAAGTCTTTGGTCAATGCTTCAAAGCCTGCTGCTCGCTCAGGTCTAATGCAATCAAACTTTGACTTCGGCCGAACACGTACTGAACCAGAGACGATCGAGCAATCTTTGCCGGCTCAAGATACCGAGACAGTGTCTGAAATATCAGAAGATTTTCTAGCTGCTCTTCCCGAGGATATTCGAGCAGAAGTATTAGAAGAGCATCGACAACAGCGTATGCGCCAGCGGTCAAATCTCGTCGCACCGGTTTATCGTAGGACGGTAGCCTCTAGACCAACCACGCCAGCTGAGTCATCTACTGCAGTAGCTACTGAGAAACGGATCCAGTTATCACCTCGCGCGGACCGGCCGACGTTTACCTCTAAGAAATTGTCAACGTTACCTGACTTACGTGAAGCAATCACTGCTTGGTACTCCGCTTTTTCTAGAGAGGCACCCTTCGTTGCGGACGTGGAAGCATTGGCACTCTACCTCAAGCGTGTCGTCCTCGAGGAACGAGATCTTGAGAAGGCTGTCTCGGTCGCTGACTGGCTGGCATGGTTAATCAGGAATGATGAAGATGCAATGGACCGAATTGCCACAATTATTGATCACTCCCAAAGCTCGCAAGCAGAAACCACCTGGGACGAGGCCTTGAATATTGTACAACGTAGTGTCACTGCTGCGGTCGAGGAGAGGGGATTGCCTCCTCCCAAGTTTTCTGCATGATTTTGGTTGTGATTACTATTACACAGTGAATGATCTATGATTTGTACATATATCCATGCATATATGAATATGACATATACTTGTATAGGCAAACCTTTACATTTGTCAAGCTCAAGATGGATACCGAAGAAACTCAGGGTTAGGGTAACTAATATGGCCATGTGCAACAAGCTGTGATTGGCTGTATCTCGAATCATTTTATGGGTCTTCCCATGGATACCTGAGTGGGTCCTGAGGAAGAAAAAGTTGAGCTTTCCCAAGCAATGATGGTGGTGACCGCCTTTATCTCCGCTCACATTTGTTGACCAGCCTAAAAACTTTTTTTTAGTCTATCTGGATTGTCTCCAATTCATTTTCTCCTCACGTTCTTTTTTCCTTTCCTCCTCTGATTTCTCTTTTTCTCACCTTCATTCTTTAATACATTTAAGAGGAAGTAGTAGATATCTCATACTTCATAATGTCTGGAGTTCAGCCTGTTGGTCTTTATACCATCCAGGTCCCACCTGGTGGTATTATGGTGCCTGCATTACCTCATGGTGCAGTTGCTATGGTAAGTTGAGATAAAGGCTGGTCATGATTATTGTGGTATTGTTCATTAAACTAACAATCAATTGTTAAAGTTCCGTGTTAGCATGGCAGCTATTGATCCTGACGCTGAACCTGAATATGAAGACGACGCTGCTGCAAGCAAGCCAGCACGTTCCACCCTCAAGATTGTCCACATGCCTGACGACCTGGATTTTGATGACGAGGATGATGAGGACTGGGAAGATCACGGCAGCGAAGAAGATTCTGATGACGAGGAAATCAACGGTGGCCCAAGTGACAAGGCGAAGGCCAAGAAACGCCAGGCAGAAGCAGCTCTCATGGACCTTGATGCCGAAGACGAGGACGATGAGGACAACACCGATTTCAAAGCTGCTCTTTCACAACTCATTAAGGGCAAGGGCCCTGCCACCGGTGATGAGGATGAGGATGATGATGACGAGGAGGGCCTTGAGCTCGAGGAGACTGTTGTGTGCACTCTAGATACTGAGAGGGTAAGCACATATGATATATATGATTCGTGTAAAGCCTTGACTGATCCAATGGTAGCAATACCAACAACCCCTTGACATCACCATTGCCGGTGATGAGCGCGTTCTTTTCAAGGTTACTGGCACACACACTGTCTACTTGACTGGTAACTTTGTCCTTCCAGCCGAAGAAGGACATCACCATGATGATGAGGAGGAGGACGACGACGACGATGAAGAGGATGACGATGATTATGACCTCTCGCCTGACGAGGATGAGTTGGATGGCATGGATTTCCTTCTCAACGGAGACGAGGAGAGCGACGACCTTGACGACTTGGAGGATCCCCGCATTACCGAGATTGATTCCGAGAAAGAAGAGGCAGAGAAAGCCCCAAAGTTGGTGACCAAGGGGAAGAACAAGCGTGCTGCTGAGGATGAGGCCGCGCTTGACGATCTCATTGCCAAGGAGTCTGCATCAAAGGGCGACAGCAAGAAGCAACAGAAGAAGTTGAAGAAGAACAACGGTGATGCAGTTCCAGTTGAGTCGAAGAAGGATGCAAAGGAGGCGCCTGCTGCTAAGGCAGACAAGAAGGTTCAGTTCGCCAAAAACTTAGAGCAGGGTCCAACTCCTTCCTCCAACCAGAAACCTGCTGAGAAGTCGACTGGCACATTGGGCGTCAAGGAGGTCCAGGGTGTCAAGATTGACGACAAAAAACTGGGAAAGGGACCCGCTGCTAAGTCTGGAAACACCGTTGCTATGCGATACATTGGAAAACTCGAGGACGGAAAGGTCTTTGACTGTAAGTTCATTAATTCAAGATGCATAAAAGCAGATGGACTAACTAACCTGGTTCCGAACAGCCAACAAGAAAGGCAAGCCCTTCACATTCAAGCTCGGCAAGGGCGAAGTTATCAAGGGCTGGGATATTGGTATCGCTGGCATGACCGCCGGTGGCGAGCGCCGTATCACCATTCCCTCCCATCTTGCTTATGGCAAGAAGGCTCTCCCTGGCATCCCCGCAAACTCGAAGCTCATCTTCGACGTCAAATTGCTCGAAATCAAATAGACTATTTTCTGAAGTCTATTGTGTGTCTCTATTAGTGGTTCTCTTTTTCCTATCATGTCTTTCGACTCATCATTTGAAGTCTGCTTATGTGACATAGCGTCTTCTCCAGTGTCCGAACATACGAGATGTTTTGTATTTGTGAAGAACTCTGTTGCATTTTGAATAGGATGTGGATACCAATCTGCGTACGGAGTTTGTCATTATTTTTCCCTTCGGCATTTCTTTTCTTCTTGTTTCCATATGTTCAAAAGTTTCTGTTTTCTATTTCCTTTCAGGCAAATGTTAGGAAACATCGGCCTTACGATAGAATAGCGCAATAAGATGGTTATATATGTGCTTCACTCCTTTCTCACTTGAAAGAGACAATCATGTGACTCTGAGCACGTAGACGCGCCTTCCTGTTGTGTGCTCCTTCCCTGGGAGCTCTTCTCCCTTCAGACATCTTAGCCAGGCTTTCTCCATTCTTGATTTGTCCCCTGAATGCTCCTCGACGATGAGTCGGGTGTAAGTATTTATCAGCACTCGGGCATTCTCTGAGAAATCCCAAAGGAGGCATCTCCCTCGCTCTCTTATCGAGATTATTGACAGCATTGATAGGTGTAAGGACCGTGTTTAGTCTCGGAAGCTTTGTGTTCCCTGTCTAACACCTCCTTTCATGAAAGTGTCTCCGCGCCACAATGCCAAAACGGAATCGAATACCACCTCACGGCCGTTCGAAAATTTCAACATCTGTCAATGAGTTGAGCGCCAAACCTCAGACCAGTGCTGGCAAGGAGAGACCGCAGTCTGCCACATTGACCGACTCACAAAAAGAGGTACGGCCTTCAAGGATAGGATTTACCTTGAAAATCAAGAGAGGCAGTGCCAAGCTATTGTCTAGATTGGGGCTATGGAACTCGGTGGCCACTGAGGATACTGGTGAGAAGTACATGGGGATACACGTTTTGCAAGAAGGCTAATTAACATTTTAGATGATACATCAAGTACTCCCCTGGATATCAACAGTTTCTGCTCTAGCACCGCATATCAGCACGACTCGGAACATGTTATAATTCAGGACAGGTCAGACTGCTTTTACCCATCGTCAGACGACTTCCCGACAAAGATCGAGTTTCACGAACAACACACTGCGGTATCAAGCACGGACGGATCTGTTGCAGAGAGTTTTGAGTCGGCACAAGCGGCTTTCGAGAATGATTATAACGTGGAATCTGTCTTCGGTCATATAAGTCGTGGTCCCATTTTGGCTCGCCGTCTATCACAAAAGCTGTCCATATTCGGCCCGTCAACTGTGATTCGCCGTACAAAGACCAGATTCAGATTAGGGATTATCCATATGGAAAGCTCCTGCCCCGTTTCTCCAGATCATAAGTGCAATGGCTCGGCACAAGAGAGCGCCGAGTGGTCTACAGGTGTTTCACCTATCTTTAGCCAGGCTGAATATCACAGCTCGTTAGATGGACTCTCGACTTCACTTATGCTATCGGGTTCTAACCGCGAAAGCTCTGCTCAGAGACTATGGTCTGGGTCCAGCAGATCCGCTCCATCAATCCAGTCGATTGCCAAAACAAAAGTTAGACCTTCCATAGTCACGGTTGAAACAGCCGCGGTGGCTAAAGTCTTCTTCGAAACACATTTCAATGAGATTTATTCACCCCAGGATGGTCGCAAGCAGAGGTTTCGAGAGCTTCAAGCGCACCTATGTGCACTCCCATTTACCAATGAAGAGCGATTCGCGGTGCAGAAGGCGTGGGCAGCCCAAGAAAGTGAATATTTGCGTCAAACTCGAGTTCTCAAGTCTCGGTCAAATCGTGCACATGACCGGGAAGCTGTATCCTTTGCGGGCTACGAAGTGATTCGGGTTCTTGGTCAGGGAAGCTTTGGGACTGTCCAATTGGTGAAGGAAAAGACTGTTGATCAGGAATTGCCGCGGAGGAAAAATGCCAAGCTTCAAACCTCTGTTGACAAATGTCAAGATAGTGAACATGGCTCGCGGGTTACGCCGAAAAGCAGCCTTGTATCAGACGGATATGGTCAGGGAAAAAACGCCCAGAAACCAAACGGGGACCGCGTATATGCAATGAAGGTCATACGCAAGGCGGAGATGGTACGTCTCGGTCAAGAAGGTCATATACGTGCCGAAAGAGAAATTTTAACTGCATCTGAGAGGTCGAAATGGATCGTCCCTCTTATTGCCAGTTTTCAAGATGCTGTTAATTTATATCTCGTCATGGAATACGAAGTAGGTGGCGACTTCTTCGGGCTACTTGTACGTCAAGGTGTGCTCTCGGAGGGTGATACCATATGGTATGTGGCTGAAATGATTCTCTGTGTTGAGGAAGCTCATCGTCTTGGTTGGATTCATCGTGATGTGAAGCCGGAAAACTTCTTGATTTCTGCTTCTGGACATTTGAAACTTGCCGACTTTGGTCTCGCTTTCGATGGTCATTGGTCACATAACCAAGCATATTTCCATAACCATCGGTATTCTCTGCTCTCAAAACTAGGAATCGACATTCAGGGTGATACTGAAGATCGAGCCAAGAGTCAAGAACAACGGAACTCAGAGTCTAGTCTACTTCGAAAGAGCGGTTTGGATGCAAGTCAAAACCAAACTGAGGAACCCGTGCTTGATTGGCGTGATCGAAAAGAGAGAAGGCGATTTGCTCGAAGTATTGTTGGCACAAGCCAGTACATGGCGCCCGAAATCATAGCCGGAGAGCCTTATGATGGTAGGTGCGATTACTGGAGCATTGGGATTATTTTGTACGAGGTGAGTATGAGCTCAACATTATAACAAAGCTTGTTGGAGCAGGAGCTAATCTGATAAGTGCTTGTACGGGATGACCCCTTTTTACTGCGAAGACAGAGAAGAAACCAAGAGGCGCATTCGTGTTAGTGACCTCAAAATTTGTTGCACGTTATGAAGTCTAACTATACAGTATTACAGGATCATAGATTCACACTATCCTTTCCGCAGGAACGGCTCAGTGATATCATCATATCGTATCACGCGATCGACCTAATTCAACGTTTACTGCAAAGGAAAGAGTTCCGATTATCTAGCAGAGCATACAAAATCAACGACTGCGCTCTATGGCACGGTTTGCAGAGTCCTGTCTATGCCACCTCGTCAGATCCACGGAATACTCACTGGAAAGGAAGCCACGTCTATAGTGATGACGCAGCTGATATTAAAGCACATCGATGGTTCCGCGATCATTCCTGGAATGATATGCTTCTTCGTCGTCCACCTTATGTACCTGATGAAAGAAGTTGGGAGCAAATCAAGTTCGTCGATGAAGCAACCCTAGAAATGATCACTGCCCAAGAGAAGCAGCAGCTTATAGATGCCCCTTTAACGCCCAATCCTGATGTTTCGACCCCTGATCTTCAGAACATTGCCGAGCTGAATGCCTTGAAGAAGGAAATCGATGATCACGCAAACAAGAAACGAAAGCACAAGGAGAAGAAAAGAGCCCGTGATAAGATTCTCCGAGATGCAGTTGTTGGACCTACGGCGCTAGATCTTCGAACGAGGGGGGCATTTTTGGGTTATACCTGGCGTCGACCGAAATCCGTCAGGGAAGTTCTCGGAATAGAACGCGGCAGAAGTCTAGTCTATTGAATGATCCTGCTTCGCTGAGTTGGGCTTTACGGTTGTGGAAACACATCATACATTCATTTCTCATTGCATTCTCCTTTTCATACTGAAAGCTGTGGGTGGTTTATCATTAGTATATGTATAAGTTAGTTATTCATATTTCTGTCAAGGTTTTCTTTTCTGCATTGAAATTCTTGAGTATTCCTGGACACTTCAATGTTGGGTTCCTATCAAAACAATTGGAAGCTGCCAATCAATACCGCTGGAATAGGTGATGAATACGTATCAGTTCTCAATTGCTATACCTTGGGAACATTCTTACGACGACAAAGTTCGGCTACCATTAATAAAAACATAGGTAGCATTCAACACGAATGTATTTCTCGATCACGATATGTTTTATCCTAACCCTTAACTAACATACACAGATGCAATCTCTCTCGATCTTAGCGCAAAACCGTCCACGTTGGAGAAAATAAGAATAACAATAATAAGAACTCAGTAAGACACCGACCGATTTATGGTATATGCAAACCTTTCCCCAGAGAGATAAGAACAGGGAAAAAAGAAAGGTAGAGGTTGAAAGAGACTCCAGTAATGATACTTTAAATAAGTGCTTTTCGTTTCTGGAAAGATAGATGGTTGAAATGATGCCTCGGAAATGAGATGCAAATGTAATCGTGCGTGAAGTGCGAGGATCAGAAAGAAGTCGTGCCTGGTCCCATGGAGAATGCAGTTTCGCTGATGCCCTCATCTGGCGGTGCGGTACCATTCAGTTTAGGGCAAAGTCTAATTCACAAGAGGGAAAAAGGTTAGCATCCATATAAATATAGGTCTAGTGCAGGAGGGGAGAACTACTTCTTATTAGTCTTGATATGTCCAACCATTCCGCAATTGGCACATTTTCGTGTCGTGGTTCCACCAGATTTTGAAGGGGTGCCAGCTTCTTCGGAGTCGGCAATGGAAGCTCGACCGATACCCTTTTGTTTCTCGCGAGCGAATCGTCGTTCTTTATTACGGTTTAGTCTTGACAGTTCAGCTTCCAGTCTGGTAGAAAGAGGGCTATGTTAGTATTTAGGAATTACATTTGAGAGGGGGTTCAAACTAACAGTTTCTTGTTACGAGCATCAACTTCCGCATTACCGGTTGGCTGTAATTCAGCGAGTCTGCAAATGGATTGTCAGCTGAATGGCTATGACTTCTAGAAAACGGGAGAAAAACGAACTGGGTATTGACAGCTTCAACACGATGCCGAATCTGCATGTACTTCCGAATAACTCGCGGATCCCAGACTAATTGTTCTCTCTGGTAGACGTTTCCATTTTCGTCCTCGAAATCTCGCACGATCCTCAATACCTTGCCCCGTTGGCTACGACTGCTGAATCTACTAAACTGACTCATACTCTCATCATCACGACGGAAAGATGGAGTGGCAACTTCTCGTGGTGTTGGTTTGTTGAAATCGTCCTCTTCGTCTTGATCCATATCGCTGTCGTTGTCTGATGCTTCCATCTGAGATGACAAACTTGCCTTTTGGGCGTCCCAGATACGACGGATAGACTGTTCGTATGCCCTTTGTTGTCTTGCAACGTTGTAGCTATGTCCACCGGTCTCTTTTTGTTCTCTCTTCTCCATTTTTTCCTGTGCACTTTCGCCAATGGCTTGGAATCCACCTTTCATCGATGTCTTGATGAAACTGAACCCTTCACCACGGCCAGTTGGGTCTCCCTCACCATGTAACTTCAACATAGCCTTGCCTTGGGATGCCATTATGAAGTTGCGAGATGCACGCCATGGCGCCATCTGTTGTTCAAAGCTGCTATCTCCCTCTGCTTCTTCGTCATCATTTTCGGCGGCGTTGAAGTGGCCGGTATCATGAAGATGTTGCAATCCAACTTGCATAGACTCCAGTAGACAGACATCTTCAGGCTGTATCCAGGACCGAATGGTATCCGAATCCGGAATTGGCCCTTCTGGTGGTACCCACATTTTGGTATCCTTGTTATGAGAGACGAAATCTTTCATCTTTTGTCGGTTCTGCATATCTGTAGAACCAGGAAGATGTGCGGTGACTTGATTGATTGAAACTTGCATGTTGCCATCCTTTTTCATCAACCGGAAAGTAAGCATCTTCAAGCGGTTTTTAGCAACAGTCGTAACTTTTCGTGAATGTGGACCAGGAATATCCGTAGAGGGGAATTGTTGCCCAACTACATAAAGATTCTCAATGTTCTTGAGAAAGAAACTGGAACCGTCGGTTTGAGTTGTGCCTTTGACGACCAGAAAATCTGTAGATTTAGGCTGGTGACTGAAGATAGGGGCACGATACATGGTGTTCGTAATAGCGGGAGCGGTTTCCCCGGGGTCAATATGCCCAAATATAGAGAATGGACTTTTGTCTTGAGGCAACAATACCTGGGTCTCACCAATCTCTGCTTTGGGACGTGTAGGATCATCTGTATTCTTGCGGCGGTAGTAATTGACGACACGGTTCGCCATACCAAAATTCGACATCATCATAGGAACTTCTTCAGAGTATTCTAGCAATAGTACTGTCGAGTTATCTGCTAGTGACAAGGACTTGGTAGAATTGTAGAGAGCTTTGACGTCCTTTCCTTTGGTATGCTTGCGTTTGATGACCGGGGAATTCTTAAACCATGAACTGACATGAGGTCGGAAAGACAGAGCTGGACGATGAAATGATCGTGCTTCAGCCGTCGACAATTCAGTCTTGTAATATGGCCATTGTAGCCGGAGAGCAGGCATACTATGCTCGAGAGCTGCATTTCCCAATGTACTTCGGATTTTGCTTTGATGGTTCTCCTTCAGCATATCGTAGGCATCGTCATTAGAAATATTGTACCGTTTATTGAGACGTTTGGTCGTGTTGGCGTCCATTTCATCCCGGTCGTGAACATTTAGCGACTTCGGTTTCTGTAGGATAGCTTCAGGACGGGTGTCAAGTAATAAGTGAGGGTCGTTCAAGTCAATAACAATCTTCTTAGCAATTTGAGAAGTCAGGCGACCTGGGTCATCCAGAAGAGGTATTTCAATGTCCGCCAGGGCCAGTAGCTCATGCGGATCACGCCCAAGCTTGCGTTTTTTCGTGGGTCGTACTTCTTCCATGTCAAGTGACCAGGTAGTTTCATCAACAGGTACTGTTGTAGCCTCTTGTGGAGCTGCCTCTTCCTCCTCATCGGCCTCTGAGACCACTGTCTTAATGTCCCAATCAGTACACAAGACGCGAAGATCTTGCATGGTGACACCACCGGGAAGGATCTCTGAATCGTCAAACTCGGCATCAAAATCTTCCTCAGATTCGACAGGAGAGTCCTCGACTTGCTGAAGTGATACTAAACCCAGATTTTCGAAATCATGGGCACGCTTAGTACCTTGTCCACCGGTCTTGAAAATTCGTTCTTGGTCCAGACCAAACTCGAGATTGATTTTGGTGGGCAAAACAGGTTTCGGAGGTTTCGAGGGTTGTTTCCCAAGGTAAAATGCCTTCTTGTGACGAAAAAGTTCAACGAATCGAGGAAATGAGTCCCGATCAAAATTCGGCCATAGTGACCTCAGCAGTTCTTCATCATTTTCGGGTGGAGCAGGAATATGATCAGGACCGGGGATGACACCAGCGGCAGCCGCAGAGCGCGCAAACAGAGCTTGTTGTTCTCTCCAAGCATTCAATGTTGCCGGATCCATGTCCTCCTCTGCATGAGAGATGGTCTCGTCTGGATCCTCTCCGAAAAGATCAATATCCCCATCATCATCAGGAGCGGTTTCGGTGAGTGGTAAGGCAGCATTGTTGTCTATACCGTTCATATGTTCTCGGTCGCCAAACAAATCTTCTGTTGTGTGACCATTTTCAGCGACCGGAGACAACGCGCCGTCGCCGAACAAGTCATCCACTTCATCTCGACCATTATGTTCAGCAGTAGCCTCGTCATTGCCAAAGAGATCACCGGAAAACAGATTATCTAGATCTATTTCATCCTGTTTCACTTCTGGCACCTGCACGACGGAAGTAGTAGGTGCTTCTTCTTCATCGGGAAGGTCGTCATCGTCGAAGTCCTCAAAATCAATCGCATCGTCCGCTTTTTCGCCGGTCTCCAAGTCACGTCCCATAAAATCAAATTGACCGCCATCAGGAGCATTTATCTGAGCTAAGACATTCTGAAAATCGAGATCATCGACGACGTTGTCGCCGTTCTCGGTGGCGTGAGGCATGATGGACTATGTTCGATGTCGTGGTGAAGCTTAGGTGAAGGATGACCCGGGCGAGCACTGAGAATCCAAAGTTTCAACCGTTGCTTAACATCACGCTCTCATCCCCGAGTCGTCGACTCGAGTGAGCGTACGAGCGAGAAAGAGTTGATGAGAATGTAGAAGAGCTTCCTTCGTGGAGAATGATTCCAATGAATAGGATATGACCTCGTGCGGTACTCCGCGGTAAGGATACGGCAGACTATAACGCCCAGTCCTATTGTTGCCGCTTTGTCAATGACATTATCCTGTCACCGCTTTACTTAAACTAACTCTTATTGGTTCAGATACTACCAGTATATAAGTGAGCCTGCAGTACACCGTAGAAAAATATACGGCAGAATCCTGGCGGTGAGGCGTTCTTTGAAAGAATAAACCTGGTTTGCACCCACCTGCGTTTGAAGCGTGGTCAGCGTTACGGACCTAACAGTTCTAGAAAGTCTACCCTGTTTGCACTGCTTCATACAGAGTCGACTGACTAGACTTTATGCAAGAGCACTATATTGAGCTCTATTTAAGTGTATTCTTACCGTAAGCCACAGAACTGATGGACTTTTTGAGAAATACAATCGGACTGTAACAATGATGAATAGCTAGCTATGAATAACATTTTAACTTTCTAAGTGAAGCTATAGAATCCCCTCGAAAAGATATTCCCACGTGTATATTGTCAGTTTCGCTATGTCAACCATGGAGTTGATCCGTAATGTGGCGTAGTAGATACCAACTACATCGGTCAGTCGGATAGAGTCAACTTGAAGTCTCCATAGTAAGCGCAAATTGCTTTACTTGCACCTTCTATGCAGTAGTGCTCAACAATCACATGATTTCCATCACCGACCAACTTTGCTAGTTGTCTCAGATCTGAAGTCCTTGGCAGATAGAGGACTATATGTTTGGAAAAAGCTGAATATTCTCGATAAAGATGGCCCAACGAATAGGGTTCCATCGTCTGCAGGTTGAAAACCTCGTCCGACCTATATCCAGGACCTGAAAGGCCAGTCAGCTGTTTTCCCTAAGATAGTACAAAAAATAGGTACCATACCTCCCCACGGAGGGCTAGCAAAGACAACACTATAGAAGCCCAGGTCTTTCAAATGCGTCTTTAAGATCTCGAAACAATCTCCTTCAAACCAAGTAATCTTTGATTGAACGCCGTAGATCTTAGCATTATGCTTGGCGCAAGCAAGAACAGCAGGGTCTTTTTCGATCGCGTACACCCGCTTCCATCGTCCAGACTTAGCGAAAGCTATGCTATTACCGCCTGCCCCAGCAAAAGCATCTATCAGAACGACTTTATCTTTTGGGGTAGATGTAGATATGTGCTCTGCGATTTTACTGCAATTGAATTAGTCGGATTGAACAATAGTAAATGGGAAGCAGTACGTACTTTGCGACAGGTTCGGGCGTAACACCAAACCAGGCATCGTCGGTCAGCCAGATTCCTTCTTCATACTTTGAAAATATGCGATGCCGCTGACTCCAGTAACTAGTACTCCGTTTAGCATAGGCATCAAGACTAGAGTACGGACGGAGGGCCTACTTCTGAATATCCCAAGGAACTTCACCTATGTCGCTGTAGTGATGTACCTCTGGAGGCGCAATTTCTTCAGACTCCTCGGTCATGGCAATAGTTTCGAGACCTTGCCAACCATCCGATGGTTGACATGTTTGTTCGAAGTAGTTGCTGGTAGAGAAATTACTGGAGAAGGTGCCTGTCGCTGCCACAAATTAAAGTGGAGCAGAAGCTATGTTTGCATTGTTTGTTTACATCAACTGTACCCGTTCTGGACAGCTCTCTATAGTCTGCGGGGAAGCTCAAGTTTGCGAATACACATTACCGTTCATTTTCGTGACTGTTTGCTGACTGTTACCTCGTTGCAATAATGTTTGGGGCTCTCAATAGATTTATTGGCCGGCTTGACAGCGAGGCTGTTCAGAATGATTCGCATGGACATGGGGACAACTCATTCGGTTTTCAAATACTCCGCAACAAGGACGGTGATCTCCCTCTAGAACCGTGGTTTGATTTCATTATTGGAATAAATGGACATCTTATTGTGAGAATCGCAATCTCTCAAACGCGTGTGATACTGGCTTACAAGTTTTGCGAATGCAGGAGCCAGATCACAATCTCTTTGTCACTGAGGTCCGTAACTGCGCCGGGTCAAGTGTATCGTTAGAAATCTGGAGCGCAAAGGTACGCGTGGAGCCATTCAAGTCCAGCTACAATATTACCATTCTAATAAGCCCTTAGGGTCAACGAACACATACTATCTCGATTCCAGTCTCGAAAGAGAATCCCTCATTAGGTCTCACATTACAACTCGCGCCATTATCAGTTACACAACACATTTGGCATGTTCTGTCCATACCATCACCCTTGAGCCCTGCCTATCTTGCGGGACTTCTAGAGCACTCCGATTATATCCTAGGGTCACCTAGTGGCACATTACGAGGAGAGTCTGCACTAGGTGAACTGGTGGAGGACCATCTCAACCGAAGTCTAGTATTATGGGTATACAATAGCGAATTCGACGTTGTCCGAGAAGTAGAACTGGTACCAACAAGGGGCTGGGGAGGAGAAGGCGCCTTGGGTGCTGTTCTTGGATACGGAGCATTGCATAGGTTACCTGTGGGTTTGGGGGAAGAAGTTGAAGGGCCCGGTGAAGTCGTCTTTGAAACAAAAGAGGACGGCCAGGAGCAATTGAGGGACACACCCGCATACAATACGAACCCGATATCTCCCACAGGAAATTATCTTGTCCCTGCTAATATGGCTTCACCTCCTCCCTTATCGTCACCTACTAGTTCTCTCAACAGCCCCGCTCCCCCGCGATCAAACAAGCCAGGACGAAGAAATCGACATGCGGGAATCTCACCTAGCAAGACATTTGATGAATATTTCGCTGAAGGGGAACAAAAGAGCAAGGAGGAGGACATTATACCTTCACGAAAGGGCGCGCCGCTTGCACCTCCACCAAAGGCGGGAGATCCGCCGCAACAAATCCAAGCAGGAACGAACGAGGAAGAAAGTGTCTCTGCTGGACAGACGTAATAAAACGCTTTCGGATCATGTATTATTATAACTCCTTCAGGTTCTTCATTTTACGAGGCGTATATCTACAAGGAATGAAATCTTTGCGAGAAGAATAGTAATGAACCTTCGAAGTAAGCACGCCCTGTATGCCAACTAATCACACAAAAGAAAGTCTTGAAGTCTAGAAATAAAACATCTTTTAAAACATGGTTATCAGTCGAGACAAGACTGGTGAAGGAACAAATTTTACAAGGAGCAGAGGCACCATCTGTCTTCTGCGATCATATTGGAGAAATGGCTTCTCAAATCAAACCAAAGGGGCTGTGCTCAACAGTAGTCATATACGAGGTTTTATCGGCCCTTTCTGACCCATTCTTCAAGATATTCGCGGGCCTCTCCAATCTTATCCTCCAACATAGCGCGACCCATCTGGCTATGGGCCACTCCGGTTGTGTATACGTGCTGAATATAAGTGCGCGCTTTGAGGTGGTTGTCAGCCACCACCGGGACCTTCTTCTCATATTCCCAAGCCAAGTCTGAGACATTGCGCATAGTCACCGGCAGAAGTGTCCAAGCGGCAATGGTGCCGAATGCAAGAGGAGTCGCCGATCTCAGAATAATTCCACGGTTCCGGGAGACAATTGATCCAGCCATGGCTGACACGATAACATAAACTCCTCCGGGAAGAAGGCGCTCGCCAGATTCAGGAGACGGAGCTAGAGATGCAACTGTGTTTGTAAAGGCGTTTTCCACACGAAGCACACGAGACAAGAAGTCATTGAAACTGTTCTCGGCGGCAAGGGAGTGTGCATAGAGGAACAGGCGGGCACGCCGAACTTGCGCCGTTAGAAGATCGGTGACGCTAGCTTCTTCTTTTGAAACTGTTTTGGAGATATCGGAAGGGATAGTGACAATGGGCTTCTGTTCTGGAACTGCAACAGACTCAGTAGGATAGTCGTCGTAAATAGGCTTTCTCTGTGCAGCGGAGATGGTTAGTCGTGGTTCCTTTGGCGAAAGGTAAAGCATGACCGGGAACAGCAACGATTCGATCATATACGTACAAGATCCGATGGGCTCTCAGCATAGGCAGTTCGTCGAGGATATGTGACTATGCCTCCAGCGATGAAGGTCGCAGCTATGGGAGCAACGACTCGCTATGTACACGGTTAATAACGGCTTGCTTATTGTCCACATGTATAGCAACGAAATCCGGACAAAAAGGGAGGAGACATACTCGCTGGAACATTGGCCGGAATGCCATCTCGAATAAAGAAGAGGTCAATGGCCAATGGGTGCGACGGTGCGGGTTACCAGTTGTTGAAGAATATGGTTTTCTCAAGTCGTTTGAGGCTTTTGCGGAACTGACGTTTGATGTTGATCGGAAAGGACAGGGCCGATCCAAGCCTATTACGGTAGCTCGGCTGTTCGGGCGACAAGGAACACTTTTCTTCTAGTATCTCCTTTCCTCGAACATCGTATTTGCAGGTCAATGAGAGCAGCAGTTTCAAGATTTTAGGATGCTGAATTCTGTGCGGTCTCGTCCATGGACCTGCAAGGACTGCCTGCAGCGTCTTCATCGCCTACAGCGTTCCCGACCAGAACGTACCTTCGCCACTGCTGTTGCTGCCGACCAGCAGTCTTCCATTGATTATGTCGCAGCAAATAAATTCGCAAAACAACGTGATGACGATAACCTGCGCCGAGTATTCGATTCGCGTTCATTTTGGCGCGAGTTCTCTCAGAGACAAACTAATAGTTCGAAGCGAACCGGCATCGTACAGAATCAATATCTCACAAGCCCTGAAGGGTTCCGTGAGTTTGCGCATACGTCATTACAGAAATGTCAACGCATCGTCTCAAAGGTGTTGGCGGTGTCTACGCTGGAGGGATACAAATCGATGGCTAGAGATTTAGATCGACTGAGTGATCTTTTATGTCGTGTTATTGATCTATCGGACTTTGTCAGAAGCAATCATCCAGATCCGAGGATACAAGAGGCGGCTACACAAGCATACGCGCTCATGTTCGAATACATGAACATATTAAACACAACAACAGGATTGCACGACCAGTTGAAAAAGGCAGCGGCTACTCCTGAAGTGGTATCGTCTTGGACGGAGGAAGAGAGAATGGTTGCGGAAATACTGATCAAAGACTTCTCGAATTCGGCAATCCATATGCCCCCTAAAGATCGACAACGGTTCGTCAATTTATCCAACGATATCAGCCAGTTGGGCTCTGAGTTTGTTAACGGAGCGGAACCCGCAAGACCTCACGTCGTGTTGAGCAAGAGCAGTGTTCAGGGGTTGGATCCGGTGGTTGTACAACAGTTGCAGAGATGGAATAGCGTGCCCATCCCGACCTGGGGGGTAGAGGGACGATTGGCGCTCAGGTCTATGCATGATGAAAATTCGAGGAAGGAAGTTTATATGGCGACACGGATGTCGAGCAGAAGACAAATCCACCGGTTGGAAGAACTTCTTCACAAAAGAGCAGAATTGGCCAAATTGTCAGGATATAGTACTTATGCCCACATGGCATTAAGTGATAAGATGGCCAAAACGCCCGAAGCAGTCTCCAATTTCTTGACAACACTTATTGGAAACAACCGAGTCCAGGTCCAGGAGGAGCTCGCTAAATTACAGAGCATGAAAGAAGCGGCACCGCTACAACCCTGGGACCATGCATACTACGTTCAGAAGCGCGTTTTGGAATACTCAATGTCACGGCGGTCTCGCGAGTTAAGCAGGGTTCCTGAGTTCTTCTCACTTGGAACGGTAATGCAGGGTCTTTCTCGCTTATTTGATCATTTGTATGGTGTACGACTAGTACCACAAGAAACATTGCCTGGAGAAACATGGAACTCCGATGTTCGACGGTTAGACGTTGTCGACGAGGCCGGTCGACACATTGCTGTCATATATTGCGACTTATTTACTCGGCCTAACAAGAGTCCCAATCCAGCACATTTTACACTTCGGTGTGCACGTGAAATAACCGCAGAAGAAATTGCCGAATCTGCGTCTATGGATCCTCCATCTCACCCAAATGATGGAATGGCCACGGCGATGAATCCTGATTCAGACACCCTTCGGCAATTACCTACAATTGCTCTTGTCTGCGACTTCCCGGAGCCCCCAGTATCTGGAAACGGGCCGCCTACACTACTCTCGGAACATAGTGTGAGGACCTTATTCCACGAAATGGGACATGCAGTCCATTCTGTCCTTGGGCAAACACCTCTTCAGTCGATTTCAGGTACACGATGCTCGACTGATTTTGCAGAATTGCCATCCGTGCTTATGGAGAGTTTTGCTACAGCACCAGAAGTTCTCGCACTGTATGCGCGTCATTGGGAGACTGACAAGCCGTTATCCGACAGTATGATGCAAAGCATGGCTGCAGATCGGGCTGCACACGGAAGTATATATGGAGCAGTTGAGAATGAAGCACAGATCTTGATGGCGCTCGTTGATCAAGCCTACCACGCTCTATCAGCAGACGGCGGCAAACGATCCATTGACAGTACTGACATCTACCATCAAGTATTCTCCACGTATTGCACACTCCCGGATCCACAGGACAGTAACCCACGCACATCCTGGCAGGGATTCTTCGGGCATTTATATGGTTACGGAGCCACATATTACAGTTATATATTTGACCGTGCGATCGCGAACAAGATCTGGCAAGACGTCTTCCATGGAGGCAAGCTATCAATTGACCGTGAAGCTGGTGAAAAGTACAAGAACGAGGTTCTTCGCTGGGGCGGTGGACGTAACGGCTGGAGCTGTGTGGCAGGCGTTCTCGGCGACGCGAACCCTTCAAATGCAAATGGACGATTGGCGGAAGGTGGTGAAGAGGCGATGCGTGAGGTAGGTCGATGGGGGCTGGGACGGGATGGGATATCGAGTTGAGTTTGCAGGTTATTTGATACCCTACTTAATAGATACACGCATGTAACGTTACGTCGACAATATGAACATACGTGAAGTCGTACAATAAGTATAACCGTACATGAGAGATATGTGAATGAATTACGATACGTCACAGTCAATTATCTTATAGGATCACTTGGGAATATCTTTTGGTGTTTAGGGGCATAGGTATAACCAACCCGATTAATGCTTATACTCATCTGAGATACGTTCGTGCTAATATTTGGTATATTGATCTATTCCTCTATCTCCTAAATATCTTTGTCAAGAGTGCCTACAAAAAGCAAAGCAACAAACTCCGGATACCCTATGCACCAATGAAGGACTCCCCATGCCTAATTTTCACCTAAATCCATGCATCCATGATAACGCCTGATAGATATTTGAGCTCGAATATTTAGCTTGAAAATTGCGTAACGGAGCAACAGTAGCTCCGGTATACCAAGGTGTATGTTGTAGTCGCACCTATGGATTGTATGTTGCCATTATCGTGCATCAACTCTCTCCAGGCAGCGGTTTCCTCGCTGTGATAGCATGGAAATTTTGATATGCATGAAAGTGTCGATTGCTGATACACTTTCGAACCGAGACCAAAAACACTTCAATCTCAGGTTTCGTCCAACCCAACGCCAGGAACGGTTTGTACGTATATGCCGATAGACCCGTCAACCAATTCTCCTCCTGCCAAGCGCCCAACGTCTTCAATTTAGGGTCTTTCGGCCAAGGGTTCAGGGGCACTTTCGTGACTCGATCGTTGACATCCGTATATCCTTCCTCTCTCATCTGTGCCGCCAATTTATCTGCAATCAAAAACTGGCGATAGGGTTCAAATTCTTCGGCGGCTTTTACTTCCAATTCTATCCAGTCATGTAGAGCGTATTGACTGAATCCGCCCTCTGTGTTTGGCGGCGGGACTGTGTTATCGTCACATCTGGGCACGGGATCCATGTCGTGCCATTCCAGCCATCCACCGGGTTTGAGAACGCGCATGGCCTTTCTGAGTATATCTTTGACTGAGGGAAAGGAACCGGTCATGTTGCTTAAGCGAATGTAGTCGAAGTGGTTCGGTTCCCAGAGCCATTCTTCTGTGGCGTCTTCGACTAGGAAATGGACGTTGGGTGGGACTTCGGTGGGTTGGACTGGGGATAGATCGGTGCCGGTTATACTTGCTTCGGGGAAGAGGCTCGCTCGAGACGAATGTTAGTGATTTGAATCTTTATTTCAGGGGACAAAGGTAAAAGGTAAATGTACCCATTTCTATCGGCCAGATCCCGGAACCTGTGCCGATATCAAGGATCCGTTTAGGATCTCGCAGGGGTGCGAAATGTAGTTTGTCATCGTTGACTTGTTTCCATATATGATGCTGCATATCGAGTCGATCGAGTTCCTGCTCATCATTTGGGTATGGGTATACTTAGAAAGTTTAGTAGTACGTATTGGCCAAGTCGTTTTGAGGTCGGTATGAACTTACATCCCTCGTGGTACTTGTGGTACCTTCGGCCATGCTCAAATGGGAATGCCGTAACACTTTCCGTCAAGGACTGAGTGTCACTGTTGGGGAGAAGTTAGCAACCGGCTTCTTGCAGTTGACTGTTCCGTTCCGTCTTTGACAGCTTCCGATAACGTTGAGATGTTGGGGGTATGAGATCAAAAGGGCCGAAAAATTTGCTTTGCTTCATGTCTCTAGGCATGATATGGAAGAGGTTCCTACCATTCGTTCGAGGAGTCCTGTAGTCAACAATCAGCCAACAAATTCTCGTAAATAAGACAGCGAGAGCCAGGGTATCGTCCGCTAATGAATCGAATGACTTTCATTAAAGCACATTCTACTCTGCGGCAGTATGATCACACTTGAACTTTCAAGATAGTCACTTACGTCTGGAGTCATTGCCATTACATGCAGTGTCCGAGTCTGGTACAGCAGAGATCACGAAGTGATTGCTTGGCAACTTGTGGACTCCGATAAAAATGAAGTGATATTAGCGTATATAAGAAGATGTAGATGGATCCTTCATATAGAGAAAAAATAAACGTAAATCAATTGGAAATGAAGGCTTTATGGAGAGAACTAAAATCAGCTCGGTCATATAGCGGGCATATATGGGTGAAGGACGGAATCTGGTAAAAAGGGTTCATGTCCGGTTATAAAACCACGTAAACTGAATTGAACTTAACTGAACTAAGTAACATTTCAAAGATTAGCTCCAAAAAAAGACACACCAGAGGACTAATGCAGGAAGTTCAAGCCGGAGGGTTCAGGCTTTCTGGTGGATAAAAGCTAAGTCTCTAAGTTAGGTTAAGAGTTACCCGGAAACTTAGCCATTTGGTGTACGGTACCGTGGATCTGGTTCTTAGTTCTACTACTTTGTATGTATTATTTCTAGACCTGTAAAGGTAGGTAACCTCCGTATATTTTCTTTTTGATGTACGGAGTAGTTACCGTCTCCTCGGGATTGTATGTGTATCCATCGCTATGTGGATTTCATTTTTCCATTCTTTGATTAACGCATCTCGACTACAGCTGCAACTACAATCCATCAATCACCGGCCAGCAGGCTACCCGAGCGACTGGGACAAGTCATGCATACAGCTAGACAAGTTACACTGCATACATAGTCCATTGACCCAGCTGATGTGTAAACCAGATAACCCAGGTAATAAAAAGAAAGGCGGGGAAAGCAAATGATTGACACTATTGAACAAAACCCGACCTGCTGGACCTGGGTGTGCTAGTTGTACCAACAGCTGCTGCTTTTGTCTTTGTTCCAGACACCGAGTCGGTTTCTCTCTCATTCCAGTGCTGAATGCGGACATGGTGTTCTGTGGCACCGCACTGGCCTCACCCTGGGCTCTATAGAGAAGTGAGGATGCTCAGCTGCTTCATTTTACCTGGGTAAATTGATCAAGATATAAATAAAATGCTCAAAAGTGGGAGATGGAGGGTATGTACAATTTCCCGAAGAACATGGTTGTTGGTCCGATCTACATATTGTGCAAGCCAACTATGCATAATCGTGGATATTATTGACAATTTCTTAGAATTAAATTCGAATCTGCAGATGAATCCCTGAATAATATAAACACAAAGACAATCGGCCGCCAGAGAGGTAGTTCCATTCACGGTTAGTGGCGATGATTTCCGAGTAGGTGTGCCCTAAGCCTGTAACCACAACTCATGAGTCATGTGTGGAATAAGCAAGTGTGTAGGTAATAACTTGATATTGAATGGTTTTATAGGTATGTAATAAGTCAATCATCAAGATTTTCGACATTCGTATGATGTCAGCTAAGCTAGTACGTACTCGATGAAAATTATGAGATAGGGACTGGTTTATTCTGAGTGTTGCAGGCCAAGCCTTGCAAAAAACCGACTGATCCTCTTTGTTAGGCAGCCCGTTAACACCACGATAAATGGGCCAGTTCAATGCTACCGCCGTGGCACCGGTGGCATCCAGTTCGTTGCATTCTAAAATGGCACAGGCCCAGGCTAATGTAGCTAAAAGACCTTAGTAGCGAACACTAGCTACCAACGGAGGCACTACTCGGAGAAGATTCAAAGCTAAGGAGTTAGGGCAAGGCCCGCCTCGAATCGCTTGGCCCAGTCCCGAAGCACCGTTTAGAGCCCCTGCAAATCTGACACCGGACACTAGAGTAAGGTCCCAGTCCATTGGGATTTTGAACTTCACTTGCATCACTGTATATGTCTTGTGTGGAAAACTGGAAATATGCAATTCAACTAACTAGCTAAGCACTGTACGGAGTAGGTAATCCGCAGTTAATATCAGGGGCCGGAAGACCGTGCATTTATAGTCGGGGCAGTTGCTACGTAGCCTACTACACATGCCATGGGGAATCTCGCATCTGAATACAAGTTATCAAGCTGGCTTTGAATGATAAGCAAAGAGGAATGATAAGCAAAGAGCAGCATCAATGGTGGTGAATATAGACCGCCGTTTCTTTTATACGGACTCAAGGATTCAGAGAGCAAGGTTGCTCCTTGTAAAGCCGGCTTTACTACGTACAAAGAGTTCCTGTCTCGATCGCAGGTCAAAAATAGACACAAGAATTCAAGCGTCCCAAGTCCTTGTAAATGTAAAGAGTGCGCATTGGCCAGAGTGGGCCAGCTGGAAAGCGTAAAAAGCAACGAAGCCCTAAGCGGCCCGGCGATGCCCACCAAAAGGTTCCTTCCGGTCGGAACGACTCCATTAAAGGAGGATTATTCAGAATCCTTTCTTCTTGGCTTGATGTGCATGATTTTCTCCTTTTACGCACGTCAGAATTGACATCAATCTCTGCACCGAGTGTAATCGAGTCACAGATCATCGTCCTCATTCACATGGCGCTTCCCGTCTGCCAGCATTGCCACTTACACAGCATTACTGGGCATTTCAGTTCAGAGTGAACTACGTATACACGAAGATACTATCGAAACTAGCCTCATCCGATTTGGATTAGAGTCTGTGAATGAATAGTAATACAAGACGATATTTTGTCATTTCCTCATTTATTCCTACGTACTTAACTTACTTGAGTTAGTACATACGTACACGTAGTTAGAGCTCGGTCAGACTTTGTTGAATCATGTCAGTGGGCCTAATTCCTTATGCACCTGTACGTAATTTCACATTGACGTCGTATTCGAAATGTCCATCGAGGATCGCGACTTCAACTAAGGGGCCGACATGCCATATTCTTTGCTCCTACTCGTGTCAAACCCTAACCGAACTACGGCATCTTTTGTCCGGAACCAGCATCATCCCTGTAGTCGGGGAGATTTGAAAGAAAAAGACGATGAAGAAAAAGAAAAGAGACAAGTCTAGCTCTAAAATACTTAGCGACTCCAAAACTGGGGACCCGAAATGGGGCATGACCCAACGCACCGGTGCAGTTTTTACTTTTGCGACTTTTTTTGTTCTGTTCGACAGACACCAACAGGGATGCTCCCGGTGCACAAACCCCCGAAATATTCGTCTGGCCTGACCAGTGACTCCTGGATCGCTGGACAGTGATTTAGCGGATTTGTTTCAATCTCGGCTGCAGTCACTAAGTTAGGAATTGATTATTATTCATTTGGACTTGAAGGCTACCATTCAATAGATATAGGCATGTTTCATCTCGCTGTTCACAATGATTCTGGAGCTCTGTAGCCCAGACCGCGGGCATGGATGTCCACTCTGTTGCAGTGTAAGAGAATACGAACACGTTACTAAGCCTCCAAATAGCATAACTCTCTGATCGCTAATCCCGAAACCTCCCCTAGAGGCTAATCTCTTTTCTGCATTCCTCAAAATTAGGAACAACATCAGACCGTTTGAACTAACTTCTCTGGCATGCATAAGCGTCGCAAGTGGATATGTCTAGAGTCTAGACTAGTTTTAGTACGAAAATACGTATGGCCATTTCACCCAGGTCGCACTCCGGTAACGTAATTTGGCTGTGTAAAATAAATAGCTGGTTTCAATTTGCTACGGAGACGGCCTGGGAGTATGTACGCACGAAGTCGTAACTATCTACCGCAAAGTCCGACAGAAACGGAGTCGAATGGAATCGGCGCCGAGTAGTCCTGATAAGATTTGAGCTAATATAGGTCAAGGAAATTTGTGAAGAAAACAGAACGCATTGTCAAGTTTCAAGAGGTAGTCTCCCGTATCCCGGCTTTTTGATCAAGGATGGAACGTTCAGAAGACTCTAGCTAAAGTTGTAGTAGGATTAAGATATAGTCAGCTCTACTTCCATTGCAAACATTATACAGCCAGTTCGCACAACTACCTAGGTTCTACCATCACACTATAATCAACCGCTATAAAATAAATCTCACATCCCAGTAAACCGGCTCCGCTCGCGCAGGCGAGCACCGTAGCGGTAAAGAAGGAACATCCCTACTATACAAAAAACACACTGAAACTGGCGAGCAACGTTACATTACTAGACACATACATTGTTAATTCCAGCGAGGCCACTCACCAACACCATAGATCTGCATAATGTCTGAAGTACTGGCAGTATACAGCGAGGAGCCAATGTAGACCGAGAACCTGTAGACAAAGAGTATGGAAACCCAGAGTTTCTTTCTGAAAGACCAGTTGTGAAGGTTATCTGGATCATCTTTGCTATGCCACCCGACAACCAAAAAGTAGACCTCCTTGTTAGCATTGCCTGAATCTCCGATTGAAGACTGTAAATCAAGATATCCGGCCGGTATCTGAAATTCAAGTTGCTCTTCAGGGGATCTGGCCAGCTTCCTGCCAGTGGCTAGACGTAGGCATTTGCCAAAGGTCGAGTCTCGGGTATGTGACCGTATGTCCCACATAGTTAAAGCTGGAAGTTTGTAATGATAGATGAAGATGCACGCGAGTATACTGAGGGGAGGACGTCTTTCAGCGTAATTATATCTACTCCTGCTTCGTCACTTGTCTGACCATCTTGATAATTTGATATAGGAAGCGCGCAAAGCTAGCCCCTTTTAGCTAGCTTTGTGCGTTGTGACAGACTAGTGCTTAGATTTAGCCAGTCAAACCGTCTAAGCTCTTCTGTTCTCTCACTTTGATTTCATCCCTCCTTGTTAGGAGCATGTGCTGTTCGGTTTTCACTTGGAAGAGGCTTTTTTTTTTCTCTCTGCTTGTCAACTGGATGCAGTAACATGCCCCCCCCCCCGCCCCCCAAATGAGAACATGTCCTTCCGCCATTTCCTGGAACGGCAAGCTGGTATACTCCTTAAAGAAAAATATTAGACCCCAGTGTGAAAGAATCGAAGGAAAGCCATACCTTGGACATAAGTGTACCCTGTCCAATCCTCATGTGCCGCCAACTCCAAGCAGGGCACTTCCTTGCGTAGCTACGGATGAGCGAAGACACAATTGAGCAAGTAGAGAGCACATATAAATGGTGCAACAGTAGTAAGCCTTCCACAGAGCGGCCAATCCCTGGAGATTTGCTAGATGAGATAATTGCTTGCAGGTAATCGTGCAAGTTATTAGTAAGATGGTATAAAACAGACGCAATGATATCGTTGATCAGAATGTGCACCTGCTGCTCCCATCCCATCACAATATTTGTCTGGATAGACTCCTCGATTCGAGATGCGAGATGGATTGAGATATCCAATAGCATCAAGTATGTCTTCCGATATGTGTTCATGACAGCTGCAACATATATGTCAAAATAGGTATGAACTGGGTCAGACCGAGCAAATGGACATGATGAAGCTTCGGCATCTGTCTGGGTGATATGGCCCACTATATGAGCCTTCCACGAAGGGTCTAGGTTGACATTCCAGAGCGAGAAGGCAAGTTCTATTGCAAGCGCACAGTCAAGGGTGGTTTGCAGCTCCTGAAGTGTGCCTAATGGGTTCTGTAGTTGCGCATTTGCACGTTTGCACGTTCAAAAAGTGGGTGACACTCTGTCAGGATGAAATCCAAGTTTTGCACAGCATGATTTGACGCAGGTGCACAGAGGACGCTGCGGCTGTCTTGAATCTAATTTTAGTTTAGCAAAGAGCCAGAAACCGTGGAATAGTAACAATTCGAAGCTGGTAGTCTGGCTTAATATCAAAGGGTTTGCCACCTGCAACAACCGCGTACTTGACAGTAGATCAAAAGGGTAATTAGGGCTCAGCAGCAGAGCACAGACTCCCCGGACATGGGCAACATGCTTTGTTGTTCAGAGGAAATTTCACCACCACTGACAATCTCATACAGATCAAGTAGGATGGCAATTACTAGTGCCTCCACGGTGGGCGCGTGTGTTTGGCAGGACTGTAATAGGACCTGAAAGGAACGTAGCAAGCTAACATACTCTCTCCTTGCCCTCACTAGGGATTCAGGCCGAGCTAACTGAATACCTATGCTCGTCCAAGCGACGATCTCGACGGCTTGGACAAGGTTTGAGGAGCGATGGGCGTTGGAGAGGAGGGAGGGTAAACCATCCAAGAACCCGCGGGAAACTCGAGGATCTGTCGAATAAACAACATACTGGTTCAGAAAGAAACCAACTGCATCCTCTGCGATTGAACCCTCGCTTATTGGGAACGATTGCACAGGCACATTCATGGTAACAATATGGTGGTGGAAGCGTAATTCATCGTTGCTCCTATACCCCAGACAGACTCTCCCCGATCTAAAACAGCGACTGCAGGCCTATCCGCCGGACGAGTTAATATCAGCCTGATGGCCGCCAAGTGCAATAACAGATTGGGGTGTCATACCGGGGGGCCCTCGTCACACTTTACGGAACATAATTAGTCACCACAAAGGTATTGTACGCATGGATAACATTCCACCTTCTCTCTCCGTTCCTACATGTCTCGCAGGCACGAGAAACGCCGTAGTTGACCATTATGGATGTGCTGTGCCGGTTAAAATCAGATCAAGGATGAATTCAGACAAAGACGAATCAGGTAGCGTATATGTACTATGTAGACACATCCTATCGCTGTCTTTATCACCTCTATTAATTGGTTGCATCAACCTGCTATTTGACATTTTCCGCCTTCAAATCACTAGGGAAATCCGAGACCCTGGCTGTTGGTCCCATTGCAGCGCTAGGAAATGTAGAATGCAGTAGTGCTATGCAATTACTCCTCACTCGGGTCCTTGGGCCACTACTGAACATGTCGACGTGCATCACTGAGGCGTACTAGGATTTGAATGTCGTCTGCATGCAAATGTCGGCTAAAATATGCAGTTTTCCGAGTAACAAAGTACAGCACAGCGCCCTGCTTTCTCTGACAGGTGTTCCGCCAATGCACGTCAAAGATTAAAAACCAGAGGGATTTTCATCGATGATGGAAAGTCGCAAGAAGTACATTAATTGCTGCCTTAGGCACATAAAATTAGTCATCCATTGTGCCAAGACTTGGAGCTGCCAAAATCGACATCTCCGAGACTCCGACACAAAACATAAATCCCGTAGACAGTATCAGCGCCAATGCAGTCGATATCGTGCTGTCAGTCAATTGATTCTTTGCAAGCCCTTAACCACCTCTCTCTGACATGTCCGTTGGTAGCCATGCCTATCGGCATGCGCTACAGCGTTCTCCTTCTCGCCTCGACTACGTCTGGATCAGTGACGAACTTCTCTCATCAACGTTCCAGAGGTTCGTGAAGGGTCAGCGTCGTTACGGAAGTCGAGTTCCCGGTCCATTGGAAGCTAGCAAGCGTCTCGCAAAAAGGAGGAATACTGCTTTAGCTGTGGGAGGGAGTTCATTCGACCCTGCGGCCAATGTTGCTCATTTATTTGGAGCCAATGGCACGGGACACGTTCGTCAATGGGACGATTCTCCGTGGTCCTCGCGCTGGCCAGAGCCGTTGGGTAAGTACTGGATGATATTTCTGATTATTGTTACGAAACACCTTGGAACATTTATTCATGGAATTTTTTGCAGAGTTATTTTCCTACTCCGATCAACCTCCTCCGCCTCCCAACCCATCCTTTCTCGCGCATGCAGAAAGCTCCGCAGAAGCCTCAGGTGACACCATTGAACCACTACCATCTGAGAACCCGACATTCGCGTCGTCATTGACAAGCTGTAAGACCATACATGATGTGAAAGAGGCATTGGAGTGGTACCATATCGATCTTCGACAAGAGCCGGAACAGAGCCGCAGGATCTTCAATCACCTCTACCAACTCATCTCACAAGAGAACCAAGCCTCTTCTGTTCATGAGCTTCTGGAATTCATGGATGACTCGAGTCTCAACATATATGGAGTGGGTAATTATGCCAAATTAATTGAACTTCTTGGTTCAGCGAGCTTTGCTGCGGTCTACAAAATCAAGCTAGTCGACAACGTCACGAAAGCTATTGGCCTTGGTCTTGTACCTGTTAGGGAGATCAGTCAAATCCTCCGGCTTTTGCCAGCATCAGTATGTGGGAATGGATCGCCTCGTCATCCTCCGGAAGCTGAAACGCTGGGAAAAGTTTTTAACGATGTCTGGTCCTCATTGCAGTCGTACAGTGTGTTCAAATTGCATGAGATTGATCATGATATTCTCGAGCCATGGATCGAGCAGCTACTATTCTTGGGTAATGACCGGTTTCTACGTTTAGCAAAGCGTATATTGGCCGCATATCATAAATCGATGAGAAGTCTCTCTTACTCCATTTCACTGCGAGCCTTAGACATTCTATCTTCGGAAAGAGCATTGGTTGATCACAACATCTTTGCGACATACCTTGAACGAGCTTTGATGCTTGGAGATGAAGCTTCTCTAAGCTACGCGAAGGATATCATTGTAACACATCATCGATATGAGCGGACTCCGTTAAAGCCGATTGTCAACACCCTACTGCAATATCTTGTCACATCACGATATTCAACTGATCTAAAAGGAAATTCTGCCATAATTCTACCGGAACTCTTGTGTCAATTGAATGCAGATGTCGCCACGGAGTACATCATTCTGATGACCGAACGTCTGGTTCTTACAAAACGTGAGGATAATACTCGTGCTCACGCCCTCAAAGTTTTGCGGAATTGTCTTCTCCACGTCGATAGACCGACTTTACTTTCGTCACACACATGGTCCACACTGAAAGAGGATGGCTCTTTGAGCACATCTAAAGGATTGAGACTTGCTCTCCGTATGTGGACTTGGATCGCGCTGGGCACCGCGCCTCATCGGAGACCAGTGAGGTCCAACTTAGTCCGTACTCATCAGAGAAGTGTATACGCTTCTGGAATTTCCATACTGAAACTCTTCGACGATGTTACTACAAGCATTATGTGGCAATCCCATGGGAACAGGTCAGAGCTATTACCCAAACTAGTGGCAGGTCTTCAACAGCTTGACGTTCCAAGTAACCAGGTATTGAGGAAGGTGTATACACTTCTCAGTCACAGACAAATCAAGAATCTATCGACTCTCCAATATTTTCAAAAGCTTGAAGAGGGACGCTTGACGCTAGAGCAGGCCGCCCTGCAGCGAGACGTGTTCAATTCCACCAAGCATTACCTTTTATCCTCCCACCTGAGGTTCATACAAAATGTCGACGTTACCAGCTCTGACTTTATTGAAAATATGGTTGAGATGATAGAGAAAGATAACGGCAAAATTCGCGATATGATCTTTCTCATCTCACTTCACACGCCTTTGAAGATTGCCTTAGCTATGGCTAGCACTCGCAACGCGGGGCATATCCCCAACACGAAAAGAGTCAAGGCTATCTTGCGACTAGAATCCAAGGGCAAGCAACTATATCTCGAACCAAATGCCTGCGTATCATTCATACATCTATTGGCATCCTCGATCGCAATATCAGATAAAGTGAGTCCCCGAGCGGCATTTAATCTTGTGACGTACCTATACCGCTACCTGATGTCACACAATGCTCCAGTGAAACCTAATTTTGTTCGTGCTATGTACCATTGCGGTATTACGCGATTTAGTCAGAATGGACTACGGGTATCTGGGGTCCAGGAGGATTATATTATGCAGGTTGTGCGGAGGCATGAAGAGCCGGAAGCAGCTCGCGGATTGATGAATGGATCGTACATTGAACGCATCTATTAACGCATGATGAAAGAGTAAATGTATATATAGTTAGACCAGAATCAATGATACCCAGTGTATGCATGATGAATCATGATCTGCCTTGTATTCGAGCCCCGAACCGTCAAAGACGCCCCTACAAGCTGTCGAAATCATTACATCCCCAAAAATACCGCTTTCTCCAGCGACAGTCTACTGCATTGCACAAGAGCAAATGGCGATTATCAACTCATTCTTGCTATCATCAGCACTAAAAAAGGTAGGTAACTAAACTATGAATCAACCTCCATCCTCTCCACAACATTAGAATCCTCTTCTGCGCCCAATTCTTGAATAGTGACATATTTTCCAATATCATCCTTCTTGATAACCTTCTCCTTGAGCCAAGATGTGGTACCCCGAGGGAACTTGTAATCGCGAGCTTTCTGGCCACGTTCATTAGGCTTAATGTAGTTCCTCAACAACTGAGTGGGTTGATCCTTCTCGATAACGCAGACATCGACGTTGCTACCGGATCCCAAGTCATTGAAGATACCGGCCAAAATGGCCTCGGAGCAGAGAGCGATAGCACCTTCTTTGTCCAAGTTTGGTTTCCACATTGATTCGAATACGGACATGGCGGCGAGCGATCCGGAACCCATAGTCACATAGGGCAGTTTGTCGGTCGAACCGTGTGCGTGTACGGTGAAGAGATGGGTGCCGGTAGGGTCGACACCAGCGACCACGAGATAGGCGCCAATGTGTCCCTGATATCTGAAAAGGTGCTGCTTAAGCATAGTCATGCAGGTAGCAACACGGGGTGGTCGACCTGTTGACAACGAGTGTAATTCGATATTTGAGCTGATAAGAGCCGTTGTGAATTCGGTGTCGGCTGCTGTTCCTGCACCGGCGCACCAGATCTGGGGGGAGATGAAATGGAGCTTTTCGCAGTTTTTATCGGCGACAATAGGACCGCTTGTGGCTCGTGTATCTGCTGCAATCTGTTTGTTCGAAATATGATGGATTAGATAAAGGTTCGTTGAAAAGGGTAGCTATCTTAATAGCTATGATTTGGAGCCTCCCGGCATGTGTGTCGACCTACCACTACACCTTTGTCGTATATACATCCGACAATAGTTGTACCTGTACTGGTAGCTTTTGGCAAAGGAGCGCCTCTGGCGTGTAGGGCCGCATTGCGGTTGTAGTTAGAGAAGTCGAAGCCAGGCATATTGACAAGTAGGCAGCTAGCTCAACGGCAACGACGCAATGGAGTTTCGAGGATGCTGGGGCTACCACACAATAGGGATAAAAGTCAATTGTGACAGCTTCAAAAATCTGCCAAGCTCACAAAGGGATGATAACCGGAAGAAATGAGAGTGTGAAGTGAGGTGAAGCTGAGGATGATGGAGATGGTTGAATGAGATTGAGCCGCGAGACAGAGAGCTGTGTGACAAAGCTCCGGGTTGCCAAGCTTTAATTGACACCTTAGAAACTAGGCTAAGGATATATTGAGGCCTCGATAATCAGGAATCGAAACCGCTCTGGTTTGTATTACAAACAGAGAGAAAGAGCTATCTATGAAATTAAATTAATGAATATCACGAATGCAATCATGGTTGCAATTGTCCTACAATATCATCAGGTTTTAACTGATATGTCCAGCTGTTGTTACTTGTTGCCTGAAGTATAAGGCATAAATTCGTCCCACCCCCCAAACACGATTTTGTGAGCTCCAGCCCGAAGCGCGATCACTTTAGCTCTCCAACCTCAGTGTCATCCTCAGATATATTTGCGCCACCTTTCTCAGACACCAATCTGGCATTTTCTTTCGATTTTGCAAGAGCTCTTGCTTCTTGCATATGTTATCCTTGCTAATTCTGTCTTTTTACGCTTCATCCTGCTTTTCCCCGTCAAGAGGGAAGGTCAACAAACATTTTTGACCGCACCTTGCATTTGTTCAACCGGAGTCCTCGAGCACTCCGAAGCCGCTCTTTTTCATCGCCTCCTCGAAATTGGTCGTCTCCCAATGTTTTAAGTCGCCATTTCTCTCTAGGCGAAAATAACAGGCGCCCACTCACTACTGATCTACCTAAACTGATGATGTCGTTTGGGTCTGGTGGCGGCGCTCTTGCCGGCGATGCGTCAACAGAGATAGGACCTGAGCTACCCGAAGTCGAGACTTCAGTATGTTAATGCGCTCTGAATTATTGAGAAGGACTGCTACTGATACCACTTTCACATTTTAGGAACTCGGATTTCTGGGACTAGATAAAGATTACAACATTCAGTTCCTACCTACACCATGGCCTACAGATGCCCTTCCGGCACCGACGAGCTCTCTATTGACGATCTCAAGCTTACAAGGCTTAGTAGTTGGAGGTGGCCCTGAAGGCCTCGTTCTAGCCACGACGAAATCGATCCGCGATACTATCTCCACCAAAGCTGAATCCGGGCCCAAAACAAAACCATTTCAACCCCAGGCTCATATCTCATTACCTAGTCGCCCGACACATGTTGCTTTCTGTGCTACCGAGAGTGCATTGGCTGTGGCCATGGAATCGCATAATCAGTTGGTTATATACGATTCTACGACTCTTGGAAACGGCAATCCTCAGCCTCAGATCTCCATTGATACTAATAGCCCACTTCGCTCTTTAACCCCTAATCCTTCATCAGAAAGCGACCTTTCTTCCCTTGTCGCCTTGGTTACTGTAAACGGCGACCTTCTAGTTGCAGACTTGAAGGCTGGGTCTTTAGTCCATGGTCAATCAGGGCCCATTTTTAGGAACGGTGTCGCTTCTGTCACATGGAGCAATAGAGGAAAACAGATGGTTGCTGGTCTCGTAAATGGCAGCCTTGTTCAACTAGACCCTAAAGGGGTGGTGAAAGCCGAAATTCCTCGACCACCAGCGCTGGAGGGCAACAAACACGGTGAGTGCATCTCTTTCTTCCTTGATTGAATCAAGGCTAATCTGCCTAGTATCATCCATATCGTGGCTGGAGAACAACCTTTTTTTCGCGGTTTATACTCCAAACGAAAGCGAAGATGACGCGGGTATGGTTCCTGACTCGGACTACTATATCATAGAGCGCCATCCATCCAAACCTCTTTTATACCGGCAATTGCCAATTATATGTACGCCTTTTGGTCTTAAGAGGAGCCCGGCATATCATTTCATAGCTCGACTCAGCAAGTATGATCCCGGTTTGAAGGATGCCTTGATTATATCCTCCACCGCTTCAACAGATATTGGTTTAGCCACTAGAGTTGAAACGCCGTTTAAAGAAGCCGATGAGATGACCAAAGACGTCTTTACCACAACGACCGTAATGGAAGAGACTAGGCGAGCAACGCTACCTTTGAATGCGGACTCAATGGAGACATCTACCATTGGCCTTATTCTCGACTTGACAAGCACGGAGACAGTATCCTATGATGTGGAAAAGGAGACCAAGACCCCTCTTCCCAATATTATGGTCCTGACAAATGAAGGTGTCCTTTTATCGTGGTGGTTCTTCTACTTCAAAGCGATCGAAGCAGGGTTACCGTACAGTACCACTGCGACTGCAAGCACTACACAACAGCGTCCAGCTCTAGCCCCTCCGTCAACCCCTGCCCCTACGTTGGCATCTGCTCCGAATATCCGGCCGTCATTCGGACAACCAGCTTTTGGTCAAACTGGTTTTGGTGCACCACAGTCTCAATCTAGTGTATTCGGAAAGCCTTCTAGCACGCCAACAACGCCTTCTTTTGACACGACGTCTGCATTTGGGAATTCTCAGAAGCCTACATTTGGAGCGCCATCGACTCTTGGCGGAGGGACGAGCTTTGCATCCACAACACCCATTAAACCACCCGCTTCTACTTTTGGGAGTCCTGGCATTCTGGGACAGCGTGGATCGTCATTCGGCCAACCTGGCCTTGGCCTTGCATCGAACTCCCAGCCAGCATTCGGTCAAGTTGGTGGTCTGGGAGGCAAAGGGTTCGGTGGTTTCTCGTCGCCCAGTGCGGCTCAATCAACATTCAATGCAGGAGCCACCGCGTCTGGAGGCGGGTTCAGCAATTTCGCCAAAAGTGGTGGATTTGGAGCTATAACATCATCGCAACCTGCTGAAAGTCCCTTCGGCAAGCCATCAACGGATAGTCCTTTCGGGAAGCCAACACAGGCTACCTTCGGGACTACACAGGCTAGTGATGACTTCAAGTCGCCGTTTGGTCTTCCAAAGGGAGGTTTCAAGATAGGGTCCACTTTCAAACCGGATGAGAAATCAGCTGCAGATAATGAGCCAACATTCGGAAAGCCATCAAAATCGGGAGCATTCTCACTAGGTTCATCATTCGGCACTCTTCTCGGCGGTGATGTCGAGAAGACCAGCCCTCCAACTGAATCCATGGATGATACACAAGACGTAGCCGCAACACCATCGGATCAAAAACCCCCAACATTATTTGGGAAGCCCACGGCGTTCGGAACACCTCAGAGCCCTATAACCAGTCCTCCAAAGATCTCCGGTCTTTTCGGCACTCAATCTCAGTCAACTACTACACCTGCGGCAGCTCAAACCAGCAGACCCTCGATGCTTTTCGGTAGTAGCTCTGCAGCTTCGCCATTCAGCCCGTTGTCTCCTCTGTCAGAGAAGACGGTGGTACCAACTTTGTCTTCAGAAAGGGAGAGCGTCGAAGCACCTTTGCCTCCAGATGCTACGAGTAGAGCCGTCTATGGACCTGGAGACACATCAGCTTCGTCAAATGTCTCTAAAAGCTCGTATGATGAAGCACCTCTGCCTCCGAGCTTCACGAAAAGCAAGAAGATCGACGATGCGCCTCTCCCTCCCGACTTCTTGAAGAAATCAGAGAAATTGCCCGAGCCGGAATCGGCACCGTTACCTCCTGATTTTCTCCCCAGAGCAAAAGAAACGAAGGAGCCTGCTTCTGACGTCCCCTTGCCTGTCAAGGAAGAATCTATCTTACTACCACATGAGTCAGAAGGTTCGGATGGTGACTTTGAGGATAGTGGAGAGGAAATCACACATGATGTCTCTCCACCAAATGAGACTGTAGAGTCGGAGTCTGCTAGCTTCAAAACATCGCCGGAGAGCTCTTTTGGTGGAACTTCTCGCAAGGAGCCCACTGGAGGTCTGTTTACAAAAGTCACGATTCCAGAGTCCCAACCTCGAGCACAACCCTTGAAGCCGTTATTCGGCGAGATTCCACAGCCAAGTATTCCCCCTCCAAAACCACAAGCTAATGCGAAAAGCCCTCGATCTCCTAGTCCTGTGCGACCGGGCGCACGGAGAGGCCATCTTCGTCCTGAACAAACCCGTTCAACAAGCGCGCCGAGTGTTCCCAGATCTATGTTTGGTTTTAAGCCGACTCCGGCGAAACCGCCACCATCGCGATTCGAGGAGCCTCTCAGTCAGGGTGATCTTATCGAAGAGGAAGAATCCAAAGCTGCAGCCGCCGAGAGCAAACGACTTGCTTCCGAAGCAGAGTACTTGTCATCGGACGACGAAGACTTGTTAATACGTGCGGAGCTGGATCAGCCACTAGTTCCTGCGCCAACGTTGGATCCTTTCATACCAAGACAGGAGTACAGCGGAGAACACTTTAAGCCCGGCATCCCAGGTCAGATTGAGAGGCTTTATCGCGATATCAACTCAATGATTGATACATTAGGATTGAATTCTCGCTCAATATCCTCTTATATCCTATATGAGGAAGAGAATCGTACCGCAGATCTTAGCGAGTGGCAACGAATCTTATTCAGCGACACTCCAACGAACATTCTCGATCAAAATATTTCGATTTCTGACATCGAGAATGTTGAAGGACTCTTGGAATTCCTGGCAGCTCGTCTTGAAGAGCAACGACTAAGCAATGTACAAGAGAAAATCAACGAATGCCAACGACTACTAAGTAATGATATCTTCAATCTACATGATCAGTGTGTCCATATCCAAAGAATTCTGGATTCATACTCAGACACGGTTTCCGTTCGCACACAACCCCTATCGGCAGAACAGGCCAGTTTGCAACAAGATCTGAGGAAGGCATCTACTTCTATCCAATCACTGTTGACAGAATTAGAACAAGGTATCACGCTATTGAGGGCTAAGATTGCCGATTTTTCTGGCGTGAATAGATCTCTGTCCGGACGATTGACAACCAAGAAACCCACCGTTGAAGCTGTGACCTCTACAATTGCTACAATGATGAATATGGCTGAAAGTAAAAGCAGCGATATCGATGTTCTGGAAGCACAGATGAAGAAGCTTGGGATTGAGCTCCGATCCTCCACCAGTCGGGAAGGTTCTCCTATTTCCACCCCCATCAAAAAATTCGGCTTCCGAGTTCCTGTCACACCAGACTCAGACGGCAAACGAAGCCCCTATCAGACTCCACAGTCTACTAGTAGGTTTCAGGCCAGTGTGAATGGATCAGCGAGGCACAGTCGTCTTCGCAACGTCAATTTTCAATCGGAATCTATTCCGAACCAGGATAGCGATGAGTGGAAGACGCGGACTCGGCGGCGAAAGGAGATCGCTAGAAATCTCAAAAGGGCAATTGGAGAACGTAAGGTCAAAGTGCGAACTATGGATGACGATTGAAATAAGGACTGTATTACAAAGATGGTTCAGGTCAAATTAATGCATGCATTAGTTTATTTTATAATTTATGTTATCAACAGGTTGCAAATCTATTCTACATTTAAAAGTGTTTCCTCGCCATGAAACATGCTAAACTTTCTGTGTTGTTAGATACGTAGATAAGATAAGCAAAAAAGCCTCATGTTCCGCTCTAAATTAGGACTAGCGCATGACTTCAGATCGGCGGCTTGAGGCGGGTCAAATCTTTTTTTATTGCCTCTAGCCACAAAGCACTGAGCTTCATTCACCATCTTTTAACTCATATAAAAGAGATACGTTTCGACTACAACAAGATCTTGATTCTTGTGCTATGTAACGACTGAGTTGGATGGCGGAATCCAGGATTCGATTGGCATTGAGTGGCTACTAGGCTACGGTATTAGCTATCCTAAATCCTAGGTGTTACAACCGAGGCACGTTAGTACAGGACGCGTCGAACGAATTGCATCAACCAGCTGCCTTTCAAGCATCGAGGAAAACGACAGAAACTTGCAGAAAAAGACAACTCCGGATAAACTCTTTATCAGGTCTCTTGCAGCTACTTTATTAGCTTCGACCTACGCTAGGATCTTCCGTTACCTGCCCCGCTTTTATAGCTGCGGCCGTAAGATCTTAAGCATTCAACCTACTACAATATATATATATGCACCTTGATTCAGCGAAGTGTTCCGATCGGGGAAGAGAATGAATAGCTTCGGCGACTCCCGGCCAAGGAGCCAAAGAAGTCCCGATGGCGCCCAGAAACCTGCAGCCAGTGCTGATCCTCATGGATCAAGAGTCCGACGCCGCAACAGGATGATTACATCTTGTTTAGAGTGTCGACGCCGCAAGCTCAAATGTGACCGGCTGCACCCATGCACCAATTGCTCTAAAGGTAACCGTGACTGTCTTTTCCTAGCTCCGTCACTTGACTCTACGACTCGATTAAAACTAGCGGAGCTCAAGGAACGTATGGGTACACTTGAGCGTTCTCTAGAGAGAGAGGTTTCACAAACTTCTCATACAACGGAAGGCGATTTACTTGCGGGATCAAGATCTCTAGGCTCGGAGTCGCCTGCACCGGTTCCAGAAGACGAGTATTCGCTACAGCCTACGCGTCTGGCGCAAATGGACGCCATGTACGAAGATGAGGCTGACGATGTCATGGTTGACTTGGGCATCCAAGTAGGAAATATGCGAGTCACAGATCGTTTGGGGGGTTTTGTACGGCCTAGATTGGCGGAAGAGATAGCTGCTGCAATCAAGGTAGAGGCTCAGGATTCAGGTCCGCATGATCCGGCGAATCGCGATATTGAGGAAAATGACGGAAGTGAGGTGTTAAGGTTACTCGAACTTGCGAACCAGGGAGTCCAACTACCCTTTTTGGCTCCCGGCCCATCATTCATTGCCCCTCGCTCTGATATGTTACTGGGGTCGAGCTTGCAAGATTATGCTTTGCTTGATCTGTTGCCCTCCAAACCGGCAGCGGATAAACTTGTGGAACAGTACTGGGAGGCTTGTCATCCGATTGCTAGGATTGCGCACCGCCAAACACTCGAAGCAAGATATAAGCTCCTATGGGATAACATTGCTCAGGGAATCGAACCGATGCCGTCACTACAAGCTATTATATTTGCTACACTTTTCACGGCAGTTGTCAGTATGCCGGCCGAGAAGGTTTTGGGTTTATTTGGTGTGGAGCAGCGCAACCTTATTGAGAGGTTTCAGCTTGGCACAGAGTCGGCTCTTTCAAAGGCTCACTTTTTACGCTCCACAAAGACTGAAACTTTACAGGCTTTTGTGATGTATCTGGTCAGTTTGTGTCCCCTCATAACCTTCATGTGACATCTAACAATCTTTTGAATAGATCCCGATGTGCCGTGAAACAATATCTAGAGCTCACTCCGCTCTGGTCGGAACGGCTATCAGGCTTGCTGAGTGCATGGGTCTACATCGTGATCCTTTGGAATACAATTGCCCACCAGTGGAAACTCATATACGCCGTTTGATCTGGTATCAACTGTGCTTTCTTGACCTGCGTACCGCAGAAGTGCAGGGTCCTCGTGTGTCCATTCGCAGTGATGATTTTTCTACAAAATTGCCTCTCAACGTCAATGACGCTGATCTCCTAGCCGGTCATGGAAAAGGGTCCAGCGAGTGGACTGACATGACGTTTGCGTGTATACGATTCGAGTGCCAGGAGATCATCCGTGAGGTATTCATCGACAGAGTACGCCTCGAGAAGAAAGAGTTGAGTGTCACCGGTGCAATTGGGAAGACGGAAATGGCCCGCAGAAAAATGTACGAACGATACGGCCCCATCTTCAACAGACCAAACCTTACTCCCCTCCAACGTGCTGCATCTGTGACCATGTCATTTATGTTGCATCGCTTACATATAATACTGCTACATAAATTTTATAACAGCTGGCAAGGCAAGATGCCTGACCGCATAGCTCAGCTCGTCATTAATACTGGCACTCAGCAGTTAGAGGATGCTGTCACTCTTGAAACATCCCCAGATTTGCAACCATGGGTGTGGTACAGCCGCGCCTACCATAATTTTCACACAGCTTTTCTACTTTTAATCGACGTTGTCGCTCACCCTCTTCGTCGCGAAGCGGATCGAATCTGGCGATGTTTGGACTACGTCTACGAGATAAAAGATGAATATCCACAAAACTTAACTAGGGGACAAATTATTGAGCATCGGCGCAAAAAGGCCCATAAGATTATGTGTCAGTTCCGTGACCGAATGCGAATATATAGGGCACTAAGAAGAATGAGAACTTCCGCGGACGTCGAAGAAATAGTGTTGCCTAACGGCATAAATTCTTCCCCCGAACCGTCCGAATCTGCAGCGGGAGGGTTTGACCCAATGGCCAGTTTCAAACTGGAGCCTCTTACTTTGTTACCAAGCGGAGATTCTCAGAACAAGGCTCGTGCTTCCATGTCTCGGTCTTCATATCCTCAATTTCAGCAACTCGGGACTCCTCAAACGCTACAATCTCAGAATCAAATCCAGAACTATACACCAGCAGCCCAAAACCAAGGTATTTCTCCGTTCGTCCCACCAGCCACTTCTGCTTTGGGGAATATGACTGGTCTCGACGGACTGCAATCCTCCTGGCTCTCCGCTCCGTCTGATGTTCTTACTGCACCGGCTCCGCAACCCAATTGGAGAGTATCTCCTGCAAGCTCTGAAGATTTACCGATGCCGGAGATTGACTGGGTAAGCATTTCTTTTCTCTCCTAGTGCAGCTTCGTTGTCTTAGTTTTCACGCTTTTGCCCAACAAATAGGAGTGCTAACCTCCGCTTCTAGTCGGAATGGGACAAAATGTTCCCGCCTCACTTGAATGACGGGAATCTCGATCTTTCGCCTCAAACATTGTCGGGCACTATGCAATATGAAATGCATCCAAATGCGATGTCTATGTTTCCCTATCCACAATTCAACTCAAACCAGTTCGGGCCTCGACAATAATCGCTTCAAGGAAGTGTGACTTGCGTGATGTACTGTAAGATATATATACAATCATTAGGATAAAACGCTGGGTGTTACTTGGTTTTTTACGGGAGACAAGGGCACTCCTTATGGGCTTTTCGTACATTCAACTTATAATAGTATGTGATAGATATTAGGTATAGAATTCTACTGTGGTCATGTCCAAATGGGCACACTATTCTTACTCCTATAAACTTATGATTATTCACGGGTGCATGAGAAGATGTATCCTTGGTTATTAGTGACGTATTCTTCAAAGAGCCTCTCAAAAGGAAATCTACATATGTACGTAATAAGGTATCTGCTCCGCTTGACGACGTGCATTTTAACTTGACTTTAAGCGGGTCGGCTCGCAGATCTGCCCCACTAAATGTACGATTCACAAGCATCAGATCTGTAGATCAGAACTCAATTACGTAGAGATCCTTTCCATGATGCTTCTGTGACGAGCTCCTAATTATAGACTGCAGCTGATGCGGGCAATGGTGGAACTTTCAAATCTGGAAAATGATCGACCAATCAAGGATACTTTGACTGTATACTTCAGGTTTGTTTTAAGATCTATCGAATCTCAGCAGGACGAAACATTGTAGACAGTTTGCCAATCGCCTGCTCTCATTTAAGAATGTCCAAACCGAAGTACATTATCCCGAGGTCCATCATAGACACCAGTTATATATAAAATGCGTCATAGCTTGGGACTCTGAGATAATTCCAATTCTTTACGTGCCGCTACTAATGACCGTACTTCAGCATTACATTAAGTTTCCTGTGGTCGAATCAACTGTACATACGTGCTCATAGCACGATCCCATACAAAAAATCCAATATTTCAGAATGTTTCATAGGCTGACAGACTAGGTATACATATCTTAATCGCAGAGCCAGGGATCTTCAAGAATACATCATAAGGTAGCCGAGACTCGTAGTCACTAATATCCTATTAGCCCCATATTGTCACGTACCTCAAGGGTCATGTAACTACCAATAATCCTATCTGCAGTGATCCCCGACCTTTATTGATAGCTGTCTATATCAGTGGAACATTCATATCTGCCTAAGGTGTCCAGACTACCAAAGATTGGAAGTGAACATGTGACCTATCAATCCCTACCTTCCCGAGGTCATCAATCTCAATACCCTGACTTAAAAGTGTCATGGTTCTCGGACGCTTGCAAAATACTGCCCACTAGACCTTACTGTGGCCTAAATGTCCCCTTCACATATCGTTTCAAGAATCTAAAGCTAGATTACGGAATTGCTGGGCCCAAAGATGCCTTATCATCTCAAATCATACCTAGGTAGTTGTTCCAAGGTTACTTTGAAGACTCTATGAAGTATTTTATGATCTGGTTCGTGGCTCCTTAGTCACATCCGTTATTACGTGGATCCAAATGTGACCATTACTAGGCAAAGGGAAATTGTATGTGAGGTTCGAACCGATTTCAAAACAGGTATATAGCTCCGTAACCTGCCTACATATGGGCCAAACAAATTAATTTATTTTGTGTCGTGAAATGTATAGAATCAGAGGCAATGCCTAATCCACGTCTGTATAATTCAAGCTCAAACTTCACTTCGTTTCAGAGGCCTGGGTGACTTCCTCTCTTTCGCTTTTACCGTATCCATACATACATCCAAATTCACGTCCTCTGAATTAAGCAATCTGTTCGATACCATTCTCCAGAGCTCTAGCATTGGCTCCTCGAATTCGATCAAGCTCCTTGCCGTTCTTGAACAATACAAATGTTGGCATGGCAGTCACCCCAAGGTCGCGTGCAATCTGCTGCTGTTTATCGACATCTACTTGGAGGAAACGCACATTCGTATAGGTTTCGCTGAGCTCGCCAACTTTGGGTGCAATGGCTTTGCAAGGACCGCACCATGTGGCGAAGAAATCGACGACGACGGGGCCGGAGGCAGTCAGTTCTTTGAATGCTTGTTGACTGTATGCGCAGTAAAAGAATGATTAGTATAGTTTCCAGAAATTCGTTATTCTTTCAGGAAGAATAGTGGGATTACCTCTCGACATTGATTACTTTGCCATGTTGAGGGGCAGGACCGCTGTTGGAGCTGCTAGCTCGAACGACCGAGATGACTTAGGATGTTGTAAGCGAAAAGCCGCCCGTTCTGGTAATTCAACGATTGGAGACTTACCAATATATGCTATTAAAATGATCACTGGCCAAGAGAACTCCATGGCTGCGCGTCCGATTCAGGATTAAATCCAGATATCTGTCAAGATGAAGACGTTGCAGCGCGCGGCTGTTTGACGCCATCAGGCCAAAAATAGACTACAAGTCACGTGTAAAACACACAATCATCCTGTTTTACTGGGGATCTGGTGTTCCGCAAGTATATTTAGAGCCCATTTTAATGTCATTTAATAATCTCAAGTCATACTTCATTTTGCACGGCGCATGTGTGTCAACATTGAACAACAATGGATACTGATGCGATCTTGATTTTACATTAAGCCTTCTTCGACCCACACTGCACAAAGGGCGTTTGGCATAGTGGTATTGCGCCTCATTCGCATTGAGGAGATCGCGTGTTCGATTCACGCAACGTCCATCATCTCATCATTTTTTATCTTTTTGCCAAATCCTTCTTAACCATGTTCGTTGTTGCAGAATAACTGTAGCTTTTTTCATAGTTTTGATCTTTTCTCCCCTATTTTTTATTATTACCTACATAGGTAGGGGAGATGGCCCAATATTCCAAGGGTTCAAAGTTTGATATATATATATACCGCTACCAGGTTTGTTAGTCGTGAATCCCCAGAAGACCTTGGAATTGGAAGCTTCTACGATTTCTACATTTCATTCGGTACCTACATAAGTATGACTATTCTTCTTCCAAGGGTTATACCCGGAGGTGTCAAAATTGGGCTCAGGCGCGTATTGACACGATTCGTGGATATCTCCTTACAACCCTCAAGTAGGTTGATACCCTGAACGCCACGTATCGCAATGAGTAAGGGGAGTCAAATTATAACTAGGTACTTGACCACTGCGGCCTGCTGTGGACTAGGTATAACTCCAGCGGCACCCTAACGACAGTGTCCCAAGCTACATAGACCAGGGTGATGGAAATTGTGCATTTATAGGCAATTGACCGCTGAAAGTTCATTTCCGTTTCACTATTCTGCTAACTGACTCTGACATATCCACTGATATATCTTCAAAACTTGGAAAAGCGTTTCATTTGTCATTGACTTGACAAAAACTAATGATACCACGCCACTTTTGAGAGTAATACTACTATGAATACGCTTTTTCTTTAGTAGAATCTCCCCAAATACCCGTAAAGAAGACCACTCTCGGCAAAAGATATCTTACAGTCCCACAGTGCAGCATCTCAAGGACTTTATACTACCCGTTTCATGCTTCCAAATCCAATATTGAACCACTGATTTTAGTGCCAGACGTCCAACGATTAGAAAACATTGTTCTCACCACTCCCTCGAAGAGGACTGTCACTGTACCCCTTGCCAATTCCCACCACGAAAGTCTATCGCTCTGTTCACGGGAGGTGTCCAAAATCCGGGAGTCTCCCCTGAATTGAAATTCGTGTCCAAGACTGGCATGACCATCGCAGAAGCTCTATTCAGCGTAAGGTTGAATTAGTCTTTGCTTTTATCAGAAAAGCTTGTCAATGCCGTAGAAACTAACTAACCGTGACACAAATGCTTTCTCTCGGTTAAAAAACTGGATCTTACCCGCTACTCATCCAAGCCATCTCCATAACCGCAGCACGAAGCGAGCGATAATTGTCAACCATAACTGTCAGTTTAGGATTCTCCAGGTCACGTAGAGAATCTCATGGCAATCCTTGACGAAGGCGCTTCGCTTGCTGAGATGATTGGTTAAGTCGTAGTAACGTAGAGAGTTGATGTCGACGAGGCCATTTTCTGGTTCCTTATTCGTGAGTATAGATATCGCTAAACCAGTGCAGCTGTCCTTATTGCCCCCTTCCATGAAGTAGACTCTTTTGGACTCATGTAGATACTGGCTTTTGACGGTGGTATTCATTGACTTTACTGGTTCTGCTTTCTTTGCTCGCTTTGTGACCGGCTCATGAGTAATAGGAGGGTTGCCAGAGGACGTGGCCTTACTTTTTGGCTGCTTCACAGAAAGTGCTGTCGTTGCTGGTTCACTTTGAAGATTGAAGGTTTCGTCGTCTCATATAAAACGCTTGCTACTATGTCTAGACTTCAAATCTGTTAAGGCGAAGCTTCTGTGCTTAGCTGCGGGGAAAATTAGGCTTCTTGTACCAAGAGCTCACTCGGGTCCTAAACGTTTTGGATCTAACGTCTGGGAATTGGCAATTTGCATAAGGTTTGATGGAATCCTCTAACTTCCTGACAGTCATCCCAATGACGTTCTTTTTTCTTGACGATGTTGTGCAGACATCTCATTTTCGAGTAATCCTCCAAGGACATTGTCACAGCAAGGATACTGTAGATTTAAAAAGAGATTTTCAATGCTCAGACTGGAGGGGATCAAAGAGGGTTGCAGAATGAGCTTGACCTCATCTCGAGATTGATTTTTGAGAAGAGTTGTTGAGCTGGAGAAGAAAAAATTGCAAAAGCGCCCTGTCACGCTGAGGTTTTGCACACCCGACATTGTGTCATCGGGTGACTGGTACCATTTGCTTTCATGTGATTTTGTTCAAAAAGGTCTTGAGCAGATTCTGTTTCATTTGTAACGCATCGGTTGTGTCTCCATGGAGGCAGTGTATGACTGATATATCGCAATTATCTCTTCCAACACTAATGTGCAAGCCCTCCTAAAGCTTACAACAGATGTTATTTGACCCATTACAGAAAACTGTGTATCTTGAGTCAGCTGTATAAATTTCTTCAGGGGAAAAACACCGGATTCATGTTGTATCGAGGGAAGGGCTATTAGACTGAGCCCTAACCCTAATCGGCAGCGTTTAGTATCATGTGAAGAGGCAGTTTTCTACCAACCTCAAATGCCTATGGAAATTTGGATCAATCAATAAGCCCAATCCGTGTTCTGTATCTCACAAAGACTTCAACTAATCATTCTGGAATCCATCGAGCTGTTCAAAGTCCATTCAGACAGTGTATCCATCCATGACATCATCAATGGCCGATAACATCCAGCTCGAAGTCGTAAGATAAACAAACATCCATACATATCATATGGTGTCTCCTGACATGTGCCATTTTTCCAGGACCTTGCATTCGAGAAGTTTTGGCATGATGGAGACGAGGCGTATTCGAGAAGTACATACATAAGGTCCTCCGGATCTTATGCATGCATGCATTGCTACGTAATTGTAACTGATGCTTTCCCCACCGATTACTAACAAGCAACATCCCTTTCCTCTGTTATTCTCACCTTCAACCTTCGAATATATAGCTCATCAAGAAAACCAGCAATAGAATTGAAGCATCACAATGACTGCACCACCAAAATCCCCCACAGTCACAGAGTTCATCTCTTTCCGCCTGAAGCCGTCCGTGAAACCCGAAGAGGGCGAGAAGAATCGCGAGGGCGAAGAGCTTCTTGACTTTTTCCGGGAGACGATGTTGCAAAGCGGGCATTTGGGGTCAGCGTGGGGGCGGACTTTGGAGGATGAGAATGTGATTATTTGGGTTATTGGTATGTATACTTTATCAGGCTGAGGGGGTATACTTTTACTGATAATAGAGCAGAATGGGCAGATTCAAGCAATTCAACCAACCTGTCTCGTCTCGAACCATTCATCGATTACTCAAAACAGGACAACCCATCAACCTTACTCACATTCTACTCAACTCTCTCCCCTTCAATCTCCGAATCAGACACCCTAACAACAAACCCCATAACCGAACTCGTCACCTTCGCCGTCCCCAGCGATATCTCACCCGAACAACACAAACAATTCAACAACGACCAGGTCCAATTCAGGGACGCATTAATCAACAAAGCTACGCCAGAGAGTGCGAGACCCATAACCTGGTCGAGAGGCCAGATAGAGAGACCTGCCACCTTCGATCATCCGGACAGTGCGTCGGGAAAAGCATTGGTGTATTTGAATGTTGTGGGATGGAAAAATAGGGAGCAGCATACACAAGCTAGGGATACAAAGGCGTTTGCGGAGACGATTGAGCCATTGAGAAAGCAGGTTCTCACGCCTGTTAAGGGGTTGGAGATGAAGCATGTCAAGTTCCAGAAGATTGGGTTTTAGTCTTCATCCGTAGTAGATACTACGTAGATGTTTCAGTGCCATAATGGAATACGAATGAGAATAATGGTTAGATAAAAACCAAATGAAGACAAATACCGAAGAGACTGCCCCCATTTTTAATTACATAGCTAAATAGAATTGGCAAAGGCGAAAGACAAGTCGAAACAAGAGCTTTTGATTGTTGCACCCGACGACGGCCCGCTGAGGATATAAGGGAAACAAAGTAGAATCAGAAATAGGCATAGCTTAGATACGATGCTTTTCACTTTCTGTAATAAAATTCATTAGTAAGAGAGATTGAGATATGAGGAGGATGACTACATACCCAATCGCGCGTACAGCATATACAACGCCATCTGGTTACACTCCTGTGTGCCCGTGATAGTGACAAGACGCTCATTGCTGTTCTCTTGAGGTTCGTTGATCTTGATCACACTACCACTAAGGTGGCGGATCTCATTGATCTTGGTACCACCCTTGCCAATGATGGCGCCAACCATGTCGTTGGGAATGTAGATTTGTTGGGTAATAGGTTGGCTGGAAACAACGCCCGCAAGAGGCTGAGCTCCAGCGCCGTGAGGTTGGGCATGGGGAGCGCCGTACGGGGCGGGCTGATGGGGTCCAGCACCAGCATATGGAGCTCGAGCTGCACCACCACCATAGTGCAGAGGAGGCTGTGCGACTGGGGCTTGTGCAGCAGGGCCGCCATGGGCATATGGGGCACCGTAGGGACCAGGGCCGGGACGGTTGTTCTGTGGGTAGTGGCGCCTGACCGAGTCGGGATGACCGTACTGTCCACCAGCAGGCTGAGGGACATATGGTACAACTTGCATGCCACCGGGCACGACACCAGCGGGGCCACCGCTACGAGTCGCATAAGCAGATGCAGCAGGCCCGCCGAAACGCTCGGTCAACTGCTCTACAAGAGTCACAGCAACGTAATACGTTGCAATGTGCACAGCATCAGCGACACCCAAGACAACCAGAGAACGCTCAGTGGATAGAGGAAGACAGGCGTCAGAGGCATTCAAGCGCGCACCAGATGCTTCCTGGATTTCGCGAATACGAACGCCCCCTTTTCCTATGATTGAACCAATGAGGATATGGGGGATGAGGAGACGGAGAGGGTACGTCTTGGACTGGGCAGTAGATGGTGCCTCAAGGGGTTCATTGTTAAGGGTTCGGATAATCAGACCAAAAGCCTACCTCGAGTTAATACTCACACTGGAAGAGAAAAGAAAAGGGAAACGGGGTCCTACCTTTGCAACAGCATCCTGTGGGCCGCTAACAGTTAAGATTCTCTCAACAGCACCACGCGAGTAGTCGCTGACCGTGCACTTCGATCCGCTAAGCTGGCGAATCTTGGAGACATTTTCCCCACCTTTTCCAATACAAGTAGCAGCTTCCTGGCTCGAAATGACTGCGCGAATATGGATCCATGAGCTCTCGTCTTGGGGTGTCTGGTGCTGGGGTGGTTGCGACGTCACGCGATCGGCATGCGACGCGGTAGATTGGATGGGTTGGGTGTCGTTGGCAGAGCTTGCATCCTTGCCATTCACTACAGAGTCACCATTGGTAGCAGAAGAATCCTTGGCGTCAGCTTCAGACTGTTTGTAATCATCACTGCGGACAACCTTGTCCAGGGCCGGACGTTTAGCTTCGGGTTGGTCGTTAGGGCCGGAAGGGGACGAAGGATCCTCCAGGGGTCGCTTGGTTGACGGTAGGGTTGATGGAGAGGCAGACATTTTCTTCGTTCGGCTCGTATTCGTAGTTCTTTAGATTATGCTTTAGAAGTCAAGCGGATAGAAGCAGTGAATATCTGTTTTATTCCAGTTTCTTTTATTCAATGGATCGGCTTATATACACCAGATGTCCCCAAGGAAAACTTGCTGGTGCTGGTGCTGGTGATGGAATATCGATGTGAAGGGAAGTCTGATGTTAGATAAGAATCTCAGGCGATGGTCGGAAAGGGGAATATGGATGGACTTGGTTGGTGTTGTGCTGGATTAAGACTGGAGACGAGAGGACTGAGGTGATGCTGGTGTAGTGCAGGAGGCCACGGAGAGGATGAGAGCTACCATACGACTGAGGATGGGCGGACGTAAATGATCAAATAGACAAGAGAAATAGTTGAATGAGAATAAGGTGAGAAATGACACGCGCCTAATCCTCCAGCTGCAAACAAGGGAGATGAAAGAGGTGGTTGATGATGATGGTAGATGAAGGATCACAGCAGGCAAAACACGAGGGCGTTCTTGGAACAGAAGGAGCTTGGCAACGTGCTGGTCACGTGATTTATGTGCCTGAGGCATAACATCTTCCGCCTGTACTTATTCTTTGCTCTCTTCACCACCAATTTTCGCGCAGATTCAGCATGCTACATGCAAGAATGGGATCAATTACTGGCGAGGACTGTCTAGTGTTACTATATAAATGTCTTATTTATCTGAGCTGGATACCATGACCTTTGTTCTACCTATGCTTTCTTCGTGTCAATCCAGATACCTAGAAAAGAAACTCGATTTGCTCGAGATGAACAGGTCGAATCATGCATATACGAACATAGTCCACAGCTCTGTGGCTCATATCGTTTTTGGCAAGAATCAAAGCTATGTAGATATTGAAGAATGCGTCCTGATATATCAGAATTTCCATATCATTCAGATATTCCTGAAGTATAGACTTTTGAGCCAATCAGATAACTGGAATGCTTCTAGAGGGGCAAATTTTGACGATCCACTATTGAACCATTATTTTGCGGGGATTGGAGATTCCTCATATATTTGTTCGAGACAAAAAGAGACGAGCATTCATGGCCCCTTTTTAGATGGACTTGGCCTCAAAGTGCGATATTAGTCCAGTTATTGTACAAGCATATTCTCGAGAGATCAAGACAGAATGGCCAAAAAAGACAAAAAGAAATCCGCAGAGAAAAAAGAACGCAACGCCGCTAAACAACTAAAAAAAGCCGACAAAAAAGAGAAAAAGAACAAGTCCAAGGGGAAAGACGTCGACAGTGATGCCGAAGATGTGGATTTGGACGCTGTTTTGGCAGCCTATGCTGAAGAACAAGCAAAATTCCTAAAGGTCACAGAAGTACCTTCAAATCCACCTTCTCCACGCTCCTCCTCGACCATTCTTGCCTCACCAGCTAATCGAAACGAATTACTGGTCTTTGGCGGCGAATATTTTGACGGTACTCTCGCCACATTCTTCAATAATCTCTATGTCTATCTGATTGATCGTCGAGAGTGGCGGGAAGTCACCAGTCCCAACAGCCCTTTGCCGAGGAGTGGACATGCTTGGTGTCGAGGTGGAAATGCAGGAGGTGTCTATCTTTTCGGTGGGGAATTCTCGTCACCTAAACAGGGTACTTTTTATCATTACAATGACTTTTGGCATCTTGATCCTGCCACTCGGGAATGGACTCGTCTTGAGCCCAAGGGGAAAGGCCCACCGGCTCGAAGTGGTCATAGAATGACATATTATAAGGTTTGTCTGCTAAAATTCGTTTACTAAGTATAGTTTCAGGGCATATATACTAATGCGATACAGAATTATATCATCCTATTTGGTGGATTCCAAGACACCTCCCAACAGACAAAATACCTACAAGATCTCTGGATCTACGATTGCACCAAATTCGTATGGTTTAACCCAGTACTTCCTGCCGCATCTCAGAAACCAGATGCTCGATCTTCGTTTTCATTTTTACCCCATGAGTCTGGTGCCGTCTTATATGGCGGCTACTCTCGCGTCAAAGCATCGACCGGTGCTGGTGGCGGAGGAAAGCAGGGTAAAGGTGCCGGTGGTCCGCAAAGAGTCACTTTAAAACCAATGGTTCATCAAGATACTTGGTTTCTACGCATCACACCTCCTGCAGCAGATGCTCCCGCCTCTACGGGACCAACAGTTCGATGGGAACGACGCAAGAAACCCGCCAATGCACCCAACCCTCCGCGCGCCGGTGTCACAATGGCCTACCATAAGGGACGCGGAATAATGTTTGGTGGTGTCCATGACATAGAAATGAGTGAAGAAGGTATCGACAGTGAATTTTTCGATACCATGTTTGCATGGAATCTCGAACGAAACCGATTCTTCCCGCTTACTCTACGTCGGCCAAAAGCGCACGGGAAGAAACAGCAAACTCAGGCCGTGAAAGCTCGGGATCGAAGTAAAGCGGATGAAGAAGACTTATTACGCAATCTTGCTGCTTTGGAAGCAAAGCGCGGCATTCGAACAGCATATGTTGACGAAGATAATATGGACATTGATAGTCCTGTCGATAAAGAAGAAGTCGAACTTGTTAAGCCGGAAATTGTTAAGTTTGAGATGCCGCATCGGCGGTTCAATGCTCAGTTGACTGTTCAGGATGATACTCTGTTCGTGTTTGGAGGCACATTTGAACGAGGAGATCAAGAATTCATTTTCAACGACATGTATTCTATAGATCTGGTGAAGCTGGATGGTGTGAAGGAGATCTTCTACAACGAACCTGCGAACTGGAACACGCAAGTCGAAGCAAGTGACGACGAAGATGAGGAGGAAGACGATGATGAAGATATGGACGAAGATGAAGACGAAGCTGGAGAGGCCATGTCGGTAGACACACCCTCCGAAGCACAGATCGAATTCACAGTGCCCTCAATAACGCGCGATATGCAACAACTTGAAGTCGAAGAGACAGAAGGTGACCCAGAAACCAAAGACGACAGACCACAACCACGACCATTTGAGAGTCTACGGGACTTCTTTGTTCGCACAACTGCAGAATGGCAGAATTATCTACTGGAGAAATTGAAGCAGCGTGGAGATCCAGCGGAAAAGACAGTCAAGGAGCTTCGGAAAGAGGCGTTTGATCTTGCGGAAGAAAAATGGTGGGATAGTCGCGAGGAGATTATGGCTCTTGAAGATGAGCAGGAGGCGGCTGGTATTGGCGAGGTGGTCAGTATGGCAGATAGAGCGGAGGGTGGAGGAGCTGGACGACGGAGATGAACCTAACAACTTTATCTTGGGAAAAAGATGCAAAATTGAGAGCATACTATGAATGTGAATACAGTCTCCAAGGTTTATATTCTCCGATCTTGATCTACATGTGATGTTACAGCGGATATCAGCTGTAATAAATTTATTGTAGGTCACTTATATGTTCCTTATATACTCAATAAATCAGCTATTAGAAGCAACCTTTTCAAGTACATCGGTTACAACCGCAAAATCCCTCAACACATCAGCCCTCCAGGTAGATATAGCAATACGACACGCCGGCTTCCCTTCCCAAGATGTACCCGAAACATACATCTTTGAAGTACCATTGATTTTCTTAGTCAATTGCTGATTGAATTTCTCATCGTTCGCTTGAAATAGCACAATCATGTACGTTTGAGCACAAAGGTCCTCTTCGCTTGCAGCAAGTGGTAAAGGGGTATATGCAGGATGATCGTATAGCCAGCCGGCGATCATGCGCGCAAGACGGATTTGCGTCTCTAAAATAGTCTTGAAGCCATTTTTGCCGTATGCCATCAAGGAAGCATAAACTGGTAATGCTCTTAAGCGTCGCGAGTTTTCGAGACCAATGTTCAATGGTGATGGGACATGGGATGCGCCATTGCTGGCACCTGAGTTGAGATATGCTGCATTTGCGTTGCGGAAGACGTCCTCTGAGAGCGTACTTGAAGAGTACCGACAGAAGAAGATACCGCAGTCATAAGGGACATTGAGGAATTTGTGGGCGTCTGCTGTTATTGAGTCTGCGAGTTCAACGCCTTCGCATCCGCGGGTAATGGCTGTGTATTCCTCTTGAGATGTGTCTAATATTCGACCAAAGATACCAAATGCTCCGTCAACATGAATCCAGGCACCGTACTTGTCGCATAATCTCCGAATTTCACGCATCTGCTTGCCACCGTTTGTCGCGAAATGGCCTGTGTTGACTTCTCCGCAGGATATACACACAATACTGGCTTTCTCGGTTCTTGAGAGTTCCTTCTCCAACAGCTCTATGTCAATCTCAAGAGGATTCGTTGGGGAAGTGCAGATACTCTTCATGTTAGAACGTCCTATTCCTAGAATCCCTGCTGCTTTCCCAACCGAGGAATGGGGCATTGTAGAGAGTACTTGAATCCCTGTAAGGCCAGCAGCTTGTAAGACTTCGAAGAGTCCGTGTTCTCCCACACTGTAGATTGGACTGCCATGTCTCTCTGCCGCTTTCCTCAATACATATTCCCTGCCACATGCCAGGCCTAATATGTTGCTTGCTGTGGCTCCCGTTGTAAATGTTCCATTATGCCAGGTCTTCCGATTCAGTCTCAGTAAATCCGCCACAAGGCCTAATGCTTTAAACTCAACGTCCGTAGCAACCGAATGTTCCTCCATATGAACTTGAACATTCTGGTCATATACTGAAACGACATTGTCGGCTAAAATGGCAGCTGGAGTCGCGCCGCCGGTCACAAAACCGTAGTAATTAGGACTCAGGCTACTCGCGTTGAATGCTGGTACGATGTCATGGAGTAGGTGGTCTTTGGTTCTTTCCAATCCCTGTCCTCGATCAGGAAGGTGATCGAGCAGAGTCATGCGGGCCTTTGATAATGAATCGGAGGTCGGTAGAACCGGAAGGTTCGGTGGTTGAAAAATGAGATCCCATAGAGACTGGCTGAAGGCATGAAGTTCTTTTCGATGCATCTCATTCTCTTTCACATTCATATACATTGGAATGATGGGCTGCGGGTTACCAGTACTGGAAGAATCAGCAACGACTCAGAAGAGTTGAAGATATACTTAGATAAAATACTTACAACCCAGGTATAGCATGATTAGAAGGAGAAAGAGACTCCTGCTTCTTGTCTCCTCCCATCTTCTCCATGATATTCTGGGTTCAAGTTGGAGTCAACCAGAGTTGCACTGGACCCCTCTATTTATGCCTCGAATCGGCAAGTAGGTGCGGGCAGACCCATACTCAGGGCCCAGACGGGAGTTATTATAATGGATCTCCAATTCTTGCTAATCATGCTTGTCACACAGGTTCAGCTCGGTGAGAATCAGAGGACGGTTCACTCCTCACGCCGGCCCACCACCAACAAATAGGTGCCTGAGTTTTACCCCACAGTTGCCTTATCAACGTATTTTTTCTCCAACAAATCTCCAAAACAACCACGAGATCTTCGTACGTCGTGAGCAATCGACTTCTTCTCTCTATCATTGACATCATCACATCAAATTCTAGCTACTTGCTACATCAACCACTACGGTAGACCTAATAATGAATCCCGCCGCAGCAAAGCTAATCGACAGACGGCTCCATACTGTCCCCGGTAAGCCCATGAAGTGGATACGAAGAGCATAAACCGAAAGATCGATCATTGCTGACATGCCCGCTGCAGGCAAACTTCGAGTAGCCGAGTTGTTTTTTGATGTTCCCCTAAATTACAGTAAGCCTAGTGAAGGGACAATTCGACTCTTTGCTCGAAGTGTCCGCCGTCCTTCAACGTTTCCCGATACAGAGCAAAACGAGAAACCACTTCCGTGGCTCGTGTATTTGCAAGGTGGTCCCGGGTTTGGATGTCGTCCACCACAGGAAGTGGGATTCGTTCCCTTCATTCTTGACAAGGGTTACCAGGTAGATTAAGTTTTATTTCTCTATCTTTTTGGTGTCACGCGTGCTGATAAATCTGCTAGATTCTGTTACTCGACCAACGTGGGACTGGGCTTAGCTCCACTATCACCTCGCAAACTCTTGCCCGCCAAGGTAACGCAGTCAAACAAGCCGAATATCTGAAAAATTTCCGCGCAGACAATATTGTGCGCGATTGTGAAGCTATCCGTAAATGCTTGACCGCTACTTACCCCGAAGAATACCAGAAATGGAGCGTTCTAGGGCAGAGCTTTGGTGGGTTCTGCGCAACCACCTATCTTTCAAATTTGTGAGTTTCCGTAAAATTGCATCGCAAAGGTTACTGTATATCTGATTTGAATCTTATTGGGTAGTCCCGAAGGCCTCCGGGAAGTGTTCTTGACTGGCGGATTGCCGCCGCTGGTGAACGGCCCTGATGAGGTTTATAAGAAGACATATGGTAAGCGTGGCCATGGAGCATTAAAATCATGACATGGTTAACACTTTGCCAGAGAAAGTTGTAGAACGGAATCAAGCATACTACCAAAAATATCCAGAAGATGCGGAGCGTGTCAAAAGAATCGTTCAATACTTGCAGGAGAATAAACCTCGTCTCGGAGCAGGAGTACTCACACCAGAGAGATTTCAACAAATTGGAATTACCTTTGGAGTGCATGGTATACCTTTTATAATATGCGTGTTGATTCAGTTTAGCTAACGGGTAACAGGGGGTTTGGATAGCATTCATGGTATGGGACATCACCTAATGTTGCTGAAACATTATACTTACTTGTGGACGATTCAGATGTTGTTCTACGAATGACACTTGACCTCGATTCTTTTGGTTTTCTGACTCGCCCAATACTCTCACTTGTTGAGAGTTATGGAGAATATGATAACGCAGTCATTTATGCTATCCTGCATGAGCCCATCTATTGCCAGGGGTATGCCATCGCTCCACTCAATCAAGAATTTGGATGCTCATCAATGTCTTAATTCTAGAGAAGCTTCTCGCTGGTCAGCGGATAGACTGCGTGCTCAGAATTCCCGGTTCCGAGTCCAGGGTAACACTGAGACGGAAATATACTTCACTGGAGAAATGGTGAGATATGTTTCCGTTTTACATTCAAATAACGAGATACTTATCTCCCGCAGATCTACAAAGATATGTTTGAATCCTACGACGAACTATGTGATCTTAAAGAAGTTGCAGATATTCTTGCATCCACAGATGACTGGCCAGCGATATATGACGAAGCTCAACTGGCCAAAAACGAGGTTCCAGTGTACGCAGCTACTTTTGTGGACGACATGTACGTCGCCTACGAATTCGCTACTGAGACAGCCAAGAAAATCAAGGGAGCTAAGCAAGTTATCACGAATACCATGTATCACAGCGCGTTGCGTGACCGAGGTGATGAAGTTATGCATCAACTGTTCTTTTTGAAGGAGGATACCATTGATTAGAAACATGGTGATGTCATGTCATTGGCAGATAGCATCTTGTATCTAGCCATACCAAGCAATATAAAGGGTGATGATCGCTTATTCCTCAAACGAGCGCCCGAAGTCAATCAAACGAATTCTTCGTGCATCCCGCGGATGAAGCTGCGCCACTTTAGCGCGAACTAGAAATCTTGAAGCCGCAGACTCGCGTGGCAATTCGACATAGATTGTTTCAGCTTCTAGTAGAGAGTTTATCAATTCATGCATTGCAGCTGCCGCAGCCTCTCTTTTATTCCTCGGAGCAGTACTAGTCGGGTCATCGTCCCCCTGCCGCAGCCGTCGAAGGAGGCTATCTATACGTTGCTGTCTGGGATCATCGTCATCATTCCCATTCTGTGTCGTCGATGATTTTGGCTTTTTAGGTTTGCCGTGAGCTGTATATCCTGCTTCCAAAGTGGAATCGGGAACTTCCATAGTATCTCCAACAACGGGGCCACCAAGATCTTCTGCTGCTAGTCGCGATGCGAGATGATCGTCTATGAATTGATCTAATTCCTTTCTCAGTTTTGAAGAAGAAGTCTTTAGTGCGCGGATCTTCTTGCGTTCCGAGTTGACGAATTCATCTGCTAGTTCAGACGGATTCTTGGTTGAATTTTCCGACTGTTCCCTTCGAATCCGTTCGACGCGGTTTTTGAGACCATCGTGAATGCGCCTGGCATCTTCTAGGTCTTCTTGCTCATCTTTGAGCTGTTGCCGATTTAATGGTAGGGATTTCCGTAAATTGGAGATTGACGCTTTGTTTTCTTGAATTACCCGAGAAGTTTCCCTTATAGCAATTAGGCATGGTAGTGGAGAGTCTGGCGCGGGAAGGTCTGGCTCAGATTTCAATAGAGAGTCGTATGCCTTTTTTGCTCGGTGGACCTGAGCCAATCTCTCTGTAGGTTCTGCGTCATGGCCAGAAATCTCTAATTCTTGTTTAGAGGCGCGTAGCTACAAATCCTATTAGTATTCTTTTGTCTATTTACTGTGAAATCTTGCTGCTTACCTGTCGAAGTGTGTCTTCTTGACGCTTGACATGATCTTGTAAAGATCGAATTGTGTCGTCTAATCTCCGGTTGTATAGCTGAATCGCGTCTAGACTCAGAGGATTCTCTCCATATTGCTTCTCAAGATTGCGTCCCCTTTCAGCAAAGGAACGGATCTTGTCCACTTTCTTTTGGTCAACGCCCATTGTGAACATTCGCTAGAAATCCAATATTCAGGAGCGATGCCAAGTTTCCCCAAATTTTCTTGCTAAGTATACTATACAGGCGATGACTGATGATTTTGTTTTTCTCTTTCCCTGTTCGTTATCGCAGCGCATCACGTGAGCACGCGGATTGACTAACCATAAGAAGTTAGATAATCTGTTCCGCGTTCCAACGTTCCAATGGCAAGAGCCGTGGACCCGCGATCGATTAATCATCCACTGCCCTCTTGCTGGGAACTTCAAACGACCCTATCTCAAAATCAACTGGCAGACAAGGACACAACTTACAGTAAAGCTTGAAGCGATGAGTCGCCCCTATGACAAAGAATAACCTCAAGCAGCACCTTCGTTGGCTTGTCGACCGTGGACAACCGGACTTTGCTGCATTGGACGTGTTGTTGACGCGCCCTGATGTTGATGCCTCAAATACCCAAATTCCACCACAACCACTTTTAGAGGCACCCCGGCCAATTCATACGGAAGAGTTGACCATCACTTTGGACGAAAATTCAATTGCAATATTGAAGAAAAATGAAGATCTCGGATTGAAAGTCGATAGCGATGGAGACTGTGTCTTGCAGGACGCGACTATGGCACGACTCAACCTCGCTTCCTCGTCGGCGTCTAAGCCGCGCATGCTTAGCATTACGGCCGGCAACAGGAGTGACAATGCAAGACCATTGACTCCCGGGTCTGACGTCCGGAAGAATTCTGGATCTGACAGACCAAAAGTTGGGGATATCTCATATCGATCTGCTTCAGGTACCTACTGTTCTGATTGGAGGGACCTGTTTTCTTGCTAATGGTTAGTAACAGCCGCTATAATATCAAGTCCCAGTCGCAGGAAACGAAACGTAACGCCTACGAAATTAGGACCTATTCTTTCTTCAGATTATAAGTCTCATTTCGATGATATCGAGTCTATTGATCTTACAGGCGATGTCGAACAAACCACCTCCTCTGGAACAGTAGAAGCGTTTGGCGATTCACAAACATTATGGAGAGAAGATTGTGCTATGCGTCCAGAGCCTTTACCCAAACAAGGGAAAAAGAGAAAAAGCGACGAATATCAGTCGGATCTAGGGTCTCCCCGGAGGAACAGTCCTCGATTAAAAGCATCTCATCTACCGGGTGATGACGATGATGATGATGACGTGTCAGTTGCTGATATTACGCCAACAATTTCATCGGATCCGCCTAGTTATGATATCACGTCGTCACAGGAATTAGCCCGGCAATCACCTGTTCGTTCGGCAGTCTCGAAGAAACCAACTACCACGACCACTCCGACTAGTAAATCGAGAACTAAAAGAGATAGCCAAGAAGATCTCGATCCGAATTTGTTTTCCTGGGACTCCGACGAAGATGCCTTTGAGCCTTTACCCCCTAAGAGAATTCGGCCAAGCGAAAGGGGATTAAACCCAAGGGACAGTAATCGAGCTCCGAATGCTGAAACCACACCACAACCCGATGTAATCCAAACTCAACCAAAGTTTACTTCACCTAAAAAGCTATCACCGAAAAAGGTTTCACCCAAAAAGAGACAGGCTATTGTTGACACTGTAGCTTCTACCCCTTTGTCTCAAATCACCCCGAATCCCAAAGTAGAGCATTTCTTGTCTCTCAATCCAGCAGCTGTTGATGGAGCCATTGAGAAATTAAACAAAGCTCTGGTCGCGAATGCTGCTGTTGTGGTTCAACATGCCATTGAAGGAGAACTCCCACCACACGAGGTTGTGGCTGAAGGCAAAGCTGCTCGAGTGAAAGTTGATGCGTTAGGGAAGGTCAAGTTGGAAAGGGCTTCGTATGATGAAAAGAAGTCGAGGAAGCAACAACTGAAGGACATGATGGTGAAAGCTGTTGCTGATGGAGAAGATTTGACAGGTTTGGCGGCAGAGATCAAAGAGAGCCAAGATATTGTGAAGGATCTCCAAGGTATCGAGGCACGGTTAAGCGATCTATTATCTATAATCGACATGGATCTCTCTGCTTTCACTCCGCCTCCCCAGTTTGGGGACTTAGGGAACACCGTTCTACCTGCCACACCACAAACGCTTGTACGGCCCGTTGCGCAACCCATTCCTCAGAGATTTCAGACCGAGACTCCACCAATAGTACCCTCAAATAGTCGCGCTGCGAGCTTGACTACATCTTACCGCCAGGATGTGTCGACCTTTCAGGAAGGCAATTCCTATTCTACCGGAATACCCTCGAACGCGGCCGCTCCATTTATCACCTCGGATGATTTTGACTTTGATGAGGAAGACTTTCTTGAAACAGACAACGTTTTGTCGACCGGGCTCAATGAAGCACCAGCAACCTATTCTGATAATCGCAGGATCTTTGCCGAAACTTCTGGTAACTCCAGTCGTCAACCACAACCCACTCAGAAACCTACGGTTCCTGATCCCAACTCTATGTTGTCCTTCGCTTGGTCCAAAGATGTAAGGACAGTCATGAGAGATCGCTTTCATCTCAAGGGCTTCCGACCTAACCAGCTAGAGGCAATCAATGCGACACTTGGAGGTAAAGATGCATTTGTTTTGATGCCCACAGGAGGTGGCAAGTCACTTTGCTATCAATTGCCGTCTGTGATACACAGCGGTCGGACGAAAGGCGTTACGATCGTTGTATCGCCTTTGCTCAGTTTGATGGAAGACCAGGTTGATCATCTCCAGAAATTAGGAATCAAGGCGTTCTTTATCAACGGAGATGTAACCCCCGAGCACAAAAGATGGGTTATGTCGGCCCTCTCAAGCCCTTTTGCAGACCGAGAGCTAGAATTACTCTATGTCACGCCTGAAATGGTCAACAAGAACTTGACATTGCGTGATATTCTCAAGACACTTCATGCCAACAGAAAATTGGCCCGCCTAGTCATAGACGAGGCTCATTGTGTCAGTCAATGGGGTCATGATTTCCGGCCAGACTATAAGGAACTCGGGTCCTTTCGCTCAGAGTTTCCCGGGATCCCTGTCATGGCATTGACTGCCACGGCAACTGAAAATGTGAAGATTGACGTTATAAACAACTTGAGGATGAAGGGATGCGAGGTGTTGAGTCAGAGTTTCAACAGGCCCAATCTCACGTATGACGTTCTTCCCAAGAAAGGTTCTGCTCCGGACATTATTTCGCAGATAGCAGACATCATTCAAACTTCGTATAAAAGGAAAGCTGGCATAGTTTATTGTTTGTCTCGGAAGGATTGCGAAAAGGTTGCCCAAGAGCTTTCTAAGGGGTACAAGATCAAAGCAACGCATTACCATGCAGGTATGGCATCAGCAGAACGGACTGCTGTCCAGCGTGACTGGCAGTCTGGTAAATACGATGTGATTGTCGCTACCATTGCCTTCGGTATGGGCATTGACAAGCCCGATGTTCGGTTTGTTATTCACCATACTATGCCCAAAAGTTTGGAAGGTTACTACCAAGAAACTGGTCGTGCTGGACGGGATGGGAAGCGCTCAGGTTGCTACCTGTTCTACAGCTATAGAGATACTGCTGCGCAGAAGCGCTTCATTGAACAGTCAGACGGTGATTGGCAACAGAAAAACCGTCAACGGCAAATGCTTCGACATGTTGTACAGTTCTGCGAGAATCAGAGCGACTGCAGACGTGTACAGATCCTTGCGTACTTCAATGAGTCCTTTCGCGCCGGCGACTGTCATCGCACATGTGATAATTGCAAGACTGACGAGACCTTTCAAACGGTTGATTTCTCAGATCTTGCAAAGCAGGCTATCCAGCTTGTTAGACTGTTCAACGATAGGGATGAGGACGTCACCATTTTGCATTGCATCGATATCTTCGCTGGAACTTTTAAAAGGATGAAAGGTGACCATGCCCAGTTGCCGCAATACGGTGTTGGTCACGACATAGAACTTGGAGACGTTGAACGTTTATTTTTCAAGTTAGTGGGTGAAGATATCCTGGAAGAATGGTCCAAAACTACGAGCAGATTCACTCATAGGTATGTCAAACTGGGCCCTAAAGCCAGTCAATTTCTTTCAGCAAAGTCTCCTTTCACAATGCAAGTACGCGCATCCTCGAAGTCAGCAAAGAGGGCCAGTGGCACTGTTTCTACTGGTATGTCTGGAGCCTCGGATTATCATCCGCAGTCGACAAATGTGCCATCTCCAGTACAAGCTTCGCGTCGTAAAGCAACACCGAAAGCAGCGCCGAAGGCTAAAGGCAAGCGTGGAGCCGTCAAAGCAGCCGGTGACGACGATGATAGTGATGGATTCGAACCAGTACGAGTAGCAGGGAAATCGAACCGTCGCAAAAAGGCTGAAGTGGGACCTCCGATTGTTCAGGATGATCGGCTTGCTGAATTGGACGATAATCAGCAAATGGTGGTTGAGGACTTTGTGACCAACGCGAAGGAACTCAGTCAACAGGTGGGCATTCGTATTTAGAAGTGACCGCAGAAGATATTTAGCTCACCATATTCTCTGTAGATCATGATGGAGAGAAATCTTCGCAACCAACCTTTCCCAGATGCCATATTACGGGAAATGGCAATCTATCTTCCTGAAGGTTAGCATTTCCACGTCGAGTCTCCGATTCAGTGATACTTACTGTCATAGACACGAATCAAATGAAAGAGATCCCTGAAATCAATCAGGACAAAGTCGATCGCTATGGTTCCCGGTTCTTGAAGCTGATTCGAAATTCCAAACAGCTACTCTCGGATATGAGAGCGAACAACGAGGTTATTCATGATCCGAACCACACGAACGTCATCAATCTCGATAGCGATGACGAGTACGGCGACGATGAGGATTTCATGTTCTCGCTTTCACAGTTGGATCCGGATGACCAGAACACCAGCCAGTACTTTGGTACCTCTGCCTCCACTCAAACAAGGGTACCATCCACTCAATGTATGTCTCATTTTTCGTTTTTACAATGTGACAGGTTGTATTCAGGACTAACATGTATCAGTCACTGATCTAGATGCTCCTTCTACGACAAGTAGGAGAACAACAAGCAAGGCGTCTTCTGCACCACGTAGTCGAGCTCGTGGTGGCGCACAGCGTACCAGCAGCGGATCATCTTCCAGAAGACGGAAGCCCTGGATCCCAGAAGCTTACACATACACTGGAGGCTCAGCAAAGAGGAGCTACAAAAGTTATAACTCTCGAAGTCGAGGATCTTCATCCTCCGGTTATAGTACCTATCGGCGGTCGAGCTCTACTACTACCGCTAACAAGCGTAAGACGAGCGCGAGACCGTCTGTGCCACAAATTGATTTGATGCCAACATGATTATAATAGTAAAATGACGGGAACGGGACCTAGCCATATTTATAGGACTAGATGAGCTTTTGTCATGTGCTTGGCGTCTTGAGGGTTTAGTTTCTTAGCGATTACGGTGCACGGAGTTTAGAGTGGATTGATTCAGTTGATTTGACGGATGTTTTGTGTATGTTATACAGAAATTCATGTTCTAATCACACGCAGCTTTGAGTCCTGTACTCGTATCCACATATACCAGAAAATGTCTCTAGACTCTATTCATAATATTCGCAGAGAAGAACTACTTCTTCTTTCCCCCTTTCCCACCTTTTGGTCCACCACCACCACCTCCTTTCCCTTTCCCACCTCTATCAGCTTTACCTGCACCAGCACCGCTACCACCAGCAGCCCCACTAGAAACAATACGCACCTTCCCAACAGGTAAAGTATTCATAACCTCAGCATCGCGCCAACCCTTGAACAAATCCGCTTCACGAGCACGCATTCTTTCCGCAGTAGCTCGATCCAACCCTTCTGCAACATCATCTGCAATAACCTTTTTGGCGATTTTGTTTCCTGCCCCAGAACCAGCACCAGCGCCAACACCAGAAGATCCTCCAGCTTCAAGGATCCATTGACCCAGTATCTCCTTGATAGCTTTACCTTTCTTCACACTTCCGGCTTGTAGTTTTGCGCGGTATTTGAATCGAGCTACGACAGACCAGGGTGCGGCAACGGGGATTGCGGCGAGGACTTCATCTTCAGGGAGGGGCGTGCCGACCAGAGCTGGAAGCCAGGATAGATCCTCCGCTTCAGCTTTGATGGTTTCGTCGTTGTAGGTTTCGTCTTCTCCGTTAGCAACGTCGGCACCTTCTCCTTCGCGGCGGTTCTTGAGGAACTGTTCCTGCCGTTTCCGTTCCGCTTCTGCTGCTCGTTCATGCTGTGCACGTCGACGCTGTTTCTGTGCCTCAAGCTCGGCTTCACGTTTCGCCTTGATTTCTGCCGCTGATTCGGCTGTTTTGTTGACTTTGGTGTTTGCACCGAGAAGTCGTAGGGCTAGTTCGCGATCTTCTTCATCTTGGTGTGCGTATTTTTGGGCTGCTTTCTTGGCTTTACCTTTTTTACCACGGAGAGTTCTCTGTTTTGTTGTTGTTGTTGTTGTTGTTGGTTTGGTTGATTGTTTGCCATTGGACTTGCGTTGGGGGGCTTCGTCTTGGTTGATAGTAGACATCTCATCGGTTTCATTCTCTGAGTCTTCTTCATCGGCTGCCTCTGCATTGTCTTCTGGTGGTGCTTCGGTGTCTCCTTGGTTGGCGGAGGGTTGAAGGGGATTGGATTTTGGTGCTTCATCTTCTACTTCTTTCTCGCTCTCCGAGGCCGAATCTTCTTCCTCAACCTGTGTTTCCGTCTCTGGTTGTTCGACTGTGTCGTCGGCTACAGCTAGAACATCTTCTTTGACTGTGCTTTTAACATCCGACGAAGCTTCCTGTGCACTCGTCTCTGCCGAAACTGTTTCCTTTGTATCCAGTTCAGAGTATTCTTCTATACGATGCTTTCGATGATTGTGAACACTCTCTTTGCTGATTTGAAACAAAACAGCAAAACCCAATACAGGCTGCCCGGGTGCTAGGTAATTCTTCTCGCCCTTGACCATGAAACCTCCAGAAGCCAGGAGCTCACCCCGCTCATTCGTCCTCGATACTTGATGCGCATGTACCCACCACGAAGGCATCAACGCCTTGGTTTCCCAGGCCTTCGATGTGGCCACAGAAATACTACCAGCTTGAGTCAACGTACCGGGTGGGATAGGCGCATTGGAAGTCCCCTCTTTGTTCTTCACAATCATAGGAGTAGCTCCTTCAAGATCAGCATGAACAAACACATCACCCTTTTTCAAATATCGTTGGTACAATATTTCCACTTGATGTGAGTCACGACCACCTAGGACCAGGTAACCTTCAGATGATATGAAGTAAAGATACTTCTCAAACCAAAATGGCTTCCTTGAAGGTCGCAGTACCTGCTTCTCCTGCTTGAGGTGCTTTTTCAAGTCCTCAGTGACCTTTTTCTCCTGACTCTTCAAGGCTTTTTCAGATGACTGGATCGTTTTCTGCTCCTTAACAGCGGCAGTTTTCTTCTGTTCGTAGTATTGAGTTGCATTCGACCACGGTGATAAGCTCAAATCAATATCAATTGCCAAAGGCTCGGCATTTTTTCGTTTCGGGCCGCCATCTTTCTCAAATTCACTCTCAGAATTGCTGTCTGATCCTTCCGGCTCAGACTCAGAAAATTCTTCTTTGTCCCCTTCTCCTTTTGCACTTTCCTCGCTCAATAGTAATGTGATGGTATTCTCAAAGAGCTTCAATGGCAGCTTGATAGTCTTGGCAACTGGATTGTTTCGTTCCTGTTCCATCTCTATCAACCTGGCGATTTCCACCCAATCCATTCCTTGCGCAATAAGACCGTTGACCGCATCTGTCGCTTCCTGTACGCGGTAAATATTGGCCTGAATAGCTTCTGCTTTGCGAATGTGCAATTCCTGCGCTTGTTTCAAGGCCCCAGCTCGGTCGAGGTGATCTGCTCTAGCTGCTTCAAGTTTTCTTTTGGCAGTCTCTTCATGCTCAGCTAACCGGGATTCAAGTTTCTGCGATTCGATAGAGGAGAAATATTCGTCCACTGTTTTATTGAAGTTATCATATTCAAGAATGTGGTAGCCAGGTTTCCCCTCAAACTGTCGAGGTCTGAACGGATGGAAGTCTTCAAAAAGTAGGTTCTCTTTTGAAGCTGAGTCGTTCGATTGATCGAAATCTGTATCCTTTTTGGCTCGTTCTTTGGCTACAATATAGCCTTTTGTTTCTCCTTCAGATAATCCCGCAACTATCTTTTCCGCTTCACGAAGGACGGCCATAGCCTTTTGGAAAATGCTCTCGTCCTCAAGAACTTCTTTTAACGTAATACTCGAATCAAACCCAGTGGCAGCAAAAGCATCTTCAAGCAAAAGAGGTGGAAATTCAGGAAACCCACTGGAGACAGCCCTTCTGAACACATCAACCTTTTTCTTGGGCTTTCTCTGCGCATTTCCTCCTGGTGACTGCTCCGCATCTATCGCCTTTTGTATCGTAGCTCTCAGCCTCTCTTCTGATACGGGGGGTATCCCATTGTAATATTGAGCCTTCTCAACCGCATACGTCAACCCAATTTTGACCTCGTCTTGTTCCCCGGCAGCCGCAACGGTACGAAACAGAGCTAGAATTTTGTTCTCCGCATCTGTAAGGATGATATTGCCCCCAGCGAAGAATTCGAGGTATATATGGAAAAGCCCATCACTGATAACGATGTCAATGATCCTGTCCGTACCTAGCTGTTTGACAGCCGTGACCCGTCTTGTCTTGAGACATTTGCGCAACCGGCTCACGAAGCCCGAGGGGGTATTTGCTGTGGTTCGCGAGTATTCAGTGAGGTGGCAACGGAATCCGGAGTCTATGATGAGTTGTTTGCGGTAATCTGGTTTGGCTAGTTTGAAAAGGAAGATGCGCTATATCCATTTACAAAACGACGTCAGAGGGGCTATTGACCCGTGAAGGAGGAAGTCTTACCGACGAAAGATCATATATATTCGAGACTCGCAAGCCTATGATAGAAGTGTTGAGCTCTTGACATATTATTTTGACGTCTATTGACGAGAATCTCTGCTTCATTGCTGCTGAACTGAAATGACCGAGCCGTGGAATTTGTCTCGCAGGTGACTGGACTTGAGAAACGGGACTCAAAAGCCCATAGATTTATCTCGCGACAAGGAACAGTGGAATAGAACGCGATCAATCTTCCTCCCAAGAAACAAAGAAAAGATTTAAGAAAGAATGAAATGATGATAATTTTTGAGGAAGAATCAACTCCGAGCCAGCAGACATTTCATGTGACGTATGCGGGGCAGTCGCGGGTCTCTATCAATTTTATATGCTTACACTTACTCATTGTGAGCGATTCTCTCCTATGTGATCAATATGGACAACATAGCTCTTCTTGATAACTATTTCGAAAAGGAATTCGATAATGAAATATGGATTTCAGATCTCCTTTAATTGAACTGTTCAAGCAGAATGTTTCATGACTTTATATGAAAAGAAAGTTATAATGAAACGCAAATGACACTAACAATATGTAAAAGGACCTAAAAACAGAAGAAAGAAGATAGACACGCCAATCCCATTTTCATTCCCGATAAAGAAAGATATAAGCAGATATCAAAACGAATTCGAGCAACTTCTATCAAAAGCCAGCCCAGTATTTTCAAAGAGCCCTGAAGAAAGTGGCATGAAGTGTGGAAGAAACACATTAAGTACGTAGTAGTATCTAAAGACCCTGTCGCAATTGCTCGGCCAGTTTGCGTCGACCAAACTCCCATGCATTGAGCAGGCCTTGTTCGGAGAGATCAATGTTCTTCATATTTGGTGTATCTGCAGTAGGAGCTCGACTGACTCGAGAAGCGATAAGGACAGGGTCTGTTTCGAGGATGATGCCGTCGTCAATGATTTCGTCTATAGCGAGGGAGACGAGGTCATAATTCTCAATGATTGTGCGTTTGTCCGTAGCTCCTCTGTAACAATCCCGTTGATTAGCAATCGCACCCCTTGAAGGATAGAAAAGGAAGACAGGGAGGAAAATACTTGAATAATATCCCCAAAGCATCCCTCAATGCAACAACAACATTATACAACAAAACCTCATTCTCATCCGCACCCCCAACAACGTATAACATCACATCATTCTCAACCTTGAACACAACCACCCGATTGTCGTACAGAATCACATCATTAGTCTGCTTATTCGTCTTTTCCATTAATCCACTTTCAAAGCCCTTTTGCTCTTTTACTGTCGGATACGGGTTTGCGCCAGGATAGTCGGTCGAATTAACTGGGACACCGGCGGGAGGGTGAGGAGGGGAGTAGTATTTGGCGAAGATGCGGGAGGCGTCGTCCGTGGACATGATGAGGACCGCATTGACGGTAAAGAGGGAGAGGGAGCCGACCATGTTGACTGTTTATGTCTCCCTGCTCTGATCTGGAAATGGTGTTGTGTGGTTGTTGGTTCAGATGATTGATAAATTGATTGGTGTTTTGGAGTTGCCGCATCGTGGCCGCTTCAGTGTTGAGCTCCTGTGATTGGCCCGTTGTGACCTTACAAGCTACACTGCTCTGCTAAGCTACAGTAGTGGTTGTTAGAACTATATGGATTGCCAGTAAAGACTCAATTCATGAATAGCGTAGATTTATCGTTATATAAGTAAACTAAACAGCACAAATATAATATTCAACAACAAACATGGGTCTCATCACACTTGTGGGTATTGAACAGAAAATGATCAAGACAATAAAAGTCTTCCAATCAAAAGACAAATTGGCGAGATCAATACACGAAGAAAATACATCAAATTAAATTATAAATTAGTCAAAATTCAAACAAAATTGAGAGTCATGACTATTTGGGAACTTCGTCCTGCACAGGATTGGAAGTCGGCCGGTTGAACCACCCCATCCAGCTGGATCGGTTGGCTCGCTTGTTTGCGGCCTCCTCCTCCTCAGATGGTTCTTGATTCTCACGAACGAGTCGTAATGGACGCAGTCTATTCTGAGTCATGACTGCACCAGTGTAGTTGTTCATACTGCTACTGGCTCGGCTCGGAGGTGTAGACGTCGCTCCCAGGGAGCTTACTTCTGCATTGGCGTCGCTGGAGAGACTGTCGGAACTGCTGAGTCTCTTACGGTCAGGCTGACTCCCTTGAGATGGAGCACGCGGGTTGCCGCTGGACATGTACGATCCAAACAAGCTGCTCTGTCGCGACCCTGGGCCCATGGTGGTTGGGCTCAAAGGCCCACCTGATGGGCTTCGGCTCCCTGAAGGACCGCGGTACATCTGACCAACAACCGCAGCGGCCATAGGATCACCTATCTGATCAGACCGAGATCTGCGGTGGCCCATACGCACTGACTGGGAGCGGCCGAGAGGGATACTGGGGGCTGTTTCGGGGTTCTCATGGGCAGATGGGACTGATGTCGGCGGAGGCATCACGCTCACAGGTCGCGGTCTTGGCTGTGGACGGCCTGCTGGGCCAGTCATGATAACAGATTTCGCGCGTTGTAATAGGGAAGGTTCATCTTTCTCCGGCGGCGGAGGAGGAAGCTCCTTGTCTGTCTTCGAGGTGTTTGAAGTCGGTAGCGGACCATCATTCTTATCTAAGATCTTCTCGAATCCTTCGTGCTGCAGCAATCGTCCAATGATTCTCTCAATGTATAGTGTAAGTGCCTTGTTCTGGTCTTTCAAAGTCCTCAATTCGGCTTCCAATTTGCGGGTCTCTGCATTGTTGCCCTCGCCAACGGACTCGAGTTCATCAGCTAGAGAACCGCTCAAACTCTGAGGCATGCCCGAAGGAGCGTCATGCATGAAGTCGCCTTTGGTAAAATCACCATTCAGTGTCTTCTCACTCAAAAGAAGCTGGTAGCTCTCATTGTCTTCCATTAGGCGGGCATTGGCCATCCTTGCCTCAAGGAGTTCCCGTTCGAGTTCCTGCTGTAAACCTCCGCCTTTGTTTTCCATTTCGACGAGTTTGATTTGGGATTCGGCAAGCTCTAATCGGAGTGACTCGATTAATTTATCCTTCTGTAACAGAAGTTTGGCATTGTTTCTCGACGGGCTGCGTTCTATCTGCGCTGATGGAGCGAACTGCCCACTATCGATATCGGGAGAAGATCGATTCCGGAAACTCGCTATGAATATGTTAGCATGGAATATCCTCAGCAAAGAAACGGATGGCATCATACAAGATCTGGAAATATTGCTCTTGTCACCGTCGGTATTGATTCGAATATCCTTTTGAGCAATCGACTCCTTCAGACGTTGAATGGTAGACTGTAACTCCTCCTCCCTGCTTGCCTGCTGTTCTTTATCCTGTAGCATCGCATTCCGCTCCTGCTCGTGTGCCTGCTCCATATCCCGTAACTGACGAGAATGGTCTCGGATTTGAGCATTCAGAGCTTCAATATTGCCATCCCTTTCATGCACCTGATCCTCCAGCTTCTGCTGCTCGGTAATAGCATCATCCAGTCGTGACTGCAACACCCCTAATTGTTTCTGGTACTGTTCTGAAGCCGTCTCGGCTTTCTGTAGCTGTTCCTTCAGTTCCTCTATCAGCGCCGCATTCTGAGCACGAGCCTCATCGTCAAAGGAGGCGGTGTCAGAACTGGAGATCTTGGGGACGCTGGAAACACTCAAATTCGATCTTCCGGGTTTGCGTGCTGCGGCTCTAGCGGAAACGGGTGACGCGCGACCGGAGGGGGTTCGTTGAAGACCATTCGATGACTTGGTTGCAGCACTTCGGCTGTCGACCGTTGTTCGGTCTGGGGTAGTCCTGCTACTGGGCCCTGTTGTCCCATTTGTACCCGTGGGTTTCTTGGGGGTCGTCGACATTTTGATGGTTAGAAAGAGAGAGCGATTGCTCTCGTGGTAAAGATGCTGACGTCGGTATGTATAGGGTTGTTGGGCGCGATTGAGAGAACAGATGGCAAGGGAGGATGGATAAAGTATGACCTATGAGCGGTCCTGTTCTGACCCAGAGTCCAGCCCGGCCAGCGGAGAAACCAAAATGCGTAGGATATTATTGAGCGGTCTGCAAAGACTCAAGGATAATTATCTCTCACGGAAAATATCGCCGGGAATCGTAAAATAAATCATGAAGATATAAAAGGAGAGGGTGGTTTGAATGAAGATGGAAGCAGGGGTCAGATAAATTATTTATTGCGGCTTGAGTTCAATTGGCAGGAGGTTCAATAATAGATCAATGATCCACCTCGCGACTGAGAAACAACTAATTCAGATCTCGGAACGCAATGATAGTGTGCAAAGAATCATAAAAAAAAAAGAGAAAAAAAAGAAGTCACAAAAAGAAATCTATGAAAATTGTGGGCTGTATTCAGTTGAGTAGACAATTATCATGTGGATGACATGGACTAATTACAGTGGCAGCAACCCTGTCGCGTCCCCATAGAAACCGTTTTCCAGCCTCGATCCTCAATAGATCATAGCATTTCCCAGACTCATATTCAAGCTAGCAAACAAGTGAGTAATAAATATCACAGCATTGAACGTATTGGATTGCCACTACCTTGCCACAGAGCTGATATGTTACTATCCCATCACAGCCACACCTGAAACCAAGTTGAGCTCATGAGACGCTGGTTAAACAGTTAATAAATAAGGCATCAACTTTCAAGGCCATCAATAACCGGATCATAGTTAATCCAGAAAATAACTGCCCTAGTCTCAGTTCCGTAAGGCTTCGTATAACGGACGCAATGTAGTGGGATGATGATGACTTGATTGGTCTCTCTCTAGGTCTCCGATGGGAGCCGGTAACTAAGAACTAACTAAGTAACGTCACGTGACACTTCGATACCTGCGCACGTGCGCCGTGTTGAATTTGCGTACTCTACAATCTACATACACCTAGAAGCATATTTTATCTTGAGAAGATGGAGACGATATTGACTGTCTTGTGCGAGAAAATCTCTATATCTACTATCTAGGAAGTGAGAGAGATCTATATCCCCAACAACAACATGTGGAAAGATGCCACTGGATCAACAATTTATATTGGCTCATAATCCAACTAATACGGAGTATATTCTGCTAGTTGCCTAATGGGGCGGAGTAGACTTGTCTTTAGTCTCGGTACTCGCCCCTTTATCAAGCAGCAGCTTCACCATAATCGAATGACCGTTCAAGGCAGCCTAGGAGAGAGCAGTTTGGCCGAACTCATCAGCTTGGTTAAGACTTGCTGCTCTGTCGATTAACAGCATGACCACCCCCAAATAACCATTCATAGCAGCCCAGGAGAGTGGCGTCTTTTTAAGCTCATCTCTCACCTCCGTGGTTGCCCCGTTATTGAGTAGTAGCTTCACCACCACAGAATTTCCATTTCTAGCTGCCCAATAAAGTGATGTCTCACCGGATTTGTCCTTCGAATTAATCCGCGTTGCGCTCTTGTCAAGCAATACGCTCACAACTGACTCGTGGCCATGTTTTGCTGCCCATAAGAGCGATATGCAACCAAAGTTGCTGTCTTTGGGTCTGACATCTGCATTTTTATTAAGCAAAAAACTCATCAATGGCTCAAACCTTTTCCAGATGCCCAGATGAGCGGTGTTCGCCCAGACTTGTCTCTGATATTAACGTCAGCATTATGACCTAGGAAGATTTTCACCATCAGTCCATATCCGCTTTAGATAGCTCATAAGAGTGGTGCCCGACCAAATGCTTTATCTTTGCAATTGATATCATAAGACCTTTTGAGCAAAGCTAGCATGAACTTGCAAAGTCCGAAGCACTCTGCAAGGTGCAATCCACTCATCTCAACATCATCATAGTAACCGAGTTCATGATAGATCATAACCTGGCTGCAGGCTGAAACTTTGCTCATGGTCTCAAGGAAGTCCAAAATCAACTTGCTGCCTTCAAGGGAGGAACTCCGAGCGTGGTAGCTCCAGAACCGTGCTGCGTACTCATATAGAGCATTTATTCGTATCGGACTTTGAGGTCATATGGTGTGGGACTTGGTTCGTCCTCAAAAGTCTGAAATGACAAGTATGTTACACATGTCTGGGTATTATCATCTTGAGCATTTGAGAGCCATTTGGTTCTGGTGCGATCAAAATACTCCGCTGCTGTATGGTGAACCAGGCGGATAGTGTTGTTTGTCACGTCAATAGTCACGAGGCTGGCACATACCGAGATGAAAAGTCCAATCTCCGTGATATTCTCATAATTGAGCGATAGAACATCATTCTTAGTAGCCAGAGCATGCTGCATCTCTGACTTTTTTTAGTGGTCTTTGGGCATAAACGATCCAAGCAATGACTCGAAGCGAGAGATCTCGGAAGCCTTGTTTTTGACTCTGTATTCTCTCCATTGCGTCTTCGTAGACTTGGTCATACGCATCCCCTTCGGAAGCCTTTCCAGTGCTATCTCAAGCAATTCAGATAGCTTGGTCGGAGTCTCTTATCTCTATGAAAGGCGCACCTTTCCGTTTGAACTCTGGTATTATCTGTGGGAGGAATCGTGATGTAGTAAGAAGACTGAACGCTACTGTTGCTTGTAGACCAAATATACTGGTAAGAATTTTAGGAATTCCATCGAATAGTCTGCACTTATCTAGTGCGTCGATAAGAATAAATGTGCTTGAAAAAACTCATAATTATATTCTTCAGAGAGTCCGATGCCTCTTGAAAAGAAGGACGACTTTGTCTAGGCTTGTGGTAACTGTAGAGTCTCATCACTTTGTCCATGCCAGCAGTCTGAAAAGATAATTGCCTCGAGAGGCATGTGAACAGACCAATAATATCTTCAATCTGCTGATGGAAGTTGGAGTATACAAAGGCAATACCGATATATTTGCAGCCCTGGAACTTTCTCTGGAGGTGATTAATCACAATTGACGTGGTTACAGTCTTCCCTTCTCCTGGGATCCCGGACAGAATAAGATGGGTGTTTCCTTATTTGACCATCGTTGGAATCGATCCGATTTCAAAAACCATTCTCCACCACCTTTCTGACGACCGGTAATGAAGTCGTTTTGTTGGGCAGAATAGTCCTTTGGGTGCAGCCAGTCAAGGTTTCTTTGCCGCTTTTCGTCTCGTTGGACGTCCACAATTCTATCAATTTTCACGGACACAGTATCGAGGTTCTCTTGAATACCTATTTAAGAAGCACATGTGTTAGAACTTGACATGCCAAGGAGAAGCTAAAAGATACTTACAATATAAAATATCAACAATCTTCCTCTCCGCTTCCACCTGGTTTGGAATGATCTGTCGTAAAAGAGCCGTAGCATAAGTTGCAGCGACCATTGCAGCATATCCTTGCCATTCTTTATTTTTATGAGAGTCAGAATAATCACAGATACCTCGAGCAATCGAACACGGAAAATAATTCATGAGTCCTGTAGCTTCCATCTCAAAACACAATGCCCCTTTCTTCGCAAGCTTGTCCCGGATCAATGTATTTTTCATCAGCTGGTTCAATGAAGCGATCAAGTTGTAGTGGATCATTGGATTGTCCTCCTCTTCTGTCCGGTCTCTCCGTAGTATCAAGGCAGGGCAGCTGTTCCCGCAGGTGAGTGCACAATTCGAAACTTGAGCGTCGTTCGCTGGATGTATGACATTGCTATCATACAGTTGATCTGTGTTCCGGTTCGGTTGTTTATACTTTCCTCGTAGTCGGCTGTTGTTCGAGAACTTCACAGACGGTCTCATGTAGTCTATCATCTTCGAACTCATAATTAGATTTAAGCCCACTAACTGCAGTCTGCAAGATCATGGGTGGTTGGTTCAATTCGTGTAAGTGGAAAATCTTGCTCCTGAATGATTTTCCCAAAACCACACTGAACCACGCCGCTGTGTCCATCAAACGGAGCACTTACAACGATGTCACCAAGACGAATGCCATGTTTGGAGCTCCACCGCCGATGCCAACCATCAGGCCTAAGCGGATATTCGAAAAACTACGAATCATATGTGTAGCAACGATAGTGGCAGACGCAGTTCCGTACTCACCATTAGGTAAGACGGCAATGACAACATTATGACCTGCAATCGAACCGAAAGTATACTTGTTGCAATCCCCTAAAGACAGTCTTTCGGGTATCCCATACTTTATCTCCAGGAATGCCAATACAGCGACGTACTCAGTGCTGATGACGCAAATCCATCCGATGGTATAGTTAGCCGGATTCGCCATGATATTGGTTAAAATCCGCACAAGGGTATCGGTGTATCCGAAGTAGTGAACTTGGGCCGATGTCTTCAAGTATGGCAGAATGTTTTTGTAAGTATGAGTGGTCTCGACCAGCCTTGTCAGCTTTGTGTGGTGATACAAGAACAAGGCTGAGTACATATGCACGTAGTTTGCATGTATACCCAACACCGAGGACACGTTTGCGTAGAACCAACAGCCTAAAGAAGATTGGATGTGGTAGATATAACCACCCTGAAAGAATCAAGCTCATTTAAAGCATCCGTAGACACATAGGTCTGTTACCTCAAAACCAGAAAATAGATCCGAAGAAATAACAACTCACAATTGGCATTTATACTGTAAAGGGAGGATCTGTGAATTTCCGCATTCCGTTAGTGTTACCTGTTTTAGACTAGTCCCCGGGTACGCCGTATGGTCATCACTACCCAGCCGCCCGTCAAATATAACAGCCCATGCCCTCGCTGTTCTAACCTTCAGTCCTTCCACTTCTTTATTTTCCCTCTATGTCTCTCGTACAGTCGCGCTCTCTTTTAAGTTAAAGATGCAACTCTTGCTCTTATTTCTATTGGAAATTACTAATGCGCCCTCGGCTCGCATCGTACCTACTGCCCAGTTTCATTCGCCCCATCCGCATGAGTTGGCGATGGAAGCAGGGTAACATTCTGAGACATCTAGGACTAGCTGGAGAAACCGTGTGATCATCTTGCAAGATCTACCTTTGTTTTTAGCTGACTGTGGCATGCAACTGCAGAGACTTAGGAGTGCAATTGACTGAATTCGGAGTTGAAAAGAAGAATCTTGGGGCTCTAGGGAAAACTGACTCGATGTGTGTGCTCTCTTCAGTGGAACGCACAATCCCGAGAGTGAAGCTATATCTATCTAGAGTCTATCTATATCGGGAAGGCGGTGGCTGAACCTGACTGGGCAATATATGTCCCAACAAAGAATAAGGAGCGCCATATACATTGTATCTCTAGTTTTTAAACTACTAAATATATAAATAAGCTCATGCTACGCATTCGCAAATAATTAAGGTTGCTGCCTCAGGCCCGTAACTAGCCGAATTTCGTGAATTTGAGTTCATGGGGGACTCTGGTTTCACCGAGATCGAGGTGATTGGTTTAAGGTGGATTTTGGACCTAGGTCCACGGTATCGAACCTACTAAGGGTCCAGGTGCACGCTTTAGAGTCTTGTAACCTATACCTCTCCATATAGTTCCGCGTTGCTAGATCACCAGTTTTAGTTAGCCTGACCCTGGCTTAACATGGCTAGAGACCTACCTTGGTTACAGACAACGGATTCATGTTGATAGCGTTGGGTCGGACAATCTCATTTATAACTACGGCCCAGACCCAAATGGGAATAGTGTTCCAACAGTTGAGCCTCTAAGTGTCCGACACTACTTGACGTCATGTGATTTTATATACCTCCATATTACCTTCCATCGCAACAACAAATGCACCTTCCTCAATTGCTGCATCATCCCAGTGCTCTCGTGAATGTCCACGATGGCTGCCAATCTTTTCTCCTGGGGTTTTCGCCCAAATCGATCCTCTCCAACAATGGCTGAACCGTCTCAGCGCAGATTGTGGTGTGCGTTCTCTGACAATATTGATAATATGTTCCCCATAGACTGCAATATCAATGTTGACTCGATCGCCGATGTCAAAAAGAAGATTTGGTCGGAAAGTCAACCCAAGCTTGCTCAGGTTGCTTCCTGGGAACTCGATCTCTACAGCCCTTCCAGCCCAGTCAAGAATATTCCTACGAGGGAGAACCTTGTACATCTCCATCCTCGCAAACGAATCTTATCCGACTTCCCTCGATCCAATGATCCAGACATTGATATCATTGTTATACAACCAGAAGAGCAACAGCATTCTATCGCTACCCAAGGTACGATCCCACATGTTGAGCTATCATGCCATGGTCACAACTGACGCTGATGCCAGTGTCAAATTCTCCCAGACTTGAACCATGTCGAATGATATGCACGCGAGATGAAACGGTATCAAGACTTGCGGAAGTCATTGATTCACAAAACATCGTCCACGTACGTGGCACCCCAGCAAGTGGAAAGTCAACACTCTCGCTTCTATTAAGGGACTATTATCGCCGGAATGGAAGAACAGTTTTTTGGCTTGGGATATGGGAACAAAATCTTCGGGAGTTTGGTGATGAGGACCCTTGGGCGAATCTAGCTCGATATATCAGGTGCAACTACCCGAGGCTTGATAAGAAACAGAATATATTTGCCAATGGTAATGTGATCATCATCGATGAAGCACAAACATCATATGGGGACACCGCATTATGGAATCAAATCATCAAAGATATCCGTGGTGGGATCGGATATAAGGTAAAGCTGTGTCTTTTCTGTTCATATGGCAGCCCGTCAGAAGGCCTACCATATAACAGAAGGGATCACGGCACACCTGTGGGCTTTGGTCGCGCGCAACGCATTTCATTGACTCCGTCAGGGGAGCTCGGATCACCACCAATAGGCCTATTCTACAACAGGGATGAGTTTGAAATAGTCGTGACGAAATTATGTTCTTCCGATCCTGTTGAAAAGTATAGCGTCGACAATGACGCTCGAGACTATATATTCAATCTCACGAATGGTCATCCTGGGGCTGTAAGCTCAATAGTATACTATCTTTTCCAGGTATGTAACCGCTTGCGCTTGTAGCCACTGGGGCCTGGAAAGCTCCGTGATTTCAGCACAACTGACTCCAATGTTTAGGTGTACCGCTCTCAAGTGAAATATAAAGATATTTCTACAATAACACAAGATCATGTAACTCAAGCCTTAGCCGATGACAACAAAGTCTTCGGTGGTCTTGATGGATCTATTGTCTTCAGATCCTTTCCTTTCCCAGGGAAACTTACACCAGAAGCTAGGAGCGCACTGATCACAATTCTAGAAGATGGATATATTCTATTTGATGAATCATCTGATGGTATTAGATGCTGCTATGAAAATGGCTGGATTCATAGAGCAATCCTGGGGGATAGCTCACTGCAGCAGAATAGCGTTGGTGTTTTGCCTTCACGCTTGCATGAAAAGTAATCTTGTTTATAAAAACACGGCTTTTACTGTTCTATGCTGATGTGCACAGGTACGTTGAGTTCTTAATTGGTGAAACGCAATTACATTTCCCAGAGGCATTTCCTACGATTCAGAGCTTGTGTATGGAGATTCTCAAGCGGTTCTCTGCGAAAAAACTTCGACATTCTGTGGAAGGCAAACTATCAACTGCATCGAGACTTCGACCGCTGGAGGCGCAATATCAGGATGAGTTTTATAGAGCTTTCAACTCTGTAGTAGGTCGAGGTGTACCAATTTCCAGTGAATGGTCCCGGGAGGGTGATGGCCGAGTCGATTTCTGGATTCCACAAAAACGATGGGGAATTGAGCTGCTCAGGGAACACAGCAATGTGGATGAACATTGTAATCGATTCAAGAAGGGCGGTCGGTATTATCCATGGATTGAAGCTGGCATGCTCAAGGATTGGATATTAATTGACTGTGCCACATCTTTACCCAGTAGTGGTATGTAGTCTCATCTTATACTTTGTTTTACATCCTTGATGCAGTCAAACTGCTGACATCATTACAGAGCATACAGAACCGAAACTCTGGCGCGCTGTCTTTGAGAATGATTATTCCCAATTAATGATGTTGGATTATAGAAATAACTGTCTGATGGGCCCTACTGTCTTAGTCAATTAAGAGTTGATGAGATATATGGAGCTCTTATTTGCTTTACCTATAATATTTTTCTATTATTCCTTTTACCTCTTTCAGTCACAAAGCTAAACTATGCATCTCTTCCTCCGTTGCTACATCAGTTATGGTACTACTAATGAATTGTACTTTTTCCTATCGAGATTACGTTTTATTAGTATATTTTTTGATGCTGGACTCTATAAACGGGGAAAAGTTGACGTTTGTGTTTCCACCGGAAACAACTTCGTGAACATATGCAGTCCTAAACCTTAGTTAAAGCGGCGGCTTCCCCCAGGAGTTACGAGGTGGAATTGACGCCGTAAGAAGCCTCAGTAGCGGTTATTTTCAGTGTCGATTTCACAGGTCCTCATATTCTATATGTAATTCCAAATGAGGCTTATGCATTCTCTTTATATTTCCTTCTCCTCACTCGCACAGGGACTGGATATTTGGTCCTAGCCGTACCTAGTCCGTATCTCCAAGGATCGAGTTGAAAGGAGTGGTCGTCCAATGGCTCGATATCAAATTCGCTTATCAATAATGCGCAAAAGAAGAACACTACGTTCTTAGCCAGGAATCTACCTGGGCAGATTGAGGGACCTCCTGTACATAATTTCAGCTTCGGAAGATTTGTACCATGGACAAGGAGGGGACAGAAAATTTACCTCCATATGGTATCCATACACCATCCAAGCCTTCCATGGAGAAATAGGGTATTTTGGAGCCACCAGCTTTGGAACCATGTGTGAACCGCATTTGGTCTGGCCTTGCCGGTCCGCTCAATGGGGTTTCAGGATGGATAAGGAATCGATCGGGCCAGAACTCGTTGAGAGGATGCTTTCCCCCAGCATCGTTCCAATAGGTCTCATCCATATGAGATATGCCCGAGCTAACAACCCCAGTGGCTCCTTTCGGTAGATTCCATTTCCCCAAATTGACATCGTTGTGCTGCGAACTCGCCATGAAAAATACTTTGACATAAAGACGCAACGTCTCAGCATAGACGGCAGATAGTAGCGGTAGCTTCAATAACAGTTTTGGGTCGGCTGTTACAAATGTAGAGAGGGGATCAAAGTGCGCTGCTAGCTCCATGCGCAGACGTGTGAGGAGTGATAGATCTCGGAATATGTGATATGCTGCCAAAGTTGCCGCTGAGACGGCATTAAAATTCGATCTGCAAGAACACAAGTCAGCATCTATTTCATTATTGGCTCGTACAGCAGGGCATATGTGTCCCTACGCCCATAGAAGTGCAAGGTCATGCGACGACATAGCATCGTCGTCGTGCGAGCGGCGCTCAACATGCAAGACCTGTTGTAGATTTCTCACCAACCGGGATCCCCAAGCTGGATCTCCATCGCCGCCTGCGTCGATATGAGACTCTCGAAAATCCTGTCTAGCGTATATGTACCAATTCTGCAGCTTAGCCCGAATCTTATCCCGGACACGGTATGGGTTTGGCATAAGAATTTGTGGAATTCCTCTCGCCAGCCAAGGAAGCACATTGTCATAATCCCACAGGTCATCTATAATCTCCGGGTGAAGCTGGAATAATAATGGACCATAAATTGCCTGTGAAAGGGCGCCGATTGTCATTTTGCCAAATACCTCGAAAAAATCATATATATGGTTCCATTGGTCGTTTTCAACGCTAGTCATCATCTTAATCTTTGCCAAGAGGGTGTTCCTGAAGCGATGCGTTGTTGGAGCAAGACCCGGACCGCTAAAAGCATGATTGAAGCTCTGGTGAAGAAGATAGTCGATACGCTCCTCTGGTGTAAGATTCGGATTACTTCCAGGAAATGGCTTTACCAAGGGACCAGAGTCGTCAGCTCTGTAAGCTTTTAGACCCGTCTCCGGCATGCCGAAAAGGAAGCGGAGAGTTACGATGATGATTGACATGGGGCTGGCGAGACTGGGATGTTTCATCATTTTCTCAACAGTCTCACGATCCTGGAAGATATACATGTTTGACCCCAGAAGGGAGATTCGAGTAGAAGTGATCTTCCCATGGTAGTGTCTGAATGCCCCAGTCAGCCGTCATGTAATCCAGGAGGTGAAAGGAGCTCTACATTGTGGTAAGGGTATGGAAACTTACGTTGCTTTGTATAGGAACTGTTCAAGGTTCCAGGCCGAAGAGAATGCATGACCTAAGAACGGCACCAACGTAGGGTACTTAGGAGGAACTTGTGCTCCACGCCGACTCCTGCGCACACGGTGGTATCTAACCCAGGCCAGTATATAATTCGTCACCAAGACAGTGCTTAGTAGAATAACCCAGACTGAAATTGGCCAAGCGCTAATCGTCAGAATCTGATGTATACTGCGCATGACCGTAACGTGAAGATCGCTGCTTCCCATCATGTACTAAAGGGCGACTGGTCTAAAATCCTTTGACAATAGATGTAGGCCAACAGGAGCTTTGCCAGGAAAGATTTTATATAACATGTGAAAATGTCGGAAGCCATCTTCGGCTGTCAATACTATGTCTGCATGCTATAGTTGTAGGTAACTGTCGTTGGAGTAAGTACCAGGTACCTGCTCCAGGTGCAGGATACTTCAATCGGTGCATATCGACTGTGGCTGAAAGGCGATGTGGTAGGCTGATGCTTGCAGGTCCGGTCTCTTGACGTAGGATCGTTGGCGGCTATCTCCATTGTAGCACTGATGTCTCTGCAGAAGGACAAGAAAAGAGAAAGATATGTAGGTGATGAATGGAAGAGATGGAACTGAGGATGGATGGGTTCACCTCTTTCCCAAATTGTCTACAAGGTGGGTGGGGTACACGAGGGAAGGTACGACCCAGCTCTTCCATCTCTCATCTTACAACTGACCGAGTTTCTATCTCGACAATACTTCTAATGATCTCATTTAGACAGTGAGTTGCTCACGAGATTGTCATTGACTATGGAGACCTGGTCCCAGCATCGATAAGTTCTGACTGTGATGCTAATCCTACTGTTTCTTTATCAAGGCAAAATGGCCCAGGGTCTAGCCTAGTCCTGGGGTGCCAACCATACCCGTGAAAAACAAAGCAGAAACATTGTGCTACCGCCATCTTCGTCTCATCCTAGGACGGGTTTCGTTCGTCCATACTATTTCTCCATCGCCCTCATCTCTGGGAGGAAGTTGGGAATCTGGCCAATTAACACTGCAGATATCCATCATCTTTCTTCCCAGATCGCTCACTCATCTTATTCTCTAATACTGTCAGCACGAAAAACACAAAATGTCTGCAAAAGGCACTATTATCCTTACCGGCGCCAATGGTGGTATTGGAAGCGCCATCGTATCCCGCATCCGCTCCTCGCCAGAGCTCTCCTCATACCACGCCATCTACACCGTACGAGATGCTTCATCCGTACCCCAAGATCCAGATCCTCGTCAGCAATCCAACTCCGACACACAAAATCATGAGACTATCTCTCTCGAGCTTACGAACCTTACAAGCGTCCGCACGGTGGCAGCCGGCATCAATGCACGAGTCGCAGCGGGCGAGATCCCACCCATTCGTGCCTTGATTCTTAACGCTGGATACAACGAATTGAATACTCAAAAATTCACAGACGACGGCTTTGCGACAATGTTTATGGCTAATTATCTGGGTCATTGGCTGCTTGTTCTGTTACTAGTGCAGAGCATGGATCGTGATATGGGTCGAATCGTGGTGATTGGCAGCAAGGCTCATGAGTAAGGCCCTTTTCGAGACGCCGAATGTAAATAATATACAGCTACTAAAATTATGTTACGTAATAGTCCCTCGTTGAGCCAGAATGCTCGCCCTTTCAAAGATGAGAAATGGAGGACAATGCTTCACGAGAGCACTGATCCGATTGCATATGGGACTTGGAGCTCGTTCAAAGAAGACCAATCTTATGCGAGCGGAATGAGACGATATGGCGCTTCTAAACTCTGTGCTATCATGATGATGTACGTCTTTTGTCTTTCCTCTTTCCTTCCTGTGCGCCTTTATTTCTACTAAAGACACTAACCAACCCCTAATAGCGGGGAACTCCAACGGCGTCTCTCCACCGACCCCGCCCTCTCCAACGTCTCCATTCTCGGCGTCGATCCCGGCACCGTCCCCACTAACCTAGCCCGCCACAGCCCTTTTTTCATCCGAGTGATCTTGTTCCAGCTTCTTCTCCCGATACTTGCCGCTATCAAGCATTGGCGCAACCCTACTGGTAACAACGACATCCGTACACCCGAAAAGTCTGCAGGGGATATTTTGGCGGCGGCTTTGGATTGTAACCCTGTTCTGGGAGAGCGGCCGCAGGGAATGTATCTGGATGGCTCTGAGGTGGCTGAGATTAGTCCTGAAGCTAGGGATGAGAGCAAGAGGTTGATGGTGTGGAGGGATAGTGTGAGGTATACGGGGCTGAAGGGGGAGGAGACCATGCTGGTGAATTGGGAGTAACTATGTCTTTCAACTGAAGTGGTTTTCATTTCTACGTATTCCTGAAAAGCCACGCTTCATTAATGATGAAGGATATTAATACTGTCTTGTTAATATATGCTTCTATTCTTGAGTACCATAATAGACTCCTACGACGAAGGAATCTTATACCCACCAGGCACCTGCTGAGTAAATACCAAAGTCGGATCTACTCTCTCTCTAACCTTCTGCAACTGCCTAACGCTTTTGTGCCCATAACTCTCAATAGGATCCTGATTCTGACCCGCATAGTTAAGATAGACATACGGATCCAATCCACCGAGCTGTCTAGCAGCGGCATTGATGCTATTTAGAAGTGAATGAGCCGTGGTGCCTACGAGCGCATCATCATCGGGCGTAATCCATGTTGCGCTGATGAGGGCGACAATGAGGGAGTCTGCCCTGTCGTCGAGGCCCATGGAATTGGAGCTTGCATGTCGAGAGTAGAAAATTGGTGGGAGGGGTTCAAGGGCTAGTGCGAAGACGATGTTTGGGATATTCTTGATAGAGGGAACGCTGGATTTCCATGCTTCGTAGGCTGCTTTGATGACTGGTGCTGTGGAAAGCAGGGTAGTTACGAGAGAAAGGGATCTGTCGGAGTTAGATATGATGTGGAACCTACAGGACTGAGGGAAAGTAGACTCACCTTGCTCCATTCGGTTGAAGGGCTTGAGTCGCAAAGGCAAGGTTAGTCATATTTGTAATCTGAGACGTAGACATCATACTCGGTAGCGCTAGATAGTCCTCGAATACAGGCGGATTCTCAACGGGCTTCGTGTACTCGAGGTTGCTCGAAATGACCATCATGTTTCGAGCCTGCGAGTACCCGAAAGACGTGATAAGAGATGCATATTCGTCATATGCGGTGGGAGAATTAATCTTGACAAACTCAGCAATAATATCGTCGACAATGCTGAGATCATTGTACATTGTAGCAGCCCATATGTCTCCTTGTGCAAAGGTTATTAGTTCAATTTGAGTCACGATGCCGAAGTTGTTGTTTCCTCCTTTCAGAGCTCGGAATAAGTCGGGGTTTGACTGCGCGTTGGCATTCACAAGAGATCCATCGGCGAGGACGATTTGGTAATTGGTTACGGTGTCGCAGGTCCAGCCATATCGAGGTGAGAAATATGAGATACCGCCGCCAAGGCAGAGACCCCCGACGCCTTGTTAATATGAGTAACGCAGACAAATTGACATATAATGATTTGTATTCTACTCACCTACTCCAGCTGCTCGGCCACCATTCACACTGAGACCAAGCGGGTCAAGCAGAGCGTAGACCATATCCCAAGAAGCCCCCACCCCAACAGAGACAGTCGACTGATCCGGCGACAATTCAATGGTATTTAGGTTGCGGAGATCAATCACGACGCCATCTGCAATATTGGCTGCACCAGCCCAGGCAGTGTGACCACCTGAGCGAATTGCAAAGGGGCACCGCTGTCCATTTTCCGGCTTTTGAAGGGATATCACTGCTTCCGAGACATCTAATGACGTCTGCGGAAGTACAATACATGCAGGTTGAACAGCTGCCTCCTGCTGCGAGAAGTAGGAGCTTAGTGATGTCGTATAGGCAGTGTTATCGGGCAAAAGGACTTTCTGCTGGCCCAACAGTGCTCTAAGCGCGACACACTGAACGGATTGGTCAGGCATTTGATTGGTAAAGGAGTCTAGGCTGATCGATTGCGGGGAACGCTTGAATTGAGCAGGAGGAGGAGGGGGGAAGAGACAAATAATCAAAGAGGGGTGGGCTGAGAACAATTTTTCAGCTGTAAAGCCAAGAAAAGGGAGGGAGTTGCATGCTTACACAAAAATTCCCAGGCATCATAATAGAATCGTTCTTTTTCGCGAGTGGATTTGAGTAATTAAGCAGAAAGTCGGTGAGACATCAGCTGTTGAGAAATGATTCGGTCAAAAGGTAGTCACCACGATCTTTTAAGAGTACGTGATTGTCCTACATCCTTTTTGGTGTTGCATTACATAGATCATACAGATCCGTATATCCCCAAATTTCTGCTGGACGGCAGATTTGTGAAGCTGGGGTGATGAGCATTGGCACTTGTCTGACCTTGCACTTGGGGGCCAGAATGAGGAAGTCCCTTTGTTCGTACGTATTCATGGGGTTACACAGCGGAGGAGACTGTGAGGGAAGGCGTGACTAGCAAAGCCCTAAGCCGGGGTTGAGCTTGTATCCCCGATTATGTCTTCTTAATTGTCAATGTTTTAGAAAGCCGAGTTGGTTAATATAGTTATAAATCCTAAAATTAGGAGCATATCGATACTTTGAAGAAATTGTTCTTAATGTCCTTTGCGACGAAGATTCTGAAGAATGAAGAATGGTTTCAAGCTTACAAGGTATTAAGATGCAATTTGAGCAATCAAACACGCCAAGTCTCCATATTGTACAAATGCATAGACAGTTACAACAGCTTTTCTCGCGACTGTGATTTATTCCCAGGTCTCGATTGCTCGGTAATGCTCACAGTTCGAACGACATTTATCCCACTTCTACTCGCGTCCACTGCTTCGGGTCGCCTCATCGAAGGATCCTCCTCGTCCGCAGCTGTCACTTGGGTTCGATTGACTCTAGTATCAGTGAGCTCATAATATTCGTCCGCCTGTGGATGTTTCCAAGTGTGCTGCCGTTTGTTCGGGTCTTTGTTATCTAAACCTTCGGGTACATTTGGTGTTATTCCGTAATTGTCGTCTCTGTCCGAGCTGCCCATGATTTTTGATCGCAGACTTTGGAAGAGTGTTGAAGTCATTACATGTGACCTGATAAATTTGGCGACGATGGGCATACTTCCCACTGCGATGGCGACATTGTTCTCGGTGACGCTGTGTGTATCAGAAATTAGTAGGTTTCTATCATATATCCAACGATGGTGAGAACGTACACGCAAATGGCTAATCTAGCCTGATCCCATGTACTATCTTGATTGTGAAGGAGGTCGACGCGGAAGACCAATGCGACGACACTAGCTATGACGCCCCTGTTCAGGTCAAGTCAGATATACTCTTAAGTAACCTTCCGAACCTTGGAAAGCTTACATCAAAGCTGTAGCAAACAGCGCAACAAGCTGAAGCCTTTTCTTCAAAGGCAGCGTCAACTGAAACAACGTAGGAAGCGGTAGTGTGAAAATATACAAATCCAGCAAGACCGAGCAAGACCCCTGCACAATACCCCAATAGATCAAGGTGTGATCTCTCGAAGCCGCAAGACTCCGCAGAAGCTCGTCCCAGGTATGACCGGGTTTAGGGGCTTCGTAAATAGCTGACAGAGGGATGGAAGGGAAATAGATACAAAAGGTGAAGATGAAACCTATCCAAGTGCCTATTTGCATTGATCTCTTGGGGAACATTTTGCGATACATGAAGAAAATGGAACACTTGGGGAAGAATAGCACCGCGCCGACTATCGTGGTACCAGCGAATATGATCTATAACGCTTCAATCAGCTCATAGTCGAGGTTTTTGAATGAGGGTGAAGATACCCTAAGATAATGCCCGTCCATCCAGCAAGCTGGAATGTCCCATTGATGCCGGTTATAGCGATGTACTGCAAGCAGGTCAGGGAAAGATGTCCGATTTTCGTCATATCTGCACTACTTACACGATATGATAAGTCCGGTGTATGTGATTGTCATCACACCTCCCATAGCCATAAAATCTGCACACCGAATCAGTTATCTGGACCATCAATCAGCACAACGAGATAGCATACAATCAGCCACATCGAGCTTCCGTATATTCATCCACAACCTGAGCACCACCAAGCTTACTGATAATATAGTTAAGATGAGACACATAGCCCAGGTGACTGGTGCTAGAGTCGTGGGGTTAACCAAATTCGAAACATACCCAGCAGGAGGCTGGAGCGCGGGTATTTCGCATAGATTGGTGCCAGGAGGTAATGAGCTCGACATTGTCAACAAAACACAACAAAAGAAACGCTAGTGAAGCAAGAAGCATACGCCTTGCACGACTAGAGTTGGAAATAAGTCATTCAATGAGCTGAAATGTCCAATAACTGCGAGGATCAATACAACAGGTCAGGTTTCCTATAGGGGGCTCAAACTTGCATCTGGAAATGGTAAGAGTATTAGCCTGACAGCTCATCTGTGAGATATATAGGCTAAAGAGGTTTTGAATTCATCTGCTTAATCAAGTTGACCATTCCCGGCGAATTAAATTGGTTGTACTACCGCTCTGATTACTTGCATTACCTGTTGACCGTTGACCGTAGGATATCATGATTTCACGTATTCCTGTACTACCCGACATCTACTTAGCTGAAGAAATCTATTGGGGAGGGGAGCGCAAGGAATATGCAAGTACAATCGCCGTGATCACCGCCGTGCAGATGGCACCCCGGAAGAGATACCAGTTCTGGAGTAAGTGACCAGCAAATGGGCTGTGCACACCAAGTAAATATGTAGGTTGCTAAGGACGCCGTTCAGCTTTATGCTGTAACCTCAGTGATTGTCTGTCAAGGTATTGATCCTATTGGCCTAATCTCGAAAGTCGAGGTACATTCTTCAGACTTGAGCGACAAGTAGTATGGCCAAGATCTAGTCTAGCGTTTTAATGCTCAGATATAGCTATTTACTTTAGTACTCAATACAATACTCATAACAACCTAGAAAGCCAATACCCTCCTATATATGTGATCTATGAATGAAATTCTTTTTCTAAATGATTTCAGTCTTCAACAGTGCACCTAACGTATCATGCTGATTCTGTCCCCGGAGAGCAACACAAATACCCTCTTCTGGAGATTTCTACATGAAGAACATCAAAATTCCATGATCTATGTGCTAGAACTATTGGTGTTAGGGTTTGTGGGTTGGCGAATTTGGAGGTTTACACTGTCTCCGATGATCTATCCCAACGATCCCAAGGAACTACCCTACTGGATACCATGTACGTTGTGCCACACTTAAGAGGTTGGAAAATAGCTTACTGATGGGTAATTAGTTATTGGTAGGTATACCTTGCGCCCTCGGTGCTTTATATTGACAAACATTTCCAGGTCATGGCCTCGAGTTTTTCCATGACTCACAAGCCTTACTGGCCAAAGCAAGGTGAAAAAGTTTACTAAAATGCTGTTACAAAGGCCAATGTTAATATCCAAGCAGCAATTACTTCGCCAATTCAAAAGACCCTTTCGCATTGACCGTCTTCGGCTCAAAACTATACGTTATATCAGACTCGAAACAGACAAACGAAGTATACAAAAACCTTGAAACACTCTCGTTCATAGAGTTTGTCCAGGGACTTTTCAAGATCAATGGAGTCAGTGAAGCTGGTATCAAGGCTGCATACACGGACTTACCAGTCGACAAACCTGGTTTCCCGAATCCTCAGGGGAAATCACTTGGGGGCACACTCGTGCGGCAGATGCATATCCACCAGCTGTACCCCGGAGAGAATCTAGATCATTTAGAGGCTCGGTTTTTGGAGTACTTCGAGAAGAATCTTACCCTACCCATGCTAAGGACGGCATGTGCGCCATACTTACTTTCCCAGGATGATACTTCAGTCGACGTACCGCTCATGCGTTGGTGTTCTGAATACTTCGTCCGAGCTGGTGGATTAGCTTATTTCGGTGACATGCTAGGCGCAATTGATCCAGAACTGGCGCCTACTTTTATTGCATTTGATGATCTCTCATGGCAGGCTATTTATCAGTATCCACGGTCCTGGTCCAAGGTTATGAGCGCAAAGAGGGATCAGACTCAGAGAGCTTTCAGAAAGTATTTTGAGGTTCCTCAAAATCTGAGGACGGGGGATGCGTGGTTTACGAAGACTATGGAGAATGAATTACGTGCTGTGGGGGTTGGGACTAATGATATTGCCACAATTCTGGTCACGCTGCACTGGGCGTGAGTATAGAACTCCTCATTCATAAGGGAATATTAGAACTAACTGGGTAGTATAAACACAAACACACGCAAAGTTGCCTTCTGGATGCTGACATACCTCCTCCACAACACTTCGTATATCGGACCACTCCGAAAAGAAACAGCTGCTGCATTTGACGGAGACAAACCCGTCGACCTGGAGCATCTTCATAACAATTGTCCATTATTGGAGAGCTTCTGGTTTGAGACATTACGAATGTCCTCGAATGCTGCCTCTGTCCGGCTTGTGAATAAGGACACTATTATAGGAAATAGGGTCCTTCGTAATGGCAACCGTATCAGTATGTTTCTAGATGAGTGTCTACGCAGTTGTACTCAACAAACTGATTAAAATCTCAGTGATACCGTACCGCCTCCTCCATTTCGACGAAACCGTCCACGGCCCCGACGTCTACTCTTTCAAACCTGAACGATTTGCAGGTGCGAATGCCGAGAAATTGACGCGAGGGGATATTTGGCGGCCCTTTGGTGGTGGGAAGACGATGTGTAGTGGTCGACACATAGCGAAGCGTGCCACGCTTATGTTCTTGTCTATAGTGCTCCGAAAGTTTGATATAGAGATCCTCGGAGAGAGAAATATGCCTGCTCCGGACTTGGGGAGGCCGGTGCTTGGAATTATGGCTGTCAAAGATGATCAGGATTATACTGTGAGAGTTTCGGAGAGAAACCGGGTTTCGGAGTAAGCGGATAAATTGATACATGGGTATCATGATGTTGCTCTTACTTAGGGTTTGTGGTGCAGTAATGCTAATGTTGAGCATTACTATGAGAATTTACGATACACAATCGTTGAAAGTATGAACAAAAATATTAGTACAAAAATCCTACAAATGCATATAGACCTAGAGAGGTAGATATATATTGTGGTCGATCTTTTATACAGTTCTAAGCCTCATATCGACGCCCTTGCTTACCTATGTAGATAGGTAAGGAATCCGTTCTGAAACGGAATTGAGTAGAAAGAAAAAGTCTGAACAGCAGTGAAATTCAGCTATATTAAATATTAGATCTGCATTGTACATATACTAGAAGTTGATTCGACAATTGGATTTCAGCTACTGTGGGTAGAGTGTTCGCTTCTCTGCATCTTATATCTTCACTCATTTGATCCCCTGCATGCTTCCATCACACGTTTCTTTGCTGGGAGTAAATCCGGAATACAGAAGAAATATAACAAAGATCAATTTGATTCTGACGCATATTTCATGACATGTCTTCGCCATTCATCGCTCTTATGGCCACAGGCATATTGTATGCCGGTATTGGACATGCGGGGAATGCAACTTGTAAATGCGTATTTCCCTCCTGCTGCAACTTATATCAGCTCTCCTCCCAGAACTGACGGTTGAAAGATGCCAAATGACGCCTGCTGGCCCAGCCCAGCTATATGGTCCACATTAAACGACACACTCTCAGGAAAACTCATCCAGAACATACCCGTGGCAGCACCATGCTATCCAGGTCCATACTCAAACCCGACAGAATGTGCCATTGTGCAAGAAAACTGGATGAATACATCGTTCCTGTCTGAATATTCCATCGGGTATTCATATCCGTTTACGCAATCGTGCGATATTGCACCAGGAAACACCACCAATTGCGAACTGGGAGATTCGCCGGTATATGCTGTCAATGCAAGTACGCCCGAGGACGCTGTTGCTGGTGTGAATTTTGCGAGGGAGTGGAATTTGAGATTGGTTGTCAAGACCACTGGTCATGATATGTTGGGTCGTTCGACTGGGTATGGGAGTTTGGAGATTTGGTTGAGGTATCTGAGGCAGGGCATTTCCTTTGAAGAAGTGTACTCCGAGACATTGCTATATGGACAGAATGAGCCAGCTGCATGGAATGGTAGCGCAATTGAAGTTGGTGCTGGTTACGACTGGGGTGATGTGAATGCGGTAGCTGCTGCTAACGGTGTTATTGTTGTTGGTGGTGGATGTCCAGTATGTATCTACTCCACATAAGAATCACATAACTAACATTAAATAAGAGTGTTGGCGTCTTGGGTGGCTTCACTCAAGGCGGCGGCCATTCTCGCGCAACTCACGACTTTGGACTGGCAGCAGATCAACTTCTCGAAGCTCAGGTCGTTCTGACCAACGGCGAGCAAGTACTCGCCAATCGCAGGTCAAATGTTGATCTCTTTCGAGCACTAAGGGGAGGTGGAGGAGGAACCTATGGAATTGTCACTACTGCAAAGATCAAAGCGTATCCTGATGCTGCATACACTGCGCAGTCATTTTATATGGCCCCTTTGAGCACATCCCATGACGACTTGGTAGTCTTCATGGAGGTGATTGCTATATTATATGAAGCATTTCCTGCACTTGCTGATGACGGTTTGAGTGGTTATGGAGCTTGGAGTGCGTATAACGTGGGTGAAAGCATCAACGCCTCTATGACTTATATCTTCGCTGCAAGAGAAAAGACTGTCGCGGAGATTGAAGCTATGTTTGCACCAATTCTAGAGAAGCTTTTGCTGTACAACGGCACAAATATAGAGCTTGTCGTGTCGTACATGGCCTATGATGGATACTGGGATTACTACTATGGGCTTGGTGGAGGTACCTGTAGTGCTGCCACCACGAACTCGGCTCTTGTCTCGCGGCTATTCACAAAGGTTAACCTTTCTAATGACGGGGAAAAATTGCGCAAAATGTTGAATAATACAGTCGGCACACCGTCTGAGGGAGTGGTTAATGGCTTTGCTCTCTTGGGAGGAGGACCGGTATCCGTATCAGACACATTTTCTGGGGTCAATCCAGCTTGGCGGAAGAGCTACATGCATAATTACTGCACCAGAGGATGGTCAGATGATGCCGAGTATGAGACTGTTATGTCTATTCATCATGACCTCACATATTCCAAGGGAGGTGCACTTCGAGAATTTGCTCCTGATACGGGTGCATATATGAACGAAGCCGATTGGCAGGATCCATGGTATTTACAGGATTTCTATGGCGAAAATTTGCCCGTGCTCACTGCAGCAAAGATCAAGTTTGACCCGGACGAGGTCCTCTATTGCCCGACATGCGTTGGTTCTGAGAGATGGACGTCAAAGGTGACCGGAGCTCTTTGTAGAGCGCCTTAAGCCTCTTTCGGATCAATAATTATCCTTTGTGATCCATTAGTAAGTAGGTCTTCGGTAAAGGTCACCACTTGTCACGTGACGCTACATTATACTCGTACTCAGCAACGCATGCAAAGTAATGAGAAGATCGATATTCGAAAGCACAGAATTAATAATCATTTCTGGGGATATGTAGATGACGCTAAATGAGTCATAGCCAGTCAGCCCATACCCTTGCTTATGATAACGACAAGCCTTGTATCAGATTGGCCGGACGGATGTAGTTAGGGCTTAGGGTTTTGCCACAAAAATCCACTAGCGCCCGGCTCTGCTTTGAAATCAAACTTGGTTTCAAGAGAGTGACTTCAGTCCTTTCGACCTCCCGTCCATCTTCACCACCAACATTTCGACATCAAACAATTATACAGTTCGCAGGAAGTGCAGTTTGAAAATTAAATAGCATTTCAAGATGGCCCGTCGTCCTGCTCGTTGCTACCGCTACTGCAAGAACAAGGTGCGTTGGGAGATTTCGTTATGAATTTTGAGCGATGGGATTGTATTGTGGGGGCGTTTTCGATTTGGCGACAGCGATATTGGAATCAGCAACATCGAGAACGACCAGCAAACGATTATCGCTAGATTTTCATCATTATTGAATTTTCATCGAATTTTAGGGCAATAACTAACATGTGAATTATTCAGCCCTACCCCAAGTCCCGGTTCAACCGTGGTGTCCCTGACCCAAAGATCCGTATCTTCGATCTTGGACGTAAGAAGGCCAATGTCGACGACTTCCCTACCTGCGTGCACATGGTCTCCAACGAGTACGAGCAGTTGTCTTCCGAGGCTCTTGAAGCCGCCCGTATTTGCGCCAACAAGTATGTTTCCTTAAACGGAGGATGATAGTCAATACTAATGAAAATAGGTACCTCGTCAAGTCCGCTGGAAAGGAAGGTTTCCACCTCCGTGTCCGTGCCCACCCCTTCCACGTTGTCCGTATCAACAAGATGTTGTCCTGCGCTGGTGCCGATCGTCTCCAAACCGGTATGCGTGGTGCCTTCGGCAAGCCCAACGGCTCCGTCGCTCGCGTGAACATTGGCCAAATCCTCCTCTCCGTCCGCACCCGTGACGCTAACCGCGCCATCGCTGTCGAGGCTCTCCGTCGCTCCATGTACAAGTTCCCCGGTCGCCAAAAGATCATCGTCTCCAAGAACTGGGGTTTTACCCCTCTGCGTCGCGAGGAATACGTCCGTCTTCGCCAAGAGGGTCGTGTCAAGATTGATGGTGCCTACGTTCAGTTCCTTCGTCACCATGGTGCTGTTGAGCAGAACATTAAGCGATTCCCTGAGGCTTATGAGAATGTTTCCCAGGCTTAGATGCGTACATTTTTCATAAACATAACAAATTAAAAATTAGCGTCAGGAATTGATTAATGTTTTCATGTTCAAGCTTTTACCCATTTGAGTGTTTTAACGGAGTTGTTAAAGGATTTCAGGATCTTGGCAGGATGGTAGGATTGTCAACTCGTTGACTACCTGGCTAGTCTTGTTGTATGTATCATGAATGCAATCAACATTGGATTATATCTATTCCTCGAGGTAAACACCGCGCCTATCTAGGTTCCTGGTAGTTCATGAATAAACAGGAGATGTGTGTCCACAATCGAAAAAATATACAAGAAAATATCCACATGCCAGCTAAAACCCGCTATATGTCAAACGAATCAATATGTATGTATCCCCATTTCCTCATTAGAATCATTCGCTCTTCCAACCCCGGCCTTGCTGCAATATAAACAAGAAAGAAATCCTCAGCGCCTGCCCAAATCATGCTCGCCATTAGAATCAACCGTCAAATAACGATATGTAGATGAATATATGTTTATGTAGAGGAGAGAGACAAGTAAGAGAGGCGAGACGAAACTAGACTTCACCCCATGTCCCGACACCTGCCGGTCTACCGACAGATACAGCTGCACTACCACTACCCACACTACCGCCTATATCCCAGTAATGACGGCTAGAGCCGCTTCCACCGAGTCCCGTGTGTGTGCGTCTAGCGGATACTTTCGTACTCTGACTAGCGCAACTTGAGCTCGGCCGACGGCCAAAGCGGGTTGTTTGGTTGTGATGGTGATGGTGGTGATGGGATATTGGAGAAGTCGGCGTCGAGATGCCCGCTGCACGCATTTGGGCGCGTAGACTTAGTTGTCGTGCTTGGGAGCGGGCATGGGCTCGCGCTACGAGGGGGTGATGTTGGCGAATGACGGCTGCGCGGTTGGAGGCGTCTTGCTCGTTGTATATGTTTGTAGAATGGGATGTAGATGTTGCAGTGTTGATATTCCCATTGTTGTCACCTCGGCGGAACCGGTTCTTGAGATAACGAAATATCATGGTGACATCCAGGTCTTGTTCCCAGTATTCATATTCCGGGTTGGCCAGTGCAGATGTCGATGTCGGTTCTTGTGGGCGTTTGGTTTGTGACTGAGCTGTACCGATTTCGTTGTCGTCAATTCCCCATTGAGCGACATGTTCAGCGGTGACTGAGTCTTGTTGAAGGGTTGGTCTAAATTGGGGTGAAGATATAGAGAGTATGTTACTATCTTCTGATACTATCGGAGGTGGCGGTTCGGATCGAGCCGTTCTTGTGTTGCGTTGTATTGATGGCTGCGAAGTCGTCACTGGTATACCAGCGTAATATTCGCTTGGATCGTCCGAACATAAATATGTACTAAATGCCCCTGGGTGTTCCCAGATTTGATGAACGAGAACACCAAGTTCCCTTGCAATCCTTTCAATTAGACGCTGCTGCCATACATGGTCGTCGGCAGATGTACTCGTCGTAGGGACATCTCTGATAGCTTCTTGCATTTCACGAATATCGGGATGAGATTCTTCATCAATGTATGATGTCAAGTGGACATCGTCAACCAAAGATTCTCCCAAAATCACCGAGAGAATAGATTCATCTATGCCCATCAAATCGCGAATCACCTTTCGCGTTATGCGGCGCCAGATAGATTCTTTCTGTGAATCTCCCGGCGACGATGCTGTATCCGAAGACACGCTCGATGTATCCATTGCCTTTGTCTCGGAGATACTACCCAAAACCTCATTGCCAGGTCTGCGAGAAGTAGTCCCAACACTGCCGCGACTATTACGTCTTTGACGCCGTCTTGTCTCTCGCTCAATCTCCTGCAACAATATGCGACTCTGTTCTGTTCTCCACTTCTCAATCCGCTGCCACCGCTCTCGATCAGCGAGTGATTCTAGCTCGTCCACCGTCTCCAAATGATTTTGCAGACTTGATCGACGCGTAGGGCCGGCATCCGCGGAGCGTCGGGGATTATACTGCTCGTATCTCCATAATTGTTCTTGAACTTGTTGTCCCGATGCATGAAATGACCCTAGCCCATCATGAGTGGGCAGCACGGGGTAATCATTGCTGTCTTGCAAGATGTTTTCACGGAAATCGGGGAGACCATCGTCCAAACTGTCCAGTTCCGTTGCTTCTTCGTCCAATGCGTCAACAGAGGTACTATCCGCCGAATCCGCTTGCGTAACTGCATTGAAAGAGCCAAAATCACTCAGTCGCGAGACACCAGCGGTCCGTGCCGTTCGCTCGGTGGAGTCACTCCGGGTGCGTGTGGTTGTCGAGGCAGCTTGGGAGGGAGAAAAGAGAATCCATTCTTTGGAATCGTCATCTAGTTGCTGTTGGTGTTGAGAAGTATGAGTGTCGATTTCGAGTACCGGTCGTTCAGAAGTGGAATAGGACGTCTGGCGACGAGGAGGAGCGTGGGTTGGGAGACGGAATGCCATACTGACATCCGCTTGATAACGATAAGATGGACGTCACTGTGTAGATGTAGGAGTTACTAGTATACTGCCTCCCAGCCGCGATGAGTACACGACTGGAGGAGTATCTCAATTATTGTGGTCTGATCCAAATGAGTCAGGATGAAATAAAAAGAGAAAGAGAAACCAAGAGTCCAGGGATGAAGACGCAATGAGGAAACGCGATCACCTGAACAAAAGCAAGTGATGAGATAACTAGCGGGTCCCGTGATAAGCAATGATGACAGCTTATTCTTGATGTATTCTTTTCAGGAAATTAAATAATATATGTATAAACCAGATATCTCTACTCTCTTATATAATATTAATACGTTTAGCCGACTCTTAGAATGTCTATTATTGAAATGATCAGTCATCTCACAGCCTGAACCCTTCTTATCTGGTGATCTGATACAAAGTGCTAGCCACTTAGCCTGATTGTTTAAGGCTTAAGGCGCTTCGTGTTTCGTTGGGCGATCCTAGCCTGATTATTGATTGAATTGAATGCTTTGTTTAGTCTTGCGTCTCTTCTTTAATATGTATGAGGAGAGACCTTGCATTAAATATATCATGGGAGTTAAACACCATCCTCTTCACTAAACAACCAGAGCACAGACTCTAACAATACTGGTGAGTATTTATTCAAGTACTTGCGCCATCTCACTCAGACGTATATCGCCAAGTCAGAGACAACATGACCATCGCACCATCTGTTTGCTGATCGACGAAATGCAGCCTTAGGCATAAACACATGGATGACTCAGGCACCAACAACCAGCCCCTAATTCCGTACATTTTGTGAACAGCATCAATCAAGATTCTCAGGCAAGGGAAGAGGTTCCCTCTCACTCTTAATCACATCATCCAACATCTCCAACCGATCCTGACCCCAAAAAGGCTCGTCGCGATACACATAAACAGGTGCACCAAAATACCTCCTCGAATCAATCTCCCTTACCAGGGTAGCCTCCTGTTCTGCCAATGAATCCTCCGTCTGAGCACGCCGCAACAATCTCTCTCCATCTAACCCCGCCTCCGACGCGATACGCGCTATAGTTTCCGGGTCCGCGATATCCCCCTCATCCGCCCAAACAGTTTGTAAACCTATATGCGCAAATCTCTGTATCGCCTCATGATCATTCCCCAATTCCTCAATCCCCGCTAAAAACACTCTATGCGCCAACGATGGATTTGTAGGGTAAAATTTCGGATGTGGCACAATAGGGATATTTCGGATTTGACACCATCGTTTCATTTCAAGGAGTCGGTAAGCCTGGCGTTGAGGTGAGCGCTGTTTGACGGGGAGACCGCCCGAGACGGAGAAAGTGTGCATTAGGTCGACGGGTTTGTAGATTATGTGGGCATTGTGTTGCTTGGCGAGGTGGTGAAAGTGTTTACTGCCGATGTAGGACCAGAGGGAGATAAAGGAGAAGTAGTATTCGATTACTGGTCGGGAGGCCATATTGATATTCTTCTCGGTGGTGCGCTACAATGTCGTTTTGACAGTAAGTAGCCTAAGGATAACCTGGAAGAGCACCTTTATATATAGCTAGAATAGACTCTTACTTGAATACTTTCACTCTACGAGGCCCACACCCCCATCTCTTGTCATTCATCAGTTAAATTCCAATAGATCAGATTATCCGGAGAGATCTCCGTACTCCGAGAACGGCATTCTAAGTTGCAATATGCGGGATATTTAGGCTATCAGTTTAGATCAAACGATCTAAAGATCACTCTTATGTTTACGATGCTATCTATCATTTCTAGAAAGTTCCAAGACGTGATCTAACTAGTTACCATTCGACTCTACAACCAAAGTATAGTCGAACATCACAACGAACTCCTCGTATTCCTACTAGCTTGCTCAGCAGCTCTCTTCCACCACTCTTGCCTCCTTTTAATCAACCTCACAAACGTATCATCCCACGCCGACTCATATTTCGGAAGCACACGTCCCGTCGTCCCAGGAGCAGGCTCACCTGCCAGCTTCCTCAACTCCTCAAAGTATGCCGTATAATCAGGATATAGCGTCCAATACGGTGGTCCGTCACCGCGTTCAGCTAAACGAGTCTGTTCCCATTCGTACATTTCCTTACGATCTGGGAGTTTTGCTCGTCCTGCTAGAACGCGAGCTATGAAGACAGCTTGCCATTCGAAGAAGCGGATTCCGAAGACTCCTGCAATCTGTGCAATACGTCAGTCTCATCCTCATGTGTGAAAAGCCGATATTGAACATACCATGCCAACAAACGCCAAAGTAGGATTTTCAATCTTGAAAATATGCTGATACAACCCCGGAATCCTCCTGTGCACCGATTTCAAATCAGGCAAGAACGGAAGGCTGAAATCATATCCAGTCGCAAAGAGGATGATATCAATTTCGTCTCCGATAACGGAAGAGCCATCTGTGAACGTGATCTTGTCCGTTGTAGTGTCAAAGGACGTTATGCCGGGTCTATTCTCGATATGCGGATGCAAAAAGGGGATGTCGCCGAAGAGAGGCGAGTGATCTCGGGCGGATGATATGACGGGTAGTTTTGCTACTTCGCGAATGTCGTGCAGGGCATCGAAAGCGGAGATTGAGCCTCCGACCACGATGACACGCTGTGTATGTCAGTTCCGGTTCTGTCATTTGAGAAACAGGAGAAGAGACCAACCCTTCCGACATAGTCCTTTGTACCACGGTAGTGTTTGCTATGCCTGATCTTCCCAGGATATTTCCTATCGTACTCAATGATACCCGGGATATCAGGTACAAAAGGAAGATAATAATGTCCCGACGCAACTACGACGGCATCAAATCGTTCCTGCCACCATACGTTCTTAATCCCGCCTTCAGCAGGGACCGTTTTACGGAGCGTTAGAACCCATTCCTTCCCTTGCTTGTTGTCGGTATCAATATATTCCGCCAATTCAACCGTAGTCCCGAATTCGATTAACTTGTCATTCCCGTATCGCTTGAAGACATCTTCAACCCATGCCCTAACCACCTCACGCGGTCTGAATGGTGAATCAGGGCCGTGTTGAGCCCGTGTCCTCTCCGAAAGAATCTCCGGAATGGGTTCCTTAGAGAAACTCATGATCTCCGGTGTTAGATTGCTGTGTAAGTGTTCATGAACTCCGGTCTCCGTGAAACGGAGATGTGGTGAATTGATTTCCTCTGTTGCTGGCGTTTCGACTGGGATACCTTTATTTACATCTTTGGGGATTGGGACGCCGAGATCAGCGCGTTCGTTGATGAGATCTTGCAGAGATGGGATTCTGGGTTCCTGGCCATTGTCTGTGGGTGTCAATACCCTACAAATAACCATCAATTAGAATTGTCTGTAAATGTTGATGTTCTCTCATGAATCTCACCATGTCCCTCCAGCTATATTCTGACGCTCAAAGACTCGAATCGTATCAAACGCTTGCTCTTTGACAAGTGCATCAGTCGCAATTGCTCCTCCGGGACCGGCACCGATAACTGCCACTCGACGTATTTTCTGTTCTGCCATTGCGATATCTTGATTCTAGCCTGAGACTATTGCATGTGAAAATCAACAATAATAAGTTTAGAAGCAACTCGATCACCTACGCTGTCTAATATCTCTCATGAAGAGCGAGATCGGAAACAGATAATAAAAACGACCATGCAATGCATGTGGAGAAAATGCATCTACAAACTGCACCTAATCCAACACGCAAAGCTCGTAATTGTTTCGTTATCGCTTATCTGCACCACATCGCGTAGTGATAAGCAGCCTCATGCACACTACCTGTATCCTCCTGGCACCTTTTTTTTTCGTCGTCCATGGATGACCCGGATATAACCGAGGCCTATGGCATGACATGTATTCTACAACTCAACCCATCCATGAAATTCTTCGTCATTCAAGCATTTCTTGCGACACTTGGTCGCTATCTTGAGAGTCGAGACTCGAGCCCTAAAACAAATCCCGGGACTGAACAGTATCCGAATTAGGAAATTTTTGGAGCTTGTTCAGGATGGTATCATTTTGGTGCTTTTATCGTCATTTCTAAGGTATTTTTCTTGGCGAGATAAAATTTCCTATTTTATAACTAACTTAGTTTACGGATTTATGAATCATGTAAAAAGAAATCTATTAGGGTTAATTGTGTATTGTAACTATCATAACCTTTTTTACACCTTGAGCTCAAGTATCCATGAAGCTTGTGAGCCCCACGATACCTAACCATCTGATTAGATGGTGGTATATACTGACCAGGCTACAACACGTATCTAAAGTACGAATTCTGTTTATCCGTAAGATCCTTGAATGCAAGTCTATCTCGCTCACGCTCATCGACCTCGACAACTGCCTCGCGCAGTTTGTTCTCGCGACGCAGCACAAAGTACAGCGTAGTCGCGGAGAGGATGGTAATACAGTAGCTATAACAGTCAGCATAGCACTCAATCATATTTACAGAGATGACAGAAACGTACCAAATAATCAACCCAGTCCACAACTCAGGATAGTGCTGTGCCTTGGTCTGGCTCTTAACCAACTGCGGCCCAATAATATTTCCCACGCAGTACGCTACAAACACTGCAGCAGCCATGAAACTCTTCTTGGTCTCACCGGCAACATTGCTCGCAGCTAGGGAGATAGTCAAACTGACCACGGGTCCAAAGAAGCCGATTAACGAGTAACCCGCTACGGGGGTAACGGGTTTATGGCCCCAGGAAGATTTCCAGATCATGACAAAGCCGGCGATGACGGGTAGGCAGCAGAGAACAAGAGAGATGGCGCGAATGTTGCGGTATCGTGAACAGAGCCAGCCGGTGAATGTGATTCCGAAGGCCGAGAGACCGCCTAGAGGGAATTGGAAGAGGATACTGTCGAGCGTTGAGTAGCCGAATGTTGAGACTATGAGGGGGCCGAAACCTGAGACTGCACCGTTGACGGTGTATCTACGAAGCGGGATCAGTTTTTGTCACAGCAAAATTGGCGGGAGAGGGCTCACGCCGCAGCCATCGTAATCGCAACCAGCCAAATTTTAACATCCAAAATCGCTTCTTTGACCTGCTCGACTTTGAATGTCTTATTTTTCACACCAGTCTGTCCAGCTCTCAACCGCTCAACAGCCGCAATCCGTTCTTCTGGCGTCAAAAACCACGCGTCAACAGGAGAATTAGGCAGGAAGAAACACCATATCCCAAATAGTGCTGTGATACACCCGGCGAAGATATAAATATATTGCCAAGGTGCCAAATCACCGCTTTTTACCTGCGCAAACCCATAGTTGAGTGCGCCTCCGATGATGGTGAACCAGCCAGTGCCAGAGAACCACCAGCTTTGGCGGAGAGCTTGTTCGGGTTGAGTGTAGTAGCCGCTAACTATTGTCATGAATGCGGTTGGGATGATGGATTCGGTGAAACCTAGTTTCATTAATTCTCTGATATGATAAAGCTGGTTTGAGGGAGGATAAAACAAACCAAGGAAGAATCGCTGCGCAAATAAGCCGTGCCAGGTAGTAACGCCGGCAGTAGCTGCGCAAATAATGCCCCAGATAATGACAGCCGGACACAAAACATTCCGAGTCTTGAAGTGCTGCACTGTATATGCCATGGGATATGAGCCAGCGAGTTGGCCGAAATAGAAGATCGAAGTCGCCCAGCTCAATCTTGACGAGTTCGATACGGGTGGCTTCACAGAGGTGTTGGTAACAATGAGATGGAGATCAGTTGTCATGCCGAAGAGAGCGGCACTTCCAAGAATTGCCTGTACATGAGTACAGTAAGCCGTACTGTCCTAGACAAGAAGGAATTCGACTTCAGCGTTGGCTACTGACCTTATCCCAATAAACCAATCCATAACCTATACTGAAATTAGCCTGATTCTTATATGTAAGTGGTTGCAGACCCTACCAATAACCATAGCAGGCATCAAGAAACAATCAATCTTGCGCAAAACTCGCGCATGCAATTGTGCATCTATCGGCCTCGCTTCTTCTCCCAACGCTTCAACATCACCGGTAATTACTGCATCCGTCTTTTCAACGGGAGCTTCAGCATCTGGTCTGCTGGCAAACGAAACATCTGTATCATGTAGACTGGATTCTATTTGGGTCATGGTTTTTTCTGTCTGCTATTTCTCGCAGGGAAACTCGGCTGGTTTGTATCGATAGATAACCAGTGCTGAAGAACGATCCCGAAGTAGACTTGATACTGGGCAGCGCAACTATACCAGAATCAAAACCTGATTTGCCTGTCTCGGCAATTGTCGATGACTAAATAAAACACCAGGTTGAACTATCCAGAGGTTGGGGTGTGCAGAAATAGCATCATGAAGCTGTCGGATGATGCGTGGAAAAATTTTCGGATTTGACTTTTCTGATGCGATTTGATATCGGTTTGTACCGTGGGATACCTAACGGTCAGACCACAGCTTACGCGAAGTGGGTAACCCTGAGTTCTAGATTAGGTACCCCGTAAGTTGTAACTATAAAATTGCTAGTAAATGCTAAGAAATTATAAGATATATAGTATAAAGCAGCATAGATGAATCGATATACGAGTGGCATTGATGAGTAATGGCGTGCTACAAGCTATCATGGCGTGCATTTCATATGCTTCAAATTTCGGAAGTTGGTAGTTATTCTTCGGCGTTATGTCCGGATGAACGACTCAAGAAGTACCTAGCTATTAATAATTGGTGATCCATTTGACCTGCGTTAGAAGAATGTAATACATAGTTGTAGTATCCGAAAATTATCGTTGGTATGAATGTGTTTCAACTCCGAATTGGCCGGTTCTGGGTATGAACTGATGCTGTATGGGATTTGGTACTGCTTGAAGAGCTGATAATTTTATATACCTACGAGAGTATTGAAGATTGTTCTAGTTCCAGATCCGAATATCAAATTTCGAAAGACAACTCAACTGAACATCGCTGAGCATACAACCCATCCCAACAAAAAACCATGGCTACCACAACCACAGAACATACAGCTACGCCAGTCCTATCCTATGTGCAAGTCCCAGAAACATCCGAAAACCTCGACTGGGCAGATCTCGTCACACTCAACCTCTCCAAATTCGACAGACCAGGCGGAAAACAAGAACTAGCCACCCAATTCCGAAAGGCCATGGAAGATATCGGTCAGTCATCGACACTGTTCCCAAACTTACGGAGCTCATAATATGGACAGGTTCTTTCTATGTCAAAAACCACGGCCTAAGCGACGCTGATATCGATACTCAATTTGCCCTCGCCAAATCCATCCTCTCCCTCTCAAATGAAGAGAAACAACCATACCGCGCCGCCCTCGAACAGGGTGACTATAACGGCTGGAAACCCGCCGGAACACGAAACCTGATCCCGGGCGTCAAGGACAATTTTGAGATCTATAACATCCCTAAATTCATTCCTGAGCATGCTAATAGATTACATCCTGAGATTGTGAAGGAGTATTGGGATACTATCAAGCAGTTTTCGACGCATATCCATGACCAGATTGTGAAGAAGTTGCTTATTATCATTGCAGTGTCGTTGGGACTTGACGATGAGGAGGTGCTGATTAATAAGCATCGATATGAGAAGAGGAGTGGTGATCATTTGAGATATATGAAGTATTATGCAAGAAGTGAAGAAGAGAACCGGATGTTGGGTAGTGTTTGGCTTAAGGGGTATTCCTCTCCCTCCTCCGTTCGGTGCGAAAAAGAACATTGACTGATACTTCGATAGACACTCTGACATGGGAAGTTTGACCCTCCTGTTCCGTCAACCCGTAGCAGCGTTGCAGGTATTAACCAAAGATGGTACTTGGAAATATGTAAAACCGCAAATGAATGCCCTTACAGTCAATATTGCAGATGGTCTTGAATTTCTGACAAGTGAGTTTCCGCCTTGTCCTGTATATCTGGATAAGTCACCTGAGTGGACATACGAGTTGATCAAAAATAGACGGCTTCCTCAAGTCAAGCATCCACCGCGTCATTGCCCCTCCCAAAGACCAAGCATATATCGATCGTCTTGGAGTCCTCTACATGGTCCGTCTGGAAGATGATGCAGACCTCGTCCCCTTGAAAGAATCGCCCGTTCTCCAGGAGTTAGGTCTCGTCAATGATCAGGTTTTGGGAAGTGATGGTAAGCCCATCAATGCTGGTGAATGGGTTAAGCAGAGAATAATCAAGAATTTGGGAAATTCCACGAGTCAGGATGGAGATAATGAGGTTGGAGATGTGGAGATCGTGAAGGGTGTGGCGACTAAGTATTATGATTAAGTATGTAGGTACTAGACTTGCCAGAACTGAGATATTAGTCTCTTGGGATAGCGGTTTAATCATATTGCAGTCGGATACAAGTCATTATAATGCTATTCATCAGTCATCGTACAATTTTATAACTGCCACCACTGACAACCTCCAATTTCCCTTGAGCAACCATGCTCGCAAGGAACTCCCGAAGCTCTTCATTGCTAAATGGAAACCCGCCCGGTACTGCAATCTTGAGCATCATGATAATCCGTTGTAAAGGCATAGCACCCTGGTTTGTCAACATTCCGACAATAAACTGCCAGTAAAGGTTCATCTTCTCCATTGTTGCAGCATTTGCTGTCTCCTTTGCTGCTGCGGCTGCGGCGACATCAGCCCCAGCAGCAGCGTTGGCTTCTGTAGCAGACGAATCCGCAGCTTCCTGATCGCCGCCACTCATTACATGGTCTCCGTCGTTGGGAAGTACTTCGAGAACGCGGAAAGAGTCTCGCTGAACCTCTGTCAGGATACGCTTGCTTACCCAAAATAAGCAAGCGCTGCGCACCAGCGAAGCAGACATACTCAACGTCTCGGCGAGTTTGGCCACAGTCTTGGTGGCCGGTGCATTCTCAAAACTCGGAGACCTGGACTGGAAGGCGTATATTACTGTAGCCTGCCATGTTGTGACCTCATCTGTGAAAACTCGATCTTCGAGATCTAATTCGACAGTTACGTGTCCAAGGGCATTAAGCCAGGTTAACTTGCGAGACTGTTTGAGGGACTCGAAACCAGTAGAATACCGTTGTTGCAGCATCTTGATCTCTTCCGGTACATTAAATGGCTGATCATGGATAGCCGGCCAGAAGAATCGCGAGAGAATTTTGGAATGAAACTGCGGCATGTTCTGGTTGTTCTGCCTTCGAGCAGATTGCTGCTTCCCGCCTAACCCTTGGTCATTCCGAACAACAGCATCGAGACGCTTCGAGTCAAGAACATCGCGCAGCATGACTTCGCAGGCTTGCAAAGCACCATCACCAAATCGGATTTTCAATAGCTCCAACACCGACAGTTCCTGGTCAAAATCTGCCTTCTTTTTGAGCAGTCGCTCTGATAATAGACTTTGAAGTTCTTTCACAAATGCCTCCTTGGAATCGAAAAGACTTATTAGGCTACCAACCACATCCGCACCTTTAGATTTCTTATAGTCTGCGGCCGCATCGATGGGGTCAGGAACCCAGTTCATATCATCCCAGTCCAGCTCACTGGATCCGGTCTGAAGATTCCGCTGATGAGCATTGCTCAGTTCGGTTGCAAGCTCAACCAAAGTTTCACCGTTATCATCATTTTCTCCTGAGTCCGTGCTGGATGTATCTGCAAGGAGACCTCCGACAATCACTTGAACTGTGTCGTCACGGTCTCGAAGGTATTTTCTGATGGGTCGAGCTGTGCGGTCTAGAAGAACGCCTTTTGGATCTAAAAGGCTGAAAGCTCGAATAATCGAGATATACAGTTGCAAAATTTCAGCCGTGGAAGCTCCTGGGTGCAATAAACGCTGGGTGAGCATGCCGATGAATGCATTGGATAATGAAAACCTAGATGCAGTATGTGTTGTATACTGTTTGAGGTCTTCAATAGCGCCGCTACTTGAATCCCAATCAACGATCACATCAAACAGTTCACTGGTGCGTAGAGCGCCCAGACGAGCCAGGCCAATCTCCTGCCATTTCTCGACATCATTAAAACGAACATTATCCAGATAACCATCGGCGTTTTCTGAGATAGACGGTTGTAAAATTGCCAGCACTTCAACAGCGAGCCTTGCGAACACATTCTCGACCCACAAACGTAGATGCTGCGAAACGAGAGAGGGTGTGTCCCATTGTTCTTTGTAGCTTGTGATTATGTATTCAGTCATCATATCGTTCATGACTTGGGCGAAGACTTTTTGTGCTCGGTGACCGCCAAGGCCAACATCTTGCATAGCTTGCAGTAATGAAAGAAACCTATGCTTGGAGTCATTCGTCTGGATACCGTTGTGTTCCGACATGATATGAGCTCGAGCAGCTTCCGATGCTATCTCTCTCCACAGTCTGTAAGTAGTTGAAGACTGTGAATCGATTTCCATGCCATTCGATTCAGAGTCTTCTAATTGGTCATTTCTTGCCTGAGTAATTCCTAGAATGTCAACAGCATTTTTCCGGAAGGTAGATTCTAGTAGATGCGATATGCGTTTTGATGGCAATGAGTGGGCAACGATGGTCTGAAAACTTTCCCGTAGCCTAAAAAACGAGCTTTCGCGTTCTGTAGTATCCAATTTTGGCACCACATGTTTTAAAAAGGGTGTGAAATACATATGCTGTGCCAATTGTAGACAGCGCACAGTTTGAGCCAAAGGGTCATCGATGCTTTCTTTCAAGGCCTATACTCGACGTTAGTGCTGTACATTACAGTTATCATGGAATCTCGTGCTGTCAAACATACAGTGCACAGAACGGTTTGCAAGTTAGTTATGAAATGGCGTCGGGTCTCATTACAATACCAGTGGATCAAATCATACTCCTTGATACCCTGATGTAGAACTCTGTCACGAAAAGACGGTGACAGTAGATTAGTTAAAGCATCATCTGCTTCGCTGGTAATCTGTTTCGACCGATGGTGCGATTCAGCATACTCAATATAGTCAGGTGTATCGAAGCTCTTGTCCGGCAGAAGCAGAAATTCAGTCGCTGAATGCCAAGCTCGACTCCATACAACACCTTCTGGCTCTGGTACTTCGGAAACTACCGTCTTTTGTATGCTTCATATGTTAACGTCCCTGCATGATACTCATTTGATCATGGAACCAACTGACCTTTGTGGCTCTTGATGATTTTACTGAGCCAAATGCTTGGTCCGGCGCACTGGACCTGAGCGCTGGCGTTGCTAAGGGAGTTGGAGCATTTCCAATCAGTTTGACAGGCGCGAACACAGAGTCGAAAACGCGCTTGCGACTTCTAGCAAGGGAATCTTTCTGTGACATGTTGCAATGCGTCTTGAAATTTCGATAGCATCTCTGTTTATTGTGTCAATGATAAGATTGATCAATCTCTTTATTTTGAGGCCTTGATGGCCGGTGTACACAATGGATAAAAGAGCTTGAGGAAAGATCCCCCGACCAAAGCGCGCGGAGAAGTCGCGTGGTCACGTGCTGTCATTGACGACAAACAGGGTGGTTACAAAGAGCAATTCTTGAACGATGTTTGTGTATGTGTCATCCAATCATCAAAAATAATTATTGGTCATATAAATATGTTTCGTCTCAAATCTATGCGACATTTGGTAGATCTTTGGCTGATAGGACTCGGATACAACACGATGTACGGAATAACAAATTTAACCAAACAAAATACGACAGGGGTATAAAGGTGCTAAGTTTCACGAGGTGGTGCATAGAACAAGTTCCGCTTCTGACAGAGGTTGAAATCTTGTCAATGTACTTCTGGAAGATGATCATGTTGACCTGTCTTTGTCCACTTTCTCCCATTCACTATCTGTGCTTGTATAACCGGAATTCTCCCCCTCGATAGTCTTCCCCTGACCGTCCTTATCGCCAGGTTTCTTCGATTGCAATGCACTTGCTGGGGAGAGGCTCGCAATTTCGGGCTGGTTGACTCGACGTCTTCTGGTTTTCGACACTCCTCCAATCTCCGTCTCGGTCTCGGAGTCATTAGCATCTGCCGAGCTATTCAATTTATTCGATTCGGATGCTTCCTGTTCCAAAGCCTCTTGTTTTCTTTTTTCTGCCTCTTGACGTGCTTGTTCTTGCCGCACTTCCCGGGCAAACCAATTAATGGACCACCACAGCGCTCCAGAGAGGAATGAGAGAACCACAAAATGGATACTGTAAGTGGCGATGAGAAGGAGGAAGAGAACGAGTTGTAGTGCAGCGAACGTTGCGTTGGTGGCCACGAGGAGAGTGGGTGTTGGGCCAGGAGTGAATACACTGGACCAAAGGTCCGCAACGAAAGAGGCCATATTGTACTCAAAAGTGAGGATGACGGTCGCAAAGAATATCAAATCTAAGTACAGTAGATATTGTCAATAACATCGTTTCATCTAGAGCCATGCTAGGGACACTGCCGGCTTTGAAAGAACGCGCAGTTGTTTCCAAAGGCGTCAAGGGAGCGATAAGATCCATACCACAAGCAAGATCTCTGTTCTATAGTAACGATATCTGTCCGCGCCAGGCGTTCAGATAAACAATATGGGCATTGAATAACAGACTAGTCTTTCATGTAACAAGGAGCCTGATAGGTAACAGAATCGGGGTTTGTCAGCGCGAATCAAAACAGAGTCGTATCAAGGTTCTTCAGTCTCCGCAAACAGTAGTCTCGCATACCTTGAATTGGAAATAAACAACACGCTGAGCTTTCCGTCTCAAGAATCAAAGTATAGAAACTGGACAACGCATGAGGGGTATCCAGTGATCTGAATGACCTCGAGAGGCTTAACGAGATCGGCGACGCAGCGCGGCCCGCACTAGGTAGCTTAGAGCTTAGCTTGCTGTGGATGCCTGAGGCCATTAATTGCTGCCTGACTTGAGTCGACACCGACAAAAGCCCTAACTGGACAATAGATCTTGCTAGATCTTCTTCGAATATGCGTCCATAGATAAAAAGTTGGTTAATCAAGAGGTTTAGATGTTACAAAATTTTTGATTTAGATTTTTCTCAATAGTAACATCGATTACACACAGTTCGAACTCCTGGTGTGGAACAGTGCTGGGATTCTGTCACCAGCGTTACGATGTGCAGCATCGCCATGGTTCTGACGCTCTAATTTATGGTTGAAGAATGTTAGAAGCTATGTTGAGGTAAATGTACCAATCCTAATTTCAAATTGTTCCTGGAGAGCATGAGTAGTAACCCTCTTGCTTCCTTTGTCGGCACTGGCATAAGCGATGAGAGCGCAAGTAGAGGAGAATAAAATATGAACATTATCTATGGGTGCGCTGTCATGCAGCCAATACTCTACCTACCTGTACCTATGGCGACGTATCCCGTGCGTTGTGATGGTTAGGTATATACAGTAGAACCTGGTTATAACGAATAGAAGGCCTCTCAAGGTCCAAGTCAAATATCCAGAAGTGAATTCGATTTAGGGATGAAGGGCACTTCCACTATATTAATCCATTTTAGTATTAACAAATTGTATGCCCTTCAGTCCCATATTAAAGATATCCAAGCTGAAATCAATGGAAATTATTGGTACATGCCCGTAAGCCGAATTATGATAGCCTGTCAAGTGTCCTCTAGGGAACTGGCTCAGAGAGAAAAGAAACAAGAAACAGATTTACTGAACTAAAGAATACTACAAACTAGAAACCGGAAAGGACGGACGGGCAGGAGAGCTCCTTATAAGCTTTGTCTTGAGCCCATTCCGGAGATTTCCACTCCGCATCGAACATTGTGAACCCTTGCTATACAAGGAGAAACAAAGGACCCCGAACTCCAAAGAAAAAAATGGTAATCTTGAATGGGTATGTTGCTAAAACCGCTCGCGAACCTGATTATGAACTCAACCTTATACCTTTGCTCCCATATCTGAGCAAGATGTTGACGAGCAGTTTTCTGAAGCCGTTGTCGCAGGCTGGCCCCAAAAAGATGGAGAAACAGTGGAAATTATCACTGAAATCCCGCAAATGGAATACAAGAATCGTGAACATATTCTTCATTTTGACGATTCCCGTTCTCAGAATAATTGGTGGCGCTTCTCTTTCAGAACTTGCACAGAGCGTACTGGAGAAATTGGACGCAGCCATGTTGCCTCTTGTATCAGTATCACAAGAAGAAAACGCCCAGTCCTCGGAGGAGGATTCAAAGCGTGACGCCTCGTCAAGCGAGGCTTTGCTCACTCCTTCAAAAGTCTTACTCACCCCTGCAACACCTCCAGAAGATATTAACGAGGGAAGTGATTCCTATATCGCCTCTAAACCACTAATTAACTCTGAAGCTCCCGTCGATAATATTCTAACTTTAAGTAAGAACAAAAGCTCCAGGCTGTTGATGTCCTACAGTCAGATTCGGTTTTGGGCCGTGAAGTCGCTTGTCCCGGATCAGAGTTTTTTCACAGTGACAGTTGGTCTTTGGATTGGAGATAATCTGCGAGTCGATAGGCTTAATTCCGGGGTGGCCACTATCGCTCAAAGGCACGAAATATTCCGCACCCGATTCTATGATGACGAGAATGGTGTTCCAATGCAAGAAATTATGCATACATCATCAATCCAATTGGAGCAGATTTACTGTGCAGATAAAGCTGCTGCCTCAGACGGATTTAAGGTTATTTGTAACCGTAGCTTTACCGTGCAATTGCTCCTATGCTAACCGCACGAATCAAGGATCAAGGCAGGAAGCACAAATCAAACCCCGTGCATTTCTATATGGCAGCGATGAATGTTCTCCTAGCTCGCTTCACAGAGAGTAACGATATATGTATCGGTATGTCATATGCTAGTCGAAGTATAGAAACTGACGTCAAAACTGTCGGGTTTTTCCTGAATCTACTTCCCATACGGCTTTCTTTCTTGGGGGACACACTTATCAATTAGTTGGTTGAATATGTACTAACTACTTGAATGTATAAACAGAAGAAATCAAGGATATAACTTCGGCTTCCTCTTTACTGCATACCACACGGTCACACTGCAAGAATATCCCTAACGGTCTAGCACTGGAGAGCCGGAGGTTTCTTTGACATGCAGTCAGATGACCTTACATATAGATGCTGTATCACATAACCTTCTTGACTCTGGAGTCATGAGAAGAGACCACATTGTGGTTCTTCAGGATCCCACTCCTGACTGGATCTGCTCAATGCTTGCGATCTTAAGAGTTGGAGCAGTTTTTATTCCAATAGATCCTTTATGGCCAACTCTCCGTCAAGAATCAATTATCCGGCCAGCTGATGCTCGGGTTATTCTTACAAACCTTAAGGACGGAGTGCAATCATAGGATGACTATGAAGCCCTGACTATCGCCATGTCTTCTATAACACCAGTCCACGACGAAATCCTTCTAGAGCAACGAACGATGGAACGGTCTGCATCAGCCATAGTCCTTTACAGCTCCGGCACAACCGGCACCCCCAAAGGTATAGTCCTAACGCACGGAGGTATTCTGGATCGAGTGGAAGCCATGGATAAATTTGGACTGGAGAAACAACGAGTATTGCAACAAAATGCTATTACCTCTGATCATACGTTAACGCAAGTATTCCTTGGTCTATTTTCCTGAAGGTGGGTCACCGTTTCTACTGGAGCCTCTTTGAGACGTCCGCTAATGATTTTCAAAGTGAAAACTCGTTCATGGAAGCAGCAGTTGGAGGTTAAGTCATTGTCATAATACTAAAATTTACAGTGTCTAGTCCACAGTTAGAAAAACAAGTTCTTTTGCTTAGATTGCACTCTTTTCGCCGAAGAGGACTGAGAGGTTAAAGCTAAACGTTCTCTGTATTACGGAAGGATTGTAGATTACACACAACCCTTTTCAGATTTTTCATTTTTTTCAATCCAGCATGATGATTCGTTATCGTTTCTTTCTGTTTCCCTTATTATCACAGTTGCAGCTGATCTCCAACCACTGGATCCCCTGTGTTGTCTTGACCCGTCAACTTTGTAATACTGCTAAATAGCATTTCCGTCTTCATAATTAACCGATTATAACAAAATGTATTGGGCAAGAGATAGGCAAAATAACGAATATATAGTATTCAGATTTTAAATGAATTTTATATAGGAGTTCAGTGGGGGATCCTTTTGGGCAGGTACGAGGATTCATTATGGGGTAGAAATTCGTTAAAACCAGGTAAGACGTTACAAACAGGTTTTACTGTATTTATTTCGCAGCTGCTACGTATGTATTATGGGATTAATAACGAAGGATCAACTAACTATAGTCAGCGCCACTTCGAGATTTTTGCTGTCTCGGACAGGACCAGCTTCGTATGTCCAATCATGGCAGCAGTATTGTAGCAAGAACAACTTCAGTGGTCAGAGTTCGACGGTGAGAGACATAGAATTTATGATCATTAGAAAAGCAAAATCATAGAAGTAGATATCGGAGAACTCCGTCTCACAAACAATGTACAAAACCCTCAATATGTTGATTGGTCCTTCTATATTGTGGGCCCTTACGGGCCATTCCTTCCAGGTCATTAATCCCATTGGACAGAAGTGAGATCTCTTTCCTAATCGGGAGTATTGACAACAGACGTTCTTTTTAGCTTCTTCTTTTTAGCTTCTTCTTTTTTTCTTCCTTTTTCCTTCTGGAACACCGAAGAAATCTTCTAGCGCCATTACCCCTTTTCTCTTTCTCTTTCTTCCAATAATGTGATGATAAGTTCTAACCTCTAAGCGTCAGATACTATGAATAACTAGACAATCACCGATTATGTCACTATGTTTCGTACGAAGTAACTAGTTACTTCGTACTCACCTTCTTACCTCTGTAGGTTTGAGAGTTCCTCTTCTTGTCAGTGACTCTACTACGGAGTGTAATTACTATTTAGTATGCATATGTGGTAGTTTAGGGTATATGCAGCAATATGCATGGCGTAAATACTAAAATCTGCAGGAAACGGACACGAGATACCGGCCAGGCCCAGATGAATTAGGTAGCATCGCATGTAACTCTGTAGCATGTGTATGCTTGCGATGTAGCATGCACTAGTTACTAATATCTTCGAAATCTTATTTCACCCACAGTTACACAGCCCTGATGATCATGCAAATCCGCGTATCGATCACTCGAGAATCCGCCTTCTCATTACCCGTTGAAATTTTTGGCAGTCAATGGACTCAATGCACTTGTCCATGTATATGGAAGTTTATAAGACTTACTCCCAATTAGGGTTTAACTCTTTTTGATTGTCTGGGGGTACAAAGGCTCTCAGTACTAATATCAGAATGTCAATGATCGTTAATCGCTATGTATTTCGTATTTCTTACTACATTTATTCTATGATGGTATTGCCTTTTTGGCTACAACTCGATTTTAACCTTATTCCAAGATGCCTCAACAAGTTTACATGCCACGCATGTACGTTAGGAACGTGGGAACTTCTGTGACCATTTGTTTCGCATTCTCCTTCATCTGTACGGACTTTGAACTGCTCCGTGTACCGTCATAGTAGCTTGGTACTTAAGCTACTGACACCTGTAAGTTTCTTATTGGTTCTAGTTTAGTCTCTCTTAAAAGTCCTCGACGCTTATAGCTTAGTGGACACTTCGTGTTGTAGTAAGTATATCCCGGGTACAGCCTGTACAGTCAACGGTAGACTTTGTTGGCTGCGATAGATTGACACGACGTATAGTACGTATGATTCAGTACACAATATTGTGGATACTTGTATCACGTCAGATGAGCTATGAGCCAATCAATCAGTTCACCAGCCAGCCATCAATCTGTCGGAAACTCGGAATTTCAAGATTGTGAATACGTATTACATAGTACTATTCCAAAGTGCCGACGGCAAAGACTTAAGTCGATTGTCGACATGTATTCATTAACGGTTCGACATTTCATCGTTTCCTGAGACGAGATTCCCACAAACAAATCAGAAGCCGATACCTGAAACGATATCAATCTTAATTGTGTTGAGTGAGTACGGCGCTCGGTAATCGCGACTCGCGAGGCGGAAAAACCACGCTAGTTTTCCGCGCGTGATTGAACCCTCTGGCCAGTAATATCAGCCGGAAAGTTGTTCTCCTCCACAGGGTGACTTCAGAGATTCCCCTGAAAGTGGCCAGCCAACAGCCCGACGCTGTTGTCTGACAAAAGCACTTCATGAAAAAACTCAAACACTAAACCGCATTTAGTGAGCTATCTGCAGTGCTCTCATTCATGATTCACCACCTGTCATCATTAATATCAGCATCAAGATCAGCCGCATCATCTACGTACTGAACCCCATACATACGTGATATCATGATCCATGGCAAGTTGCTATTGGCAACTTGCATACGATCTTCAACCGACGGGTAGATCCACTCAACCTCCAGGATCAAGGATGATCATATTCCTCATGGAGAGGGAGCTGCTTTTTCTCGATCGATGCATCTCTGGAATACGCACCCTAGCCTCGTTTAGGGGGAAACGGCGTCCCACCCAAGTAAACGATTTTGAGTAAAGCTGCAAAATTGCATTGACCATGATTGATGATTGTGCAGCATTTCAGCCACCACTACGGAGTAAATTTCACCAATCCAAGCTGCCAACAGGTCACTGGGACTTTAACCAAGTCCGGTCACGCCAGGCCCAGTGGGGGCTGAAACTTCATAATAAGTGTGGAAATCCCAACACCGCATGATTCAGAGTCGCCCCAAGCCAACACCGTCACTGATGTTTATTGCATATCTTTTGCTTTTTGACTCCAACTCTCGTTTGTTTGAAGATTCTCCGCCAAGTCTCACTGCCGAACTTTTTGGTAAGAGAAAAATGCCTCGTGGTTGTTATCATGATAGCCGTGCTGGGTTGTGACTATCCCATCGTTCACCACGTAATAGGTCAGTGCTTGAGCCAGCCAAGATTTCACTTTTACAGTCTTACTCAAGCACCCGAAATTGTCTCAATTGTTGCTCTGTAAAGTCTGGGTACTGGAACATGGCTGTCGGCACTCGAGTGCGATTGACTATTCCCCCCACAGTCGATTTGACCTCTTTAAGAAACGCTTCTGACATCATTCATTGTTGGAAAGTAGGCTCCGGAAAGTCAAAATAAATGGCTCTTTTGCGACAGAGTATCCTAGCCCCCAACATGAATAAACTAGGCAAGCATCTATCCGTCACTGAGAGGCGGCGCTAGATTGATGGACACCCGCTCTGTCCACTTCGTTTCCATTTTAGCTTGATTGAGGTTCAAGCCTAAACCTAAAGAGCACGCTTAAGACCATTTTGGCAAGACGTTCCTGCTAAGAAAGTCTTCTGAGCGACACGCATAATTTGCGTGAACTGTGGCCTAGAAAGAGACGCTAAATGATTACCTCAGCTAGAACAATCGGGCTGTGCTCCGTCTTCGATGCTCTGAGTCTCCAAGCCTATTGACAGGTACGTACTCCGTACGCATATTCTGATCTAGGAATCAAAATCCCACTCTAATAGAAACACCTGTTACTCTATTGGACAGTCCTTTTTCACAGCTACTAGCTTATTGAGTGTTTCCTCGGGGCTAGAGTTTACTTCCTGAGTCACCACGAGAGCAACGTACGGGGGACCTGGATACAGCTTTAGCGTGTTGCCGTCCTTGTTCGTTTCAAAATTTCTAGAAGCCTGCCTGAAACAGCGTAGCTAAGACGTGACATTTATGCCTCTAGTTCTACCGAAGTCCTAGTGCTTATTGTGTGGTTTTCTTTTTCCCTCTTACATTCTTCTTAAGTTCTACTGCTGAAAAGCTGATGGATTTTAGCGGGTGTCTTTTCTTGGATATGCGAAGGCTACTGCTCGATTTTACAATTGGAATCCAAGAAAGACCATAGTTAACTGCTTGTTTCATCTCCATCATTCTCTAAGTGTTTTCTGACAGCCCGAGGTCAAAAAACTATCTTAAGAGAGAACGAAAACAGAGAGCTACTTATTTTATTGTTCTGTGACTCGCCTTACCCCGAAGTTAGCGCATCACAAAAGTTTCCGTATCACAAGTCTCAAGTACGTACGTTGGCAATCATTATTCTTTCACAGCAGACTATGGCAGTCTCACTTGATTTGCGATTTCTGTCGACAAGCTTTCAGGCCGTAAACGATCAATCACTAAAGACTCACGCGATGATAGACTCCAGGGTGGGATCCCCCACAAATCGACGCTGTCGCCGTGTGATAACAAGCCAGTTCTTACAGATTCTGGCTCTGGGCATTGTTATCCTTATCCACATCACCCAGCCCAAGCAATAGGTTCAGTTGTGGAACCGTCGACTCCGCGACTACTATCGATCTCTCCTACGCTAAGCTTTCGTCCGAACTCAAGCTCACGAAACGTTTCCGCGAATGATAAAGTTGAAGGCCAGTATCTCCGAACAGATTGGTCTAAATTAGGCCTCGATAAGCATATCCAAGGTCAAATTAATCCAGCATCTTAAAGGGCTTTCCGGCCGCAGCGGTGTCGATGTCTCCTACAAGCACCAAGTGAATCCCGACCTGCAAGGTACGTTATGAACTACTATTCATTTGCGTCGCATTTCCAGATACCCCTAGGGAATTACCAACATTACCTCTCTCTTCCCTCTCTTGTGCGGCCATGCAGTGGACCATACTCGATTAACCACACAGTCAATAATACGTGAAGTCATTACTACAGTGCGCAGATAAACTTGCTCTGGCAGCCCTTCCCTTGGCCACAATTCATTACAGAGGACTCGGGATCAATGTATACTACTCTTCAGGGTAAGTATGCACCGTCAAATTCATCATCAGCATACTACCGAAAATCTGGATATATTCGTCTTCATAAAAGACTAACCGACGATGACAGCGCATTGTACATCGGATATCACCTTGTATTCCGGACCTCTTCTCAATTCTGTGAGCAACTTCCTATCACAGACACGCTCCATGAACATGTTTCCCCAAGGCAACAGACAAGGTGGAAGTTTCCATTCCCAACAAGCACAATGGGCACAATATCAGCGCTCACTATCCGCCACACCAGAGGATCCATATCAAGGGAGGCCGCATGAATCCTCTTTGAGCCCATCTATTGGGTACTCCTCTTTACCTTCACAACAGGTCATGTTTTCCAATACGTCCTACCCGATAGGGCTGCAGCAACCTTTGCAAGCACAACCATCTCAGGCATTCTATCCCACGTAAGTGCCGTTCCGTTTTCCTGATTCTTTTACATGGGAAATTTAGATAAGCTAACAGGGAGTACTAGATCTACACCTTACGGTTTTAATCAACAAAACTATGACTTTCCGCAAGCGACTTTTGTTTCGTGAGTATTTACTACACCGGATTTCTTAATCCCAAGAAGAAATAGAAACAAAGCCAGCTAATTTGGAAGTCTCACAGACCTAATACTTACCCTACAACAGCTACACCTAACATGGGAATCCCCATCCAGACCCCTACTTACATAGGGAACAGCAATCATAGCTCTCAAAACAATACCACCCACAGTCATACCGGTAGCCTTGTCACTTCAGAGTCAGAAAGTCGCGTCCGGGTGCTTGAATCACGCCCCAAACCCCAATGCTGGGATCACGGATGCAATGGCCGAGAATTCTCGACATTTAGTAACCTACTAAGACATCAACGAGAGCGATCTGGCGCCGCTGCAAAATCCGAATGCCCCCACTGCGGTGCTGTTTTTACGAGATCTACGGCAAGAAATACACATATTGCACAGGGCAAGTGTAAGGGAATTCGGGAATCATCGGAATGACAGTCACATGGAGAGCGAAGCATCTCCGGTAGTTGTTATATTCCTTCTCTGGGCCAACAATGTGCTCTTCCCTTTATCGTGTTATCCTGTACACGACACAAACGAAGCAACATCTATCTCATGACCAATATATAGGTCCTTTACTCGGCAGAGTTTCTACAAAAATACACGACTACAATGATCATTTCTTTACACGGCGTTGATTAGAAGAGTTTCACTAGAAGCAGCGAGGTATAAAACGGAACGGAAAAGGGAAAAGGAATCAGGGGAGGCATATACGGTATAATTATTGAAGAGGAGTTAAGATATGAGATGCCGCAAATCTTTCGACATTCGCATTGGACTACGATGATTAGATGCCTCTACCTTTCTTTCTTGCATTAGTTTTCCGGATCGCTATCAAGTCTGGAAAATTCGAAAACTGGAGTAAAATTTTGGAGAGTTCATTTATAAGTGATTTGTGTGTCATTGCTTACTTGCTTGTTTTTCTCTCTTCCTGCCTCATTACTAAAGGTGTCTTGGCCCTATCTCATCACGGCTGGAGCACTGTGATGAGGGAGTATGTGTAATTAGTTCACCTTTCTCTTATTTGATCCATATTTAGATTTCACGGTCTTATGATTTCCTCGAAATTTTGAAGTTTCAGGCTTTTTTTTCTCTTGCGATTACTTGAGCCACTTTTCAATTGCATAGTTAGAGAGTTATTGGGTTTAATAGAGATTTTATTAGCTTCTTTCTCCATGAGTAGGTAGTTAGGGCTAATTACGGGAATCTATACCGTCAAGGCTAACCATATGTGTAGTACCTTTTTCAGGCAAATTTCAAGGTAGGGAGCAGGATTTCAAGGTTCTTGTGCTGAGGTGCTCGCGAAAGGCAAGAAAAGGGGTTCCCAGGTTCCGATTGACCTCGGTAACTGTCGAGAGTTGATATCTTCAGTCTGACCTGATAGAACCGTGTAGTTTTCAAACCTGAAAAGGATTTCTGAGATTTCCCGTGAGCCGTCAGCCTTGGAAGAGTTCCTACTTAGTCTACCTGGCAGAATTCATCCAGTATATATTTTCGGGCCGGGCGTAGAAGATCCACGGGTGATTAGGTGAAGTGAGACGTGTTGCTGGCCGTCTTACTTAGGATGAAGTTGATATTATGCCTGAATTTTCAGGCATAAGAGATGCACGTGCAACCTTGGCGGCTCTGACTCAATCAAACCGACTTCCATTTGTCTTTCGCAATAACAACTACATTGTTCAATCTTTCGTCTAAGAGATAAAAAAGAACTGTTGCAACATATCTTATACTTCTGAAAATGATTATCTAGACTCATCCCATCATACAAATCTGTTCGAACAGCTTTGTTCAAGCGTCCTTCTAGAGGAATAGAACGAGTTCTGTCATCTTCAACAAACTACGTACTAGCGACCTCAAGTTTGATCTCAATTGCAAAATGAATAGAATATTATCATTACATCGGATTCTGGGCTTTGCGTATTTAAGGAATTATTATACTGCGGCGCCATATACAATATCGAGAAGAAGAACGGTTTTCAACATACGACATTGAAATCTAGACGACTCCTCGATCGGCACTTGAAATCGAGAAATCGAGGCACTGTTTGCGATTGTTTTGAAGTAATTCGCACACAGAATTTTTAGGGGACTGACTTGCGAATAGCAATCATGGCATCGATATTTACTTATGATCCCGATCCACCTCGGGTGTCCTCGCCATGGTCTGTATCTGGCTCGTCAACTCCTGGAATCGGCGCAGGAGAAAACCTCTGCAGCAATTCAGAGACCGGTCTATTAGCGGTTGATTCAGACAAACTCGCAGACTATGGCATCTCCAAATTAGAACCGGAGCCGCAGGAGGGTCCGACAGAGTATAAACTCCATCTTTTGCTTCGGTCTCGGAAACCATTTATCTCCATGTCCACTGGCCAGGTGGTAGGTGGTAACTTCCAATTCAAAAATTCAAAGAAACCCTACTGGAATCTGAATCCCATACTGGAACCTTCCGCTTCTCCGCGGTCTTCTAGCGCCGCGAACCTGGTGAGTCGCCAGCAGAGACTGCAGCAACTTACAACGCAGCTGCTATGGCGGCTGCAGCAGTCATCTCCGTTTCATTCTTCCTCTACTGCCAATCTCATACTTCCAGTTCTACCAGAAGCTACTCCAAAGCTTGGCCTTCCCCCAAAGCCCTCCCGTCTTTTGCCCGGCCTTGAAGAGAGTCAAGGTGCCCTCTATGAGATTGGCGTAGCCGATGACGGTACTTTCGTGGGTCTGGTTAAGGAAGAGCTAGACGAAAGCTTGACTAACCTCGGTGCCATGGCCGCCAGTCTTGGCTGTAAAGTGGATGTTCTCCGAAAAGTAGTGGTTGGTACTTGTGAATGGGCAGAAGGATCAGAACCAGAGGTTATCCGGTCCGGAGAACTATGGGTTGCAGAAGCATTGGTGAGCCCTGATCTTGAATACTACAATTCTTTATCTTCCAAAGAGTCGGGTCTGGAAATGTTGAGCTTGGACGACAATGTCCCACCGTCGAAGGAGGAGGATTTCTTAGAAGGAGGATGCTCGCAAACCGAGCAAATCCGTATCTCTATTACAGGGCCTAGTGCTGCCGGCAAATCTTCGCTCCTTGGGACTTTGACAACATCCGCCCTTGACAATGGACGTGGCAAAAGCCGATTGAGTCTTCTGAAGCACAGACACGAGATCTCTTCTGGGATCACAAGCTCCGTAGCTCAAGAATTGATCGGCTATCGGGATCTTCCTTCATCGCCCCAAGGCTCTATTGATGTGATCAATTACGCGTCAGGAAATGTGACTGCTTGGAATGATATCCATGCAGCTTCTGATGGCGGAAGACTGGCTTTCGTATCCGATCTTCCGGGCCTTCCTCGTTATGTAAAATCAACATTGCGTGGTCTGATTAGTTGGGCTCCTCATTATGTGATTCTTTGTATCCCAGCAAATAGCTCTCACGAAGCTGTCGCGCAAGATGATGGAGAGCAAGCGCCTGAAATTGATATTTGCCTGGCATACCTTGACCTCTGCATACGACTTGAAACACCTCTGGTTGTGGCTATAACAAAGCTGGATCTTGCGTCACGCATGGGCCTGAAACAGACTCTTGGTCGAGTGCTCTCTACTATCAAGGCTGCGGATAAGAAACCTCTGATGCTTGCTGTCGCTGGAGACGACGCTAAACGGACCCCGAATTTGAACAAGATTTCTACAACGGACTGCCAGGAGGCTCTCAAGACTGTCAGCGCGGTGAATGACGACTGGTCGGGTACAGTTCCAATTCTTCTCACTAGCGCTGTCAATGGCTCTGGTGTAGGGAAGTTCCATGCGTTATTACGGTACCTGCCTCTGCCGAGGACTCCTTCGTCTAGACTTGTGCGCACAACTCGAATCCAGCGCCGACAAGAAATTCCGACTGATGTCTTTGACATTGATGAGGTATTTGCAATTCCGCCATCGAAAGTGTACTCCTCTCTTGATACTACCCGGGCGGATACAAAGGGCGTGGTACTTTGTGGACTCGTCCGCCACGGAAGCATTTCTGTTGGTGACGAGCTAGTCGTTGGACCTATAGCGGTAGAAAGCAGGCCGGATGACATTAACACACCACATGCTTCGAGGCCAAGATCATTACAGACCCCTGACAATGCTTCCAATGCATCTCCGCGTTCTCGCTCCCTAAGGAGCAGGCCAGCGTCCGGTGAATTTTCCCCTTTCTCTCAAGGCTCATTTCCTGGAAAGTCTCGGCTTTTGTCTCATGCTGAATGGCAGCGAGTTCGGGTTGTTAGTGTGCGCAACCTGCGTTTATCTATCCGGATTCTGTTGGAGGATCAAGTAGGCACTATTGGGGTTGAGCCGATACCTTGGGGTCCTGGAAGAGAAGTGAATGCACTCGGCCGTCTCCGGAAAGGCATGATCTTGGCACAGGCACGAATCTCGCCTGATCAGTCCGAAACCAGTACTATCCCCAGCTACCTTGCATTCAACACGGCCTTCGTAGCGACATTTCCCTCCCGGGATTTCTCCTCTACAAGCTCCCCACCTCTGATTTTAGGCGGCAGTGTCGTGGTATATATTGGAAACATTCGTGCGGCAGCTAAAGTCACTTGCGTCGCCCTAGCTGACGACTCTGAAATCGATTCATCTCCCGAGCCACATCCCGAAGAAGCTGACTTTTTCAGCTTCGATGATGATGACGAGAAAGAAAAACAAAAGCAGGAAAATAGATTCCGACGCACACGGCAAGAAAGCGAGAAGACAATTGATGTTTCCAGTGCGCGGAGTAACGGCTACGTGAATATCACATTTGCATTCATCTCGTCTATAGAATGGGTTGAAGTGGGCTCGTTGGTGGTTGTTATGCCGGGAGTCACAACCGCGACTTCGGCGACTGGTGATCTCATCCCATTTTCGGGACTTGAAGGATATGTAGGACGAGTTATTGAAGTTAGTAGCAGCGAAGACATGTCTGAGCGATAGTCTCGGGATATGTCTATGCGATTTCTATGATTGCTTTGGGTATTTTTATTGTTTTCCAGCTTGTTCTTTGTGTTATCTCTGTTCGAGCACCATGCAGGAAATTGAATTACTATTCAAGTGATTTCTTTTATCGTTCGAATCGAATATATGATCAAGAATATCAAACTAACTCAGTGAGAAGACCGGTTTATCGACTTGATGATATAGACTTCCAGAATAGGCTTAGCTTATTGCGGCTCCCCGCAAGGCTCCAAGGCGGGTCCTTTCCCCTACAAGGCGGACAGACAGCTCTTTCATCCCAACTCCATCCATTTGGATGCTTGCTCTTTAAGAAAGCAGTAAACCCCTCACTATTCTCTCATTTTTAGTTGACGTTTGCCAAATTCTTTTCAAGACTATTACGCCGTAATACCCTATCAAGCTGCGGAACGGCCCAAGAAACAGTGTGTTGGCCTACGGGCTTTTATGAGCTTGTGGGGACGTCGCATCACTTTATCACCGAACTCATGCACGACAATTAATTCGGTCATAGCAAAACACCCCGGACAGTCTCAAACGAAGATTGACCTCGGTTTGCTCACATATATTTAGCAGGATGGACAATAATAACTTGATCCAGACCTCACCGGGCATGCTAACCCAGGGAACAGCGACAGACGACGAGGCAGATAATACCGTATCTAGTGCCACCAGCGTCTCTGCCTCAATGACACAACATCAGCCTTCGAAAACAGGAATAATAGTCTCTAATGATGACGTACTCGACAGTTCTCCGACAACTTGCTCTTCAAATGAGTCTCCGAACCCCAAAAATCCATTAAATCTGCTCGACCTGCCACTTGATATTCTCAGGGAGATCGTCAAGGAGGTATGTCGACCTACGTGCCACCACCTTTCCAAGTTTCTGTTGGTTAGGCTAATTCGTCCTGCTTACAGATCACTCTCACCCATGACTTGACGTCGCTTGCTCTTACCTGCTCCGCTCTCCATTCACTGGCCATTCCCGCTATGTATTCGCGATTCGATATCGTCTGGCCGGAACCTGCCCCGGTGTCAGATCAACCTATGGGCGTTGATGCGCTTTCCTACGGCCTGGCAACGTTAGTAATGGGCGCAAACGTGTTCAAAGAAACACCTCGAGCACGACACAATAAACAACGGTGCCAGCATTGCGGGTGCGACGGACCTCGTCAACAATGTGTTCATGGCTCATCATCTTTACGAACGAATTATGGCGGTTTCAGAATCGGGAACAACTATGCTCAGTGGACGAAGAAGTTTTGTGTCGGTAATGGGCCAAATGACTGGGTGCAAGAATATGCAATTACAAAGGAGACGGGAAAATTACTAGGGACACTGGTGGCTTTGGCTGTGGCTCGAATGGCCAATCTGGAAACTTTTATCTGGGACATGCCTACAGGAGTCATGCGAGACGTCTTCCTTGCTCTTGCTTCATTGGACGCACGATCTGGCGATCGCGAGTGCCATCTAGAACGAGTCTGGGTTCGATGGCACGACAACCGTCAGAAGAATCCCGTGTTCCACACTTGGACTCATCACAGACCAGTTGTGGATTTGTATCAACGTGTCGAATATCCTACATTTTCAGTCTTACCACCTCTCAAGTCCTTGAGCGTACTTAACATCGATGAACCGGCATATTTGCAAGAAATGGCTATTCTCATAGAACGGTCGCGGAGCAGGTTACGTGAACTGCGCATTGGAATGGCTACAACCTGTGCTACTGATTCGTGGGTGTATCCGACGGAGTTAGAGCCGACATCAGATGAGCCTTCGCGGTCGTCCTTGTTTCCTGGATGGCCTAAATCCGGCGGCGTGTTATCGATACTATTAAATATTCCTGCCACCGGAATGGTTCTGCACACAGTATCTCCTAGTGCAGAGCCGAATGGGAGCAAAAATCATCATGGTATTCCATCTTCTCCGACTTCTAATATCCCCAACGAACAGAGTACTGGTGTGACTGTGACTACGCATATGCTTGGTGATTTGACAGTCGACGAGACGCAAGGCACAACAGATTCTCAAGTTTGGAATACCACGTCCCTAAATGCCGACTCGAATCAAGTCAAGGTTTCGGGATCACCCGTGGCTACAGCAAGGACATCAAGTGAAAAACAGGAGAGATTAAAGCTCGAGATTTTAGAGTTGGAGAACGTTGTCATCTATACGCCGCTGCTAATGAAGGCTATTGACTTGACTCGCCTTACTACGCTTACTATTCTTCATTGCGATGAGCACGAATCTCTCTGGCGAGCGCTACGCCGGAAGTTCTCTCCCTCGACTGAAAGTAGCCGGCAGGGATCAGATAACGCAGCCCAAGAAGCTTACCCATTCAAGCTCAAGCATCTCCACACAGACCGTGTCTCGCCTTATCTGATGCTATTTTTGAAAGAAGCAATTGCTCCGAATACATTGGAAAGCATATATCTCCAAGAAGGGAGGCTATACACGACTGTTGTCTCCATCGAGGCAATATATAAACATGTGCTGCGTCGGCAGAGAGCCAGCCTGAGGAAAGTCCTGATTGATCGTTCACGACGTGGTGAGCCGGTCTCTATTAACCATGGGCATTGGCGTGACTGGATGTTTCCTCGAGAGGCACTGGCGTTTGTGACAAGTGGTAAAATGCCTCAACTCCGCGAACTGGGCATTGGCATGGATCGTCGCGATTGGGTGAGTGTTTTCTTCGGTGATAAGCAGTAGAAGATTTGACTAATAGCATTTTTCCCTAGCATTTCTTCCTACAGCGGCTTCCTAGATTAGCCAACCTGCGAGCTCTTTATTTGCCTAATATGTTTGACCCAACTCTTGGGAGAAACAAGCATCGAGAATTAGCTCTGCAGATATTGGACATAGTCACCTTACGTCCAGAGATACAGTTATGCTACATTGGAATCGAGCATAAATGTTTCGAGATTCTTGAGACACCGGTAAATGATAAGATAGATCGAGAACTATACCGTGACTCTCCTTGGTATTCGGAATCAGATAGCGATGAACCTGACGATCAAACCAATGGTCACGATTCTGAATCTCACAGTGAGGATGAAGAAGATGATGAAGTTGAAGGTGGTGACGATGATGTTCATACGAATCCACACGCTATTCTTGAGATGGATGAAGACACAGAGGACGACAGCGAGTATCGACATAGTAACAACGGCTCACGCTTCGTCTTCAGACTCCGCGAGATCCTTTTCTACGATGATAAGATATCCGTCTTCAAATCCCGACACTGCAGTTTATAAGCTACACACGGTATTATCGATGCTTTATTTGATTTGATTTCTTACATTCTTGCTGTTTACTCGAGCGGCACACGAAAAAGCAACATGACCATCAATCATCGGTCGATAGCGGCGTCCGGAGTGATTTGTTATTTTATTGCAAGGTAATAAGACTAGACAAAGGCAGGATTTCATTCTATGGTAAAGATGAAGGGAAAAACCGGCCATAAGCTGGTTCATGGTTAGGGTTTCTGGGTTGGTGACGGCGAATATGACTTATGAGAGATACCAATGATTATTATACGTAGTTTGAGGAATTTACTGCGAATCATCATACCTTTGTTTAAAATCCCAGAATAAACACATTATCAACATTAAGACAATTTAAACCTCTACAATCAAACATTCAGTAGCAATAAACATTGATTCGATATGATTGGTCAAATGCTGTGTAAACACGTGACCTATTCTCGTCCTTTGACGGTCCTTCAAGCTGCCGCACCTCATTCGCATCAGCACCGCAAATACTTCAAGTCTCGACACGGACGAAATATCTTAGGACTTTCCGAAAATCTTTATTTTAAAAGGAAAGATAATTTTTGCGCACCAACAAGAGAAGATTTGCTTTGATTCAAGCGGTGGAGAAAAAAATTCGACACAGCTTTGCAGTTACCACACAAGCTGCAACTTCGGAGCTGTGTAGCTCCGCGATCTTAGAACTGGGATATTTGAGCTAGAGGATCTGTCAAGATGAAGCTCGTACGGTATGTTTTATCCCATGCGCAAATACTATCTGGAGCACGCGGGGTGTTTATGCGTGCGCGAGGAGATTGATTTCTGATTTTGGTTATGTTTGCATAGGTTCTTAATGAAATGCATGAATGAGACGGTGACGATTGAATTGAAGAATGGTACGTTCAGCAAGTTATCAACTTCGATTCATCGTCGTCGGTCGCTGACCTCACCAAACAAAACAGGAACAATTCTATCAGGCACCATCGCCTCAGTCTCTCCACAAATGAACACGGCTTTACGAACAGTGAAGATGACACCCAAGGGACGCGAACCTATTTCTCTCGACACAATCAATATTCGTGGTTCGACGATTCGTTATTATATTCTACCGGATAGTTTGCCGTTAGATACGTTGTTGGTTGATGATCAACCTAAACCTAGAAACAAGGCAAGGAAAGAGGCTGCTGATCGGGGCGGTGCGAGAGGCCGTGGTGGTCCTCGCGGTGGACGGGGTGGTCGGGGTAGAGGTCGTGGTCGAGGACGCGGTTTTTAGATGCATTTTTGAACGCGCTCTAATGAGGGGGGATGTGCTGGACGGAGCGAGGAGCTATTGGTGAACTAGGACGTACAGATAATGAAGGATATTTCGGCCTTAAAGACGTGTCCGTGTCCTTCTTTCGGGCGTTCCAATTGCCTATATTACATGCATGCGATAATGTGTCGATTCCGAGAGGCGAGCGACGGGCAAGACCTAGAATCGGAGCTATGGACGGATCAAAAGTCGCTGCGAGGTCTAGCGATACATCTTATCTTCAGTTTTCCAAAATCTCTTTGCGGAGTTTGAATTCCTATTCTTCCATATGGTACGGGAGGAAGTCCGTGTCGTGTTCCGGTCTCTGTACTTTACCTTTACAAAAATTAGGGTTTTCCATCTGGCAATATTATTGGCGCTATGCAATTTGATCGATATAATGAGGATTCCTATTTTCTTGCATTGATCGTTCGAAGTGTCTCCTGCAGGGTTGTGTCAGCATAGGCTCAATCGAGGCATTTCGTAGCAACACAGCCTCACAAAGGCGATCTAAATTTATGCATATATACAAGCAAATATTCCATTTCTAGCCCTCAGAAGTCTTAGTATTTTCCCGTGAACTGGCATGAGTCCCAAATGCCAAGAAGACAACGATTGAGTATCAATTAGGCCCCGACGACAACGAAAGGCAGATTCAGATGTGACGTCAAAGTAGCCCTGGAGGCTGGGCAGCGTAGCTCAGGTCCCTGAATGCACTGTCATTTCGAACAATGAATTCGTATTCTTTAGTGCATCCTGACTGCGCCTCTGGTCAGTAGATCGCCTATGCTATGTCCAATGAACGCCTTTCTATAATAAGAACGCTTCAGGCTGCAAGATAGTTTTTGGATGTTGCTTGGATATAAGAATGACAACAATTCCCGAGTGAGAATATTGATTGTATCAAGGGAATTTCCATATTCACTATATACATCATAAAATCTCATAATCATATTTGGCCAACATCAAAACACTCTGCGTGAACTGAATAGAGCTCCATCTACACAGCATATATGACACAAAATGTGTTTCCGCGACAATAGCTCACGGCCATATGAACACTATGCTCCGCCACAACACTACAATCAATGGCAGTACTCTCATCACGCAAGATATAACTCTAAAGAAGCGGCCAAGGCGCAGAAGAAGGCCAGAAAACGTCGAGGGGCTGTTATAGCTGGCAGTGCTTGTGCGAGCTCAGGAGGAGGAGGAGGCGGTTGTGGCGGTGGTGGTGGTGGATGTTAATAGGTCTTTAATGGACTCATGATCCAGTGATATTCAACGCACATGTTTGATGACAACCAACTTGTCCGATATGAGCCTCGACGGGCCCCTTATCCCAATATCATTTGACTTTTCCGACATCATGTCCAAAACCACATCTTAACGCCACTATACCGTCTTTATGAACAAGTTGCAATGTCTTCATGATGTACTGTATCATGACATGATTCATGAATACCATATACTGAATTCCCCTCAGGTAAAAGCAGATGTTCATCACATCTCATTCCTGTAGATCCTCAAAATAACCAACTTCTCCCACCCGGCTTGCATACCGCTTCTACCCACCATATCAGCAGTCCATCCATGCCAGCCACGAATAATACGTGCTCTGACGTCCTCCGGCTTGTTTTGCGCGCAGAGCAAAAGATACGCAACCCCCCGTTCGGGGTTGAGTATGGAAGGAATAGCTTCAATGAATCTATTCGTAGTTTCCATCCCGTCTAGTCCTCCTGCATAGGAGAGTGATAGGAGATATGAATCATGCTCGAATTTCTCAGACCGTGACAGTGATTTGGTCTCGTTCTGTCTAGGTTGTGGTAAGATAGGCAAGTCCGGTGTTGGGACATACGGAGGGTTGAACAGCAAAACATCCACTGATCCTGGTTTTAACGGTGAGACCAAGTCACCGGTCAGTGAGCTTAGATAGTGGGTGCGACTCGCATTCCCCGTCTCGGAAATCGCCGTTTGTACAGTCTGCCTTGTTGCTTGGCATGCATCACGATTGACGTCTACCGCCAGTGATAGGATGTCATCTCTACCGAATATGTGTTTTGAATTCGCAGCCGTAAAGGCAATTACGACACCGGAGCCACTGCCTACCTCCACGATTAACGGAGATGCTGAGGATTTTGATATTTGGAATCGGTCAGTGAGCCAGGCGGCTTCTGATGCAGAGGACAATGTATCGAGAAGAAGGAATGAGTCCTCCGCAGGTTCGTAGATAGTGTCAAAGGAGACATGGGAAGTTGAGGGAGTTGGAAGCATTTTCAGGTTATGGGAATCTGTTTCGTAGAGTTGAATCGAAGAAATGATAGACTAAATGGGTGCTTTGAGAGTGGGTAAGAAGCCGGATACCTGATTGGCCGGAGCATGACCTCGGCTCCGGAACAGCTCGCCTTATTAATTAATCTATTGTCTCTCGACCTCTTTCTCTGCCAAATATTCCCATTACAATAGAGTCAATTGAGCTACCGCCAAGATGAGAGTACTCACCCGTCTCCTCGCTGCGCCAACCACTATCGGCTCCAAAGCAAGCCTCACCACCGAACCTCTCGCTCTCCTCCCTCCAATTCCCCTGTACCGACGTCTGCTCCGAGTCCATCGCAAGAAGCTACCACCACAAATGCGTCTATTGGGTGATGAATACGTGAAGAGCGAGTTTCGGGCACATCGAAATGTTGATAATCCTATTCACATTGTATGTATATCATTGGTCATGGATTACTAAACGATGAAAAGAAAAGAGTTCGAGAGTTTAACGATGATCCATGCAGGTCGGCTTTTTGACGGAATGGCAACTGTATGCTCAGCAATTAGAGGGCGATTCTTGGCAGGGTGGTAAGCTGGACAAGGCGAAGCTCGATAAGATGAGTGGTTAGTCTATTTCTTTTCTCCCCGGTTACATTCGACTATTCCTGGAAGCATACAATCTCTAACATATACTTGCTTTCAGATCAACAAATCGGCCAGCTTTACGAACTCATGCAAGCCATTCAGAACAAATCCGAAGGAGATGGAGAGCGAGAATGAGTAGAACGAAGCAATATCGCGTTTGCTACGCCGAGCCTTGATTCAAAATCCGCAACTTCTCGTTCCGGTCGTGTCCAGTCGTTTCAGCGTGATATTCCTTTGAGGAATAGAACTTTCAGATAGGACCTTCATCTCGCAGTCCATAGGTAAGGCTCAAGCATCAGGCTGCTCAGATAAGATTGGTGACGACAATCCAGAGCAAAGGAATGAGTTGCGGCTATGCTCGAGCGACTTTCAAGAAGGCCTGTTATGAGAAGCAGCAACGCAAGTTTCAACCTCGTTATCGGAAATCGATCCAAAGGCTGCGGTCAGGACCACGTAGTACCATCAAATGTCAAAAATTAAAAACCCGACCGAAACCAACGATCATCGGCTCCGTTGGAAACTGGTATGAGTTTGGTTCGTGGAAAGCGTGCTTTCCTACCTTGTGCATAACTATGCTCTGAGATTTTATCATAGGTACAAGAAACGGCAATGGGAATGAATTATTTATTAAGTCTGGCGACCGGGATGAATGGATGTGTAAGATTATGTACAAATATCTACTCTACGATGACTCAAATATATATCACAGTCCATCTATCCAGCCAACACCTCCCCAACCCAATCCATCTGCACCGCACTAACCCCTCTCGCATAACTCCTATTTGTAAACACAAACTCATTATACATAATCGCCTCAACCCTCTTCCCAAACAACACGCTTGAGGGATGAATAGCCACCGTCTGGTTACCCACAACTGTCCGATATGATCCATCTGGAACCAGACGGGCGGTATTAGTTGAAAAACCTGTCAGAAAACTTTTCAGAATTGAGACTGTAGCTAATGCGTCGGGAGGGACCCGTTTCTCGTTGGAAACGTCTTGGTCAGTGAGGAGCTTGGCCTGTTTGCATTGAGCAGTGAGTTGTTTACGGACATCCTGTTTGCTGTTAGATACCATGACCTCTGGGACTAAATTGACCAACTCACCATAACAGACTGCATGGCCCGATGAGAAACCATATGCCGTTCAGCCCAGGCCTTTCTGTCCGCATTCTCCGTTGCATACCCTTGCACAGTCATTAACATGGTCAAATGATCGCCCTCTCTCCTGTAAAGATCCCTCCGAGCTTTCTCTGCTTCGTCCTTTTTCTCCTCTGAGGTTGTGTTAAGAAATATGTTTTCCACGCTTAGACTTGATATGATATCAATCACATCCAATAGACAATTTTGGCCATGCTCTGCAGCTGCGAGAAGCACACGGCCCAGAGGCGGAGTGAGAGGCAATTTCGCAATCTGCAATCCAATATCACTAATCTTGCCAGTTTCCTGCAAAGCTTGGATATTGAAAAGCTGAAGAAGTGCCTTTTCTAACGCCTCGCGTGGTGGTCGAGTAAGAAAAGGGAAATTCATAATATCATCCACTCCACGAGCTTTCATAGTCAACAGACTCTGACTCAAATCGGAACGCAGGATTTCAGGCGTATTAGCCTCATCCAAGGCCAAATAGTCCCTTTCTGTGTACAGCCGATAGCATTTTCCAGGTGCTTCTCGTCCAGCACGACCTTTACGCTGAATCGCGGCTGATTTTGAGATCGGCTTCACTAAAAGTGAGTCCAGACCAAGTCGTGAACGGAACTGTTTCATTTTCGCCTTACCGCAATCAACCACAAATCGGACACCGGAGACGGTGACGGATGTTTCTGCGATGTTGGTCGCAAGGATGATCTTTCTTGTTCGTGGTGGTGCGGGTGCAAAGACTCGTTGCTGGGCTGCTTGTGGAAGTGCTGCGAATAATGGTAATGCGAGCACTTTTGGTAATGATGGGTCCATTCCGACGGCGTATTCATTGACCAGATACTCCAAGTTCTCGACTGTTTCCTGCCCAGTGAGGAAGACGAGTATATCTCCTGGCATAGGTTCTTTGATATGTATGGTGAAGATAGTTTCGAGTGCCGCATCCACAAAATCATGCACTGGAGCAGGTGAATAGATGGTCTGAACGGGGAATTGGCGGCCTTTGATGTGGCAAGATGAGACTGCATTGGATTTGTTATTTGATATCGGCCCGTTCTCCGTTGTTAATTCGCCATTCAAATTCGGATCCGAACCTCCTTCCTGGCCGAAAAACTCTAGTAAACTTTCCATATCTGCCGTAGCACTCATAACAATCACCTTCAACGGCAACCCCCCACGTCCTTCACCCTTACTCGAAAGAATGTTCTTCAAGAAGCCCAAAACCAAATCCACATTGACGCCTCTTTCATGAACCTCATCAACAACGACTACGCTATATTTGGTCAACCAGGGATTATGCAACATCTCCTGCAGCAACATTCCATCCGTCAAGAAGTTGATACGCGTCGAAGGAGAAACCGAGGTGTCGAATCGGACTGAGTAGCCTACTTTACTAGCAGGAGAAGCCTTTCCAAGCGGAGTGCCCATTTCCTCAGCGACACGTCTTGCTAGTGAAATAGCTGCAACTCGTCTGGGTTGTGTAATTGCAACGCATCCACCGACTGGTATACTCTTCGTTTGAAAGTTGCCATTGTCCGTCGTATTCGTAATTTTCACCTTCTTCATCTGACACCATGGTTCATCCACCAGAAATTGTGGTACTTGTGTACTTTTTCCGCTACCAGTTTCACCAATAAGTAACATCACATTATTGTCTTTTAACTTTTGCCGTATTTCGTCGGCATGTTGGAAGATTGGTAGCTTTTTGCGAGTTTCGAGCAATGTCTTGGCTTTTTCTTTGAGTGAATACGATACTGCAGTATGTTCTCGTTGTGCGCGATTGACATGCTTCTTGAAAGCATGCGGGTTGCTGTTGTTCGTTTTATTCTTGAATGCAGAATCTGCGTGTAGTTTAGGCCCAGCTATCGTTTCATTATGCGCCTTCGGCTGCGGTTGCCTACCGGATTCATCTCGTTTGCGCCTTTTGTTCGATACTTCGAGAGATTTATCGGGTTTCAAGGGCTTTGATTTGTTTTTAGGCGGTTGTACTGTGGTAGTTGTGGGCTTATTGACAACGGTTTTGTCATCGTCCGAGTCGTCGAACCTCATGTGCACTCGCTCCGGCATTTTGATTGGCTATAAGTAATAAGACCCTATAGATTAATATCAGAGTAGAGCCATTTGTTTCGAGTGTCAGATTTTCGGTCTCCACAGGCAATGTTGTGTGTTGATGGTCAATCGATGAACAAGTTGTGAGCCTAGAGCTTTTTTTGCGGATAGGTCGATAAGCTTATCGATAAACTTTTATCATTAAGATTAGGGTTAGGGTAGGGTTAAACAGTTGAATTCCCTACTATTGAGGCTTTCATTGGACCGCTCTTTTTATCATCCGAGTAGAGAGTACTATAGTACAATGATTGGTGCATAGACTATCAATCATTCAGAAACGGGTGTTCCATCAATTCCCCGACCGTCATTCGCTCCTCCGGCAGCTATTTCAGCATTTCTGTGATAAAAGACAAAAGCGCTTCTCTTTCCCTGCTTCCAAAATGGAACAGTATCTTCTAGTTTTCGAGTAAATATCAGGTCATTTCAGAGGAATTTACCTGTAAAACAAGGAGCAAATTAGAGATAAAATAACTTGCGTGTAAGGGGAGATGTAGCGTACTTGATCATCGAAAAACGGTCCACCGAAATACTCCCTGTTGCTCTTGTGCTTTACTCTCTTATCTTTAATGGGTGGAGACCACTCAAATTCCGCCATGGAATCTGACATCACAAGGAACTTCTTGAGCTGTGAGCCGAGCAGTGCTATCATCTCCGCGATGTGTAATTTCGAATCGTAATTTCCTTTCGCGTCTTGTACTTGACTGAACAGCTCTGTCCCTTCAATCATGTTCCATACCTTGAACAGAGAGTGAGTCAATATTAGATATATGAGCTATTCTTTTGGCTGGTCTTGACTATCTTCACTCAGAATGCAGGATTGCACACACCGGTAAGCAACTTGCACAATCTCCTCGCTTGCTTAAGCTAACATGTGTCCCAGATTTGAAACTCGACAATATACTAATGACTGTCGAAAATGAAACCATTATTCCTAAATTTGTAAAACAGCAGGAAACTCAGCCCATGCAATGCAAAACCGACGCCGTCACCGGCCGAGTCACCTATCGCTCTCTCGGCAACTTCGGGCATCTTGATACAAGTAGACTAGGCAATATGTATCCTCAGATAACAGAATTTGGCGCTGCGGCTCGACTTGGTCATCGCTACTGTGCAAGTAGGGCCCTGTCCCATACAGTCTAGCTATTACCGTGCACTAGAAGTCGTTCTTGGTTGCGGATGGAGGTTTAGTGCAGATATATGGAATTGGGGAGTCATGGTAAGAGACGAGTTAGACATATGAATATGCTTTAGCCGTAAGTAAAGTAGCCTCTTGGTCTTAAACTGCTTTTGAAATATTGATAGGGACTCCCTGCATAGTTCATAGGCTAAGTATAGATGATTCCCTACGGGGCCATTCACCTCAAAGCTTTCCAGGTATGTGCGGGCGACTGAACGACCGCGACGTGAGAATTTTGCTGTTTAGTGTGTTCTTCAATTTCTCGTTCATGGTAAGCACTCTTGGAATTGGCATTGTTGACTATTTTGAGAGCGACATAACGCTCAGCCCGCCATTGATATCTATTGAAAGTTAGCGACGTAAACAGCGAGAACAAATTTAGATATGAGAGTAAAAAGCTTGCCTTGCTATGTCTCGTGCGAGCCATATGGTTGAGTCTGCTCCTCACCCCATTTTAATCAATAACTGAAACTGATTCGCAAAGACTTCACCCGGTTTCGCTGGATAGTAATGTTTGGAATTGTAGCCAGGACCAAGCTCCTCATCCACAAGTTGGTGACGCGGAATGGGAACAGCTGCGATTGGTGTTAGTAAATCGATGAATGGATCGTATAGACTCAGAGGATTGATATCGTCCAGTAATAGTGATCAATGATCAGTTGCTTGTTAGTATTGATAAGGAGATGATTCGATGCGTTGAATCTCTGTGTATTACTTGTCTTTTCACTTCTAGTTACGTACGACTCAGGGGTTGAGACTATAATTAGCCTCGGAATCACTGTCGAGGATTAGGTAAGCTAATCAAGGAAGGAAAGCCTACAACATTGATACAAGGAAAATTCGAGGGTTGAAGACACAAGATTGAGCCCACAAATCAATTTTACAGCTCTGTGTCGAGAATCTTCTATTGAGATTGTCTGAATATCGTCTATATGGGATTCTCAAGCATAAATATTGTCCAAAAATCCCATCAAGATGTAGATAGAAGGGTGTGCACAGAATTAGGTCAATATCAATATTTCCCACTATAAAGACATCTTTGAGTATTGAGCTTAACTGAGTTTGTGCTAGTACATAGCAAGTTCCAATAATTACCAGTCAACACGTGACCTTATGATCATATTCTTTACAATTGATAAGTAAAATCAGACAGGCTAGTTGCGAAGAAAAGATAAACGCTGTATTGCTTCGTGTGAATCTGTGGCATGTTATTGTTGACATGATCCATGGGTCGATTTAAGCTTATCGATAAGATCTAACTAGTGGCTGAATGCACATGTGGCAGGGATTGATAGCAAATTAGACGACATTTATAATACTTTTTCGTACTACGTATGTATGTACATACTGAAGATCAGTAATAAAGTATCGTCAATTCATAGGATTATATCCAGATCTAGGTTCTCTCCAGCTTGTTCATACTGTCTATCATCATATATGTATATACAGAAATATGTGCAATCTAAAATCCCCAACCTCGAACACGCCTAAACGCAAACGAGCGATCATTCCGTAATCCAAACTCACCCCAGTCATCAGTGAGCTTATTGTAACTCCAGAACCCCTTCCAGACAAGTTTCGTATTCTTCGAAACATTTGGCGGGGCCTTGGTAGCGCCTACAGCACGTGCTGGGTTGGAGGATCGTAGTCCCAAGTGAAGAACATAGGTGTACTTTGGATCAACACCTTCGGTTTCGATTATAAGATCTCGCGGATCAGATCCTATGCCTTGGTTGTTTTCTGTAGAGAGCGGCGAGTGGAGACGATCTCCTATTTCCGAGTTCTGGGGTTCTTCGTTGGTGGGGCGCGTGAGGTGCCAGCGACCTCGCAATGCATACTTTAGAGCTTGCATGGCGACAGTAGGGACTGGGGCTCCGCTGGTAGACGCTTCGTGTGAAGCTGCTTCTGCTCTCTTCTTGTTAGGATGGCGGATAAGTCTAGCAGCAGCAACATTCTCCTTGCTGATGTGGGGGACAACGTCAATGGGCTCAGTCGTGGTAAGAAGAGAAATAACCGACCCGTCTGGGTAAAAACGAAGATAACGGTAGTAAGTCACGATGTGAATGGGATCAGTCCAAGCCGCATTGGCGTACGAAGATGCACCTCCAGGTCGTGTATAGTTGACGGTGCTGATGTAGATACCAGTAAATCTGATTCTGGGGAATGACTGGAATACTTGACTCCAAGAAGATAGAGGTTCCGGGATTGACACGGCGGTCCCGCGTGGGAATGGTGTATAAGCGGGAGAAAAGGAGTGGTATATGTCTCCAAGTACATCACAGTTGAAAGAATAATGCATACTTCCGAAACCAAATTCGTGGCCTTGACAAAGTCTCTTCCATATCTGTTGTTCGTGCGCGAAATGATATGCGAAGCGTTTGCATACCAAAGACATGCGACCCCAGGACGCTGGATCCATAAAGGCGACATGGTCTAATACCTCTATCAGGATCTCATTTGGAATTTTCGCAATGGGACACGGGGGAGCTGGATCACCCTCAATGTACGGTTCGGCTGGCGGGATTGGTAAGTTCGCGAAGGACAAGATCAGTTCCGGAGTCGGTAGCGTCTCGACGTCCTCTGACTTTTCCTTTGTCGATTTCCGTGGTTCAGAAGTTGAGGTTATTGGGGTGGACTGAGTGGGTGCCGGTTTAGCAGAGAAATGCTTCTTGCGATATTTCTGATCAATCGCCGCGTCCAGCTTGAAGTTATCAGTATAGGACATAAAAAAAGTAGAAAGAGAGTCATACTCTGTAAGCCTTACGATAATGAGCCAGACTATCGCCTAAACTGCCCTCCGCTTCCTTTTCCACAGCCTTCTCGAAGTGTTCCAGCGCCGATCGAGGTTCCTTCTGCGGCACACGCTGAAAGGAATCCTCATCGGCCGATCGTAAAGTCAGGGCTTCGGTGCGCTGCACGAATTCTCCATAGTCTCGGCCAAAATCCTCCTCTTCGACTTCATCTTTCCGATCTGCAGCCTCGTGTTTGGTAGGTGGAAGATGATCAAGATGCGAGTTAGCAGTCGATGATAGATTCTGCGAGGTGGGTTGTCGTTGTCTCGGAGTGGCTGTAGTCTGATTTCGCCGTGTTACTTCTTCGCGCCATTGGCGTCTGAAGGCGTTGAGCTCTGGGCTTTCTTCCATTGTATGTAGTGATGAGGGGTCCCGCCACCCTCGGTTAGAGCTGATCGATATTTACAGTCGACAATCTTAAGTAAACTCCATTACTCCCTAGCGAGTAGACACGATTAACAAGCTAGTGAAGTGATAAAAATGATGATAGATCAAGATGATGATCAAGACGATAAATGCTGTGAGAAGAAGGCGGAGATTAGATCAGGCTTAATTCCGCGCCGTCGTTGGCCGATGGTTGGCTAAGCAAGCCGACGCTAGACCTGATTGAGAGAAAGTTGGAAACTTTGACGGAACGATATCGTCGGTCTCGAAAGAGTCATCGCATTTCTGTTTTCACATTCCCATTATCTCGTTGTTAACTGTATCTCCAGGAATTATCTCAAATCAGCTGAACATATTAAAGAAAATTGAAGAATTGTTCACTTAAGTTGGTTGAATGTCGACCCAAGGTCGGCATTCTCGGTTGGACAAATCTTCGCCACTTGCGGAGGGAAGTCTACATGCCGAGTTCGCAGAGCATCGAGACTGGCACGACCATGAGACACGAGCGATGGCATCTTTGAATTCTACAGGTAGCCCTCTGGCTGCTGCTGCTGCTGCTGCACAGGGTAGCGAGCCTGCACAGATATCTGTCGGTCAGAGGATGCTGTCGGCTACGGGTGGTAGCATTCTGACGTCGTTACTAGGTTAGTGTTTTGATATCTGATTATTATGCTGGCATACTGACATTGGTTCTTAATAGTAACACCTTTGGACGTCGTACGAATCCGCCTACAATCTCAAGCATCACATATCCACAACGCTTCCAAATTCACCGCACACACGACCGATGCATTCAGGGAATTACCGGCAGATCTGGGAGTAACGGCATGCTGTCGGGAAGTATTTTGGATTGGCAACAACCCGGAAATATGTCTAGTCGGAAATGGACCAGTAGCTAGGGCAATTGACTGTGCCGTGGAAGATACACAACAACGCCGAATTAACTCTACGTTTGACGGGATACGGAAAATTGCGCGAAATGAGGGAGTCTTGACATTATGGCGTGGGTTAGTGCCCACGCTTGTCATGAGTGTACCGGGAAACGTCATATATTTGGCGGGGTACGAGTGGTTGAGAGTTGATCCTCATAGTCCACTTCCCCGTTATATTCCTGACGGATATGTACCCTTGGTCGCCGGTAGTATTGCGCGAGTAGCTGCTGCGTCCGCAATAAGCCCAATTGAGATGTTCCGAACTCGTCTTCAGGCGACGCCAGGTACTGGTACTGGTCACTTCCGTGCTACACTCGAAGGTCTTCATCAAATGACTCAGGCACGAGGATATAGTTCGCTATGGCGAGGGCTTAGCTTGACCATGTGGCGCGACGTGCCATTTTCAGGCCTATATTGGTGGGGCTACGAAGCCGTGCGAGATATCATCACAGACCTTCGTGAACGAAACAAGCATAAAAATAATCTACAAGACGGATTGAGAAGTCGACGTGGTTCTCAATCCAGCCAAAGCACAGCTACTACATTTATGGATAGCTTCATAGCTGGATCGGTATCCGGCGCCGTGGCAGCATTGGTCACAACACCATTTGACGTGGGCAAGACACGGCAACAAGTTTTCCGACACGGTGCCGACGAAGTCGTGGGCAGTACAGCAGGAAGAATTGGTTCGACAACAGTCGTGCATCCGGAATTATTATCCATGCCCCGGTTCTTGCTACATATATTCAAACATGAAGGTCTAGGCGGCCTCTTTAAAGGCTGGGTTGCTCGCTGTCTGAAGGTTGCTCCTGCTTGCGCTATTATGATTTCGAGCTATGAGTTGGGTAAGAAGATGGCCCAAGGAGTTAATACCAGAAGACATAGCGATGGCGATAACTTATAAAAAAACATTCTTAGTCTCTGCATCTGAGTCCGGTATGCCCGGGTCAGCGATAATCCTCACCTCTCCTCGATTGCGCGTGTATCATTCATGGGCGGTTTTGTCTTTGCGTTTTCTGTGTACACAACTCATTGTATACCTTTTGGTTTTAGCATGATTGATAGAGATTTATGTTTTCATATACCTGACACTTTATGAAATTGTATATTGAATCTCCTTTTCTCCAACATATTGAACTTGGATTTGCTCACAATAACTGGCTGGGCACCTAAGTAACACATGTGCAGTGTCGGAAAAACTTACGCCATAGACCACTCGGCCATCTTACCTTGTTCTATGATAGGGCAGAGATTTTCCGGGCTTTTACACAGTCCTAAGTTTCACTCTGATGCTATCATTGTCAGTTGTATCGCCCTGCTGAAGCTTGGAGAGCATGTCGGTCCGTACTCTGCTCGAAATGATCTCAGACCCGCTATGGGGGCTTTCGAGGCTGCGCTAGCAGGGCTCTAGGCCGTCTAGCGGCGGATTCCCCGCAAAAACCCACAACAGAATACTACTCTCTCTATACGTAAGCATTGCTTTGCTTGTTAACTAGCTAGTTAGCTATTGGCCCTAGTTTTTATCTGAGATAAGCGCAAAAGCCCTAACTAATCTAACGAAGTCATCCTCACCTAGATCCAAATCTACCTTGATAGGTCCTATTGACTATCTAGGCATCTCATAACTAATCATCGAGTTCATGACCAATGACATGTAATGGATATTGTACAAACAACTATCAATTTCACGCAATCTCGTGCCATAACACCATATTATACACTATACAATACATGGACACATATCCAACTCAAGACTTGGACACCTTCACAGCCTTTCCAAGACTCATTCCTATCTCCACATCCATAGCAATTGCAGCCTTGCTGACATCCAACAAATCCTTGTCGAACTCAATATGTCCCTTCTGGAAGGCAACGATAATCGAGGATCCGCCGAACTGGAACAAACCTAGTTCATCGCCTTTGTTGATGTAGTTTCCCGGTTTCTGCCACTTATCATGTATCCTAGGACCGTTAGTTTATCAAAATCAAGGGGAAAAAGGTGTTAAACGTACATTACAGTTCCCACATCCGTAGCCCCAATAGCCACAAACAACACATCCCCAAACTGCTCCGACTCAATCAAGACATAATCCCTCGCATTATTGGACAATATATCCAACCCACTCCTAAGCGCCAAGGGATCAACTTGGTAATAATTCCCCGGCAAACTCCTAAACAACTTAATCTTCCCACTCACAGGACTATGATAACGATGATAATCCTGCGGCGAAAGCCTGAAACTAGCCACAGAGCCGTCATCAAATAACGGACCGAGTTGTTTATCCATGACCAGATTTGTGATTGTGAAATCGTTACCTTTGATCCAGATCTTTTTGCTTTCGGCGACGGTTTCGTAGACTACGACGCGGGAATCGGCGACTACGACGGCCTTTGCGGGATCGTTTTTGGCGTGGATGGGCCGTGAGCCTGGTTTGTGGGCGCGGACGAAGAAGTCTTCGAATGTGTTGTAGGCGTTGATTTCGGAGGGTTCAAAGTCGTTCATGTTGATGTGGTAGAAGTTTACGAAGGATTTGATTTGGTTTTTGGAGGCGGGTGTTCCTTCTCTTATGCCTGTTGATACGTCAGTAATCTCAGTCAAATGCAGATACGTTTTCAGAACGAACCGCTTTCATAATTCTTTTTATGGAGGTGAAGACGCATAAAGTGGGTTGTATCGATCCATTCTGTCAACGGGTTGAAAAGAAGGAATAGCTTGAGCTTCTTCAACAAGGGTTGTTGCTCGCGAATTTCACGGCCAGTCTTCCGATTAATCGTCCTCCAGCCAACTTCTCGATTTTGGACCTGTTGACAGTTAGTATTAATCCCGTCTTTTTCTCGTCGGTACGTACGATCTTGACCAGCGATAGCAGATAGTCTGCAAAGGCGTGGAGGAACCCTAGTATGCCCATATTGCTGTAGATTATTGAATTAGTTGCATTAAACAGTGATGATATTGATAGAATGAAGACCAAGGATTGTTATTGTTGAGATATTCGGAGTGGGAGTTAGGGCTAGGTTGCGTCATTATGACAACCGCCACCTCAACACACAACAACACAACTATCGCAACAACTTCACTTCCATAGACAATCAAGAAACTATGGCGGAACAAACAGAAAACCAATTCAACAACACCTCCGGCATCAGCGACCCTGTATGGGTTCATGAAGTCCCCTACTCATCATACCCTCACGCAGCCTTCGGCCCCCTAAAGCAAAGCATCACAAACACAGACGTATGCATTATCGGTGCCGGTATAGCCGGGATTTCCCTGGCGTACGAGCTCATTGCTCGAGGCAGGAAACAAGTCACTATGATTGAGGCGCGGCACGTCCTCTCTGGAGAGACGGGGCGTACCAGTGGCCATTTGTCGAATGCCCTTGATGATGGTTACATCAACATTGAGAAAAAACATGGCCGTGAAGGCGCAAATATTGCTGCAGAAAGTCATACCTGGGCGGTGCACAGGGTTGGAGAGATTTCCAAGGAATTAGGAATTGATTGTGAATTTCGGTATTTAAATGGCTACGAAATATCGCAGTTTCCTCGAGGGGATAACAGACATCTCAAGGAGGTAGCAAATATCGAGAAAGAGGCAGAATTGGCACAGGAGTTGCTTGGAAAAGATCAAGTCTCGTTTCAGGAAGGGTTGGAGGTACGCGGTTGGGACGTGAGTGGCCCCGATCAACGAGATGGTGCGATCTTCCGGAATCAGGCAACCTTCCATCCAACCAAGTACCTTCTTGGTGTATTGAACTGGTTGAAAGACCAGCACAAATTCCAATGTTTTGAACATACGAGAATGATGTCCATTGAAGAAGACTCAAAGCATGGCGTTGTCAAAGTGAAGACTATGGACGGCCATACCATCACCGCGACGGATGTCGTCGAAGCAACAGCCGTACCGCTGCAGAAACTGAGTGTGATTGCTGAAATGTCATTTAATAGAACATATTGCATCGCAATTCGAGTCCCCAAAGGCGCGATTGAGGATTGTCTCATTTACGACGAAGCAGAAGCATACAAATACATTCGTTTCACGGCATGCGACGACAAAGATGATTATCTTGTTATTGGTGGATGTGACCACAAAGTTGGCCAAGAACACGACAGTCAAGCTCGATACAAAGAACTCGAGGAATGGGTACGAGCTCGGTTCCCGTTTGTGGGTTCCGTGGATTATAAATGGAGTGGCCAGATATTTGAGCCGGTCGACTATATGGCTTTCATTGGGAAGAATCAGGGGCGGAAGCATACGTATATCATTACTGGTGATAGTGGTAATGGTTTAACGCACGGCGTCTTGGCTGGCAGGTTGATTGCAGATGAGATATCGGGGATCAACAATTCCTGGGCATCTCTGTACAGTCCCAGTCGCGTTGTTAGTATTGCAAAGTCATTACCTACAATGGTCGAACACGATGTCCAGATCAACACTCAGTACAAACGGTACCTACAGTCAGACATCACGGATATTGAGGATCTGGCCCCAAATACCGGCGGTGTGATGCACACCGGTCACATAGGCCAGCAGCCAGTTGCCGTGTATAAAGACGAGAAAGGGAAAGCTCATCAGCTGAGTGCAGTCTGTCCGCATATGAAGGGAGTGGTGTGTTGGAACGCTACAGAGAAGAGCTGGGATTGTCCTGTGCATGGTAGTCGGTTTGGATGGGATGGAGTTTGTATCGAGGGACCTGCAAAAAAGGGGTTGACTCCTATAAGTACGTAGGCGTAGTGTGTGGTCTGTTGACTAGAACGAGTTGATTCTACTGTTGCATGGGAAACGATCTTATATTAGCTGTGCTAGCCAAGAGAACTATATGTACTACTTGAATATCACCGATCAAAGATCATAGCAATCATCCTCTCCAATCCATGCAAATTATCCAACGCCCCCAGCCAAGAAACATGCTGATCCGGACGACACAAGATGACAAATTCACTAATCCCTTTTCCACGCTCCTCGCCATCAGTACTAATCGCCCCATTACTCGGATATGTAGAATCTTCATAATCAGTAAATATCCTCCCATAATCCCAGCCGAACGTATCGTCAAAGGGACGAAATATTTCCGGAATATCGAAAACGTCAATCGGATCTCTGGGAGTATTATGTATCAAGAGACACTCAATCGATAAGCCCAACCTGTTCAGAAATTTGGTGACCAAAGACGAGTTCGAAAACTCGTCCAGCTTCATCAATTGCTCCTCCTGTCGTACGTCACCGGCAAAGACTAGTAACCTCCATATCCCTGTGCTGCGCAAGAGACTTAATAGATATTTCGTTGACCCATCAGCCTGATTCTTGACCATCTTCTTAAAACAAGCCAGACGCATGCCCACTTTAACCTTCTCCATTCCAGCACGATTGAGACACAAATCCGCATCAGATTCCCCAACCAGTATACTAGGTTGATACACCACTCCCGTCCCACTCATAAACCCGGCGAATTGCTCGCGCACTTTATCCACCCCTTCACTCTTTGGATCAGCCTGTTCATACGCTTGTAGCACCCTTTTATCTACTTGCATTAGTGTCCTGGCTACAGGTCGTCGTTCACTTTCATACGTGTCGAGGATGGCAGGATTAGCTGCGCCGATGATTATAGACCCGAGTTTCCAGAGGAGATTGTATGTGTCTTGCATGGAAATGTTCATTCCTTGGCCGGCCATTGGGGAGTGGGTATGTGCTGCGTCGCCAGCGAGGAATATTCTCGTGCATTGTTAGTAGATTCATGTATCCGGGGGCAGAGAGACTTACCGGTCATGTATTCGATGATGCTTTACAAGACGCTGACTTATCTGTCAATCAACGTCAACCATAACCCAGTCGCGTACCCAGGTAGACCTACATTGTAAATAGACCACCAGTCACAATGCCGATATCTAAAATAATACGGCTTCATCGCCCTTTCCGCAATCCTCACAAGAGCTTTGGGAGATTCATGCGATTTCTGTCTCGCTATTTGCTCTAGCTCGTCATCTCCTTTGAGTTGAATGTACAAACGCAAAAGCCGATTTTCACGTGGCGCCGTCATTATACTTCCGTTCTTTTGGGATTTTATGGCGCAGGATTGACGGATGTCGGCTGTACAAGTCAGCTCAACTTAGGCAATAGGGGGAATTCGGTTTGCGTACGGAAGTTTGTTATGGGTGCAATGTCAATTACGCTCCAGGTTGATTCGTCCGAGCGCGTTTCCATGGGGATATGGAGTTGTTCTCTTGTCCAACTGTGGGAGCCATCGCATGCAACTATGTAGCGCGCACGAATGGTTTCGGTTTGATCTGGTAACAGTTAGTTCACTGTCTCTAGAATGCAAAGTCAGACATACTGCTGCTATCATGCAAATCCTTCACGCTGACCGTTACCGGATACTCAGCTTCATTTGCTGTTGACACATCAAGCATTTCAGCCTTCTTGTTCCATTCTATCTTCACCCTTCCAATGTCACTGATATATCGAACGAGAACATCCTCAATCAGACCCTGGTTCAACAAAATCTGTTCAAATCTCGAGAGATTTTCCAGCTGCACCGAAGTCTTTTTTACTCTCTGAATTTCTCCAGATTCATTTGCACTTTGCATTTCCGGGAAGAACCAATCATCAGCCTTGAGCCGCAATGCATATTTTAGGGTATACATACCAAGCCCAATAACACATCTCAGTCTCTATCACAGCTTGTCGTAGAATCTGATCGACAAGACCAAAACTATCGAGTATTTCCGATGTGCGACTGTGTATTCCGTCTGCATGGCCAGTACGAGTTCGGCCGGGTTTCTGGTCGATGATGCGGGTGGATATGTTGAATTGCGAGGCCCAGCAGGCTGCCATGAGGCCTGCTGGACCTGCGCCGATAATGAGGAGGTCTGTGTTTGGCATGATAGTATCTTACTCAAGAATATTGTATAGAGGTGTTGTCATGATATTTACATGATCTGCAAGATGGATCTAAGATTGAGTTGCTGCTTTCGGCGATCAACGTCATCATGAGTCCGCCCCATATTCATATCTTCAACTTTTGTTTTCTATTTTCTCTTCTATTGACAATTAACTACATAATTACTGCTACAATCTCGCTCATTGCTTCTGCTCGCCCAAGAACAACAAACCTGCAACTCATTAGTCAAAACTTCCTATATAGAAAAAAGAAAACTCACTGTAACCCTGCCCCGACGACCACGATTCCACAATCTCCAAGCCAGCACTCTCAGCTAACCAAGCCTGATCATCAGAATCATATTTATGACTCTGAATCGCCAACAGACTCTTTCCAGCGGGGACTTGCATTCCATCACCAAGACTGACATCAGCGTCCAGGTAATAGTATTGACTATGTCGACCATTCTCCTCTTCCCATACACCCTTGACATGCCAATGCTCCAAATCAAAGGCTTCATAAGCCAGAATTTGATTTGCTCTATGCAACCCATTCTTAACGAACCGCTGATTCGCGCCTTCCGGGTCATTGTATGCATTATACACTCGTTGAGCATCTTTACATCCATCAAGACCAACAAAGAACGACGGATTTCTTCCTGATGATGAGAAGAAACTTCTCAAAAATCCACCGATTTCATGTCGTTGGAAACTTCCCAGCGTAGATCCGAGAGACAACAACGTCTTGGGCCGGGATTGTAGTTCAGGTTTATTGAGCCACTCGCGGCCGTCGTCGTAAGTCCCCAAAAGACCGAAACAGCGGACATGTCTAAAATAGCCTGGTGGGACGAGGGAGATAGTGCGTTGTAGTTCTGGTAATGACACGTCGAGAGCGAAGTAATCCACCTCTCGGCCGAGGTTGTCTAGGGCTTCGAGGAGGACTTTGATTTTGCGGAGGTTTCTTTATCAATTAGCACCGGTGAACCCTCCCGTTATGAAGGAGAGGGGGAGGACACACCCACTACCAAGCTCAACAAGCATACTCCCCGACTCAATCCGTTCCGCAATCTTGTACTTGTGCTTCTCCAACAATCCAATCTCTTCATTGGTCAGATAGTACGAAGGACTATACGTGACGTCCTCAAAGTATCGTAGTCCCTGTTCATTCCAGAGGAGTAGACTTGGCATTCCAACATAAAATTCACTGTCTTGACCGCTCGTGATCTTGTTGAGACTCTCCTGGATCGATTCGCGGAGGGTGTTATCTGTCATTTCGGGATGGGGCCGGATATCGATTATGTTGTTGGCGGTGGTTGAAGACCGGGGGAATAGAGGCTTTGAGTCACGCAGTCTGCGTTGAGATTGCGTGAGCTGGAGAGGGATGATGTTTTCGAACATTTTGAAGCTATTGTCTATTAACAAGGAAGAAGACGGATATGTCCTGAAATGTCTGATGAGATATCAACACAAATCATAAATCAACGAAAATATCTTCACTTTTAATACTCTTCAAGCCAATATCTCAACCATTTTAGAATTGTATACATCTTCATTATGCAACTCAACAACTCCCACGTTTTCAGCCAAGTCGTCCCGGTACGTATTGTTTGGATAGTTGTGACGTACATCCGTCCCAAACATCGGAATTTGGCTGAGAGCAAGAAATTGATACAATTGATGTACCAGGGGAGTCGTCACTGGGGGATGCACTGATAATCCGTGCACAATTGCGCTCTAGACTCAGTGGCTTGGTTGAACATGATCTATTTCTGGATCATGGTTAGGTTTCATACAACCCTAGCCTTGATTCGGAACAACATAACCCTAGCCCTGGATGTAACACATCGCAGTAATCAAGTCACGCGCAGTCTTTCTGGCCCTATGGACATTTCACGATTGAGGTCTGAACGTCTTATTAGGATTACGTGTACCAGGTCGGTAGTTTCGCGTGTTCACTGAAAGGGATGGTTGTTCGTGGTCGGCCAGGAGGGACAACATCACTTCGGCTTCAGGTTATAGGAATCACCGAGAATGATACACAGATTTAAGCATGCGCGTGATCAGCCCCAAAGGTCATGTGTGGAACTTTAGGTATAATGGTGTATTCATTAGTCAATTGTAGGTTGGGAGCCATTTGGTGAATATAATAGGTATACACCGCGTTCCTCTTGGAATGGCATAACGGTTCAGCATTCATTGCACATTGTTGAGTCTTAGAAATCTCGTCGCCATATAGACATGGGTGCAATCGATTCCTTTATCGTAAAAACCATCATATTTCCGGAATCTCATCCGCAAGCTCAAGATACATAGCACCCTCAGAGCTTTCCCTGCCACAAAACACAATAGTGCGACCTACAACAAAGGTGACAGAGTCATGATAGTTGGGGTGAATGCACAAAGCATCCTATCCATTAACTTGAATCCAGGATTATGAAGCAAAAACTTTTATTGAGCGCCGGTCATTAGGAGTTGTCGCAGAAGCAATGCGAACTCGGCCGCGGCTGGTAACGAGACATGTACTGCAAGGGGAATACACCCATTTATAAGGTCTAACATCCATAGGGATTTCGAACTGCTTCACATATGTCTCAATTTCGTAGAGTTGGAATGCTTCCTTTGTATTGAAGGCCAAGGCTTGGTCATCCGGGGAGAATGACAATGCAGTGGGATCATAGATATATCCATGGTATGGTATGACATGCTCATGTTTCAAGTTTTGTGTTGTCACGTCCCATATCTCTACATTGTTATGCAGTCTAAATGCTAATGCAGTCTACAGGCATCTGGAGAGAATGCAGATTGATGTATCGTATATTCAGGGTTTGGGTGGTTCCAGCTCATCTGGCACGATCCCGTTGATGTATCCCAAAAACCAACATGTATGCGGTCCGAAGTCAGCACGAGGCTACTATCAGGTGAGAAGTTTGTAATTTCTGTTCGTTCAAGATCCGAGTTTGATTTCTTCAAAACAAAATACCTTTCCCATGTCCCGACGTCTCCATATTTCCGGTTGCCTCGTCTCATTCCAAGTAACGGCAAACAGATTTCCACCAGGCGAAAATCCAGTAATTTCACCTTCGAGTGTTTAAAGCCTTTAGTATGTCGTTCTACCACCTTCTCTATATCCAACAGTCGGATGGTTCCGCGTATCAGTAATTCGTCGTTTGCAGGGAAAGGAAGATAATTTAGCTGTTTCGAAAGATCCTTGAGTCAATCAATCTATCATCGCGGGGGTTGTCGGAATTAGACGCGATATAGAGACTGTTGGGTGAGAAGTATATCTCGTTCTCTCGTTCGCCATCACATTGAAACTCGCGATATAGCGTGAGCGTTGTCGAATTCCGTATTGAAACAACTCCAACAGCAGCAAAGGCCAATAGCTGACTATTGAAAGAAAACGTAGTAGACCTAATACACGACTTTCCAACTTTCAGGGAGCGTTGGTCAGCTGTCGTCACTGTATCCCACATATTCAAGGTGTAATCAATCTCATACGCCCTAGGACGACTAGAGACAGTAGCTATCTGTCTGTCGTCCGGGAAAAATGTAATGATCTCGAAGAACTCGCAAGCTTTTCGTGGGAACGTGTATCTCTCGATACCAGTTCCCGCATCCCATATCCGTACAGTAGAGTCATCAGCTACAGGAGCTACTAGTCTTCCGTCAGGTGATGCTGCCAGACTCTTTAACAATTTTGAATGAGCCAGAGTTTGTGAAAATGGACTCCACTTTCTGGGCATGGCAGACAACTTTGATATCCAGGTCGGAATTTTGTGAGAGTATAGTGTCCTAATTATGCTCTTTCTTGGACTGAAAATAAGTGCGGATTGAATAGACTTGCAGCGGTGTATCCTCTATCCTTGAACCGTGGCTTAAGAGGAACCGTTTAGCATTATATACTATGGCACCTAGAATGCGTTTAGCATCGATTGTCCTGCGTAGGTCCGTCAGCCGACCGATTTAAATTACCCTTTCAAAGTTAGCATATTTTCTACTACGAAACGATGGAATCACTCTATCTGTATCAATTTGTCTAGATCAATGATCATAGCCGCACCATCCGAAAAACGACCAAGGGGAGCAAGAGTTTCAAGCCAATACAGATATTTAGTCTGGAAGAATTTCTCGACATCAACATCTTCGAAGTCGAAATGGCTATCTATCAGATGCCGAATCCAATAGTTCGATGCGTACTGGACAAAAAAGGGGATGTTTTTATCAATATTCGATTCCAGATATTTGCTCTGTCGGTGTTCCAGGTTGTCGGATATTGCAAGGGTTACGAGGTAGATGGGTAAGCAGAATCCTTAGGTAACATCTAAAGATTTCTCTATGAGCTTCAGGTGCATCTATAGCGTATGCTTCTTGTGAACATCGTTTGGGATTGACGATGAAATTAGGGAAGGATGGATGAAGAAGTCGTATCGTCCCTACTTTCTGTTCGGGAACATCTATGATCGAGTGAAGTCAATGCAAGGTTTTGCGGATGTCAGACTCGCGCGCATCAAGTATATCAGACAACTGAGAGATTGAAAGTGCGTCGAAAACCACGACAATTGATCCAAATACCCGATAGACTAGTTGTTTCCTTCTAGCCAATTCATCCGGTCCTAGGGTTGCAGGAATTTTGAACGAGTGCACCAGAACAGTGGTGTACATTCGATCCAACTCCCCTTCCGAATTGGTAGACATATTATCCTCTGAAATGACCAAAGCAAGATGCTCACTAGCAAGCTCTCCGCTATCCTGTATGAACCGGCAGACAGTAGCTGCATGGATGAATAGTCCTTGAGATTTATGCACCAGGTAGTCGATAGTTTTGTCAGTCAGTAGCCTCTAATCGAGGTTGTACCTCCGGACAAAATGACTAAACCTCTTGCGATAAAACAGCCTCAAATATTTTTCAACCAGAGATATCTTGATATCGTGAAGGATAAAGTCGCGACGGGACAGTGAGCCAATCCTATCGAATCCCATGTTGATTGGTTTCTCAGGCCGACTAGTTATGAACACTCGAATTCTGATTTGCCTGAGAAGAGTGATATCTTGCAAGCATTGAATCAGCTGATAGATATCATCTTCGCATTCATACTCGTCTAAAGCATCAACGACAATTATGAGTGGCGACTCAGAGGTATTGATGTTACATGCTTTTGGCAGAGGTTGAACAACAAGCTTTTGCCATTGGTCGTATAAAGCTAGACTTTCAATACGTGGACTCGATTTGAATGCCTTGCTGATAAATCTTCGAAGTTCATCCGAAATCTCAGCAAGTTGAGATGCAATGGTCGGCGTAAATCTTCTTGCTGATGCCAGGTCACCTCCGCCCCTTGAGAAGAATCAGCTTGCGGCTAAACGGTTATTTTTATAGTACTCTCGGGCTATTGATAGAGAGATAGTAGACTTCCCAGTTCCTGCCATGCCCTTCAGCCAATATACTCGCTCACGTCCGTGTCCATTAGCCCAGTTGCTGATCTAATCCAGTAATCCCGTTCGAGTGCCACTTAGACAGAGAGGTAAATGTTGTTTATTGGCAGCGTTAAAGGCTGCGTCAGGAACGCCTTCAGGAAGCGTAAGGATTTCATGGCGGCGCTCTATTCGATCTTAGTAACTTGCACTGTGGGTACCCACTGCCCAGACTCACGAGGGATGTGAACTCCTCCTGTGACCACGCCTTGGAAAAGGGAGGCCGCTATTAGCAACCTCTGCATTGCCAAAATGCTGTGCAATATTTGGTTCAGGACCCGACATTTTGGCGCTGTATTTGGACTGCCTTGCCTAGTAGTTATCTGCGTTCGGAACAGCTAAGATACGAGTGTGTTTACACTCTTGATACCTGTTCGAAGGCTGAAGGATGCGATGGTATGGCACTTGAATTTCAAGTACCGGCATTGGCCTCCATGATGTAGTCATGAAGCCGAATATTTCGTCTCATAAAATGTGTTCCATCCGAAGCATGGACACCAGCGAACGTGCTGTTTGGAGAGTAAAAGACAGACGGAAAAATCTTCCTTGTTTGTTCCCTTAGGCCAAATAGAAGTTCCGTATTAAGCGATCTACCGGCTCGGATCCGGCATGCATTGACACAGTTTTGAATAGCATGTGTGTTCAGCTACAAGGTAGATTCAGAAAACTGGTAACGACTGGTGGTTGGTTAGTATGGCGCCCCTAGTTCTCGATTATGCATGATCGTTACTAGTAACTGTCCTCTCAGATGACTTAGGACTCTGATCTTTATTCTCCTCTGCAGTCCATTCAGCAAAGCACAATTGATCCGTTGTAAATCTCGCCTGCAGGCCCGAATAAGCCACATCAAAGGCAGAGGTCAACGCAGTTCCATGGGTCCATTGAGTATAACAGCCAGCGTCATCGCGGCTGGAACGCTCGCCGCGCAAAGCTGCAAGTAAACATACAGCTTGATTTCCGGCCTGACTGACGCTCCTCAGAGCATCGCACGTTCGCAGCAACTGCTCGCACAGACAGAAGATGCTCTCTTACGGCGTCGGAACAATTTCTGATGAACAGCAAAACGTCTACCGTTCTTCAATCAGCCTTGCAAACCATCAGCTTCGATAAGCCGCTCAAATCGACTCGTAATATTTGCAGAGGTTTTCAGTGTTGCTGTTGCGGATATCACTCATCATTCAAGTTACAGGAGGTTGACTGCTCGAGACAGGGTCTCGATGTATCTGAAAGAATCCAAGATAAATCGGTTCAATCAGCAGTTGGGTGATTGCCAGAGAACGCTTGTGCTAGTCCTTCGGGTTAATGAATTTGTATGCCTGATTGCAGCTTTCAAAGGGTCTATTTTCTGATTATGACCATGTAGGATCTTATCAAATCACACATCTGAAGATGCCGACCGACTCAGACACGAATTCAAAGCTCAAGAAACAGCTCTTGTAGACCTTAGCACGCATCTTCAAAATCGGTCACAGCTATCAATGCAAACCGGCGGAACAGACAAAGAGAAGAACTTGGATCCATCCTCTATACTTCAGAGGATATGCAAAGAACCCCTTGCCAGAACCCAGACGGCAAGAACGAAGCAAAAATTCGGTGACAGACGAGCGCTCTGTAGCGATGCGAGAGATACTTGGCGAGCCCAGGGAAGGGAGTTGAGCAGGAATTTGGCAAGTTGATGACGGCAAAAGAAAGTCGAGCATTTCAGGGACAGATGACGGGCGAGGCATTCGCGATCATGTTTGGTTCCGGTTCTTAGATGGGAGGCGTGTGCTTGCCTTAGGACTGTTATATAGTTGCCTGGTTTTTGAGGCTGCTAGCTACACGCGCTTATTAGGGCAGATTTCCAACTTAACACAATCTACGAATGTTTATGCCACTGCTGCTACTTCATACAATTCAGTTTATTCTTTTTGAAGCTCTAGATCTCTCTCTCTCTCTCCCTTTTTTTTTTTTTTTTTAATTAATATTTTTTTCCAGGTTGTCAGGAGAAGTTCGGAGGATGCTATCTCCAGCTCCGGACTAGCTGGTTATCGATAAGCCGGTTATCCGAGCTAGTGCGGCCTTGGACGTCAGGCCGCCAACAGTACCCAACGAGTCTTTCTTTCCACCAGCGTGAATTTTTCACTTGTCTGATCATAGAATTGTATTAAGTCAATTGCCTAGAGTTATGCCAGCCTATCAAAACCCGAGAACTACAAACTAAATCTATAAAAGTATGAATATGCACAGCGAAATGTTCCGCATTCAGCTCCGCCGGGTTGGGTTTCCCCTCTTTCGATCAGTTCCCGATAGCTCTCGAGAGATTTTCCCCTCGCTACTTGATCCGGTGGGCTGCATGAAAGATTATTACATTGTCTATCGAGCAAGGGACAGAGCCTTGGAATTGTTCTACGGCTAAAATGTGCACGCTTACGACGATATGTGCGTCAATGGCACTGACACAGTTTCACCCCCCACCAGAGAGCTAGAAGCTCCCTCGGCCAATGATAAGCAGGCCAAAGAGTGACTGTACTGGTGACTAGACCAGCAACTATGCTCCGTACCGCACTCGCATATAGATTATAGGATATTAACTGTAATACATACACTTATCCATGCTAGAATATACATAAATTGTGTATCAATCACTCAATGTGTTATAACACAGCTTGAGCTCAGAGGCAGAGCTCGCAAGCCGGCTCCGGCACAAGCTAAGCTGAGCTAAGCTAAGCTTAGCTGTTCCCCTCCTTCGCCCCCCGGACCAAGCAGAGCTCAGCCAGTCACGCAGCGCTGAGTCCCCTGACACTCCCGCTGACTCCCTTTCCTCCTCTGGCCCTTCCTCTCTCTCACTTTTTTTTTTTTCTCGGTTTTTCCCTTCCTGCTTCTTATCTTCCTAGGTCATACATCTCTGTATACACCATACTTCCTGTATATACATACACATACCCGCCACCAGGAGCATGTATACATTGCAGCAGCGACTTCTGTTGTTCAATTTCGCCGCGACGACTTCTTACTGAGCTGACTGATTTGCCTGAGTCCTTCTGAAACCGCCTCTTGCGGACCGGGACCGAGTGCTTACTTCCACGCCCCCGCCTTTCCTCCCGAGACCACTTGAATCCTCACTTCACCGACTGCATCGACTGCAACAACTACTACAATATACGCCGGTGACAGCACACATGCAGACCATGCCCCCGCGCACCTCGCTGACGAGCTCCTTCTCTGTGTCGGATGCCAATAACGAGGTGGTCTGTCCTCTGACCAACAACGATGGCTCCAATTGTCGGAAGAGATGCTTGGGGGTGAGCTTCCCCTCCGCTTATCATCTTATCGATAGTCGGTCGTATCTCAGACAGCCTCTCTACGACCGAAAAATTCGATTCGCTAAATTGGACTGTCTGCTAACGACGTACTGAAATCAGGAAAAACGGTATCGCTCTATGCAAGAGCATATCCGCAGGGCTCACCCAAGCCACTACATACCGAAGCTCCCCGCTACCGAGGAGAGCTTCCTGCTGATGGTCAATACCCCGCTAGACCAGCGCGCCCATCTGAATACGCAGCCCACGCCCTCGCCGGCTAAAAAATATGGTATTTTTCTTTTTTCTGTTTGGTTCTTGGCTTATCACAAAACTATGCTAACTTGTCAGATACATCGCCTCCTTTAACCCCCCGCACCATTGACGACGCCCATCCAGCCGCCGCCACTGCTGCAGTCGCCTTGGCTCAATTGCATCACCATCGCCTGGCTTCCGACTGGGATGAAATGGTGGGTTGCTTGTATCTTTATACTGGGAATTAGGCTAATTGTGACAGGATACGCATTCCGACAATGAATTAGGACGCGATCGCATGCATTCGTCCATTGAACTTCCACCATTGAGAGACCATTTCAAACAGGAACCTCTTCCCCCATTTCAGTCATCGCGACCTCGAGAATTACTGCCGTCCATTTTGAGCCATTCTCCGCCCGGTCGGTCATCGACGTTACCTCCTTTACAACGTAACAACAGCAAGATTCAGCGACCGCGAAAATCGTCTATTACGCAGAATGCGCGCAAACCAAAGCACGACCGTACGCGATCAAAGGAATTCGCCCGGCGTCCTAGTCTTGGTGATCGCAAGGCTCTTTCGGCCGAGCCACAAACAGCTGCTTGGGTACAGGGAAAGCGATGGGAGGATCTCATAGAAGCCGCGACGTCGGCGACAGAGGTGGATGAAGATCGGGATACGACTCCGGTATGTCTATGAGCCGTTCTGTGAATTGTTTACATGCTGATAATAGCAGGTGCCGCATTCGCCGTCTGTTTCGACACTACTCAACAATACAAGTTCGATTTCATCGGCCAAAAACCGCAATTCGTTGCCTCCGTCATTACACTCGTCGAGTCTTGCGCCTCTTCGTCGCTCATTTCAAGGTTCATCGTATGCAGAATCCCCGTTGCAAAAATCACTTACACCCCCGCCATTGGAATTACACCGCAGTAGAGATAGCGACATGGAGCCGTTCCCCTCAATTGAACCATCTTTAGAGTCTGCATCGACGGTTTCTGGGAAAAACTTTCACATGTCAGCCAGCGGACTTTCGTCCTCGGTCACCTCCGATTCCAGTCCATTGAATCACCTACACAACCACGTGCGGCCGCAGCATCGATTTTCGAACCCGACACCATCGACGTTTCGACATCGCGATATTCAGATTTACTGTGCGAATTGCAATCGCGCTTGGCCACTGCAGGACTGTTATGCCTGTACTGAATGTATCTGCGGAGTATGCCGGGAATGTGTTGGCATGTTTATTAGCAGTCCGCCAATGTCGATGTCGCGCCCAATCAACAGCCCCAATAAGGCACCGACCAGCTATCCATCGCCACGGGGATGTCCGAAATGTCGCACAGTCGGAGGGAAATGGAAGGCTTTCCAACTGGAGTTTCGGTGATTGCCGTCACAAGAATTTATGATTATCACGATGCAATGAGATTACGCTCCGGACAGGAAACTAAGAAATTACGACGGTGCAGCAGGGGCAGCACATTGACGATACATATATACCATACCATACACGACTGGTTCACGGAAGTCATCGCAAGGAAGTCTCACGAATGGTTCTTAGGCGTTTTGGTTTAACATTGTTGGTCACTTGCCAATCAAAGTGAAGGGTAAGATGAAACTTGATTTATTTAATATTGCATTTACATATGAAAGCTGGTCTTATCATATCACAGTCGTTATCACATTTTTATCAGCCTACTGGTTGGTTTAGGTCTATGTTTATGTTAGGGTCTGCTGGGTGTACCGGTAAAGGTGGCTTTCTACTTTTTCCTTGTCTGTTCTGTCCAGTACATATCGAATGAACTTATCTTATTCTGTTTCGGCCAGATCAGTACTCTCTATCGGATCTAATCAGATCCCCAAATAACACTACTCAATCCGGCCTCAACATCTCCAACCTGCAAATTACCCACCAACTCCCCCAATTCCCCCGTCTCAACATCACGCTGCACAATTGCAACAGAAGAAGACTTTTGATTCCCCACAGCAACCAAGGAGCCATCCTCACTAATCACCAAAGTACGAGGATACGAACCAAACGAACTCGTCAAATTCTTCGCCACCAATCCTGTGGGATTAGGAGACGGATCAAGGAACGCAATGGAATCATCCGGCGCGAAACTCTGATCACCACGGACAGTCACATATACATTTGTACTGTTATTCGGAATCCGGATTTCGGCAACATACGATGTCGGGAGTTTTCCCGTCGGCGACGGGACGATTTCATTGCGTAGTTTGAGCGATAATCCGCATGTACAGTCGTCTTTATATGAAACGGAGTACGTGCTAACTGTATCCGCGAGTTCGTTGGTGATGTACAATCTGTTTCCCTCTTGGTTAAACACGCCGTGACGAGGTCCGTCTCCAGGCACGGTTTTGTGTGCTTCGCATTCTGTTAGCGTTCCGTCAGAGTCGTTGATTGCAAAAATACGGATTAGATCAGCCCCTAGGTCTGGGGAGAGGATGTATGAAGCTGTAGGATCGAGGAAAACGGAGTGTGGATGAGGTGCATCTTGACGATCCGGTACAGTGACGGGACCGGTTAGGGTAAATAAGAAGGTTTGCAGGGCGGTGGTGTCGTTTGTGAGTGGGAGAGGGAATGTAGAGACTGATGATCCTTCGCTATACAATCATTAGTTTTTATATTTCAATAAGGAGACAATAAGGGACGAACTAGTGAGCAATAGCAATAAACTTTTCCCCTTCCTCACCAGCCTCATAAATAACACTCGCAACACCACCCGCCAACGTGCCCGTCTCACTGACAACAGCCGGACGGCTCACATCCGAGATATCGAAACTCGTCAGCGAGCCATTTCCGGATGTCTGCGATGTCCCCGTTTCGTCAATGCAGTACAATAGATAGGCATCTGCGTCGAGTTCGAGCCAACTAGGCATTGAGCCGCATGCTGTTAGGGTAGATGCCAATGTAAGACTTGTCTCGGGATTAGGGTCTGTGGTGTTGTAGGTCAAGGTGTAGACATGTCCGTCGTAGTGGGAGACGTAGAGAGTTTTTGCGAGTGAGGTCGCTGAGAAGAGCAGGAGGGATGTGATTGTTTTCATTTTGATGTTTATGTTTATGTTTCAATTTGTTTCTTGTCAACTGATAGTTGTTGTGTTTCGCAGACCACGAGGGTAGACACGGTATTTAAATAGATCGACCTGAAGAATGCCATGATCTACATATCCCCTCAGTTCCTAACTTTCTAACGATAATCCCAGCCACATTTACATAAACTACTATCAGTGTACGATTTGATAGGATAATTCGGGTTGCATTTACTCTTGACGCCTTCCCACTTACCTACCTAAGGAATTGGGGCTATTTTGTCACCATTCAATGCAACGTGGTCTCTCAATTCGTTCAAGCTTAGTGCTTATGCGTTTCTATTTGAGTTTCAATCTAATCTATGTCTCTTGGTTCTTGGTTCTTGCATGGGTTTACAAGTATGTACTGCCGATGATTACCTGGTGTGAATGAATCAGTGGTATGTATAGTAGCATATAGTGTAGCAGGCTGATAAATGAATTTATCTTTGATTACGCATCTCGTGTTTTGTTACAATTTGTAAGACTTATGGTCTAGAGTTGTTTACTTAAATGAAAAAAAATACTCCGAGCCTTACCTAGATAGCCTTCGTGTCGCGCCGCGTGGGACGGGGCATATGCAACTGCTCAATTAAGGGCTGCTGAAGCCTGCAATCTGATTAGATAGTGCCTGTCTGTCGGTTACTGATAATAGTTTTGCTTTATAATAATCTCGAGTTTCTGGTGCTGGATAGAATCTAGAATCCATTGTATCTAGTAAGCTAGGGCATATCTTCAGATCCACTCCTATTCACCGGAATACGATGGCATGCAAACTGACGTATCACTAGAACGATCTCTGAAGAACTAAATCTCATAGTTCGAAAGATAGCGCCGAAATCTCGCGAGATACAACTAAATATAGCTGCCCTTGGTGTCTATGATATATGTTCTTCGAGTTATCATCCGGACTCGGCACGTTCCATAATTCCCGTTCTTGCAGGACATCGGAATCCCGAGCACAGCTTCTTGAACGGTATCTAGGAGAGTTTCCTCGGCTCCAGCCTCCATCGTCGTTTGGTGACTCGGCCAATTCTGCTGTGATGGGTTGTCGAATTTTGGGATCCGGAAAGTTTCCAAATGTACCTAGATACTGTAGACTTCTGGGGCCGACCCCTACTGGAGTTAATGTGTTGATGTCTTTCATAATCGAGATCTCCACTAGTTATAACAGTATGGGTTTCCTTGTCAGTTGAGTTATACTCTTTATCCACATGAAATAACTATAGTTCTATTATTAAGGCTGATTTTCTCCTAAAGACTTGAGACCGTGACTATAGTTTAGATTTAGCTCTTTTGTAAAAAGAACCATCCTTGGAAGGGCAGACTGTAAGAAACAGAATTTGTACCATTCTACCCAGGTACCGAAAGGGGATCGGGGCTTTCTATAAGTGTGTTTTGAATAGATTTTGAGCTGTTCCGTAGCTCATATCATACCTACACAGCCGGCTTGTTTCTATTATGATGTGAGCAATTTCCCTAACACATGTCCTCCAATTTCAGACCCAAGTGGACCACCCCTTCCCGATTCTTTTTCCGCACTCTACGATCATACTCATTTCTTGCTAGAGCAGTGACAACTAGGACGTCCAATTCTGACTGCCCCAATAGCATGAATTCTGAGAGAACGATCGTCCCTTTCTTATCGAATTCTGATGATGCGATCTCAAATTTCGCAAGCCATCTGCCAGTTGCCATATCAATTGCCTCAAGATCCTCGTTCTTTTTGTACTGATGTTTCCACTTCCATTTGATGCCGGGACCAGCAACCCAGTGAACATCTGCTTTTCGATCATGTAGCGTCATCTTGAACTCTCGGTCAGGGAAGCATAAACTGATATCGGTCGGTTCATCATCCATTGAGACAGTCCCTGCCATGTCTGTGGGTTTGCCCGATCCCGAAGAAGCATGGAGAATAGTGAGGTGCGGTTCGGTCAGTGACCGGTTGATAATGTATAGAGTGGTATTTGAATTTCCGTCCACGACTTTGAGGTTCTCGTGGCTCTGATGGTAGTATATATGCAGAGGCCTGAAGTCATTGTTATTCTTACGTATTTGGCGAGGTCCGCGTTACCATGTAGTTGCCAATCCCGAACTACTTTTGGGAATAGAGTACTTTTATAGCTGTTAGCATAGCCGCTGAAGTACGAACGACGTCAAAAATCGTGGTAATGTGGCACATTACATTCGCCACATGGCCAGTGCCGCCGATTGGGCTCATCGCACTGGAAAGTCACGATATTAATGTCCGTTTTAAGGCTATAAGTTAGTGAGTATTGGTGTAGTCTTCATTGAGCCAGAAGACATGTGTACTTTTCGCCTCGGGTGATTGACTTAAAAGTTGCAACAAGGTAACCCCTGGACTTGCTTCTAAGTTTCCAATCTCGAAATTAAAGTGATACCTACAAGATAAATGTGCTTTCAGAGATATCCACCTTCAGGCGCACGAAACATGATCGTAACTCCCTGTTACTTTATCAGGATACTTCCCCCACAGTCAATCCCCAGCGTTAGTCAAGAGACCACGCGAACAGACTGGCCAAATCACTTATATAAGCCACCAAGCATCTGGAGCGGAACTTACAGTTCTTGCATTTCCCAAATAATGAAACAAGGATGAGGGTCTACGTCCTAACCGCTGTGAAAGCTCTTACAGAAGAAGTAAACCTTGTCGATATGGTTGGGGATATGCCTAGTTCAAGGTTCGTTGCGCCTTTAGACCGGAGATATATAGCGCCTGGTAACTACGTATCTATACTTCGAAGATTCAGGCGACGCAATTGTGAGACATATATGGATGAGCACACCTGGGCAGAGTAAAAAGCTGACTATTCCCCTTCTGCTAATGATACCTTAGCACCTCCAATGTCTACACATGTGTACCAAATAGCTCAATCGCCTGGGTATTCGCATATCAAGTACCGTCAATAGCGAACTAAAGAATATATTACTGTAAATTATCGTCTTATTCGTAACGAATTCACAGATAACTCTCATAAACTGCTCCGTAGTTGTCTAAGATGATGTAGCTTGCGAACCTCCTCATCCAAACCCGGCACCGGGCCATCAACGACAAGACCAGGGGCAACCTGACCAATTGGTAACGGAGCAACAGGTCCAGATTTAACACCAAACTCTCTCCTCCATTGCACAAGCTGAGCAGATGAACTGACGTATACTATCCGTCCCAAGTCCGCATATGCATGAGCACTTGCGCACATTGGACAGTGCTCGCCAGAGGTATAGACTGTGGTCGTTGCGCGCTCTGTTGGTGATAAATGCTTCTGCGCCCAGATGACTAGTGTGAACTCTGGGTGCAATGTGATATCTTCTTCGGTCGTTACTCTGTTGCGGGCTTCTTGCAAGATCTCGCCCGCGGCATTTACCAGTATTGATCCGAATGGTGCGTCGCCTGCGTCGACAGCTTCGCGGGCTAGGTCCACGCAACGGCGCAAGTAATTGATGTCAGAGAGGGAAATCATAATTCTCTAGCCAGTGATTCTGTAGATGCTAGTAGTGTGATATGGACTATAGGATGCTCTGGAACGGACCGTAAATACGCAAAATCGGACGCCCAGTCTTAGGAAGACATATTCAACTCCGGATATGCGGAATCTGTTACAAACGGAAAATAAACTCCAGCACGTTATACCCGCCATCTGAGGTCGATTTATAATGTTTAAACTGATATCTGAGGCCAATCAGTGCGTCCCCTAGTCCGGATTTAGACCGATTATATAATTAGCTAGTGACTAAGTTTTGTACTATGAATATTCAGAAAATCTTCTCCTTGAAGAGAAATGCTATAGAAGCTTCTATCGGAACAATTTGTCGGCTCGGAAAGTCGTCTATAATTGATTTGTTGTCAATTGGAATCGCATCTGGTACTACTACGTACATGACTGGGGTAAAGCGGGAGAAACGGCAATAACGTCCTTCACCGCCTGATACCCAGGCCCACCTGATACCCGATTTTGCTTCAGAAAACCAAAAATCGCGACCTTTTTAAAGCGCGATAGATCAACCAATATGGACAAATACGAACTGGCACTTGAAGCTTTACGCTCCTTGGATCCAGAGGAAAGCCAATATTAGTTTAGTTGCAAGAACCTATGGCGTTGATCCTTCAAATCTCAACAAACGTTTTCGCAAGGTTACGGGCCCAAAATCCTACAATATGACAATCAACGAGTATTGAACGAAGGGCAATCTCAAGCACTTATAAGATGGATAAATCATCTTACTGAAAAAGGCCTTCCACCTACAAATACAATGCTGCGAAGTTTTGCAAACGATATATGTGGTAGAAAGCCTGGAAAGAACCGGCCTAACCGCTGGGTAAAGTTTTATTCAGTTCAGGTTATTTCTCGCTATTCTACAGGTCTCGACATGGACAGGAAAAAGGCAGATAAAGCATGGAAATATGCTTTATATTTTGAGCTTATTGGTCGGAAAATTGAGCAATACAATCTTGGCCCAGAACAAATCTATAACATGGATGAAAAAGGCTTCATGCTTGGGATAATATCAAAAGAGAAAAGAGTCTTTTCTCGGCGCAAATATGACCTAGGAGGCCACAAGAAATTTCTTCAGGATGGGGATCGAGAATGGATAACTACAATTGCTTGCATTTGTGCTAATGAAAAGGCTATATCACCTAGTCTAATCTTTATGGCAAAATCAGGCAAAATCCGGGATTCATGGCTTCAAGATTTCAATCCTACAGAACAAAGATGCTTTTTCGCTGCTTCAGAGTCAGGATGGACCAATAACGATATTGGATATATCCAATATCAATGGCTTGTTGATGTTTTTGATAAAGAGACAAAATCTCAAGCAAGCAGGGGATGGCGCCTCTTAATCCTTGATGGCCACAGTTCTCATGTCAATATGAGGTTTATCAACTATTGCGATAGTAAGGATATTATTAGCAATATTTCCGGCTCATGCAACTCATACGTTACAGCCTCTTGATGTCGCTTTATTCTCACCTCTTGCGAAAGCTTATTCGAATGAATTGAAGAAATTTTTAGAGGATTGTCAAGGATTGACACGGCTTACAAAACGTGACTTTTTTCGGCTTTTTTGGGCAGCTTGGCTCTTATCTTTTATACTTGACAATATCGAATCTGCCTTCGAAAATACAGGTTTATATCCTTTCAATCCGGAGCACGTTATCTACAAATTTACGGAAAAAGTCAAATCCCGGCCGTCCTCAAGTGGATCTTTAGCTTCTGTTATCCATCCTGAAGATTGGAACGTCTTTCAAAGATTGTAAAGGATGCCGTTAGTGATTTTCATGATAAAAAGTCACAAAAGCTGAACAATGAGATGTATCGAATTCAAGCCGAGAATTCTCTACTCAAAGCACAAGTTGAAGGCTTACAAAGGACTGTTATGAATCTCCAAAAGCGCCAGAAAAAGTCAAAACAATTATTGTTCGATTTACCTACAGAAGACGAAGGTGGTGCTGTCTTTTTTTTAGCCCTTCTAAGGTTCAACAAGCCCGAGATCTTCAACTTCAAAAAGACGAGAACGCCGCGCAAGAACAAGCTCGTAAAGATGATAAAAAGCTTCGACAAAGGCTTGCAAAGGAAGCCCGAGAGTTAGAAAAAACTGAAAAAGCTCAAATCCGGGAGAAAAAAGCGAGCACAACGCCAACGTGAAGCTGCAGAAAATGAACGCCAAAAAGAAGAGCAAAAACTTGCTAAGTTAGCTGATTTACAGCTCCAAAAAGATTTTTTCACTACTCCCATGCTCCGTACGAGTCGAACAAACCCGAATTCAAAGAAATCGAAGCCCAAACGCAGTGGTGAGGTCGAAGAGGAGGTTGTTGATGAGGTTATTGCTACAAATCGTAGAGGCCACTAGATTCGACTTCCCCACCGCTATCGCTAAATAAAATTTACACTGTCAAATTCTTTATATATGATTTACTAATATACTACAAAATTAGTTATATTTTATTGTTGTATGTGTTGTAAAAAGTCATAATATTTTATATGGTAACCTGTCAAAATTGGGCATCAGGTGGGTATCAGGCGGTGAAGGACGTTAGCGGGAACTATTGGTACAACAACGAATTATCTCAAAAGCAGAGGCATGAATGTCTGTTGCTCAGAAATTAGTTTCGTTAATAGTTGACAATGTCATTCTACAATGAATTATTCATCATTCTCACCAAGGAATCAGCGTAAGCCACAGGAGCCATGGAAGCATGTGGTAAAGCATTATCTACACAAATATCATCACCAACTATTTTCTTGATTATCAATCATGGAAGTTTATTTGAGAAAGCCATCGAATGAACGAATTTTCAAATTATGAAGCGGCCAGCTTTTCCAGCATATCCATGATATATAAAGAGGTCTAGGTAAGGATCAATTCTTTCCCAATTTCATAAACAGTGTCAAAGTACATTGCCAGTTCTTCAGTTCTGAAGGTTAATCAACCCCATAACAGATCAGCAAACAATTGATATACCCGCCCAATCAGCCCTATCTGATACAAATGGCTACAGTTTTAGTGACCGGCGCTTCCGGCTTTATCGCCGCACACGTCGTGGCAGCTTTCCTCCGCAATGGATACAACGTTCGAGGAACAGTTCGTTCCGAGAAATCTGCTGCAGAAGTGCGCCAAACGCATGCTGACTATGCCAGTCAATTGAGTATATCCATAGTGCCAGATATAGCAGCTCCCCATGCGTTCGACGAAGCCGTCAAGGGGGTCAATGGGGTATGTCAGTCCAGGAAGTAATAAATATACTGTTTTAACTGACCCATCTCAAATAGATTATCCATACAGCATCACCCTTTGTTCTGAATGCTAATGACTACGAAAAGGAGCTTTTCCAGCCTGCTATCCAAGGAACAACGTCGATTCTGAAAGCGGCCCAGGAACACAACCCGGATGTCCGCCGAGTTGTAATCACGGGATCTTTTGCGTCTGTCCTCGATCCATCCAAGGGTCTGCGACCTGGTTACGTTTATACTGAGGCCGATTGGAATCCCGTAACGGTTGAGGAAGCAGGGACAAATGGCAGCATTGCATACCTTGCATCGAAGACTTTTGCGGAGCAAGCAGCATGGAAATATGTCAAGGATAATAAGGTTAGAGAAGTTTAACCCTACCATCATGAATTCACGCTTTACTAATATAACAATAGCCAAATTTCAGTGTGACCACCCTGTTACCCCCCATGGTCTTCGGACCTGTCGTACATCACGTGAAGGACGTGGACTCCCTAAACACATCTTCTGCCGACATCTATCGCCTTATCAACGGTTCCGAGACTGAAGTCCCCGTAAATGCTTTCTGGGCTTTCGTTGATGTCCGCGACGGTAAGTCGCTGCATTAAATGATGCGTGGGGGATCACTATGCTAACAGCTTCCTTATAGTGGCTGCAGCTCACGTCCTAGCCTTTGAAAAGCCTGAGGCAGCCGGTCAGCGATATTTACTTTACACTTCACCATATAGCTACCAGCAGTTCTGTGATATTATCCGGGAGAAGTTTCCTCAACTTCGGGAAACGACACCGATGGGTACTCCTGGAGCTCCTATACCACCGGTTTACACATTGGACACGTCGAAGGCCGTTCAACAGCTTGGAATGAAATTTAGGCCTCTTGAGGAGACTATAGTTGACACGGTTGAGAGTTTTCTCAAGATATGATTGAATATGGATGGGGCTTTTTCCCCCTCCTCTTTTTACTCTTTTGTTAGATAACCCGGATATCCGGCGAGGCAGAAGCCTTGAACCTTCAAGGTTTACCCCTCATGATAGTGTCAGAAAGATCGTCTTGTTCTGTTGAAGATCTACTCCACGTTAGGGCAATACTTGGGCACCTACGTAGTACATCTCAGTCAATCAGAAGCCACCTTATCAGAGCTCAAAATTATCCTCATATTTACCCCTCATGACAGCTCACAAATCACTCCGCCAAAATGTCTATAAAACCCTTCTTAAAAACTCATGGATACACGGGAAGAGAGACAACGGAACATATATAGATCTTGCTAGTCACTTCTTTTCTTTTCATCCCAGTAAAAACCTCTTCAGGATTGGCCTGGAATAAACCTACCAATCCGACATCTTTCCCAAAATTTCCCATTCAGAACTGACTGTCTTTATGATTGTATATATGCTTATAGAGTGAACTGTTATTTGTAACATAATTACACAATGGTTATCTTGAATCTGATTGAAATACATAAAATAGGCTGAGGATGAGGATGGTACATATGAATGTATCTACCGGATCTAGGGCTTGTAGGCTTCCAAGGTTTTTATAAGGTTTCAAGAGACGAACATTGTACACTTTTGAAAATCTGTCAAAAAGGGTAACTATATGTTTCAGTATCTAACATTATTTCCTATGTTAGGTGATGCAAATTGTATTCAACTTATAGATTTGATTCCGAGGTATCCTTTTGTATTCGCCATTGTCTGTCACCTTCGCTTGCTCCAGAGGTACCAATTGATGACTGCCTTGCTTTGATATATCTGCTCTGACCATGCCCATATAATGAGCGGCTATCAACCCGCCCATACTCTACGAAACTCTCCATCAAGCCTTTTTCAGACCGAATCCTACCTTGAGCACGCGGGTAACGAATAAGCACCCCCCTCCAGCGAGTATGAAAATTCCTGAAAAAGTTAGAGTACCCCAGAAAACGTCGTGTCCAGCAGTCCTCTGATGATCCAAAATCGCACCTGCTACGGGACTACCGATCAACATTCCCAACCCCGAGGTAAACAGGGTCATTCCGATATTTGTACCGGGATCATGACCGAGAGGTTGCCAATTTTGTCGGCGATGATGGACGGTAAGATTCGACCTGGGACTGAGCCCGCGTTCATAATGACCAACATATAGAAGGATAAGTCTGTTGAGATACCGAGGTTGAGTGCATATTGTTCCACATAGTAGAACGGGATGTAGAGACCGATGAAAATGAAGAATACTACGATCAACCAAATAACAAATATAGGATCCCTGAGAACTTCGGTATTGACCAGCGGCCCCGATTTTCGAGGAGGGAGGCGAGGTTTCATCTCCACAATCGACACGAGAAGAGTTCCTAGCATGATAAAAGCCATAGTTCGAACCGCCCACGGAAATCCAATCTGGACAATAAGACGTCTCAATACGATTGGGTATATGATACCTCCGACGCTCGAACCAGTTGCTGCTAGGCCTAACGCGGTCGATCGATGTGTTGAAAAGTACGTGCCGACAATCGCAACGCTTGGGATGAAGGTCATTCCGGTACCAATGCCAACAACCAAGCCCTGTGCCAAAACCAACTGCCAGTACTCCTTGCAAATTGACACCACTGTTTTGTGTCAGTCTCTCCTTGCTATGATTTTTATGTTTTTTTGGAGGAGGAAACAAACTCATCATGCCAAACACCTCGAGGAAAACACCTAGGACTATATCCACGTAAAAATAACCTGCATCAAGGGCACGTCCGCACAGGATTCCAACCACCAGCATCAGAAATGACTGCAACGAACCAATCCAGGCAATTGAGGACTGCGATGAGTTCCTCAGCAGACCTGCGCTGTATTCGGACTGGAACAATCCGAAAGTGTTTTTTAAAAGACCCCAGGTGTTGAAGTTGAGGAAAAACGCGCCGAGGACTTGAAGCCATGCTCTTGTACCTCCGTTTGGAGGAGGAGGCACGTTTACTCCCGTCGTTTGAGGCGTTGCTGCCGTTATTTCTGTTTTGGTTTTGCTGCTGGCGCTCTGTGTTTCTGATTCGGCCTCTTTTTCGATCGTTAAAGACGGCTGGAGTGTTGCCATTTTCCTTTTTAGTGGATGGAATGAACGATGAAATTGACTCAATATCAAGAAGGACTTGATGCCTAGGTGTCTGGATCCTTATATGCCCGTAGCAGATTCGGAAGTTCCGATTCTCTCAGTGATGATTCACTTTGTAAATGAGTAACACATCGACCAAAAAAATAATCAAATAGTACACAATCACCCTATGAGCTATAAAGCAGACGTTGGGTAGGACTCAATTTCATGTTTGAGCCGATAATCCTAATTAGGAAATACGGATGCGGACTTTAATTTCCCGAAATGGAAGGAATTAGGGCTAGGGTGACTAAATCGCCTCCTGATTTTGCCGGAGTTATATCGTTGGATTGGGAAAGGCCCTGAACTATTAGTGGTGATATTTTTTCATTATTCCATTTAATGCTTCTTTATTTGTATTTATATTTTTTATTTAATTTTTTTTTATCTTTATCACCCCAAGATGTGATGATATAAGGAAGGGTTCTGCTCCACGAAACGGTCCTACATAGAACCTCGAAAGAGAAAGGAATAGATATTGTGAGAAGTCTAGAATATACGATTTTATCTAGACTGATCTTTAGTTCGGGCTCCTCCGCTTTTATTTTTACCAAAAAATCACTCTGGATTACTAACAAATAATTGCAGATTGTTTAATCTCGGTTATGATTCTCGGGTTGCGTCTAAAGAATAATAACCCGGGTCGAATAGCCTGATACGAGAGAGTAGAACTAAGCGAGAGACATCCTACCTCACATAGGGCACGTATGATAGGACTCGACTTGTCAAGTTCTAAATGGGAGATGTTCTTCCGATGCAGATCTGATCCGTTTCCAGGTCATTATGTATGTCTTAGTACTAGTAGCGTTTCAAGGACACTCCTAATTGCAGCACTTACCTTCAAAGAACAATTCTGCATCAGTGCTCTCCGCTCAAAAAACCGTCGAACCAGCAAGCCAGGTTCTAGGTATCTGCTATACCAGGAATATTGTGACGGCTGGGCATGGCTCTGCGTTCCCGTCTCAGTTCACGGATAGGGCTAGGAGCCGTGTAACCCTATCCGCGCCGTATTGGGAAGTGATATCAACATCAGACGTCGGAACTGGATAGGGAAAGGCGCCCTGCACAGAGATTTACATGAGAAGCGAGAACCAGACCTTTTACTTCATTTCTTCCTTTTTCCCCTTTATGCTTAATATTACCTGTCGATAGGCACCTCTTGTACGAGATAGCTAGCTAGGATAGCGTACTCAACCAAGCAGATTTGGCAACGCCACATAACGGAAGAGAACGGGCTGGCACCGTGACAATTCCCACCATTTTTTTAAGGTAGTCAGCTAGGGAATATAATCACTATGTCAGCTCCAGAATACTAGTTCTATTGCTCTAAGCCGGCGTAGGTCATTCTACCAACAACAACTCCTTGACTGGGCAGGTGGACTCTTATCTGCTTTTTTTTTCCCCGAGAGATCACAGATCAACAAAGTCTGAACATCGTATCGCAACACAGACAAAAAAATTTTATTATTATAATTTAAGGCTAAAGATTCAGGTTCAAGAAGGAATTTTGAACCCTCCAGGAACCAGACGTTGAAATACGTTGTTAGGATCAACTTCCGCTTTCAGCTTCTGTAGACGACTTACGCTCGCTGGGCCATAGCCCGCAATGACGTCCTGCCACGGCGCTGCATAGTTCAGATAGATGTACGGGTCGTAGGCGCCGAGCTTCTTGGCTTCGTTCTCTATGGTGTCCATCAGCTCGCGCGCCAGGGCGTATATCTGCTCGTTCTGCGATGGGTCGGTCCAGGATGGCGAGACCAGACACACGGCGAGCGACTGGGTGTTGCCGGCAAGTCCTAGGGCGTTTTCGGTAGCTCCACGTGCGTAGATCTGCGGTGGGAGGGGCTCTATGATTACGGTCCAAGTCACCCCTGTAAGGTTCCGGAGTGATGCTACGCTGTTATTGTATGCGTTGAAAGTGGCCAAGAGCATTTCTTTCGTAGGTACATATGTAGTTGTTGCAGTGAGGTATCTATTTCGAGTCAGTGAGAAGAGCCAATACTTTCGTTTTTTGGATAAAGCAGAGGACAGGAGAGAGATGGATCTGCATACTGCTGAACTTGTGGCGGCTGTGCAGCGGCCCCTGCCACAGCGATCGTCGACATATTAACAACTGCAACCTCGAGAGGAGCTAAGTTTGGCAGATTCACAATATCCTGGTAGTACTCTGGGGTGCTGTTACCTTGCGGCTTTGTGTAAGCAAGCTGGTTCAAGGTGATAGGGACAGTCTGGTTCAGCGGCTGCGAGATGCCCCAACCGAACAGGTAAGACGCATTCTCATCGTAGTTCTGTGGCTGCATGATTTGAGAGTAGATGCTGACCTGGTCATTGACTGAGGCAAGAGTATTATCAGTCGTAGTCGTCCACAAGGGGCCTTGCTCGAAGGCCGCCAGAGTAACACCAGTAACGACACCGAAGTTGTTCGATCCACCGCGCAGCCCCCACCAGAGATCTGCATTGTGGCTCTCACTGGCTTCCACGATAGAGCCGTTGGCGAGCACGACCTGATACGAGAGTGCTTGGTTGCAAGCCCAACCATAGCGAGGACCAAAAAAGGAAATGCCTCCACCGAGAGTCAGTCCTCCCACACCTACTCCTGCCACGCGGCCACCAACAGCACTAAGACCGTAGGCCTCTAATGTCGAATATACGACATCCCAGGTCGTGCCTACGCCTATAGACACGCTCGAGTTCTGGGTGTGGACCTCGATCGAGTCGAGACCGCGCAGATCAATGGTCACGCCCGAGGGCGCACTCGAAGCGCCGGGGAACCAAGTGTGTCCTCCGGATCGAATGGCGAAGATACACGAGCCGCTCTGGGCCAGAGATGAGACGATTTTGGACACATCTGTTGAGCTTTGCGGCGTGACAAAACACAACGGGTGGACTGAGGATGCCTGGGGCGAGAAATACGACGATAGTGATGCGTTGTATCCCGAGCTGCCTGGGAGCAAGACGTTCTTGGCGCCGAGAAGAGCAATCAAGCTCTCACACTGTATCCACTCACAAAGTTAGCCAAAGAGAGGGATATCGATCAGACAGAATTGGGGAAAAGAAAAGAAAAGGGAGGGGGATCGTTACGCATAGTTGACGGAGACTGAGACGATTGGCCATGTTTGCCTTCTTGTTAGGGAAAGCAGCAGAGAGAGACACGAGAGGAGAAGGTTGCAGACGACAGCCCAGAGGGTGGGATCAAACCTTGCTCGTGGATCTCGGAAGTCTACTCATGCATCGACGGGGGAGGGGCTCTTTATATCCCAAAGCTACGGATAGCCAGCAATCACTTTTCCCGCTTTTTAGCTTGCGTTCTTTTGGGTTCTGCGCCGCCCGACCACGCGGTGGCGTGCGTATGTGTAGCTAGCTTGGGGGTGGCTATATTGATAGCTATATTGATGGTTAGATATCAAAAATCCAGCTCCAGAGCACAAATCAGGAGGTTTGCTAGCCCTGATATTAGGAAGGCGGTGGCCTAGGGTTGCTTGACCGCTTACAGGATTGCTATCCCTGTACGGCCCCATTGAACTAACAAAATTACCGGGGATCGTCATATACTATGTAGTAGATGGACAGATGGATGTGCACCACTATGTGGGAAGACAAGATGCGAGGGGGTTCATATGACTCCGCTTTTTTCTTCCACGCGATCGCCACGACAACCACGTGGGGCGGAAACACATATTTCCGTTGGAACTTACTTTTTGAAATAACTCCACAACCATGACAATTATATTAGTTTACTGCTTGTAATGAGATCTATCGATTGATATAGGTTTTATATTATCAATTCGATGGCGCCGCCTGTAACGTAATTCACCACCGAAGCGGCACCACTACCGAGCCGGCATTTTTTCCCGAGCGCGTACGCGATATTGATTTCAAATCCCAATTTTCAAAGCCACATACAAATTATATACAAAAATCTAACTACTAATACGACTAGGGCATTGGTTAATTCTATGCCCCATAACGTTACAACCACTGCAGCGATATTGGCGGCGTACGACTGCTTGAGAAGCTGGGAGCTCCGGCTCAGCCGGAGTAGTAGTAACAGCATGGGATGCCTCAACCTGACCTTGTACGAGCGCTTGCACTTCTTCTTTAGTAACCCCTTGCTCAATAGATATTTGCTTTTTAGATTTTTGGCGCTTTTGCTTCTCTTTCTCATGTGCAGCTCGTAAATCGTAGTTCTCTTTCCGTACGAGTAAAACATCATTCGCTATCATTTCGTAGGCTTTTGACAACCGTACAACTGCCTGATTGATTTCTTGATTTTGGTTGCTTTCTGTACGCTCATTTATACGTTTATTGATTGTAGTCGACTGGCGTATAAATTGGCGTATATTTTGAGGTGTTTGTAAGCAGGATGATGCCGTATTGCTTGATCGACTTGGAGGGGGGGTTGGTGTCTTCAATCGAATATTAAGCTGTTGTATAACTCGATCTGGATTGAAAGGCACTAATCCAGTGGCTGCGAAGCTATTCCGAATAGTTTGAGCTTTATATGCCACTGTACGAGCCTGTGGAAATGCTGTTAAGAAGTCCATTTTATCAATATGATTGAAACCAAGCCTCATTCGTTGCTCAACAAGCTGCCCATAATGTCGCTTTAAAACAGCAAAACAGCCAACATCAAGAGGCTGTAAGAGATGCGAAGAATGAGGTGGCATACAGACTGGAATAATATTATTCTCAGTACATATATGGTCAAATTCTGGTGTCAAATGGCTTCCATGGCCATCAAGAATCAACATTCGATATTTTCCAACCGTACGACCATTAATATAGGGAATAAAATGGGTTTTAAGCCATTCTAATCCTATCTGATCTGTAGTCCAGCCATTATCGCTAATATTGATTCGCCAATCATCTGGAAGATCATCAAACCAGCCTTCTCGTACGTTTTTCTTTGCTTTGAAAATCACGTACGAAGGCACATCCCATCCAGTTGAATTTGTTGCCTCAATTGCAGTCACCCATTCTCGATTTCCAGGCTGTAAAAGCTTCGGCTGAGCATATCGATCGCTTCCAGTAATAACCTTTGCAGTTGCACAGAGTCCCATAGCAAAGCCAGTCTCATCAAAGTTGAATATATCTTCCGGTAAGATGCCGTACTCAGATATAGCAGCTTGTACGCGATCAAAATGTTCTTGTATTATCTTTGGATCTTCGCATTTAGCACGTTCGTAGTTGTATTTCCTTGCGAATTTGGAATCGATCTCTGGACGGCGTTTAATCAGTTTAGTTATCCAATTTTTTCCAACTTGTGGTTTGCCATGTTGTGAAAGTATATAATTAGCCATTTCTCGTACAAGAGAATGCCGGGGGGGTAATCCACGTCGATCTAAATCAAGCACCCATTTGACAAGCGATTCCTCTTCATATTGAGTCAATTTATGGCTGTTGGCGCGTACGAGAGATCTTTGTTGAATACCATTGAGTCTATCTTGTAAAGTTGTCCGGGGGATCTCGTAAATCCTTGCAGCTTGAGCTACACGTTGAATTCGGCCATTCTGTAAATCAGAAATTGCTAATAAGATTCGTCCCTCTTGCTCATCTAAATTTTTCCGGTTTTTATTGCGAATTGGTGGCATATTGACGTGTTGAATAATATAAAATCAATATCGTGTACGCGCTCGGGAAAAAATGCCGGCTCGGTAGTGGTGCCGCTTCGGTGGTGAATTACGTTAGTCGCGTGGCTGGCTATGTCAGCTGCGTTAGAGGCGCGCAATCTACCTGAACAGATTCTGAATAGGCTTTGTTGGTAGAAAGTCCTACGCAGGCTTAAAGCAATAGAAGTAGTATTCTGGGGAGCTGACAAGCGATTATATTCCTTGACTGACTACCTCACAAAAAAGGTGGGAATGTGTCTCTTTATTGAAGAAATGCGTCTGAGGGTTAGGGTTAGGGTTAATACACTAGGTTTGTGATACGAAAGCTTATTATTCAACTTGGCCTGCAACAGGCTTAAATACGCGATCTGCTGCAAAGGGAAGTAAATCAGCAACGTGACCGCGGGACGGGAAGGGACAGAACCTTGCCTGGGGCTCTTAGGGTTCGTTACAAATAGCTATTTAAGTTAGGGTTATATCTAACCTTTTTTCTACTAATCGGCATCCTGGGTTTTGTGGATCCTAATTCAAGTCAGCCTGTATATTAACTTCATGGAGTCTGTGGCGTGCGCTGGAGCCCCTCGCATAGCGGAGCGCGTAGATAAGCCTGCTAGATCGAGTATGAATACTACCACTACTACTACTACAGGTTTGCCTTCAAATTAGAGGTATTTGACCTAATGAGGTTCATGGCATGGTTAAAAATGAAGCTGAAAAATACGTTGAGAATAGGACGCATCAAGGAAGCGTGGGGGTTGCCGTAACCCTAATCCTAAGACTTGTACTACCACGACCATCACGAGAGGAAGTCAATAATGCCATGTGCTCAGAGACCCTTTTCGTACCAGATCTTCCACGGCGCCATGCTTCTTTTTATAGATGCAGGCAGATAGTCGGGTACAACCGGTTGTGGATCCCAAAGCGCCGGGATTGGAGTAGATTGCAGGATTCCCCGTTTTCTTACACGAGCCTCGAATGAGATGAGATAGCTCCAAGGAGTTCCCTGCATCAATCGAAAAGGAAGTTTTGTCCGTTCACTTTCGTGCTTATTTATTCAGGACGTACTGTTTTTAGCTAGTTCAATGTTGTATCATACAGCTTGCTCTACCCGACTCTGAGTACTGCTCGATTTGGAGTGGTGGTCCATTTCTGACGTGTCATCCCGTATCGTCGTCTGCGTCTCGAGCAACATAGTATCCGTCAGCTCGTAGTAGTTATTCCGTCTGGGCGGCTGGTTTGAGCCGAAGGTGATCACGTCCTTCGAGGGCGCCGAGGCGTTGCGCGTGCGGCCACTTCCGCTCAGCAGCCGGGACCGTAGAGACTTTATGAACGTAGAGCCGCGCACGTAGACGGTCACGAATTGGGCAAAGGAGGGCATACAACCAACGATAAGCGCTATATTAGTTTCGATGATTCTATGTGACGGCACGTCAGTTCGCGCTATTCGCAAGAGGCAATAAGAGATGGTGAAAGACATACGTGCACATGGTGGCTTGAGCACCTAGCCAACTAGAGTCCGCCGACGACATCAGTCTGATCTTGATGATAAGTGACGCTATGCTAGCGCCAACTCCGCTAGAGAGAAGATATCTTAGCCCAGTTGTTTTTCCAAGACCAATGGCGGGCAGTACTCACAGAAGAGCCGTAGAAAAGATGCCGAGAAGTTGCAAGCGTTGTCTAGGCATCATTTGGAGCTTCAGGAGAATCGGCAGAGGCAGAATGAAGATATAAATATCCAGCGCGGTTGAAATAGCACTCTGCACAGCTCCACCGAGGGCAAGCCGCGGTGCATTGGCCTTCAAGTTTTCCAGCAACGAATTCCATGAGTGGCCTGGCCTCGGAGCTGCGTAGATGGCTGCCAGCGGGAACTCTGACAGATACAGGAGCAGCGTGACGAGGATACTAAGGTTTATAGCGAGCTTGAAGCGCATCTCTATCGCGAAGAGCTGGCTGTACAAGAGCAGGATGGCAGCCTTGGTGAAGAAGAATACCGGGCCGAAGAACATGGTCTGGACAAACAGGATCTTGAGCGACTCGCCGTTGAAATCACAGACCGGAGTGTCCCATATATGGCGGTAGGAATCTGGCCCTGCAAAACGTCCAGAGTGAGAAGAGCGATCACTAGATGGGAAGTGAGGGGCTCTTACGAGCAAGTACAAGGCCCGTATACGTAATATTGATTAAACAACCAATAAATGTCATATCTATAAAGTTTCAATCAATTGTTTCTTAACTCATTTTCCAGGATGTGCACAAAGAATAATAGATTATCAGCAAAGAGAACATGTTGGTGAACACCTACAATCTGCGATCCTTAACTTTTTCCGATTGACGCAAAGGCGCCCCAACACAAAGATCGTCGAGAAGGCACCCAAAACTACACTGATGACCAGAAGAGCTGGGAAGAGCGATGGCGGGCTGATGAAATTGTATACGCCATCTGGTGAGACTCCCGCTGGTAAGGCGCAAAGATCTGTTGGTGCCGCTGAAGAAGCCATAGTTGCGGGAAAAGAGGAGCGCCGGTAAGTCAGTTCATTGGTTGTTGATAGACATCAAGAAGAACGCGCCTCTCTCTATCTCTTTTTCTTCTCTTGAGAGATCTTACTCTGGTTACATACGCTCTGACTACCGGTATGCGGGGGAGTAAGATTGAAATGGGGGAATATGTATTGGGGGAGAGACCAAGTACCGAGTCTCCCGCTTTACTTTGGGTGTCACCTTTTCAGTTTGGAAAAAGAGCTGGAGGGAGGGTAGACGTTGGCCGGGGGAGTATGCGTCTCTTCTTTTGTGAGACTGGAAGACTTTGGGGGCCAGAACTGTAGGTGGTTAAGCCGCAGGGGTGTGGTGGTGGTGGTGCATGTCTGTAAATTCTATGTTATCATCATGCTGATAGGGAGGAATCGCTGCTTCCAGTCTTCTGCTCACACACTCCCCATTGGACAGTTCGGCCTCAAAATTGTACTTTGCATGGCAATCCCTACAGTATATAACTGCGTCTTCTTTCATCCCACCCACACGTCTTTGTCACCAACAATCAAATGATGCGATGCCTTCGCCCTAATGCAGATCACTCCTTTGGTCCGGTTTTTCAGTTGGATCATCGATCTTTTCCTTTTATTTTGGTCTCTCATTTTCTCCAGAGAAGACTCTTTAACCAGATTTGGAGACACTGCGACACTGGTGTCTAGAACCTGCCCACCACTGGCTGGTGGTCTTTCTTGGATTAATCTGTAGGGCGGAGAATTGTTTACAATTTGCGGGACTGTAATGTATTTGGCTTTCAAGGACATGACTTTTGCTGGGAAGCACCATTCAACGGTACTAAGAGAACCTCCAGCGAAAGAGGAATACGAACATACGCCACATAAACTGGCGGACTTTGCCAAGAGGACAATAATGAAGATGCTCACCGAAGTACAGTAGCAAGCGAAATATCCCTGTATCATCTTCTTCTTTTGACGGTTCACCCAACTGGCATCGACCATGATGCACCCAGGGTTCGCCAGTGACGCCTTGCAGACACAAAACATGCACTGCTTAGCCCCTTCAGATTTTGCACATTACACAACCTCGCATTCGATGTGCAACCCCGACAGTCATCCGTTTCGCCGTGTGGATAGCTGGCTGATCCCCTTGTTCAGTTGCCAGGGATCAACCGTTTTCGACGCCCCGGTTGAGAGTGTAACATTAAGAGGCCCCTCTTCGCGGGCGATGCGAAAGCACCCGAATCTTCTCCGCAGCAGTATTACCACATCAAAAGCAAATTTACTTGCACCGTCTTAACATATTGCAAATCGATCTTTCATGATAGGAGCGCAAAATTACCTATTTCAGCACGCCAAGTTTTACTTTTCGACACCAACTATCATACCCTATGGCCAAATTTGTCATTCAAGATTCCCTTCTTAGAAACAGGAGAATATTAAATAGGAAACTGAAGGAAGTTATGTACCGAATGACTCTAGTTAGTGTGAATTATTCAAGAGCAAGCTACGTAGGCCATACGACTTTATCTCAAAGTCGAACGAGCCCATCCAGCCTACTCTACGCTGGTGTCTCTCTCCTCCTGATCTTAATGCAAGCCTTCATCGGCGGGAGGCGGAAATCGCCATACCACGGCCCCTCTACCTTTGCAGTCTGTCTTTCAAAATCATATTTCAAAATAGCATCAGCAAGAATGAGTTTCAGCATGGTAGCGGCAAAGTGTCTGCCTGTACAGGCGTGCTTCCCGTGGCCAAAGACGAGAAAGTCAGGACTGGTGGCTGTGAAATTATTGGGGATGCGCTTCATGTTTATATTATTACTCTCTTGTTCTTTTTCTTCTCCTTCACTTCGTTGCTGTTGATGTTGTTTACTGCGCAGTTCGGAAAACCGAAAAGGCATAAATGTATTAGCGTCAGCGTATATGCTGTCGTCCCGCATGACGGGGTAGACTGGTACAGAGATGTGCGTGCCTTTGGGAAGATGCACGCCAGACGGCGTAGTCAGCCCGTTCTCAGCGAGTACAACACGTCTGAGACCCACGGCGAGGACTGAGTTCAACCGCGCACTCTCGCGCATGGCAGAGTCCAGCTTCTCGAGCTCAGCAACCGCCCGCTTGTTCCACTGCCCGCCATGTGCGGCAAGTACTGATGTGATCTCTTCGCGCAGCTCGTCGAGGACCTTGGGTTCACACGCTGCGAGGTCGAACATAGCCCATGTCGCGAAGAGAGACGATGTATGTAGGGCTGCAAAGTTGAGGATCAGCAGACGATCTGCCAATGTCTCGCTCCGCCACATGTATGGGTCACCAAATGCCTTTGCCTGCTGGATTGCCCACTGGAGGAAATCATTAGGCTCCGGACCAATCGATTTATCCTCAGGATTTGCTCGACGTGCATCGTAGTCGCGCAATCGTTTTTCAATCTCTGCTAAGACGATCTTCCGGAACCGTCGCGTATGGATACGGTTCGGGATGGTGACGAAAGGGGCGATGAAGGGCCGTAATGGCTCCCAGAAAAGATTTAGAATCGAGGCGCTGAAGGGCACATCTATAGCAAAAGCCATGCCATTATTCACTAACCCAGGGTCCCGACAATATGGAGCACCAACAACAGCGCGATTCGCGACACTACCGACGATATGGCGCACCGTTTCGAAGACGCATACCTCCTTCCACTTGGACGTGTTGATACCCCAGTACTCATCAAAAGCCCAATTTACCTCATCTGATAGAGCAGGTATCAGAATACCAACCTGAGGCGTCATAGTCGTTCGGATAATTGTATCATACCGCGCCGCTCTATTTATCCTCGGGTTCATGAACGTGTGATCAGTCTGATAGATCTGGGCGGCGCGCTCCTTGAAGCTGAGTACAGAAACTGGCTGTTCGGTGACAAACTCTATCTCAGAATACGGCAGCATGACGCTGTCACCTCCGCTAACGACAGGGAGAATGACGGCGCTGTCGCGATACTGCGTGTAGGCCTGTTCCATGGCAGCCTTGAAGTTCAACGTGTTGCGCCATTTCGCTTGAAAGATGGGGAACAAGTCGTTCTTGCGCGCCCCGATGACGGGAATGTTAGGGAGACGACGGCAATGCTTGATGAACGAAACCAGAGAATAGATGATACAAGAGCACAGAAGTAGGGCAACAGGGCTGATAAGAAACTCAGAGAGCATGTTGAGTGGGAGAGGCACCAAGAAGAAAATGAAAAGGAAAAGGATCAGATGTCAGCAACGAAGCTGTGAGAAAATGACGACGTTACGCACCAGACGGGCTGTTACTCAGGAATAGTCAGCCGCAAAAGCTCCAAGCTGGAGCTGAACCAGCTAACAAGTGTAGATCTCGGTGCCGAGACTTTACAAGTGCCAATCTGAGAAGCTAAACGGATGAGGTTGCCATTGATGCAGGATTTCTGGCGGATATAACCCTGACTCGGATATTGGAAAGCGTATCTGCCAGTAAATGGGAATAGGGTCAATATCGCATTGGTCTTCACCGAGTGACCCAGTTGTCTTTGCCTGCTTTCCACTATCTGCTGTGGAACAGCTCGTTGCATGCCTGACCCCTCATTTTAAATGGCCACCGCACTGCAGTAGGCTTACTCAGCCATATATTCCATGTAGAATGTTACATAGAGGCTTCATAGCGGGTGATTTTATAATAATATATTTAAAATTATCTAATCACCCTTGAATTAGCCATAACCGATACTGTTGGTTGGCTTGCAGCTAACACCCTAAGGTAGCCACCCAGAAACACTCCCAAGTTGTGCTCAGTCCACAGTTACAGCTACCAGGGGGTGGGGTGGGTGCTCTGAAACCTTGGATCTTTTGCGTAGATGGCTGAGGACGCTAAGCTAGATATAGAAGATAATCAAGATATATGGAGGTAGAGGCATGTTTACAATGTTTTTATCCTACTACTAGATGATTTTGCCCTTGACAATATAGTATTTATGTAGTAAACGACTTTCTGGCTATATACCTAACTATAAGAAGCCCCTGTTACTAGTCCTACTTGATCTAGAAGTATCGAAAATGCATTGGCATGTATCAGTAGCAGATGTAGTTCTTTTATCACTGTGATACTAAAGTCCTCGATGGGACTTTTGAGTGACAATTAAAAGTTTGATATTAATTAAACCACTTGACTCGGCCTGAACGGATGACGCGTTCCCAAGTGCAATGAACTACCCTCGAGCCTTCCTTGAATCCCACCCTCACTCCCAGGCAGCTAGGACAGTCTCTCCCTCTTTCAGTTGTGTATAACGTACACTTTCTTTCCACACAAGCTCTCTCTTCTGGGCATCCCTCGACTCCTCGCTCGTTTCCAGCGGCTCATCACCATTGAAATACAGATCCTTAGGGTACTGGCCTAGGACCTCATTTGAATCGAAAGCCGCCTGCAAGATATGTGATGCTGACTTCTGGGTTGGGCGCAAGGGCGGCTTTGACATCAAGAGCAATGTAAGAGGTAATACGATCTGGAATAGCAGCACGCGGATGAACCACGATGCATGACGCTGTAAGCCAGTACTCATGGCGCCTGGGTCGACTCCCAAGATGCACACGCTCTTTAACTGAGGATCTGTGTTCATGCGGTGCTGGAGCTCGTGCATCATCATAGTCAAGCAGAGCTTGGCCGCACCGTAACGACGGAATCCGCTGCGCCAGGTCGTGTCCTCTATCGCAGAACTCCATTTTCCCTTGGCAATTGCTTCAAAATTATCTTTGTCGCGGATCATAGGGTTGTATTTGTCGTCGATGAAAGCTTTGCTGGAGTCATTCCGCTTGTCATTAGGACTGAGTTGGGGAAAAGACTCCTGTCAGCCTATTCCTCAAAGCATCTGAGGGAGGCCAGGAAATGCTTACTCATGAGCCTGACTGCCGACTATCACGATTCTGCCGGCATCCCTATCGATGCTCTTCAGCAAGAGTAGCGTCAAGAGCCAGTGTCCCAGATAATTGACGCTGAACGTGGTATCGAATCCATCCTTCGTCCAGGTCTGTTTACCGAAATCCTGGAATCCAGCATTGAGGACCAGAGCTCTTATCTGGGGAATCTTACCCTCTGAAACTCGCAGGTTGATAGCTTCAGCAGCTTTGCGGACACTATCGAGATCGGTTAGGTCTATCGAGAGAGCTTCGTGAGGATGCTTTGAGCTAGTGGCGAGCACGGAATCGAGCGCAGGCGCATACGCCGCATCTCGGACAAGGTAGAGGCCATAGTATGCTGAGAACTCGGGCTTGGAAACAATCTCCTTTGTGATAGCACTTCCAAGACCGCCGTTGGCGCCCGTGACGATGATGGTACCTTTGGCAGTAGTTGATTCCATCTTGTGCGGCACGGGACCTCTGATGTCTAGCTATCCTGCCTCCAGATTTATATGGGATGGCGACGTATTACTGAATTTGGTTAGTGTCCATGTAATGTGACTATTTTTAACTTAATTTGTATTCTAATGCCCTAGATCCCCAACAACTCCCTATTTTACTATGGTGAACCCTGGTGGCTTTGTTCGTTCATTTTTCCCCACCGCATTAGACAGGGATGATACAATTAGCTGTATTTTATTGCGCCAGTCTTAGGCTATAGCTTTCTCTATTTTTAACACACCTTACCTATAATGGTAGGGACTATTTTTTTAAGAAGCTGCTTTACTTTTATGGGAAGGTGGGTCAGTCCCACCACACTAACAAAACCACCGGGATCGACCATAGTAAATATGCAGGGCGCCGCTAGCGTGGATAGTACCTAATTGGGGGCGGCACTAACCAAATCCAGACCGGGAAGCATGACCTGGCTGAGCTCGATGACGGAAAATTAGGCCTGTGTGTTCCACACTGCGGTGTAACTGTAACACAATGTGTTGTTACTACATAGTAATTTGCCCTAGTGGCACGGAGCGTATATATGACAGGTGCGGGGCGGTGGGGTAACAGTAATGGGGCGGGAAGGGAAGGGCCGATGATATGACACCAGCACATCATATTATTAGCTCTACATCATTCTGCCGGTATAGTTACTGTATAGAGTATAGAGTACCTGAGACTCACTGCTTAGAGTCCAAGATTGATAGATTAGTTAGGCTGGATGGAGTTTTCCTGTGCTGTGCTAATGTTTGCAGGTATTCACAACCAGAGAACCGATACTGATACTAATACGAAAACTAATACTAGGAATACTTGTTTGGATTGTGGGCCCATGCAGCAATCATAGTAAGTGTATCTCGCATGTGAAGATCGATCACAGCGAGCTTCTTCAGAGGAATCCCAAGTAGTGGGTTGACGAGTTCCAGAACAAAACTGCAATCTAGCTATCTTTCCTCCTCAGCGAGAGTCGGACATTGAAATCATGTCCCTTCTTAATCGACATGATACCCAACACCGGTCTTCCCTCGTCTGCCGCAGGCAGCTTCGGACTGCCCACCATCTCCACATCGAAGCGCTGCAACAACATCGCCACAAAGGTCGTCGCCGAGAAACGCGCCAGGTAGCGGCCGCTGCACATGGTCTGGCCGCCACCAAACGGCCGCCACGACGGGCTGCGTTCTAGATTCTCCTTCTGCTGCCATCGCTCGGGCCGAAACGTGTGCGGCTCCGCACCAAAGATGCTCTCGTCGAAATGTAGCAGTCGATGAGGCACGATCACACGATTACCTTTGCCCATGAGTTTTCCGCCGATCATTGTGTCTTCCATGATCAGCCGGACCGAAGCTGCCCAGCCAGAGAGCCGGAGTGTCTCATGCCATATCATGGCAACTTCTGGGCAGGTGGCAGGGTTTTGAATGTACAATGCGTCAGTTAGTTCGCCGTCCTTGAAAGCAGGTCCTGTTTCCTGGCGGTATCTAGCCAAAAGGGTGGGATTATGAAGAAGGTAGGTCAGCATCCAGAAGACGCTCTTCCTTGTATTCGTATTGATCCTGAAGAAGTATGAGCATTATTACGCCTTCACTTTTTTTTTTTAGGAAAAGGGAAGACCAACGCAAGGTAAAGATGGAAAATCACTACAGCCAAATTATCATCATCAACTCCGAGTGCTCTCATCTCGTCTTCCATGGCGCTGATCAGCCACGCAGCACTGTTTCTTCTCTTGCTCTGGGGCACCTGAAAGTACTTTTTCAATGAAGCAATCACCTGAGCTCTGGGCTTGGACATGTCATGGGACAAGAAACTCGGGAACTGGTACAGCATCTTGAAGATCAGCTCATCGAACTCCAAGAATACCTCTGGAAGAGTGGGATCGATCTGATCAAGCGTTTCACCAAAGTAGACATGCTGACCGAGACGGATGAAGTAGTCGGAGCACCATTTATAGAGAGGAAATTCAATGTGCTGTGGGCTGCGAGAAGTCGCATACGGGCTGCACGTTCCGAGAAGCGTGTCTAAGCGCAAGAGGTAATCTATACGCTGAGTGACCTGGTTCTGCAGAAGGGCTAACTGATCACCTGGGTGAAGTTGATGAGCGTGCATCTTTTGAGCCAGAACCCCTAGAGATTCGCCATATGGATTCGGGAAACCGAATTTGTCCGCCGGGAGAGAGGAATACATGAGCTGAATGACATCTTCTTCGTTGCCGTTATTTCTCATGAGCGTTTGAACAAAGTTCTCAAATGACAGAGTGTCTTTGTTCTTATACACCTCAGCCGACTGTTTAGTTTGCGTGACCACGTAGAAAGTTACGCCGAACGCCGTCAAGGCGATGGGCTCTTGCGTATATCGAAAATGGTCTCTTCACCTTCTATTAATTTTTGAAGTGAACTGTCATGGCCTTGCTTACCTAGCCCTAGCAATCAGCCCATTCGAGTCCTGGAAAAAAGCTCGGCCATGGCCTAAGAACGTATCATGTCAGGGCCAGCGGGTCGATCGCAAATCAGATGATCTTGTACTAACCAAGAACTATATAATAGCTTGTTAGCCACGACCACAAGGCCAGGCCACTTTCCCCAGCGGAAACTTACACGGGACCCAATAAGGAAATTCTTTAGGCCGTTCAGGATGCAAGAAAGGCGAGACCGTGAACCTCCATAATCGCCACAAGATCAGTGCAAGTATCAGAAAACTTGCCACCTTTCCCACGATCAAGAACTCTTCCTGTCTCGCGCCTAACAGCCGGGACTGGAATGGAAAAGGCGTCGTGATGAAGTTGAAAGCAGGTGACATGACGGACTAGATGGTTCAGGAAATCAAACCGGCAATCCAAAGTTTGGAGTTCAGGATAGGCACGGAAAAGGAGGCCCTGCAGAAGGGGACTGATACATGACTAGAACCAAAAACACAAAAGATTTTCCTAGATCTAGGGTCCGCCAGGTTAGACTCGAGGTAGAGAAAAGAAGCAGCTGAGCTCCACATATAGTAGGAGTACCGGGCAATGCTACGGTACGAAACACACTCTAGGCAGCCTGCAAAAATTCAGAGATTCTTGGATGATTTTCCAAGAAAGGGCCCCGATCAGCCCCTCTCTGCTCTGTCTTGTCCCCTCGGAGGTAAAGTAAGTAGTAGACCGACCCTTGACCATGGACCAGGACATTGATTACCTTGTAGCAGTTCTCTACCAGTAGTTGTTGAGATCTCAACACCTAGATTTCCATTATTCTCTATAGAAATTTGGGGTGACGGTTCAGGGGTAGATTACATTAATGTCACCGCTCCGATTTGCACTAGCGCTGTGAGCAGTGCAGGACAGCGCAGCCTACAGAGGTGGGCACCAAAAGTATTGAAAATGCCAAGTTCGCTAAAGGCCTAAAATACTAGTCCCCGGTAATATCTCATGTCCATACATATCAATACAGAAATAATAAGATATTTGATGTATTACTCTATAGTTATCCAGGATAATTTAAAGCAAAAAGTTCTGTAGATAAAATTTATTCATATAGTTATATAGTATATTCTTTTCTTAAATATAAATAGCATTATGATAGAAAAGGATAATAGTTATTATATAATTACAGGTAATCTGATTACCATAGTAGGTGCCAACCTCTGTACTTACAGTGGGGTGACATTAGTTTGCACTAGGCTGACCGCGGGACGGGAACTTCCCGTACCGATTCCGAGTTGAAGGGAAGAGGACAGAATTAGTATAGGAAATAAGGTCTGTGCTTAAAAATTTTTTTATTATATATTATTAATTTTTAGCTTATTTTAGGGGAGGAGGATACGTACACACCCCCTAATGGCCAATCATAGGTCTAGTTCGTGGAGTTCTGGCTATGCATCCATACATGCCTACATAAATGACTTTGTTCATGTAGGTAGACACATTCAGAGAAGTTCCGGAGGGGGAAAAAAAAAAAGAAGATCGCATTTACGAAATCTAGACCCCGACTCTACCTAGGTTAATGTATGTATATATACGTATTATGTTTTGACTTTTCTCTTGGGACCCCCCTTGCCACCTAGTTCTGGTTTGTGCCCATCGATAATAGGTACTGTACTGTAAATACCATGCTCATTCATGTGCTCTCAGGGACAGCTCTGGGTTACGTGATCTGGACCCTATTCCGTCTCGAGTCCAACTTCCAGAAAGTGCGTTGCATGAAGGTGCCCATCTTGCGGATCCCCATTGATCCCAACAGTATTCTCTGGGTCATTTTCCAGCCTTTAGTATGGAAACTCTTGGGATTCTTGCCGATTCCGTGGAGCTCCTACCCGGACTTCGTGCGGTTCTCTCATCGGAATTGGCATTTTCTTGAGAAGAGCAGTCCAGGACGGCGGTTTGGGGCCGTGTGGGCGCTCGTCTCGCCGGGAGGTATACACTTGCATTTCTCGGATCCGGACGCGATTCAAGAGATCCTCTCACGATGGCGCGACTTTGTGCGCCCGGTGGAGAAGTACCGTAAGTCTAATTCTTTTTTTATGTTTCTTTTGTGATGAAAGCAGATTCTAACACTTGACAGAAATTCTTGCTATATTCGGACCTTCTATACTCACAGTCAAGTTGGAGGATTGGCCTCGTCATCGTAAAGCTGTCTCAGTACCTTTCAACCAGGCGAATACGAAGTTTGTATGGAATGAGACATTGCGCCAAACTCAGTGAGTATCAATTCTTTCCTTTGGCAGGAAAAAAGTATTTGGAAAAAGTCTCTAAGACTAACTCGACTGACCAAAGGTCTATCGGGCGCTACTGGGAGTCCCAAGCTCCGGGTGAAATACCAGATGTGCAGCAAGATCTACGAACGCTGTCCATGAATGTGCTCGCAGCAGTAGCATTCCATGAACCTTACGACTTCATAGGTTCGGTGAAGTTGAAAGATAGAAAGTTCAGCATGGAAAGCTACAGAGACTGTCTCTACATCGTGCATAAATACCTCATATTTCTTATGCTGGTGCCCTACCGCTTCCTTAATGGTAGATTTGTTCCGCGGACTTGGGTTGGGATTGGACATGCAGCTACGTCTATGAAGAGTTCTATGGTCAATGTCGTGAACAGGGAGTCTAAGGCCCTCAGTGAAGGAAAAGCACAATACGATGGTATCATACCGTCGCTCGTGCGCGCCCTTGACCAAAGTGACGCGCAGCAAGGAGGAGACGTAGGAGACACAGTCAAAAAGTCACCCAGACGGAGTCAGCTTTCCATTGACGAGATACTCGGCAACGTCTTCGTGATGAATATCGCAGGTCACGACACTACTGCTAATACTCTAAGCTTCATCGTGATGCGTCTGGCTGCAAATCCTGACGTCCAGGACTGGCTCCGTGAAGAGCTTACAACTGTGATTGGAGACAGAAAACTTGAGGATTGGGATTACGCTCTTTTCCAAGATCTCAAACGCTGTCAGGCAGTTCTTTACGAGACGCTAAGGCTCTACGCTCCGATCACAGGATTGCCTAAGATCGCATCTAAAACTATTGAGGCGTTCCATGGAGGGGGAGATCATGTGCTCACTATTCCTTCGGGCACTGAGGTTTTCCCCATGTTACTAGGCATCCAGACAGATTTGAGATACTGGAATGACCCATATACATGGCGCCCATCGCGCTGGATTTTGCTATCCGATACTATGACTCCTGATCATTATGATGGGAAGACAGAACAGCTATTCGTGCCACCGAAGGGTACATATTTCCCGTGGTCAGAGGGCCCGCAGAACTGCATCGGCATGAAGTTCTCACAGGCCGAGGTGGTGGCTTTCCTGGCGTGTTTGTTCAAAGAGCATCGCGTGCGTCCAAGTTTGAGAAAAGGTGAGACAGAAGTCGATGCTAGGAAACGGGCACAGAAGTGTGCGGATGATGTTAACTACGATATGTTGTTGAAGATGAGCCAGCCGTCCCGCGTGAAGCTGGTCTGTGAGAGGGTTTAGATGGACAGGGAGATCAGGTACAGCTTGTATTTCTCAACTGAAAACGCACTGTAATCTCGCTAGGGTCACAATAGCCTTTCGATGTAAGATTGGGGATACTAAATCTGTAGCAATAGTTATAGTATGCAAGGCGCCCTATCTGCGAAACATTATGAGAATATGTCATTGTTTTGAAAGCCATACGATCTCTGAGAAATACCGTGACATTGCATGCATGTATATAGTGATCTTACGATCTCTATATGGCCGTCATGTCACATTGAATCAGAAACGCAACGGCGACCAGGCCTTACAAAACCCACCTAGGTAGTCAGAAGAGAGTGCGATAATGCAACGTGTCGGGTAGCACAATCAAGAAGGAAAAAAACAAAGTTCAGTCGCAAAGAGCTCCGTTGACTGTCACAGCGGTGGGTGTCCTCCTGTCTGCGCACTACTGTCATAATTACTAGTACGGCTAACAGCGAGGCCGCACGCGGCTGTACCGAACTGTAAGCGATCCGGAATAGAACCATAAATTGGCCGGTATATAAACTAAGCCCTACCACAATTTAAAAAAATCGAGAGGCAAAATGCGGCCGTAATTTTAATGTTTTTATACTACTTATGCCAGCCGCTATATTGAGATTCACATGCCATATTTTTCTTTTAACTCTGTCTGGCAATGACAGTGTAGATGTGACGGTGCCAATCTGCTTGGTTTGAGTACGCTATTCTAGCTAACTATCTCGTACAAGAGGTGCTTGTCGACAGGTAATATTAAGCATAAAGGGGAAAAAGGAAGAAATGAAGTAAAAGGTCTGGTTCTCGCTTCTCATGTAAATCTCTGTGCAGGGCGCCTTTCCCTATCCAGTTCCGACGTCTGATGTTGATATCACTTCCCAATATGGCGCGGATAGGGTTACACGGCTCCTAGCCCTATCCGTGAACTGAGACGGGAACGCAGAGCCATGCCCAGCCGTCACATAGACGGGTAACTTTTCCTTTTTTTCTTCTTCCATTACAGCTTTGATTAATTCAAAATTTTGAATCCGCCGGGAACAGTATTTGTAAACACCCGTTGCGGATCGTACTCCTCACGAATTCTGGTCAACCTCTCCACACTCGCCTGTCCATAGCTAGAAATCGGCTTCTGCCACGGCGCTGCGTAGTTCAAATACACAAACGGATCCAGCGATCCAAGACTACCAACTTCCCGCTCCATAGTCGCTATGAGCTGTTTTATCTCGCTGTACACCCTGGCGTCGTCATCTGCGTTATTCCAGGTAACACGCAAGTTGATTATGATGAAGGATTTGCCTTCTCGGCCTGTCAACCCGAGAGCGTTTGCTTCAGCGTGTCGAGTATACATCGCAGGCGGGAGGGGGTCCATAGCAAGCGCCCATACTATGCCAGGGATGTCTTCGACGGAGAAGACGCTGGCGTTCCAGGCTCCCACGGTTGCTGTCAATGCTTCAACTGATGAATCTATGGTCACGGTGGCAGACGCACTCCTAAAACCACAACCCAATCAGCTACCTACCATTCTAGCACTGATGAATATCAGTAGAGAGCAATGTACCGTAGCCCATTCATCTGTAGACTCTCCGACTCGTCGACCAGATCTGAGATGTTGGTAAGACGCATCGTACTCTCCAAGGACGGTATGCTCGTCAAGTTCTGGAAAGCCGGTGGGTCCACGGCCGGTTTCGTATACTCCATGCTGTTGATGATAAACGAGCTGCCATTGAAATACCCAAAACTGGGCACCAGCGAAGAAAACTCATCGTAGGTGTCGTGGCGGTTGAACGCAGCTATAGCCTCGACCTGCTCATCCACAGTCGAGAAGTCGTAAAACACAACCCCACCCCAGATCTCTCC